TGATAGGCTACGGGTTCCCGGAAGTGATTGCCGATACAATACACAAATTGCTCTCAAAAAACAAGATCAAAATCAATGTTAATGGGTTCTTTACCAAAGAAATCAAGAAACGAAGAGGATTAAAACAAGGCGGTCCACTATCACCAGTTTTGTATAACTTGACATTTGATCTATTTCTACGTTCGATTATACAAGATGGGGGGGGGTTCAAAGGATATCAGTTTCGACAACAAACACCAAGGCCTGACTCTTCCTCCTCTGCTCCTATAGAAACTAAAATTCTTTGCTACGCAGATGATGCTTTAGTATTTATACATGATCCGAATGATCTTGCAATACTGCAAAGACATATATCAACGTATTGTAGAGCATCAAATGCAAAAATCAACTTTAACAAGATTGAAGCTCTATCTTTATCTGGTACAAACCCCTGGCTATTTTGGCATAGGTAACTGCTACCACTACATATACAGCGCATTCAGTCTTCCATGGATGCACAACCTATTGTGTACTTAGGTTTTCCATTAATCCAGTCAGTTGCACAAAGACAAAATTATTTTGAAACCTTTTTGGCAAAGATGAAATCTGCCTGCTTGATACATTCTGCCCGTTCCTTGTCAGTACTAGGCCGGGCCACGGTAGTTAACACCTTAATATCTTCTTCGGGTAACGCCGTTCACGAAGACTGAGATTTCTCGAATCCGGTCTTTAGCACAGCAGTTCCTAAACTCCAAAATCTTTCCGAAAATTGCTTGGCCAACTTGGACTCTACCGAAAGAAGATGGTGATGTAGGGGTCCTTGATCCATTATTGCAAAGAGACGCGCTTTATAGTCGCTGGGTCTTGCCTCTGTTGAATCGCTCTATCAACGCACACTGGCATCGTATACTCACAAGACATATCCAAAATATCTCCGGATATTATGAGGTAGCTATTCCTTTGCTCTTTCCTTTGGCTAGACACAATAGAACCTCTCACTTTGGGTGCGGTAAACGTATTTCAACAATTGATCTATTTTATGCCTCAATAGATCGCTTGCCTCGAGATTTTGACCAGATGACACTAGCTCACCAAGCATGTCTTAGTTTGCCGATGAAGGTCGTCTTACAATCTTTGAGACCACGACTTCCGTCATTGCCGAAAAGGATTCAATTTATCTCAGTTCAAGCATTTATGCTTTTCAACCACGATCTTAAGCTAATCCATTGGAAGCATCCGGATCATATTCCGCAAGAGCTCCAAAAATTCTACTTTCAGATCACCTGAGGGCTAGAAAGTAACAAGTACCAATTCTTTCCTTTCTTTGTCAAACACTGCCAACCTCCTACTGTAGAGGTATTGCCTGCTTTACCGTCCTCACCACCTTTATCTTTTGTTCCATTTGTCAAATCTTTCCGATTTGTGACCCTGACTGGATCAATCACCCGGATATCGACAAAAGAGTTTCGGTTAACTTGCCAGAGTGCTACATCTGCTCCAGAGCGCCTACGAGCTATCTCTAGTAACTTTTGGACTGATTTCTGGAGCTGTTCTCTGCTGCCAGTTGCTCGTAATATGATATACCGATTCCTGGTTTTCAAACTACCCACAAGACAACTTCTTTACTATATACTTCCTGAGAAGCTCCCCTCACCTCTTTGTACCATTTGCTCAATTCATCTGGAAAGTGAACAACACCTCCTGTTTTATTGCCCGCCAAAGAGTTTTTTTTTGGAACAATCTCATCTTCGAATTTCTTTGGCCTACAACCACTGTCGAAGATGTTATTCAAGCACTGGTTACACTAAACTTCACTAGAATAGATTACTCACAAAAAGAAAATTTAACCGTTGTTGACATTATCAACACAGCCGTATCACAAGTTTGGAAAGCACACTGGAGATTTGTCATGGACAACGTAGCTTTTGATGCCTACTCCACTCTACAACAAACACGTACTGCTTTACAACTGCTTGCAGATGAAAAGCAAGTACACACAAGACTGTAATTCTTCTCGTAGTTTTTTTTCCCACTAATAACAGTGGCATATCTTTTACTTTATTCTGCTTAGTTTGCTTTCAGCATAATTTTTAATATAATTCAGTATGAATTGCGCCCGCCTCTTGAGTGCCATTAGGGTAACTTTACGCGGAGCAATAATAAAAATCTTTAAAAAAAATGTATTTGTCAGCTCTAACTGTCACTTTATGAGGGCCATTAATAATAACAGAGTCACTGGTTCATAATCTCTGATATGAGATGAGTAGTACTTTTAGTAGAATGAGTGAATGTCAGTGACTATAGATCCATTGCAATTGCCATAGATGTGATCTGGTCTTTTGCATGATCATCATTTATTGATCTATGCATACGAATTCATATATGTTCACAACATCAGCCTATATCAGCCTGTGTCAGCCTATGTGATTCTAAGTTAGCCTATATCAGTTGTGGTGTTTAGGTTGTGAAAAGAAATATAGAAAACAGAAAAGACAACAAAGAAATACAGTGAGACTGTTCAGTACTTCTTTATTACAAAAATAAATGATAATCCTCTAAAATATATCTTTTCCAGGTTGTCTTTTATACTACCTGATTTATTGACTAATTGTGATTATTGATTATTGATTACTTAACACTTTGACAGCTTGTGCCTGGGAGTTGACTATGTAGATTCTCCTTTAATCCTCCTAGTTATCTAAAAGTTACCATTATGGTTTCCTTATTTGTGAATATCTATATTATCCCAGTTATCGTTATTTACTGTCATTATACAATGCTTACCTTATATTTATGATGTATAGTGCTATAAGTGATTATTCATTTATATGATGAAAGCCTATTTACTATATTTTGTATTGAAAAGTGCTCAGATCATCACAGGAGATCCACGGAGGTTCGTGAAGATAGAAAAAAGCAAGAATTTTTGGAATGATCCAATGTAGGTCTGATCCAACCGAAATGAGGTGAGTTAGGTCTAGGTGCTTCTGATAAAAAAAAACGAGTCTACTAAGATGATAAAGACGAGTTAATTTGAGCATTCCCCTCAGATCTGCATTCAAGGTTGATTGCACACTGTAATCAGTACAAAAGAAGCCCCTATTCAATAAATTTTGACTAATAAGTAGGTACTAATTCATATAATATTCGATTTACAGAGCGTTTGAGAGTAAGATTCGCTATTATACATGACATTTCTGAGGTCAAAAAGAGTAACTATTGAGTATGACAAATGGTGCATATCATGCAAGTGGGAGATTCGGTGTTTCAAATATTGGTCTCTTGCACTCTGCTTAAAGACCTTTTTTTTTCTCTTTTTACTGACACTCACAAACCGCAACTGCGTTTCGATCGAGTTAAGAGGAAGACTAAACACCAGTTAGAAAAAATCAGAGCGTAATGTTATGGCATATGGAAGACAACATCACTGTAGTTTCGCAAGTGAAATGAGTCCTGATCACCTCATGCTAAAGACGAAAGACAACAAGGCAACATACTTGAGTGGACAAAGCCGTTGATGTAAGTGGAATATGCGCATAGCTCTTATTACACAAATACGACAACAAAGAAAAAGGATATGCACAACACAAACACATGATGGGTTTGATCAGGGTAATCAAGCCTTTTCAAATCCTCTTTTTGTCTGAACAAGAGTTGATCAGACTCTCGAATAGACACAAAAAGACTCAAAAAAGTAGACTTACACTACGAAAACTTACTAAGCCTTGAATGTATATCTTCCAAACCCTAAAGAGAGCCAGAGTCTGAAGAAAAGGGTTTGAAAGCCCTATACCACTTGATCAAACACCTTACAGACAGTTGAGAAACCAGCCTGAGTAGAGCACACCTTGTTTATCATAGAGCTTACCGACCAAATCAGAGTAGAACCAGGGAGAGAAATAGTCTTGAACCAGCAGTACATCTTGTTAGACGACCTTTTAGATAACTAAAAAACCAGTTTGAGTAGACTAGTCAATAAACATAAGTTATTGCGCGTTGCTTTTGATGACACAAGTTTCAGTGTGGCTTTATGTCTGAACAACACTAAACAAACACAACTACACTATTGAAAGATATATAGAAATCAAATAAGCAACATGAACTTACCTTGAAAAAGAATGTAAAAAAGAAACAAAAGTAAATCGTTGCTTTAAGCAAGCTCTTAAACTTCTAAAGACAAAAGTAAAAGCAGCTAGTCTTCAAGAAAACATCATTACAATAAAAAAAAAGTATACGTCATTATTCATTGTTAAAAGCAAATCTTTATTAAATAATGTCAGTCTTTAGTTTCACTTCATAGAGAAGTTACTCACAGGAGTAGCCACGAGAAGGCAACTGACTCGTACTCCCTCACTTCCTTCACTGACACCTTCCCAAGCTTGCGATACACTAGGAAATGCCAGATAGCTATAAGAAACCGTCAATAACTCCCAGCGACTACCCTTCATCCCGCTGCAGACCAACGCCTATATACCCCGTACCTTACTCTCGAGGCAGTAAGATAAGAAAGTAAATCATTGGCTAATAACAGGCCAACAACGATTAGGATCGAACACTGAAAGCCATGGAGAGAGCAACACCAGTGGACAAAACCAACTAAATAGAGAGAAAATCCTAGAGAAAGCAGAGATATCAGCAAACGCGTAGATCAATGCCTCTTTAACGAGTGAAGCTTCAACATGAGCCAATGTCATGGTCTCTCTTTATCTAGACTTTCTTTGCTTTTCAATCTTTCTAGTCTTTTTGTCTTTTTTTTTTTTTCATTGCCTTACATCAAGTACATCGATAAATAGATAAATAAAAAAACAGAAAGATAAAGTACCGATATTGAAACAGAGAGATGCTTTCTTAATTAATCCGAGAAAAGACGATTTTGCTCTACCTGCTTATATGATCAACCAAAAAAGCCTATCAACTATAGAAGTGATGATGCTCTTTACAAAGTAAACGCGTCTGATTTGTGCTGGTTTTAAATCCATTGTCCTAAAGTGTAAATTGACCTTTATTTTTTTTTCCCTTTCTTCTTCTTCATTATGGATCCACAAGAATCAAGCAATGAAAAGAGACAGACTGCTGTAGAGTTTGATAGACTGTCTGATAAATGGACAGAACTCTGTTTCAAAGTGATAGAGTAAGTTGCTACTCTCTTTTTGAAGTCTCTCTTATTTTGATCAAGTTTAGATTACCTCGTTTATTGAAAATACTGCAACCTGTTGTACCTGATCTTGAAAAAGAGATCAAAGGACTACATAAACAAGGTCGCGAATATATGGAGCAGGAACTCAAAGTAAGTGCCCTGTAGAATACAAAGCTATGCTTACTCTATGACATATAGACAGGTGTTCAAAGTATTTTAGAGACACACGATTTAGTTCAGAAACACAATACGATGGATAGATTAGTACATGAAGCCAAACAAAGACCACCCGTCCAACATCAAATCTTGCCTTCACCTGCACAAGTAAAGCAAGGTGTGATGAATAAGGCTAAAATGATGAAAATCGAGCAATTACAAAACATGTTGGATGATCTAACACAACAAAACTATGAATTAATGAATGAAATTGGACTTGGACAAGAAAGAAAAGCAGCCAAAATAACCAAGTTAAATGAAATCATGGATGAATTCACAGAGGTAATTCTGATCAGACTATCTTCTTGTCTCACGCTTTGTTATAGAATGTCAAAGTAACAAGTTCTATTCATGCTGAAGATGCTATTGTCTTAGTAAAAGATTTAAAGCCTTAAAAACTTATCAGATGTAATCACTCTATCGATCTGAGTTCCCAGATTTTTCATACAAACTCCTGGTTTCTTCAGCCAGGGTTATTTTTTTTTTTGTTTTTCTTCCAGTTTTTTATAATAATAAAAAAATGTCTCGCCCCATGTTGAGAGCTTCTACCAAGATCCTTTCTTCTTCTGCCAGAGTTGCTTCTAGAGCCTTGCCTTTGTTGGCTCGTCAACAAGTAGCTGCTCGTAGCTTCTCTTCTACCGGGTAATATGACAAGAAAAAGAATACTATCTGTTTCTAACTCTATTGTTTTAGCACTCGATCTTTTGGCGCTCTTCGTGCTTTTACTGTCCCTACTGTTCAAAAGGATGTTAGAGCTTATAGCTCCAAGAGTAAGTCTTGTCTTTCTGAAAGTGTCATGAACTTATTTTTTTTTTGTACAGACTTCCCTGCTCACAGTGTCATTGCCATGCCTGCCTTGTCACCCACGTATGTATTTGAAATGTCTTTAAATGAAAGCACTAAACAAGCATAGAATGACTGCTGGCGGTATTGGCAAATTTCAAAAGGCTGTTGGTGATGCCATCAACCCTGGTGATGTCCTTGTTGAAATCGAAACTGATAAAGCTCAAATGGATTTCGAATGTCAAGATGAAGGTTATCTTGCCAAGATCCTTATAAGCGAAGGTGATAAGGATGTTCCTGTTGGAAAGGTAAAGAAAGAAAGAAAAAAAATAAGCCATTGACTCATCTATGTGTTGTTTTAGCCTATTGCTGTTTTTGTTGAAGATGAAGCTGATATTGAAGCTTTCAAGGATTTCACTTTGGAAGATGTTAGTGGAGCTGCTGCTGCTCCTGAACCTGTCAAGGAAGAACCTAAAAAAGAAGCTCCTGTCAAGGAAGAAAAGAAGCAAGAAGCCAAGCCTGCTACTGCTGCTCCCGCTGCTCCTGCTGCTCCTGTCGCCGCTTCCAAGCCCCCTGCTGCTTACACTCCCCAAGCTTCTGCTGGTGGTGATGCTTTTCAAGACCAACCCACCACCAACATGCGTAAGATCATTGCTACTCGTTTAGCCGAATCCAAGCAAACTGTGCCTCACTACTACTTGACTGTCGAAGTCAAGATGGACAAGGTGAACAAGTTACGTCAAGCCTTGAACCAATCTTCTGAAGGTAAATACAAGCTCTCTGTCAATGATTTCATTATCAAGGCCTCTGCTTTGGCTCTCAAGACTGTGCCTGAAGTCAATGCTGCCTGGCAAGGTGATTTCATTCGCCAATACCACCATGCTGATATTTGTGTGGCTGTTGCTACACCTACTGGCTTGATTACACCTATCGTTGCTCAAGCTGAAGGTAAGGGCTTGTCTACCATCTCTAGCCAAGTCAAGGATTTAGCCAAGCGTGCTCGTGATGGTAAGCTTGCTCCTCAAGAATACCAAGGTGGATCTTTCACTATTTCCAACCTGGGTATGTTTGGCATCAATGATTTCACTGCCATTATCAACCCTCCTCAATCCTGTATCTTGGCAATTGGTGGTACTCAACAAAAGGTCGTTGTGGATGAGACCACTCGCTCTGGATTTGGCTTGACTGATGTCATGGAAGTTACTTTGAGTGCTGATCATCGTGTGGTTGATGGTGCTGTTGGTGCTTCTTGGTTACAAGCATTCAAGGGTTTCATGGAAAATCCCCTCAAGATGTTGTAAATAATAGAGAAATAATAATCATAACAAAAAGACGGTTTTTATTACATATAATATACAAAAAAAAAAAGAAATGTGTGTGGGGGATATATTAACGACCATAAGCTAAAGAATCCAAAGATAAAATGGCTTCTGCTTTTGAAGCTAAATCAGTCAATGAATGGGTCAATTGAGAAAGAGCATAGGCTTGTTCTGGTCTCACTTGTCTTCTCAAGTGTTCTAATCGATCCAATGCATGATCAAAATCAGCCAGTTCATATGTTTTTGGTTGTGGTTTTGTTGTTGGTACTGGTGCTGGTGCTGGTGGAGGAGGAGGAGGAGAGGGTTGAACCATCATTTGTTTAGGTTGTTGAGAAGAAGGTGGCGTTAAAGGAGGCAGAGATAAAGAAGGTAATTGATTGGATTCTTGACGACCAAATAAAGACTCGAGTCGATAGGATTGGCGTTCAGAAGAAATAGGAGGTAAAAAGCTTTGTTGTTGATCTGAATAGGGTTTAGACAGCAATGGATTAAGGATCTTATCAGATAAAATGGGTGAATCAGTTGTTACTCTTTTCTTTTTCAGTACCACATAATCTTCTATTTCTGGTACGGGCCTATCAGATTGCATCATATTTGCCATAGAAGAAGAAGAAGAAGAAAGGGAAGAAGATGCTACTGTTGTTTGTGGTGCAATAGAAGAAGAAGAAGAAGGTGGTGGAGGTGGAGTAGACTGAGTAGAATAGCTATCATCATCTTCTTCCATGCCTTCTTCATCACTGCCTTGTGCTACGATAATTCGTTTTCTTCTTTTGATCACACTACGCTTCATACTGACAGGACGATGAACATTATGTAATTTATAATAAAGACCACACGCATTACATATTGTATTGCCTTGTTCATCCCTACGCCATAAAGGTGTGGTTGTCGTTCGACAGTTGGCACAGATGAGGGCTTGTCGATTGACTTGATGTTGATTAAAAGCAGGACAACCAGCACACGATGTCGAGCCACCTGTGCCATTACACTGACCACCACCTGGACAAGTGCCTCCTCCGCAGTCATTTTTGGTATTTGATGAGGGTATTGTCTTTTTGTTGACTGTTCTTTTAAGGGTAGGTGGTCTGAGTGTATTACGAGCCTTAAGATAGAGACCACAGGCATTACAGATAGTTTCACCGTTAGGACCTCGTCGCCAAAGAGGTGTTGTTGTTGTACCGCAGTTAGCACATTCAGTAGCAGAGACAGAGTCAACTTTTTCCTTTTTTATTACGGTTTTCTTGCTATCTAAAGGGTTTAAAGTTTCCATCTGATAAAATAAAGAGAGGGGGTAAAAAAAAGGCTGTAAAAGAAATTTTTTTTTATCTTTTATTTAAATCAATATGATTGTAGAATTTGTATTATAAAAATATGATCTTTTTGTAATCTCATCAATCAATCGCATCAAGTTAAAACTCAGAGATCAATTGGTATTGTTAGCCATAGAGACTAAATATATATTTAGCGAAGGCAGATGTATTTTATCATTAGTTCAAGTTCAGCATATGTATAGTGCATTCACCTCTCCTCCCCCGAGGAGGATGAATAATAAACATATTATGTAATTGAAGACTTGTGTTATGTCAGATCATCACAAGACGGACTCAGATATATTTCCATGAATCAGGAAAAATTCCTTTTAAAGCCTGATTGAAGAAAGGCGACAAGGAGAGGAATATCAAGCAAAAGAAGTAAATAGCCATAAATCAGGCCATTGGCACCCGGACTACTCATCCTGCTCAAGTTTTTTTTGGCATGTCCTATCATTTTATCTTAAACTGATTGGTGCCATAAGTGAAGCTTGCTCATCAGTAGTCAGTTGCTGAGTAGAATGAATGTTATCAAGATAAGATGCAAATTGTCGTGAATGAACTGAGTCTGAACCATGTAGATGAGTATCAAATCTTGGAGCAATACCTTTCATACTCTCAATGTCATGAATCGCGGTGGAATTGGATAGGAAGGCAGGATCAGGAGACCTAAGTGGAGCAGCAAACTGTTCGTTGCCATCATCCTTCAAAGGAATGGGTTGCTCTAGAGGTGGAGACGAAGGAGATGGTACAGCGGAGGGAGAACTAGTGTTCGATAGAAGAGCATTCTTGTTTGTTCTGTAGATTTTTTTTTCTTTTTGCTTTGTATTATAAAAGCAATGGCTCATAAACGATAATAGCATTTTACGCAAGATAAAGAGAATTCGTCACAAGAAAATACCCTACCTTCCACACTTTATTGGAAAGAAGGATTAAATTCTAGAAATTAAGCAGAGTAGAGCATCAGGTTATAATAAAGAGCAAAGAATAGAAGGGAGATAAGAAAGAAAAACAAGTTATAACAGATATTAATTAGCATATGTAAAATACTTACACGGATACGAGGAGGTAATTGAATACCACTATCTTGTCAATTGCATGATTAAAAATGAGATACTTTTCAATTCATACCACTACACAATATGACCCACCAATACTAAGCTGTGATTGATGCCAAAGGAGCTATTACAAAGTAATAGACTATGTTATTTTAGGATAAACATCTCAACAAATCATCAACAAAAAACTGAGTGCGTTTAAATATCACCTTGGCGTATAAAAGGGCTCTTGGATTAAGATACTTTTGTTGCTGAGTTCGAACGACAACAAACTAGGCTAATTTTCATTTCGAGCCAGTACAGTATTTTCACTTTAAATTCAGACGATGTTAGTTTTTCTAGACGAATCAAAATTAACCTTTAGACTTTTAGGTTACCTTTTTGGGACAAAACGAAAAAGGAAATTAGACAAAATGGAAATTAGTTTTCAGATGAAGTGAAAAATAAAAATAAAATAATGAACTCACCCTGTATCATGGATTGAAAGCAGCGATAACTACTTCGGATTTGTTATTGTCTTTTTCTACTGTCGTTTTCAATAGAAGGAGGTCTTTGTCTTTTTTGTTGTTCTTTTTGGTGTTTGCACCGTGGTCACGTAAACTAAAGAGAATCTCACAAAAGTTGAGGGTGGCGAGTAAGTCCCTGTTCCAAAGACGACGACCTTCTTTCAAGCATTGTTCATTTTTACACCTAGATTACATACAAACGTTATCAATAAACTAAGCATAATTAAAAGCTTCATACCTTAAAAGACCATGAAGTTTTACGGTTGGATACTTTTCCCTTCTAAAGGGTCTTGGATTCACAACTTCTTTGAGATTTTCTAAATCACCTTTGCATACCGGGAATATACTGGATGTTTTGAATTCATCAATCAGGTGTACCAGAAAACCTTCTTTTTGAAGCATTCTTCTCATGCCAACTCCTCTAATCGGTTCATGGAACTTGACATTCCCCGCAGACCAGTTACCAATAACAATAACAGCATCGTTGCCAAAAAGTTTTCTGATATTCTTACAAAGACATTTGTCAAATTCTTGTCGATTAATGTAGCTTGATAGTTTTAGCTTTCGAAATGGTAACATATTAGTATTACGTTCTTCTAAAGGCAAGTCTTCATTTGAGTAGTATTCCTGAAGAACTTGAGTCACGGTAGCTTTCTGTCTTGTATATTCTACATATTGATCTTTTATGACTGTGGATGACTTTAAACGCGAAAGAATTGCTTCTGCATTGCTTACGGCCTCTGGTTTCAGTCTTTCACAAAGTTTCATGAACTTTATTGTTTTTGTTTCAATGTTCCTTTGATTTCTCGTATAGCGGTAAGTTCTTTTCTTTTCAACGGTACTGCTTTCGTGCATACAGAACAACATATCACGCCGTCCGGGGTCAATCAAAACATAATTATTTTTGTAAGTTTTTTCTTGAAGTTTTTCTTGCGACAGACTTTCTATGTAAGCAATGTCTTCTTCTATCTTCTTATCATTTCGCATGCCGCTTCCAGAACCTTTCTTCTTACTGTCATAGGTCTGCTTCAAAATGGATACGGCAATACCATTTGTGTAAATAGTACCTCTAAACTTCATTTGTTTATTGTCTCCTTGAGGCTTCATAGCTTTGGATTTCATGTTCAGTACGGCTCCCCAGATTACTTCTTTGTCTAAATGGCTAATGACAGAGTTTCTTAAAATTTGAGTGATTACGGTATATGTGTCTATAGTCATATAACTAGGTATGAATGTTCTTCTCAGAAGAAAGCAGTTGAACGACTTATTGTAGAGAGATTCAGAACATCGCGTCAGATAATAAAATGCCTTCAGATGCTTCGATGGGTCCGCTTTACAATCATAATAAATAGGATTCTTCTTGAAGTGAGTGCCAGAAGGGTAACAATCAAAAAACTGTTGAAGGATGCCGACTTCATGTGGGTTAAAAAGACGCGATGGCAATTCAGTGATGTTCCTCAGAGAGACGTTCATTTTTACTTTGGCACACTAGCTTGCTATGGTTTTGACTGCAGTAGAGATTTCGCTTTCTGTGCAATTTTTCTTTTTCATTTCACTTTTCAAAGCGCCAATTCTTTCCTGCTTCTTTAACAGTAGGTTCAAAAACATACGCAATCTGTTCTCGAAATGAAGAGCGACGCCATTCATGTATGCAGTGTGGATTTTCGTAGCTTCATAGCTTCCTATTTGTTGCGCATATTTCAGTTTGATTGGAACATAAGAGGCGAGTTGGCAATAGGTATCTCGATGCTTATTGGTAAGTTCCTTGTAACTTCTTGCTTTTTCTTTTCGTTTTGCTTTATCCGGCTTATAGCTATCAAGTAGTGAAATAAAGACCTCTCTGAAGAAATCAACATTGGCAAGGTCCTGCAAAGCAAAATCCATGTTGTTTTTAAGTTCTTGCGTAAAAATATACTTAAAAAGTGCATAAGTATGTGTTACGAGAGTATGTACTTTAAGTACAAGAGATTTGAGACTTGGAATGTATCTCGTTTTCCACTCAATGCCGGTAATAGAACTTTTAACTGTAGTTATCTTTAGAGGAGGCTCCATAAGGAAAAAAGAAGAAAGAGTACAGCTGACGGCTTTTTATCTTTTTATTTAGAGTTTCAATCACTGATGTATTATTTTTATTTGAGGCCCTACATATATATGTCTATTTAATTGTGCGTATTTTATAATAATTGAAAAGAACTCTGGCTTTTGTCCAGTACCTGAAAAATATAAACATACTTTGCTCAGCAAAAAAAATCAGCCTTAGTAACTAAAAGTATGGTTTGACGTGTATCTAAATTTTTGTGTTCACCTCTGCTAATAATCATCCTGCATCGTTATTTAAACTTTTAATTTCCTTTTCCATTTTGTCTAATTTCTTTTTTCGTTTTGTCCAAAAAAGGTAATTTTGATTCGTCTAGAAAAAACCAACATCGTCTGAATTTAAAGTGTAAAAACTGTATAAAAATTTTTTTTCGAATGCGATCTTGACTCGATTCAAACTCCCTTTTTTCTTCATGTCAAGCTCACATGCTCATTGGAATCGACAAGAATCTTATAAAGAGACTTATGATACATTCTACAAACTAAAGCAAGACGTATTGTTACTAAAAAAGAAGTCTAATATTCATTGGCCTGTTCAGACTTATTCCTCAAAGTAAAAAAAAAAAAGCAGAATTATGCAATGTGTGTATCTTCTGATGCCTTATTAGAGTCAACAAGATTAAAGGACGTCATGGCTATACAAATACACCTAAACATTATGCTTCTAAACTCAATATCACTAAAGTACCTGTCTATAAGGCGCAGCCATGGGACCCACAATTGACAGGCAAGCGTCCTCCCACTCGATATCATACAACCAATACAGCCAACTACCACGATCCAATCTTTGATGATGTGAGTGATTATGTAGATCATCAACTGTCCAAGCACAAAGAAAAAGACACTGTACAACAAGAAAACAAAGTAGACTTAGTCAAAGATCTATCGATACAGTTAGTAGATAAAGTGCTTCATCAAATGATGAACACACAACAACAACAAGCTCATGATTGGGAATTTGTTTTGTCAAATCTGATTCAGACAGCCTCATTACCTCCAGCGTAAGTCGTTGTTTCTAACTTTGTCTTTGCTTATATTTTGTTTATCACAAGTGTCATTGATCGTATACAAAGAGAAATGGAAATGAAAACTGCAAAAGAGACACCAGGTAAGGAAACACATAAGCCAATATACGTACTTATCTATCTCAAGTCATCACTGCCTTTAATGTCACACAGTCTCCATTGTCAGACCTCACTATGTCGAATACTGAATGTAAGTATACTATTGCACTTGACATAAATTAAACCATTTTAGCTGAAATGAACCGTGTCATGAAATCATTATCTGAAGAACAAACAAGACAGCAATTTCAAGCAGAACCAGGAGATGAACCATTTATAAAAGATATGCAATGGCTTATGTCACTCTCTCAACAAGACCCTCATACCCAACAAAAAGAAGCCCACAAAATCCAAACTGACTATACAAACAAAAAGCTCGATTTGAAAAGAGCCTTTTTTTAAGTTTATTTATAAAATGATTCAAGTTCTTCTACATCTTCTTTAGATCCTAACCAAATACCAGAACGATCATGGATATGTTCAGGTATGAGATCCAAACAGTCTTGTGTACCTGTAGTGGCCTTACCACCAGCTTGTTCAATGAGATAAGACATTGGGAAGACTTCATACAGGATTCTAAGTTTTCCTTTCTTTGACTTTGAATCAGCAGGATAACCAAAGATACCACCTAAAAAATAAAAATAAAAAATAAGTACAACATACATATATATATATATATATTGCTTACCATATAATAAAGTACGATGAATATCAGATACCATGGAGCCTACATAACGAGCACTGTATTTTTGTTTGACATGGTCCACATATTTCTTGCTAGGTTCATCAAAGTATTTGTAGTTGCCTTCATTGACAGAGTAAATCTTGCCTCGGGGAGGTAAAGTAATCTATAGAAGAATATCACATGAATATTTCATTGTCCGAAACAACCCGAAAATGCAAAAAAAAAAAAGAGGAGAAAAGGAGGTTTTTTTTTCTTTACCTTGGGATGTGTCATGATAAATTCACCGATAGCAGGATCTAAAGTAAAGCCATTCACACCATTACCCACAGACTAGAAGTATATAAGTAAAAGAATAGAACATATTTCTAGCTTACCAAGATCATTTCACAGTAAGAACCATACATACAATAACCAGCAGCAATCAATTCACGACCACTACGAATACAGTCTTTGATGTTGGGGTTGGCCTCATCTTTCTATATAAACTGTAAGAAATATTGTATGAGATAGACAGAAACATACCACTTTGAAGATACCAAAGATAGTACCGATAGAGACACCACAGTCGATATTAGAAGAACCATCCAAAGGATCAAATGTCACGACGTATTTACCGCGTTGATCCTTATTTTCAATAATCATGGCATTTTCGTCTTCTTCAGAGACTAGTAAACAAGCTTTACCAGAACCAATCAATGCGTTACGGAAAATATCGTTTGCAAGCACATCCAATTTCTTGACGTCTTCTCCTTGAACGTTAGCTGTACCCGTTAAGCCCAATCTAATATGGCATGAGTGTACAATATAATAAACACGAAACTTACAGGTTGATAAGACCAGCTTGTTTGACTTTAGAAGCAACGAATTTACAACCAAATTGAATGGCAGTCAAGAGTAAAGTAAGATCACCAGTAGCTTCAGGCGCGTCCTGGATAGAAACATGTTATCAGTAACTTACACAATAAACAAGAAAACAATTTACCTGTTGTTGAGCAATAACCCAACGAGTTAAAGTAATGAGGTCTTCACCAGTACCCACTTTAATAGCATCAAATTTGTCAGTCATGTTAAAAATTAATAAAGAATAATGAAAAAAAAAGAGAAATAAAAAGAAAGAAAGTGAAACGCAATAGGCTTAAATAGATGAAAATGTGGGGTATTATACACATGTAACTTTCGGGCAGTGTAGGATAAAGAGGCTATGAATTCAACTTCCGGTCACAAACATCATGATTACTCTATTTGTCTGAGCTACATAACTCTATTGAACGGTATAGCGTTATTCTTAGCGTGTTATAGACCACACTAAAAATAAGAAATAAAAATAAAAAATGCTTACATACATTGAAGCTAACAAGTTATATCTTTTTTTGTCATATTTACATCTACCTTATTGTTACACTCAAATGGTTTCCCACGCAAAAAAAAAAAGGATTTTCTTCAAGTGGCGATTTTAATAAAAGGGGTGAAAAAAAAAGGTGGCCAACTTCCTTGCATTATGGAATAGGAGCATGTCAAATATAGGAGACAAGAGAAAACTATGGTTATATAAAATAGCCTGTAGTTCTGTCTCTTTTCTTTCTTTTTATATGTTTAATTATCAAAGTATTCAGCCCATGATGCACCAAGAAACTGTTGTAGACCATGTTGTGTTTGTCATTCATGTAAGTATAAAACTAAATAGAATAACTTATTCATTTAAGTAGGGTATTGGACAGGTAAAAAATAAAAAAATATATTAGGTTACTGAATGAATGATAGCAAACAGAACAATTTGGTTTCTTTGATAAACATAGTAAGTAGAAAAATACTTGAAAAAAAGAAAGAAAAAGGGCTCATTCTGCATAGTACAAAGTCTTCATGACACGACAAACAAGGTTGTACAAGAAAATGGAAAAGAGACCAAGATGCATTATATTCCTATTGAATGGCATAAACATATTCATCAAGAAACAGACCAAGCGATGGATAACATCACATTGAACTCAATTCCCTTTATGCGTATGATCAATAATGACTATTTAGCAGATGCCTTTTTTTATCTGTCTAAAGAAAGAGGTCAAAGTATCATTCAGCATGTTACTCAAACATTTAACCGTGCCTATCTGGAATTTATGCAAATTCACCCGAATTTTAATGGAAAAATAGCCATTTTAGCTTATTCGTAAGTAAAACCACCCTATCTTATGTGTCTCATCTTAAATAGTCTTGGTGGCATTATTACATGGGATATATTATCAAATCAAACAAGACCTGGTCTAACAAGACAACGCATTGAGTCTTATTCAAAACTTGATTTAGAATTCCCAACACTTGCCTTTAAACCAGATTATTTGTTTGCAGTGGGTAGTCCTCTAAGTGCTTTCTTAACTGTACGAAGCCAAGATCCTAGATTGTACAAACCTGATCCCTCCATTATTTTTGAAAACGTTTTTCATCCCTTTGACCCCTTGGTACAGTAAAAAAAAAACACCTTGCATAAATTGACATGCATGATAGGCATATCGTTTTGAACCCATGTTGAACTCAGAATACAAACATCAACCTGCTGTCTTGGTGGAGCAAAGTGTACCTCAATTTGTGTTTCAAGATCAAGCGAGACAAGTGTGGACCAAAAGTTTGGATCTCATTGCTTGTGTATCAAGACCCTTTTGCCAAGACAAGGAAACCCAGAACACAAGTGTCTTGGCCACATTAAAACGTTGTTTTTCTTATTCCTTTGGCTTTCATCCTTCTTTTGAAGTCTGTCATGAACAAGAAGATGAAAAGTTGGAAAGTGGCAAGAAACGACGCTTTGAGGATTTGCTTGATGGCGCTCGTAAAAGGAAGCGGGAAAACGAACTCTTAGAGACAACAGTGACGCGTGGCATTAAGCATAAAGACAACAGCGATACATGTCATGAGTTTCTACCAAGACGTATTGACTATGTACTTCGACCTGAGCGATTTTTGGGAGTAGCGAAAAACAAGTATGTGAGTGGATTAACGGCTCATTTTTGTTATTGGACACATAATGATCTCATGTGGCATATGGTGTGTCAACTTGATGGTATCAGTTCAGAAGCCAATTAGAATTTTGTAGTAGAGTTTATTATACATATATTAAATCATATTATCCATAAAAGGTGTACAAAAGGGTTGAGAATAACCAAATGAAGTGTGTGTAGAGGCTGTAGAAGTAGAAGACGAAGAGGGTTGAAGTACAAGTAGATGAGGAGATTCTAATGATTTAGTTCTTGAGTCTTGTAGATAATTAGATAACATCGGTTGTTGTTGAGCTTCTACAGCAGCAGCAATGATCATTGGGTCTACTAATGCGTTCAATTCTTGTTGGTTCGCTGATGTATTTAAAAGTGGCCATCCTTCCTCTGTCATGAACGTGTTAGGAAATGTAGGGAAATAGGAATGCATAAATTCATTGCTTGAGAAAAAGGGGTATTGTACTGCTGATGGCAATGGTGGCGGTGGTGGTGGTGGTGATGGGTCTTTTTTAAGTTTTGACTTTGGCTTTGGTCCAACTCCTTTTGTTTCTCTAGCAGTATTAGCCGCTCTTTTTCCACGAGCTACTCTTTGTTCTCCTTTTAATCGAAGTTGAGCTACAATAGACCGTGATTCTTGAAGGTCTTTTTCTGTCTTGGACATACGGGTGTTGAGTTGATCTGGGTCGTTTTGTTGAGCAAGGGAACGTATGGCTTCAAGATCATTTTCAATGCGTCTGATGCGGACTTCGAGTTGTGATAAATTATCAATAAATGGATCGATATTGGTAGGTTGCGTATTACGAGATCGACGAGAACTTGGATAAGCGCATAAGACACCTGTAGAGAGACACCGTGTACAATTGGGATGAATGCCGTCACATCGAACCTAAATTGATATCAGTAAATCATGCATTCATGCAAATCATGTTACCTTTTTATGGTGACATCGATAACATGCAATAGGCGCTCTAGGTCTTTTTATTGAAGAATGTATACGAGTATTGTCTTTTTGGTTAGCTGTCATATATTGGGTAAAATAAGATAAAAAGGAAATGCAGAAAACACAATGATTATTTATATTCATACCTCCCTTAAGTAGCTCGTTCAGCTTACAATCCTTATTAAGTGCTATTTGTTTATTCATTATACTAGTTTTAAAATGTTGACACTTTACAAGATTAAAATTAAAAAAAAAGGAGAATCATTAATAGTATTATACACAGATATAGAGAATTAACAAGCACAACTATTAGAACTTTGTCCATTAGTGCCTGTTTCACGTAAAAGGTCAAGGCGTGCACTACTTCCATTGCCTCCAGCAACTCGAGATCCATTTCTGTTGTTGGCAAGATAATCATGAGGAATATTTTTGGCTATCATTTTTTTTAGTCTTATTCTGTCAAGTGTTATACAACTTACCAATTTCGGTAAAGACATCATCTACATTCATCGAAGTTCGAGCACTGGTCTCAAAAAACAAGAGCCCTGCTTCGGACGCATAAGCAGAAGCTTCTTCATATGCCACTTGTCTGTTGTTTTGTTCATCTTCATGATTATCACTTTCAACTAAATCGAGTTTGTTGCCAACAAGAGCAATGACTATTTGTGAATTAGCTTGGCGTTGTAATTCTTTCACCCAGCCTTTAGCTTTGTCCAATGTAGACTATATCATGACATCAATACCATGTGCTTATCTTTTTTTTTCTTAGAACTTACGGCCTTTGTAATATCGTACATAACAATGGCTGCTTGAGCATTTCTGTAATACATAGGAGCTAAAGAATGGAAACGTTCTTGACCTGCTGTATCCCAAATTTCAAATTTCACAGTTCGATCATCTACTGTGCATTTCTGTGTCAAGAAGGCGGCTATAGATTGTCAATATCTCTTTGGTTGCATACATCTATACATACCACCAATGGTAGGCTCACGGTTTTCAGAATATTCATGGTTTACGAAGCGAATAACAAGACTGGACTTGCCAACAGCAGACTCGCCTATCCTTCAAGTTAAATAAATAGAAGCTAAACCATAAACAGTATACCCAACAAAACTAGTTTTACAGGGACTGGTCTTCTATCACTAGAAGCAGTAGAGTTGATTGTTGCCTGAGTAGGTGTAGACATTATTTTTGTATTATAAGAAAAAAGAAAAATAAGAACAAAACAAAAAAAAAGGAGAAAAATAATGTAGATACAAAAGACGTCACTTGTGTTTCACGGGAAAAGCATACAAATTGGGTTTCAATATGCAACAAAGGTTTAAAGAACATGACGCTATGATCCACTTTTCTCTTTTTTTTCTTCTTCTTCTCATACATCATCAACATGCCTCTCGTCACAATGGAAATGAACATGAACAATGCCTTAAAAAAATACGAAATTTCTCCTGATAGTAAGTAAAAAAAAAAAAAAAGGTTGTTTGTTACAAGTGGATTGATTGTTTGTCTAGTTGTCCCCGAAAACTTTACTCCTTCTACTCTCTTGAGTGTAGTCTATCCTTCTGGTCAAGAAGCTACCATGGGTAACTTTATCAAGCCTTCTGATTCTTCTGAAGAACCCAATATTACATTTGTTGCTCCCGAGAAAGAAGCTCAATATACATTGATGCTGGTTTGTGTATTCGCCAAAAAACGCGTCCAGAGTTTAACGTATTTTCTAGGTTGATCCTGATGCTCCTTCTAAAGAAGACCCTAAATGGGGTCCTTATCGTCACTGGGTCATTGCAAACATAACTGGTAAGTCTTACAAGTGAATGCATGACATAACCATGACTTAATTGTGATCTAGCTTCTGGTGAACTCACAAATGCTAATGAATTAGCTGCTTACCAAGGACCTGCTCCCCCACCCAAGACAAAGGATCATCGTTATATTTTCATGTTGTTCAAGCAGCCTGAACTTAACACTTCCTTCACTGCTCTTTCTAAAGAATCCAACAATTGGGATTTCAAGAACTTTATCCAACAAAACAATCTCGAACTTATTGGTGTTAATTTCTTTATTTCTCGTAATGATGATAATTAAAAAAAGAGGGCATATAATATAATAATAATAATAATAATAATAAAAAAAAAGATGTTACATAATAGATGGTTTTCTTAAGTGATTGAGTTTTCCAGAGCTTAACAAACGTTCACGAAATGTGTTTTGTTTATCGCTCTCGTCTGCTGGGATAATAAAACTTGCAGCACCAGCATGTTGCCATTCGTCTACAGAAGCAGGCATAACCAAGGCAGCATGAGATGTGATATGAGTAGTATTTACAAGAGATGCATGAGGTAAAGTAGGTGAGTTACTTGTTGATGCTACAGGTGTATCATCCATAGCAGGAATTGAGATTGAATGATAGCCAAGTCCAGCATTGGCTGTTTGATGAATGTGATGCAAAGATGAAGGGTAAAGGTAAGATTGAATGTTATGCTTTGTTAACAGAGCTTGTTGTACTCGCAATTGCTCTTGAAGTAGCTCTAGTTGCTTTTGCTGATTTTTGTGAGCAAGCAGAGCTGCAGCAACTGTATTGGAAGGTAAAGCCTGTCTCTTGTGTGTCTTTTGTTGAGCTTTGCGTTTTAAGGCAGTCAGTTTCTCTCTAAGGACTTTGTTGCGCTTATCGAGCTGCTTGATATAATCAACCGATTTGAACAAGATGGTACTTTTAGAGTTATTGATATTCTTTAAGGTAGGAATGATCTCGGTCAATTCTTTAAAACCACCACGAATCGTGTTACGACGCTTTTGTTCTGAGGCAATGTGGTTTGCGCGTTTTTGATCATCGGTCAATAATTCTCGATTCTTGATTTCGTCATTCAACTTGGGTTTCTTTATCACTTCTTGTGCGTCTTGTTGGTAAGGTCTTTTTCCATTCCCATGACATAGGCCTGAAGATGAGGGCACCTCGTGATTTAGGATGATTTGTTCCTAAAAAAAACATTGAGTAACCTGCAAAAGGGTGGGAAATTTTACTTGTACCTTTTCTTTTTCAAAAATAGATTCCAAGAAATCAGAGACAGTGTCTTGTTCATCATGGCTCATGATGATGGGATCTTGTGGTTTGTCATACAAAGCAAAACCTGTAATTGATAGATGCGTTAGATACATTTATGCTAATTAAATAAACTAACCTTCTTCAAAAGGTTCAAGTTCATCATATACACTAGAGACAGAGCCTGCACGCCCAGTATATAGAGAAGGCAAAGAATCCCAAGCAGAAGAACTGCTAGATGTGCTAGTGACGCTAGAGGCTTTATGAGCTGGATCGTATTCCATTGTTTTTTTGGCCGTGATAAAAATAAATAAATAGGAGACAGAGAGAAAGAGGAGAAAGAGAGAGAGAGAGAGAGGAGAGTGTGCGTGTGTATGTGTGTGTGTGTGTGTGTGTGAGGCGAGAAAGAGGCGAGAAAGAGGCGAGATATTGACCGAAAACGCTAGAGGTTATAAATTCATTCAGTTATGAAAAACTTATAGGTCTTTTTTCAACAATAAAAAGGAGAAAAGGAAAAAGTTAAAAGAGAAAAGAAATTAAAAAGATAAAATGATGTCTTAAATATCCAAGCGTGTTGTGTAGCTGTTCGTAAGAGGCCCTTTGAACCCTTCTTAAACGTACACCCGGTTTTCTCCGCTTCAAACATGGCTCTGCTTGTACATTGCTGATTCACTGAGTTTCACATGAACTAAAGATCTGGGCCATTTCAGTTAAAGAGTGAAAAAAGAAAAAAAAAAGGATCCCGCGGAATGAAAGAGAGAAAAAGCTACAGGAATTTTTTTTTCAAACTAGTGCAACCTGCCCGCAAATTTCATAAACTGTAATGAAAATGGTGCATTGGCATTAATACTTGGTCATCAGTAATGACCAATTGAGCAAAACGTGGGAGATAATATTAAAAGGGGGAATAGACAATTGCTTGTTATTTTCGTGAAACATGGTGTATTCTTTTCTATACACTTCTTTTTGTATTTCTAGATGCCGTTCATAATGATGAGGTATTTAAGTTCGGCATGGGATATTTCAGCATATTTTCCATGTAGGCCCCATATTGCCATTTTGAACTACCCCACGTTTTTAGACCAAATCAATTTAAAGCGGTCTATGAAAAGGCCTTTACTTCCTCCCGTCAGTTGTGAGTTGTTTTTTTATTTTTCTCACAGTTCTTCCTGAAAGGATATAGGTTTAGACCGTATGAGATGATGACTGTCGAGAGAAAGAATTGTCTTTTCTTCTGTGTTACCCTGCTCTGATACAAGAGGTTGAGAAGGGTACCATGATTGACGCCATGATGGTTACCAAGGAAAGAGTCAGGCACGGTTGCTATGGATGATTGTTATCATCTGTTTCCATAGATGCATTCTTGATGAGATGAGATGAATAAAAATTGATACATCTTACCCCGCATTTTTTAATAAATCTCCATTTTAACCTTATTTATAGAAATTGTCAATGTTGTTCGGGTACCACATCGTCACATTTCGGGTTTTTGAGGAATCTTAAACAAAAGTATCAACATGAAGTCAAGCGCAAAAGGAACTTGTAAACAAATCTTTCAGTAAATATAAATATCTCTTGTTTTTTCTGGTATTTCCCTCTTTCATTATTTTTCTTTTTATTCCCCTCTCTTTATGTTGATTACATCATTTTGTATTCTCTTTGATTTACACATACACATTTATAAGTCATGTCCGACCAATCTAATCTAAATAAAGTATTTCTTTGTCAAGATATTCCTGAGCTTAGAAAATACATGAAGCCCAATGGAAACACTGTTCATGTCGTACTAAAAAGAGCCAGAGAGAAAAGTACCAATTGCATGCTCCATTTTTTTTCGTTGGACACGTTCCTCGGAAGCAAGCTTCTCAAAGTTCATTAAAATAAATCATGCGTTTTCTTGTATTGGTCTAATAAGATGATGAAACCTTATAGGGGAAAAAATTGTTTTATATTTAGATCTACGTAAAAAGATTTAGCTCCTTTTTTCATTGTATATATCTGAGACTCTAGTAGTGAAAGCCACCATGAAGATAACATAGAAATGTCTACGTATAAGCACTGGATGACAAAGATAAATAAACGACTACTGTGGCGCGTTTGAATGAACCAGGAGTGCCAAGCAGCTGTATTTAAAAGTTGTTTTTCGATCACAACAAAAGTAGCTTTAATTGAACTTTATGTTATAGTAGGATATTAATCGCATACTGCTTTTAGTTTTCAAGGTTTATTCATTTGGCTTTGCTCATCATGCAAAAGGTGTAGGTTTAAATATTCGTAATCCTGTGTCCAAAAGTGACCTATTACGGTTCTTTTTAAAATAAAAAACCATCTACATTTAGAGAAGCACTGACTGAAAAACATTATATATCCTCATTGGCATAATATACATTTGATATGCTACAAATGACTGTTATAACATAAGCAATGCAAACCGAGTACTATATCATTTGATAACTCTTTTTCAGGGGAGTATCCCATCCAATCTAAAAATGACTATTTTATACAATCATAATGATATCTGCAAGCCTTGAAATATGCCTACTCTTTCCAATTTATCGTACAGAAATAAATCATCAATTGTAGCAAGGAATGCGTGTAATTGACACTGTACGATTTTTTTTCTGAAGCCTTTAGTTCTTATCACTGTACTAGACGCACTTGTATTTCTGCATTGATTAAATTAGAATTATTTTAAGGCCAGCTTCTACGAATGCATCTATCCACAGTCTCTCTTTGACTCGTATATCTTGGGCGGCATCAAAGTTCTTTTCATGCAAAAAAAAAAAAAAGCAACAACATCGGAGATTAAACTTAAAAAGAATAAAGACATAGGCTCATGGATCTTTCGCGTAAAAATCAGAACCATACGTTTCCAACCACAGCAATAAGCTCTGGCAAGAAATCATCTTAGCAAACCGGTTACTGCTCCTGGGATAAAATAGTATCGAGTAGTGCTCGTAAGATTTAGTCCTTTCGACCTATTATGATTACTCCAAGTGTCCCTGCAACAAATACAATTACTACGGATGTGTCTTTGACCTCTGAATCCAACACTCCTTCACCTATTCAGCTCGTACAACCTTTTTTGAAAGGAATCGAGAGAAACAGTATTTTAATCGATGTTACAGATTTGAAGGATCAGCAAACCTTGTTTGATGCGCTACAGAATTTCAATAAGGACATGGAAGGAAATGGAGGTTACGAATGTTGTGAACATATAGAATCTATATGCATATGATGATCTGACATTAAATAAGTCTTCAATTACATACTAAAATATATCATAATCAACTTACATCAGAAATAGACATAAAAGAACCTCTTGTACTGAATAAGACAATGTATCTTTTTAATAGATCAAGACTTATAACCGAAATCTATAATTTACATTATTTAATTAATTTAAAGTAGTCTATGATAATAGAGACTCAGTCATTTGCATGGACTCTACTACTACTTACTCCGACGTCTCTTCATATAGAGAATGAAGGGCTAGAAAAGAGATATCTTTTTTTGGGATAATAAACCTATATAAGTTCTAATCGACTTCTTTGTCTTTATCTTCTCTCTTACATCACAACACTGGGAATAAGGGTGGGGGACAACATTAACTCCTTTACTATTTTAATTATGATATCTAACACTTGTCGAATAACTGTTGCGACACTCAACTGTCGCAGTCTACGCAAAGCATACTCTCCTTTACAACAAAAAAAAAATTATACGTTACTTAAGATAATTGAAATATGACATATTTGCATTCCAAGAAACACACGCAGAAAACAATTCAATCATTCAACAACTCAATACTCAATTTCAAACAAACTCTAGTATATGAACTCAAAATTGCGGTATAGTATCTCTCAATCCCAAATATATAGTGCGATCAATATGCATTGATCCTTCGGGAAGATATGTTTTGGCAGAAGTTTACTCAGCTGATACCGTAACAGAGGATATCAACCGCACCCTTCCTCTCCTTTCGATTCTTAATATATATGCTCCAGCTACCGGCAGCGCACGAATCAAAGAACAATTTTTCCACTCTGTATTAAATAACTCTACTCTGCACCAATACCTACCTAACAAATTGTATAGCACCGTGATTTTAGGGGATTTCAACTATCGCTGTGATATAAGAACAATGGACGGTATAGTACGTGGCCCTCCTCCAACATGGTCCTCTTTGCTGGACTTGCAATATCATGATTGCTTTAAAGACGAGAAACAGACTACATTTAAAAGAGGAGATTTACGCTCGATCATCGATTATATCTTTTGTTGCAATCGACTTGGATTCTCAATTAATCGAACAGAACAACTTTATTTGACACCCGAATGGACTGATCATGCCATGCTATCTGTTACATTTAACCTTACGGTAGAATCTACAAAAGGGCCAGGTGCATGGAAAGCGGACCCCTTTCTTGCTAGAAGAAAAAAATTTAGACAACAGTTAGCTGAATAACAGTCCATTTACACTCATCAAGAGAACTGTGATTGGATTAAGCAGAAGGTCAAGGCATTCATCAAATCCTTTCAATTGGAAATTATTAACTGGCGGAAAAAAACAACTCACTCGTTTACAAAGTAAACGTAATATGATATTACGTAGATAGAAGCATTTCTAGACTCAGGCTTGGAGACTACATGTGATTGAACAGCAAATTTCAAGCTTACAACAAGAGCAGGCCGACTTAGCCATGCTTCGCGCTAGAAAGACATGGAGAGAAAAGAGTGAGAAATCACCTGGTTACTTGAAGGCATTGGTGAAACAACGGGAACAGCAGAAATTGATTGGAGATTTCACAGACCCCGTTGTTGTGAGATGAAGAGAAAATAGATATAGAGTAAGAGAAAAGGTAAGAACACAGAGAAAGTCCGTTAGAACTTGTATAGGCTTTTATTTCCCAAAGAAATGTTATCTTTCAATTGCTATAAAATATCGAGGTATTTATACTTTTTCTTCTCGGTCAAAATATTGTTTTGGGGTTAGCTTCTTGACTACGGATTGATTTGTTAGATCAGGAGCAATTAAGAGAAATGCCTTTAGAGGAAGTTGTCAGCTCAGCCAAGAGTACATGATCTAACCTGAACTTGAATAAACTATTACATATTTGTCAAATGCCAATGCTAATGTATTTGTCAGCTCTAACTGTCACTTTATGAGGGCCATTAATAATAACAGAGTCACTAGGTTCATAATCTCTGACTATGAGGATGATGTAGTATTTCTAATAGAATGAGTGAATGTCAGTGACTATAGATCCATTGCAATTGCCATAGATGTGATCTGGTTTTTTGCCATGATCATCATTTATTGATCTACGCATACGAATTCATATATGTTCACAACATCAGCCTATATCAGTCTGTGTCAGTCTGTGTCAGTCTGTGTCAGCCTGTGTCAGCCTATGTGATTCTAAGTTAGCCTATATCAGTTGTGGTGTTTAGGTTGTGAAAAGAAATATAGAAAACAGAAAAGACAACAAAGAAATACAGTGAGACTGTTCAGTACTTCTTTATTACAAAAATAAATGATAATCCTCTAAAATATATCTTTTCCAGGTTGTCTTTTATACTACCTGATTTATTGACTAATTGTGATTATTGATTATTGATTACTTAACACTTTGACAGCTTGTGCCTGGGAGTTGACTATGTAGATTCTCCTTTAATTCTTCTGGTTATCTAAAAGTTACCATTATGGTTTCCTTATTTGTAAATATCTATATTATCCCAGTTATCGTTATTTACTGTCATTATACAATGCTTACCTTATATTTATGATGTATAGTGCTATAAGTGATTATTTATTTATATGATGAAAGACTATTTACTATATTTTGTATTGAAAAGTGCTCAGATCATCACAGGAGGATCCACAGAGGTTCGTGAAGATGGAAAGAAGCAAGAATTTTTGGAATGACCCAATGTAGGTCTGATCCAACCGAAATGAGGTAAAGTCATGTGTGAGTACTTCCAAAAAAAAAAAGAAAGCGAGTCTTCTAAGATGAAAAGGTCGACTTGATTTGAGCATTGTCTTCAAATCTGGGCTCAGAGGTCCTTATACACCGTAATCAGTACAAAGGAGGCCCATTTCAGCGGATACTGACTATTAGAGGGGTACTCTTTGTAGTATTTTTTGACGTATAAAATACACGCGAACAAACTATATTATAACACATGCTATTTTTGAGGCCAGAGCGAGTAGCTTTGGATATTGCAAATGATGAATACCATACAAAAGGAGGATTGTCTATTTTAAATGCCATTTCCTTTTTATCTGGGGCACCAGACTCACACTCTAATTTGATCAGCATTCTTTTTCTGTTTGCCAAAAGCTCAAACTGTATTGCTGGATCCAGGTACAGCTGTATATGTCTGATACTGCTACTTTGTAAGCCTTGGCGGCAAACAAAATCCATGATTATGCAGCTATATGAAAAAAAGATTGCTATATAAAATAGTGCTGTTATTACTGTGTCAACTCAATACACTAGGAGATCATAGATTATATGTTTCTGTACTCGATCATGTAGTCTCTATACCTCTAAAGCCCTCAATAAGCCCTTAAAACAGGGGTTTAGAAAGTTAACTGAGTATAACTGAGTCTGAATAATGGTCAGGGAACTTATCAGAATATAAAAACAGGTTCCCACCCTTTTTTTCTTTGCTTTCTTTGCAGCGTGTTTGTTTTCTGTCCTTTCAGGATACTGTACCAAACGTACTTGAGGGGGGGATTTACCACCTGGGTACAAGTGCATTCTCTGTCAAGATAGTCTGCCTTTTTTTCACTAAACGGGTCTTTGCCGAATTTGATAGAGAGTAAAACAGACGCGTGTAGAGGGTTAGCTTATGGTCCTGTCCGAGGGGGTATTCCATCTTAGTTATGCGCACTGGCAGTCCAAGTCCAAATATTCCCAACGCTGGAAGGCTACTATCTTTTCTTGGCACCTTCTTCTCACTTGTGGGGAGGGAGGGGAACCTATCGGATAGTAATAAGTTTAACCCTATTCGTGGTATCTTGGTAGTCTCATTTCTTTGTGTGTGTGGCTATTAGGGTATTGCAGCAGTCTTGGTCGTTTGCTACTGTGATAGTGCTAGAAAGCGGTAGTGAAGGTTACTGGGATTGATAGTCATTCGCCTTTTCTTTTGTGAATGCCCTTTAGAGGGGCTTATTTTAGTCTGATGGCTAGAGTAGTCTTTCTAAAGTTAAGCTTCACTTTTGAAGGGGTATCTGTCTATTCGTAGCAAGCTCTATTCATTTAGGGTCGACTATCGGACAGAGTAATGGCTTTTTATATATAGTGTTCGTCCATTCATTCGTTTGAGCGGATCATCTATTGAAAATGATAGGCATTCCATTTTTTTTGATAGTGTGAATACTATAGTTGGGATTTGGGAGGCTTTGTGCGTACGCGCACCATCTTTTTGGGAACTCAATTGAACTGGTTTAGGTCCTCGTCCTAGTTCCTGGAAACAAATACTCACAGTATTTGGCTAAAGTACCAGTTTCTTTTTTATCTTTTTATTCAATAAAGTATATACACTAGTATTTAAAATAATTGATAACGCGTCTTTTCTTTTTCTTTTTTCTCTGTCCTTCACTTGTTGTATGCTACAAAAAAAACATGCTTATTGACTATCATTAAATCAGCAGCCCTAAATTCTGTAGCTAATCATTGCTGCAACGTTACTTATTGATCATAAGCAAGTATTTGCCACAAAAAGAAATAAGGATCCTCTTTTTTTTTTTTTGACTTAGAGGCTGTCTGTGTATAACTCTTTTTAATTGTGTGCTAACAGTTCTATTGAAGGGTTGTATGTAAAAGCAAGATCAAAAGAGAGAAACTGTTAAATCTCGGCTCTAGAATGACAGGCATTTGTAACAGATGTCCTCTAAGCAATGGCTTAGGTATTTACAAGTAGAAGCTATCATAACCTTGGAAGCTCTTGAGTCCAAAGAGAGCATCTTTGGACATGATAAGCATCAAATGTCTTGTAGGAGAAGGGCTGGATATTTCAAACACCAACATTTTCTTCTCTGTTTCTGCTTGTCCTGGGTAGTAAAAGTCATTAATTTGGTTAAAAGTGTCAGAGTTTATAAGAAATAATCAAGAGATGCATTGAGTAAAGCTATATAGCTTAGTATGGCGCATTTAATGGTGTAAAAAGTGCAATAAAGCTGCCATGAAAAAGATGAGAAAAAGATGAGAAAAAGATGGAAAATGTATTCTCGCTTTTGGACGATAGCATACACTTTTTATATACGTATTGCAAAATTAATACTTTTACAGTACTTTATAGCACTATGGAGGCATTTCTCGCTATGTATTGTTATAGTAAAAGTCTTACGTATCTCTGACAAACGACGGCTTTACTACCCCTCGACCACTTTTTCGACTGAAAGCCAATTTTGTATTCAATTTCTGACCCAAATATTTTTGTGTGTACGATATAGTCAAACGTATGGAATTTGGCGTTTTCTCGAAAACAAATGTCATTATTTTTGTCTACTTTGGTAAAAGCAATTGTTGGAATTAGCTAACTAGAGCTGGTGTATTTCTTTTGATTTCAGAGAATTTCCTTTTTCATTAGACAAAGTTATTTTTAATTGTAAATGATTTCTTACTCCAAGATTCCTGTTGCATTACGTTTGTCAACGGTTGATGAATTCACTCAAACTAGTATGTAGATGAAGAGAAATATCTTTAGCTCATAGCTTTAGAGGATAAAGTAAATGCAGATTGCAACATCGTCAACATCGTCAACATCGTTATAACACACACAAAAAAAAGTTTGGATATGAGAAAACTGTATTTTTTTTTACGATAAAACATTGGGATAATCCTGACTGATAATTTTTTCATTAATTACTAATTTGTCATATAAACGGTGCTAATGGTGATTAGGTATCATTTTTTGCTCTGTGGTATATATTCTTCAAGCTATGGGTATTTGAGTACTCATTGAACAGACCTTTTTTCTTTCCATCTTCCCAACAGGCAGACCAATTCATTCGACCTTTGTTATTCTGCTCCAAGCATCGATGAATGCAATCAAATCTTTGTATTTGGAATTTATAGAACTAGAAGCGCCGTCAAAGTCTTTAGGAAGCTCCATTGGTGTTGTTGCTTCTGGAGGTGTATTGTTTAATTCTTGCTTCATTGCGTCGTACTTTAAGATTGCGCTATAGTGCCGTCCTGCTTCTGCGTATTGATGCGCTCGGCTGGGGTTGTCGAAAACGGTTGTCATTATTTTCTCAAATTGATTTTGTGTTGCTTGACAAATCGTTTGTAACGCTTCGACTTTATCATTCTCTGTTTTTCTGTCATTTTTGACCATTTCCATTGTGACAAAGTACAGTTTCGTATTGGTTGGGTCGTCCATCAGTCAATACTGATTATGTTTTGCTGGCCAGAGCTCAAGAAATGGACAAAGACAACCAAAGGATCCAATTTCTTGGTATCGTGATTGTCAATAAAAGGATTGACGTTCTGTTTGGTCAGCATGAAGCAACTAGTTGCGAAGTGGCAGCAAGGTGTTTCTAAGAGGTTAGACTTGTTTTTGACAGGTTCGAGGAGGTCTCTCAGAGTTTTGGACTTTGTTTTGAGGTACAGACGATGAATAAAATTGATGAAATGTGGAAACGCTTGTACACATTCAGGCAGTACTGGACGGCTCGACATATAAACTCGCGTGTCACTGTTGTTGTATTTCTGCTACTACAGGAGGTAAGTCTACAAGATCTGATGAATGAGGTATATAAAGAGCTTCACACTCTGTGCCATCGATAAACATATTGTCGCCAGCCTTATAAGTGCCTGAAGGAACTCTCAGAAGCGAAGTGGTGATCAGATCAATAATAAACTGATCCTGGGCTACTATTCTGCTAATTTGATCTTTATCTGGTATGTAACCGCGTGGTAACCTGTATTGTATTAACTCTTCTGGTACTATATAAAAAAAGGCATTGTTAAAAAGTTTCAACTTGTGGATTTCTATATAACCTTACTCGTTCTCATGGCACTTTGGTCTTCAAAAAAAAGAAAAGGTAAATACTGTTGAAATGTGATGTAAGTGGTTTTTCTTTTTGAAAGAGAGAAAAGAATATTATTTCTTTTTTAGAAAACACTTTTTACTAATAGTTTAGTCTTCCCGCTTATATAGAACCATAGATATTGTATCCTTTTATATGCTTTTATAGCTTTTTGCAATGTATCATGGTATATATACACATCCATCAAAGACAATTACTCTTTTTTACTTGTATCGTTTATTTTGGTTTTTAGACTCGAAGAAAATGTAGTGTCTGCTTTGTACTTGTTTGTGTCACCGAAATAAAACATATGTTTACATCATGTCATCTTTTCTTCATCACTAAACTGATAGCTAAAGATAACGTATAAAACTAATTTATAGTCTATTCACTTAGAAAGAGAAAAAAGCAATCAGTATGAGTTTTATAGTGAGCAAAAAAAAAAAAAAAAAATCGATGAATTTTTCAGGGTCTATTTTCAGGGAAAAGTAAGCCACTGTCCTACGGATTTAAAATGTGGTAAGCGTATGCATAATGCACGGATCAACGGAAATACTTTTTGTGCTCAAGATAGAAAAAATAAAATAAAATAAAATAATAATAATAAAAAAAAGACGATAGTTAGTTCATCTTTAGGCACCAGTAATCAATACTTTCAGTTTGTGTGTAAAATAGCTTTCTTTCTTTCTTTTTCTTTCTTTCTTTTCTTTTTTTTTTAAACAGCTAAACTTTTCTTTGCTCTTTTGGTTATTGACATTTTCATATGAATAAGAAAGTTTGTTATTGTTTCAGGATGATCTTCTCATGGAAAGAAAAAAAGGAAACTGGGAATGATTACAATTCAAAGTCCTCTATTACGAAATACATTCCGCATTGATTTATATGATAAGTAAACTTCCCTTATCTTCAAGGGCAAAGAATAATGAATTACTCAATAGAAACACAGAGGATGAGCACATAGCAAAAGAGAAAGAAAATAAGCAAAAGGGAATGTTTTCTGTTTATAGAACTGACAAGTAGGGTGTTCATCGCATGTTTTATGCAACTAAATAAGTTTATATGTAACACAAGATTGGGCGTCCTCTCTATGAGATGATTCTATCAAAAAAAACAAAAACCAAGGAAGGAAGGTCAAGGAAAGGAAAAGAAAAAAAATACTTATAAAAAGCACGCAGCACTCTTTTTTATTTCTTTATCTTTTCTTTCTGTTTCTTTACTTTCTCTACTCTGGTCTCTTATGGTCTCTTATGGTCTCTTATGTCTCTCTCTTTTTGGTTTGTGCCTTATCTACTTCAAGAACGCGTCTACTGACATCTCTGTTCTCTGAAGTTTTCTCTTTACTTGATCCGTTTTCTTTGCTTGGTTCTTTCTATTTGGTTTTAAGCAGCTACGTATTAAGGATATACTAGTTATCTGTAGTCTAACAATGATGTGGTGAAGGCTAGTGTAGTTGTTTTTTGTTGTCTCTTTCTGTGGTTCGTTTTCTGGTAAGTACCTTATTTATTTCAAGAACGCGTTTACTGACATTCTGTCTTTTCTAGGATTTTCTCTTTGGTTGGTTTTTTGAGTCTTTCTATTTTCATTTTGAGCGATTGTGTGTTATCTGTAGTCTAACAATGTGATGGATGAGATGGAATTGGCGTAGTTTTTTCGTGTTCTCTCTTTTTGTAGATCGTTTTTTGGTAAGTACTTATCTATTTCAAAAACGCGTTTGCTGATCTCTGCTTTCTCTAGGTTTTTCTCTCTATTTGGTTGGTTCTGTCTACTGGTGTTTCTCTCTCCGTGGCTTTCAGTGTTCGATCCTGATCGTTGTTGGCCTGTTATAGCCGATGATTTACTTTCTTATCTTACTGCCCGAGAGTAAGGTACGGGGTATATAGGCGTTGGTCTGCAGCGGGAAGAAGGGTAGTTGCTGGGAGTTGTTGGGATCCTTCTTTAATGATCTGGCATTCCCCAGTGTATCGCGGGCCTGGGAAGGTGTCAGTGAAGGAAGTGAGGGAGTACGAGTCAGTTGCCTTCTCGTGGCTACTCCTGTGAGTAACTTCTCTATGAAGTGAAACTAAAGACTGACATTATTTAATAAAGATTTGCTTTTTTATTATTATTATTATTATTACTTTTACTTTTAGCAATGAGTAAACACGTTTACCTTTTCCATCAAAATATTCTATTCAAACAAGCTACTTTTGCACATACCTTATCCATGTATAAAAGCTATCAAAAAAAAACAAATACTTTGACAGTAAACTCCCCCAACACAATACATATAGATCTTTGTCTTTTTCTTCAATAAATGAAGATAGCATAAAGCCCTTTTTAACCCGCATAAACACTTTAGATGCCTACAGAAAATGTTTAGTAACATACAGGATACCTTTGGAGTTAATCTAGACAAAAAAAAGCGACTTGCAAAAAATGGTTAAAGACCTCTTAAAACGAAAGGGTATTTATTCATGAAATTCTTAATTTTGACAACTTTGGATCTTCTTTTGGGCGCTACAGGACGAAAAACAGAGCTATTGATAAGTCCAAGTACTCAAAATGTGTGCCAAAAGCTCTTGTTTTGGTCAAATGTATTTGTCTGCTGGCTACACTACCAAAATAGCAAGATGTAGACGAGAAACCGCAGAAACATCTTTGCTTATTTGTTCTATATTTTGGCAGTGAAGCTGCTGTTTTATTTCCAATGATGAACTCAGCAATCAAATTTCTACAACTTTCAATATCACATCAAAGCCCAATAACCGTGTCTTTAGACACTTCTCTGCAAAAGCTGAAAAAGAAGAAGCTCAATTTCTCATGCGGCTGGACAAAGAGTTAATGTTGCTCTACTCCAATCTCCGTAAACAACTATCCTGTATGTCCTATGTCCATTTACCCCTTACAGTTACAGGATGAATCGTCTATGCTTCTATTTTTCTATACTTTTTGGCACTCCAGATACTGTATACTGTTACTCAAACATCCATTGTTAGCATATTCTATATGACATCTAGAGCAAAAATGCTCAGATCACAGCTTAAATACATTATTCTTTGATGCATTATTACTCGACAACCAGACTATCTTTGGAGTCGAGGAATCGCATGGTACCATTCGTTTAGCTGTTATGTGACATTTAGTTTTTCTTGACCCATGGGAGATCCACGGAGGTCCGTGAAGATGAATGACCCAATGTAGGTCTGATCCGACCGAAATGAGGTGAAGCCATGTATAAGTACTTCCAAAAAAAAAAAGAAAGCGAGTCTTTCAAGATGAAAAAGTCGACTTGATTTGAGCATTGCCTTCAAATCTGGGCTCAGAGGTCCTTATACACTGTAATTAGTATAAAAGAAGCCCACTCCAATAGATATTTACTTGTAAGTAGGTATTTATTTATGCACCATTCGATGCATCAGTTGCTCACGAGTAAGAGTTGCTATAATACATGACATTTCTGAGGTCAAAAAGAGTAACTATTGAGTATGACAAATGGTGCATATCATGCAAGTGGGAGATTCGATGTTTCAAATATTGGTCTCTTGCACTCTGTTTAAAGACCTTTTTTTTTCTTTTTACTGACACTCACAAACCGCAACTGCGTTCCGATCGAGTTGAGAGGAAGACTAAACACCAGTTAGACAAAATCAGAGCGTAGTGTTATGGAATATGGAAGAAAACATCACTGTAGTTTGGCAAATGAAATGAGTCCTGATCAACTCATACTAAAGACGAAAGACAACAAAGCAACATACTTGAGTGGACAAAGCTGTTGATGCAAGTGGAATATACGCTTAAATTTTATTACACAAATACGACAACAAAGAAAAAGGATATGCACAACACAAACACATGATGGGTTTGATCAGGGTAATCAAGCCTTTTCAGGTCTTCTTTTTGTCTGAACAAGAGTTGATCAGACTCTCAAACAGACACAAGAAAAAAAAATATGGCAAGCTTTTTAAGAGGTATAGACAAAACAAAGAAAAAAAGTTTTAATGTTAAGATTAATGAACAAATCTTAAAAAATGTCTTCTGCTACAGTATTATAAACCAAATGTTCATGCAGTCAGCCAAAATTAAACACAATAAAATTGTCAGAGAGTCAGTCTTGAAAGAAAGGCAAATATACAAATTCTATTCTTTTGATTTTATAGCATAAATACAACAGAATTTTGGTTTTCTGTATTGATGTCTTGTGCAATTTCCTACCAAAACCTTTTGGAACAAAAGTCGCTTGTAATGTTTTACAGTAATGCTGAATGCATGATTGTAAACCCAAGCAGTCACTTATTAAGCCTTTGCAGAAAAAAAAATATGCACAATTTTCTTTCAGATTCTATCAACTACGCAGATGAACCAACCACCAAATAACGACTCTTTTGAATCAGAACTCGAAGCTATTGAAAACGCCATGAACTCCATGATGCAAGGTGCATTTTCCATGATGTTTCGAGAACTGACAAGTGGATCTGGTATATTTGAGTCGATCGAGTCCTCATTCCCGGGCATGACTGAGCAAGTAACTACAATATTAGACGGTAAAGCATTAGATACAAAATACGCTGGACATCAACAAGACGATGTATTTGGAGGCAATGATTTTAAACGCTTAGCCAATAAATCCAAATACAAAAATCTCGAATCAATTCAGGAAAAAGCAGTAATGCCCAACCATTCAATATTTGATCTTCTACTCCCACATGCAGTATTCACCCGGCAAGACAACACTACTTCTACTCCTCTTAACAACCATAACAATCATACTCAAAATGAGGTAATTTAAGATTATGTGATGATTTAGGGCGCCTTTTTAAATTTGATACAGAATGGCTGGTCTTTTACAAGCTCGTCTCAGCGTACTATCTACCATCCTGATGGCACACAAGAGACAATTTTAACCAAGAAAACAAACGGAAACACAGAAACAACAACTTACATTCGTTATCCTGATGGTCGTACTGAAGAAACCAGAGAACAAAAAAGCTCAATTTGGAATAAACTTTGGTGGAAATAAATAATGCATGTTTCAGGCAGGCTAAATGATTTTACCTCTAAATTGATCAAGTAAGCATAATTCTTAAAATAGTTAATGCACACTGCGTTGCGAAAGTAAATAAAAAGTTGCATTTTCTTACTGCTTCTTTTTTTTTTCATCTTATTTCTCTCTCTCTCAAAAAATGTTGGATAAATACGACCCTTCTTCTTATAACCACCAATACGCTCAAGTAAATGGTATTCGTATGCATTATGTAGACGAAAATGCCTCTTCTAACAAGGCCTTGTTGCTTGTCCATGGTTGGCCCGATCTGTAAGTATAAGAACGCGTCTGAAGATAACCAATTAATGTTTGTGTGTGTTTGTTAGTTGGATTGGTTGGAGAGAACAGATCCATTTCCTTGTTCAACTCGGTTATCGTGTCATTGTTCCCACTCTTCGTGGTTTTGGTGAAACTGTAAGGATGCACCCGAAGACCCCGCTGAATACGGTTTTGGTACTATCTCTAAAGATTTAGCTGGCCTTTTGGACCATCTCCAACTTCCTACTGTCACAGTCATTGGTCATGATTGGGGAGGAGCTGTTGTCTGGCGTTTCGCTCAATTTTACCCTGACCGTGTCAGAGCTGTTGCTAGTTTCTGTACTCCTTATACTGCACCTGCTACCCAACCTGTCACTTTGGAACAAATCGTCCAAGTCTTGCCCAATTTCAAATACCAACTGTACTTAAACACACCCGAGGCTGAAAAGGACTTGAATGAAAACGTTGGCAAGTTCTTCCGTCGTATCTTCCGCCCTGTCGCTGAGATGAAGGAACCTTTGATTGATCCCGAAACCACTCGTTTGGCTGAAGGTCGCTCTGATATGGAACGTTCTGAAAAGGTACCCGAAAAGGTCATGAACTACTATATTGAATGGTACACTAAGCGTGGTGCTCGTGGTGGTCTTAACTGGTACAAGCAAACACACAACAACTATGTTCAATGCAAGGATTTGGATCCTATCATCAAGAAGCCTGCCATGATGGTCCTTGCTGAATTGGATAAGGCTTTACCTCCTAGTATGGCTCAAAAGATGCCTGAATATATTCCCGGTGTTGAAATGCACCTTGTTCCTGGTTCTGGCCATTGGATCTTATGGGAAAAACCTGAAGAATGTAACCAATACTTGAAGGATTTCCTTGCCAAGGTAGACCCTGTTTCCTCCAACAAATTGTAAATGTAACACTATTTTTTTTTTCTTTATTAAAAATCAATGGAAGGTGAAGCAAAAGCACCTGCAGCCAAACATAAATTACGTTGTGTAAATTGTACAGTATAAATAGGCGTATTTTTAGTTGGGAATACAGACAAGTGATCATGACTACATAGGTAGCGAATAAGAACAACAAAATCAAAGACAAAAAAAAACTTACCTTTCTATTGAACTCTTTTTCTTCTTGAGATCCATTACTGCCTTGATTTTATCGAGCTCCTTTTTTTCTTTTTGCTTGCCATTCACCTTGTCATATTTTGTACGCTTTGGATCTATATCTGCATTTCTTGTATCGTAAGGAGTGTCTTTATTCACATCCCAGACACGCACTGTTCCATCTGCACTGCCAGAGACTAACACTGTACTATCTGAGTTAAAACTGACTGAATAGATAAATCCAGTATGGCCAGTCATGGACTTTAGTTTTTTGCCAGTACCCAAATCCCATAAGATGATTGACTTGTCTTCTCCTCCTGAAGCCATCAACCTGCCATTGGGTGAGACTGCCACTGTATGTATTGAGCCTGTGTGGCCTGTAAAGACACGTACACAACTTCCTCTTTGAACATCCCATAATCTTGCTGTTCTATCGCTTGATCCAGTTACTACATATTTTGAATTGGGATGGAATCGCACTGTCTATACAACACATCAGTCTATATAGTTTATCAGATCTACTTACATTCACATCAGATAAGTGACCAGCAAAAATACGTAATGGATTCACGTGATCACAACTCCATAAGCGAGCTGTTCTATCGTGTGATGCTGTAGCAAAATAAAAGCCATAAGGACCAAAGTCAATATCCCAGATAGGATAATTATGACTTTTGTAGACAACAACATTTTTGTATGTTTCTAGACACCATAAACGCACTGTAAAAGATGAGCCATTTCTTCTCCCGCAGTAAAAGTTTTTCTACTTGCCTGTTTGGTCTTCAGAGCATGAAATAAGGTATTTGTTATCATGACTAAAACTGATACCATAAATTGGACCAGAATGCCCTATGAGTTTCTTATAGTCTGTGCCTTCTTGTTCCAATTTGCCTTGTAGTTTTTTGCCCTTGAGACTCCATATCTTGATGAATGATTCAGAGAATCCACCTGCTACAAGTGTTGCATCTTTTGAAATCGTAATACAATTCAGCCTGGACATGGATAAGTCACTTTTTGTTCTCTAGGGGAGTATAACTTACTGATTATGCGTATTATAAAATGTACATAAACAGACACTTGGCAATGCTGCACTTCCTAATGCTACTCGCTTTCTTAAATCACTTAGAGATTCCAGTTCTGCTTGAATATCTGCACTATGGCTGTATGTGTATACTTAGTTATGTCTAGTGCATGTTATAGAATGTTGCTTACTGTGTTGGTAAATGGACTGTATCTAATAAAGTATCATCCTCTATTTCTTCTTCTTCTTTTTTCACTTTAGCCATATCTACATTCATCACATCTTCATCCTATACACTCTATGAGATTATGGACGAATGGTCTATTCTGATTTACCATAGATCCGCCTGCAGATGCTGGTGTTAATTTGCCTGTGATGATGTGTATGTTTAAATGATGCTTCACAATTCGTATCAGGCTCGAAAGCTGCTTGTCTTTGATGTACTGAAAGAACAGTTCAAATGGAATAGATGGTATACGAATTGAATATTTTGTTTCTAGATGGGATGGTGTGCTTGATGCTGCCATGATTTCTATATCCTCTTTGTGTGTGTCTAGATGATCATGCTTGTAATTTTCAAGTAGTTGATGAGCATGCTCTACGCGACCAGCTGATTTGAGATCAAGAAAAGTATAAATAAACAGTGGATATAACAAAGGGTACAGATCAGACTATATATATACATATACATATATGCTTTGTCAATAGACTTGTCATGTCAATCCATCCTTGTTTTTTTTACCTTGTAAATGTCGAGTGCACTTAATATCCATTCTCGAATAGTATCATAGGCTGCTATAGCAGATTCTGCATCAGCTTGTGCTGGGTCTTGTTTTATTGATTCAACATAGTCTGGTAAACACGTCTTTTCTGTAGGTATCGTTGATTTGAATTTATGTGTAAGTTGGTCAAGCGAAACAATATTATGGTCTGAAGAAGGCTCTTGTTGTTGTATAAACGCGTATTCTCCTTGATGAAAGCCCTTTTTTACAAAATAGTTTTGTAGGATATGGTTTATATCGTTATTGGAAGGTCTACTTGGGCTTCCCATCGGTGTTTCTACTTGATGAGAAGGCACTGACATGAGGTTATGAATAAAAGAATGGAGACGTCACTTTTTTTTTTTATTACTATTTACTTATTTCCTTATAAATTTTTTTTCTTGTTACTTTTTCTTTGTTTCTTCATGACAGGAAAGGACATATCAATACTTCAAGACTCTTTAACATACATCTTAAATACGCAACAAGAAGCAGATCTAAAAGTAGATCAACCTTATGAATCGATGAATGACATTCGAGAGGCAGCTATTTCCTATGCAAGAAAGCATAAATTTGCTGTCTCTACACTCAGAAGTGGGTCTCGTCAACTTGTGTTAGTCTGCAGACATTCAGGCAAATACAGAGTGTCCAAAACAAGAGAACAAGAGCAAAACAAAACAACCCGTAAAAAGCCTAGTCAAAAGATCTCTTGTCCTTTTCAGATCAGAGCAAAACCAACCACAGAAAAAAAGTGGATTATTTACAAGATCATTGATGAACATAATCATGAAATGGCTTCAGATATCAAGGCTTATGCTCAACATCGTAAATTAACACCAGAGTCCAAATCCATGATTATTAGTTTTATTGTTGCTGGTTATTCAAATTCAGCCATTATGGATCAACTTACATCAAAAGGCATACAGACCGTATTAAAGAAAGATGTAGCTAATTTGCGACAAACATATCTAAAGCAGCAACAACAACAACAACAACAACAACAACAAACAGAAATATACCAACCATGTACAGAATCATCTGTTGAATTAAAAGATCATTTATAGTAAATAGTTACTCAAAAAAGGAACAGTCCGAATTTACCCCCACTCTCCTTTATGTATAATAAAATTAATTCAAGGTGTATCTATTTTAAAGTCGGGAGGTGCACCTTCAGACTATATAGACATGATGAGTATTGTAAGCATAAATTCATCTCTAGTGTGTGAGTGTGTGTGTGTGTGTTTTACCTCTATTTTAGGTCTTCTCACATATTCGTCATAGACAGTATGTTCTGCAAAAGGTCTTTTACCTAGTAAATTCTCCATGTCTTCTCGAATCAACACTTCCTTATCTAAAAGCAACTTGGCGACTTTTTCAATACTGTCTTTCTTTTCATGAAGTAGTTTGGTGGCACGCGCATAAGCTTCATTGACCAAGTTTCTAACTTCTGAATCAATCAAAGTACCTGTCTTCTCAGAGAATGGCTTTTGGAATTGATTTTCATTCTGAGGATCACTAAAAGAAACAGGGCCCAGTTTGTCATTCATACCATAATTGGTGACTTGAGCATAAGCCATCTTGGTTACTTTCTGTAAATCATCTTGGGCACCTGTGGTGATTGTATCGAAGAAGATCTCTTCAGAAATACGGCCAGAGAGTGTCATGCACATTCGATCCAATAATTGCTTCTTGCTATAGAGATACTGGTCTTTAGGTAAATACTGAGCATAACCTAATGCAGCAGAACCTCGAGGAATAACCGATACTTTCAAAAGGGGATCGGCGTATTCAAGGAACCAACCAGCAACAGCATGTCCTGCTTCATGATAGGCTACTGTCTTCTTCTCTTCTGGAGATAACACGCGCGATTTCTTTTCAAGACCGGCAATAACACGCTCAATGGCGTCTTCAAAATCTACTTCTTCTACTTCTGATTTCATATGACGTGCTGCAATTAGTGCAGCTTCGTTACACACATTGTGAATATCAGCACCAGCAAAGCCAGGAGTCAAAGCAGCTAGTTTTCGTGCTAACACTGGCTTGTCTACCTTTGTCTGGATAGGCTTTAAATGAACCTCAAAAATCTGAGCACGGCCACTGATATCTGGACGATCAATCGTGATATGTCGATCAAAACGTCCTGGTCTCAAAAGCGCAGGATCTAGGACATCAGGACGATTGGTACCAGCTAAGACAACCACATGTTGGTTTGAATCAAACCCATCCATTTCGACCAACAATTGATTCAGTGTGCTTTCTCTTTCATCATTGCCACCCATTTGGCCTCCTTTACCTCTTGCTTTACCAATCGCATCAATTTCATCCACAAAGATAATACAAGGGGCATTCTTTTTAGCAGTGGCAAACAAATCACGTACACGAGAGGGTCCTACACCCACAAACATTTCCACAAATTCAGAACCAGAGACACTGTAGAAGGGCACACCCGCTTCTCCCGCAGTCGCTTTAGCCAATAAGGTTTTACCTGTACCAGGGGGGCCCGAAAGCACAGCTCCCTTAGGGATGGTAGCTCCCAATTTCTCGTAGATAGCAGGGTTCTTGAGGAAATTGACAAATTCCATGATCTCTACCTTGGCTTCATCGGCACCTGCCACATCTTTAAAGCTGACTTTGACTTGATTTTCTTGATTGAACATCTTGGCCTTGCTTTTACCAATACCAAAGATACCACCACTTTGTCCGCCAGCCATGCCAGCAGGACCTTTTTTGGTAATATAGTACAACATGCCTAGTAATAAAAGAGTAGGCGCAAAATGAAGGAGGGTTTGACCAAGACTGATTTCATCATGATAAGCAACAGGGATACGTTCATTGGAAGGCACACCTAATTCTTTTTGGGCTTCTTCTAGACTTTTTTCAAAAGCAGATACAGAACCAATGGAGAAATAAAAAGTAGCATGACTAGGAACACCATACGAACCAGCTTCTGATCTTAAATGGACACGAACACGGTTATGGTTCAATACTTCAAGACGATCCACGAGTCCCTTGTCAAGCAATTGGCTGCGAAATGTTTGCCATGTTAATTCGCGCGCATTATCAGGTGGTGCTGTCAATTTATACAAGACATAAGTGCCTACAACTGTGCCCAACAAGACATTCGTATTTGGTAGTTCGGGCGGTTTATTGTTATTGCTGTTATTTGGTTTTTGTGGTTGTTCAGATGGTTTTTGCGTATTTTTTGGCTTGGATTTACCAAAGAAGCCTTCAAAACCTTTAGGGACGTTAAAAGGATTTTCTTTTTGTTCTGTGGAGTAGAAATGATAACGAATACTGTTAGGTCGCTTTAAAAATGTAGCTGTATGCAAGCGTGTATTATTTAGAACAGCTCTTTTGTTGTTTGTGTTTATTAAACGTGAAAGCATAGTAAAAAAAAGAAAAAAACAATGTACAAGAAAAGGAAAAAATCGCCATACCCCCAGAGTTTATTTAGAATTTATGCGAACTGCGTAAAGCGGTGCTTTCTGCTGAGATATAAATATCCTCCCATGATATTGTGCTTATGCATCTACCGTGTCACTAGCTTATCGTATTCTGTTGTTATTAAAATCAGATAAAATATCCTTTGTTCCTTTTTGTTGTAGAGAACGCATATTTTCTAACTCGAGGTAATAAACAAAAATGAACTGAGACTAGAAGAGAACACTTTGTCCACTCTAAAAAAGGTAGTCATCTTTACATAAGCATATATTGATTTTGAAAAAGTAATTGATGAAAGCGTTCTAGAGAACTTTGGGATACGTCGGATTTCTCCATTCAATTTTATAATGTTCTTTCTTAATGCAAATAAAACACAATTTGCTTTATTAGCTTTAGTAAACATGCATTAAATAAATTTCAGCTTTGTCGGTGCTTATTCTGTCTAAAGCTGCTCTTTTTGACCTCAGAAATGTCATGTATTATAGCAACTCTTACTCGTGAGCAACTGATGCATCGAATGGTGCATAAATAAATACCTACTTACAAGTAAATATCTATTGGAGTGGGCTTCTTTTATACTAATTACAGTGTATAAGGACCTCTGAGCCCAGATTTGAAGGCAATGCTCAAATCAAGTCGACTTTTTCATCTTGAAAGACTCGCTTTCTTTTTTTTTTTTGGAAGTACTTATACATGGCTTCACCTCATTTCGGTCGGATCAGACCTACATTGGGTCATTCATCTTCACGGACCTCCGTGGATCTCCCATGGGTCAAGAAAAACTAAATGTCACATAACAGCTAAACGAATGGTACCATGCGATTCCTCGACTCCAAAGATAGTCTGGTTGTCGAGTAATAATGCATCAAAGAATAATGTATTTAAGCTGTGATCTGAGCATTTTTGCTCTAGATGTCATATAGAATATGCTAACAATGGATGTTTGAGTAACAGTATACAGTATCTGGAGTGCCAAAAAGTATAGAAAAATAGAAGCATAGACGATTCATCCTGTAACTGTAAGGGGTAAATGGACATAGGACATACAGGATAGTTGTTTACGGAGATTGGAGTAGAGCAACATTAACTCTTTGTCCAGCCGCATGAGAAATTGAGCTTCTTCTTTTTCAGCTTTTGCAGAGAAGTGTCTAAAGACACGGTTATTGGGCTTTGATGTGATATTGAAAGTTGTAGAAATTTGATTGCTGAGTTCATCATTGGAAATAAAACAGCAGCTTCACTGCCAAAATATAGAACAAATAAGCAAAGATGTTTCTGCGGTTTCTCGTCTACATCTTGCTATTTTGGTAGTGTAGCCAGCAGACAAATACATTTGACCAAAACAAGAGCTTTTGGCACACATTTTGAGTACTTGGACTTATCAATAGCTCTGTTTTTCGTCCTGTAGCGCCCAAAAGAAGATCCAAAGTTGTCAAAATTAAGAATTTCATGAATAAATACCCTTTCGTTTTAAGAGGTCTTTAACCATTTTTTGCAAGTCGCTTTTTTTTTTTTTTTTTTTTTTTTTTTTTTGTCTAGATTAACTCCAAAGATACCCCATATGTTAGTAAGCATGGTTTTTTTAGGTATTTGGAGTGTCTATGCGTGTATAAGTAGGTTTTACTCTCCGTTTATGGTTATATAACCCTGTGCGTTTGTCTGTTCTTTTAATGGATACAATCGCATCGAGACAATACTTCCATTTCAAGCGTCACAGTATTCTCTGAATGGTTCAATGGAATCAATGATGTCTTGCATTGAAAAGAGCGAGTTTATTATTTGTATACCTGATGAAATGCGATCGAATAATAAAACTCTTTTGACAAATAAGCTCAGTTTTTCTTTATGAAATGTCTACCGCTACAAACCTTTTGATATTGATTTGTATGCCAAAATGGCTGTTCCAAAAAGCAAGCATTGAGGATAAATAGGGTGTTTTTTCAAAGAAAAAAAAAAGAATACCTGGCAAGCTCATTTTAAGAAATCAAATCAATTCTCTAGTGTATATTCAAGAATAATGGAGAGAGTAACACATCTGATGATCATGGGCGTATGCCTATTTGCTTTCATAGGATTACAAACAACAACAATCAGCCAAAAGCTCTCTCTCTCTCTCTCTCTCTCTCTCTCTCTCTCTCTCTCTGAAAAAAAGAAAAGGACAGGTGTTTCTTCTTTTTATTATGATTATTATAAAGCATTCTTTTTCTACAGTTGATTTGATTATAACAATTAGATAACTGCAATTACAGCATTAAACACATAGAGTAATTTTTTTTTTCTTTCTTATTGACTTTCTTCACTATTATTAGCAGCAACTTCAGCTTCAGCATCTTGTTTATCTTTAAGTGCTTGATGTTCAGTAGATCGTTGTACAAGATGGTCAGGAGTAGACTCGGGTATGATATCGAAAATACGTTGACACAAAGATCGCTTGTCCTTCTTGTTCAATAGTACATTGAGTGAGTTCTTGCCCTTCCAGACAGGCAAAATCAAAGGTACCACAAATTTCACTTTGTCTTCTTCCTTGACTTCTGCTTGTTCATCATGAATTTGAACAATACAACAGCCACTTTCGATCTTGGCAAACTTTTCTCTGGCATCTTCTGGGAATTCATCCAAAATAGGGAATGCTTCCACAAGCAATACCTTGAGTGCCTTCATATCAATCATGACACGACGTTTATTGCTGACCACATTGTTCAAGATAGGCAAGCCTTCAGAAGTTAAACGGAAAGGACAAGCATCGACAGGAGAAGACTGACGTACAAACAAACGGACACCTGTATTGACAGTCTGAAGACGGTGAAATTCAGTCGATTCTAATACTTTCTTGATAGAACTTGAGACAAAGTAGAGACTGCGACCCTTGGCATTACCATCAGAACGCAACAAGAACTGGTTGCGAGGGAAACTGGCATCAAGACCGTAAAAGGAAGTGATTTCATCAAGATCAGGACTATCGGCAGGCATCATTTCAAAAGGTGCTTCTTTGATACCAGGTACATCACGTTTAGGCTTGCCTTCATAAGGCTTCACTGCTGCTTCTTCTTCATCTGTCTTGACCTTTTTAGAGCTTGATTCTTCTTCACCTACACTAGCACGTTTGGTAGGCACCACTTCTTGTACTTCAGTATCCATTTCAGCGACTGGTGTTGTTTCCTTGCCTTCTAAACGAGCAAGAGCAAGACGATCAGCCGTAGTCAAAGGCTTTACTTTCTCAAACACGGCGACAAAGAAACCACCGGTGTCTTGTTGATGAGGGTAGATACGAAGACATCTTTCCAAATGCATTTCTTTGGCTTCTTCTTCTGTAGGAGGGAAAGTACTGAGAGGATGCTTCTTGCGCAATCTTTCATCTGTGATCTCATCCACAGAGTTAATAAACACACCTTCCTTGTTTGCTACCTTCCAAGTACTAAGACCAGGACGACGCTTCAATTCAGGTAATTCATGTGAGACATCCAACAGACGAATAGCACCCTTGGTTTGACGAAGGACTTCAGCAACAACAGCTTCATTCTCAATAGGATTAAATGAACAGGTAGAATAGACAATACGACCTCCTACTTTGACAAGTTGACAGCCACGGGCAAAGATTTGAACTTGGGTGGAATGCAACTGAAGACCATCCGCTGCCTTCCAATTAGACCAAATCTTTTCGTTTTTACGAATGGTACCATCACCACTACAAGGCACATCACAAAGCACACGGTCAAATTGCCATGCTTCTGGCTTACCTCCTTCGCGGGGGACATGGATGTTAGGAAAATGAGCACCGTCATGGTTAGTGGCCATAAAGCAAGGTGATTGTAAACGCTTGGATTGATGCACCAGCATATGGCTACGCTTATAATCCGCATCATTAGCTACAACAAGACCTGAAGGCATTTCGTTCAATTTGTCATTTGAGTGAACAGCTTCAATAATTTGAGCTGTCTTGGATCCAGGAGCAGCACACATGTCAAGTACCCACTGATGAGGTTGGATATCCATCAAGAGAGGTGGCACCATACTGACTGCTTCTTGTCTACTGATATTACCCTATATATATATAGATACCAGCTTATTAGCGACTGAATACCAACATACACATGTCTACTTACAGCCTCAGTTTCTGTCACCATAAACTTGTGAAACTTTTGGAATTCGGGTGATTTCTTAATGACAAGACGAGGAGCGTTTACTTGCCAGCCCAAATGATCAGGATACCAAGGCAATGGCTTGGGCGGTTCAATCTTGACACCGTCAATCACCACATTTTGCATGTTGGGCACATACGTCTTTTGAACTACATTCAAGATCTCCATAGCAGCACTAACCAGAAATGTCAATGACAACATATAAGAAGAAAAATACTTGCGCTCGACTGCCAGTAATACGGAAAGTACTAGGTAAGATCGTCTTAATGAATTCATAAAACACATCGAATTCTTCAGCAGGCAAAATGTTTTGTTGCTATTTTCATATAGATCAGAGTCAAGATCCCGACTTTGGTTATTCCTACCTGGTAGTACTCTTTGAAAGCAGCATTGTCTCTTTGGATCTCTGCAAAAGGATTACGCTCATCGAAAAACTTTTGTTTGGATCCTGTTTCTTCTGTCTAGAGAATATGATTAAAAAAATTCAGGCCTATATCGTTTTATTTCGCAAGAATACCTTTTTTTGGCCCTTATTACCACGTCTCTTCTTGCCGAAACCCATAGTGTTTATTAAGAAAAAGGGGGAGGAAAAACTTTTTTTTTCTTTTTCAAGCGATTCTTTTCTTTTAAAATTCAGCGCAAATGCTTATTGTTACATAATACAGCTGTCATTGTGAAGCAGGTAGATTAAATTAGAATGATAGATAATATAAAAATAGGCCATTTGCGCTTTTATTGTTCTGTAAAGAAATGCTTTATCAGATTACAGTATGGAAGGCTATTTATTGGTATAGACAGACTTTGTTATAGGTTCGCTTTAATCGCTCTTTATGCTTGTCCAGTATAGTTTTATCTAAAAAGACGAGTCGAAGTCTGGCACAAACCTTGGCACAAAAACAAAGTGATTTATCTTTTGAAAGACGCCCTATTTATGGAATTGTTTATTTCATTGTCACTAAAAGTGTAACGATTCAAATACAAAAGAAATGAAGCAAGTATTGTGTTTTCTTACTGATTTCTCTATTATACACAAATGCTCAATATGAAATTGAATAGTCAACTATCGGTGGTCCGTGCAACCAATTTATATATATTTATCGATGTGCCAAGGGACTCCACCATGCTTGTTATCCAAAAAGCTCTTCTTTGAACCATAAACATATGAGTCTTTGTTTAAAAATATATAGGTAGAAACAGAATTCTACCATGTATCTGTACACATATCACATTGCTCAATACATTTATGCGGATGAACATGATGGCTTTCAGACCAGTGACGCTTTTTCCTTATTCTTATGATGGGGGTGGTATATATGTGCTACTTCAAATTCAGACAATACCTGAATGCAATTAGAAACAACTGCTGTCTGTCTGACTTGTTGGTTGGAAGAATAATAAAGCGTTTGTTTGTTTCTCAGGTCTGCATTGATGGCTTATTTTTTTTTTATTTTATTTCTACCGAGTTTTGTATAAAGACATCTTTTGATTTTGAAATGATATATGCTGCTTTGAAGATACGGATCGTGCTTTATTGTTATTTTCACCTGATATTGTAACATCAAGTTAAATAGAGCCTCTCTGCAGTGATGATATTAGGACAAGAAAGGAGCTAGAAAAGGATAAACGAGATAGCTACTAAAGACTTACTTTTGGAAAGTAGCTCTAAACATATCATGTATACCATCAAAAGAAGTAAATCCTATCATGCTCAAGAAAAAAAAAGGTATAGGATTCACTGAATAGATTCAAACAAGTGAGTTGAGAATAAAAAGTAGAGTGACTGCGGTTATATTTTTCATTCTAAAATGAAAGTTCATGAATGATTTAATCAACTCAAAAACTTTTTTTTCTTTTCTTTTCTTTATTCTTAATTATGAGTAAGTAACAATAAAAAGATAACATAAATAAACATGACATTATATACATTAGCAGGCTTAAAACGACAAAATACAAACGATGTTGAAATGACCGATAGTTCACAACCTTCTAACTTAAAACGTACTCGCTCCAACAATGCCTCTCAGTCCAAAAAGGCACGTCACATGTCCAACCAGATCGTAAAGGCACCTACTCAAGTAGGAAAAGTGTTTGTCTTTGGTACAGGCGATACTGGTCAACTTGGCTTAGGTGACGAAATGTTAGAACGCAAGAAGCCCATGCCTTTAAATGCATTTGATGGTGATGAGATTGTTGACGTTGTGAGTGGTGGTATGCATTCTGTTGCTATTACCAGTCAAGGAAAAGTAAGTGGATGCAACATGATTGATGGTATTGATTCTTTATGTATATATAGTTATGGACGTGGGGTTGTAATGATCAACGCGCTTTGGGAAGATCGGGCGAAGAATACGAACCTGCTCGTGTGGAAGGCATGGACAATGTAAAGATAGTCAAAGTCGCCTGTTGCGACTCAGTCACGATGGCATTATCTGAAGAAGGCATCCTTTATTGTTGGGGTACTTATCGTTGTGCTGAAGGTCCTCTTGGTTTCTCTCGTAACAAGGCTGTTCAAGAAACACCTGCTGTTTTCGAACCTTTTGCCAAGGTACAAATTGCTGATATTGCTGCTGGTACAGACCATTGTTTAGCACTCACTCGTGATGGTCGTGTCTTTGTCTGGGGTAATGGTCAACAGTTCCAATTGGGTCGTCGTATCATGGAACGCCATTTAATCAACGGTCTTCGTCCTGAAGCACTCAACTTAAAGAGCATTAAGCTGATAGGTACAGGTTCTTATCATTCCTTTGCTGTCTCTCATGATAACACACTTTATGTGTGGGGCCTAAACAATTTCCAACAGTGTGGTCTTGTTGATTCAGAAGAGACAAATGAACCTGCCCCTAATGTGATCACGAAACCTACTGTTGTGACAGCACTTGAGGGCAAGGGCACCATCAAAGATGTTCAAGGCGGTGAGCATCATTCGCTTGTGTTGATGGAAGATGGCACTATCTATGCGTTTGGTCGTGCTGATTCTGATCAATTGGGTTTGCCTGCTGATTTGATTGACAAGGTGCAGACGAAAGAAGAAGGTGCTGAAGTCTCTAATTTCAAGCGAGCTGTTGGTCTTCCTACACGTATTCCAAGTTTAAAGGATGTTGTGTCTATCTCTACTGGTACAAACCATTCAATTGCTGTTACTTCTGATGGGAAAGCTTATACCTGGGGATTTGGTGAATGTTATGCTTTGGGTAATGGCTCAAGTGATGATGAGCCTATTCCTACTGAACTCACTGGTCAAAAACTAGAAGGACACAAAGTCGTTCGGGTTTCTGCAGGTGCCCAACATTCTATGATTCTTGCCACGTCTCAATAATTCCAATGTGTATTTTTTAAAATAGAATCTATGTACAATAAACAAATCAAGTCTTTATTGTTGTTGTTGTTGTTGTTGTTGTTGGGTATTTCTTTTTCTTGAGAATTCAAACACTTCAGTCACTGCTTCTTTAAAGCATTGAAAGTTATAGTCAATAAGGCCATGCTTTTCAAAATTATCTTGACGCAACAGACAGATCAAGACCAAGAGTCGATTGACTTCTCTCATATAAAGTACATCGCCATTATCTAATTTAATCAAGCTAGAAGCCTCTGCATCTGAAGACGTTGTTTGCTGTTGTTGATGTTCTATGAGTCTACGTTCAAGGCTTTGAGCATCAGGGTCCATTTGATCTTGGTCAATAGAAACAGGTGTTTGATGACCATCTAATAACAAACCATGATGACGATCAGGTGTGTCTGATAAAGACAGGTTATTTGGACTCATGCCTTGTGCACTACAAATAGACAAGTTCAATACTATGTATCCGTAGTTACATCTTACCCATAAATACATTCAACATCAATACAGACATCAATCATATCTGAACAGATTTCATACGACTGCATATCAACAGGTGAACTGTCTGTTGCAATATAGATCTTGGTTAAAGTATCAAACAGATAAGCCTTGTCAATACTCGAATTCTATATGACAATGAGTGAAATGTGTGGTCGATACGGTCTGACTTACTGAACACAAGACGTTTAATAGGTTTTCTAGCGTAGGTAATTCTCGAATCAGTTTCTGAATGATTTTACTGAATGCTTCATAAATCGAATTATCATAAATACTGGTTAAATAATAAGTCAAATGAATGTATTCAAGCTGAGCATCTGCCAATGCATCTCCCATACGTTGTTGCACATCACGCTGAGTATCAATCTTGTAATCGTCTGATAATCCATCTACTTTATGAATCAAGACTTCGAATGTAATGTTGGGATTAGCACGGTATGCACTGGTAACTGTTGTAAACAACCGATGTAAGGCTTCGTTATAGTCGTCTTGGGCATCAATCACAAAGATCAAGGCACCTACTGTACTGAAGATTTCTTGTGGATCATAAGCCATTTCATCAAAAAAGTCAATTTGGCCCGGGAAATCCCAGATTTGAAAGTCGATAAAAGAACGTCTAAGCATCATAAGATGACATGATAAAAGAATATATAGTTCTTCTTACGTGATATCTTCTTTTTGTATTTTGGTGGTGCTTTCTAAATACAGAGTATCGTTGGGTGGCATTTTACCAAACACTACGCGCTGAATACTCGATTTACCACTCCTGTATAGAAAAAGACTTGTTCAATAAAATATGATCTGTTATGTTTATTTACCTTTGAAGACCCATAAGTAAAATACGAGGTTTATCAGATAATACTTGATCATCAATGGTATCCCTAAACACGTCTATAAGTTATATTTATTTATTTATTTATAATCTTTTTACGCTAAATAGTCAGAGTCGTTATTAGTTGTTTGATAGTCAAGCTAAAATACATGATAAATATAATAAAACCATAAAATTTAACTTACATCCATCCTAATAAAGAACACAAAAGAAAAAAATAAATAAAAAAATAAAAAAAAAAAAAAAATAGAACCTATTATACACAGTGTGACTACTGCTCTCTTTTATTATTATTGTTATTCTCTTTTCAAGTATCGAACAAAGGATTCCCTTGTACATTCACCCCCTATTCTTGGATCGAAATAGAACTTGTAACAACTTCCATCTGCACAAATAGCTATAGAGACCAGATAAGTTTGAACTGCATCTTTTTTTTTTTTTTATACCTGTAAATGAATTTTTTTGTGTTCCGAATGCAACTAAACACCGACTTTCAGTAGCGATTTTTGCATGAGCAAAACTCCATTCTGAACTAAAATATTTAGGCAAAATGTCCTTCATAAAACTAAGTGCACTGCCTCTATTGCCTGTGGTGGTTAGCCCATAATCCTTGGGCGACTCTGTTGGATAGGCAACCACTTCACCATAAGTAGGACCACGGGGCTTATGGTCTACATGTGTCACTACAGAAGGATCCAGATTGAAGATATGAATGGTGCCCTTATCTGAGGATACACACAGTCGAGTAGATTCATGATTGAAGGCAATAGAATAAATTTCAGCTCGATCCATCCCTCTTCTTAGTTCATGTAGCAAGGTGCCTGTGGATGTATTAAAGACACGGATCAAGGTGCCCTTATCACTGGATGTAGCACACCTTGATCCCTCTGTATTCAGTGATACACAACTGAGTCTGCCCGAATGTGCTGCAATGATACTGACATTGATGGATCGTCGTGTTGTATTGCTTGTGTTGTACTCTTGAGCGGGTAAAGAAGGAGGGAAGAGATGGTCTGATTCGCCTACGGATATATAGTAACCAAGTGAATTTAAATCAATGATCTGTAAATGGCCTTTTTGTCTGCCTGGAATAATCAAAATAGCATGACTAAGTGATGTAGAAACAGCAGCCAGACCTAAACACTATAAGAATAGATAGATATCATAGTCTAATTTTACCCTTTTCATTATCACACGTTTCAAATGTATGCAATAGCTGTGGTGGTAAACTGAAATGATAGACAAATACTTTGTTTTGTAGTATCACTGTTAATCTATCATGATGTTATAGAGTTGCTACTATGTATGTATGTATGTATTTATGTGCCATTCTTTTTTTTCTATTTTTTTTTCTTTACCTATCTCTTCTTAGTTTGACATTCTTGACTTCACTCTTATATTCCAATTCTAATACTGGTTTCCCTTTCATGCTATCATAAATAATCACTTTGTTGGGTGGATATCTAGGATTTCTACCACCTCCTACAAGTGCTAAATAATTCGTACGATACAGCATTTCTACTATAGCAACACCACCCTCATCTGATTCTACAAACCAAGACTTATGAGAATTGTTGATCATAAAACACAAGTATACCATCTCTTGCTTGTTCAATTAGTGGTTCACAGTTATATACTCTGAAGCCTGTATCAAGGCCAATAGCAAAACACCCATAGTCTTGATTAAAACCAGCATAAAGTAAGCCTGGTGCGTCATTCATACTAGGCGAAGTTCTTGAAAGGTTCATATTTACAAACTGAGAAAAAATAAAAAATATACACATAAATGCAAAGCATGAATTTTGAGTGATTCTCTCATGCACATAGGAAAATAGTCTCTTTTACTCTTTCTTTCTTTCTTTCTTTTTTAATGATCTAACTTTACAGTCTATCTTCATCATGATTATGGATACTATTTAGCTTAGTTAGAATAACTCCATATCTTTTCTTTAGTATCTCTATTAAGTCAGATCTATACATCACGTGTAGACGCGCTTTGTAATACATCGTTGATTTCTACGCGTTGCCTCATTGGCCATTCATAGACATAAATGAAAGAACGATGAAAAATTTTGAATTTGTTTCTTTCTTCTTTTCTAATTTCTTTCATGGACGTCTTTGGAAACAGTACTGTCGAGTTCAACTGGCTCGAGACAAAATGGGAGCAAATGTATGAGGGTCGCAATCCTCTTGTTGTTACCGGTGTCTTTGCTTTCTTGATGCACGAATTAGTGTATTTCGGTCGTTTTATTCCCTTTTTGATTTGTGATTTTATTCCTTATTTCCAAAAATACAAGTTACAAGAGGTGAGTTTGGACCAATTAAATTGCAATTGTCTGATACAATAGTAGGCTAAAGAGAACAGCAATGCTGATTATTGGAACTGCACCAAAAAAGTGCTTTATGCTCACTTTATTTTTGAAGGCCCTTTAATTTTCTTATTCCATCCCTTTGCTACCTTTTTAGGCATGAAAGTTTCTGCCCCCTTCCCCGCTTGGTAAAAAAAAAAAAAATTAATATTGTTTACTAACATGAACAAGGCAACAAATGGCAGTTCAGATTGCCATCTTTTTTATCTTTGAAGATTTTTATCATTACCATATGCATCGCTTTATGCACTGGCCACCTTTTTACAAAAAAGTGCATAAGGTGCATCATGAATATTCTGCTCCTTTTGGTATTGCTGCTGAATATGCTCATCCTATTGAAACAATGATTTTGGGTTTTGGTACAATTGGTGGTCCTCTTATTTACCATGCCTGTGCCACACTTATGTTTGACTTTGGTGATGCTTGGAACCTTCATTTGATTACGATGCTTTTATGGATTGTCCTCCGTCTCTTCCAAGCTATTGATGCTCATTCCGGTTATGATTTCCCTTGGTCCCTCTGTCATTGGGTTCCCTTTTGGACAGGCGCTGATCACCATGACTACCATCATCAAGCCTTTATTGGTAACTATGCCAGTAGTTTCCGTTGGTGGGATTACTTGTTTGGCACAGATGTCAAATATCGTGCTTATCGTCAACGCCAAGCTGAAGAAAAGCGCAAGCTAAAAACGAACTGAACTAGAATAGATGCCCCTCCTTACTTTTAATTGCACATAGATAGATAGATTATAATTTACTATAAAACAGATAACCTTGATCCCAGTCTTTTCTTACTTTATAGACTTCTTCTGCATCCTTAGTCAGCCCATCAATGTCTACATCAGCCACAATCATGGCTTCCTTTTCATGATCACAATGCGCTACAGGTCCCTTGAATGGCACGGTAATTTGAGTGCGTCCAGCCATGGTACCAAAGGGTTGTTCTCTTGTGACATTGGATTCATGAGCAGGATTACAGAGGACAAACACAATGCCATTCTCAAAGCATCGAGCAGTACTGATGGCATTCAACATGTTGGCTTCAGATAAAGGATCTTGGGCAATAGCCAATGCGCCTCCATCATCCAGACTCCAATAAGCTAATCTAATGATGAGAACAAGATGCGATTGATTTATGCATTTACCTGGTGCAATAATCAACTGTGCTTTTTGCTTTAATGCCATCTCTTTAAATACGTCAGGAAAGACAATATCCCAACAGATACAGAGTCCAACACGAATCCCAAATCTGTTTGTGACAGTAGCATAACCTTCTTTGCCTTCTTTCAAGTAAGAGCGTTCAGGATGCCACAAGTGCATTTTACGATAAGCAAGTAAGATGTGGCCTGATTGATCGATATAATATGCTGTATTATAGACATGACCATCTTGAGGATCACGTTCAATAAGTGTACCAGGCACAATATCCATCTTGTATTTCTTGGCAAGCTGACAAAATCGTTGGACAGCCACACCAGGAGCTGTCTTTTCTACTCTATGTTTACCAGGACCACCAATAAAATATCTAAAGCAATGAGTGGCTAATTCAATGCTATGTCCTCTTTTTTATTTTTAATACTCGGGAAAAACGATTAAATCCACTTGTTGAGTAACAGCTTGAGCCATAAACTCTTCTGCTCTTTTCCAGTTGACTTCTTTATCTTGATGATCAATATGTAACTGAACAGCAGCAATACGCATTTGAATCAAAAAATAAAAGAAAAAGAAAAAAAAGATGATTTTTTTTTTATAAACTGTATTTCCCACACTTTAGTCATTCTACTGCTAAATTAAGCTTTTCGAGTTTGCTTTTTCGATACTGCCAATACTTTTCACGAATAGCATCATGCTTTTCAGCCAACGCTTGACACATGTCAATAGCAGCAGGTTCAACAGGCTTGTTTTGTAGTTGAGCATTTTGCTCATACATATCAATATAGGCTGACAAGATAAAAGGTGATTCGACGCTGGATTTGAGTTGATCTAAAAAGGGTAACATGGTATGAAAGGGTCTGTTTATCTTTTCATACAATCTATCGTATTCATTAGTCACTATAGAAAAGGCTAGTTCACATACGCTTTGAGATAGGCCCAACTACTTGAATTATGAGGTGCTAATGTAATTTGCTTTTCTGTGAATTTGATTTCATCTTCAATTATGTCTTCTGTAGGTGTTGAAGGACGGTTGAACAACACAAAATACCTATAGTTCCAAGCAGAATTGTTGCGTACATCAAACACAAGCAAGTCATTGGTATAGTCCAATTCTGTATCCCATAGCCCAAATCGCTTCACAACCCATTGTCGATAAGACCAACCATGATAGTTTTTAGGATCTTCTTCAAATATACTGTTGATAAACGGTATTTCTCGGTCTCCTTTGCCTAAACGATCGACAACGACTTGACGATGGTGCCATACTTGATAGTTTTTGGCTTGGTCTGGGCCAATTTGGTCAATATAATCAAGTTCTTTTTCCAAGTCGGCTTCAAGTGCAAACAAGACTTGTTGTCGGTAATTCCAGACTGTATAATGAGCAGGGTTCATGTCAATGATATTTTCTATCAGTGATAACACGCGTGCTGACTTTTCGTTGGTACGCGTTACAGCTCTGAAATAGTCCATAGCATCGGCATCTACAAATATATAAGCTTATGGCAATAGCATTCGAAATAGTTACACTCTCTGGCATAAGCAATAGGAACAAGAGGGTTAGGTCCATCATCTTGAGGAACAGGCGTGACATCTTTCCACTCGGGATTTTGACTGTAAAGTAAATCAGACATGTAATAAAAAAAAAGATACAGTATTTCTGTATCAAATTGTCGCAAATCTTAATTATATTTTCTTACCCCCCCCTCCCTCCCCTTGCTCACCAGCGTTCTAATCCAATTCAGAAGAGTTAAAATGCTTAGTGGGGAAACCCTGCAAGGTCGGATAACTAAAGCTTGCAACCAGGTTCCTCAAAGTCATTTTTATAATATTATCAAGCTTTTTTTTTATTCAGAATGGACTCAACTCTCAACCAACAGTTGGCTACTCAGAGTAATTCAACTAGGCTTCTGTATCCCCCTCCTTCCTCTTCCTCTTCTCACTACTTATCCGAAACCAATCTGCCCATTCAATGCCGAACAACACCAGCTGTTACAACATGAAATCACTTCACTTCTCAACAAAAGAGCTATCGAACTAGCTCCCCCAACACCAGGCTTTCACAGCAACATGTTTGTCATTCCCAAACCGAATGGCGGTCATCGAACAGTGTTCAAGTTAAAAGCTCTCAGCAACTTCATTCAAACACCACATCTTTTTCTTTTCATGAAATGACTACAATTACTTTCTCTTCTTTAAGAAACTATATACTTATACAAAAGTGGTTGCTTTTGGAGTGGATGGGAGTGTTCTCTAGCCATTCCCTCTCTGCGAACATGTCTGATAGATGGTGGTCCCTAAGAAAAAAAAAAAGGGTTGGTGTGTAAGAAGCCTAAAAAAACATATTTTATTTTAGTGACTAAAATTCTCAAGATTAGTGGAAACAGCAAGATCAAAAAATCCAACTTGGGCTCTGTTTGGTCGTTTCTCTTACAGCTAAAAATTAATTAGTGCTCTACCTCCTAATCTTGGCAGTATGGGCCAATGTTATTAATGCTTTATGAACAAGGTTATCCGTTCAGGTCAAGTTTTTTTTTTTGCCAACGTGAATGATCATCTTGGTGGCCGTCAGCACTATGGTTTCCGTCTCTTCGACGTCTCAGACTTGCACTACCTCTTCTTCTGCACCAATCATGTATTATCCTCCCATCACCCAGTAGCATTTGGCCTATAACAAATAAGACTTGGAAGCTCGACGTGTGGCACTTATCAGCTACAGGTACAACTCTAACAATATAAACGCCAACTCACAGGTCATACTTAAGAATGATCGCTTACAAGACTCAACAACCAACAAGACATACAAACGAGGACAACTCCTGTTTATTGAATGGTGTCTTAAAAACAATCTCTCACCTGATGACTTTTGTATGAAACAACAATTTAACCTGACACCTTCTACTCTTCAGCTCTATCAATTCGGTATTACTCGCTTTCATGCAGATCCCGATAGCATTCGTAAAGGTAACTCTCTCAATAAGTTTATCTCTATTCTCCTGGACCAGGCACTTCCTGTACGGACTCACTGCCCAAACATTGATCTAAGTCCTACATTTCAGCATCTTGCGGATTTGAGTAACTAATCTTTACGACTGTCAACAATAAAACCTAAACTGACCTTTTTGATCGGTGTTACCTGCTTTCTACGAGCCCCTTTATTTGATCATGCCGGATAGAGTTTAGCCGAATGATCATCCTCAGTGGCTTACCACTTTCTATGATATTTCTTATAAATCAATTACGTTCATGAAAAGTTCCTGGCGTTTACAAGTTTTTTTTTTTCTTTTTCTTTTTTTTTTTTTGCAAGTCTTTAATTGCTTTAAGTCATTTCGAACTGTCTCTTCTTCTGAAAAAACATAAAATTTCAAAATTCTATGTATAATAATGAGGCATTGAGCAGCCTAGTCTTTTTCAATTCGAAACCAACTTCTGGCACATTGAACGATGCACTTGATCTTAGCCAAAAGGCCTGAGAGGATACATTCTGAACATCGCAGGAATAAGCTTTGTATTTCCTTTTATGATTCTCCCAAAAGAATGCATTTTCGTCTCTCCAGATCCCCCTCCCTCCCTATTTACTTATGAAAATGTTCTAGTGCTACTATTACTTTAGAAGGCATCCTCCCAAATTTGAGGAAACAGCTTAAAAAAGGCCTAAGTTATGAGAAATGAACAAGTCATTGAGGACGATCCTTCGGCTAAACTTTATCCAATGTGATTAAATAACGGGGCTCCTTTCTACGGCCATCGGATCCCTTCTCTTCGGTTACATTATCGGCGGACAGACAATCCATGACCTTTGAGGTACATTGCCCAAAGGAAAAGAAGAATCGCTGGAGAATTATCAAGACTTTCACGGTAAAAGCGTATGCACACCCTTCTTTGTGCCCAGTCAATACATTTATTACCTATTGTCTATTGCGTTCTGCTCAATCCGTCGACACATTATTTATCAATATTCAAGTTTTTAAAGTTTTTATTCCTCGCAAGACTATCTCAAAATGGGTACACAGGCTCATCAGCCTCTCGGCTTCGGAAAAAAGGAATCACTCTGCGCTCAATTGCTTCCTCTTTGGCCTTACAAGCACAAATCTCAAAAGAAGATATAATTACTATGAGCAATTGATCTTCTTCCCTTACTTTTGAGAATCACTACAGGGGAGATCATCTGACTAGATTTGATTTTACCAATGCTTTGATTTCTGTAGGTCCTAAACTTGGTGATAATAATGACAATGATGTATTCTATGATGCTCTCTAATAGCAAATCATATTTCTTATATGTGTATTCTTATGTCTAAATATTCAAGAAACCCTCCCCCCTCCCATTTGAAATTTTGCTTTTTTTTTACTTGACGCATTTTCACTAAATTCTACAGCAATAGTAATAAGAACGAGTATATAAAAAGAAAAAAATAAAATATGATTTTTATTTAAACAGTCGTATAGACGATTATCAGAATGCTTAAAAATGACTTTGAGGAACCTGGTTGCAAGCTTTAGTTATCCGACCTTGCAGGGTTTCCCCACTAAGCATTTTAACTCTTCTGAATTGGATTAGAACGCTGGTGAGCAAGGGGAGGGAGGGGGGGGTAAGAAAATATAATTAAGATTTGCGACAATTTGATACAGAAATACTGTATGCGTGTATTGGTTGTTTTTTTGAAATAAAGTGTACACTTGTTATCTTTTTCTTCAATAATTCTATTCAAGCAGCATGCTTCTATGCTTGTACTGTAAATTTCGCTCACAAGAAAGCACTTTTACATAATCAACTACACTGTCGTTCTTTTTTTTTTTTTTTAACTGTGTTGCGTATTTGTAATTTAAATGGATAAAAAATTTTTTTCTTTTCTTTTTTTTTCTTTACAACTTATTTACAAAGATGAATCTCCATCCTTGTTCAGAGCAAATAATCTGTATTTGCCAAGCTGATAAAGGAGTTTGGCCTGACACTACTCTTTTTTTGTAGTGTCTATAGAACTGAGTAAATAAGTTTTTTTTATTAAGTTATTCTTCTTCACTATCACTTGCGTAATCAGCTAAACCACCTAATCCATTGGTATTCTTGTTTTTGATGGTCAAATCTGTATTTTTTGAGAGTGTCTTGAGATTGGTTAAGACTTTTTGAGGAATGATGCCTGCCACTTTCTTGTTTTCTTGTTCTATTTGTTTTTGTTGTTGTTCATAATATTTTTGTTGTTGTTCATAGTATTGCTTGTAGTATTCTTCGTATTCTCTTTGTGCAATCTCTTGATTGGCAGCTAATTCTTGAGCTTCATCTTCTTCTTCCTGTCGTCGTCGTTTAATACGTTCTTCCATCTCGTTAAATCCATCTTCGTCTACATCACGCTTTAGGCTCGTGAATTCAGCAGGCAAATCAGCTTCTGCTTCTTGTCGACCTCCTTCTTCACTATCCATGACAGCCAACTCTTGTTCAAACTTGTGTTCTTCTAATCGTTCTTCCTCTTCATCTTCCCATTCTTGTGCTTTGGGATCTAATGTAGCCCAACGCACATTGATAATCTCATTATTGTCCAAGTCTTGATTCATCATGGCTTCTCTTGCAAACTCGGCGTTGGCTCGCGTCTTGTAGGTCACAAAAGCAACGCCACGCGATTTAAGGATTCGGACACGATCAAGAGGACCAAACTGGCCAAAATGACGTTTGATAACCTCGTCCACATCGTCTGTGATGGCAATGCGACCTATATACAACGTTTTGTTTTCACGAATAAAACCACCTATACCACCCATATCTTGACGAAATTCACTAAAGCGACATAAGTCTTGTATGTTATTGATGCAACGACTTACGTAAATTTATCACGACCAAAGCAATCAATCGTGGTCTCGACATGGTCTTCTGTGGTAGGCACACGATGCCACATGTGACACCTGCTGCCTTTACAACACATGCCTTTAGCAAAAAACAAGCAAAAATAGGCATTGGGGTTGCGTGAACCCACTGTTTCTCCTGCATCTCTCGCGATGTTCACTTTGAACTTGGGTCGTGTACTATAGGTGGAGTCAATAAAACGTCATTCAAGATCCTACTTGCCTTTGTTTATTGAAATCTCGCTCAAGTCCAGAATAACGATGATGCCAAATATTATAGGTACCACCTTCTGGTCTTTTCTCTCGTAAATATTCATCCAATTGTGCTTGAGTCACCTAGTCATCTTATTGAGTCGATTGTATATCGATTGAATGCACTTACTTGTAAACGCGCAGGCTTCATCTTGTATCAAAAGAAAAAATAAAATAGAATAGAATAAAATAAAGGATGGCTGTGACTGGATATAAATAAATTTCTAAAGACAGAAGAATTACATGATCTTTATCCTTGAATAAGTCCCTTGGAGTATAGACGTTGAACACTATAGACTGTGCAGGATAAAAGTTTAGATTATTTATTGACAGAAGATTAAAAAAGAAGAACTAGTATTTAGTGTGGCCGCGTTTTGCATCCATCACCGCTTGGCATCCGCTTTTCATGCTTCCGACCAAGCGTGCAGCATATTCTTGGCCGAGGTTCTCCTGCTCTTGTCGAAGTATCGACTTGGGTTTTTCAATAGTGTGAACCTCAGACCGTCTATTGTCTACAAGCTTTTCAAGTGCAATTCCAAATATGTTCGATGGGGTTCAGATCATGATTTTGAGCAGGCCAGTACTCAGCATCAGATCTGATGAGTGTTCTTCCAACATCAAGCATAGGCACCCATGTGGCAAGTGGCGCCATCTTCCTGTAAAGTGAAGTCCCATTAACTAAGGATGGAATGTCTGGGTCAAGATATTGACATAGACACCTTAGTTAACAGAGTCCTCTTCAACAATAGCCAAAGACCAAAAATCCCTAGTCCAAAAGCACCCCACACGCACACACACACACCAAACCATGACATCACCGTCTCCCCTTCTGACTATTGAGACGGTATGAGCCTCGTCGTATCGTTTACTAACCTTTCAAAGCACTCTTCTGTCTGTCAACTGTCAGGAGCATCATCAAAAGAATTGAGCAAAGGGAATTCCATCAACCTTTCAATGTCAGATGCTTTTTTGTTGTCCTTGTTGAACCAGTAAATACCGTGGAGCTGCTATTCGTCTGGCTTGTTGCATCTATAGCGGCGGTTGTTGGTAGCTTCTTGAGTAGACTTGAGTAAGTTGGTAATGAGATCGGGAAAGAATTAAGCGAAATCTGTGTGACTGTATCTAAAAACTGTAAGCATGATTTTTTTTCCCTTTTTCTTCTTAACCATGATCAATGTGAGATGTCTTCTATTCTTCTTCTTTGTATTTATCCCTTTTTGTTTTCTTTAGAGAATCAACTCAACTTTGACTGACAATGCAACGCTTGAACAACAAGAATATAAAGATTGCTTGCCTTGTAAACTGACAGGTGCCGCTGCATTTGGTGGTTTAGGTGCTTATGCTTTAAGAGAAGCAAACAAATTGAGTCAATTACCTGGAAAATCACGAACAGCAGTAGGACTTGGTGTTGCTGGTGTGGGTAAGCGCACTTTATCATACAAACAAGAACTATGATCTGATATTATCTTTAAACAGTGTTTATTTCAGCAGGATTATATCGATTAGCATTATAATAATAATAATAAAAAATTCTAAACATGATCAACAGACGCAGCATCCGCAGTATGATTTGCTACTGTGCTATTTCTCTTAGTTCTTTTGCTTGTACTTCTTCTTCTGGTAGCTCTAGGGGACACAGATTTATAGGTAGGTCTGCGCTGTCTACGTGGACGACGATTGGCACGCTCATCTGATTCTTCTGTATTTTCATCCACTACTGTTTGTTCTTGAACAGCCGTAGCAACAGAATGAATGGCTTTCTTTGTACCCTTGACTGCTTCATCCACATAAGGTTCTACTGCTTTTCTTGTATCATCTACTAATTGATAGGTATTCTCCATAGCATCACCTACATAAGGTTCTAGTGTCTTGCGTGTTTCTTCTACATAGGGCTCCACTGCTTTTCGTGTACCTTCCACAGCGTCTGTCACGGCACCATATGCATCTTCAGCAAACGATGATCTTCTTAACGCATTCACTTCTTGTTCCCATGTCTTGAAAATAGCAGAACAATCCGTAATCACATTTAATTCACGACGATACATGGCTGTCAAGATGGTCGATAAGATCAAGGCAGGGACCACAAATACAAAAGCAGATTGTTCAGGTTGTTTTGTGAAATGGACAGTATAAATGGAACTACCTGCACCTAAAGCATAAGCAGCGAGTGCACTAAGGAAATAAGGCTTGGGGAAATCCAAGATGTTCTTCTTGTAAGCATTGTAACGATCAAATCGTAAGCAATAAGCAATAAAGATACCTTTGTGATAGATCAGTCTTTGTTTCTTTGTTATTATCATCATCATCAAACCACAAACCTGGAACAATGATTTCAGCTATACCAAACATACTGAAGAAATGATCTTTTTTGATCAATTTGCTCAGTAATTGAGGATGCACTGTCTTGGGCCAAACCACACTGATGGGTGTATCTTTAAGTGCTTTTGAAATCTCGAGCATGGCATCGGTACCAAACACCCAAAAGAGATCATAAGCCAACATACCTGTCAATAAAAAGAAGCCTGTACTGAATGAATCCAGTGTAAATGACCGAATGGCTTTGATAGACAAACTCATGGCAAACAAGTTACCAATCACCCAATGATGTGTCCATGCAAAAGTGACTGCAAGTAAGGCAGAAACCATAAAAATGCCCAAATGAATCAGAGTGACATTAAAATGACATAATTCTGTCAGAATAATAATATTTTAGTATCAAATAAAAATGACGTGTTTACTTACTTTGATTGTCTTGATTTGTGATGGTGAGATGATAGGCACGGTAAAAGAATCGATGATGGGGCAAGTATTGTTCAGCGACAGTCATGGTTGTCTTGGAAAGTGCTGTACAAGACAAGAGACAGGCAACAAGTGTCACAAGTTGGTTGACATAATGAGGATCAACTGTATGAATCAAACTAGAGATCATGTAAGCCACAGAAGAAGAAGCCAATGGAAGCAAAAAAGTGCTTTTGATGGTCAATACATTGGCATTACTGTGCTGGTCATGATGCTGTTCAAATACATCATGGACTTCATCGTCCGAGGCATATTGAATGTATTCTCGACGATGACGTGTGGATTTGGCTCTTCGAGGATACCGTGTTCTTGAACGAGTTTTGGGTTGAGTGAGTGTCAGTAAAGAACTGAATGAACCAACCACAATAGGAATAATAGCCAGAGACAATAATCCTATAGAAGCTATATGAAGACTAGTCCGGTCTTCTGTTAAATGTAAAAGGCTTTCTGTAGACATAAATAAAAAGACAAAGAAACAAAACAAAAAAGAAGAAGGAAAAAATAACAAGCAGGTTTAAATATGCATAAATAAACACGAATTTCCTCCAATCAATAAAAGAGATTGACGTATCTTTTTTTTTTTTTCTTTTTTTTTGTTTTACAAAAAATGCCCACTATTGCAAATATAGCAGGTAATACAGGCACATTATTGTACTACATGTCACTTATTATTTGTTCATATATAGACAAAGTAAACAGCCATCCTCATTGTATATGTATAGACTGACATGAAGAGATAGGTAGTGCACTCATTGAGGCCCATCACTATCAAACAAATTCAATTGGTCACGATTAAAGAAGGTGAAGATGAAGCAAGTCGTTTCTTTATTGATCATAAAGAAATTCATAGTGTTTGTTCTATGTCACAGTAGATTTGAACTTATGTGTCTGTTAGGTTTATTTTATGGGTTATATTCGCTCTATGAGTCGATTTGAAGCCCATGCTTCCCTTGTGGTTGAAGATGGCACTGGTGCTATAGATGTACAGGTCTGGACAGAAGGTTTCTCCAACCTTCATGATGATATGGAGCAATTAGCGTAAGTTCAAGCTGGAGCAGTACTCTTAGTCATTGGAAAAAAAGTACAGCCATGTTTGTACACATCATAGGTCGCCCACAACGTATTCAAACAAAGACGCGCATGATTGCACATCACATACGTGTCATTCAAAATACCAATGAAATTACATTTCACTTGTTGGATGCGATTTATGCTCATGTATGTCTTCAACCTTTATCCAAAACGACTGCTTTGGATCCAATTGAAGCTGTAAAAAGAGCCATTAAGGACTGTTCTAGCAGAGAAGGAACGCATGTGCAAGTGATTGTACATCATTTACGTGATAAATTGAATGCCTCTCAAGTCACTGAAGCGATTGAAGAATTATCCTTTGAAGGACACGTCTTTTATGTTACTAATGAACTTATCAAGTTAACTGAATGCTAAGTAAAGATTCTCAAAAACGAATAACTAAACTAAAGAAATGATAAGGACGAAATAAAGTTGGTGCAAAAGCTATCATAAAGGTAACCAGACAATAAGAGAATCACAACAAGCAACTTTAGCCACAACATCCTACAGCTATTTTTCTCTAGAAATAGTGGTAAACGCATTCTGCTTCCTTGGAATGACATATATATCATCAAAGAATACATTCAGAAGCGTCAACCACATAAGTGATGTTTCCCTTCTGACTTACTTGAGTAATGCTGCTAAAATAGTGCTCATGTTTCTCTTTTGTTAAACTATGAACTAGCATTACGAATGACTGTTTCAGAGGTATCGGAAGCACGACTATTGCTCTTATTATAGTAATGCGTTATCCTCTTGCTCTTTCTGAGACGCTTCTTTATGTCGTTTTTTTTTTTGGGAAGCAAGATGAATAACATTAGGCATAGAGAGCTTTTCGGTGAAACTCCTGGTTTTGTTTAAAATTATACAAATGTCACTCTGAGGAAAGAGCAAGACTAGCCAAGCGATTTAATTATTTTACAAATGATTAGTTTACTTACGATTCGAATGATGATTCTATAAGCTAAGAAACAGGCAAAATATAGCCCGGAAAGGTATGTTAAAGAGACTACAGAAAGAAACCAGGTACAGATCAGAGGTGGAAACACCGTTTGTAGCTAAGAACACCAAGACAATGCTTACCTTATACCTGAATCGAACGAGAATCTACTGTTAGGCAGACAGAGTACACATCCAATCGTGGGCTACATTATTGTTTAACATTTAAAGGTCATACTGCTGGCAACAGATCTCAACCATATACGACAGTTTGGGAACCTAGTATGAATCAGCCCAAATGTTTCCAAGAAGGTCAACTGGACTTCGGGGGTTTTTTTTCAAACAATACATGAGTTCGAGAAACTCATTCTTCATGCTGAGAGGAACAGCCTTATGATTGCTAATGAGTCTCTGGACGTTTTGCACATAATACATGTAGCATCATTTAAGCTGATCAAATTCTCCTGGACGGGATGTAACACCAATGCTCAGCTTTTTGGGAGCAAGCAATTGATCGCTTTGCACTTTTCTCAATTCAAACATTGTTTTCCTGTCCTGAAAGATATGATCTTCTAAAAGAGCTATGCATATGATATCCTTCACACATTCAACAGTGCAGCTAGTCATGTTGTTGAAGGTATCAAGAAAAAGAATCCGACTTTGACATTGCTTATGCTTTACCATTTTGTCACGATGCATGCATTTTCGCGCTTTAATTAGCCTCGTATTGGAACTAGGTTTTGCCTCTGGACACTTTTTTTGTGGAAGAACCTAACTGGCTTAGATAGTATTTGAAGAATGTCTTCTCTTCTCTGTTCCGTGACTTGACTTGAAAGCTCTCGGTATGATTATTGTCAGGAAAATGAATTTTTTTTACAGTGTCCACTGTCTGTTAATAGAGTAAGAGGGTTAGGTTTGAAGGAATCAAAAAGTGTACCTTTGTGGCTTATTGAACCTGGGTACACTCGTCCTGTCTCCCTCTTGAGCCATTTATTTTTGAACATCCGCCGCTGACTCTTTTCTTCTAAATTGTCATTATGCTAGCAAGATATCCATTGATTCAGCCTTGTCGAAAGACATTGAGTTTATTTGTACTGTTTAACCTATCATGAGTGTTCAACTGATTATCATTAGAGATCCTGTTTCTATTCATCAAGTGCTATTGAGCAAAAACGAAAACAAAGTTTATTAGGCGGTGGAAAAGCAAAACAAGAAGCCCAGCATAATAAAGTAGCCTAGACTCAATCACACCGGAAACTGATCACTGTTTCTGATTAGGGAAAACTCACAGCACGAGAACGCTTGCATCTCTTACTTGACAAAGGATCATTCAGAGAATACGATGGATGGGTAGAACATGGATGCACTGATTTCAATGTCCCTCATTTTCCAGGTGATGGTGTCATTACAGGACATGGTACGATTCATGGTCGACGTGTGTTTGTCTATAGCCAAGATTTCACTGTGCTTGGTGGCAGTCTGAGTCGTACGAATGCCAACAAGATCTTGAAAGTGATGGATCAGGCCATGTTAGTAGGTGCACCTATCATTGGCTTACAAGACTCAGGTGGTGCACGTATTCAAGAAGGTGTGGATTCATTAGCAGGGTATGCAGATATCTTTCAAAAGAACGTGTTGGCCTCAGGCGTTGTACCTCAGTTGTCATTGATCATGGGTCCGTGCGCAGGAGGGGCTGTCTATTCTCCTGCCTTGACGGATTTCACCTTCATGGTCCAAGATACTTCATCCATGTTCGTCACTGGTCCTGATGTCGTCAAGGCAGTCACAGGCGAACATGTCTCTCAAGAAGCATTGGGTGGTGCTCATACACATACAATCAAGACAGGCGTAGCCCACCATGCTTTTTCCAATGATATTGAAGCCCTAGAAGGCATGCGACATATCTTGTCTTATTTACCTTCTTCCAATCGACAAGAAGCACCTCGTCAAGTCTGTCAAGATGCTGTGGATCGTCAAGACGCAGCCCTTGATATGATTGTGCCCTTGGACAGCAGTAAAGCCTACGACATGAAAGAAGTCATCCATCGTATTGTGGACCTGCATTCGTTTCATGAGCTCTCGTCTCGGTTTGCGAGTAATATGGTGATTGGATTTGCAAGGCTGAATGGTGCTTCTGTGGGTATTGTTGCCAACCAACCCCTTGTGTCTTCAGGTGCATTGGACATGGATGCCTCTGTCAAGGCAGCACGGTTTATTCGGTTCTGTGATGCGTTTGGTATTCCTCTTGTGAGCTTGGTGGATGTACCTGGATTTATGCCTGGTACAACACAAGAGCATGCGGGTATTATTCGCCATGGTGCCAAATTACTTTATGCTTATTGTGAAGCCACCGTGCCTAAATTGACTGTGATCACTCGCAAAGCGTATGGTGGTGCGTATATTGTGATGAGTTCAAAGCATTTAAGAGGGGATTACAAGTAAGAAACAAAAAGAAGCATAGGAAAGAATGGGTCTGACCGTATTAGTGTTGCTTGGCCTTCTGCTGAGATTGCAGTGATGGGTGCTTCAGGGGCAGTGGAGATTATTTTTAGAAATCATGCCGACAAGCCATCCATGCGTCAACAATATAAAGACAAGTTTGCTACCCCACTTTTTGCAGCCAAAAAAGGCTATTTAGATGACATTATTACGCCAAGGTAAGGGAATAGACATTTGTCTTGTTTACTTAACTTTCCAAGTCAAACACGTACTCGCCTGATTGAACAATTAGAATTATTGAAGCATAAGAAATTAACCAATCCTTGGAAGAAGCATGGCAGTATACCACTCTAAGTTCTGTCAATCAGATAGATAATGCAACAATGAAATGTGTGGGAATTACTAGGATAAAAAAGGCTAAAAGATAAAAAAAAAAAAAAAATACAGGAAAGATTCCCACTATATATATAACATAATAAATAATACTTTAAAAGGAAAATCTAGGATGATTTTAAACGTGATAAAACTAAAGAGAAGCAAGATAGGACTTACATTGGCTTGTTCTGATTAGCCAATAGGAACAAAAGATTTTCGTTTACACTTTAGTGTACAACAAGAGCGAATGGAATTCATTTCATTTCAAACGATACAAGCGTAAAAATGTTTCGAAATTTTTGGTGTGACACACGATGTCAAGGCAACGCTCGTCATTTGATGCATTCATTTCACCATGGAAAATAGAATAAATAAAAAGAGTTTATTTTCTTCTCTTTTTTTTTTTCTTTCTTTTCCTTTATACCCATTATGGATCCCAACACTTTCTCTTTGTTTATGTTAGAAGACACAATGGACGCTTTGAACATGTTTGCAACCAATCATCATGTTCATCCACTTCAAATCCCGTCTTCATCTTATAATAAAGAAGAAGAGACGCCTTTGAATTATTTAGGATTTGACAATGTTCTAGACAACACACTGATGATGAACTTATTTGATTCTGGTGAATCACGCTTTAGTGAGTCCAACAAAGACGAGGATGAAGAGGAAGAAGAACAGTCACTTTCCCCTGTGCATTCTTCTAGTCTAAATGACCTTTTGGGTCTTCATACACTATTGCCTCTTAATCAAAAAGAAGAAGAAGAAAAAGGAGAAGAAGAAGAAGAAGAAGAAGATATAAAAGATGATGATAGTGATGACTCAGACTGGGAACAACCCTTCAACAATCATGCTTTAGAAAAGAAATTTACGCTACACAAGAAACGCACTAGTTCATTACCCAGCCATGAAGGTGTATCTTGTACTAATTGTGAAACAACAAACACACCATTATGGAGACGCAATTCTGAAGGACTGCCACTCTGTAATGCATGTGGACTCTTTTTGAAACTTCATGGCAAAGTTCGACCGCTGAGTCTTAAAACTGATGTCATTAAGAAACGCAATCGATCCACAAGCCAGCCTTCAAATAGACGACGTATCAAGAAGACAAACAACAAGAAAAAGAGATCGTCTTCACGGGGTCGTCGTATCACGGGTGATACCGGAAATTCATCCACAAGCAGAACTCGCAGCAGCAGCAGTAGTAGCAATAGTAGTAGTAGTAGTAGTAGTTATTAAAATATATATATATATATATATATATATATATATATATATATATTTATTCAACAATTCACTCCTATATATATTCACACACACACACACACACACACACACACATCCATTTTTTATTTTTTTTATTTTGTTCTTATTTGACTACGCACTTTACATACAACTGACTTGACTCTATGCATTGCTCTCTACCTTTCTCTTTTATTATTATTATTATTATTTTGTACAAAATAAAATAGCTCTTTATTATTATTCTCAAATGACCTTATCGTAGTCCAGGCACGTGCGTATAGTAAAGCATTATGCTTTATGTTATTAAATCTCAGTATGGCACATCTTTGCATAGACCAATCAAGTGTCCTATTTTAACAACAAGTTATCTCGGCTACTGTTCGGTGAGTTTTTTTTGGCAAGCACAACTTGATTGGGTCATCCCGCACACACATACACCATGGAGTTTCCAAAACGTCACATTATGTTGTACACAATCCCAAAATAAGAAACCAACAACAACACACACATATGTATATTCTCTCTTTCTTCCTTTTGTTTATTGAGTGTGACATATGAAAAGTCCACAAGAACAACATAAACAAGTTGTTTGGTCTTTAGAAAACGTCAGTCAGTGGTTAGTCTCAAATGGTTGGAGTTGTCTTGTAGATACATTTACAGGTAAACATAGTCATCTTGTTTTCTCGTATTTATTCGTTTAGACTACAACATTCAACATGATCGATTCCTCAACTTAAACATGGAGAATCTTCAAGAACTCCTGAGTCATGACACATTTGCAGCTATTGACAAGCAACAACTTTTGTCTGCTATTCAACAACTCAAAGCAGAACAAAAACCTTCTAAACCTCGTATTGCTATTCCTGCTTATCCTACCCATCACCTGAAACCAACTCATCGATTTGACATTACTCAATTTATACCCAAGCGCACTTCTTCCAATGAATCAAATGTATCGAAGCTATTGGCTTCATTTCAACCTACCATGATGATGATGCAAAACAATAGAACAGCACCCAAAAATCCTCGTATCAATGCCACAAATCCAGAAATCCTCAGTAAATTGTTTGGTAAACGACTACCTGTGCCAAACAGAGAACGTCGTATTCAAGTCACTTTGGACGCAGATACATTTATTCGACTCTGGATTGATCCCACCCATGTGATTGACATCAAGCGTGCTATTCTGCATAAATTAAACATTGAAGCTGAACTCAACTATTTCTTGTTTTTTCATGAAAATGGGCCACAATCAAGTAAGTAGGTGAAGCTTCTATGGTCTATCGTATAGGTTTGCTTATGTTTAAATAGCCATTCCTTTAACAGACGAAGAATTAATGTATGTATGTGAAACGTCAGATAACAATCAAACCAACCGAGTCTTGGTGGTACCTGTGGAAGGATATCGCTTGATTTGCCAACCTATTTATCATCAGCATAACAGGTAATCAAAATATGTGTCTATCTACTTGTACTTAACAGAAAAAAGTACTAGTCAAACACGCTATGTCTTGATCCAGACAAGTCCTACGCCAAGTCCTATTTCTTCTTCTTCTGTCACAGGCATTCAATTGACAGACCCAGAAACACCTCAAGATCATGACTTGATTGATCTTGACCCATCTCATCATGCATCACGCAGACCTTCATTATGGAACATCCCTGCATCCTTATACCCACCCTCTATTGAATGTGCATTTGAAGGCGTTTCTCTTTACGACCCACCCACACCAATTCATGACCAACCCTCGCATGACTTTATACAACAAACTACTTTAGTGGTGGAATCACCGCCCTCACCTACAGATTCAGAAAGACCCAGTGAAGCCATCGTTGGCGAACGGCCTTCTTTTGAACGCCTGTATCAAGACATTGATAAATACTTACCTCAACATGATGTCGATAAAGAAATCATTCAACAAAAGCAACCATCGCGTCGATTGTTAGGTCATCGTCCTTCAGTTCGTATCGTAGCGAATGAAGCCCATCGTCGTTGGAAACATCTGCCCAAGTCGATCTGTCGACGCAAATCGACCAAGATGTGGGATCGACTTATTGAACGCGTCAAGCCAGGTGAAGAAAACCGCATTGAGTTACCTACACTGGCCCAGCCAGCCAAGATGCAGTGGATGCGAGGTGATTTGATTGGCCATGGCTCGTTCAGTCGTGTTTATCATGCACTGAATCTGGCGACATTGGAATGGATGGCAGTCAAACAAGTCGATGCTGTCATCACACAAGCCGATCAACACAATCAAGACTTGAAGGCAGCTTCAGATGCACTCTATCGCGAAATCCAGTTACTGAAAGACCTGGACCATGAAAACATTGTTCAGTACATTGCGTATGACTATAACCCAGACGAAGGCCATATCTATATCTTTTTAGAATACGTGCCTGGTGGTAGTATCTCAAGTCTATTGGACAAGTATGGGTCATTGAACGAGTGCTTGATAGGGTTCTTTACAAGACAAATACTACAAGGTTTGGCTTATTTACATGAAAAGGGTATTCTGCATCGTGATATTAAGGGTGGCAATGTGTTGATTGATCATGATGGTGTCTGCAAGATTACTGATTTCGGTCTTTCTAAAAGTCAACATGAGTCTGATTCAACTCATTCGCATATGAAGGGAACATTGTATTGGATGGCCCCTGAAGTCTTGGAGCATCACTACAGTCCTAAAGTAGATATATGGAGTTTAGGCTGTACTGTATTGGAGATGATTACAGGGGAACATCCATGGATGGAACTGACCACTTTGGCTGCTCTTTATCAAATAGGATTACATAATGCACCTGCTATTCCGACAAATATCTCGGATCAAGCCAAAGACTTTTTACAACAATGTCTTCAAATGTAAGTAGTCGATATCATTTGACATGGACTTATTTATTTGTCTAGTGATCCTGAACAAAGACCTACAGCATCTGAATTATTACAACATCCTTTTGTTCAACCTGATCCAACGTTTGATTTTAAAGCTTCTTTAAAGCAACAAACACTTCAAACATGATACCTTGTAATTTACTACTACTACTACTACTACTACTACTACTACTACTATTATTATTAATCATAATAAAAATGAAAAGGGAGTATTTTCTCCTAATGCATCTTATGACAGGTTATCAAGTCGTATTTAAGGGAGATGGGATTGACTTATTTCCCTCTCTCTCCCCCCCTCCTTTTTTTTTTAAAGAAACTATGTACTGATCGATTTTTATTTGTTTGTTTGTTTTTAATAATTTGCATTGTATTTGGACTGATTGGAAGGTGTAGAATTTGAAGAAGAAGACGGTGATTGAGAATAACTAGAAGAAGAGGAAGGAGGAGGAGGATGAGGTTGATACGCATACGGTATGTGAAGACGATATTGTTGTTGTTGTTGTTGTTGATTTGACGGTGAAAATGGATACTGTGATTGAATGGGATATTTAGAATAATGTGAATTACTTGGTTCAGATGCTATAAAGTAATTTTGGGATTGTGGTTGACGATCTATTTTGAATGATAAATAAAACATAGGGTATGATAATGATCTATACTTGCCTACAGATACTTGTGGTGTGGAAGACATCATAATATTAGCTGAATAGCCTTGTCTTGGTTCTAATAATGAAGAAGAGGAAGAAGAAGAAGGCTGCCACACAGTAGCAGGAATTGTTGTAGTAGTAGTTGTAGTAGTTGTGGTTGTTGTTATTGCAGTAGTTGTAGTAGTTGTAGTAGTTGTAGTAGTAGTAGTAGTAGTAGTAGTAGGATTGGGTGGTGTATTAGTAGTAGGATTGATGGGCTTTGAGCTATAATTGATATACCTGGTAGGCATAGGCAGTAGATCATTTCTAAGTGGATATAAAGGGTTTTGAGATGCATTCGGTGTAATAGGTGATGCATTATTATAATGGTGATTCACTTTTCTTGTAGCCACCTTTTGTTTCTTTTGAGCATTCTGTTCTGATGTATCAAACTTTGTTTTGTTTCTTCTTTGGCGTAATTCTTTTCGAATACGGATCTTGAGTCCTTGGTCCGCAAACGATCTCGATAAAAATGTCGATTCTTCCATACCAGGAAATTTCTTTGCAGAGTAAACAAAGAACTTTTCCGATATGATAGATCGACAATGAAACACTTCCTTGCCAATGATCTCAAACAAGCTCAGTTTGAGTCGATAACTTCCTTCCATTCGAACTGATAAATCTGGAAACACAAAAAAGCCTGCATCTGTGTTATCGATATCTTTAAGATGGTAAAGGGAAGAAACAACAGAGCCTGTTGTACTCCTTGTCTTTCCGTCGCGTAGCAAGTGTAGTTCCTCATCCAAATCAGCTGCCATGAGTGAAGCGTACATAAAGTAATAAGGATTTTGTAAATACGCACTATCAAGAAGTTAGTGACGAATCAAGTAGCCTATGATCAACTTGCTTTTTTTCAGAAAGCGGTAATGAGTTGTCAATCACCTTGAGTTGAACAATGGCTAAGAAAAAAAGAGAAAAGAAAAAAGAGTGTGTGTCAGTATAGAAAAGAGTAATCAACAGGCATGATTACGTGGAGGATCGATCGGTCTACGGTCAGCTAATCACACAAGATTAATCACTGATGAACACCATGTGACATTTACCTTTCTCTCCAACACCACACATGCGTGATTGCTTTGGTTGCTGTCGTAGAGTGAGCTGATATATTCTAGTCACATATTAGTTCTTCTTATAATATCAGTCTTATTTTACATTTCGTGCCGATTCTCTCGTCTTTGTTTGACTTTAGCAAAGTGATAAGAAACTGTTTCATCCATATAGTTAATCACTACTTGAAGACTTGTATGGGTTTTTTCATAGACTTGAAAAAAAAAAAAGAAAAAAAAATGATTGAATGAATTATTTATACTAGAAAAAAAATTTCCTTTTTTGGGTAAGAAAAAAAAAACGAAACAACATGATATACACAAATTGAAATACAATAGGGATTTTATAGCCCTGACTCCTTCAAACGTCTGGCAATCGTATCTTCACCACGCTCCCTAATTCACAAAATAAGGATTTTTTTTTCTGATGATCTCGCAGAAACAAATTACCTTGGCTCTAACTTTAAGCTTAATTCATACAGTTCATCTTCTTCTCTGCTTGAATGTAAATGGGTCTTGATGAATTCTTGAATATCAGGCACAGCTGTCAGCATATAATGAGTTGACTGATATTGTTGCAAGTCACGTATGACTTCTGCTGTTTTCATGCGTTTAGCAAAGTTAATCTGGTTATTTGTCTTTTTTAGATAATTTGAATTGCCATCTTCAATGAATGTCAAATCTTGTAGGTAAATACCCAAAAATGGAATGCAAGGAGGATTGACTTTTTTGATCAACTCTCTGTATTCTGCAAAATTACGTTGGGCACCCATCAATCGACGTATGTTCTGCAATGTCAGCATACTACGTGTACTCATCAGTTCCCAAGTACGCTTTAGACGACCGATGGAACCATTATCAAATGCAGACAAAATAGCCATACACATATTAAAATTGTTGAGGGTTCTGCATCGTTCAGCCACACTGATCCAATGCTTCATGACGACAGCGCGCTTCTTGACTTCTTCTTTACTCAAGATGGAGTCTGTCACCCAAGCAGTGACTTGATTGGAATGTTCAATCGAGGCTTTGATATTGGCGGCAATGTGGTTCTCCGAGTCAGGTTTACCCCAGTTTTTGTCAAGACATTCCACGGGTTTGATACGGTTGTAAAGCTTAAAATCCATAATGGTCATCTGTCTAGCCAGTTCCAATGGATCCAGTTCAAGTAGTTTGATGTGCTTCATGTTCTTGGGCAAGATCGAGGGAGGCATGTCTGCTGTACGTACGTTCAGTTTCATTTTACGAATCTGGCCTGAATCTTCAGCCAACATGCGTTTCTTGATCAATTTGGTCAATTGTTCTGCACCAAATTTCATACTTTCGACAATGACATGTTCTGTAAAATGACTGATTTCAGGCAAGATAGGGCGATCTTCTTCTTCATTAAAGTAGGTCTCAAGCCAGGATTTAATGATATTAAACACTCTAAAGATAAGCATGAATAAGGTTAAATTTGCAAGAATTTACCTTAATCGCACAAGCTTTAATTTCTTTTCTTTCCAGATCCCCAGTTCTTCTGCTGTCAATGCGTCTGGTGCAGCCAATTGGTATCGACTGAACAGTTCATGAAACAATTGTTCCGTTGTACAGAAAGAGCGATAGGTCAACAGAAAAGTAGAGTTAAATTTGGAATCTAAGTGATATTGAATAAAGGTTCTTTTTTTTGGCTGTCTTGTTCACTTTACCTAGTTGATCGTGCTGTGTCATGTACTGTACTAATGTATGCAATGAGCCACCCTTGACATTCCCCTCCATATTAAAACTAATTTGATTGGGATCACAATCAGAACCTAAATACCAAGGGACTTCTAATCCATGCGCATTAGTGATGGGCACTGTGCTGATATCTTCACGAAGACGAGCTGTCAAGGTGTCTTCGCCAAAGAATTCAGCCAGTTTGGTGACCTTGTCTTTACGCTGAGGCGTGTCTACATCAGGCTGTATGGTGTCTTCAGGGTCTGTTTGATGAAGCATAGGATCTGATGAGATGGTCTCCATCACATGCGTGAGTCCTTTCTCAATCGTCTCGACACACTGTACAAGTCGTTCATAAGCAGCTTTCAATTGTTCTTGGTCTAGATCAGACGATGTGATTGTCTGAGAAGCCACAAAGAGTCCACCCATAGCGACATACACAGGCTGCTTGGACTCGACGAGTGCTTTTGTACGTGCCTGATACGGTTGTGCTTGACACACATGTTCAATCGCATTCAGGAACTGACTAGTAGTATTGCTCAAATTACGAAACTGAGCCACGAGCATAGGCGCATGCATCTTGAGTGTGGTTGGATGATCATAAGCCGTTTTCACACTGTCCATAAAGGATGTCATGGCACCACGGACCTGATCCACCAAGACCAAGGTGGATGTCACCATATTATTGTCGGATGCATGAGCCATGCTTTTGAGGATCAAAGGGTTATTACGAAACTCATCGCCTGTCTCTGTCTTGAGTGTGGGTTTGCCCTGTCGAATGTCCACACGACATGCCTGTGCTGTACTGATAAATTGGCGTGTGGCCATCAGGACATCAGTGGCGTCTGCATCTAACTTGGTCAAGGAGGATGGAGCAGGCCAAGCACCGGAAGCCACTTTTGTAGCAAGTACCAGTTTAGCTAACGAAGCCAATAAGGTACGATGTGCCTGTCGTAATGATTTGTGCGATCCGAGATAGACAGAGGCATCCTTTTCTATACAGTGTGTGACATAGAGTAAGCGTCGGACATGGTGGACAATGCGTGTGGCATCTTGTGACAAACACTGAGGTTGATGTTGACGAATCGAAGTGTGCAGTGTATCAACCGCTTGTTCAATCGATTCAGAAAGATGTGACCATGTACATTCTTCTTTTTCTAGTGTCAATAGGGGTTCTTCTTGAAGACGAGTGTTATCCATGGCTCCTGGTGGTGGTGGTGGTGGTGATGGTGTATTGGGCAAACAAGTCAACTAAGATGATTAACACACTCTGTTCATTGGATGATCCACTTACTAATGCACCTGTGTCTGGATCAATGTTTTCTAATTCCCAAGTGGTTTGAAGTGTCTTGGTGTTCAAATAATAAAATCGACCTTGGGCTGTTGTTTCTCGGACCCAATGTGGAGGAAGCTAAGTAGAGGAAATCAATACGAATCCAGCTCCTCTCCTATATCAACTTACTTTTTCATCATCATAAAACTCTTCTTCTTCTAATAAAGGTAGACTATCCTGACTTGATTCTGTTCTGATACGATGGTCTGATCGTGCCGGACGAGTAGGTGTTTCGAGACCCATGCCATGCTGTCCATTATGAAACGTGCCATCGTTCAAACTAGACAGGCTCTCGTTGTTTTCCATAGGATAAGGAAATGAATACCTCATTTCGTGTGTGTGTTTGTTATAATAATATTGTTCAGAACCATCTTCTGTGGTCTGTAACACCCAGGCTGAGTCTAGCGGAGAAGGCATGATGATGTCTGATGCCATGAGTGTATCGGAAGCATGTAGACTCAATCTTAATTGTTGCTGCATGGTTAAATCAGTTATCGTACGTTGTTTCGGTTGTTGTCTCTAAACAAGATCAGTAATTATGCATAAAATGATATCTTATTACTTGTTTCTCATTGGGTGCCTTGATGATTTCGACATAATTACTAGGAAACCAACCTCGTTTACCATGACACCTAAATATGGGTTCATAAATACGCTTAAGCTAACTGGATGCATTGTATCATTACCAACCGTCCCACCAACCCGAGTCGAGTTGTGAAAGAACGTCGATCACGGAATCAGCTTTGAAGGATAAAGAAGCAGGGTCAGTGGACTCATAAGAGTATAAAGCTTTTACTCGACAAATAACTTTATGATGATGATGAAGCATGATATAAAAAAGAGAAGAAAAGGGGAGAAAAAAGAGAGAAAGTAGAAAGAAAAGGGGGAGTTTTTATACTGCTTTTTTTTGGGTTGGTAATACAAGAAGAAAGGACAATAAGACAAAAATTTCTCTTTTCTTTCTCCTCTTTTCCATACTCAAAAGGCCCTCTTTTACTTTTTTTTTTTTTTTTTTTTTTTTTGCTTGTTCTTCTCCTATTTCACAAAATACTTAGTTACACAATTTTTAAAAATATAGCAGTTATGCTCTTTTTTTTTAAAAAAAAAACAATTGATTAAATGAAATATATCAAATATATTGGTATAGCTCCGTTTCATTTTTTTATGGTCTATTTATTTACAATAAAGAAAAAAAAAAAGGCAGTTTAATCGTTATGTTCAGGGTCATGAACAACGTCATAACGTTTGCCACGAATACCCCAAATACCATAGTTTGCAAAAATAGTCTGTCTCAAGTCCATCAAGTTAATATCACGCTTTAAACTACGGAATTCATTCACAGTAGGCTTTAAAATCCAATCAAATTCACCCATATAATCTTGTTCAACAGCCTCTACATCATTCTTCATATCAGCTTTATCATAACCCGTAATGAAAATAGGACACTTGGTCTCCAATGCTTTCTCAATCGAGGGTTTCCATCCTTCACGAGCCTCTCCATGACCAATACCAGGAGAGAACAAAAAGAACAAGTCTGTGTAAGGATCAAACTTGTCAATCTTGTCATGATATTCATGGTACATGGCACTATCATAAGTAAAGAACAGACGTTCATTTACTGACTTGGTATGTGGTTCTTGGTTGGGTGATAAAGCATCAGGACCAACAAAGTGAATATGGAAAGGAGAGGAAGGGAACAAGTAACATAATTGGAGCCAGATATGAGCAGGTAAGGTGGCTTCTGCACGAGCACCTAGAAGGTACACATTGATGGTGTCTGTACGTACTTGAGCTTGAGCATCATTGCTGTTCTGTGTATTGGGGTAGAGCACTGTTCTTAAGGCAGCAATCGAACGCATGCCTTCAGCTGTCACTTGTTGACCGTATTTATAAGGACTGGATTGATGCAAGACAGAGGCAATCGTGATTGGATAAGTCAATAATTTAGAGACATGGCGCATGGACCTGTCAGAGTCCATGGAAGGAAAACTACGTGTATAAAAGAAAATGTCCCAGTTGGCCATATTGACAGCTTCATCAAACCCTTGTGCACCTATATGAAGACTGTGTCAAGACAATAACAAGATAGAGTACAACTTACTAGGAAATTCAAATTCTCGCATGGGTCTACCAGAACGTAAATCATGATCATCTTCATTTTGTTGTCTTAAAATACCACAATTCTCTTGATGAGCTGCTTTTCCTTGATGATAATGGTCTTCACAACAATGGGTAGGATAACCACAGTCAGGACAGTCAAATGTAGGCTTCTTTTTTTCACCTTCATGGTTATCACAGACAGGACAGACACCATACTTGTTAATGATAGCTGCTCTGTCTCGCATCTCGGGTAAAGGTGACTTGGATAGCACATGAAATAAGTCGTCTTGTTCTAATAACACTGATCCTTCTCTGGCTGGTTGACTCTTGCCAAACAGACCCTTGAAAGAAATAGGTCGTACGATAGATTGTGTCAAATGACGTTGATACACAGGGGTCAAGACAACACGACGACTGTTATTTCTTAGTAGTTGACGGGAAGTTGGAAGAATAAGTTGCTTGAGTGTTCGATTCATGACAGAAAGAAACTACGCACTCTTTTTCTAAAAAAAAAAAAAAAGGCAAACAGGGCAAGGTGATTTTCTCAAAAAATTTTCTTTGTTTAAATGACAGCCAATGAAAATGTCTCCCATGTTTAATCCAACAAAACGATATCTTCTTCATCATCTTCAAGGACAACCACATTGTCTATAACAGAATGAGATGTCTTTGGCTTCTTGATAACTTCTTGTACTTCTTCTTCTTCTTCTTCTAGTTTACGTTTTAATAAGGCAGGTGTAGGTTTAGGAATCGGATGTAATAAAGACACTTGATGTGGGCTGACATCATTCTCCCTAATACAGTATAAGACGAAGCCATTACGATGAGAAACTTACACTGCTTCAAGAATGAGATCAACATCATTGTCATCATCTTGTGTAATACGCAAAATACTACCAGAATTCAAACCAAGATCTTTTAATGGTAAATGGACATTCTCATCATATTCAATATCATACAGCATACGATGACCATCCATAATAGCTACTTCATCTTCTATCATACCAGCACCACCTTCTTCTACAGACAAAAGAATGGCTTTTTGAATCAAGTCACTCAGGGTGGTCGTATTGAAGTCAACTTGAGTAACAGCACTTCTTGATCGACAGACACTGCATTTAGGATTAGGATCCGCATTGGCTTCTTGCACAAGACGAGAACCAGTAGTAAGATAAGTCTAACAGATACATGAGTCATGATGCTACCATGTCAAATCTAACTCTACTCTTTGATTGTCCTTGATGTTGCCACGTAAAATACCAAAGGCTTTCATAGTAACAAAGCCTGCAATCACAGCATTGGTGGTGGCAATAGCTGGAATAATATTGCCTGCCATGGCTATAGAGAATACATTAAAACAGAAAGTCTACATGGTCTAGTTTACATTTCACATCAAATAGACTCTTGGTGGAGATACCAAAGACATGCGCTCTCAAGTTAGAAGCAGCTGTCACGAAATCCATGGCATCTTCGTCATCTTTATCAAACGACAAGATGGCATCTGGCTCTGTCTTTCTCTTTTGAATCAGTCGAGTCGACAATCGTACTAAGCTGTCTTTAAACATATCAAAGTTTTGCTTCAGACTCCATACAGTTTGATCTGGAAGACCTTTGGGTTCTTGTGTCTCTATCATGGTGTTTTCTAATGTATCAAAGTCTAAAGGTGTAGGCATTTTACGGTTCTTCCACATCGATGTCATAGATAAAAGGCGTTGGATATCGATCTTGTAGACTTTATCAAACACTTTCTGGGCATATTCAGGTGAACCTGCTGCATCTTTGATCTGCTTTAACTCGGCTGTTTCTCTCGTTAAAGCAGCTACTTCTTGTGCATTCTCTTCAGACTCGTCTGCTTCAATGGCTTCTTCGTCTTCTGAATTACCAAACAATTGATTGAACAAAAAGCTCTTTGCCCATACAATACAATGGATAGGAGCACTAGGTGTACTTCGAATGGTACATACAGGATAAGTCGTAGGTGTTGGTTTAGGTTGACAATCAAAGCATTCAGTAACAGACTAAATAGATGAGACAAAAAAAAAACTGGGATAAGCTTACTTTTTTGATTACATAGGCTTGTCCCAAGTATCCTTGTGTGCCTGACTCAACAAGAGGAATATCGGCTGCTAAACACATGGCATTGACGTGTCGACGAGCCTCTAGATTATCCAACGCGTTCAAGACCATGGTGAATTGTCTAAACCATGGCACATTGAATTGAGGATCTTTGATATTCGCTTGAAGAGACGTAATGTGGGCCTTGGGATTGAATTTCTGAGCTGATTCTTTTGCCACCTAAGGATGGATTAGTGCATGGTGTAAACAAAGTGAGGGTATTTACGTGTGCTTTGGCCTTTTTGACGTGTTGGCGTTGAAATAAGAATTGTCGATTCAAGTTGGAAATATCAATCGTATCTAGATCGATCTGTTTTTTTTTTTCAATAGATGAATGAATGGCCATAGCATGTGCCCTAGTTACCACTTGAATGTCTTGAAAGCCGGACATGACCAAGTTCTTTAAGAGTTCGCAGCCGATACCACCAGCGCCTACTAAGAGGATCTTACTGGAGACTACTTTTTCATAAAGATCTTGACCAAGCACGCGTCTATTATAGGTTTCTCTATCGTTGGTCATTCTAAAGAAATAGGAAGAAAAAAAAAAGACGGCTTTTTTTTAAGCTGACTTGAATTTGATCTCCTTTGAAGTTCGCAACAGAAAGTTTAAAAAGTGCATGAATGACAATACAAGTAAAAATGATTTATTTGTAGTAGGAATGATAGGCAGTTGTTGCTTTGACCATCGTAAACGTCTTTGCGTATGATTTTTTAAAAAAAATTTTGACATGTTCTGTGTATTTTTCAGGTCTCAAGTAAACGCTTTGCATTAAAGCAGATAATCTTAGAAAGCTACTTTGTCGTCAATTGAGGATCTATTAAAACACAATACACAAAAGGGGCTCCGTATTGCTATTTGTTATCATCTCAACGGATTTACTTGTTATTTGGTCTTTTAACATTTAACCTATTTTTCAACAGTGTTCTACCAGTGGACCACATTTCGTAGCACACAAGTAGAAAGATTAAATATTCTTTTGAAACAAATTATGAAACATGTAAAGGACATTGTATCTATTGAAATGGATGTGTTTTCTCTATCAGAAGATGTACATTAAAAAAGGAGCATAAAGCCCGCTCTAACCCGCATAAACACTTTAGATACCTACAAAGAATGTTTAATAATGTACAGGGTATCTTTGGGATTGATTTCAACAAAAAAAAAGCGACTTGTAAAAATGGCTAAAAACCTCTCAAGACGAAATGGTACCGTTCATCATAATCTTAATTTTGACAACTTTGGGTCTTCTTTCGAACGCTACAAGACAAAGAATAGAGCTATTGACAAGCTTAAATACTCAAAATGTGCATCGGGGGCTATAGTTTTTTGGTGAATGTGTTTGTTTAACATTTGTACTACAAAAATGATGAGATATGGGCAAGAAAGCCTGTGGATATTCTTGCCTATTTGCTCAATATTTTAGCAGCAAAGTTGATGTGCTCTTTATATCAACAGATTTAAGATAAAAAGATTCACAACTTTTGTCATTACGCCAAAGCTATATAACTGCGTCTTTATGCAGTTCTCAGCAAAAGCTCGATTTTTGCGGCTAGATAAAGAACTAGAATGGATTATATATTTAATCTTCGATACCAACCATCCTGTACATCTTTTGTCCATTTGCCTCCACATTTACATTACAAATCGACCATGTTTCTACTTTTGCCTGTCCTCTAGCACTCTGAGTCATATACAGTATTATTTAGAAGTCTATTGCTAGCATATTCTATATGACATCTAGAGCAAAAATGCTCAGATCACAGCTTAAATGCACTATTCTTTGATGCATCATTACTCGACAACCAGGCTATCAAAACAGTCTGTTTTCTCACTTAAAACATGTTCTTTGGAGTCAAGGAATCGCATGATACCATTGGTTTAGCTGTTATGTGATATTTATTTTTTCTTGACCCATGGGAGATCCATGGAGGTCCGTGAAGATGAAAAGAACAAAACTCGATCGAGAATTCTTGGAATGACCTGATGAAGGCTTGATCTAACCGAAATCAGGCAAGGCCATGTACAAGTGCTTTCAAAGAAAAGAAAACGAGTTTAATAAGACGAAAAAGGCGAGTCAATTTGAGCATTGGCTTCAAACCTGCAATCAAAGGTTGTTTTACACTATAATCAGTATAAAAGAAGCTCACTCCAATAGATATTGACTGATAAATAGATGGTTCTTCTAGTAGTATTGACAGAATAGAAAAAGACGTTTGTATGCTTTAATCGATACTAAACGCATATAAAAAATAAGACTGATTAGGACCAACAATGGCCAAAAGATATTTGCCTTATTACAGTCATGCTTTACGTCATTCAATTATTTTTGTATTGGGGACATAAAATTAGATGTCAAATAGAGTTGTATGCTTGTAAGACCTGATGAAAGTATAGAAGGCGAAAAGAGAGTGAGATGAGTTTTAATTCAGAATGATAGTATTGCTTATTATGGTATTTATGCAAATGAGAACAGATTACGAAATGGTTATTCAGCTTACGATATTTTTACTAATACTGTTTGTATTGACTGTATTTAAAGCAAAATTTCAAATTGGGTGAATTTTACCTTTTCTTTATCTTTATTTTATACATTACTATGTCTCAACAACAATATGGCTATATTGGTTTAGGTGCTATGGGTAAAAGTATGGCTGGTCATATTGCCAACAAGCTTGCCTCTTTAAACCATCCTCCTCTTTTGGCATACAACCGTACACAAGCACGCGCCGAGGATCTTAAAAAGACACATCCTGTAGAAGTAGCCACTTCTTTGGAACAAATTGCTGCTTGCCCAGTCATCTTTTCTTGTCTGTTGAATGATGCTGCTGTGAAGGACACAGTTGGTACACTTAAGCCTCATTTGAAATCAGGTACTATCCTTGTCGAGTCGTCTACTATTAGTCCTACATTAGCTACTGAACTGGCTGCTGAACTAAAAGACATTGGTGTTGTTTACTTGGCTTGTCCTGTCATGGGCCCTCCCGTCAAGGCTGCCTCTGGTGATTTGGTTGTCTTGATGGCCGGTGGTTCTCAACAAGTGCGTGAACAAATTCTTCCTTTATTGATTCCCGTGATTGGTAAAAAAGTGATCGAACTCGGCTATGAAAATGCAGGGGAATCTTTACGCCTCAAGTTGTGTGGCAATTACTTTATCAGTAGTGTGGTTGAAATGATTGCTGAAGGAATGACTTTGGGTGAAGCTGCTGGTGTTGGTCAAGATAAAGTGAAGGATTTATTAGATGCTGTCTTCCCCAATACATTGCTGGGTGTCTATGCTGGACGTATGTTGAATAATACCTATCGTGATCAAATTGCTTTCCCTATCTCTACTGCAAAGAAAGATATAGGTCATATCATGAACATGGCCAAGGAATCTAATGCCAAATTGCCCATTACTGAGGCATTTTTGGAAAATGCAGATGCAGTTCAATCCAAGTATGGTGACTTTGACTTGTCCTCTGTGGTTGGAAGTAAGTAGAGACCTTATACATGACAGTATACTCATCTTTATCCTAGACTTGAGAGAAAAGGCCGGTCTTGATTTTGATCTCAAGAAATAATTGTTGCATAAAAGTAAAAATTTACGCAGTACAAATAAAACTTTTTTTTTCTTTGTTTCTTTTTGCTTGCATAAAAAGAGTCATCGTATGACGATCTCCATAAGAATCGTTCACTTGGACCACTATATGGCAAAGCCTAGTCCTTTAGATCGCTCATATTCTCCTTTTTGTGATAAAAAATTGTATAAAGTTCCTGTTTTACGTGTATTTGGTTCTACAAAGGCAGGACAAAAAGTGTGTCTTCATGTGCATCAGGTAAAGAGCAAGTTGGATCGCGTCTCAAACTCACATTTTCGATCCAGGTCTATCCTTATTTCTATGTTCCTTTTTCAATTCCTACCAGGTATACTACTGAAAAAGACATTCAAAAAGACATTTTCCAGTTCGGCACCAGTTTAAACGAAGCCATGAATTTAGCAAAACCCAATGCGCCAAAAGACCAGCATGTTGCAGCTATTGTGTTGACTAAAGGAGTACCTTTTTATGGCTACCATGTAGGATATCAAACTTTTTTAAAGATTTACTTGGTACAGCCTCAAGAAAAACAACAGGCACTTGACATTTTACAAACAGGAGCTATCATGAACACCTCTTTTCAGCCTTTTGAAGCGCATTTGAACTTTGAGCTACAGTTTCTGATGGATCATAACCTGTATGGTATGGACTGGATAGATATTGACGATGCTCATGGGCTGGATAATGAGCCATTTGGAATTAAGTTTCGATCCCCTTTACCTGAAGAACCAAAAGCCAGTTTTGATATATCCCAATCTTCTTCTATCACACATCATAGTCTTACATCTATGGGTCTATCTGCAGAGCCTGCTGTTTATACATCAAAAACAGTACCTTCTCAGTTACAGTCAGATATAGTGGCTCGAGAAAGCTATTGTGAATTGGAGATGGATATTACCGGCATGTCTATTCTCAACAGACAAGATCTGCAACAAAGAAGTATACATACTAGCCTGAAAAGGGAGAAAGAAGTTGAAGCAAAAAATAGGGAGAATGAACAAGTATCTAAGCTTGTAAAGTCACTTGAAAGCATCTGGAAAGATGAGACAAGTCGTCGAAGATCTCAAGGCATTCAAGACCCAATTTCTTTAGCAACACAAATAAGTGATCGAGAACCTGACATGCCCTGGCTACCCAACATGCAAAAGGCTTTCAATACCCTATTGAGTGGAGCCACTTTTAATGAAACCAGTGAATCGCAAAACTCTTCTGCTTTAATTCCTGAAGTAATGACAGCATTTGAATCAGTAGAAGCATTGTATCCTGAAGAATACTTTACTTATGTGCAAGCAAAAAAGGAGGTGAAAGAACAAGAAGACAGCAATGAGCCATCCTGTCAATCAATCAGGCTTCCTAGCTCATCTATTCCCACGACACCTACACGCTTGAACGTATCACCTCGCACAGCTACGACGCCTGTTTCCAGTCAATTCAATGTCTCTGCAACACCAACAAGATATAAAGCATGGGATTTACCTTCTCAACTAGATAAAAGTGTCTTAAATTCATGCATTCGAGATTCATCTCTTGATGAGTTGGCATATGAAAAACAACCCGAAGACAATCCTGAAGATGAAGACAATTATTTCACTTTGGATGATGACTTGAGTGATGGCGATATTATTGACTTGTTAAAACAAGCAGAAGAACAACAGTCAGTGACAAATAAAAGATACCCTACTCAAATCATTGAATATGAGCCAGAAAATACGGTCAAATACCAGCCTCGAAGATTAGATTTTATTGCAGAAACCAACAAAATTGATGCTATTTTGCAACCCTCGACTAGACCATTAAGTCAGAAAAAGAGTCTTTTTGACAATATAGAAAATAAACCATTTGAAATTAGTGATACTCCACCTGATCCAGTGTATGTGTTATATGTATCTGTGTAGCCGTTGCTAATATCGTCTTATAGACCACGCCTGCTCAAATCACACCGAGAAAGAAGTAGACACCGAATTAATCAGACAGATGGTGTCAATGATCCAAAAGAAGGCGACAAAAAACGAATACAATCAGCAGCTGAAAAATGGGAATTAGAGAAGAAAGCATTGAAAAAGATGCGATTGAAAAAGCAAGAAGTACTACTCAAAGCTCGTCAGCCTCCTTCGCCTCCGCCTCGTATTCCTCAACTTGTTGTTCAAGTAGAACAAAAAAGGCCTTCTGTTGAAGATCATCCAATGTTTCAAAAAGTGTCTGTGGTCATTTCTGATTCTAGAAAGCGCAGGAAAAGGTCCAAGTCTCATAGTCAACCTGTCAATGAAACAACAAGACACAAGCCAGCAAGTATTGTTTCCTCCATGTCGACCGCAACCGAATCTATTTCTAAAAGACAACCTAAACCAAAAGAAGACAACCATGTATCCAAAGTGCCTCATTATTTAAGAAACCAAGAAACAAGACCTACTCGACCCAAAATATCTTTATCAAAATCCTTGAATTCTCTTCGTAACAAAGACAAAACTATTGAACCACATGAACCCAAGCTTGTGTCTACAAAGGAACTTACAGCTCCTCAAACAGAATCATCTATCACGAAACAAGTAGAAAACAACCTTCAACATAATTTAGAGAGTCAAAGCTCTGATCAGACTTATTTCATTAAACGGATTGATGGTATGTGGTCTTCGCAAGAAGAACCGTCTTCACTTTCGGGTTTGCAATTCTTTGAAGTGCATAAACCATGTCCTGTATCACCAACTAAAGACAAAAAAATATTGATTGGTGAGAAGCCCAGTGAGGTTTTCCTTATGGATGACGAACCTAAGGAAATGGTCTTAAACAACAACTTGTCCAATGAAGAAATACCTCATTATGTTGACAACGAAGGTTCGACATCTTTTTCTGCGCCAGCCTATCATGCTAAGGATACTCATGTATACAGTACACCACCTACAAAAGAATTTATCTATGGTCTCGCACCACCTGTTGTTATTGAAGAAAATATAGAGGATAAAGGGGTTATATACCAAGAACCATTTTACAGTAAAGCATCTGATTTGCCTCGTTTCCCTACTGTATTTGCCGGGAAAGAATTCAGATTGCCTACTTGTGATCTCAAATCACTTAAAGAGTTCAAGACTGTCTATACAGGCTTCAAGGACACAGAAGAAAGAAGGACGAGTATTCGAACATGGACACCAAGTCAGGATTCTCCTACTTTTCAACAAGTCAAACAATGGCTTCATACAAAACAACCTCCAAAAAAGCAAAGAGATACAGAAACACAGGTATGGTCAGTACTTTCTCTCTCTCTCTCTCTCTCTCTCTCTCTCTCTTATACATCAACTCATTCATTTCTTTTACTCAGTTGGATTATCCTACAGCAGATAACTCTTTTCGCTTTAAGTTGAGTGCAGCAAAACCACAAGATAAAGTGAAGCGAGTGCCTGATTACATTGATTACTTTAGCGTTGAAATACATGGTAAGAAAACATGCGTATTCATTCATGTTAAGATGATGTGTTCTAGTCAATACTAGACATCAATTACTGCCTGATCCAGAACATGATCCTGTTCAACTTGTTTTTTGGTGTCTACAAACAGAAGATCAACGTGTTCCTTCAAATGGATATCAAGATGAGTATTATGTTGGTGTTATTGCCATGAATGATTTCGATATTTCTCGTATTGGGCTTGGTGCTTCTCGTAGGATTTAAGAATACATGTATATGACCAGCTTATCGTCTTTTTGTATATAGGTCTTGCAGTTGATTATACCGAGACAGAAGAACAATTGTTTAGTATCTTGATTGGTAAAGTAAGATACTATGATCCTGATATGCTCGTTGGTTATGAAACACAAAATTCTTCTTGGGGCTATTTAGTTGAAAGAGGAGCACAGCTAGGTTATCATCTTTTAGATGAACTCTCTCGAGTCATTATGACAACAGAGACAATCAAAAAAGATCAATGGGGCTATAAAAAAGCTTCTAGTTATCGAATATTAGGCCGCCATATGCTGAATGTATGGCGACTTATGCGACATGAGCTCACATTAACCAGCTATACACTTGAGAATGTCGCATATCATTTACTTCATCACAGGTAGAAAAAAAAAGGGGGGGAGATAATTGCTGTCTTGTGAGACTCAGAACATTGATTAACTCAATAGAATACCACATTATGCATATTCCATCTTAACAAATTGGTATACTGAAGGACCGCCTATTCTCAAGTATCGTTTGTTTGAGTATTACATGAAACGCGTTCAACTTAATTTAGAAATCCTTGATGCTTCACAAGTCATCAGTCGAATGTGTGAATCAGCTCGTGTGTATGGCATTGATTTTTATGCAGTCATGACAAGAGGATCGCAATATAATGTAGAGTCTATTATGTTTCGTATTGCAAAGCCAGAGAATTTCATGTTGATATCGCCTAGTCGAAAACAGGTATGAACAACGTTTGGAAAAACCATGTTTGATTCACTTAAAATAGGTCGCATCTCAACGGTCGCTTGAAATACTGCCTCTTGTGATGGAACCAATTTCTCAGTTTTATAGTAGCCCAATGGTTGTGCTTGACTTCCAAAGCTTGTATCCCTCGATCATGATTGCCTATAATTACTGGTAGGCAATAGCATCTAGTTACGATGAAGCTCATCACCCATCTTTAGTTACTCTACCTGTTTAGGAAGAATCCGTCAGCCTCAAAGTGATTCAAGATTTGGTGTACTTGAATCGTTTGAATTAGAAGAAGGTCTTTTAGATGCCTTAAAAGAGCATATTAATGGTATAAAACCATGATGATATCCAAAGACATTGATTTTTTTTCGTCATAGTATCACCCAATGGAGTCATGTTTGTCAAGCCAGCCATTCGTAAGAGCTTATTGGCCAAAATGCTGTATGAACTCTTGGACACAAGGGCCATGGTCAAGCGAGCTATGAAAGACTACAAGGATGACTCGGTAAAGCCTTGAGCAGGATAATATACCCATAAGCTGACTTTTTTTTCTTATATAGGGTCTTTTAAGAATGTTGGATGCCAAACAGTTATCATTAAAGCTTTTAGCTAATGTAACGTATGGTTATACATCTGCCTCTTATTCAGGAAGAATGCCTTCTGTAGAAATTGCGGATAGCATTGTATCGACTGGTCGCGAAACTTTAGAAAAGGTATTTTGATGGATGTCGATACCATATTAAGTCTATGATAGGCAATTCGTCTAGTCAATGAGACAGAGAAATGGGGTGCTCGAGTGATTTATGGTGATACAGATAGTATGTTTGTTTATTTTCCAGGCAAGACAAAAGAAGAAGCGTTCAAACTTGGGCGTGAGATTGCAGATACCGTGACCAAGTTGAACCCTGCGCCTGTCAAACTTAAATTCGAGAAAGTGTATCATCCTGCGGTCCTCTTGGCCAAGAAACGTTATGTGGGTTTCAAGTACGAAAACGAGACGGACACAGAACCAGTGTTTGAAGCCAAAGGTATCGAAACTGTTCGAAGAGATGGAATAGCAGCTACTCAAAAGATACTTGAATCATCTCTTAAGTAATATATAAGCATAGTCATTGACACTCGTCTTATATCTTTGTTCTTTAGGATTTTGTTTCGTACACAAGACATGTCTGAATTAAAGGAGTTTCTGTATCGACAATGGACAAAGATTTTATCAAATCGAGTACCCTTACAGGACTTTATTATTGCAAAAGAAGTTAGAATGGGTACCTATTCAAGTCGAGGTGGGCCTAATGGTGCAGTCATTGCTCAAGAACAAATGAACGTAGACACAAGAGCAGAGCCTCAGTATGGAGAACGTGTGCCTTATGTTGTAGTTTATCGTGGACCTAATGCAAGGCTAAAAGACAAGGTGTTACCACCAGAACAAGTACTAGCAGACAAGTATGATTTACTCTTGCTATGCTTTCTCTAACATAGGCTCAATAGTTCATTGAGGTTAGATGCTGAATATTATATTCGAAAGCAAATCATCCCACCACTGGCCCGAGTCTTTAATCTGATGGGCGTAGATATTTTGTCATGGTATGAATCTATGCCTCGATCTGTAAAAGTAGCAGCACTCAATCTGGCTCGGACAACAGAAAACAAGTCTCGAGGCATTACACGAATTGACCAATACTATGCTAGTTCGCATTGTATTGTTTGCCGTCAAAAAGCAGATCAATGTAAGTACAGAAACAAAACGGGGACATTGAATTGACATTGTATAGCCATTTGTGAGCAATGTCAAAAAGATCCTGTCACGGTCATGTATAATCTCTATGCCAGACAACACGCAACTCAAGACAAGTACAGAAAACTGTTGCAAACATGTGAGAACTGCACTAAAATACCAACACCAGTTGTTATTTCAGCCAGTCTTGAATCATTTGCAGATGTGCCTTGCAGTTCGCTCGATTGTCCCATCTTTTATCAAAGGCACAAAGCAAAAGAAGATGTCAAAATGACATTGCATTATGACACTTTGATGGATAACTTTTCCTCTTAGTCACAAACCTTTGTCATCGTGTCTGTCCATGTATAAACAATAAAAAAAAATTCTGATTTATTTTATCATTTTGCTGTTGTGAAAAAGAAAGATGTTGTTATGGATAAATAATCTAGTTGGCCTTAGGAGGGACAACGAAACGCTAAAATGACTTGTTAGAGAAAGCACGTCAAAGTGTATTTGTGAACCTACTTGTTCCTTTTGAACACCATTTTCCCACTTGGCGAACTTGAGACCGTTTTGGTCACGACGGAGAGCAGCAGCACGAACATCGTCCTTCAAAGAGTTGCGGACTGCACGAGCACAGATGTTGGCGTATTGAAGATAACTATTACAAAAGGTAAGTCTCTATGAAATAATAAGCAAAGATACGTACGAGATACCAGCAGCTTTCCAGGCAGACATTTTGATTACTCGAAAAAGTATAAAAAAGAAAAAAAGTGTTTTTTATTACGGGGTTCCGGCTAAAAAAAGAGGCCCTGCCTTGTTCAAGCTTTTAGGAACAAACGAGGCGGCGAATCAATTGAAAGGGAAATGATGACGTTTAATTTTTTTAAACGTATTGTATCTGATTGCACCTTCATCATTTCGTTTAAACTTAAGCCTCATATCCTTTGTAATAAAGCTATAGGCTGTTACCTTTCCAATATTTGATCCCTTGAAATTAGTATTCAACTGATAGAAGGCCTGATTGACTTTAGTAGAAGGATTCTTGGCTAGCATTGCTACTAAAAAGTCTGTGTTCATTTGATTTCTTGCAGTTGCCTTGAATATAATATCTCTGATAAGAAGGCTTATCTGTCAATGCAGGTTCGGCACTCAGTTAAAGAAGTACTGGTCCACTCTAACCAAAGTCTGAACTTGAACTTTCATATCATCAATGCTATTCATTTGAAATACTGAAACGATAAAATAACTTAAGTACAGAAAGCAACAACTTGAAATGGAAACACTGTATACACGTATTCAATGCAGTGTTATTCTTTTTTTTTATAATAGATTTGATATGTATATATGTATATAGAGATTCAAAGCTTTTTTTTAAAAAAATGATGAGGATGGCAATTAATTATATGGTGCAAATTTATGCTTCGGAGGGACAATCACGGGCCTATAGCAAATGTGTTAGATAAAATAGAGAAAGAATAAATCAACTTACAAGGTGACCAGGTTGGCTACACTTGTAGCAAGTCTTGGCTTGAGCAGGTTGATCACAGTCTCTTGACATATGTCCACTGTTACCACAGTTGTAGCACTTGGGTCCAGAAGACCAATTGTTATTACCATAGCCAGAACCACCACCAGAAGTACAATCACGGCTCATGTGACCAGATTCACCACAGTTGTAGCAAGTCTTGCCACCGAAACCACCACGGCTGTTACCGCCTTCAGGACAATCGCGAGACTTGTGGCCAGATTTGCCACAAGAATAACAAGCAGGTCCATCACTGCTGTAGGCATCAGGACAATCACGAGACAAGTGACCTGATTGGTTGCACTTGTAACAACGCTTTTCAGCGCGGGGTTCAGTACTAAACACAAGAGTCAATTGAGATCCCAACTACGAAAGAACAGACAAAATACATACCAGTCTCTAGACATGTGGCCTTCTTGTTGGCAGTTGTAACTAATTTCAAAGAATAAATATACACCTGTCCATAAATGTGTATCCACGCGTCTTACCAGACATTTTCAGTCTTGGAACACTCTCTAGCTTGATGGCCAGCTAATGAAAAGCAAATCAATAAGTGCCATGAAAAGAAAATAAAAACAATCTTTTTTTTGTATTCTTTATTACATTGATACGCAATAAGAAGGAAAAAAGAAGCCACTTTCCAATTCAAATAATAGCCTCCTCTTTTTTTTTAAAAAAATTCTCATACAAGATCCTGATCCTGACAAGTAAAAAAAAAAAGAGGCGCCTTTTTCTAAAGAAGAGACCCAAGGTATGAATAGACAAAGATGTGCTTTAGAGAAAAGAAAAAAAAATTTTTTCTTAGGTCAACAGAAAGCAACAAGGTAGCCTGACAATCCCCCTTGGGTGCGTCTTTAGAATTTGAATATAGAAAGTCGCGTTTCCATAAAATATATATATATATATAAAGAAAATGAAAATAGTACTAACGTTCACCACACTTGTAACAGACACCACCTTGACGGAAAGACATTTTTGATTTTTTTAAAAAGACAAGAAGGAGAAAGAGAAAAAGAAGATACCCACAAACTTTATATCTTATTTGAAGCGGAAAGTGAAAGTCAACGAAACCAGAGTTTAAACCATTCTATGGGAGTGAATGTGAAAAAAATTTTCTCAATGCCAACCAATGAAACTGCCTTATTCATGCTTGCATACCAGCCTCTTTTTTGCTAGAGAAAATGTACTACGGTAAACATAAAGTCTTATACGACCCAGAGATAAAAACATTGTCTATTCAGATAAAAAAGGACTGATTGATTGTTAGTCTATTTGCGCATTGAATCATTGAAAATAGGTTTATGAGAATAAAGGTAGTCTATAGTTGGCGATCGCCCTTTTGCATAACATTTTGTTTGTTGACGATTTGATGGTTCTTGATTTGTAGAAATACCAACATGGTCACTATTTAGAGATCAATTCATGCAAGCAATTCCAATTAAACATCTAAAAGCATTACAAGTTTGTTCAATGAGGTTATGTACACATATTGCTCTTCTGCAGTTGTCAATACTCAAAATAATGAATACATTTTAATTTGTCCATCTAAATGGGGCTAAAAGATATGTGCTATCTAGCCTCTTTTCGATACAAAGAAAAAATCATTTGGTTATGTCTGCTTTGCCTTGAAAAAGAAAAAACAAAAAGGGCTTAGGAGCATGCAGTATTTCAATTTGGAGTTGAGAATATTTCTCATTTTTTCGTCACTTTTTGCGCTTAAACATTACTCTTTTTTTTTTTGCTAAATAGAGTATACAGTTATCTCTTGTTAACAATATATAAGCATCCGTATTTGGTAGTCGCAGCCCACTTTAACGTTCTCGTCCAAAATACTGAGGCCATAGTGTAGATTTATGCATTATTTGCTCAAGACTTCTAATATCTAGTGTAGCTTGATGATATCCTGAATACGTTGAGACATGCTGTTATAATACGAGCCTAAATCGTTTTGATTAAATTTATATCATTTTATTTTAATTATTTGCCACAAAACGAAAGAATCTTGACTAACTTTGGCATAGACAGCTAATCTATACTTTGGCTGTTTCTATAGGTGCCATGTAGAATTCAAAGCAGGACTACGCCCAAAATCAAGCGGAAACTTTAAAAATGTTGACTTTAGCAGTCATAAAATTTTAAAACGCTAAAGCTGTTCAGAATCAAGTTTGTCGGACTTTCAAAACATATTTTTCCTTAGTTATTTGCAGAAGAAACAAAAAAAAAATGAAATTGGCAACAAATAATTGATCAAAAGTATATGATGAAATGAAGTATTAAAACAAAACAATAGTAGTTCTTGTACAGAATAGCAGTTTGCATCCAATGGTGCAAACAAAAACACATGCTTATTAATGACCTTCTCAGCAATCTTACAGAAACTACGTTTCTCGTTTTCTAGATGTGACATACACTTTTTATTATACATTTGCAAACCTAACACCTTGGAAATGCTGTACAGTCTCAGAGGTTCATTTTTTGCTGATATATGCTATAATAAAATGTTGATGTATTGCTCTCAGATTGCGATTTTTTGAAAATTTATGAAAACCCTAAGGGTACCATTGGGCAAAATGGCCATTTTTTAGTCATCCAAAAGAGTGTCCTTTTCTTACAGCAAAGTCTTCTTTTATGTATGCTTATATACAGAACATTTGAAAAAAGTGTATTCCAAGCATTTTTAAGCAGCTTTTCTCACAAATTTATTCAGTTTGCATGCCAAATCAACTACTCTGGATACCTTACTTCACTGGATTTGATAGATGGCATATGAGAAAGATTGAGGAGTTATTTTATTAAACATTACACTTTTTATACCATCAAATCCGCATTGTAAACGATCTACGTTTTTACTTGAGCATAGTGCGAAAACTTACTTTCATGATAATTCTGATAACAACTCCATTAATTTTCAGTTTAATTGAAGGCTGTGTACAGTCTCTAGTTTGCGGAATATCAGATGAGATCAACAAAGCCTCCTAATCTCTTTTCAGCAGAATTTGTTTACTAGTGTCAAGTGTCAACTTTAGTAAGCAGGTCCGAGAAAAAAAAATAGTATGAGAGATACTAGCCAAGAAAGTGTACAAAGGATTACTTAATATAGTCAGAATTATTTGTTTAATGTATTCAATTGGCTCTTGGCCATACCTTTAAACTTCGTTTTCTATCACTTATTCATGCAAAGTTGTTTTATGATCAAGAGGCCGCAGTAAACTCAAAATTTGGTTATCACTTATTGTGGCACACATATAAAAACATATACAATAACATATATCATTGCCTCTGTTCCCCCCCCCTCCCCGCTTTTTTTCTTTTCTACACTTTATACTCTGATGAATTCTTTATGGCCTTCAGGGGTTTTAACTATTACAGGCTGTACGAGTGCAACTGTACTGTCAATTCAGCGTAGTCTACACTTCAAAAAACGAATTACTCTTGAAGATTATGACAAGACGTATATAAGATTAGACACAAGACGCGATACTTCAATACCTTTTGCTGATAACCGACTTAACCGTCTTGCTTTTTCAACATTGATTTTGGCTGGTTTATTTGTTTGGAAGCTTAAAGAGACTCTTGACAGTAAACAAGATAATGACTCCATGTACTCTTTAACTGCTTCTATTTGTGTCTTTCTTGCATGGCTTTATATACTTATGCTCGTCCTAATCTCCCATCGTTATCGTCTTTCTAATGCTTGGGGCTGGATTCTCAATGTTCATCTGTCCGTTCTTTATTTGTCTGAATGGATTGTGTCAATTTATTGTTTGTGGCAGCAAGTGTCATCACAAACAGATATAGACTGGCTGCACAGCCTATCCTATGTGTTACCTGTTGTCCTTGAATTCGATATGGTTTATGTAACTATTACCACAAAGTAGGGCCCTCCCTTTTGGACACTTCTGATCGGCAAGTCGTGAATCTCAACATTGAATCAATTATTGGTATTATATATCTCAGTTGGTGTGACAAAGTGGTTCAGGATGTCACTAAGAAGAAGGCTGATTTGACGGACAAAGACTTGCCTGTATTGACTGCTGGGTATCGTGCACATAACATATTTTATACTTTTGGTGCTTCCCCTGGACAAGGACTGATTAAGCGATCATTGATAACAAATAAGGCATCATTTATAGCTCAATTGATACTGAGTGTCATTAGTTCAGGATTGTACTATGGACCTGCTTTCTTTATCAATCGGTTTTTGAAATTCTTACAAGACCATAGTAATAGTGTCGAATTCGGACATCCTTTAAGGTGTGGCATTTTCATTGTTCTTTGCTTGGGTGGTGCAATTACTGTCTCTGGTATTTTGTCTTCACAGTTATGGTCTATGTGTAATTAATCATGAATCGCTCGTCATTTGGTTTTAATTTTTCTTATGGGGACTAGCTTCTTATCAAATTCAAGCTCGAATTCGTTCCATGTTAAATGTTGAAGCATACAAAAAGATACTTCGTCGTAGAGATCTTTCTTCTTCTGGTACTTATAAGAATAAAACAAAAGGCGAAGAACATACTGCTACTGCTACTGCTACTGCTACTGCTACTTCAGGTACCATTGTAAATTTGATGAGTACAGATGCTAGCCGTGTATCCAACTATAGTGCTTCGTGGTTCTTTATTGTTAGTGCACCTCTTGAATTGGTTGTTGGATAATATTTTTTATACCAATTAATAAGTGTTTCTTGCTTTTATGGACTCTTACTCGTGGTTCTTATTTCTCCTTTGAGCCATTGGAATTCTAAAATCTTTGTGAAAGCTCAGAACAGCTTAAGGAAGCTCGTGATGAACGTGTATCATTGATGAATGAGGTGCTTCAGGGTATCCGACAAATCAAGTTCTTTGCTTCAGAGGCTAACTGGGAAGAACGTGTCATGAAGGCTCGTCTGCTTGAATTAAGACAATTAAAGATGACTTATATTAACAACATTGTTTACTCTCTTTTATACAATGGGTATGTATGCTAGTATCATACCAAAAGAAACAATTAACACTTTTTCTTTTCTTCTAGTTCGCCTATTTTTTTAAGCTTGATTACATTCTTTTTCTTTACAAAAGTGCACGGTGGACAGCTCACTGCTCCTATTGCGTTTACTGCTATCAGCATCTTTAATGAACTCAGGCTTGCTCTGATTCCCGAAAGCATTGTTGTAGCGATTGAATCCTATGCCAGTGTAAAGCATATTGAAAAGTTTTTATTTGAAGAAGAAATTGAATATACACTTCAACAAGACTCTGAAGTTGGTTTTGAACAGGCCACCCTCGGTTGGAATGCAAACGGCAAAGAAAATGATTCAGGTTTTATCTTGAAGGACCTCGACTTCAAGTTTCCTCAAAACGATCTTGGTTTGATTAGTGGTGCTACAGGTTCTGGAAAGACATTGATGCTACTTGGTCTATTAAAAGAAGCTTTTGTTCTTGAAGGCAAAGTGTACTGCCCGCATACTCCTTTGCCAGAAACTTTGGAATCTGAAATCGGTGCTCCTTCTGCGGATATTTCTGATGATTGGGTCCTTGACAGGTCATTGGCTTACGTATCGCAGACACCTTGATTGCAACATGCTTCTATTCGAGATAACATCTTGTTTGGTTTGCCTTATATTGAGTCACGTTAAAAAGATACTATATGGGCTTGTGCATTAGATAAGGATTTGCAACTGTTTGAAGATAGCGATTTCACTGAAATTGGCGAAAAAGGTATTACATTTAGTGGTGGTCAAAAGGCTCGAGTTGCTTTAGCTAGAGCAGTGTATTCTCGTGCTCAAAATGTATTGATTAATGATATTCTTAGTGCAGTAGATGCACATACAGCAAAGCATTTGTTGGAAAAATGTCTAGTGGGCCCTTTGATGAAGAATAGAACGCGTATTTTGGTCACTCATCATATCGGTTTTCGCTTTAAGAATTCTAGTTTTTTGGTACATATTGAAGGCGGCCAAACCAGCTTTATAGGCACTTTGACTGAGTTGCGTTAATCAGAACAATTTGCTCGTATCGTTAGAAATGAACATGAAGATTATCAACAAGAGACTGAAGATAAATTTACTCCTATTATTGCCAATGAAACAAAAGCATCCAACACACCTAAACAATTGATTCAAGAAGAAAAACGTGATTCTGGTTCAGTTAAGCTGAGACTCTACAAATCTTATTTTGGCTTGGCTGGCAAGATGGTCTTTTGGCTTGGGATGGTCATTCTTGTTTTTGGTACTCGTGCTCTTGAAATTGGAGAAAGTTGGTGGATCAAGATCTGGACTCAATCGTATGAACAATATTCTCGGGATATTTGGTACAATTTCTTTTCATTCAAGGTCTCTCATTCTTCTCAAGAGCACCATGGTTTACCTGAAGGCGTAGTTCACTTGAAATTTTACTTGAGTGTTTGTAGTGCCATTGCACTTTGTAGCGTATTATCAGGTGCAGCAAGAAATGGTTATTTATTCTGGGGCTTGCTCGGAGCAAGTAAGACACTGTATGCCAATCTTCTTCATCGTGTACTTGGTGCCCCGCTTCGTTTCTTTGGCATAACACCACTTGGTCGAATTCTGAGCAGATTCTCAAAAGATTTCGATTTTGTGGACTCAAGCATTCCTCGACATCTCATGATATTTGCAGTTCAATGGATAAACATCTTTACTTCGGCTATTACCGTTTGCATTGTCATATCTGTCTTTACTGGTCCAATAACGATTATCATGGCATTCAACATTTGGCTTGGCAGGAACTATATCGTTAACTCTCATGAATCGAAACGTTTAGATTCAGTCACTCGTTCTCCTGTTCTCTCTGCTTCTACAGAAAGTATTACTGGGGTGGCTACTATTCGAGTATTTGGTGTATCGCAACAATTCTTGAAAATTATGATGGGCCGCATTGATGAAAACGTCTGACCTTTTTTTTACACGTGGAGTGTAAACCGATGGATTAGTATCCGATATGCGCTGACTTCTGCTACTATGAATGTGCTTGCTGCCATTTCAACCTTATGGTATATTGAGAGTATTGACGTTGCTCTGGCTGGTTTTACTTTAAGTTTGATCTTGATGTTTACTGATAGTATATTTTGGGTTGTTCGCCTTTATACTGAAGTCAAAATGGGATTCAACTCTGTTGAGCGTGTGGTTGAATTCACTCAAATTGATCAAGAAGCTCCTCCGGTTACTGAATCACGCCCTCCAGCTCAATGGCTCTTGCATGGTGCTATTCGAGTCAAGGACCTTGTGACAAGATATGCTGCTGACCTGGAACCTGTATTTAAAGGCATCTCATTCTCTGTTAATCCAAAAGAAAAGATTGGCATCGTAGGTAGAACTGGTAGTGGTAAATCAACTTTGGCTTTATCGTTTTTCCGATTTGTCGGGGTATCTGAAGGATCCATTGTCATTGATAGTATTGATATCAAGGATTTGGGTACCAAGGATTTGAGATCCAATTTGACAGTAATTCCTCAAGATCCTATTTTGTTTTCTGGTACTCTTCGTTCTAATATGGATCCCTTTGGAGAATTTGAAGACAAAGACATTTTTGCTGCTTTTCGCCGTGTACATTTGATTTCAGAAAATGATGGAGAACAGCAGGATATCAATGCAAATGTCTTTAAAGACTTGGATTATATAACAATCAAACAGTGTTAAGATATGAGCTAATGCATATATATATATATATATTTAGGTTGTTTCTGAAGGAGGTTGCAACTTTTCTCAAGGCCAACGTCAATTACTTTGTTTTGCTCGTGCATTATTAAAACGAAGTCGCGTTGTGGTCATGGATGAAGCCACTGCTGGTGTGGATTTCGAAACAGACAAAGCTATTCAAAATACAATTGTTACAGAATTTTCTGACAGTACTGTTCTGTGTATTGCTCATCGATTACATACAGTAATTAAATATGATCGTATTTTGGTGCTGGATCAAGGTCAAGTAAAAGAATTTGAAGAGTAAGTTATTCATGATTGATATGCCAATTGGCTAACATGTGTCTGCAGTCCTCTAACGTTGATTCATAATACTAATTCCTTGTTCTACAAAATGTGTCGCAACTCTGGTGATTTTGAAAGGTTACTTGAGCTTGCTGAGCAGAAAGAATAAATTGTAAAGGCGTCATTGCATGGCAACTATGGTGATACAAAGCCGAGATTAAAACTACGCTCAATGTTTTATTTCTTTTTCTTTTTATCTTTTTTTTTGTCTAATTGTTTAATTGTTTAATTATCAAAGGCAAATGAACTATGAACAAAGAGATACCCAAGAAGGAGCTTCTCTTCTTGAACAACAACTTGAGCCTCACCATAAGGATTACCATTCGACTTCTGATTCAGCTCATTACAATATAATCAACATTAAAGGACAAGTCAATACTGTCCTTGAGGACTCCAACGACGCATTCTCATTGAAGAAACTATTGAAATATACCGGTCCTGGTAATCTATCGCGTATATACCACAATTGATACTTATGTACGATAGGCTGGCTCATGTAACAATTTTGACTGAATATGTATCCAATTATACCTAACTGTACTTGTTTGCATAGGGCGATAGCTTACTTGGACCCAGGAAATCTTGAATCGGATCTTCAGGCTGGCGCAATTGCAGGATACAAGCTATTATGGTTACTTTTTTGGTCACATGTTGCTGGTAAGCAATTCAACAAAAGAATCTCAATTATTGACAATGAAATAGGTTTAGCTATTCAGATCCTTTCTGCAAAATTAGGTGTGGTTACTCAGAACCATCTTGCTCAACTTGTCCGTAAAAACTATCGACTTCCTGCAGCCTCAGCCATTTGGCTGTTTACGCAGCTAGCCATTATTGGATCCGATATTCAAGAGATCATAGGAACAGCCATTGCGATCAAGATCATTTTTGGCATCCAGTTATGGGTAGGTGTAATGATTACAGCCACAGACACTTTCTTTTTTATGTGGCTGCAACAATATGGCGTGCGTAAGATTGAAGTCTTTTTCATTACATTGATTGGTATCATGGTTGCTTGTTTTGGAATAGAAATGTTTGCTTCTCATCCAAGCTTTGAATCTATCCTTCAAGGTATTGTTGTACCTGAAATTCCTCCAGAAGCAAGAGTGCAAGCAGTGGGTATGGTAGGTGCTGTCATTATGCCACACAATATGTTTTTGCATAGGTAAAAAGACTACAAAAAGTTAGTTTCAGTTATTTATTCTTGTCTTTAGTGCACTTGTAATGTCCCGCCATCTTGGTATTAATCCTTCTGTTAAGAAGAAGAAGGAAGCTAATTATTATTTTGTTATTGAATCTACAATTGCTCTCTTTATTTCTTATCTTATCAATTTAGCGATTGTGGTTGTGTTTGCACAGGTGTTTTATAAGCCTGGGCAAACAATCACTGATTTGCCTGGATTGTACGATGCCTCCAAAGTACTGTCAAACACGCTTGGAAAAAGTGCGAAATATTTCTGGGCATTGGGTATTTTAGCTGCTGGTCAAAGCTCAACCATGACAGGCACTTTGGCTGGTCAATATGTAAGCAATATTGTAGTGTTAATGTTAGGCTAATTATCATTGTAGGTTGTGGAAGGATTTCTGGGCGCTGTATTTAAGAAGCAATGGCATCGTGTTGCATTAACCCGTGCAGTTGCTTTGGTTCCTAGCATGCTGGTTGCAATTCTTGCTGTAGAGCGTTTTGATACTATGGGCGAATTCTTAAATGTAATGCAAAGGTAAGAAAAAGGAGAGAGAGAAAACGCATATACTTAACCAGCTCTGTAGCTTATGTCTTCCAACTGCAATTATACCCATCTTGAAACTGACAGGATCAAAAGACATTATGACAGATGTTTTCAAAAACTCATTATTAACAGACCTAGTCTGTTGGTCTATTTCCTTTATTGTCATTGGGTTCAATGTGCATCTCTTTGTGAACTATCTAGATGACCTAGATTGGCCAATTTATGGGGTTATTTTTAGTGTTGTTTATTTTCTATTTGTGCTCTATCTGATATACATTCCCCTTGACATCCCCAATCCTAAGGAGATTGAAGCAGACACTGAAGAAAGCCTTTAATACTCATGTAGTCACTCCTTTGGAGTAGCTTCTTTATAACTTGTATTCAACGATATTTAAATATCATCTCTTATTCCTCATTCTCTCCCCCTCTTTATCCATACATGTAGCACACGTGCTTATCCCCCCCCCTCTTCTTCCTCCTTTGTTTATAAATCAAGTACCAATAATTCATCAGTGTTTTCTATGGTTTGACGATGATATAGGATGTAAATAATGAAAGTTTATTACTCAAAATAATATTAGTATGATAAAGAGGATGCAATGGCTGTTACAAAGGCATTAGAACTAGATAGAATTAAAGCATAACCAAAGGAGATACTTGGATATATAAAAAGAAAGAAGATATTCTAAAGACGTCCTAGGCTATAAACAGACTGAGCTATACAGATAGATTATGGATATATAAGTTGATCAGCACATAAAATGCTTTTCACATATACCTGAAGAACCAACCAAGGCTTGAAGCTTTGGAACATGTCTTGGGCAAAAAAGATCTCCATTATGATGATGGAAATTTGCAATTGTTAAATGACAGCCATTCTCCTTACACTATAGTTAAGGTTCAGAAAGAATTACTATTCTACTCAACAATTACCTTAAAACAAGTCTTGTGATAGACACGAGTGTTAGCTTCTACTTTCTCAATGACATAGACTGTCTTTGAACAAATAGCACAAGAAGAAGAGGAATCCATAATAATGAAAATCAGAACAAAGAGAGAGAGAGAAAGAGAAAGAGAAGAATAATGAAATAAGTATCTATTTTTTTCCTTGAGTAGACCCTTTTAAACTTTTCAAATGCCCATGATCTATATGTCTAAATTTATTCATGAAAGCAATGCTGACAGAAGCAACAGTTTATTTTTGTTCTCTTGATTGTTGCCTATAGCAATTCGATTTCATCATACTTTTTTTCTATTATTAGACAACGTTGATTAATTCTTTCAAAAAACTTTGAGTTTCTAGTTAAAGCACAGATCATACATCAATCAAAACTGGCTATTTTTCTTTTTTTTTTTTTTTTTTTTTTTTTTTTTTTTTTTTTGTTTGTGAAATGGCATGGAATGATGTATTTTACGTTAATTCGTCAAGATCTGTACACTTTCGGGCTGAAATAAGTTGTTCCGAAAACGAATGCATAACCCAGCTAAAGGACCCTAACTTTCTTTTCTGGGTAAACCAACAACAACTTGGTTTATAAAGTCTGTTTTTTTTTTCTCAGTTTCTTTAAATCCTCTTTTCCTTTTCTTTTTATTTCAAATTCTTACCACGCGCATACAAACAAAAATATGTCTGTAACTAAAATGGGTAAAATACTGCAAGAAAGTAGTACCTGTACAACCCAACATTTTAATAAACTGACACTTTTGGTAAATTGTATGATTTTTACATCCCTTTGAGAAATTTAATATTTGTAGGATAAACAAGTTGACAAACATATAGAATTGCTGTCTATGGGTCCTCAGGATCATACCAGGTATTCTATTATTAGACGACCTTTCTTTTTTGTTTGTTTTCTGTAGCCTAATTCTCTTTCTCTTTCTCTCTCTTTTTTGTTTTCCTTTCTTACAATAGAAACATGAATGATCTCAAAGTATTATATGAACAACACTGTGAGCAAAAATCACGTATCAAACAACTAGAAGCTAGTCTAGAATCAGAACAGGCACAAGTAAACATATTAAGAAATGATAATCAAAACTTGCGCAAAATGGTCGTCAATATGGTAATTTACTTATGCAGCCAAATCAGATACTTAAGTTTTTATACATAGTCTGTACTAACTGAGCAAGAAGAAGAATTCATATCCAACAAATTGTTAAAGCAGATCAGCGGGCTAAAGAAAGAAAAAGGAGAGCTTTTGATGCAAGTGGAACAAGAGGAAGAATACATGACCAATATGCTTCAAAAAAAGCTTGTACAAGTATGTGTTATGTTTATAAAGTTATGTATACAAACAAACAAAAAATAGCTACAAAAAGAAAAAATTGATTTAGAAAATGCGTTGGAACAGGAACAAGAGCGTATGGTTAACCACCTTCAAAAGCAACTTGATATGTATGTAAGAAGACAGAATATATCACCAACAACGCCTCGCTCCCTCCCCTCAAGCCCTGTTATGATAGAAAGGTAAAAAACACACCTTGAACTTATTGAATAATAACATCTTACAAGTGATCTTCTTACTACTAGCGATATTCCCCAAGTCCTGGAATTGCGGAATCTTTAAGGGCTGAAGTGTTGTATTTAAAAGCTAAAGCTGCTGAAATGGAGAAAGAATGTAAATGACAATTGTATGTAAACATTTATTTTAATGCTTTTATCTCAGTTCTCAAAAAACATCAACAATGCATAAAATATAAGCAAGAAATCATACAGTTTCGAAAGCAAAGTAACATTCCTATTGATGACATGGATGATGGGCAAGTACTAAAACATAAAATATCAGCATAATCATGTTTATAAAACAGGCGTTTACCACGTATATTCAAAAGTGCAATAACATCGCCTGATAATAGCCAGGTATCTATATAGATACACACACAATGTGCTGATATCCTTGTTTAGAATCGTCGTTCAAATTCCACTTCTTCTCAAAGATCAATTGCCAGCAGCGTTCCTTCACTCTGTCTAGACTCTGTTGATCAACCCTTCTCTCCTGATAGCACTATATCACCCCAATCTATCACAGAGATCTGCTCACCTTCTATGAGTACATCTACTAGTGGTAATTTTCACAAAAAGGATCATAATTCTTCAAGAAGAGTTTCTGGTGTCTCATTTGGATTGAGTTCAACTCCACCTCAACATCCTCCGCAATTGTAATAAATGCATGAAAACTTCTGGCTTTAAAGTGCTCTTTTTTCTCTTTAAAAAAAATTCTCTCCTAAATGCAGTCAGAAGAATATTCCTTGAACCCAGTAAATAACCTTTTGTTCGACCTAAACTTGAGTTGATCGCGTTGTATAGGAAACTGTTGCTAAGGTATTCAAAACGGCTTATAAGAATGAGAGCTCAAAAGGTAAAGAAAATAAAAGAAAACACGCTCGAGCCTTGATAATTTAAACACGTCTTCTTAGCGAATAAAGAAGCACTTCAGCTCTCTAGTGAGTTTTTTCGTCTTTTTGTTGTAGGCAAGTTTGAATAACTACCATATAGAGTGATTTTTTATTGACGATTTATCAATAGAAGCTATCCATAGAGCATCAGACGAGCAAGAAACGATACCAAATTCAAATAATACATTAGAAGTAGAGCATTTAGAAAGAGTCTTGCCGCAGCTTTTATTGGATTTCTAAATAAACTCATCAGGCTATTTAGATCCTATATGCTTTCAAATGTACTCTTTCGACTTGACACACGGCGTAATTGAGGATGAGGTGGAGGCAGGTTTATCATTGATGGCGGTGGCACGATCATACCTGGCGGAGAACAAGGGGGAGGGGGAGGAGGAGGAGGAAGCAATGAACCGTCTATTGATAATTGATGAAATAATATTTGTAGATCATCTTCTTCATTATCAAATGGTTGAGGTTCATTGTTTACTGTCGGTGAGTAGTTTTTATTACGATAATAGGGGGATATCGTGCAACATTAGGTTTTTTGATTATCCACGATTTATGTCCTAAAGTCGATTGTGATGGTGGCAGAAATGTACCTCTTGTACTAATAAATTGTTGATGCTTAGAATGGTAATCAAAACAACTTTCGTCCTCTTCTTCTTCTTCATCATCATCTAAAGAAAAATCGTCCATGTCTTGATATTGTATAGCATTGCTGTAGATGATTTCTTGATTGAATGTGGCAGGATGATGAATTGAATATCTTCTTGAGCGCCTAGATCCTCTTTTGTTGTTATTGTGGATCATTGTGTCAGATGATTCATCGACTGGGTAATAATCTTTTGCTGTTGTACAAGCATCATCGTTATCTTCCTTATTGTGCTTGTTCATTGACCGTCTTCTTTGGTATTGTAAATACCTTCTACTGTGTATGGTGTAAGGCTTCATATCTTCCTCAGGCGAACACTTGACTCCTTCCAAGTATTGCACGCGAGCTGCTAAATGCCTTAGGCGTCTCTGTAAATCCATTTTTTCCATTTGGAATTGATAATGAAGAGCATCTAATTCATTTTGAAGCATTTGATTATCTTGAATAATAGCTTGAATTTGCTGTACTGACAATTGCTCCACTCGCGCAGTTGAAGAAGAAGGTGTTGTTTGAATTGAAGAATAGGGAGGCATTAGACTTTATGAAGGAATACGATAAAGAATTCTTTGATAGAGTAGACTCTGTTTATATATAAAAAAGGAAGTGTTAGTATAAGCCAGAAATAACGTACTGATGATACTTGGTTTAATACTTGGATCTGAAAGAAACAAAACAAGGAAAAACATGAATGTTGTGCTTTTATACAAAGTTTAAGGTAATACAGGATACTTGTTATTTTCAAAGATGCTGATTTCCTTTTTTAAATCTCTTCAATTCTTGTGGGAACTGTCTGTTTGAACGATCATTTTAATGCCTAAGAGTTCTGTAGAAAGCCGTATATTATTTATAATTATGCAGTATATTTTTTCTCCTTTTAGTTGGCAATAGCCTGTCTCATTTGACCTAAAACATAAAGCGAGAGTAGACTAGGTTTAAAAAAATCTATTAAACCATTGTCATAAATTACTGCAATAAGCATTTTAGTGATGTTTATTCTGGTAAACCATAAAAGTATATTTGAGCAGCAGTGACGTTTAGAAATAATCAAAACAAAAGGTTACATTAAACGCCAAATCATCAGCAGGATACAAATATTTGCTTTGATGCTAAGTGTGAAGTCATAAGAGCGACTTATGACTAATTATTGTTTGCTATTCAAGTAAAAGGGAGGCTTTTTTTTTTATAGTTGGACATAAGGTAGCTTTATTCCAAATTTAGGCATCACCTAAACTTAATCTCATTTATGCGGGCAAAATGTTGTGATCAAGAAAGGAACTTGATTCAAGTGAATAAGACATGTCAATTGATTATGTAATGAGAGGACCAAGATGAATTTGATTAGTTAAGCCATTTGTTTATAGAGACAGGGTGCTTTGAAATACAGATCAAAGTCAACATTTTATTGTATTTTAGTTTGTAAAGCTTTGATCGACAAGAGGAGTCACGAGAAGGCAGAATTTTCTCTATTCCCTCCAAAGATATTTCCCCTTAGATCCTAATAATAATAAAAATGTGTTGTCTTGGTGACAACACGCTGTGCACACAAAAAAAAGGGCAAAAAAAAAAATAGAGTTCTAATAGAGTTTAACGTGATGCTATATAGAAATGTTTTATAAATCTAAAAAAGGACCAAATACTATTTGACTATAGAGTTTGATAATAACGCATCTACAAAGCTTAAGTGTTTACTATACTCTTCAAACATTAACCGGCTTTGCACAAAAAAATAAAAATAAAGCTATTGATTGGGCTCCTTATCCCGTAGTATTCAGCCATTTCATCTTATCAAGTTCAACATCAATTAAATGGCTCAAGAGCATCCCCCCGTCTCAAGTCTTCCAACCCCGCAAACTCTCCGCATTAAATGCTAAAAAAGGGAGGGCTAAGCATTCAGCAAATGTTCTTGGTTCAAATGAGTCACACTGATCAAACTATGGGCTGTACTCAAATTAACGTGTACCTGATCTTTTATATAAATATGCTTATTATATTGCTTGCAAGTACTCACAAACACACATTAGATAATAAATAGAGTTCGCGTGTCAAGAGGAATCAGAAACAGAAAAAAAAATTTTCCTCTTGTGTTTAGTTTGTCCAGATGGATCCATTTCACGTTTTATATGGTGTAACATACACGTCTATAATAATAATAAAAAGAATTTGTTGCCTTGGTTAATATTTCACTAAAGAAATATATTTTAATAGGAATTTAAGAGCTTAAGATGACTCTTCTATCAACATTGACATTTCGTTATAGACTTACACTCTTCAGTTTTTGTTTCTAATTGAGTTCAAATAAATAAAACGAGGGATCACGAGGGCTCCCTATCTCATCACCAACGTAATGGCTTGCTGCGATTTGTCAAGTCTGACTTGCTTTTAAGGAATCTCCGAAGAAACGAAAAGAAGAAATAACACTAGTACAGGATGGAAATATATATGCAACTTGTTAAAAGGGTTTCTTTTGACTGTTTATTACAATAATGATATAAAAATGTATTTTCAAGACAAAACGCAAGAGAAATAATAAAACTTGGACATCTATTACAAACTTTATTTCTATATTAAAACAAGGAAACCATTCAAAAAAGGACTAATTCCACCGAGTCAAAAAAAAAAAAAAAGTTTATTGTAAAGTATTACTCAAACTATCTAAAAAAAAAAAGACAAACTTTACCATAATTGTATTACCGATCTACCCTTTTCTTTGAAAAATGAACAAAAGAGAACGAAAATTCAAACCTATAAATCCAACTTTATATATACAAAAAAAAAGAGTTAGTACTTCAAAGCCTACTTCACATTATATTGATGATGGGTAATCGGTAACACTTGTACTTTTTTGATATTCTTCTTGATTTTTTTCTGTTGATATTCCTTTTGTTTTATGCTTCTTGTTACTTGCTTCTCCAGTTTTTATTATTATCTTTATTCGAGACACAGAGACAGACAGAGAGAGGAACGAACTCATAACACTCTTATTTGCTTATTTTTTCATTAAAACAAAAAGAATATCATGAAGAATACCAAACCTAAAAGTTCATGAAAAAAAACAAAGTTAGTAAAACTGTTTGAAAAGAGTAAAAAAAAAAAGGGGGTTAGCGAGAAGACCAATCTTATAAAAAGAGCCATGAAAAAAAAACATTTTTTCGACACTATTAAGACATGGGATACACGCTTTTGTGAGGGTTTGAAGAAGTAAAGAGAGGGAAATCCCACCTCAATACCTCCTTTTGGTTTTTAAGAGTTTATCGTTTCATATAGAATTGATATGAAAAATATAAAATAATAAAAATAAGAAAAAAAAGTCCATTCTAGATTGCTGAAGTTGATATTGTTGGTGTTGCTGGTAATAATGTGATGTCTTTTGTGTTGTATTTTAATAGTGCTTTGTGAGTGTCGGCAAGTTGTCGTTCTAGTTCTAAGATTCTGACTCTACTTCTCTTCTCTTTTGCTTCGACGTTGGCGCGTTCACTCTCGGCAACTGCAGCGCGTAATCTTAATCGTTCATTTTCAGCTTCCAAGTCCATCACACGTTTTTCGAGAGCATCCATCTTCATAGCCTTGCGTTGTCGTGACCTTCTGGCTGCATCAGTGTTTCTTTGTCGTTTTAAAGCAATTAAATCTTGTTGTTGTTCATCTATCGAGTCGTTTCTTGGGCGTTTATTGCTGATGGTGTTGTGATTGCTGGTGTTGTTTTGTTGTAATGATCCAAGTAAAGTGAGAGCTTTGATAAATGGCTGAAGATCAACGGCAGAATTAGATATATCTTGAAGTTCAGCTTTAGGTGTCTCAACCGGTGAGAGAGGCTCGTATTTTAATAAAGGTGTAGAGAGATCAAGAAGAGGGTCCATACGAGGTGTACACTCCGAAATAGGAGGAGAGGCAAGCATCATTTGAGCAGGAGTAGGTGGCATCACAGGAGAAAAAGTAGGCTTGTTATTGTCTTGAGGCAATATGATACCTGATTGACGAAGATCACTTTCCAACCAGTCATCCAAGGAGTCAAAGTTAAGAGTGTCAGTATTTGATGAGTTCATTTTATATACACAAAGAGAATAGAATTATGAATATATGTACAGAATAAATAGGTAAGAAAAGAAAAAAGAAAATGATCGCCTTCAAGTGTGATTTATAGTCCCACGGAGACTGAATGTGTCGAAGGAGTCACAAAATGAGACTGGCTTGTCCCCATGTCGTTTTTTTTTTTTACTGATTATCATTTGAGTTGATTCTCATTGGACCGATATGGACTTCCCCCTTTTTTTTTATTTGAATAACCGTTCCGAGTTGCCCGTCTTTAAATGTACAATTTGTCTATGTAGTAGTTTAAAATTTGATGTAGTTTTTGGATACCGTCTTTTACGAATGGGGAATAATCTTTGGTGATCTGATGGAGAGAAGGCAAACAGTCTTTGTCTGTGATCAATAACTCGGTAAAATGGTTTATTTCAAACCCCAAAGCCTTCTCCCAATGCATTCGACCAACTTTAGTTTCATAGACACAGACTTCTACAAGTACTGACAACGCACGGCAGAGTTCATTGCCACTTGTTAATAATAGGTTCCACAATAGAAATATGTTAGTCATTTTCCTGTGTCATTTACAAAAAAAAAAAAAAAAAAATTTTTCATATACTTACTCTATGTACAAATAACGTAATGGATCATTTAATTTATCTTGTCGATTTACAAGATAGTCCAACAAGTCAACAACAACAATCATGTTGGGTGGCTGACCATCTTTTTCGCGTTCAATCCATTGAATGATATGATGTGCTTCTTGATTTGTCTCTTTCATATGTAAGGCACATATGATAGCTCGTAATTGGTGTATATTTTCTACTCGGCTATTATCTTTACCATGTTAGACAAATAGGCGAAAAATCCTTTTTCAAAAATAAATTACCAAACTTGGATGGAGTTCAGCCAAAACCGTTCCTCGGGTGGGATGCGACGAGTATGGATAGACATGACTCTGTTTTTAACTGTATCTTGGAATACATCTGGTTCCTTGGCAAGAACTAAAGCCCATGGTCTTGTTACACTTTGAAATCCTTCTCCAAGTTGAACGCTTATTTCTGTCTTTAAATGATTAGCGTTTTGTTTCAAAGTTTTTATGAGCAAGTCAAGAAGTTCTCTGTATAAATATATAAATATCTTTTTTGTGTAAATTAAAAAAAACTTTTTTTTTTCTCTTACGAAGAATAAGTTGGTGTATCATTAAAATGAAAGAAGCTGCTAGTTGTATCAACCATTATTGATCAATAGACGCGATCTTGAATAAGAAAAAAAATTAGAAAAAGAGAGAGAGAGAGAGAGAGAGAGAAAAAAATTCTGCGGCTATTTTTTTTATGCAAATGAGAAGAATGATTTATTGATTTTAAGCTTCAAAATCAAACATATAAGTGCTCCTAAAATATAAAGAGCACCAGAAAATATCTGCACGCCAATATAGCTTTGTTCAGGTGTAATTTGTTGAATGGCCGAGGCAACAGGAGCACCAATACCGCCTATTGAACTAGCAATAAATAGAATTGATAGACCATAAGAAACATTTTCAACCCCAACAACCATTGTGGTAATGGGAGCCGCAAGTATATAATAAACGCCGCCAGTAAAACCAAACAATGCTGCAAATAACATAATGGATCCAAAGGTCTTTGCAAAGGGCCAAATGAGCGTACAAAAAAGACCAGTGGCAGTAGAAGCAATGATATACATGTTGATGCGTCCAACACGGTCTGCAATGTAACCAATCACTAGACGACCCACTGCATTGGTAGCCAAGGCAACACCAACAATGACGGATGAATCGGCAGAGCTTATATTGTATGTTGTGCAGTATTTTGGTATATAGAAAAGCGGGATTGTGTATCCTGCACTAGAAATAACCAAGCCATAGAGTGCAATAACAAAATCGATGTTTTTGAATAATGAGAACTTGATAGGTGAGCGAATAGGCTGTTTCACCTTTTCTGGTGGCAAATTGGATCGGATGAGGCAAGCAGCAATCATACTTATGCTGAACGCAATAAGGCCAATAATACGATAGGTCCAGGGAAGACCATACTTTGTAATTAAAAAGTTAGTGAGAGGACTAAGCACTAAGCCTAATAATAAAGCATTAAGCAATATGCTCTCGTTTAATAATCTTAATCTTACCTCCTAGCCCTGTTCCTGAAGCACTCAGTCCCATTGCTGTAGCACGTCTCGTTGTAAACCATTGAGAAATAGCATTCACGGTAGTCATATAAACTAAAGAGCCACCCGTACCAAAAAGCAAAGCTTGTGTTAGGTAAAGATGCCACACTTCAGTACTAAAGCTAGCTAAAATGAGTGCCGATGATATTATGGTGCCCCCTACAACCATTGCCACCCGAATTCCATAGCTAGCTAGAATTGAACCAATAGGTGCAAACAAGTTGATGCAAATAAGTGCAAGAGAACCAACACCCATAAGCTCCATTGTCGTTGTCTTATTGTTGAGTATGCTAGTGGCATATGCATTTGAAAACACACCTCAAAAAACACTTAATTTATAGAAGTAAAATCAAAGTATACTTACCCCAGATTGAACAGGTACCAAACATAACAAAATTGATCAAAAAACCTACAAAGGCAATGACCCTAACAGAGATAAATACATTAATATTTTCTGTATTTATTTACAAGTCATTACCATCCATAGCCACCATTAGGAATAATATGACTTGAGTTTTCTTCATCTAATCAGGAATTGAGTATGCTTCAATAGAGATATTGCATAATACTCACTTATTTCTTGCGACTGTATTGAGACTGAATTGGAGTCTTCTATATGATGAATGACTTCAACCCTTCTTTCTATTTTTTCCAAATCATAGTAATTTTTACTGTCTACATCTTCTCTCTTATCTGATAAAGCCAATGAGTTTGATTTCAAATTAGCCATGATTCTTTTATCTTCAACATGTATTTAAAAAAAGAAGAAAAAGTCGAAAACATTTTATAATGTTTTTTTGCAGATCAACAAGTACTCCATATAGCCCTTCCTCTTTGTCCCTGCATATTTGTACATAATCTGGAATTCGTTATAAGAATGTAATTATTTTATTAAGCAGTAGTTGTAGACAGTTATATATACTTTACAAAAAAGAAATACAATAAATAGGAAATGCTAGAAATACACTTCTTTAAGGTTTATCCTTGGAATATTGGTAAGAAGAAACAGGAGTTGATCGAGATACTATATCCTCCTCTATATCAATCATTTGCTCCTTTTCCATATTATCATAAATATTTTTGCCCTTGTGAATAACCAGTTCAATTTCTCGAATAATATCATTATCATAAGGGTGGTATTGGTGCAGATAATGTTTGGCAATCACACGAGGAATGAAGCAGGCAACAATTGTCAATATGAGAATAAGCCAGTAAGATCCTGTGCCAAATAAGCGAACATGACCAGCGAAAATAAAGGTGTTGAATTGCGAATAAATGCCTACAAATGCATAATAGACTAGAATTGACAGACTGATCACCAATGCTTGGATCCATGTGTAACTATAGAGAGAGAAGACGACAAAGAAATTGGCTACGCAGACAGCAATACTAGATACAATAGTACCAATTTCATAAAGACCATTGGCATCATAGCCATGGGGGTCAATACCACCACCCACAAGAAGCATATAAGGGAAAAAGAAACATACGGAAGATTGGTAAATAGAGTCAAGAATAGTTAGCCAGAATCTCCAGGTTTTGAACTTGTCGTTTCTCAGACCCATACGGTAAAGTTCAGGATACTTGAGAGATAATTTAGCACTCAAGTCTTGATCCCAAATACCCAAAAAGATGATAGGCAAGGATGTAAAGACCACATTGTATAATGTAACTAAGGCATATTCAAACACCATACTACCGTTAAATCTATTATAGGGATAAGTCAACCTGTCTTTAAACAAACAACATTACTTACTGGCAGAAAATCTGATACCAGAACAGGACAAAGGTCCAAACAATATTCTTAAAGAAGAAACCCATAATCATTTCAGCAGTACGGAGATAAGACCATCGGCCATGAACTAATAAAAGCTTTCTCAAGAACCTGAATTGGGCAATGGCATAATCAGAGGCCATGACAGCTTGTCTACCTTCTACACCAGAAATACCAACACCCACATTAGCTTCTTGAATCATAGAAACATCATTTGCACCATCACCAATAGCCAGCGTCATCACCTTGAGGCCCTTTTTAACCATGCGAACAACTTGTGCCTTTTGTTTGGGACTCACACGACAACAAATAACACTAGCGCATTGCATACCAATAGCAAGCACTTTGCTTCTTGTAGCATCTTCTAAAGCATATTTCAAAGTAGTGCCATCAATGACCAATGCGTATTTTCTATCGCCATTAGCAGCAGCGGTATCTGTCTCGGCTTCCTTGCTCAGTTTTTGAAGTGTATCATCCAACATTTGAGCAGTCTCTGCACGATTAGAAGAACGCAAGATAAGCAATTCCATATCAGTTGTCAAGAGATTACAAGAAAATCCAATGTTAATAGCAGTTTCTGTTTTATCACCTGTCAAGACCCACAGTTTGATACCAGACTTGGAAAGTTCAGCAATGGTTTCGGGTACACCATGTTGAAGACGATCTTCAATGGCAGTGCCACCCATCAATAACATGTTTTGCTCAATTTCTTCACTGACAGCATCGACACGCTCTTCACGGTTGACAAGACTTGATGAAGCTTCTTGGAATCGCTTGTTCCATGGTTTGTATTCTTCAGGAGAGATAAAGCGGTAAGAAAGACAAAGTGTACGTAACCCTTCGTTTGCAAACTGTTCCAAATCTCTTGTAGTGGCATCTCTGAGTTCTTGTTGTTGCTTTTCTAGTTCTGTTTGTGTACCAAAGTCGGTACAAAGACGTTCAAAAATGACAGAATCGGCGCCTTTGCAGAGCAAGACAATATGGTCACTATCCGAGGGTTGAATGATGACACTCATGCGCTTTCTAGTTGAGTTGAATTCCAATACGTTCAACAGCGTAAATGACTTCTCTTCACCTTTGACTTCAATAAATATCTTGCTGCCGTCACGACGCAAGAACACAAAACCCAAATCTCTAGCAGTAGCAACAAGAGCAGCTTCATCAGGCGATTGTGCCTTGTATTCAATGTAATCTGGATTTTCTTTATCAGGCTGCTCAGCAATCACAGTGTGACAGAGCGCCAATGTTTGATAAAAGTGAGTGATGGCTGCAGATTGTCCAGACTCTTGTTCAAGGTCATCAAAAAGTTGAGGATCCACAAATGTTGGGTTAGGACCAATATGTGTGTTTTTGAAAAGTTTTGCTTGCTTTTCGAACATGGTTTTCTTCAACTTTTCCATTTCTGCAGCATCTGGCATGAAGGGTTCAGATGTGTGGTTCAATTCATCCAAGGTGACATTGTCCATGTTATCAGCATCAAGCATAATATCAGACTGACCATAATGGTGTCTACTTTGTTGACGTTTCAAAGCACCCATTGTAGCTTCTGTTGTAGCAATACCATAGCACACACCATTAATTGTACATTTTCTGTATTCCATGACATTTTGAGTCAATGTACCAGTCTTGTCTGAAAAGATGTATTCAATTTGGCCTAGATCGTCTGAAATGTTCCATGTTTTGGGAATGCAAGGTGTGTCGGTTTCTTCATGATACATGTCCAGATCGGCAAAAATAAAATAAGCCTATTATAGGATGATTAATTATGTCATTGCACATCATTAATAACTTACACCCAATGTTTTGACAATCTCGACAGAAATATACAGTGAAATAGGCACGATATTTTGGTACAAAATGAGTGTAACCCTAATTTCAAGCAGAGATTATTAACCAATACTTAACAATATAGTAATTTACCAGAATGTAAGGAACCCAGAATAAGAAGCGTTTGACCCCTCAATATTATAATCAAAGTAACGTGAAGATCCATTACCCGTGAATTGGACACTATCTAAAATAGAACTCACGATACAAAGAATAGCCAAGATGACAAAATTAGCAACAACCTAAACAAAAAAGTAAGTGATACAATAGTATTCAGCTATTGCTTACGTGAGGATTAGTGGCCTTGGCTATTTTACTACGTTTTGAAGGTGTGCGACCTGTGTTCATCATAATCTTGGTATCATTTCCTGTATAGACAACAACACCAATGGCCCATTCTGTATTTCTAAGCACACAGCCTCTAAGCAAAATGTTGTTGTACGTCACAGCATCAGCCTTTTCATGCGATACACCTGATCGAACTGTATTTGTTTCGTCTGAATCAATCTGCCAACGCAATACTGCATTATACTGATAAATATTGACGTGAGGTGGCTCACTTTCAATGTAAAATCGGGCTTCTTCACAATCATGTTCTGTGCGGAGACCAGAGGTACCTGGCAAACCTTGACGCTGCTTCAAGTTAGTTTCACCATCTAAATTCTGTGTCTCGATATAGCAGACGTTATCAGCTTCTGAAGTTGATAGAATCACAATGTCAGCCGGGATATCTTGATCGTTCTTGATCATCACATAGTCACCCACTTGAAGTTCTTTCCATTTAATGTTGGCCCATTTTACTTGACAACTAGGCGCAGTGTCACCGGCACCACTTGCTGTGGGGTGCAAAGAAGGTCTACGCGCATCTTCACTTTCTTCTATGATTCGACTGTGTCTATGATGTGCAGTCTCTTGTGTGGGTAAACGGTAAAGTACAGAGTGAGGAATAGCGCCTGGTCGATAGGGTCTTTTTGTTTGTGGAGTGTTCAAGTTGCTTTTGCTGAAAATACTTGATACACTAGAACGAATTGTATCTGATCGTTTTCGAACAGTGGTCATCAATGTTTTTGGAGGAGGCGTTGGTGGGGAATAACTCGATTGTTCAGCATCAGTCAAAGGCAAACAATCTTCTGATGCTTTCAAATTGAGCTGATCTGCGGCTTTTTTTCTTGTGCAAGAGCTGAGGATGACTTCGCCTGTCGATAGCTGTGTGCATACTTGTTTTCTGAACCTGATAAAACTGAGAAGAAGCCGATGATAACATGCAGATAATACCAAGGGCCTCTTGTCACTTCGGGAACATTGACGTTCTTCCAATTGGACAATCGTAACACAAGCGAGTTGTTGACTTTATCATCACTTTGGTTTCTTTTCCAGTCTTCAATGGCATCTTTAATGGCTGTAATGATTAAAATTGCAATAAGTGGTAATGCTGACACAGCAGGCTCTGTCACACCAAACAATGGGATACATTGTAAAATCACCAGAAATAAGAAGTACAGGTTGGCAACGTTTCGGAATTGCTCAAAGAGGTTTTTAGGTACAAAAGAAATAGGTGTATATTTGGCTGTTCGCACACGGTTATTTGCATAGTTGCGATGAATACGCCTTCCTTTTTGGTCATATTCTGAAGCTGGTAATTCCATGTTTACATAAATATTTCGTCTAAGTTGCATGTAAGAGGAAGTTGAGTCCACTCGCCTCAAGTCATTATTTGGCCGGTCATCGTTTTCGTTATCAACCTTTTCCTTCTTTTTTGAAAGAAATGGTAGCTTCATATTTTTTTTATACAAGACTATTACTGCTCTTATTCAAGTAAAAAGAAATAAATAACATCAACAAAAGCAAGAAAAAAAAGATGAAAAAACTTAATTTAAGCTACTGCTCTTGAAATAATAATTTTTTTGTGTCTGTACTACATGGAATTGTATTTTCTTTTCAAACTCGCTGCTCCGGCTAAATACACTGTCCGTCAATAAATGAAACTATTGTTGTTGGTTCTTCTGTAATTTATTAAATTGATAATTATGACCCGTGTGTATATATATATTTAGGAAGAACTATTTATACTATATATATGCTATTCTTTGGCTTTCTTATTGGTAAAAAAAAAAAAAAAAGTTGGCTTAAAATGATTTTACCTCAAACGCAGAAAATACGGATTTTTACGGCTAACAAATTTACCGGTTTATGATCTTCCAGTAAAATGATTTGCACCTTGGATTAATACCCAGTTTGGAAATTCATATGTTTATAAATCTACTCCTTCCTCTCTTTATATATATACATGACTCCTTTAACGATGCAGTTCTGACAACGACACTGTGTCAAATACAATGTGCATATTTCTCTCTTTCTGAAATTCAATGGACCCGAAAAGAGAGACACCGGCAAAACGTCTCTTTCTCAACCTCAAACAAAAAATAAAATACCGGATTCTGAAAAAACCAAAAACGGTACCTAATGACGAATGTAAATAAATGCGGGTAGTTGCCATGGGTTTCCGGTGATCCTCTTCAATTTTCATTCCGCACATCTTGGGCTCCTGCAAAAGTAGCATCATCATATTTCCGCAGAGACGATCTTAATTGATAGTCATTTGAACTAAAAAAAAATATATATATATATATATATCTCATGTTCAATCGAGACCAGAATAACTTTGTCTTACTTGTTACATGCTCGAAAATACTAACATGTATAGTTGTCATTTAGAAGGCTCAAGATAATACCTATATAGTTGCATTTAGGTCCAGTAAGACTGGATGTAGTAGTACAGTTTCGGCTGTATTAATTGAGAAAAGTTTGCACAAACGATAATACATAATAGAAATTAGGCTCAAATGAAAGCTTTCTGACAAGAATACAAATTTAAGAATTGATTGACGAATTTGCCAACGGCTAGGAGCATTTCTTCTATTCCAGAAAAAAAAACATACACATTGGTTTTGAGCAACAGTAACTTGAAAACATTTTACAAGGAAGTCTACAGTTCATCAAGTACACCTATTTGTAGACCGAGACTTAAGGAAAAGGCAATGGTTTATTTGTAGATAAAACTATTTATATTTAACATGATAAAACAGAGTATGTTCAATTCAACATAATCTTGCTCTCATTGGCATTTCAAAGTCTATCTAACATAGAAAACTTTCTTTTTGAGACATCACTATCAGTGATTTACATAGCAAAAAGTGCTTTATTCTGAACGTAAATGCTGTTAAATGTTTGTAAAGAATATGAATTTGTTAAAGTTTTTATTTAAACAATTTAACGAGAGGTGGCAGCGGCCTTAGGAGCGAAACCCTTGGCTTGTTGCTTGCTAACCTTAGGTTGAGAGCCCTATAAAATAATTAGAATACGCACATACACACCTATAATATAACTTACAGCAGGGTTGGCAGCCTTCTTGGCAGCAGCAGCGGCCTTCTTGGCTTCCTTGGACTTGGTGATAGCAGCTTGACGAGCAGCAGCACGAGCATCAGGCTTTTGGTTACGCTTAGCACGGATAGCATCCCAAGAGGCACCAACAACAGCACGTTCGTGCTTGACAGTACGACGAGAACGCTTCTTTTGGACTTCTTCGGTGATACCCTTCTTGTTCAAACGACGGTAGATAACAGTCCATCTGATCTTACGGGGGTTCAAACGTTGAAGGAAGTAAGAGGCAGCCTTACCGTTGATGAAACGGAAAGTCTATAGAGTAATGTTAGTCAATGACACGATCTAATCTCTTTTCTCTCTCTCTCTCTCTCTCTCTCTCTCTCTCTCTCTCTCTCTCTTTTTTTCATTTTCTCGATGCTTACTCTATACAGAAAAAAGGAACATGAGTACAACATTCCTTTAGACACGGAAGTTATGTAACTTACCTAGAGTCAACACGGACGTAAGTCTTACCCTTGGCAGGATAGATCTTGTGACCAGAGAAGGAACAAATCTCAAGCCTGTCATAAAGAGAAAAAAAATGTCAGCATTCGATTCATCCATTGTATCTTTTGTTCATCCAAATCTTGGCGTCAAGATGTTGTCTTGTATTGATGGATACGTTACTTCATTGTTTAAATGGGTGCTTATGGGAGCTGAAAGAGGGAGTACTATAATCTGCGTTCAGTTACTTGTATGTATGGAAGGCGTCTGTTCCGGCCTTTTAACTTTCGGACCGGATATGAGTTTGTAAATCCGCACTGATGCGAGTCCCGAATTTAAACGCTGTGTGGCATTGATTCGAAGGGCAAAGACTTTTGACTAAAGAAGGGATGTGCCCAAAAAAAAAAAATTGGCCAGTTTGAAATGAAAATGGTTGTTTAAGAAGAATTGAAGAAAAAGTAAAAGAGGTATGAAATGAATCAGGGAACCCTTTTTCAGCTATTTCGCTTGTCATTTGATTCCACTGCTTGACTTTACGAATAGCTGTTGACTTGGAGAGCCCTACCTTTCTACCCGCTTCACTGATAGACATATTCTCAAACTCCTGCAACAAATTGATCAAATTGACTACCTTTGCTTCGTTCTTGGTAATGTATGATCCCCTTTCCTTCTTCACTACATCAAGGGAGGGCTCCTTCGAGTGAGGTTTGGTCTTCCTCTTAGCTTCTTTTTGTGCTGCATTTACTGCTGCAGTTTCTTCCCAGTCCATATATGATTATATCATCACAGGCACTGTCTCACTGTCAAAATTGTATTCTTCGTTCATGTTAAGCAATATGAAAAAATTCAAGAAGAGAAAAAGAAGAGAGAATTTGGCCAATCCTCATTACATTTCTGTATTGGTGACCCATTTTCGTACTGACCCATTTTCAAATTATGATCCATTTTCATTTCAAACTGGCCAATTTTTTTTTTTTTTGGGCCAACCTTTTTTCGTCGACTGTATATATATATATATATATATATTTTTTTTTTTTTTTTTTTTTTTTTGCACCACATGCACTATATCCTAAAAATCAACTTGTACATTTTTGCAAGACAATTTCAAAAGAGCTTATTTTATCGTCATCATGTCAAGTTAATTAACAAATAAAACAAACGCACGTTTTCTTAACCAAAAGCTGGGATTTATTTAAATCTCCCAAGTAAATCTAGTGGGTTTCTCAAGTGCTAAAGCAGGTTCTTTTTTTCTTTTACGGTCAATTTCAGTGGTAAAAAACTAAAAGAGTTAGTAAAAAAAAAAAAAACCCTCCCCATAAAATACAAATATCTACTTACTGTAGCATATGTGTGGTCTAAAAAGTCTTCTAAATTATACTTGGGTTTCAAGAATTGTTCACCAAAGATTTTGGCAAGTGTAGATACATTGGCATAGTAATGTTGACTCAAGGTCTGTACTTCCCAAAGAGAAGATTCAATTGCTTTGGATTCATAAGGGTTCATATCTTCCATACTAAAAGGATCTTCTGCTTCACTTGTGGCCTTGTTGCTATGAATTAAGTCCATACAGGTAGGATGGCGCTTCAAGAGATTATAGATAAATGGAATAATAATCACACTAGCTGCAGGTGGAGCAGTCAATGACAAACGTGCTAAACGCTTGATAAATGCAGCAATTAGAGCAGCAGGAAGATATCTATGAACCTGATTAGATTCCAAAAAACACACACACACTTTAACTTACGCAGAAGACAAGAAAAGTTCCAGTAAACGAAAGAATCGAGATCTGTATTTGACATGCATGACATTTCTGTCTAACAATGAATACAGTTTGATATAGAAATCGGGATAGTCTCTATCAAGATAGTATGAGTAAACATAAAAATATTCATAAAGACTTACAAGTTGTGGTCCACAATCAAAGTAAACAAACCATTCAAGGCCAACAAACTAACAGCACCACCCACATTATAAGAATCAGTCAAGAAATCCATCAATAATTTAGGTTCATGCATATGAGGCAAAATACGCTTGTGTAAAATCAACAGGATTCGCTTGTACATCTCTTCAGTCAAAGGCAACTTCATCAAACTAAGCCAACAATCGGAAAACCCACGCTTGTGTACTCTTAACTGAAGCAAAGGATGCTTTCTCTTCTTTCCTTCTTTTTTAGCAGCTGTTTCTTCATTTTCTGGTTCTGAATCAGACAATAAGCCCTCATCACCCAACAAATCATCTGTCTTGTTATCTTGCTTGGATTTGGGCTCATATTGAATAGGATTCACTGTCCAGAATTCGTCAATTTCATTGGCTTCTGTTGGCATGGTGCGAATGCCTTCTAAAATCAAAAGTACATTGGTAGCCATCAAACGAAGATTGTCTTCACTGTCTGCTTCATTTGACAATTTAACCTTTTTATAGCTGCTTGATTTCTTTTGTGTTTCTTTCTTTTGGTAAGCTTGTTCCATCACTTCACTATAGAATCGTATAAATAAACATATAGAGATCAGCTTGACTTACGCAGCATCTTTTAAGAAATAATGTCTTAAATCGTCATAGACATTCAAATACTTCTCAACAAGCTCCTTGCGCATATGTTCATTGAAATTGGTACTGGTAATGATTTCTTTAACAATAGGTCCATAGACAGCATTTGCAAAATGATAGCTGCCATGATGCTCCATAAAACTTTCAGATTCTGCCTTCATGTTGGCCAACAATATATTGAGTGCTGGTAATTGAAGACCAGGTTCATCACTGGATAACAAACTGCGAACATAGGTCAAATAGTCCAGATAGTTTTCTCGAAGCCAAGTATACACTTTGAATTTTGCAGAGTTTTCGTCTGTGTGCTTGGGTTTACGAAGATCGCCACTGCTCAACAAAGTAGTATAGACACGACCCAAAGAGTGGACGGCAGCATGAACTATTTGAGGGTTATCACTTTTAGCATATTGAAAGATCTCGACAATATTGTTTAATTTGGACTTGTCGCTTAAACTTGCTTCAAGTGCTCTGATCTTTTGACGCACTTCTTTAAAACTTTCTGACTTGAAGAATCATAAGTAAACTATGTGCATAGTTGAATGTACTTACAGAACTGTTCGCTCCTCTCTTTCTCTTTGCTGATGCAGGCATAGTTGATCAAAAGTGAAAAAAAAGTGTTTTTTTTAGAGTCAGCTTCATGATGGATTGATATAATCTAAGCCACTATATGGATGTTACACACGATCTCGAAATAAGGTACGCACTTTTGGTAGTCTATTTTTGTTGTATCAGAATTGCATGCATTATGTCTGTGTTTATTATCAATAGCACAAAACATGCATGTATCCCTTAAAACTTTATTCTTAAACATTAAAGACACCAATTCTATCACCCATAGTCACTAAGGTCTCTAATGAATTTTCAGAGTTCTTGCGTAAATCCTCATCCCAAGTGACAGCATCTTTAGGAAAAACAGCAATACAGGTAGACCCACCGTATTGGAAATAACCCATTTCTTCTCCCTTGGCTAATTCTTTGCCTACTTGACCGTTTGTCATCACAATTGATCCTACCAAAAGAGCACCGATAGACACAAAAGCATAATTGAACCCAAGTGGGCTTTTCAGAGTGGCAACGTTACGATGGTTTTCAGTAAACACATCAAGGTCTGTATTAATTGTACAAGGATTGACTAGCAATCCAACGTCAGTACATTGAACATCAATAGAATAGCGTACCTGTATAATAAGCTCCTTCAATGTTCTTCATGGATTCAATTGTACCTCGAGCAGGGACATGGAAGCGATGATAGTCTTGGGGTGCAAGGCGGAAAATAGCCAAGGATCCGCCTTCTAATTCTTGAGCAAGTGCTTCATCTTGCAAAAGTTTAGCCAGGGTGAATTCTTTGCCTTTTATCCAAAAAGTAGTAGCAGCATCTACTGAATCAAACACATTTAGTCTAGAATCAGCAGATGATACAATGACGCCCTATGGATACACAATCAGTATGAGACATACATCTATTGTCTTTACCTCATCTTCAGGTTCAGCAATAGGTCTTTTTTCAGGAAGAATGGCTCTCGAGAAAAACTCATTGAAATTCTTGTATTCCTGAATGTCTGAAATCACATAATTGGTCATATCAATCGAATAATGATTTATGAAACTAGGAATCTGTTCTACTGATTCGGGTTCCGAAAAGAATTGACCTTGACGTAAGGTTTCTTTTAAGAAAAGAGATTGCATAATTTCTGAACTAGCCACTATATAACACATTCAATGCTATGCTCATTTGAGTGATGCTTACCTTTGTCTCTATGATAGCCACCGAAAATCAAGTGCATGCCAATACGAGTATAAATAGGCATTTCTTCATAATGCAATTCACCTGTCTATGTCAAGTGTGAATGGATTGTTTTGTTCTTTGTTTGCCTATTTACCGAACGAATAATAATGAAGTTACCATACTTCTTTTCAATAGCCGATCGAAGACTTTCAGGCACAAGATGTTTATGAAGCCAGCTAGTTAATTTTCTACGGTGCCAGTGTTTTGGGATTTTAGAAGAAGGAGCATGAATACCATCCTCTAAAGTGAGTCGTGTCAGTAACCTATTAAACGCATATCATGCACTTACTTACAACAGCAGCAGCAGCATCAGACTGTGTGCTTTTATCAACGAGAAAAGTAAAAGACTAAAAAAAAAGTGTCAAAAAAAATGTTTTTGATTGAACACATACTCTCATAAGACCTGCTTGATCGTTGTTTTCGATTTGTCTTTCAATCTCGGGCTCAAATGGTTGAGCTGGGGCGTTTTCATCGATAGGGTAATCTTCGGTTGTCATCGTTTTTTTTTTTTTAAAAAAAGAAAAGAAAAGAAAAGAGAAAGAGGGAAATGAAATCTGTGCCAAGAAGGGTTATTAAATACCTTTTTTTAGTTCAAATAACTGTTTATAGCAAGAAATCCGATATTTGTGATACAATGGTAAAGTGTTTTTCAAGAATGTGATTTTTAAATAAGCAATGTCTTTTTTTTCTGTTTCTATGTTATAAACTATTAATACCTCATAGTCATACTTTCAGTAACGATAACAACAACAAATATCAAGGTGTTCCGACGCGTGCGTCATTTTGGTTGAGTTTGCGTATGCTTATCTGAAATGAAAGGTGACACACATAGGATAATACTCGTTAGTCCAAGGCAAGCAAAGAGGCTATAATAAAGTAAGCCAATCTTGAAATCATGCACACACAATAGCCTGTACAATGTTTTTGCTTCTTTTCCATTACTTAATAATGAAGACAACCTTCATTATGAGTCAAGGTTTGCACTCCCGAAAATAGACAGATAGTATTTCACAATTGACACTTCTGCCGTATGCTAAAACCTTGCATTTTGACATTCAAAAGCTTCTCCTTATTTCTTGTATAAATACCGTGAAAAATACGCAATGTTCCTGAATTTCTATAGCAACCGTTGCTAGGCATAAATTGCATCAAAGCACGCGTCATTCAACTGTCAAAACGATTGCTGTGTTCCAAAAGAGGAGAAAGAATGTCCAATCAACATAGAGTAGGCTGAGATTAAACTCCATTTTTTTTTTCTTAACAAGATCCAATGTTTCTCTCTTTTTTTTCTTTCTTTCCCTCTCCTCTCGCTTTTTTTTCCTTTTCGCTTGTACAACATTTGTATATATTTAGTGGCAATTATTGTATGGTCAATCAAACTTAATAACTTAATATACTATTCAAAAGTGAGTAGTGTTGTTGATCTGGACTTTACTTGTTTCCTAATGAGCTTTCTTCTTTTGTTTTTTTTTTTTAATAGACACCACTGCAATATGGTAACTGCCACTTTAAGCATATAATATTCTAATTCAAAACAGAGTGAATATTATCAAGACATTAAGATTATTTGTCAGAACCATATCATGAAAGGAAGCCTAAAAGCATCTGAAGGACATCCATGGCGAAATTGGAAAATCAGAGTCGTTGCTATCGACAACCATCACCGAGAAAAAAAGGGCAAGCTGAACATACTGCTGGATCACGTGGAATATATGCTACACCCTACCTTTGAGAATCCCAGGCGTGTTTTTGCCAGAGAGCCTTATTTGTTACAAGAAAAGGGTTGGGGTGAGTTTGATATGCGTGTCGTCCTCCATTTTGCACATCAATTGGCAGAGCCTGAAAACATCTTTTTTGACCTTCATTTTCGAGAACACACTTATACCATTTTACATAGAATCAATTTTGTCCATCCTTCACCTGATCTTGTGCGTCTGTTGAATACAGAACCCGAACCAATGTATCATGACAGCATAAAGAAGAGACGCGCAAGTCCGCCTCTGTTGGCAGCCAAGAAGATCAAAACACCGCCTACAGTCTCTTCGCCAGCACAGTTTAGTGATGGTCCTCTTACACCTTACAGTAAATATCCAACATCACCCTCTAACAATGACATTGAATCAGACGATGTATTTCGAAATCTACATGGTCGACAGATAAAAGATGGAGTGATTATTGATAACGTATATGATGAAAAGGATGTTGACAATGTGCATTCAATACATAAATCAGCCATAGACGATCGTATTCGAAAAGCATGGGGATTGCCTATGGTAAAATACGACTGTTTCTTCTTTATATTGATTGGACATATGTAGGGTTTAGATATGTTGGAATTAGCAAGACGACTCAGCACAAGATCACCAGAAGAAATTACAGAAATAGAAACACTTATTTTAACCCATAGAAAAGACGATATGTTATTAGAAGACAATGAAGGTAATTCAAAGCAGTGTAGTATTATTGTTTAACTCTTGTGTTAGATGAATTCATGGTCGATTTGTATTCTTTAGGACCTGAACTGCTAAACCTATTATGGGAATACACAGAAAATAAAACCCAATTACAGAACACGACCGAAATGTCACCCTTTTCACTTGTACAAGCAAATACCAACATGATGGAATACGATTAAAAAAAAAAGAAAGAAAGAAACCTTGTTTATTTCAGCAAACAATAATAAAAAAAAAAAAAGAGGGTATTCTCTATAGACCTACACGGAAAAGCACTTGTTTTCCTTTTTTTCCCTTTTTCTTTTTTGTGTTGCTTTCCTCCTCTTCTTCTTCTTGTTCTTCATTTGTTGTGGATTCATTCCATGCATTTTGATGAGGTTTTCTCAACAGTGCATTGATATCTGCTCTTCTGGATGTACCTGATGAAGTGGGTAATGCAGGAAACAATTGTTGCAGATCAGCATCAGAAGCAGTGCGCGGTGTAGATGAACCACTCCAAGGTGTCTTTGACTGAAGAGGCGGGAAACTAGGGGGACGAATACCACCTGCATCGATCGCTGCTGATGCTACTTTATCCCATACACCTTTCTTTTTCTTTGACTGAGATCGTTTTGGATCCACAATGAGCACACGGGGCGAATGGGTGTCATTGCTTAAAGACTAACATGATGTCAATGGATAGCATTTAAATATCTAAAACTTACTGGGTTCTTTTTGATGTTCCAAGCATGAATTATGTCTGACTTTAATGCACGGTTGTCAATCAAATCCTTGGCTCCTGCAATCACTTTGTCTGTCAGGTCCATGTCTTGATCACATAGACCATAAATGCTGTTGACAAAAGAAGCTGCATCCATGCTTAAACTGGTGTATTTCGTCACATATTGACGAAATTTGATCACTTTGTCAACACTTTTGATCATATCAGCAATACGATCCAATGCAGCTGCATGACGAGACACAACTGCTGTTTCTGGTTCAGAAGAAGAAGACTTGACTTCTTCGCCTAATGTTGGCCATTGTTCCTGTGGTTCTGATAAACTAGTAGAAGCCATTCTTGAAGACAATAAAGCATTTGGATTGACGGACCCATTAATGTCAGGAAAATCTTGGGCTGATAATTGAACTGTCTTTTTTGCTTGACGTCCACGCTGTTGTTGAGGTTGAGATGAAGTATAGTTAAGATTGACATCAACACGACTTTGTTTCGCCCGTTGTTGACGTGAAAGTGTGTTGACATGTTCCTTGACTTCGTGTGCTTTTAAATCAATATCTGTATCAAACACAACAAACTTGTTCTCTAAGCATTCTTTGTATTGACATAAATAATGCTCTTTGTTAAAATGCTTTTCCTATATATGCCATGTCAATTTAAAGTCAGTCGCAAATGTCACTTACCAAGCTATCATAATTAGCATAATATTGATGTTGAATGCCATGTCGAACACATAAATGACATTGTTCATGCTTATCACGGCAATGTTCAAACAGTTCATCAGGGCCATAGAAGCGTGTTCTACAAAACACACATTCTGGATGCCCAGTAAACCCTGTCTCGTCTTCTTTGTTAAATGAAGCGTCGCCTTCTCGGTAATGTTTTTGCAATTGAGCATTGGTATATAACGTATGTTCATGAGAAAAGATCTTTTTGTTGCGAAGACAAAGATCACAGCATACTCGTTCATGGACTTGTTTAACGTGGCGTTTAAGTTCATTCCAGTTCTCGAAGGCTTCTTCACAGTCTTGCTCAGGACAATTGTATTGGAGTAAGATCAATGTCTCTTTATACATCTCTTTTGTCTCGAATCGGATATCATACTTCTTATGATAGAATGGGGTATCTTGTCTTTTGTAAGTCTCGTAAGGCTTTTCGCTGTCGTTTGTAAACACCACTTTGTTTGCCTCTATCTATCATCAAGAATGGATATAAGAAGCCACACCATAAAATTAAATGTCTTACCTTACAATAAGCACAATTCTTTGTGCCATAAAGTGCTCTTAAACGCAAAGTACATAAATGACAAGTACGATGGTCACAAGGAGCAACAGCATAATAATCAATGGGACGAGTACAGATAAAACAAACTTCACCTTCAGCGTCTTCTTCGCTGTCTTCTATAGGTTTCTTTTTAAACCCTTTCAAAGGTTCTTTTTTCTGCTGCTGCTTTTGGTGCTTTTTCTTGTCGTTGTTATTCTTGTCGCTGTTGTTCTTGTCACTTGTATCCGAACGCGATTTTTCGTTATTGTTGTTGTTGTTGTTGTTGTTACGACGTCGGTAGTGTCGCTTTTTGTTTGTATTGTTAATTTCGGTTGAAGAAGAAGAGGGTTGAGTGGGTTCCATAGTCTAGTCTATAAGTCTAATATATAAAAAAAAAAAAGAGAGAGAGATGATATCAACTGCCGCAGTTCACCATCAAAAAAGTTTTCTAATGACAGTAGCCAATAAGAAAAGGACATAAGGATAATGCCATACACAAGAACATATGATTCCTATAGCCAAATGTTTTATTTCTTGCAAATATAAGCGTTTTTCTGTTTCCTCTATCTCTTTATTGTCTTTTTCTTTTTCCTCTTCTTATGAATACCCAAGACGAGTTTGATTCAGGTGAATAGAGCCTATAAAAACATATTTATTGAACTTGTTTCTTGTAGTAGTGATTCTGGATTTAGTCTAGGCCAATTAGAACAAGAGAGCTTCTTGACTCGGTTAACTTCTATTCCTTTGATTCAAGACAGTTTAACAGGAGCCCATCAAATGGCTCAATGCTATCCTGGTGGACAAAAAGTGCTTGACTATGCTCATCATATGCTAAGTCTATCACAGCCTTATTTATCAAGCCATGATCATCAACTCTTGGTGCGTGCTAATGATTTGGGTAACAAATCACTTGAACTCATTGAGCGCCAGTTCCCCATGATTCATCAACCTACAGATGAACTAGTGGGTTATATTCAAATATCTATTTTTCAAAAGAATCGGCCAGCCTAGACGCTATGGCTAAACACATTGACATGTTGCTTCAGTCTTTTTTTACCTCTCGAACAGGATCATTTGCAAGGTATGGATAGACTCATGAAACGAGTGAATGATGTGCCATTAAGCGTATCTAATACAACAGCCTATCAATTGTCTGCTACAGTAGATCAAGAAAGACAAATCAAGCACATGATACAAAAGCAAGTCCATTCGGAGTCTTTTAAGGCCATATTTGGCTCTGCTGTACAAACCATGTACAACTTGACACAGACTGAATTTGACAAGTTTCATCAAGAGCTCTTAAAGCCAAACATGAGTCACATGGAACGTATCCGTAACATCTTGGTTTTGTCTCAAACAGATATTTTAATGCCATTGTATCAGAAATCTGTTCCTTCACTTTAGAAATACACTCCTTCTTAAAAATATAGTATCTCTCATATATATATATATAAAAAGGGAGTATGTTTGTTATAAGGAGAATAATGCCAAATACTATGATTAGAAAAAAAAGAGAGGGGGATGTGTTTTCAGATATAAAAAGGAGAAAAAGGGTTTTTGTTATTTATTTGCATATATAAAAAGGAGCCTTTAATTATGATGAGCATAGGAGATGTATAGGCTCTATAAAAAAGAATCTTTTTTTTCTGTCTCTTTTTTTTTATTCAGAATAAAACATGGCAGACGCAATGGCTTATCATCATCGTCAAAATCAATACCAACAAGATACAAGAAGAGACATGATGATGCAAAGAGATTCTTCTACTTCAACCCTTTTAACTCGTGAACAACAACTTCGGGAAGAAATTGCAAGACTAAAACGAGAAGAACAAGAACTCTGTGAAAAAGACATTTGGGTCAAACAAACCATCATGGCTGTTCGAGAAAAGATTGCTGCCGAAAAAAGAATTTACTAAACTATGCCAATAAACATGTATCAGATGTATTATGCATCTCTTTGTCATTTCATGTGCGATGCGGACTTACGGAATTTTAAAGAAGCTCGGCCCGCATCCTACTCAGGCCTATGAAAGCATCTACTGTAGTGTAAGAAAGGATCGCTCACGAACAAAGGAGCATTAAAATCAGCCAAGTCGACATTCTTGTTCTTTCTCTAAATTTACAATGGTAAAGTATCATCCACAATGAAAGAGAAAAAAGAGAGAGAAAGAAAGGGAATGGAAGAGCCATACGAGAACATCATGATAAACGAATGAATGGATTGATTTTTGAGATGGATGGATATTTTGTTTTTTTTTTTTTTATGGAACATGCATAGACAACATGAATCACATCTCCATGTCGCTCTTCTTTTTCTTTTTTTCTTGTTATATATGAACGTATATTAATGCACTCAACATATATAGGCTAAGAAGGACGTTGCTGCTAAGCCCAGTTCCAGCTCTGGAGGTAAGAAGGCCAAGAAGAAGTGGTCTGCCAAGAAGGTCAAGGATAAGGCCAACAACTTGGTCATCCTCGATAAGCCCACCTACGAACGTTTGTTCAAGGAAGTTCCTACCTACAAGCTCATCTCTCAATCCGTCCTTGTTGACCGTCTCAAGTTGAACGGTTCTTTGGCTCGTATTGCTATCCGTGAACTTGAAGCTCAAGGTTTAATCAAGCCTATCTCTCGTCACCATGCTCAAATCATCTACACTCGTGCCACTGGTGATGAAAAGAAGTCTGCTGCTGCTGACAATGAAGAATAAATTCTTTCAATAAACTAGTATTTTTTTTTTTTTTTCATTTTCTTTACAGATATAATTTATTATTCGTGCAGTTGGATTAGCGTCTATTTAGTGTCAAATAAGCTAAAAAGATAACTACGGCCAATGCACCGTGCTGACATAAAATGCCAAGCGCCGTTGGTTTGATCGTGGGGATGAGTAGCGCGATATAGCCCATTGGAAAAGATTCGCATATACCACGACTCTGCTCACACCCTTGAATAGAAAAAAAAAAGAAGAAAAAAAAACTTTTTTCGTGTCTTGTTGAACTTTATATACTTGAAAAAACACGGGCTTTTAAAAAAAGTTGAGGACTGCTTTATTCTCGTTTCCAAGAACCACTTTGGCCTCCACTCTTTTCAACGACTTGGATACCTTCAATGACCATGTCTTTTGATGCAGCTTTACACATATCATAGACTGTCAAAAGAGCCACACTGGTTGCTGTCAATGCTTCCATTTCCACACCTGTCTTACCCGAGGTCTGTACAACAGATGCACATTCAACACTTTGTTTATGATCGTCTAGCCAGAGTTGGACATCAATCAAGCCCAATAAAAGTGGATGACAGAGTGGGATTAAATTCGAGGTTTGTTTGGCTGCTTGGATACCTGCAATCTGAGCGACTGTCAAGACATTCCCCTTGGCACTCTGGCAATGGTTTTTTTTAGCAATTGATAAGCATGATCTGGTAAAAGAATGCGGCCAATGGCTTTGGCTTCTCGCTTGGTCATGGCTTTATCTGTGACAGAGACCATGCGTGCTTCACCTGTTGATGGATCTGTATGTGTCAATCTGTGCGGTTTTGTAGAATAGAATCGAGTCGTATGTGTTGGCATATTCTTAAATGTATGAAAATAACCTTCATTTAATAGAATAAATATATATATAAAAATTACCCTCCAATCAGGATCATGGGTCGATTCTTTCTAGAAGCTAATTCAAACATACCAGCATGTTGCTTCTTTTTCTTTTTGACTGCTGCTCCAATGATATCTAACAATTCTTGATCTGATTTGCCTTGTCGTAACATGTCTCTTAAGGATACTTCTGTGTTGCCAAACAGACATACTTTGATACTACCATTGGCTGTGATGCGTAATCGATTACATGTACCACAAAAATGATCTGTCATGGATGTAATAAAGCCTAATTTACCACGATAACCAGGCACTTGAAAATGCTGTTCTTAATGAGTAAATAAACACAAAAATGTATCGTATTTTTTTTTTTTTACCTTGGTGGTATCATTCGCACTGTCCGTTTGTTTCTCCAATGTACCATAGATAGATTCAATGCAATGAACTAGTTCTTTAAAGGGCACTAATTTGTCTTGATGCCACTTGTTTCCATCAAATGGCATATATTCAATAAACCTGATATTAATAGGATGGTCTTTTGTATAGGCCACAAACTTGAGTATTTCATGATCATTGACACCCCGCATCACGACCGTATTGACTTTGACTTGGATACCCAAGTCCACTGCTTTTTGAATTGCTTCTATCACACGCTCCAGTCCTTTTCTTCTTGTCATGATTTGGAACAAGTGAGGATCTAATGTATCTAAGCTCACGTTCAATGTATCTAATCCACCTTCCACAAGCGCAGGTAATTTGCGTTTCAAGGCAATACCGTTGGATGTCATGGCTAAGCTCTGTAGACCGTCTTGCTTTAGTTGACCGAGACTTTGGACAAGTTGAACAATGTCAGGTCGAACAGTGGGTTCGCCACCTGTTAAACGTATCTTGGTCACACCTTGGCTTACAAACAATCGCGCTAGTTGAAGGATTTCGTGGCTTTGGAGTAACTGATGATCAGGTGAAAGTGGGACACCTTCTTCTGGCATACAATAAGTACCTTTAGATTGATGAGTACACATAGATGGCAATGGTGGCTTACATCTTAGATTGCAACGCTCTGTCAATGAGATGCGAAGGTAGTTGTGTTGACGTTGAAAGTTGTCTGTAAGATATTTACTCACCAGAGTAGGTTCTTCAACAAGATTAGACTACATGATCGAGTAAGAGAGAATACAAAGAAAGGCGTTTTTACTTACTGTCTTTAAAGCCACTGCTATCTATAGACAAGAGTTAGATAGAGTTCAAGTGGATGATAATGCATGTACCTGAGAATTATACCATCTCTTTCGTAGAATATGTTTTTTTGAAAATTGTAGACAAGTAGACAACAACATATAAAGAAGAAGAAGTTGTGCGTGAGAGTAATGGAGTCAAGCGAGTATTTATACTTTTTTTATTTGTTTGTTACTAAATAAAGCATTCGCTCTTTTTTGATAAGCTTCATCTCTTATAGTAGCTAAGAAACCTATTTTATTCATTCTTTCTAGCAGCAGCTTCACGCTCACGTTTACGCAAAGCTCTCTTACGAATATCTTTTTGAATGCCTATCAAAATATATGTATGTATCAACAACGTATATCTAACAAACGCAACTTACTGTCATTGTAATTCACCCAGAAAGAAGTAGTAAACAAGTTATTGATGGCCCAGTTAGCAACACCATGCATAGGATAAGGAGCAGAAGTAAAAGGAACTTGAGCACCACAAGGGACACCGATCTTCTTCAATACACTTGTAACGTAATCCTTGGCAGTAGGAATCAAAAGAGAAGGCTTACGAATCTTACTCATAGCAGAAACAACAAAATAGGTATTGACGTGTTCAACAACAATACCATCTTTTTCAACTTCCTTACCCAAAGCTTGAGACCAAGTAGACAAAAAGGCCTTACCAGCAGAATAGACAGATAAATAAGGTGTAGCTACCAAACCAGCAAATGAACCCATGTTGAGAATAAGACCATTATGACTATCACACAGTAAGATAACCTGTATTACATCAACAAGTGGACTTACTTTTCTTTCATTTGAGGAAGTACAAGCTTTGTCATTTTCATAAGACCCTTAATGTTGACTTCAATGATGTTGTTGATAGTTGTATCATCTTCTTCCATAAAAGAGGTAGGAATGTCATGATTGACACCCACATTGTTCACAAGAACACCTACACGAATAGAACCCAGTGTTTCTCCTACTCTTTTAAAATCCTCAGGATCACCTTTTGTGAAATCCATAGCCAATGTCTTTGTTTCAACGCCATACTGTTCAGCTGAGAAATGATATAAGTCTATCTTTCTCAAGAAAACAAACCACTTACCGATATCCTTTGCCATTGCATCCAACTTAGAAGCAGTACGAGAAATCAAACAGACATTAAACTTGTTTTTAGCGAGTTGTAAAGCAAACTCTTTACCAATACCATCAGTAGCACCCGTGATTACTGAATCCATAGAGTGGGTTTTACGCGTATGGAAGAAATATCTTGCTTACCTGCCCAAGCACCTTGATCAGCACCAAATTTCTTGAGCTATATCATGAAAAGTAAGTCAAGTTGAACACGTGAAGACTACTTTACAGGAATACCACTGGCTACAAAAGAATCAAACACAGTCTTTAAAAGTGACAAGACTTTATAACCGAGAAAAGCAGCACCAATAGCAGCGAATAAAGTGATAGAGTTGCACTCGACCATGGTCAATAATAAAAAAGAAAGAAAAAAAAAGAAATTGTATTTCGGTCACAAAGCCCGTTCTTATTAATTGTTGGGTGCTTTAGCCCCACAGTTGGGTTCTGACATATGATTGGACAATAACTTTAAATACAATACGATCCAGTGCTTTACGCCAAATACAAGTGATGCTCCATAAGAGCAAAAAAGTACAGCGGTTGAAACAACTCAATCGAGAAAAAAAAACAAACGTAATACCGATAGGTTAATACCATTGAATCTTTTAACTTGGGCAATCATTAGTTTGTATGGTTTCTTTTTTCACTATTAAAAAAAGGGGGAGGGGGAGACAAAGACAAGTGATGATGGCTAAAAGAGAACCAGAATACACTTGCATAAGGCATCAGTTTGATGTACTTTTCAAAAGGATTCAAAGGCAGCCATGATTCGAATTTGCATGAAAAAAAAAAGTTTTTTTCAAGTCACATTCCCTTGACAACACAGATCTTTTTTTTTTATTTTCTTTTGTTCTCTCGAGATCAACACGATGCTAAGGTACCTTAGAATAAATAAATGCCTAGTTGTTTTTTGAGCTTCTCGGTTTATTTTATGAGTGTGTTTATTTTTAACGCGTTTTTGAAAAAGTGAATCAATTCCAAGTTGGACACAAGATCATGCTTGGCCACTTATAGATACAGACACTATTGACACAAGTTATGCAAGCTCAAGCCACGCCGCAGCATTAGCGAGCATTTTTGGTCATGACGCATTAGACTTTCATACGAATGTTTCCGTATTCTATGATGAGTTTAACTTTGGTAAACTGTCCTTCATCTTCATTCCATATTTATGATTCTTTAGTGCCACATCAAACAATGACAGATACCATTGAACCTTCCAGTTTGATTCATCAAGACTATGTTCATTCAGTGACAAATGATGCCAAAAGGAGACACAGCAGTAGCTCAGCATCAACCAATTCTTCTCTAGAAGATGACAATACATTCTCTACTATGCATAGCCGAAGATCAAGTCTAGACAGTGAATCTTCCACAGAATCAGTCAAGCCAAGCTACATGCATCGACGTCAAATGGAAGAAGCCATTTTAGAAAAAATTACACATCAATTAGATGCAGACAAGTTGCCTGGTATTTTGACGATCATCTCACACAATCAAGACAATGTAGAAGAAGTCGAGATTGATTTAGCTAAACTGGACTATGTTCAACTCGAACATATTTTACTCTATGTGGATGCATGTCTTTTAGAGAAACAAGGTGGACCTAAAGTCAAATTAAATGACTATGTGATTCAGCCAATGAAAAAGTCAATGCCAAAGCAACGACGTCGAAAACAACGCTGTACTTCTATTGTAGAAGCAGGCCATGTCGTCCATGGTACTTGTACATCTCGACTGTCTGATTCTTATGGTCCAATGTCGATGTCCGCACTTACTGAATACACTGTGAAAAGAAAAAACAATAAGAAAAGAACACCGAAAAAGAACAAGAAATTTAATCATACATTACCTGTCAAGAAACCATCCAAAAGGAAAACTGCTTTACATAAACGTAAATTACTGGAAGATATGATTCAACCCTCTTCTAATGATGAAGATGAAGAAGAAAACTCAAAAGGAGATATTATCATATTTGGTAATGAACAAATGGATTTTGCAGTGACAGACAATCAAACCATCGTTCATTCGTCTTTGCCAACACAACACATACCTTCTGTAAATGACCAACCCATCGAAGCAGACGAAGACGATGAACTCATTGACATTATGATGTAAAATAAACCTTTTATTTCCATATAAACTACTAGCTATGTGCCTAACCTGTTATTGTATCTTCTCCCTATCTTGACAAGTGAGATTTCAAAATGCGATATTTCGATTTGGAAAGACTGTATTTCTGAAACAAATGTATGAAAATCAACTGTTTGATAAACAAAGCGTGAAAATGTTGATTTTTGGGTATGAATCAATGAAGCACAAAGGAGAACTTGATCGTGTAACTTCTGTGCGTACTTTCTTTTATTTTTCTGTATATAAGCTGGTATGTTCTCTCTTTCTTTCTTTCTCTTTCTTTATTCATTTGATGCATTCTATTGCCAATTCACAAATTACGCTTGAAACGATTTCTAATGAATGGGGTTCATTACCAAAAGGTAGAGTCATTGAATGTCTATTATTTATTCAATGTCTATAGTGGCAAGTCAGTCCATGCATACCAAGACAGCTTTTTATCCTATGTATTTTCATCACCCAAATGATCCTGCATCGCCACCTCTTCTTCCAAACCATTTTATACCGCCACCTTTACCAAGCAAAAGTCCTCGAACTGTCATTCCATCGAAACGAGCTGAACAAAACAGAGTTGCTCAACGTGCTTTCCGGTTACGAAAAGAACGCTATGTCAAAGAACTTGAAAGAAAAGTAAAACTAATGGATGACTGGAAAGCAGAAATCAACGCATTACGTCAAGAAAATCAACAACTCAAAGAAACCAATGTGCGCCTAGAACAACACCTTAAGCAATCAAAAGAACAAAAGGCGCTCTCTTTGACGAAAAGAAACCCTATGGATCAAACCAAACTGGAGTTCTTGCCTGTTGAATTGGGTTCACCTACGACTTCATGTTCGTCGTCATCTTCTTCCTTTCTACTGCCTTCTCATTGGAATACTTCCATGGATATGAATGAGTTTTACACGGTGCTATCACCACCCCCTTCTATGGTGAGACAAGAACCATTCAGTGTTATGCACCATCATTGTTCCCTCAAGGACACGTTAAGCAGTGTCATGTGAATGTACACTTGTGTAAGAACCCTTATTTTAACGACCCTTCATTGATATATAAAAAGTTTGTTTATATGGGAAATATGACGACAAATGTTTTAAACTGTTTATTTGTTTTATGTTGGAATACCAATCAAAAGAGCTTGTCTTAATCGAGTTACACCTATTTTTAACGTCTCTGTATCATAATGAGCAAAAGATAAACGGACATAATAGTCGTCAGGATTGGATACAGAAAACAAGGTACCAAGTCCTACACCCACATCAATGTTGTGTTCTTGAGCAATTTCCATCAATTCGCTGCCCTTGATTGGTAGTTTAAGCCAGACAAAATAGCCCCCTTTGGGTCTGATTTCCGAGGAACAGCCCAAGGGAACAAGGTGTTCTTGAATAGGTGCCCATAATCCACGGTAAAGACGATCACTGTGTGTCTTTTTAAGAAATTCAACATGTTGAAAGAGTACATTGTCTTTAAGCATTTGGTTAATAATTTGGCTTGCTAATTCAGTTCATTTAGAAATACACACAGAGCACAATACACTTACACAGATAAGAAGGTGAACCACCTGATATGAATGAACCACTAGGAATCCAGTTTAATGTTTATCTTTCTGATAGTTTAACCTACCAAGCACCCACACGCTGGATAAGGCGCTCATTGGCTTCTATCCATCCTACTCTTGCTCCTGGTGCAAGTAACTTGGAAAATGAACCATTACTGATCACAACACTCTTTCCTTGACTTTCTAGATCATAAGCAACAAGACGCTTAGGAATATCACCTTCAAAAGTCAAGATATCATACACATCATCACAAATGATCAGCATGTTGTATTTCTTGCCTAACTCAACTAGTCTTTGTCTCTTTTCAGCTGACAAAATAGACCCTGTAGGGTTTGCATGGGTAGGGACACAATACAACACAGAACTAAAGGTGGTTGAATCATTTGGCTGGTAGTGTTTGGCAAGGTGATCTTCTAATAGGTCCAGGCGCATACCAGAATCCCCTTCTTCTGGTATACCCACCCATTGATCCCGTGTATAGCCTACATCAAGAAAGATATCAAACACTAGGAAATAAGTAGGGTCTTGTAGATACACATGACGTGTGTGTGTTTCTGGACGTGTTAATATCGATAATATATGTTGAAGTGAAAGGGATGCACCTGCTGTAGCGCATAAATGTTGACTACCATCATCGTAAGTGTTTATGTTAAATAAAGCTTTGTTGTACCTGTACACAGGAGAATGATATGCGTTTGTTAAGAAAGTAGCTAAATTACGTAAAAATTCAGGATGTCCAAGTTCATGACCATACTATTCATTTTATTATTATTTTAGTTCATTCACTCTATCTTTTTACTTGCAACATATCCACTGCAGCATGAGGTGCACTTAACGCCTTTTGTGCTGCTTCAGAAAAGAGTTGAGTAGGTAAAAGATCAGCACTAGGCTGTCCATTCTTAAAGTTGATCATGAAAAAAAAAAGAGGGATAAAAGAAGAGGGAGGGAGGGGGGTATTTAGATTTTCTCAATGATTGGATCAGCCATTTTACGTCTACGTAAATAACTAGAGAAAACATTAGATGAGTGAGGGTTGTCATATAGGTTTGTTTAATTACCTTTTAGGTTGAGGTTGACACAAAACCTGAATCATGTTTTTGAAAGGGTTATGTTTGTTGTAAGGATTTGCCCCTAATTCAGGGTATTTGGCCTTGATGATTTCAGCACGTATCTAATAAGATAAGTAAAAAGTATTTTCTCTCTTGTCTCTTACTTGTTCATGCGTGGTAACACCGCGTAAAATTAAAGAACAGTGGTATAACGTAAGTCCACCTACTAACCATAGCAAGATAAAGCAATAAATACAGAGTACAAAACTGACAGGAGCCTTGGAGAACACAAAACTAAAGGTAGACTCTTGCTTGGAATAATAGACGAGTTCATAAGTACAGGATACAATCACAAAAATACATGAAAGAGCAGCAGCCATAATGAACGTAAAAAATGATCGATAGTTGCGTTTACCAATACAATTATTGAGCCAAGCACAATGATGATCTTCAAATTCTAAGCAGGATGAGTACGCCTACCCTTATAAGTTTATCCTTACCAACACAGTTATCACATTGTCGACAATGACTGGAGCGAGGAGGACGGTATATTTTACAGGTATCGCAATAAGTAAGGGAATAAGGTGTGTTTTTAATCCATATTTCTTTAGGTGGTGCTTCTGAGTCCAGAGAGGCATTGTCATCATCATTGTCATCAAAAACAGGATCTAGGTTACGCGGAATGATCTAATAAAGAGGTGAGAACAAGTATGAGCGAATGGATACGTTACACCTGGATCTGTCCAAGAGGCTTTCAACATGGAAACAAAAGCGAGTACAAATAAATAAGCAAACACAATAGGAATAGCTGGATGTACATCATTCCAAAGAAATGGACAGCTATGTATCATTAGACAACAATAAAAATGAGTCTAACTTACGTAAAGACAGCAAACAAGACGGTAGGTGTAATCAACAGGAATAAACCTACAATAAAAGCCCGATAATCACCACTTGTCACTAAACGACCACCTAACAAGAACCGAGTATGTCCAGGAAAAATCTGATAATTACGATAAGGCTGTTCTCGAATGATGTAGTGTGGTTGTTCCGTCGTATGAGTTTCTTGTGATGTATCTTTGATGGTCTTGAGGCAATACGCTTCTGAGTTTTCAATATCAAATGTAACTGGTGGTGGTGGTGGTGGTGGTGGTGGTGGTTGCGGTTGTAGTGGTGATGATTGATGTAAGATAGGTGCTGTGCTAGCATAACTACTAGCAAAATTAGAATGTGAAGTGACTCCCGAAGAGTGAGGAATAGGATCGTCTTCATCGTGTATAGCTTGTGTTTGATTCATGTGTGTCATAGGTGCTGATTCAAAGTCGAAATCCTCGAGAGATTCAGGTTCAAAAGAAGAGTTGAAGAAACTAGACTGAAAAGCACTAAAAGAAGCTGGTTCTTGTGTATTTTCAATAATGGATTTATCAGGAACATCCATTGTCGTTTTTAAATATTATATATTAAACTTTCTCTCTTTTTTTTCACTTTGTCTCTTTCACTCTATGTGTCTGTCTATAGGAAAAAAAAAAAAAAAAGAGGTAACGCAAACAATATGAAATAAAATAAAATAAAAAGGAGGATTACACAAGAAAAAAAAGAGAGAGAATAGATAAATAAGTGAATATGATGTGTACACAAGAACCGAGCACTTGCTCCTTTTTTTTTTCTTTTTTTCTTCTTTTTTTTTTGCTTTTCACTTATGGAGCTATGTATAGAAAACCCATCTATTAAATCTTGGTTAAGAAAAGCGATAATTTCACATCACAAAAAGAAACCGTCGCAGAGTAAATATCCCTTTTTTAAGAAATTGTTGCTTATTTTCCCTTTAGATGTCTTTGGGGTGACACTCCTTCAAAGCCTACAAATAGCAAATACACCTATTGCTTATGAAAACAAAGAGACAGTCATAGGCATTATACCTATTATTGTAGCCAAATGTGGCTCTTATTTAAAAGACCAAGGTCTTTATATAGAAGGTATTTTTCGTAAAAGTGGCAGGTAAAATAGAGCATAAATTTAATGAAGTCATTTTAATTCTATAAAAGTGCCAAAAGAGTAGGTGAATTGCAACGCATATTTAACTCATCATCTGATTACGGAATCGGACTCAACTGGATTGGGTTCAATGTCCATGATGCTGCCAATTGTCTAAGGCGTTTTTTAAATTACTTGCCAGAACCTGTTATTCCTTTTGGACTCTATCAATCGTTTCGAGATGTTGCCACAGGAGAAACTGAACGTAAGCTAGGCCTATGGATATGTAGATATTGACTAATCATGTTAGTCTATGTCATGATAGATGCCTATCAGCAATTAATAGATCAACTTCCTCATGTAAACCAGTATTTATTGTTCTATCTTTTAGATCTCCTCTCTCTTTTCAGTCGATATGATCAATACACCAAAATGGACTCGAGTTCTCTGGCTTCTGTATTTACACCGGGCATCTTGCTCAACCCAGAAGACGCCATGAACCCTGAACATTACAAACTATCGCAAAGAGTGGTTCAGTTCTTAATAGACCACCAAGATAAGTTTCATTTACCGTGTTATCCCTCTTGTTATCCACTCTATTCGCCTTTGCATAAAAACAAACTACTTAGAGCCAATACAGCACCTGTACAGAAACCTCATTTTGCTCATTACGAACCACTAAAAGTGAAACCATAGATATTGTATATACGTTAGTTTATCAATTCACTTGAAACCCGCGCTACTTGGGATGAACAAACAAAAACAAAAAAAATTCCAATTTGTGTATTAAAAGGCATCTTATTTAAACTTTCTTTTTTTTTTTCAGTTCTTTTGTAAAAAAAAAAGGAAACCATGGTTCGCCTGCTTAAGTTACTCAGTTTAGCCACTTGTTTATGTGTGGTGAAATCCCAAGATGTGACAGAGAAGCAAGTGGTTTCTTCTGTCATGTATGCACCTGTTCCGACCAATCGAATGGCACTTGCCCATCCATTACCTGCTGCAGAGTTTATTGCGTCCAATGGGGAACAAAAGACAGTGTGTCACAATTTCCGTACAGAATTCAACAAGAATTCTCGAGGCTGGATTGTAGAAAATACAATGCAAGATACCTATGATGTGAATCAAGACGGTATTCAATTGAACTTGTTGCCTCCTAAACAATACGTTCGACTTTTAGACACAAGAAGTAGGACATCTAAATGTGAATGTATGGACTCATGTAACCATAGATTTACCTTATAACCAAATTGGTGGTCGAGGCCCCACCTTGAATGCCACGACCTATATTCGCTATGGCAGGATCTCTGCTACCATGAAGACAGCTAGTGGAGGAGGTTCAGTTACTGCTTTTATTTTAATTGCAGATGATGGTGATGAAATTGATTTTGAGATCGTTGGTGGTGATTTTCGATCTGTACAGTAAGTTAAAGAGGGACTCAAGCGATATCTCATATTTGGGTATAGAACCAATTACTTTTGGGGAAGAGACATCGAATACACTGTGAATGGTGCTGTCCATCAAATTAAAGGTGCTGATTTAGACAAAGCATTTCATCGTTACACCATTGACTGGTCACCAGAAAAGATTGACTGGATTATAGATGACCAGATTGTGCGCACAAAGACAAGAGCTGAAACATGCGATGCTAGTGGTGTATGCAAATTTCCATCTCGACCAGCGTAGGTTTTCCTAATTTGTTTGTATAAATCTCAATTTTGTTTTTCTTAGACGTGTCCAAGTTGGATTATGGGATGGTAGTATTGAATCAGGTACAGCAGCATGGTCTAGAGGACCTATTGATGTAAGTAGATACCACACATGGTTACATACTCATACGTTCATAGTGGTCTTTACCTCATTCAATTTCAGCTTATATCAAGGATATTCATGTTGACTGTAATCCAGAGTATAATCAAATTGTCAATTGATACTCGGAAATTTATAGAGCAAAGAATGTACCTGAATCTATATAACCTTATGCATTTTCTCTTTTTTCTAATAAATGGATCTTTATTTCCACACTTCACCTACAAAGAAGTTTATGTTGGCATTCAGAAAGAAGAAATCAAGTGCTGTGGGCCCTGTAACTCAACAAGAAAAACCAAATGTCTTGATCACAAGAAAAGTATCATACGCTCAAGCCAAGAAGCTTTGGCATCAACTATTGACTCATAAAAGAATGACCAAGACAGCTACTATCTTGTTTGATTCACATGAACATCTATCTCCTCCTCCTACACCACCGCCCAAGAAATCACAGACGATGCCTGACTTGGTGGGCTATACAGACCATTGGATGGACCGCGCTTTACCTCATTTACCTTATGAAGAAGAAAAACACACAAGTAGTCTTTCAAGAACGTCTACTTGGGTAGGCAAGTCTATTCAACGATGGATAAGTACCTACAGTAGCAGTGTTAGCAGCAGTAGTCTTATGAGCGCTGCCAGTAGTACAAAACGATCCTTGTTTGGTAAATCAGGAGAGATATTCATGGGCAAATCTGGTCCACTGTTACTTGACCATTCAGAACTGCATGAAGAAGAACTGGAAGATGCTACAAGACACTCATTCTCAAGTTCCTTGTCACCTAACTATTTAGCAGATAAAATGACACTTCATTCAAAGGGTAAGTGTATATAGAATAGAGTGTGTATTGATCTTGATGTTAGTTTTACAGGTGACATCTCTTGGTTCTTCTGGCAGTAAGTTGGGAATAGACATAACAAGGCTTCTTATACGTATGTAGGTTATCAATATCAAATGGATATCCGCGTTACAAATAATCCTGTTCAAACACACCATGGCATTATGCGCAAAGCAGCAAAAGAACAAAGCATGTGCCATCCTCGTACGGCTCTTACATTGTAAGTAAAAACGATAGAAGCTAAAAGCACTGATATTCTATAGTCATGTCCAAGGTCGTTTCCAAATCGAATGTTGCTTAACTCTAAAACCTTATAAATCCACACATACGTTGATGAAGCGTCTTAAGTCACTTAAATCTAAATCAGACTTGTTCAGGCTAGCGAATATGGAACAAGGTGAAGAACAACGAGTAGAGGAGAAGAAAAAGGAGGAAGAGGAGGAGGAGGAAGAAGTAGAGGAGGAGACCATTCAAGCCAGGCTTGTTTTAGACTCAGGAGAAGAATTGCTCTCTAGTTTTGCTAACAGAGGCATAAGCCGATACACACTTCAAACATCGAGCTCCGTTACAATAGAGCTCACCATGGTATTTTTGCTTGAAACATTGGAAGAAGATGACGAAGACGAAGATGAAGAAAAAGCATTGTATACGCCTATTGATCAAGATGTGCTCAATTACTGTGTATCAGGGGACTATTTAACTTTCTATGTCAAGGGCGAATATCATCCAGTAAGATCAAACTATGTTTTCAATGAATTACTGATATTTGTTAGACATGGAATAGATATTGGGTTACTTTTGAATCTCACCAATTAGTCCTAAGATTAAATGAACGAGGAAAAGGAGAGCCTGTGACACGATTCCCGCTTAAAGAGCTAAATCAAGTCAACATTAATCCTTCAGAAGACACTCTAGAAGAAATTTACTTGGGAAAGAAACATGGCATGATTCTAACATTTGGGAAATATAGCATGTTCCTGTTTGCTGATAACCATGCAAGTATGCGTTATTGGAAATGCTTGCTTGAACAATATGCCAATGCCTACATACATTCTATAAGCAAAATTCATAAAAAATACCTATGGCCATCGTCGGTGGCGCAGTGAAATCGTTTTTTTAATTGGATAATAAAAATTTTCGATGGTTGATTCCCTATTATGGTTTTCGAGCTAAACAGGCAGACAGGCGACGATGATGACTACGTCGACAACAATTTTATTTCTCCCTTTTTTTTTCTTTTTTTCTTTCTCTTTATAAAAATTCTTTAGAGAATTATGAACAATGGTACTTCAAACACAGGCAGCTTAGATCAGCAACTTGGTAAAATAAGGCATAAAAGAATGATAAACATGATATTCATACTTTTTATTTTTATATAGCTGGTATGAGCCTTAATAATAATACTACTAAGCCTACCTCTCGTTATGTTCCCCCTCATTTGAGAAATCAATCAAATCGTGCTGATCGATCCGGCAATGAAAGTGCTCCCAGAAGCAATGGCTGGAATGATTGGAACAATGGTGAACGTGTTCCTCGTTATCCTCGTCAAGAAGGAGGTGGTTGGAACTCTTCTTATTCAGACATGCCTCGCGGTGGTAACAGATACGGTGGTCGTTCTGACTTTTATGAACGCGGATCTTATGGTGGTTACCGCAACAACCGTCAAGATTCTGGCTACCAACGTCGTGATGAAACTCAAGGTTATTGGAAAGATGGTGTTCATCATATTGGTAACCGTAATCCTCGTACTGAGAAGGATCTCTTTGGTACTCATGACGATGCCATTACTCAACACACTGGTATCAATTTTGAAAAGTATGACGATATTCCTGTTGAGGCTAGTGGTCACGACTGTCCTGAACCTGTCACTACTTTCACCTCTCCTCCTATTGACAGCCATTTGTTGAGCAACATTGAGTTAGCCAGATACACTACACCTACTCCTGTTCAAAAGTACTCTATTCCTATTGTCAATGCTGGTAGAGATTTGATGGCTTGTGCTCAAACTGGTTCTGGTAAGACTGGTGGTTTCCTTTTCCCTGTCTTTTCCGAACTCTTTAAGCAAGGTCCCAAGACACCTGCTGCTGAAGAAAACACTTCTGGTGGCTACCGTCCTCGTAAGGCTCATCCTCAAGTCTTGATTCTTGCCCCTACTCGTGAATTGGTCTCCCAAATTTATGATGAAGCCAAAAAGTTTGCTTACCGTTCTTGGGTCAAGCCTGCTGTTGTCTATGGTGGCTCTGATATTGGTGCTCAAATCCGTAACATTGAGCGCGGCTGTGATTTATTGGTTGCCACACCCGGTCGTCTTGTTGATTTGCTTGAACGTGCCCGTATTTCTCTTTCTCTCATTCGTTTTCTTGTTTTGGACGAAGCTGATCGTATGTTGGATATGGGTTTCGAACCCCAAATCAGACGTATTGTCGAAAAGGAAGATATGCCTCGTGTTGATGACCGTATCACACTTATGTTCTCTGCCACTTTCCCCCGTGATATTCAATACTTGGCTCGCGATTTCTTGAAGGACTATATCTTCTTGTCTGTTGGTCGTGTTGGTTCTACTTCTGAAAACATTACTCAAAAGGTCGAATATGTTGAAGATGAAGACAAGCGTTCTGTCTTGCTTGATATTCTTCATTCCAACGATATTGCTGGTCTCTGCTTGATCTTTGTTGAGACCAAGCGTATGGCTGACGCTCTTTCTGATTTCTTGTTGGACCACAACTTCCCTGCCACTGCTATTCACGGTGACCGTACTCAACGTGAACGTGAACGTGCCTTAGAATCTTTCAAGACTGGCCGTACTCCCATCATGGTTGCCACTGCTGTTGCTGCTCGTGGTTTAGATATTGCCAACGTCTCTCATGTCATTTCCTACGATTTGCCTACTGACATTGATGACTATGTTCACCGTATTGGTCGTACTGGTCGTGCCGGTAACACTGGTTTGGCCACTGCTTTCTTTAACCGTGGCAACAAGAACATTGTGAATGATTTGATCAGTATCTTGGAAGAAGCTAACCAAGAGATTCCTAGTTTCTTGGAATCCATTGCCAGAGAAACTCGTTCTTATGGTGGCCGTGGACGTGGACGTGGACGTGGAGGTAATAATAATTTTGGTGGTAGAGATTACAGAAAGTCCAGCAACAATGATTGGAACTCTGGTTCTCGTGATTTCCCTTCTTTGGGCGGTCGTTCTGGTGGTTACAACAACAATAACAACAATAACAACAACAGCAGCAACAACAATAGCGGTGGCAACGTGCCTTTGCAATATCAAACAAAGACCAGTTGGTTCTAAACAAACAAACAAAAATATGTGCGATTCTTTTTCTTTTCTTTTTTTTCTCTGAATTTACAACTATAGATCTCTTTTGCAACAGCAGACCAAAAAAAAACACAAATACACACATACACACACATACACATACACATATATTTCTTTTTTCTTTCCTTATTACTCCCTCATTTATAAAAACATTATTTTGACAAGAAAAAAAAAGAAAAAAAAAACACACAAGTACAATGTGTGTAGATGTAAATAGATTATTTAAAAAAAAAGAAAAAGAAAAAGAGAACGAAATCCTTAATAAAAATTCCTTTTTTATTTCATACTTGAAACCTGTGCTTCATGCATAAAACAAAGTTGCATAGCGACAAGGTACTGTAAGTTTCTACATTCCAAAAAAAAAAAAAAGGTAGGCACATGAATTTAAAAGATTCAAGTATCTTTGTAAGTTTCAAACTAGGTTAGCTCTTTACATTTTATGCTACTGTGTTCCTTTTTGACATGTCTTCCTCTCTTATTTTTGCATGCATTTGATTAGGAGTTTTCCTTGTGTTTGTCATGTCCAAATCTGTTTTTTGACTTCAAAAGTATCATGTATTATATCATGTATTATATCATGTCTTGCTCGCACATATTTTACGCATCGAATGATGCTAGAAAGAGTGCCTACTTTCCATTCAATATCTACTGAAAAGGGCTTCTTTTTTACTGATTACAGTGTATAAAAAGCTTTGATTGAAGATTTTAATGCAATGCTCAAATTGACTCGCCTTTTTTGTCTTAGTAAACTCGTTTTCTTTTCATCAGAAGTACCTAGTGATGGCCTTGTCTGATCTCGGTTGGATCAGTTTTTTTTTTTTTTTTGTATTCAAAATATGTTTTTTTTAGTTGCACATCACAGAGGGATGTAACGTGGATAGACTGAGAAAAAAGGAGCGTATAAGAAGTAATCGTTGAGCGACTTAGAAAACGTTTACGAGTAAAGAATGCTTGTATAGTGAGATCAAAGTTTGACTAATAATGTTGGAAACGATCCACTCAGGGTCAATGCGAAACGCCAGTAAGCGGATCATACTCGCCATTGGGAGACAAATAGAACAGTAAAGAGACGCCTGTCAGGCGGTAGAAAAGGAGGACAGGATTTGAGACAGAGTAGGTGGTAAACCATATTAGCTGAAAAATACATCTGTGGATAGAAGTAGGTGAGGGCTTCAATCCAAATGGTCCATTTCCAAGGACAATAAAGAATGAAGTGTTCAAAGGAGTCGAAGGTTAGGTCATTCCAAGAAATTCTTGATCGAGTTTTGTTTTTTAATCTTCACTAACTTCCGTGGATCCCCCATGGGTCAAGAAATGAATCTTGCATAACAGCCAAACCAATGGTGCCATTCGATTCCTTAGCTCCAAAGAACATGTTTCAAATGAAAAAATGGATTGTTTTGATGGTCTGGTTGACGAGTAATGATGCATCAAAGAATAGTACATTTAAGCTGTGCTTTAAGCATTTTTACTCTAAATGGTATATAAAACTTGCTAGATACAAATTTATAAAACATATTATATGCTATCTAGCATGTCAAAAAACATAGAAAAATAGAAATATATGCATCTTATAATGCAAATATGGGATAAATGGACATAGGACTTACTATGTAACTATCATGCGGAAGGCAACTTCAATTCTTCTTGCCTCACAATAAAAATGGAGCTTTGCTCCAGACTGAACATCTGCTCTTGGGTCTGCTCTTTCCTCGTTTGCGGCCATGCCATTTAAGGCAGTTAGCCAGTAACACTATCACCATTTGCTGCCAGACAATTGGTGCTATTCCCCGGAAACAGTATACGTACATACCAAATCCTATCGAGTGTCTTTTACTGCCCTTACACTCCATTGTTCTGCCATCCAACATTTCTGACTTGCCTCTCAAGTTACGTACAGTAGCAGTTTCCTATCTGTATGAGTACTATTCACAGAGTCATTATTTGGCACCAATACCGATTTCTTCTTTTCCCTTGGATGTCCGGCGTAGTGTTAGAAAATACTTTCAAGCAGTGAATCAAAACCATAGTCAACTGGAACCATTTTTTGTACTTCATTAGACCTATACAATCCTGTGCATATTCCTGCAATACAGCGGTCTCTTGGTTTCTTTTCCTTTATGCGTACGCTGAAACTGCCTTTGACAACGCGAATTTTGTTGGTCTCAAAAATGGTGGCTATAATTTCCGTAAGGTCATCACACAAGCTGCCTTGTCTGATATCATTGCCCGGCAAGAAGTTTCTTCTGCTGCTTGGGAGTAATTTTGGCGCACGCCAATAACAACCGTGCAGAGAAACGTGATGCATCGATTTCTAACCCAAGAGATTCCCACTCGCATGCTTTTGTCTAAGATTTTTCCTGCTCGTTTTCCTACTGCTACCTGCATTTTTGTGGTGATCAGGAAACGCTGTATCATTTCTTCTTTCGCTGCTCCAGAAAATTCCCGTTCTGGGATGCCTTGGTCAGGGAGTTTTTATGGCCAGGCACCTCTCTGGATCTAGTTTCAGATGCACTTGCATCCTTCAATTTTTCTCGGATTCGGGCTCAAACCAACTGTCCTCTTTCAGTAGCCATGGTAACCTTAATCGGTCTCTCTGAGATCTGGAAGGACCATTGGGCTCATATCATGCAGAATCATCAGTTCCACTACCTCTCTGCCCTTCACAGCACTCGATATTAAATTAAGCGAATGGCCGCTGAGAATGACCTTTCACCTTGAGAGGTTTCTCCTCGTAACAGCTGCTCTTTTTTTTCTTGACTTCTTTGTACTTTTGAAACTGTAGTACCCTTTTTGTTTCTTTTAACCCTCTTATAATAAATAATTGTCGAGCACCTCTTTTAGTGGGTCCCTCTCAAGACCACTAATACGTGCGGCAAATAAAATCATTAAAAAAATGGAGCTTTTGCTGAGAACTGTATAAAGACGCAGCTATCGGGTTTTGGTGTAATGAGGAAAAATGTAGATCTTTGCTTTCTGGGTCTTTTGGTACAGAGAACACAACAACTTTGCTGCTAAAATATTGAGTAAATAGGCAAAAAGGTTTTTGAGGGGTTTCACTCTTATAGTACCAATTTTATAGTACAACTGACAAGCAAACACATTCACCAAAAACTAGAGCGTCTTGCGCATATTTTGGGTGCTTAAGCCTCTTGATAGCTACATTTTTCTTCTTGTAGCGTCAAAAAGAAGATCAGAAGTTGTCCAACGAGCTTTTTTCATGACCAGTATCCTTTGGTCGAATGGTCATTTTGGCCATTTTTTACAAGTTGCCTTTTTTTAGTCCAAAAGTACCCTTCATGTTCGTAAAACAGTTTTTTTACGCATTGGAATATTTATGTGGATATAAACATATTTTATACTATTATCATTTGCATACTTTTCTGATAAAAAAGATGCATGTATTATAAGAGATAAGATACACTTTGCATGTTTGAATAAAGCACTGACACTTTGTGTTAAAAAGAGACGATTCATCATATCCATACCTTATGGAAGACGCAATAGATGATAAAATACTTTTATTAGTAAACTTGAAAAAACAAAGAACTTTTGTCACGCAATTATATTTGATTAGTTTTGAAACTAAAAGTCATTTGGGTGCCAAAAACTTGGTTTTTTTCAGTAATTTAGAGTCTAATCAGTTGATTATTCTCTTTTCTATCTATCCAAAAATTCACAAAAATAAGAACTATTAAGATAGTGCGTCTGATGGTGTAAATAAGTTCATATGCTTTTATCTAGAGTTTGAACAGCCCATAGATACTTTTGTATGAAAGGCGTTTTCGATTTAAATGCAGACAAGATACCATTCGATTTGTATGCTTTCTTGCATCATTAGTTGTTTATTTTAATATCTTATTGAGATAGTCATTGCAAAAGATGTCAGGTTTATGATCAAGTTTTTTTTTCTAGATAAGACTGTTGACTTTTTCTCATAAGAATACAAACTCTGAAATAATAGATCTGTCAGTCCTTCTCAATCATGGAGAATCCTTTAAATGGAATTATGTCAATTCGTATTGCATAAAAGATAACTTTCAATATTTATCGTACCATTATACCTTAAGTATTTGTACAACGTAGGTGTCAAACCCCTCCAACTAACAAGACGCTTTTTAACCTCGTTAGCACACTCACAGGAGACATGCGCATAATAGTATATTCCATCAGAAACAAACAAAATGCACTTAATATATCACATTTGCGGATGGCTCACCTTGTTCGACTAACCAGATAGCAATACTGCCCTTAAAGCATCAGTGAATAGGGTAGGCATGCGTACATGCACACAAGCATGAACATGCATATTCGCAAGGCACTTCAAGACCGTGATGGCCTTTTATGGTAACAAATCTATAATAGGCCTTTATAGCTTTTTTTTTCTCAAAAGTGTTATTGAGGCTTTTTTAACACTGATTTTTCCCTCAATATTATGGTCAAAACCAGAATTAATGAGATGATATCCCGTGGGAGAAATAAATTCTAAAGTGGAATTTCCCACGATTCTGACAAACCGCTGCCCTCTTTAGGAAATGGAAAGTTTTTGATTTTATTCACTTTGTCTATAAAGTCAATTAGGTCAGTATTCGTGATAGGAACAAATGAAAACCATAAGCACAGGCACACTTTACTGTTTGTATGTGTATAGAAAAAGAAACCTAGCTTCTCGGCTTATCTTTGATAAAGAAACTTGAGGTTTTAAAATAGATATTCCGACATAAACAGCATCATGATATAAATACTTGACTTTTTTTAGTTTCTTTCTTTCCTTTTTTCATCTTTATTCAACTTGTTAACAATGGCATTTCTCTTGAGACGTTTACCGTAAGTAACTAGATGAAATACGCACGTGAATGATCTAATATTGATCATACTACTAGATCTACCACCCGCCCTTTGACTTCGGTTCCTTTTAATCGTGTTGTCCTTCCATCTGTTGCTAGATATATGACTACAGGTAAGCAACATAAGTGCGAAAAAAAAAGAAAAGGAGCTGATTGATACCTTTATTCTTAGCTGCTACTCAAGCTGCTTGTCATCCAGATGAACCTTCTTTCTTACAATCCGTTGAGAAATACTACGATCACGCTGCTAACTTGAGTGAAGTTCAACCTCACACACTTGCTCACCTTCGTGCTGTTGACAGCGTTCTTCGCGTTACCTTTCCTATCGAGGTAGAAAGCGGAAAATATGAAGTGATTGAAGGTAAAAAAAGATGGCTATTCAGTTTACATTTTCATCTTGACTAACAAAATATATAGGCTACCGTGCTCAACACTCTCGTCATCGCTTGCCTGTTAAGGGTGGTATTCGTTTCTCTGAAGAAGTGGATTTGCAAGAAGTTGAAGGTATTGTACCTGTGATCTAAATTAAACCAAATATGCTAATGGGAGTTCCTATTTAGCATTGGCTTCCCTTATGACTTACAAATGTGCTGTCGTTGATGTTCCTTGTAAGTATAATTGGTGTTGAGATATGCTTTGGCTTATTCTTTGTTTATCAATAGTCGGTGGCGCTAAGGGTGGTATCAAAATTGATCCCAAGAAGTATACTGCAGAGCAGTTGGAAAGAATTACTCGTCGCTATACTATGGAATTATGCCAAAAGAAATTTATTGGTCCTGGTAATGTCTTGTGTAGCTTGAATTTATGTAAAAAGATTAACAAAAAAAATAGGTCTCGATGTTCCTGCCCCTGATGTAGGCACTGGTCCTCGTGAAATGGCTTGGATTATGGACACCTATGCTCAATTCAATGTAGGCGATGTTAACGCTGCTGGTTGTGTTACTGGTAAACCTTTGTCTATGGGTGGTGTTCGCGGTCGTACAGAAGCTACAGGTTTAGGTGTTGTGTATGCCGTTCGTGAATTCATCAGTTACCCAGAAGTCCAAAAAAAGACTGGTGTTAGTGGTAACATGGCTGACAATACAGTTATTATCCAAGGTTTTGGTAACGTTGGCTACCATGCTGCCAAGTTCTTTGAAGAAAATGGGTAAGTGACACTTTGTTGTGTTAAAACATAAAACTCATGTATTATCTTTACAGTGCCAAGATTGTTGGTGTTGGTGAAAGAGATTGTTCCATCTATGATCCCAATGGACTAAACGTTGAAGAACTATTCAAATACCATCGTGCCAACCAAACATTCCGTGGTTATTCCAGCATTGCTCAAATTTTTGATGAGCCAACAAAGATTTTGGAAGCTGAATGTGATATTCTCATCCCTGCTGCTCTTGAACGTCAAATCGGGTTGCGCAATGTTAGAAACATTAAGGCAAAGGTTATTGGTGAAGGTGCTAATGGACCTGTCACTCCTGCTGCTCATGAAATTCTTGAAAAGTCAGGCAAGGTTGTTCTTCCTGATTTGCTTTTGAACGCTGGTGGTGTTACTGTTTCTTACTTTGAATGGCTCAAGAACTTATCTCATGTTAGATTTGGTCGCATGAATAAGAAGTGGGATGAACGTGCTCGTTCTAAAGTTGTTGCCCTTGTTGAGGAAAATGCCGGCCGCGCTTTGACTGAGGCTGAACGTAAGGCCATTGTGCATGGTGCTGAAGAAGCTGATTTGGTTTACTCTGGTCTTGAGGATACTATGATTCAAGCTTGTCAAGAAACTAGACAAACGGCTGAAATCAAGAATGTTGATTTCAGAACCGCTGCATATATCAATGCCATTCAAAAGATTGCTACTGTCTATGAAGGTTCTGGTATGCTCTTCATGCATTAAACATTTAGATTATTTATTCTTCTCTTATTTTTGTATTATCCATTCTTTCATATTAATATATCACGTCTTTTTTACTCTAACATCTTGAATTGTGTAAGCTCTAATGCATTTGTTCATTAATTGTCTTTATGTTGAACAAAAACATTTAAAAACATATATCATTTTTACAACAAAGAACAATACTCCTTCATGTCCCTAGCGGACTTTTTGGCCCGGAGACCAGACATCTCAGAAGTTTTTGCATGAAAATAGCGAAAAAAATGAAACGCGGAAAACATTATTGAGGTCCGAAATTTTGAATCTAAAACACTAATGGATTAAATAAAGCTTTTTGACAGTGGTGATATGAGAGTTTATAGTAGAATTGGGGCAGATATTCTAGAAGTAAGGTAACCGATTAGTCACCTATTATACACGAGCACCAAGAAAAGACTGTAAAGAACCTACTTCGAATGTAATAACACCAGATTCTCAGTGTTGTGAACATATATGAATTCATATGCATAGATCAATAAATGATGATCATGGCAAAAAACCAGATCACATCTATGGCAATTGCAATGGATCTATAGTCACTGACATTCACTCATTCTACTAGAAGTACTACATCATCCTCATAGACAGAGACTATAAACCTATTGACTCTGTCATTATTAATGGCCCTTATAAAGTGACAGTTAGAGCTGACAAATACATTAGCATTGGCATTTAACAAATATGTAATAGTTTATTCAAGTTCAGGTCAGATCATGTACTATTGGCTGAGCTGACAACTTCCTCTAAAGGCATTTCTCTTAATTGCTCCTGATCTAACAAATCAATCCGTAGTCAAGAAGCTAACCCAAAACAATATTTTGACCGAGAAGAAAAAGTATAAATACCTTGACATTTTATAGCAATTGAAAGATAACATTTCTTGGAGAAATAAAAACCTATACAAGTTCTAACGGACTTTCTCTGTGTTCTTACCTTTTCTCTTATTGAATATCTACTCTCTCTTCATCTCACAACACTCAGGTAATATCCCAAATATCTTTTTAGAAGGTTCGATAATTTTATTAGGTTTTGCTAATTCAGCTTTTATATAACTCAACAGAATTAGATAATGAGAGCACAATGTACTGAGAAACAATGGTAAGAACATAGATATGTACAGACAGATAACGGGTAAAAAAGGAATTAAAGATAATAAAGGCCTTGATTTGCTTGCATAAGAAAGAGTATAAGAAAATAATGGGAATTTGGCACTGTTGAGAAAATACATGACTTGTTTGAAATGAGAGATTGTTTATTGTTTTACTTGCTTGTATTCTTGTTGGTCTTTGGATCCACATGTTCACCACGAACGCACCAACATCTGCTACAACACACAGGACAAGAACAACCATTACTCAGACGGTGCTTCACCCCTTTACTATGTACACCCATAATATAGACGCGGAACGGACTGACAGATTCGAATCGGAGAGTCTATTTTGTCGCCATTTGAATTGTATAAAGTAGAACATATATATGTTGTAACATTTCCTTTTAAGGAAGCTGGTATAGTATAGTGGCAGTACATCGCGTTGTGGCCGCGTCGACGCAGGTTCGATTCCTGCTACCAGCATTTTTTTCACATCGTGATGTGTGTAGCTTTTTGTAATTCAATTTTTTTTTATTAGACCTTCAAGTTAAATATATGCGAGAATTCTTTATTTCATAGTGTTTTACTGAAACTCATAATACTATTGCTCGACTCTTTGATCCATTGTTTGACTCCTATCAGTGTCAAATGATTGTAGATAGGCTCATCGATAGCTGTCTTGAACGAAACAGGGTGTATTATGCTTGCATAATAGTCTTTGATCAAGTCTAAGGGGAGTGCTACTTTTAGTGACTCCTGAAATAAGCCAGCATCATTCATATGTCTGATATCTGTTGGATAGCCTCCTGTATAATTTCGAGGAATTGTCAAGTCCCAATTGACATCTTGGCTAATCATTTCAGCGATGCTATCTACATAATTCATAAACGAGGCACTACTGACAGCACGAGCAATTTTTATAGTTGTTTGCAGAAACAGTTCCCTAAGTTCAGACACAACCATAATCTTACGGAACAACGGAAACGAGATTCTTTCGATTAAATACTTCAAATCAAACCATTTGAGCAGATCAACTGCGGAAATGGTAAATGTTCTTCCAAGTGACATGTCTGCGTCTTGAGGTATAAAAATGAACTGACCATGTTGTTTTGGATTGGAATAAAGCAAAAAGTTGTGTGCTGACAGCAAATAACCATCAGCATTTCCCAATACTACTTCTAACGATACACTATTGAGGAGAGAAACTAAATGTCTTGTTTCATCGTATCCTGAAATCAAACCTTCTGATAAAGCTCTCTATATCCATATACTTGTTCCAAGAAGCGGCCGTGCTGTTTGCTGACATTTGATCAATAAACCTTGTAAAATCTATCAATTTAACAAAACTACGAGACCCTTTCGACTTGATCTTATATACTGGATCATAGAATGGCTTGCACTTAATTTCTTGATACGCCGATTCGTTTTCTCCTAGATAATCCAATGTTGCATTGCATGTTCCACCGTAGAAAACAATGTTATTCTGGTGACTTCCATGATGAAACTTGTTATCAATCCACGTTTCGTTAGGAATGTCTTGAAGCCCAAATAGACCATAGGATTTATTGTTGATAAATACTCTAAAATTGTCATGTTAGTTTATGATTCAATTCATAGTCTTAGCACGTACCTCACATACGAGGATTGAATAGAAGCAAGTCCTACCGACTCAAGCAAGTCATAATACAATTTTTCTCTGACAAAAGAAGGGTCAGTCTGAAGAGAGCGAAGCTTTATGGCGCGATTGCCATACAGATTGTCTGTTTTTGCTAGTTTGATCTTATAAGAGGGTTTTGTTGTTGAGTATCTTGTGCCACGGCCGCTGATTTTGACTTTAACATGTCCAAAGTTCTTGACGTCCTTCACTCTTTTTTGTATTTAAAGCGTTAATCAATCATGTCTATGCAGTTTTATCTGTTTGTTTATTTACCCAATATATGTGAGTCCCAAAGAAATTTCTATGTCGGATGAAATGTTGTTATGCATCTTGTTAACGTCTGTTTCTTCTCCAAATAAATGAAGTGTAGGTATCTGGTCATATTGATGCAGATCACTATCTATCTGGTTGATGGATTGCAGTTTTGAAAACAGGGACGGTAAACGAGAAATAGAAAATGTATTCCACGTACGACTATAAAATTCATTCAGAGTATCCATGTTAATAGGGTTTCTTGTAAAAGGTTCTCTTTCAATAATCGAGCCCGTATCTGTATCAACAACAGCATAACTGTAGCCTTTCAAAGCGACAGGAGCTTTTCCAGAATAAAGAATACGAGACTGATCTGCCTTGTCCAGACTCAACAAATACGGACGAAGGCCTTGATCTATCAAAACCGCCATGGATCGATTGTATCCAGTCAACGAACGAACTACATTGTATCTTATTTGATCCGGCATTGGTGCGCTTTTAATTGGAAGTATCATACAGTAAACTACCAATAATACGACATGCACTATGTAAGAACTATTAGTGCTCTGTCATTTGGCATTATATGCATTGAGAGTGGTAAGTTACCTATCTTTTTCTTGAATCTCATTTTGTTTGCTCTGAAAAGAGGAAAAAAGAAAATCATAGACACACATATTGTGTTTATACGTTTATAACCCAAAGTGATGGCATGTTGCGCATTGTAGCTTATGCTATGCATAAATTACTGTAGGTGCTTTCATGACAGCTTTGTTTATCACCTCCTGTTTTTTTTTTCGAGCATATAAACTATATATCAACGCCAGTCTGAAGTGTAAAATGGTCTTATTTCCTTTATGCCGAAAGCATTTGAGTACCCGAATTAAATGTCAGAGTCAAAGTGTAATGCAAAATAGCATTTCCAAGTAAATCAGGCAATTATAAAGTCATAAATGACAATGGATTGATTAAATTATATGAATTATGGAAGTATATGCCCAAAAAAAGTATTCATCGTGCAATGATGAGTCAGTGTTTGTTATTACATGTCAAATCTTAAGTGACCGCTACATTCCTTAAATGGTACTGGATAAGATTATTTGTCAAGTCCTACTTTTTTTCTTAGTCTTTCTTTCTCTTTCGTATATCTATAAGCATGAGTACTAACTGGACACCTCAAGACTGGAAGTCAAAGCCTATTGTTCAAGATGTTGTATACGAAGACCAGGAGCACGTTGAGTGTGTTCTTAACAAATTAAAGCGTTTACCACCCATGGTATCTACTGCCGAAGTAAGTATATAGACAAACAATATAAAGGGGTACAATGTACTTACTCTCTTTAAAGATTGAGAACTTGAAGAGCCAATTAAAAGATGCTGCTCTTGGCAAATCTTTCTTGTTGCAAGGTGGTGATTGTGCTGAGCTTTTTGATTATTGCTCACAGGTAAATAATATATACAAAGAGGTTTGTATATTGACCATTTGAAAAGGACCCTATTGAAGCCAAGATAAAGGTTTTGCTTCAAATGTCGCTTGTTCTAACCTGGGGTGCACGTACTCCTGTTGTTCGTATTGCTCGTATGGCTGGCCAATACGCTAAACCCCGTTCTAATCCTATGGAGATGTACGAAGGGAAAGAAATTCATTCATTCAGGTAAGACTTGGATAATTTGAGAAAAAAGGTAATTGATGTATGTTAATAGAGGTGATAATGTCAATGGATTTAATCCTTCTGACCGCAAGCCCGACCCAGAAAGATTATTAGGGTATGCCAGCAAAGACTTTACAAGAAAAAAGTTGGACTAAAAAATCTATTGCATAGTGCCTATTTCCATTCAGCAGCTACCTTGAACTACGTTCGTACTTTGCTCGATTCTGGATTTGCAGATCTACACGAGCCTTCAAAATGGAACTTGAGCCATGTACGCTCTGACAACGTCAAAAGAGAATATGAAGCCATTGTGAACCAGTTGACAGACACCCTGGACTTTATGCGAACCATTGGTGCTGACAATAATCATTCTTCTGCCTTAAATTCCGTTGATTTCTTTGTCTCTCATGAAGCACTTTTATTGGATTATGAAACTTCTTTGACCCGTTTGTTAGCATCTCCCATCACCAAGGAAAAGAAATGGTACAATACAGGTTCACACTTTTTATGGATTGGTGATCGTACTCGCCAACCTGATGGTGCGCACGTTGAATACATGCGCGGTATCGAGAATCCTATTGGTATCAAGGTCGGACCTAGTACAGTGCCTGAAAATTTAGTTGCTTTACTTAATTCCGTCAATCCCAACAAGGAGATTGGTAAAGTGACATTAATCACACGTTTTGGCGCAGATAAGGTCGAACAGTTTTTGCCAAAACACATTGAGGCCGTGCGTGAATCAGGACACATCCCTGTCTGGGTCTGTGATCCTATGCACGGTAACACCAAGACTGCTTCTTCTGGTAACCTCAAGACCCGTCATTTTATTGATATCATCCAGGAACTATCGCAAACATTTAGAGTGCACAAAAACTGCAACAGTAAATTGAACGGTGTTCATTTTGAATTAACAGGGGATTCAGTTACAGGTAAGTTTTCTCTTGGAAAAATGTAGCTCATTGTGTACTAGAATGTATTGGTGGCTCAATGGATTTGAGAGACACTGATTTGTCTACAAACTATCAAACATATTGTGATCCTCGCTTAAACTATGAACAATCACTTGATGTTGCTTTCTTAATAGCAAAATACTATGAAACTGAACGAAAGACAGGCGATTTTCCAAAGATATAAGCTAAAATAAAAAAAAATTTAGACGTTTATACGGGAAAAGATCATCTAAAAAAGATCTATACATACTCCGAAATATTAGAGAGTCGTATGATTACTACATAGCTCTTTTGACAAGAGATGAATATTTCTTTTTTTGTTCTAGAAATTGCTAAATTTGCTTAATAAAGCAAGCGCAGCTCAGCCATCTCTGTGTGTGAGGATAGCACCAAGTTTTTTTTTTTTTTTCGGTCACAATTTCAGAAAGCAACAAAAAGAAACTTTGTCCTTTACCTTAACCTTGTTTTTTTTTCTCTTTTTCTCTCTTTCTTTTTCTTTGCTACACAAAGTGCCTATCCGTGTGTATTTTAAGACAGAAAAAAAAAAAAGAAACAAATACTCTAGAAAATATATACTTGAAATAAAATTGAAGAAGAGTATGGGCCATGCTATCAAAACCGTTGGCTTAATATTTACAAGAAAAAAAATCGAACGTTCGGGTTTTATTGGCCTAGAAGATTATGCACTGTAAAGTAGGAAAAAAGGAAAAAAGAGTTCGAAAGCGCTAAACACTCTCTTTTGTAATAGAAAACGTAGTATTCGTATAATCCATATTGACCTCTCAATGCCTATTGAAGATCAGGGCAAGCTTGATCTGGTTGTTCACAAAATGACAGATCTTGTTGCAAAGATAGAACGCGGTGATACCGAGGCAGAGAAACTGTACCAGAGGTTTATTGTATGTCCACAAACAAAAAAAAAAAAAAGCAAACTGATAAACTAATCTTCCCTATCAGAAATACAGCAAAGAACATCCTGAAGTTATTGTGATTGATGCCTGGCCTAACATTGAAAAAGTATTGGATAGAATGTCATTATACCACCATACAAAGCTATGTGCTGCTAGAGACATGATAGGTAAAAAACCAAAAAAAAAAAAAAAGGGAAAAGGTAATGAGAACGCGTAATATTGACTTGCGACTACTAGAAGGAAAACCTCTCTTTCATGTGCCTAAAAGTTTTGCCCTGGATTCAGTTAGGGATTGGAAGAATGATATGGATATAAAATTCCCTGTAAACTATCATCTTTACATACATAGAATTCGCTGACATAGTTTTGTATAGGCCATGTGCAAACGTAGAACAGCCTGCTCGTCTACTGAAGCCCACCAAATGATACTCATACCTTCAAAACAGGGCATGCCACACATTGAACAATACATTAAAGACGATTCAGTTATTTTGCAGGAATTTATTCAACATGATGGTGTTATTGTCAAGGTCTATGTAGCTGATGGACAGATCACTGCATCTACTCGACCATCATTTAAAAACTTGGATCAAACAGCAGGTAAACTACAGAAACAAGTGAGGGAAAGTATCTTACTGTACAATAGATGTTGTTCATTTTGATAGTCAAACACTACCAAAGAAGTTCGAGACCAACGTTGAACTTTCAGATGATCTCGATAAAGTGTTTCTGAGAACAGATCCAACTGACATTCATATTTATAAGGAATCTTTATTGGATGGAAATAAGCTACAGAAAATTGCAGATAGTTTATACCGTCAGCTGGTAAGTAGAGAGAGGGGAAATAATAATAAAAAGTGGATCTATTTAACCTTATATATAACAAAAGGGACTGACATTTTTTGGATTTGATGTACTATTACAAACAAAAACAAACGCATATTATGTTGTGGATGTCAACTATTTCCCAAGTAAAGAAAAATATGAAATACTCTGCCTATCCATTTCACTGACTTTTCTTATTATAGGCTTTAAAAATGTCGATAATTTTCACTACATGTTTGTAGACATATTGAAAAAGAGATTAGGGCATAAATAAAACATACACACACACACACACACACACACACACACACAACGCATACACACACACACATACATAAAAGTACTGTAATATCAAATTTGTAAATTTTGTAATTCTTAATAAAGAAGAAATATATGGGTTAACTTTTGGCTCGAGTTTGTCCAACAAAATAATAAAAATGAGATTTTATTTATCTTTTTTAAGAGATTTAGTTGGCAGCAGCAGCGGCGGCTCTACGGCGGTCACGTTCTTCAGTGATAGAGAGCTTGATACCCTTACCCTTGGGGAGAGAGATCATGGGCTTGGAACCTTGACCAATAACGAAAACGTTAGAGATACGGGTGGCGAAGACACGGTCCAAAGAATCCTTGACGTGGACAATTTCGAAACCACCAATGTGACGTTCACGGTGAACGATTTGACCAACACGACCAATGTTACGACCGCCAGTGATCATGACAATGTTACCGACTTCGAACTTGACGAATTCTTCAATCTTACCGGTTTCAATGTTGAAACGGATGGTGTCGTTGGCCTTGACCAAAGGATCAGGGTAACGGATGGTACGACCATCGTGGGTGGTGATGTAAGGAATACCCTTGGCACCAACGAGGACCTTCTTGACCTTGCAGAGCTTGTACTTGGCTTCTTCGTCAGTGATACGGTGGACAGCGAAACGACCCTTGACATCGTAGACAAGACGGAAGTTTTCACCGGTCTTTTCGATGGAGATGACATCCATGAAACCAGCAGGGAAGGTAGAGTCGGTACGGACCTTACCATCAACCTTGACCAAACGTTGCATAAGAATGGCTTGGGTTTCACGACCGTTCAAAGCGTACTTGAGACGGTTACGGATGAAGACGATCAAAGGAAGACATTCACGGGTCTTGTGGGGACCGGAGCTAGGCTTAGGAGCATAGTTACCTATAAGCAATGTTAGTTACTGGTCTTTGTGATCATGGTGCAAACAGATCAAGACTTACCCAAAAGCTTGTCAAGCATCCAGTGCTTGGGGGCTGCCAAACGCTTCATGTGTTTCTTGGGACCACGAGCCTATGTATCCAAGTTAATAACTATTCATCCATCCATGTAGCATAACATCCATCCATCTGTTATTGATGGTTGATGCTGTGTGTATTTAGAGCATACCATTGTGATTAAATTATCAAAGGGATCAAAAAGGAAGATTCAATCGTTTAGCTATCTAGTTCAAGTTTAAGGAGTTCGGGCCTTCATGAAGAGTGGCTTGGGTTGTGTGACTTTTACTGTTTTGGACATTTCATTGGCTATATCATGGAATCGTTTATGGTACAACAAGGTCAAGTGAATCGTTAAAAACCTTTTATTTTTTTTATATATATAAAAGAGATTGAGGACATAAGTCTATATAGCTTAGTAGAAAGTGGTAGGACGCTTGGCAACGAAGAGAGCACGGTGCTTCTTGTCGACGTTGGCAATACGGTGAGGCAAGGGGAAAGAGAGCTTGGGAGTCAAGAGTTGCTTGATGTATTGACGACGGACATCGGCATTGTTGACTTCAGCAACGCGAATGATTTGAACAGATCTGAAACGAGCACGGTGACGGGCAGCCATATCTTGGTCTATATATATATATATGTATTATGCAATGAGTTCTCAGTTTTCGCTTATTCAATTAAATTCACAAACTTACAGCATTGGTCAACAGCTTCAACACGACGCAAGGCACGGTATTCCTTGTACATGTTGTGAGTACCGGAACGAGAATCGTAACGGATCCAGATACCAAAGTTCTTGATTTGTTCAGGACGCTTTTCGGAAATCTTGTTCAAAGAAACAATTTCACCAGCAGCCTTCTTGACCTTACGGAGCTTCTTCAAGAAGTACCAGAAACGAGACTTGGCAACAACTTCGTTGGTGGCGAAAATTCTCATACGGTAGAGCTTAGGAGAAGCATCTTGAGCTGAGGGGAGCTTACGGCCAACAACCTATGCATAAATCTGTTAATGCTTGTCCAAACAAACTTCCATTCTGCTGCTACACTTTACTTGATATTCGTTTAACTATAGAATAAAAAAAAAAGAGATAGGTTAGCATTATTCCATTGCAACAGATTCAACAATGAAAGAGAAGGTAAAAATAACAGCGAATTCGATTCTTCATGTTCAATGGAGACAAATCTCATTCTGTTAATGAGATGTCGTCAAACTACATAATCCATCTATTTTTGACTGTGTTTATCTATACTATTGACAGTGATGCATCCATGCATCCATATACATCCATCCATCCATCCATTTAGGGTTGAAAAATGAATCAATAAAAATCATAGTGTATAGTACACTAAATCGATCGTCTCATCTGTCTCTCTTTCTCTTTCATTGTTGATTGAATCGATGCTTACTCTGCAAACCATCTTGTCCTTCCTTTCAAACGATAAAGAGAGAGATTGACTTATAGGGTGTTTTTAGTTGAGTTTTTTTCCAGCAAAATGAAATTAGAATTCAGACACTTTTTCACTTTATTGCATGATAGACGCCTTATTTCTTGGTCTACTTTGTTATAAAGAAGAGACGTTACGTTGGCTTGATAAGGCTAGCTATGTATTGAAACAAAGAAACAACTTGTACTTAAAGAAACCAAATAAAAGTTGTAATTTCCTTACTGAAATACCATCTCAATCATTTGCCATCAAAGAGCAAATGTTTGTGAAAGTCTTTTGATGATCTGCTAGACAGGATATACGCTTCATTCAATTGTCCTTTGTAGTATATATTTATAAAGTCAGTATGTATAGTTACCAAGTGTGCAAACATAAACGAAATGCTTTTGTAGTCAATTCTTATTCACAGCTTAACATGAATGAGATTTCTATCATATAAAGTCAACACATACAAACATACGTATATAGTACAAGTAAATTGATTGTTTTTGTTTGAGTTCCCATTTGAATTGCTACATAAGCGAAAATACTTGCAAGCCTTATCTTTGTTTTTGTTTTCTTTCATCAGCTCAAAAGTGACATTCGTATCTTGATATACCAAAGTATCAAGAGCAGCTTAGCCTTGAAGCAATTAGGAACAATAAGACATGACTTTTAAGGATGCTTGATATCATCCAAATAGGTTGATAGCAGCCATCGGTTTAGATTATGTCTTTGAATCAAAACCAGTCACGTGACAATTTCTATCCATCTTTTCTTTGTATACGCGCAGCTCTTTTCATCAACACCATGTCTACTTCTGGGCTCATTGCTGCCAAAAAGAGAATCGAAAATGCAGTCAAGAAATACGATATTCCAACTGATTCAAAACCTACTTTTGTAGATTCGTGCAAAAAGTAAATTCAGGTCTAGTTTAATTATGCATCTGACATCTGTTTTTTTTGTAGTGGTGCCATCTTGCTTTCTTTACTCCAATCGCGTCTTAACTGGACTAATTCTGTTTTTGCGAGATACAAAATGGATCCAGTACAACAGCCTAAAAGAACAACAGCTTCTCGTAAAAAATGGCCTCAGATGCGATGTTTAGGCACTTGTGATTTGGAACTAGGTGCTCATCTGTTTGAGCAAACCATTTTTTATGAAGCCATACGAACTGAATCTTGGGAAGCCATTGCTAAAAAAGAAGGTCTACTAGAGAAAGATGCTACCGAAACGCAAGAAGATACATTGATGTATAGAGACATTGTGTTTGAACTAAGGGAACTGCCTAACGAACGATTTATCTTCCCAAAGGACACCATAGTAGATTCAATGCCACTTAATACAGACGCTTATGTTGTAAGTAACATATTCAATCAAAAATCATGCTAAGAATCAAAGTAGATGCATGCTTCTTTTGTGATTCCTATTGACGTTGATACTTCCGAAGATTTCTTCATGTCCTCAAAAGACAAAATCATGAAATATGGACATTTGTCCCAACTGGCCTGTATTAAACAATACCTTGAATCCAATCCAGCACCTGTTAAAGAACCAACAAGACAAAGCCTTTATGAACCTATCAACATTCGACTCACAAATGCAAATCAGATCACAGTAGACACCATTACAAACTTTGTCAACTTACCAAGTCAAGTTAAGAAAGACATGAAAGAGAAATCAAAATTGTTTCCCAAAAGATCTTATATTAAAATCAGTTTACCACAAGAGGATGCTCAGAGTATTGAAATGCAAGATTTAGTAAGAAAAGCTTCCAACATTCCCGATATTGCAACAGGACCCATTCAGGCTGAAAAGAAGAGAAACGAAATACTAAATGCAATCAAATTGGGTAAAAGACAACGCGATGAAAAGTTCGAAGCTGAATGTAAGTAAGGATTTACACGAAATAGAGTCTAACATGATACTAGTACCCAAATACAAACAGACAAATGCAAAAGAAGATGGCTCGCATAAATGTGCTTATTGTAGTACAAGAACAACAGTAATGTGGAGAGCAGGTCCAGGTGGCCATGGTACATTATGTAACAGCTGTGGTATTCAATGGAAGCGAGGAGATATCTTGAAAGATGCACCTGTAATCAGTATAGAAGAAGAAAGAAAACAAGCAGCAGAGAGACGAGAAAAGGAAAAAGCAGCAGAGGCATTGGAATTTGACAAGTCAGAAAAAGAGAATAAGAAATACAAAAAAAGTGATAGACACCATATGTCATTTGGGTCAGAGTCCTTGGGTGTCTTTGCAGTTAAATTACTTCAACAAAGAACAAGAGAAGGAAGGTACTCTATGCCTCCTTCTCTTGCTACACCTATCACCTACACACCCACTCATGTTGAACCTATACCATCGGTGAAAAAAATTGCAAGCAATAATCCAAAACCCATTGCAGCCATGGGAAGCAGTCAAGGACCAGAACCATCATTACCATCATTGACACCCCCACTACCCCCACCACCACCATCACAAATGCCACAAACATTACAGCCATCACCAACACCACCGCCACAAGCAGCAGTATCCTCCCAAGATCAATCAAAACCTCCCCCTCCTCCTCTTTCACTCTATAATCCAAAGGGTATTCCTTTGCCTACACTTTCAATTGATTTTGTTGGTCATATGCAATTCTCTCATCCTAATTGTGGTATCACCTTACTTGACAGTCATTTCTCTATGCGTCTATCCCAAGAAGGACATGAACAGACTTTGATTGAAATAGAAAAGAAAGACTTGATGAATGCTGATTTTGAAGTAGTGACAGAAGGAGAGAAGCCAGTAGTACGAGAAGTGCTTAGGATGAAAGTTATGCCTGAAGACACTAAATCTATCACAACATTCAACCAAACCATTCCTATATCTAAAGAACACCCTATACAAATACGTTTTCTGGAGAAATTAGACCCTAGTGGAGGTGCTGTTGTTAAGCGCATTTTACAACGATGGTTAGTTACAGTACCTCAACAGTAAGTTTATGAAATAATAAAATAATATAGTTTATTTATGTAAATGCTGTTTTCTTTTTGGAGGAGTTGTGATTGTGTACAATGGGATTTATTCTTCTTTCTTTTCTTCTGCAGGCTTTTCTTCTGCAGGCTTTTCTTCAACAGGTTTTTCTTCAGTCTTGGTTTTCTTGCTAGACTTGTTGAAACCACCATTGTTCTTTCTCTTGTTGGAATTTTGGTTGTAGCTTTTGAAAGCATTGAAGTTTTGCTTTCTCTTTCTATTGGTGTTGGGGGCGTTCTTGTATTCCTCAGCCTTCTTTGCATGATAATCAGGCTTGTACAAAATTTCGAGCTTTTGACCGTCAAGTTCGATTTCCTTTAAATCAGCAACTTGTTTAGCAACTTCAGGAGTGTTGAATTCAATATAGGCAGCACCCTACACATTATATCAGTATTTTATTCTGTTCTTTGATAAACCTTACCTTGAACTTCTTGGGACGATCATCAGTCTTCTTTAAACGAACACAAAGAATTTGACCCTTTTCAGCAAAGAGATCTTCAATCTTATCTTGTAATTTAAACAGTTCAGCAACAGGATCTTGAGCATCCACATCAACTAAAGGCAAACCAGAAACGTAAATGGAACGAGAAGTGTGGTCTTGTTGGACAACTTCAGTCTTTCTTCTGATTTTCTTGTCTTCGGCATCAAGTTCGTAGATATCGCTTTCAACTTCTTTAAGAGCCTTGACAACAGTATCAAAGTCTTCAGTAATCATCTTCATCTTCTTGAAACTAGCAATGGTTTCGATAGGAATCCCTATATATCGAATAAATATCTACATTTAACGTGATTTTTTGATTTAATGGCTTACATCCTTCAGGAGTATTAGCACGGAGAGTCCATAAAAACTTATCATAAGGCAAATTGGAGTCAGAGAAGTAAAAGTTGACTTGTTTACGGATTTTTTCGTTATCGGTGACAGCCATTGTTTCTTATATGAATAGAAAGATTTTTTAAAAAAAAACAAAATTTTCTCGTTTTACTTTTATCCTTTTGACAAGCATGAACAGCACCAGTCACATTGGACTGCTAAAAGTGGACTCACCCATTCATAGGGACTTGCATAAAAGACTGACGTTTCTTTCTTTTACTATTACAATCAATAGAACCTATTGGTTTTTATACTCCAAAGATACGCTTCAATTGAAGTTCTTGACATTATTGTGCCCTTCTCGGGATATGAGAACCATGACAGGCTTGAAATTCATTAAATGAAGTCTCAAATCTTTTAACATTTTATAATAAAACGAACAAATATATGCCGTACAATGCAAATATGAATTCTCAAAAAATATTAGAGCAGGGCGTCTTGTTGCGATAGATCGACTAGTCAAGAAAACCTACAATAAAGGCCCCTTGCAATACTGGTTGGCTCTTTCTTTTCTTAGACCAAAGGTTTTGGATAATAACATTGTATGAATTTATTTCAAGCTAAAACTTTTACTTCTGATGGCGATGATTTTCTATTTAAAAAAAATATTATAGGGGGTGCTTAATGCTTGGCTTTCTGGTTTTTTTCCTTATTCGAGGAAAAACATACTCTTAAGGGAGCAATCACTCTGGAAACCTTTTGTTCTAATTGTTGGAAATAATCTGAATGGGGCTTTTATGTATTTTATAGTGTCTAGTATTTTGTAGTTGCTTGTGAAAAAGACTTTTTTCTTTTTCTAATAAACACGGCTATTTTATTGCTTTAAATACATCTCTAAACATCGTTTTAAAGTAAACGCATTGCTATTTTTCTTTTAAAACAAAGATTGAATAACACTCTGGAGAATATTTATCGCATGATTAGCAATGATTACTTGTATTAGTATTGCTTGTAGATTTCTATTAATCATATATTTATAATTTCTTAAGAAACTATAGCTGAACGTCCACATCTTTTTACTGCAGGCGTCGATTTGGTTTGGTAAACACCCGTACTATTAATTTTCAAAACGAAGCATATGGACTAAATGTTTAATATGCCCAGCGCTATGTTATTTCCTTGTTACCTATTTTGGATGATGGAGAAAGTTCAAAGTATTAGATATATATTCAACACGTTCTTGGTTTCCTCCAATTCTTGGTGCTATTTGTATAATATCGTACGGTAGCAGAAAAACATAGCCCCTAGCGATAATATTGTTCATAAACTACCAATGATATTATCCTGTAATGCTAAAATTGCTAGACAAGTTACCAATAATCAGGACGATCTTTGTTAACTTGAGCCAAACTAAATTTTTCTAGTGAGAAGAAGCCATCAATCTTGGAAAGAAAGCGACTCGTTTAAATACCCGGTAAAAGTGTATATCTCATCTTTGCTTTAAAAATCAGTTCAATACGCCCCTTTTTATCTAGTTGAGTGATTTATCACTCAATTAGCGATGAGTAATGATTAAAAGAACAAACAACCAAAATGTGTGACCAAATTAGAATTTTGGACAAAGCGCATTGTACCATCTTTTTAATACGTTAAGGAACACATCCTCTATGCGATTTGTTTTATGGTAGAACTGATTCTATGAAAAAAGTAATAAAGAGGAAAACTGTTGTATCATTCATGGGAATTGATATTTTCTATGGAAAATTTTCATTTATAGTCTACTTTGTCATAATCCTGTCAGCAGTAAGAAATACCTTGAGTTTAACTAGTTTATCTTAGTTAATCTTGTTAGTTACCTTTATGCTTTCGTAAAGTAGCTTATGAAATTTAGATTTAGTCGCACAAGGTAAAGGAGGTTTGATCAGATTGGCGGTTGATCACTGTCCATCATAACACTCAATATGTCAGTTCAAAGTATTGATTTTAAAAACAAGTAAAATAAACAGTGAGTTGCTTTGAGAAAGCTAGCGCACTATATAAAAAGTAAAAGAAATGCATCTCAGAACTAGCTCAAGCTGTGAAGGGTGCTCATTCTATGTATGACACGTTTTCAATGATTGACAGCTTAAATATCGCATAAATATGCCTAATCTATGAATTTCAATTGAACAGTTACCGAGAAGCTCACTATCACAAAAGTTGTTTTGACTCAACTTAAATCCAGCTCATCAAACGCACCAGGCTCACCAGCTCAATAGACAAAATGTGTTTAAGCAAGATGTTCTATTTGAATAAACAGTGCAGTAATGCTTTACTTGCTCATGCAACAGAGATTGCCAAACAAACAAATGCTTTAACGGTGAACAAAAAAAGACGGCAGTTCGTGCAAATCTTTTTCTTTTCCTTATGCATCTAGAGATAGCATAAAGCCTGTTTATACCCACATAAATTGCTCTAAATATTCACAAGCAATATTTAATATCATACATGGTACCTTTGGAATTGATTTTGATAAAAAAAAGAGACATGTCCAAAATGGCCAAAATATACCTTTAGATCAAAGAGTCCAATTCATAAGAATTGTTGATCCGACAACTTTTGTTCTTTTTTTTTTTACGTTACAAAACGAAAAATAGAGCTATCAATAAGCTTAAATACTTGAAATGTACGCCAGAGGCTATTGTTGTTGATCAAAGTGTTTGATTGTCAGCTATGCTATAAAAATAGTAAGGTGTGAGCAAGAGGCCTCGAAAACAGTTTTTTTTTTTTTTTTTTTTTTTTTTTTCACGTCGGTGCAATATTTCAGCAGTAATCATGTTATGTTCTTTACATCAAAAGACTCAAGAAGCAAAGATCTACAGTCTCTGTTACTAAATTGAGACGAAATAGCTGCGTCTTTATGCAGCTCTAAGCAAAGGCTCGATTTGGATGTAGCAGCAAGAAGAATTGGAGTTGCCTTCTATTCTCAATCTCCGCACACAGCCATCCTGTATGTCCTATATTCATTTGTCCCCACATTTACATTACGAAACACCAATATTTCTATTTTTCTATGGTTTTTGGGCATTCCAAGTAGCACGCGATACTTTATGGAAGTTTATGACCAACACATTTTACATAGCATCTTGAGCAAAAACGCTCAAATCAGGGCTTAAATAAGCCATTTTTTAATGCACCATGACTCGATAACAAGGCTATTAAAACAGTTTATTTTTTCATTGAAAACATATTTTCTCTTTCTGAGTCCAGTACTATTGGTTTGATGTTTGGTTGAAATTGATTTTTTGACCCATAAGGGGTCCACAAGAGCTCTTGAAGTTGAAGAAAAAAAAATCGATCCAAAAATCTTTGAAACGTCAGATTGGCTTAATGTAAGCCTGATCCAAACGATATGAAGTGAGAACATGCATAGATATTTCTAAGGAGAAGAAAGTGAGTTTACTAAGATGAAAAGGTCGAACTTATTTGAACATTGCCTTGAAATCTGTATTTAAAGTTCATCGCGCACTGCAACTAGTAGAAAGAAGCTCTTTTTAGTAAATATTTAGTATTGAGTAGGTATTTAGCTCTACGTCACTCAATATACAAAATGTAAATTGTCGTATACTTACAACTATAATTTGATTACTGACTTTTTCTATAGTAAAAGATATATCTAGCTCAAAAGACATATTGTCATTTGCATGATTTAAATGAGATCAATGATATGTTAATGTACATGTATACACCTAACTTAGAGTATTTTCTCTTGTTTACTGCATTATTTTATTGACTATTAAATTTATTGAGATATATACATCATATGCAAGATCGACAATCATAGCATCAAATAGACTGCAAGGATACAAGTCTAGTATGCGATCATATTTGGAGCTATAATATGTCCAAAATCAGAACAGATCTACCTCAAATACAAAGTTTTAGAGCTGAAAATCACTCAAGAATTGCTACTTGTTAAACGCTAATCAGTAGCAGGAAATAGCATGGATGAGCATGCGTAATCATGGGTGGCCATGGATTGGCAGAGAGCAATTGAAAGTAATTATTTCTTACAAGTATTTTTTTTTTGTCAACATAAATGGCACACTTGTGTATCTGCATAAATTTTTTAATTTAATATAAAAAAAAAAAACAATTTTGAGCATACGGCTTGATTTAGCCTAAAATTCTTGGATTTGGTCAATTCGTAACAATAACTAAGCTAAATTAGACTTAGCCTCTCTTAAGAGAACAAGGATAAAAAATGTTTTAGGACTACCTCCAGGTAGTCGAACCAGTCGCCAGCAAATTAGACGGATGCGCTCGAGATTGGTTCTAGAAAGCTAGAGAAACAAGTGTTGTTGACACTAATACACTATAGTACAAGCAATGGAAAACTTCTTTCATTGATGGAATGAAAATGCAATCGCTTGTGCTGTAGTGATAGAGAATAGCATGGTCATAGATGAGCGAACTTTATTAGCAATTGCTTATACTAAGTCTTTAGGGCTTGAGATATTTCTAGTTATAGAAGAAGTTCAGAGATTTGAAAAGATTTTTTGTCATGGGATGACTCTACCAGAAAGAGTGTACTCAGTGATGCTTTTCTCAGGTACGACAATAACACATTTTGTAGAATCCCATCTATAGCCTATTGTGAGATTATACTCAGCACATTGATTTCGCCTCGATTTCTTTTTGTTCGAAAAGAAACTTCAGAAATTCACAAAAATATTATTGCAGACCTCGTAAATATCAGAACTCTTGGATGAGTGTAGTGGATTCACCAAAAAAAAAAAAAAAAAAAAAAAAAAAAAAAAAAAAAAAATTATCTTCAGAACAATCAACTAAGTCAAACTCCGCTAATATTTATGCCGACATGGCAAGTATACCATTTGTATACTCAAAAAATATTTTTCAAAAAAAAAAAAATAGAAACCACTACTCTAAAATAAAACAAAAATAATTTCTGTAATGACAAAAGCAAAAAAGTAGAAAACTTCTGATTTTCTTGTTCTAAATTAAAAAAAAAAAAAGCCAATTTTTCAATTTTTCTGTTTTGAATAAACAAACGTGTCTACCAGATAGTAATTTCAGTGTTCTGGCTTAAAGAAGAGATTTACTGGTTGGTAGACTCGTTTTTTATCTCAAAACAGAAAAATTGAAAAACAAGCTTTTTCTAAAATTTTAAGCAGAAAAACTAGAAATTCTCTACTTTTTTTTTTTATTTTTTGTCATTGCAGAAAATGGTTTTGATTTGTTTTAGAGTAATGGATTTAATTTTAAATAATTATTTTTTAGAAAATATTTTTTTAGTATACAAATGGCATACTTGTAATTTCGGCATAACTGCCAGTATTTTTCTTATTTTTCAAAATGCTCTTTCTTTTTGTAAGTCCATCACATTGATCACGAAGACCTTAGGTATACGAGTCTTTCTATAATTTCTTCCATTGCTTACGCTCTAGTGATAATTCTACAAAAGAAAGAGCATTTTGAAAAATAAGAAAAATACTGGCAGTTATGCCGAAATTACAAGTATGCCATTTGTATACTAAAAAAAATATTTTCTAAAAAATAATTATTTAAAATTAAATCCATTACTCTAAAACAAATCAAAACCATTTTCTGCAATGACAAAAAATAAAAAAAAAAAGTAGAGAATTTCTAGTTTTTCTGCTTAAAATTTTAGAAAAAGCTTGTTTTTCAATTTTTCTGTTTTGAGATAAAAAACGAGTCTACCAACCAGTAAATCTCTTCTTTAAGCCAGAACACTGAAATTACTATCTGGTAGACACGTTTGTTTATTCAAAACAGAAAAATTGAAAAATTGGCTTTTTTTTTTTTTTAATTTAGAACAAGAAAATCAGAAGTTTTCTACTTTTTTGCTTTTGTCATTACAGAAATTATTTTTGTTTTATTTTAGAGTAGTGGTTTCTATTTTTTTTTTTTTGAAAAATATTTTTTGAGTATACAAATGGTATACTTGCCATGTCGGCATAAATATTAGCGGAGTTTGACTTAGTTGATTGTTCTGAAGATAATTTTTTTTTTTTTTTTTTTTTTTTTTTTTTTTTTTTTTTTGGTGAATCCACTACACTCATCCAAGAGTTCTGATATTTACGAGGTCTGCAATAATATTTTTGTGAATTTCTGAAGTTTCTTTTCGAACAAAAAGAAATCGAGGCGAAATCAATGTGCTGAGTATAATCTCACAATAGGCTATAGATGGGATTCTACAAAATGTGTTATTGTCGTACCTGAGAAAAGCATCACTGAGTACACTCTTTCTGGTAGAGTCATCCCATGACAAAAAATCTTTTCAAATCTCTGAACTTCTTCTATAACTAGAAATATCTCAAGCCCTAAAGACTTAGTATAAGCAATTGCTAATAAAGTTCGCTCATCTATGACCATGCTATTCTCTATCACTACAGCACAAGCGATTGCATTTTCATTCCATCAATGAAAGAAGTTTTCCATTGCTTGTACTATAGTGTATTAGTGTCAACAACACTTGTTTCTCTAGCTTTCTAGAACCAATCTCGAGCGCATCCGTCTAATTTGCTGGCGACTGGTTCGACTACCTGGAGGTAGTCCTAAAACATTTTTTATCCTTGTTCTCTTAAGAGAGGCTAAGTCTAATTTAGCTTAGTTATTGTTACGAATTGACCAAATCCAAGAATTTTAGGCTAAATCAAGCCGTATGCTCAAAATTGTTTTTTTTTTTTATATTAAATTAAAAAATTTATGCAGATACACAAGTGTGCCATTTATGTTGACAAAAAAAAATACTTGTAAGAAATAATTACTTTCAATTGCTCTCTGCCAATCCATGGCCACCCATGATTACGCATGCTCATCCATGCTATTTCCTGCTACTGATTAGCGTTTAACAAGTAGCAATTCTTGAGTGATTTTCAGCTCTAAAACTTTGTATTTGAGGTAGATCTGTTCTGATTTTGGACATATTATAGCTCCAAATATGATCGCATACTAGACTTGTATCCTTGCAGTCTATTTGATGCTATGATTGTCGATCTTGCATATGATGTATATATCTCAATAAATTTAATAGTCAATAAAATAATGCAGTAAACAAGAGAAAATACTCTAAGTTAGGTGTATACATGTACATTAACATATCATTGATCTCATTTAAATCATGCAAATGACAATATGTCTTTTGAGCTAGATATATCTTTTACTATAGAAAAAGTCAGTAATCAAATTATAGTTGTAAGTATACGACAATTTACATTTTGTATATTGAGTGACGTAGAGCTAAATACCTACTCAATACTAAATATTTACTAAAAAGAGCTTCTTTCTACTAGTTGCAGTGCGCGATGAACTTTAAATACAGATTTCAAGGCAATGTTCAAATAAGTTCGACCTTTTCATCTTAGTAAACTCACTTTCTTCTCCTTAGAAATATCTATGCATGTTCTCACTTCATATCGTTTGGATCAGGCTTACATTAAGCCAATCTGACGTTTCAAAGATTTTTGGATCGATTTTTTTTTCTTCAACTTCAAGAGCTCTTGTGGACCCCTTATGGGTCAAAAAATCAATTTCAACCAAACATCAAACCAATAGTACTGGACTCAGAAAGAGAAAATATGTTTTCAATGAAAAAATAAACTGTTTTAATAGCCTTGTTATCGAGTCATGGTGCATTAAAAAATGGCTTATTTAAGCCCTGATTTGAGCGTTTTTGCTCAAGATGCTATGTAAAATGTGTTGGTCATAAACTTCCATAAAGTATCGCGTGCTACTTGGAATGCCCAAAAACCATAGAAAAATAGAAATATTGGTGTTTCGTAATGTAAATGTGGGGACAAATGAATATAGGACATACAGGATGGCTGTGTGCGGAGATTGAGAATAGAAGGCAACTCCAATTCTTCTTGCTGCTACATCCAAATCGAGCCTTTGCTTAGAGCTGCATAAAGACGCAGCTATTTCGTCTCAATTTAGTAACAGAGACTGTAGATCTTTGCTTCTTGAGTCTTTTGATGTAAAGAACATAACATGATTACTGCTGAAATATTGCACCGACGTGAAAAAAAAAAAAAAAAAAAAAAACTGTTTTCGAGGCCTCTTGCTCACACCTTACTATTTTTATAGCATAGCTGACAATCAAACACTTTGATCAACAACAATAGCCTCTGGCGTACATTTCAAGTATTTAAGCTTATTGATAGCTCTATTTTTCGTTTTGTAACGTAAAAAAAAAAAGAACAAAAGTTGTCGGATCGACCTACTGATATAAGTTCTCTATATATCATATTTGTGATAGTTGCAAACTATCTTGATTACTTCAAACTTAAATGCAAATTAACATCCTCATATAACCTAAACAATTCCCTTCGTTCTCATTTAAAAGTCTTGTTAAGAGTTTACTCTATTTTATAAGTGATATGGCATTTCTACTTAAAATCAAACAACAAGTGGCGATATGAAATCCGGAGAAGGAGATCTAGTGGTGATGCTCAATTGCGCTCAATACATGTAAAGAATCAACCCATATAACACAACGAATAAAACAGTAAAACTAATCAACTCTCTTTTGTCTTTCTTCATTATGCTTACTTGGGTCTATTTGATATCGTTTGTACAGTAAATGTATCAGCTCAAACACACTTTGACGAATATAACTTATCATAGAAAAAGCACCTTGTTTTCCTCTCTTTAAAAGAGTATATAGAAAAAAAAAGTATGTATATTATATTTACAAGGAACTAGTCAATCTTGACATTTTGATAGATTTTGCGAACAAATTGACCAGCAGCAACATGACCAACAAAGCCTATAGACAAGTTAGATAAACATCATTCATAAGGCTTTACATTACCCAACATGCAGAACATGCCCAACGATAAAAGTGCAGTATAACCAAAATAGAAACTTGTTTGGAACATACCTGTCATTCTATCAAATACGTAAGATACATGATACATGTTGAAAATAAACATACTTTGTCTTGACCATAAAGTAATAGATAGAATACAAGTAAACATAACCAGCTGTAGATGCACATGTCATAAAACTAACCCAGTGCCTATACAGCATCGTTTAAAAAAAAAGGACAAGTCATCTCTTATACCTATATCTTACCATCGATGGTCTTCAGAATTCAATAAAAAGTAAGTACTGACAATACTGACACATGCACTGACAATCAACAAGATCACAAACACCAATAACATGAACCCATAGACATAATAGATCTTATATGTCCAAAACGATGTAAAGATAAAATAGATCTCGATAAAAATAGAAGCAAAAGGAAGAATACCACCCAACATAACAATCACCAAAGGTTCTGCATACCATATCTTTTCAGGAATAGGGCGAGGAATAGGGTTCACTCGACAAGGGAAATCAGGCTGGCTGCCCCAGTTGCGACCTACAATAGTACCCAACAATGTCAAAGGGAAACACAAAAAGATCCACAATGCTACAATAGACAACAAGGTGTAGAATGAGATAGCTCGAGAACTGTTGTAATAAATGGCTAATGTATTAATAAAGCCGCAGATCAGAGAAACAGCACCAGGCCATAAACTAGCGGTCATGATGAATGTCTTGACCCAATCCTTACCGCCATAGCGAATATAGTAACGAGCACTAGTATAACCAGCAACAAAAGAGGTAAGTGCATACAAGAAAATGGTAGCAGTAAGAATAGTAGCACGCTCAGCATAGAGATCACCGAGAATTGTATAGAGAATAACAACAGCAGATAAAATCACAAGCTGAGAGCCAGTACCCATCAAGATAGACATGAGCATAAGGCGAGGAGGTTGGCGAAATACATCACCGTGAACTTGTTTCCAGCCATATTCATCCCCTAAATCGCGGTCCTAAACCTTCGAGTTAGTTTTGTATGCCTAGACTGGCATCATTGACTTACAAAATCTGTCAAACCTTCTTCTCTGTCATATCGAGTGAAATCGCGCTTGACAGTTCTCAGGAGAATAACGGACACTAGACCTGTCAAGAACAGAACCATCATAAAACTGCTAAAGATAGAAAGCCAATGCACTTTGTGTTCAAAAAAGTCTGTCTCGAGCAAGCTATCAAATCTGTCTTCGAAAGCAATGTCTGTTGGATTCCAGTCAATAGAATAAGTAAATGATAATTCAAGTGATTGTTGATTGTATTTCAATTCGACTGGACTAGCATGTTGTAGACTAACAGAGATAATCTAAACAAGTATAAGCCATTGAACATTCTTTTGTTTATGGTTTACCTTGTCATTGTTGTATTGAATAGAGAAACTTTTGTGGGTATAAACATGCAGTGCCTTGAAATGTGGATCTGTTGTTCTTTCTGTTTCCCCTTCATTTGCATCTCTACCAACAATACCACTAACAGGCAAATCATCTATAGACAAAGATCAATGTCTTATGCTTATACTTGGACTTATGCTTACCAACAAACATGGTATACCAATATTGGTTGTCCACTGCATATCTCAAGACATCAATATCTTTAGCATCCAACACTTTTGTACAATACAACTTGTTGGCTTCATCCTCTATTTATATATAAGGCACATGTTTGCATAGAATGATTTGCTTACTTTTGTATTGAAGTGGGATACCAGAGTTAACAAGGTCCATACCTTGAAGTGCTTCACCCAAAGTTTCATGGTGGTGTTCTAATGAATGAGGGCCTTGACAGAATGGAAGTTGAAAATAAGGATAGGTTTCTTGTCTGTTATTCAAAGGTCCAACTGTGTTCATCCATACAACCACTTCATCACCTTCTTTATACTATGCCAAGATAAGATACGCGTATTAAATTATATTTCTATATTACCACATGGTTATGTTCATCACAGTATAAAGGCTTTAACAAGGAAAATAAACTTAAGCAAGCAAATAACCACTGTATGCTTTTTCCTTTCCAAAACATGCTTTTATTCATAAAGAAAAGAAAAGAAAAGGGCCCAAACAATAAAACTCAGCATCACTTGGCAAAAAAAAAAAAAAAAAAAAAAAAAAAAAAGGTTTAATAGACACTGGCTATATCATTCTGTTCATTTGTTGGTTCTCTATTAAGGCGACTACTCCATCTTGTAGGTGGTTTTGTATCCACACGTAATCGTTTACTTTTCCGAGTGATTTCCTCTATGTCTTCTTCTTCTTCAAAATCAGAAGACCTATCATTGTCCATTTCTTCATAGATATCATCATAATTATAATGTACACGCTTTTGTCGGTTGCCTCTTGATCTAAGTTGTGTAGGTGTAATATTGATTTCTACTGGAATTGCCTTTCGAAGTTCTGCTCTTTCTTTACGCAACTTTCTCCGCTCTTCTTCATCTGCTATTTGGTACAAAGTCTCTTTGATCCATTTGGCCAATGCTTTCTCAGATCGATGTTTAGTCTCTGATAGTGTTTCTACAAGTGCTTCTAATTCTTGACGATCTCTACAGACAGTTTCCCATTCGTTTAGTTTTTTTGTATTGATTTTTTCACGCCAAATCCAACATGATGCTAATTTGAACGCGTCAATCATTTTTTATGTGTTAACGCGTTTATACCTCCAAATTGCCAATAAGCTCGTTTCTTACTATCAGTACCTATAGGACGTGCTTTGATGGGATTAATTTGATTTCTAGGCGTATTATTGTAACAAAATTCAATGATGTTTTTGACTGCCTGACTGTCTTGTAACTGCCATTCTACTAATGAACGTAATATAGACAACTGATACCAAAAAAAAAAAAAAAATCAACATGGCTGTTAATGCTATAGTTCCTCTACCTTGATATCGATTGACAATGTACTAAAGGGTTGTTTGACGAGGGGATTGGATTCAAAATCAATTTCATATGCTTTTATTTTATCTTGAACAAGTTGTTGTAGTGCCATTTTATAAGACCTAAGAAATGATCAATATAAGTCTATTACATCAAACTTCACATACTCCACAGGATTTTTACGGTTCAATGTGTTGCCTAAACAAGCACAAATAATACCATGAACTAATTCACTCTCTTCTTTTCTTAGTTCTTGTTCTAGTTCCTAACAAGTCGAGTCAGTTAAGATCGACTTTGTGTGTTTCAGAACTTACTTCAGGTGTAAAGTCGGGTAGTTTAAAAAAGTTAGGTGCAATATCGTGTTGCTTATTAAAAGTACAAGCAAAAGAATAAATAAAGGCTATTTCCCACTGTTGAAAAGGCGTAAAGGGTTCCATTTTGGTTTTGACAGTAAGGAAAAGAAACAAAAAAAAAAAAAAAAAAAAAAAAAAAAAAACTTTTTTTATTTTATATATTTTTGCTTGGTGAAGTATTACGGCCAATGGTAAATAATAGTACACAGCCAATGACAAGAATGGATCCAATGCCTTTGTATTGAGTAAAGCCTACAGAACACTAAGTAAAACACAACAAGATACTCAACTTACATTGTGCTGGATCAGATTCACAATACCATGAGTCACTAATGATATAGATAAGCACAGCTCTTAATCCTTGTAAAATGCCAGTGGCTACACTGCCAGTTCGGTCAATGAGTTCATAGTAATTCCATGAGTGACATGCATTGGATACAGAAACAAGAATATACATGAACCAGACAGATTGAACTGAAGTGCCTTGTTTAAGATGAATAAGCTGGTCAAATCGAGGTAGAGTATAGACAACAATCCATACAAGTGAAATGCATGATGTGTATATGCCAGTAGAGAAACATACTCTAGCAGCCAATGGTGGTGGTTTTTGTTGAGACATGATATAGTCAGAATATACATAAACACAAGCTAATAATAGTGTCAGCTTTTAGTGTAATCTCTCTTTGTATCTTACAATAAAAGAAAGTGCCACCAAGAGTCATGATAGTACCAAACATCAATAATGCCGCTGCTGCTGTTTGTGCTTCGTCTATTTGTGCTGTATCAAAGTTGCCCATGGAACTAATAGCGAGACCAGCACTGGTGCCAAAGATAGAAAACCATTGAATCTTGGTCAATGTTCGGTTCATCAAGAACCAAGTTAAAATAGCACACCAAATAACCACACTGCTGTAAATTACTTGATACATCTACACTGAATCAATCACTCATTATCTTGTTGATACACAGGTATCTTACTTACACCACTTCCTACAATAGAGAAGCCTAATGTGACGCAAAAATTAGCAAACACATCCAACACTGCCAACTTCATAATCGATTTATGATGGATAGGTCCTTCTTCAAAATTCTGCTTTGTTGGTGTCTCGTCATGATTGATCTGAACCTATTAAGGAAGAGGGAGTCAATACAATATAGTGAAAGAAATAGTACCATATGAATATCAACAGGTTCTTCTTGAGCAAGCTTATTGTATCCTTTTTGTTTATTTTTGAGTAATATAGGTACAAGTAAACCAACCAATACCATGCCGAGATATTGTGCTAGTTGTGCTAAATAACTGTCACCCGCTGGACACAAGTTAAAACTCTATTGTTTCTGGTTCATCGCGTTTTGCTTACTCACTCGCTGCGCCGTGATAAAACAACCATTGCGTTCCTAAAGTAGTAGACAAACCAGTCAATAGAAACATGACTTGGTGAAAGAATACATAGAGCATCTCTCCACTCAAGTTCATCTTTAAGAAAATAAAGAGAAAGAAAAAAAAAAAGGAGAGATGAAGCGGATCTTAAATGCATGTCAAGTGTAAGCATTAATAGTTTCTTTCAGAACATGTATTTACATCAAGAAACTATGTTACGTTTATAGTTGATAGTTATAGTTGCGGTCTTCTTTGTCCGTCAAATTAAGGTAGACATCTGTGGGTTCACTTGATCGCTCAGGCAAACGCTTCTTATTGATACGGGCAAGTATAAATCGCACAGTCAAGAAACAGCAAATATTAAGTAGATTACAAGCAAAGAAACCCCACATGGTTGGTACATAGGCTGGCTTTGTACTTTCCACAAGCATCAATGGACCACAAAAGTTACCAACTGTATAAGCAAGCATATTGGCACCATTATAAAAAATCTTTTTCGAATAACCAGAGACAGTGGACCCAATAACTGTAATCAACATCACATAGCTACCTATTCATCATTGGTTAAATCTGAAATTTGATTTGCTAGTGAAAGTTACCTGTTTGCGCCCAAGAGAGATAATAGCCTAACAGCTTAATGCCTGTATTAGGAAGCACGGCCAAAAGTAAACAACCAAGAGCAGAGATAGAATAACATACAACCGCCGTATAAACAATTTGTTTAGTTCTTCGGTTCAGATAGACTGCAAATCCACAATAAAGTACAGTAAAAGCACCACTTGGGATTTGTAAAAGAATTGATTGAGTTGAATTGAAACCAAGTCCACTCACTAGAACAGTACTATAGGTTACTAAACCGCCATTCTGTAAATTATGCGCAAGAGAAGCAATGCAGAGTAACCATAGACGTGGCTCTCTTAGTGCCTCCCAGTATTGTGCAACTTTCACTGTTTGTTTACGGACCACGGCATTATCTCGAGTACGCAATTCGACAATTTCTTTTTCTTCTTCTGTGAGTTGTAAAACCCATGAGTTTGGGCTGTCGATCAAAGCAAAGAAACAAGTGATACCCACTGCCACTGTGATAGTTCCCCAAATGATGTAACCCCTATAAAAAAAGATATGAATAATGGCTCCCCCTTTTTTTTTCTTATTATTTAACTCACCATTGCCAGGCACTGATGCCATAACGGTTGCCCATGCTAGCAATACCAACGGCTGCAGCAGAGCCAACAATACTTGCTAATCCATTACTCAAGTACAAGAAACCAAAACAAGCCGATTGTTCGCTTCGACGATACAAGGTATTGAAAATAATAAGCAGTGCTGGATAACTGCCTGCTTCAAAGATACCGAGAAATACACGTAGTACAGCAAGTTGTGTAAAGTTCTTGCCAAATGCAGTGCCAATTGTGACAGCACCCCAACATATCAATAAGGTCCCAAGGTATCTTCCTACTGGGAATCGTTGAAGGAAATAATTGTTGGGTAGTTGAAATACAAAGTAACCAAGGTAGAATAATGCACCAAGCCAACTGTACTGAGTCAATGACATGCCTGTGTCTTGAATAATGCCTAACACAGCAGCTACACTCAAAGCAGCTTTATCCACAAACTAAAGTTAAAGGTCAATAAAAGTCAGATCAACAAAGGGACTGATTTACTTGAAGAAAAATAATAAACATGGCCAAAGGAAGCAATCGAATATTCAGCTTTCGAACAAAACGCTTTTCTGCTTCTGATTTGACATATGGGGTATGCTCTACATGATGATGTTGTGCTTTTTCTTCTTCTTCAAAAGACGAACTTAAAATATTTGACTTTGAGACCATTTTAGAGTACAGAAAGATGCAAATAGAGAGAGTATTTATAGTCAAGTTTATAAAACAAAAGTTTCGCACGAAACTAGCTATTTTGTAATTATTTTTCACATTGAAGTCTATCATATATATACATATAAACTTCTCATCAAACCAATGTTTAAATATCAATAACAGTGCTCATATTCAATAACATGTGATAGCAAGAAGATAACAAAGCACATAATTTCTGGTTTTTATTTGGTTTATTCAAGTTAATTGTTCTGACTCTTTATTTTGAATAACCAAAGAATTCAAGAATTATAACCATGTAGGACAATTTCCTATATTTATGACACTATTGGCAAGGTGTGAGCAAACGAATGTTTGGAACAATCTTGATGCTCTCAGATGATATCGCTTCTTTTTTTTTTTTGTTAATGTGCTGTTTCAACAAATCCTGTTAATTTCAAATTACCATTCAAAATGGCATCCTTATGTATGACTCCAAACAGCCACTTTAAAGAGGTTTGAAAACGTATGAACATAAAGTTGAATTAAGTTTCTTAATATGGTTAGAGAAACGCATTCACATGCTTCAGTAGTTCTAAAGCAACAACACTCACTTTATCCAAGTCTCGCATTCGTTTTGGATTATAAAGCCAAAAAAAAAAAAAGACAAGAGGTATATGCATATTTATTACATTTCTCTAAACAAAATGAGTGGTACAAATTGTCTCAACTGTTGTGTAAGGTTACATTAAATGTTAATATGATCAAGTTCATATTTAATCCATTAGCAGTGTATGAACACAATAAAATCTTGTTGAAGGAACTCTTATTTCTTTGAGACTTTTACATTGTATATACAAGGCCAATGTGTTTATGTCATCGCTTGCAGCATCAAAAGCACTGTAAGGTATCCTAGAGATGCTTGTTCTACAGCAATAATATATATGATTACCCCGCATTGTGTACAACTTGAGACAAAAGTAAAAGACACCTATCATTTTAGCTTGAAAGCATATTCTGTCAAAAGAGCTATAGGGCATATCGATAAAATAATTATTACGAGTTCTAACTAATCCACCTTCCTAATTACACATTTTAAAATTGTTGATGGTTAGGTATTTCAAGTTAGGTAATCGAGCTGATAGTTCAAACAATAGAGGTGAATAGTATTGAACTTGACTGAGTTTCAACGTTTCAATTGAATTTTTCATGCCTGATTCAGGTTTACACATCACAATGTTGGCATTTTCTATCACGACCTTTTTCATATTGACACAAAAGGCAAAAATATCATCTAAATAGTGCCCACAGGTCATATTTCTGATCGCTTCGTTTTGATGGAGAAGAGTAGACATATAAATTTTCTCAAGTTCGACGTTTAAACCGGTGATGATGCTTCCTGCTTTCTGAATCACATCCAAAAACTTTGAATATTGGTTTCCAACATAGCTCGTTAAACGCATATAAAAAGTACTGTTGGATACATAGTCAACCCCGATATTTTCACTCGCTGTTGGGTTATCAAAACACAAATCTATATCTAGTTGACCTCCGACCAGATCTATTTGCCACATACGTGCCACTTTATCCAAGTTTTGTGAGCGAAAAGTAGTCGACAAAGAAATAGTCCATGTTCTTGACATAGTTTGTAAGTGCCTCGAATTTATCCATTGTAAAAAAGGGTTCTGGACGTTCTTTCAAGTTGCTTGATAAATCATCACAATCAAAATTGATGGTCAAGTCCTTAAGATTTGAAAATTTGTTCATCACATAATAAAGCATGTCTTCTGCCAATACCACTAATTTGAGATGAAGTTGAGTTACACTTCTCATTTCCTTTGGTGTAACAGTATCTATGTAAAATTCGCCCTGTACCGGATATAAAGTAATGCTCAAGTCTTTTAATTGAGAACAAGCGTTAAACATTTCACCCAACTCGGATAACGACTTGTTTAGATGCTTCCAATTTTGTCAGACATTCAAATTTTGCCAACCTGTTTATCAACATATCAATTTGGACATTGTGTTTAGGTGTTTCATAAAATGATAAACTATCACATATAGTGATTCGTTTGATCTTGCGGCGCATAGCCACCATAGCACAGTTGTAAAATCCTATTTCTTCTTTCTTATTGAGGGAGGGGGTACTGCAGTATATCGAGATTTCTCCATTTTCCTTCATAATATTCTTGCATGTCTCGCACATAGAAAGGGCTAGATGATTTTGGCATTTTTAAATTTTCCAGGCTAGGGCAACATTCAACCAAGGTAGCAATACAGTCGAGCGTAGTCCATTCATCAGTACTAAAGCTATCGTTGATTACCAAGCGTCTTACAGACTTTACAGGAGAAGATGAAGAGATAGACATGGTATCTACAAGAGATGTCATTTGGGCTATGTTGTTAATGTTAATATGAGAGTATAAGGCTTTTTGTGAAGTCTTTTCCCAATTATGGAAAGCAAGTTGACACTGTCTTGCATCTTTGCTCTGCAAATAAAACAGTATTGTTTAAGGAATTCTTTAGGTAGAGTGTTCCAATCAGCCATTCTAAATAATAGACGAAAAAAGAAGTATTTTGATTTTTTTTTAGTAGACTCTATTAATAAATTAGAATATATCAGATTCATATTTATGCAATGAAGAAACATTGGACTTACACACTATGATTTAAAGTCAAATAAAAGATGTTATATTCTTATTTTAAAAGCTATAGTCCTTCAAAAGTTGGAGAGAGAAGAGCTTTTATTTGATTTAATGGACATACTTTGCTTCAATAATTTTGTGTAACCCTGCAAAACATAATTTTTCTCTTTTTCTTTCTTTTTGGCTCTAGGCAAGATAAAAAAAAAGACGGTAAAAGTATCAAAGTCTTCTATGTAGTTTTAAAGAGATAAGATAGAGAATAAAGAATGCTTTTCTAGTAAAAAAAAAAAAGAAAACTTTTAATTGTTCCTTTTAGGATATCGATAACTGTATAACCCTTTAGAATAATACTATTGGTGGAAGTGAAACCAATTCAAATCAAAATAAAAAAAAAGGGGGAAAGGGGGTAAAAGATAAGCATCATTTTCTTTGTTCAAGTTATAATTTACAATGTAAAAAGCAATAATATTTTCATTTTCTTAGTTGTTATCATCATCTCCAGTTACCCGGAAAGGGATATGTTGGCCCTTTGTCTACACCAACGACTGCGAACAGTCTCCACCATCCCTACCCTCCCCTTTCTAGGCAAAAGGATCAGATCCGAGCTTACATTCACATCTAACTAGTATAATGTCAATGGGCCCGGAAGAAGTTAAATTGAAATACTTTTCAGAAACAACCCCTTTTTATAGTTTTTTTAAGCGAGACTGTTTTTGTCATATGAAAAAAAAAGTATACATTTCTTTATGCAACGACTGTTTTTATTTTGCATGAATAATTTTTTGGACTGCTCTTTACTCTTATTATTATGTCATCTTCTGGTTATCATCTCTGTAATTTTTACATCTTGCCTAAACACTCAAATAGCTTATTTTACTGAAAATGTTCTTCCAATACAGTTTTATATGCTTTTGACCACCGTATTAGTACTTTAAAGTCAAAAAAGTTTAAAAAAGTACTTTTAAGTATTATCTATATATGATCTGTTCATCAAATGAGGCCAAATAAACAGTCAAAGAAAAAAAAAAAGCAGCAAATAAACTTGGTCAAAAGAAACGGTTTATTTACATAACTATTGAGTAGCAGTTAACCAATCAATAAAAATAGCATCACTTGAAGCATTGCTTGTACCAAATAGTAATACTCCGGGTATATATCTAGGAGCAATAGGCATATCAGGCAATATAGATGGCCAACAATCTTGCAACCGAGGATATCGTTCTGAACTGCACATAAATTTGACAGCAGGCACAGGCACATCGTACTTTTCTGATGTCCAAATAGGCTGGTTATGATGACTATCGACAATGGACCAAATACGGACACGCCCATCATTCCCTGATAGCATAAGCAAGTTGTTTTCTAAATCAATATCAGAACCCAAATGGAGTGTACTTTCATTGATATGCCCTTTGAGTGAATGGAATGGCGTCTTGCCTGGTCTCCGTGTATCCCATAGATGGATAGAACCGTCAATACCAATTGACAGTAGCATATATTCTGATAAGCTTTGTATACGAACAACAGAAGAAGCATGCTGAAACCCATGCCTAAAATTGAGATTGTTGTGTTGATGTCTATTGTCCATAAGCTTTATTTGTCCATTTCGTTGTCCAATCCAGCATGTCTTTGGTTGAAATGCTGGTATATGTGTAGCAAACACAGAAGATTTGACTTTAGATAAACGAACAGGTTGAAAAGTTGAACTGCTTAATTGATACACTTTCTGGTCTCCACCAATGACTACTTGATCATGCTCATCGTTTACGTTGGAAGACCAAAACATATCTTTTCTTTGATCATAACTTTGCACTATTTGTAGCCCTTCATAGCCCATATAAGAAGCAAGATGTGGACAATACAGCACCGCATCATTCTGTCGAATGCCTTCTTCATCCAGAAACATATGCTGTGCTTCTTCATTGATAATCGCAGGTAATTTTGGTAAAGAGAATCGACACAGAGATCCACCTAAAGATCCAACCAATGTCTGATATAGTTGACCATCGTTTTCTATTTGATTTGACAAGTTTAGAGACAAGAACGAATGACCATGTCTCCAATGACTCACTTGCCATACTGAAAACTGAGGATCCAGTTGATATCCATAATGTGATAACCGAGTCTGTTGGCTTGTCATGAACATTTCACCGAGATTGTCTTGACCTCCTGTCATTTCAACAAACATACGATTCTGCATAACTTTTCTTTCTTGTAACTGTAGTTTCGATTGTGTTTGAAGATGAGTTAAGAGTGAAGAAAGACCCGAGTTGAGTCTGCTACCTGTTGCTCTTTGGTGTAAAAATTGACGGATATTCAGAGGTGTGCGAATAACAACTGGTGATGTTGAAGCAAGTGCTTTTCTTGCTTCTTCTTCTTCACGTTCAATACGCTTTCTTAGTTCAGGTAGACTAAAAGGACCATGAGGTTGTATCTTGTAAAGCTTCTTTGTTTTTTGATCTAAAAAGTAGCCTGGAATTTTAAATGACATGACAAGAGAATAAAAAATAAATCCGGGTTCATTTTTTTTTTTTCACTCACTTTGTACTACAGAGTGTGATTGGCATCAATAAATAAAATTAACTTGCCTGAGGGAATACTCTCTCTCTCTCTCTACTCCAACATCGTCTTTCTTTCTTTCTTTTTCTTGTCAGCACTGCTTTGCATCATCATTTACGCAGGTTTGTCCCCCTTAATAGCAGCGTGTATACAGGGCGTATATGTTTGCATTGAAGTTATCTTAAAAAGATAGGTAAATTAAGATTTGTAGTCTATTGTAACCTTGAAATAGTGACAACTATTATATCTTGTCATATATATATATATAATTTTGAGCCTTCTTTTTCTGTTTTTGAAATGTAGTGTGCACTTTCTGTAGTACTTTTGCAGATGTAACACTTGGAGTGTGCTTTATAGACCTAGAGGAGCAATTGTTACGAAAGTAAGAAAATTTAGTCTATAAAGTAAGAGCATATAATAAGTTTGATGCATAAATTGAGGACCAAAAGCATATGAAGTGTGTCAAATGGAATCAAATAAAAATAATAATAAAAAGTATAGTTGAACAAAGACTGTGTTGCTTATGACAAAAATGACTCTTTGTTGTATTTTTTTTTTATTGTATAAATAAAGAGGGAAGTTGTGTGTAGAAAGAAAAAAAAAAAAAAAAAAAGAGAATTTTGCAGCCAAAGAAAAAGAAGAGAAAATGTACATCTTTTTAAGATAAAAGAAAAGATTATTCATGTGTATAAAAGTATAGATTTAAGAGCCGAAATCAAAACCACCTTGAGGAACATCAACATTAGATTGGAAGCTAAAGGATTGAGGGTGCATTTCATCAGCCATTTCTTCAGTGTCTTCTTCATTAAAGTAGTTATCGATAATATGATAGGCCTTTTTATAGACTTCTTCATTTTCGTGTGTTTGCAATTGATGGATGACTTCCATACCACCACATTCTTCAATATAAAGAGCATAACGGTTGACACCTTCAGGGTCATTGGGACGGTTTTGTTCACCCACCTTGAGGATGTTCTCTAAACCATCTAAAGCAACTTGTACAATCTTGTTGTCCATACCTAATAACACTTTACAAAGAGGACTGATAACACCACATTCAACAAGGTATTGAATTTGTGTAGGCTTATTGAGACCACCTGAAGTAGCATTGACAATGGCCCAACAGGCTTCTTTACGCGTCTTGAAATCAGCATGGGTTAAGATATGCACAAGAGGAGGAATAAGGTTGTTCTCAATAACAGCATCAATTTGGACAGTATTACCAGCAGTAATGTTAGAAATAGTCCAACAAGCTTCTTTACGAATAGCTTCTTTATCGCTTGCCAAAAGAGAACTAAGGGCAGGAAGGACACCACAGTTGATGATGACTTGTGTCTGTAAATCATCACCAGTGACAATGTTACCAACAGAACGAAGAGCAGGTGTTTGAACACTCGTGGAAGGATACATTAAGAGTTCGACAAGGCGACGACAGACACCAGATTCAATCACGGCTTGAATACGGTCATTGTTGCCATCAGACAAGTAAGAAATGGCCCAACAGGCATCAATCAAGACTTCTTCATCAGTAGAATAGATCAGTTTGGCAAGGACAGGGAGGGCAGGCACAACCATTCCCCAGACAGGTTGAGGGTTCTTACCACGACACAAGTTGGAGAGTGTCCAAGTTGCGTTACGAAGCATACTCAATTTGTGCTGTTCGTTCAAGATGGTCAAGAGAGGACCCAATGCACCTTGTTCCAATACATAGTCACGACAAACAGCACTATCACCAGCAATATTGCCCAAGGCCCAAACAGCTTGTTCTTTTACATCAGGCACATTGCTGCTAAGTAACTCAATAAAGATAGGCACAGCACCAGCAGTGATCACAACTTGAGTTTGATCAGAAGAACCAGAGGCAATGTTGGTCAAAGCCCATGCAGCTTCAAACTAGAGACATCATGATCAGTATTCCATTCTGCATTTCCTCCAATCCCACACTCTCTCGCTCTCATGGACTTACCTGTAACAGTGCATGGGATGATCTCAAGAATTCAACAAATTTAGGAACAACACCAGTATTAATCACTTCTTTAATAGGAGGGTTCTTTTCCTTGGAAAGCAATTTTCTAAACTTGGTAGTGGCATCATATTGTTTTTCAACATCATTTGTGCTGATATCATTAATCAAAGTCATTAAAGTGGTATTCAACTAACAAGATAGAGTGAGTGATTATGTCTATCAAACATGCTTTACTTACGTTCATTTCACCTTCTACGTCAATTTCATCCTCGCTATCAGACATGGACGCGCTGGGAAAGTTCATGTTACGACGTTTAGTCAAGTTTTCTTCACGCTTTTGCTTTCTGATTTCAACCGTGTGTTTTTGTCTGCGATTTCTGACTTGGTCAGAACCAAAAGCATCTTTATTCTTAAAGTTACTCTTTCTTTCAGCTGCGGAACCTTTATCCATGATCAACAAGTAATTATTTTTCTTGGAAAAAAAAAAAGAAAAGAATACGATCGAAAAAAAAAAAAAAAAAAATAGGTGTCTATATCACCAGAAAAAAAAACGCGTCACTCTCAATTTAAAAAAAAAAAAAAAGGTGCTGCGTACAACCTTTATTTTATGCCATGTTAGAATTTCAAAAGCAAATATTAACAGAAATAGTGACTGAAGATGGTTTATTGATTGTGTCGCCTGGTTTAGGTCTTTTTCAAGTATTGTGTTCACTTGTTCAGATTTATACGGGTGGTAACCACCTTGTTTTGCTTATCAACTCTACAAAAGAACAAGACGAACTGATACAAGAACAACTTATTGCCAATGGTGTTGCTCACCAACATCTTTTACGTAGAATTGAGTATAATACACCAGCAGAAAAAAGGTGAGAAATAAAGCGCATGCGAAGGGTGTCATTGACATAGGCTATAGAAGCAGCATGTATCGAGAAAGTGGTGTGTTTTCAATTACTTCGAGAATTTTGGCAGTAGATATGCTATTGAATCGAATTCCTATTGCCTTAATCAATGGTATGGTAGTCCATCATGCTCACAGGTAAAAATGATTTAGTTGATGTTGCATAGTTCATGTTTGTGTTACCTTAGAGTCAAACCTAATTCGATGGAAGAATTGATTTTGAGAGTGTATCGAGAACATAATAAAGTAAGAAGAGATAAGAAAAACCAAGATAACTTATTAGCTTGGGATAGGAAGGCTTTATTAAGGCATTCACAGATAGACCAGATGCTTTCAGCACTGGATTTGCACCTCTACAGAACGTCATGAAATCTTTATTTTTACGCAAAGTTCATTTATGGCCTCGATTCCAAGTGTTGGTGTCTGACAACTTGTCTGCATCCGATAGCAACATTGTCGAACTTCGTCAGCCTATGACAGAATCCATGGACATCATACAACAAAACTTGGTTCAATGTATGGAAGAAACATTGCAGGAATTACGTCGAGCCAATCCTACCATTGATCTTGAAGAGTTTACAATTGAAAATTCGTTCTTCAAGTCGTTTGATACTCTTGTCAGAAGACAACTAGACCCTATTTGGCATCGTGTGTCTTCTGCTTCAAAGCAACTGGTGGGCGATTTAAAAGTGTTGAGGCAATTGTTGGGATACCTTACAACTTATGATTGTGTATCTTTTTATAGTTTTATTGAAACGATTATTGCCGCAAACACATCTGTTAATGGCAAACAAGTCAAGCAATCCCAATGGTTGTTTTTAGAAGCGGGTAGTAAAGCCATTAGTGTAAGCATGACTTCAACACACACACACAAAAAGAGAAAGAGACACTGACATGTCCATTAGACAGCTAGGAAGCGTGTGTATGTCAAACAAGGTGATTCTGAATATGATGATATACCAGACAATGATACAGCAGTGTATCCAGAAATACCGTCCCATATTAAGCTCGTATTGGAAGAACAGCCTAAATGGGCCTTGTTAAAAAGCATCTTGAAAGAAATCGAAACAGAATCGATAGGACTCAACAAGGGCCAAGGAGAACCTGTGTTGATCATGGTTTCCGAAAGACGTACGTGTGCACAACTAAAAGACTATATCACTCGGTTTCAACAAGAAGCTCCCTTTTTGGACAAGATAGCTCATCACTTTTTTCGATGGAGAGTGTCTATTCATAAAATGCAAACACATCAAGTGGAACAATCAAAAGCAGCTTCAGCACAACCCTCAACAACAATGATGCGAGGTCGTGCACCGCCCAATAAACGAAGAAGAGTAAGAGGTGGATCAACAACGGCTGCTTCAGGGCCTGATAGGTCGCACACATTAGCAGAGACATTCAAGGACGATGTGATTGACAACTTATCAGCGTAAGGCAATGGCAGCACAAACAAGGGCTTATGTCTTTTTTTTTTTAATAGACTCGATGTAGACACAGATAATGATGACCAAGAGGAGGTCTTGTTTCAAGGTGTAGGACCACTAACAGATGCTTATGAAATCAAGACAAGTGGAGATGATATTCTGCCTACTTTTGAAGAGATACCCAATACATCTATCATTACCATTCAATGCTTTGAAGATGACATCAATAACCAAGTCTTGGAAGATACACAACCGCGATATATTGTCATGTTTGATCCAAACCCAGCATTTGTGCGTCAAGTAGAAGTCTATCGAGCATTGCACCCTTCAATAGACATTAAAGTGTATTTTATGCTGTATGAAAATTCAGTAGAAGAACAAAACTATCTTAGTTTGATTCGAAAAGAAAAAGAGTCGTTTGAACGATTGATTCATGAGAAATCAGCAAGTATTGATGAAGAACCAAATGCTTTTGATTAATGTTTATATATGTAGATTATGGCTATTCCACTTCCAGAACAACGCAAGGTACAAGAAGAACTGATTGTTCGTCCAAGTACACGAATTGCTGGTGGCCAAGAAACGACTGTAACCAAGGAACCTGCCACAGTCGTGGTTGATTTGCGTGAATTCAGAAGTTCACTTCCCCCGATATTGTATGCTGAAGGCATTCAAATTGTACCATGTACATTACAAGTAGGCGATTATATCTTGAGTCCTGATATGTGTGTAGAAAGAAAATCTATTTCAGATTTGATTCAGTCTTTTAATTCGGGCAGATTGTAAGTCTATTTATGTGGGATTGACATTCATCTTTATATAGGTATACTCAATGTGAAAGCATGTCATTGTATTACAAAATTCCTATTTTGTTAATTGAATTTGATCAAAACAAGTCTTTTTCTTTGCAGGTTGGTTAAGGTATAGATGGATCAAGGTACTTAATGTTTCTTTAGGCTGTTTCTGAAATGAAGGAGACAATACGTATGACGGATTTGTCTTCTAAGCTGGTGATGCTTACCTTGGCTTTTCCTAAACTGAGGACTATCTGGTCTTCAAGTCCACACGAGACTGCAAAGATCATTAGCGAACTCAAGGTAAATTGAATGCAACACAAACATCGTTTATTGAGTTTTTAATTCAGAAAACGGAACAAGAGCCAGATCCAGACACTGCTACTGCTATAGGCGCAGAAGGACCTGAGGACGGTGAGACTGTTTATAACATGACACCACAGGTACATTTGTTCATAGACGAGTAACGAACAATAACATACATTTATAGGAAATCCTTCGAAGTATGCCAGGAGTCACTTCTGCAAATTACAGGATCATTTTAAACCAAGTACAAGATTTGGAAGAACTGATGCACTTGAGCAAAAAGAAAATCCAACAAATGATTGGGGAGGAGTTTGGTTCAAAGTTGTACAATTTCATTCATAAAAAATAAACACGAGCATCAAATCAGTTTTTGGTTTAACCAACACTTCTTTTCTTTTTTCTCTTTTTCTTTTTACTTTATCATGTCAAGACAACAAGCTACTGTCTCTGAAACAAAGCTTCGAAAAATTCTCGAACTGAATGATAAATTAAAGCAGCAACTTGATATTCCTCGAATCCCTGTCTCTGAAGCCAGTCGCTCGTAAATAGCTATAGTTTTTTAAACATTAGTGACTTATATGCTTTTCTAGGTTAATTGATTTTTGCAAGTCAACTTCTGATCCCATGCTTCCCTCCATCTGGGGAAACCGACATCCCGATCCTTTTGCTGAACCTGCCAATGGTTGTGGTGCTAGTTGTTTACTTATGTAGATAATAATAAGAAAGAGGAAGAAAGAATTATTTTTTTTTGGGCATTTTAGAACAATGCTATCACTAATTATGTATAATATATATACCCCGCATACCTATCTTTATATTCGCTTGTATGTCGTGTATCAGCCAATTCTTAACACAATAAATACTTGCTTGCAAGTAGCTTTCGTTTATGATCTGTCAATGCAATCCGATTTTTTGGGATTCAATTTTGAATTTGCAAGAGTAAGGGGGGGACAATCTTTAGTTGTCATAGGAAGGCTTACAATTGGATTTATTGCATTGAGTGTTCAAAACTATTATTATTATTATTTTTTTTGTTATTATTATTGCCCTGCATGCCATAGATTTGTGCAAGCAAAAAAAAAAAAAGAAAAAAAAAAGGCCTGAAACTGGTATCACCGTTTTCAAGACTTGTAAGCTGTGCGCTATCAATCAAAACATCAAAAAGAACTTGCCATATATGGATGCGATCATCTCATCTTATGCTGAAGTGACCGCCTTTTTAAATCACCGCATGCCATTGCTTATGCTCATAAAAGAGAGAGAGCTTTAGCATTCTCTCTTTCTCTCAATCTAATTATCATGGCTTCCAACATTCTTCGTCGTTCCCTTGCTACAGCTGCTGCTCCTTCTACTATCAAGATTGGTTTAATTCCTGCTGATGGTATTGGTAGAGAAGGTAAGATACATCCCATAACATAAAGAAAGATATTCACATTGCCATAGTTATTCCTGTAAGACCGATATATATATATATATATATACAATAGACATGATGGTACTCAACCTTTTTTCTTTGTTTTTTTTATAGGCTGCTCGTCGCGTGCTTGAGTCTTTAAACTCTGGACCCAAATTTGAATTTGTTGATCTTGATGCTGGTTTTGAACTTTTTCAAAAGACGGGTACCTCTCTTCCCAAAGATACCATTGAAACCTTAAAGAATGAGTGTCATGGTGCTCTTTTTGGTGCTGTCAGGTAAACAAAAAAAAAAAAAAAGAGATGACTAAATAGGTCATGTAGCTCTCCTTCTCACAAGGTTGCTGGTTATTCTTCACCTATTGTTGCTTTACGTAAACATTTGGATTTATATGCCAATGTTCGTCCTGTTAAGTCTGTTAAGTCTCCTGCTTTCCCTAACCAAAAAGCACTGGACATGCTTATTATTCGTGAAAACACTGAATGCTTGGTAAAGTCAGATTACTTTGTTTGGTATGCTCATATGTGTCTATAGTACATCAAATCTGAAAGAGAAGAAGTCGACCCCAAGACTGGTTTAAGAGTCGCATGGGCTGATCGTAAGATTTCTGAATATGCTTCTCAGCGTATTGGTAAGATGGCCTTCAACATGGCTTTGACCCGCGAAAAGCTTCGCTCTGAAATCCCTGTTGCTGAACGTTTCTGGAAGGTAAAGATAGAATGGCATTTCTGTACATATGGATTAAGTCTTCTCTAGCATAACCCTCGCGTCACGATTGTTCACAAATCAAATGTCTTGAGTATCACAGATGGTTTATGGCGTGAAACTGTTCGTGGTGTAAAGGAAAAGAACGCAGAATTATACAAGGGTGTTGATATGGAAGAACAATTGGTTGACTCTATGGTTTACCGTATGTTCCGTGAACCTGAAGCCTTTGATGTCTGTGTGGCTCCTAATCTGTACGGTGATATTATTTCAGATGGCGCTGCTGCCTTGGTAGGTTCTCTTGGTGTTGTTCCTTCTGCCAATGTAGGTGATGATTTTGTTATGGGTGAACCTGTGCATGGATCTGCTCCTGATATTGCTGGCAAGGGTATTGCTAACCCTATTGCTTCTATTCGTTCTGCTGGTATGTTATTAGAACATATGGGCTACACTTCTCAAGCCCTTAAGGTATATAATGCTGTGGATGCTGTCTTGGCTGATGCTAGTATCCTTACGCCTGATTTGGGTGGTAAGAGCACCACGAACCAAGTTACAGATGCTGTTCTTAAGCACTTTGCTTAAACTACTTCTTTTATAAATATAACTTTTTCGTCTTCATTACTTGTATTATAAATAAAAATTCCGTTTTCATGCATCCTTGGTGTGTTGTCTTTAAGGAGGGAGGGATAGTGATTCAATGTCCGTCATTGATTTTTCTTAAAAAAAAAAAAACTCCTTTGTGACGCTTGCTACTTTTTTCTTTACCGTTTTTATATGTCTTTAAACAGTAGATACCGTGAAAGAAAATACAATACATCTGATAATGATCGTTTATTGAGAGCCTTATCACAACCTGTACAAGCTTGGTAAGAAGAAGAAATAAGCTTGTGTTTTGTGTTTATTGAACTTCACAGGGACAAACAATGGGCACCACTCTCGACATCGAAAACCCTCCAGACATATAAATGGGTCAAATGTAATCTATTGTCATCATGTCTTGTTGTTTTACTGATACTTTATTATAGCTGAAAGAGCAATTCAATTTGAGCCAGACGAAGAAAGTGAAGAAGAGCCTGAACCTATGGAGACAGAATCATCGACACTTGCTGAATCAACAGAAAATCAAAACAGCACATTGTCTAAACAAGACACCATTCCAGGTGGACCTAGTTCTCTTATTACCAATAAGGCTATCTCTGCACTTCAACAAGACGATGATGATGATGAACAACGTTCACAAACACCTAAATTAGATGATATTTCTGACGATGAAGAGAACAGAAACAATGAAGATGAAGAAGATAATGATGTAGACAGTATCAACGATCCTTCCAAGCATCCTGCCTTAGCACCTCATGCTCAGGCGCGTATGACAGATGACGACTTGACGGATTCTGCAGCTGCAACACCACAAACAGAAGGAACACCTATGATGGAAGAAGACAGCACAGCAACACAACCACATCCTTTAAGTCAGGAAATTTTGTCAGGCACTATGCAAACAGATGCCATGGATCAACAACCATGATCGTTTTTGAATAAAGAAAATGTCTAAAAACGCGTCTTTTTTTTTCTTTTTGATTCACGCGCGTCTTTTTTATTATTATTATATATGAAGCTTGTCTATAGTAATCTCTATAAACATTCTCAATACCAATCTAAAATATCACCCAATAACTATTATGTTGCTAATGCAGTGGATGATCGTCTTGTGATCAGAAGACAAGACAGACATCTCCAAGTACTTCAAGTACACGAAACACGTAGTCCTATTGACTATATACAATGGGCACCTAACTCTGAACACATTCTGACTGTCAACTATCAAAAGTCTCGAGTCTATATCCGATCCCTCACAGATCCCAAATGGCAAGGCTCGATTGTCGAAAGAAGGTTTCCTATAGTTCGAGTTCGATGGAGTCCTGATTCCAAAAGTATTCTCTGTATTTCTGAATTAAAGTTACGCTTAGCTATATGGAATCTATCCACACAAGAATTGAAATACATGAATCATCTCAAATTTATAGACAAAGGCATTTACTCTTTACACAACAAGAGAACTAAATATTAACATGTCTTTTACAGGCATTGAATTCAGCCCTGATGGTAACTATGTAGCTATTGTAGAATTGATCGAGGGCAAAGAATACATTAGTATATATCATGCCAATTCATTTATACTATTACAGGTAACAAACACTATATATACACATATAAACTGACAGAGTGTAAGAGATTTGAAGTAGATACAGCTGATTTAGAAAACTTGATATGGTCTTTTGATAGTATGTTTATTGCTGTATGGGATAATTGTATCTATGTAAGCACTCCCCCCCTTTTGTTATTAGTATTATTTGAGCGACATTGATATTTGCTTGATAGCATAAATTATTGATCTATAGACAAGATGGACACTTGTATAAAGCTTATTCTGGATATCAGTTTGGCTTAGGCATCAAGACTGTTATTTGGAGTCCTAATAATCAATTGATAGCCATAGGCAACTATGATGAGACAGTAATTGTTGCATACTATATGTTCATAGACGCTAACAAAGCAATAGATACATGTATTATCTGCACTTTCATTTGATTTAGTCGACAAATTAGAACATTCAGCATCTATCGCAGTTCATTCAAACATAGTAAGTCTACTGAGAGTATAACAGTATAGTATAACTTGTTCAAGACACCTATAGAAGAAATAGAAGCTGCTAATCCAGCTAAAATATCACTTGGCCATGTAGACACAGACTGTAAAGTAACAACATAGCATACACAAGTATTCATTCTGATTTGATAGATCATATCTTGGTACCTCCACTCAAGATACCTATCCGAAGACCAGAATACAATGAACCCAACCCAAAGACAGGCATCTCTTCTTGTCAATTCAGTCCTGATAGTCAATATCTCTTTAGTAAAAGCGATTCTATGCCTACAGCATTATGGTTATGGAAAGTAAATACATTATCATGTACACATGTCATCAAATTTCGAAAACATATCAAGCAAGTTCTTTGGCATCCTCAGCATAACTGTCTTTTGACTGTGATATGTGGTGATGGAAACCTGCATTTCTTTGAATCTACAGAAGACGGTATGGATATTCAACCAGCTACTGTGCCAACAAGTAAGTCAACATCTTGCTCGGTGTTTCGTACTGATATGTTACAGCGAGATTCTCTGTTAAGAAAATCAAATGGAGCTCTGATGGAAATGCACTTATCTTAATGGATCAAGAACTATTTTGCTTGGCTGTACAAGAATAAAATACTTTACATAAACAACACCAAGGCAAAAAAAAAAAAAAAAAAAAAAAAAAAAGAGTTTATTTCTTATTATTTCCTGCTAGTTCTTATGGAATATACCCTTTCATCATGAACAGAGCCATGCATTTCAATTAATACAGGCTCGCTTTGTTTATGTTCAGAAGAATGCTGTTAAATCTTGAGCTTTTATTTTTTGTTTTTTTTTTTGTAAACATACAAAAAGTGAACATCGCTTGTCATAAAAGAAAAGAAAAGTCAATATACTAATGTAGACCAAAGAATCTGCTCAAGGCAGAAAAAAAGGACCTTTTTTTTTTTTTTAATGCATAAAATAAATTATCATACGTGATATGATATCAGTTGAAGCGTATAATTTTGACACTATCTAATTGAAGAGAGGTAAACCCCCCCCTTTTTTTTGAGTCTCAGCTGACTGGCTTTCCTTCCTTTCTCCTCTTTTTGGTTAATTGTGAGCCACTCTTTTTCTCTTTATTTATTCACACATGTCTTTCAATATCAAAAGTTCGTTTGTATCTCGCTCTGTTGTAGAAAACAACAAGGAAAAGCAAGTAGGCAATGAATCGGGTGGAGGAGGAGGTAAAGCATCATAAAATAAAAAAAAAAGAGAGAGAGAGAAAAAGAGAACGATCGATCAACTTAAATCATTGCAGTTGCACCAGAAGCGTATGATCCACGCACACTCTATGAGCGTCTTCAAGAACAACGCATGCTAAAAGAAGAACAATTTGCAGAAGACTCGCGCCTTTCAAATCAAATAAAACGCGTGAGTGAAGAAGAAGCAGAATATTTCAAGATCTTGGCTGATGAGAAAGAGAAACTGGAAAAACAACGCAAAACAAAAGAAAAGCTGGAGTTGGAAGAATACCGGTTAGCTGTGGAGAATGCTAGGTCAGCACCTTCAAATCCATTGTTAGAAGAAAAATCAGTCAAGAAGAAATCTATTTTTGCAAAGCCCAACAAATTACAAAAGAACAAAGGTGTATTGTTTGTCAAGAAGAAGCGTCAGGAAAGTGAGGAAGAAGAAGAAGAAGAAGAAGCTCCTGTTGAGAAAAAGACAAAAACTACACATGAAGAAGATAAAGCACCTCTTTCTTTATTATCAGCCTATGGCGACATTTCAAGTGATAGTGAGAGCGAATGATCCTTTAACTGTTAAATGCTTTTAGAAGTCATATTTAATAAAATTGTTCAAGTTACAAGACCATTCCACAACTTGTAATATTTTGCGCGCCAAAAAAAAAAGAAGCTTTTACTAATTGAACGAATAGTCTGATCGCGATCCAACGTAGCAGTTCATATAAAAACAGAGAAACGGAAAAATACTATATGCATTTTTTTTTGTTTTGTTTTGTTTGTTGATGAATTGCAGGCACATTTGAATTAAGTTTTTAATATCTCGATATTGTTCTTTCAATCATTTTTTGTCAACATTTTCGAATAATGTATAATTCCAAAGTCTTGGGTCTTCATCACGTCATAAGTAAAGAACAAAATAGATGTTATAAAGAGGAATGATACCTGTGCATTCAAAGTAAATCCTTTTTACTTTTTTCTTTATTCTTTTTTAGCAGGCAACATGGTTGTTATTTAAATTCTTTTGTTACTGTATGTTTTGAGAGAAAGCACAATTGAGAAAAAGGAATGGCCATAAAATAAATTAAGGATCAAGAAACGAAGAGAGCAAGAGAGACAGAAACGGAATCGCCATAGTCACTTTATTAAGCGATTTCAATGCTTAGAATAACAATAAAGATGGGTGCATTTACTATTGAACGAGGTATGCATTCTTTTTTAATTATTAACAAAAAAAAAAAAAAAAAAAAAAAAAAAAGGGAGCTGCGTCAGACAGATATTGAGAGAAACATTGAAATGATAAACAACTGCTTAAAAAAAAAAAGTTGATATGTTAAAATGATACACAATTATTTCTATTTTCCTAGTGAAATTTCTTTCTACCTTTTTAAAGAAAAGAAAAAGAATCATACATAACTCTTTTGGGCTATTAAATTATGATCCTTTTTATTTTATTTTATTTTTAAAAAAAAAAAGTTGTCTGTAAAGAATGCAGGAATTATATAAAGACAACTTGAAGTCTCATTTATGTATTAAAGAGGGCCCTTTAAATTCCTTTTTCTTTCTTTCTCTCTCTACATAGACTATCGTTTCCCTTCCTTTCCTTGTATTTATATATATATATATGGATACCACTTACTCTTATCCTCAACTATTTGATATTGACGACACATTCGACACTGAGTTACTTCATGGACTACAACTTCAAGACCATGCAGCCCCCCTTTCAACTCTCTCTTCGCCTAGTAATAACAATTTGTATAATGTAGTAGACAAAAAATCGATTTATCAATCAGAAGATGTTTACAATTCACTGGCTGCAAGCTCTAATTCTTATTTACAATATCTTCAAAATACCAACAACTATACCCATGATTATTTGTATGGCTCCTCACAGTATCAGCTCATGAACATGACGCCCAACAATGCTCCTACTGATTTGGTCGATTATGACTATCTACACCCACACTCTTTTGCACTTGATCAACAAAAACAACAGTATAATTGGCTTTATGATCCAATTGATACCTTTCTGCCTTCGCAGCCATTTTGTGAAGACATCATACAGCCCTTGGATTCTACCATGCAAGACAATAACCAGTTTAATGAGAATGTGACTGTAGAAGGTGGCATGTCTCGTGGTTACGTGAGCCTTAGTGTAAAGTACATCCGCTACTGTGATCATCAACACTAACTCTGTCTATATAGGATGTGAATTCATTTGTTGCCAAAGCTGATTCTGCAAAACATTCATGCGCATTTCAGTTACCTGAAAGCCTATTACTGAACGACTTTGCTCTGACTTCACAACTAAGGGGGGACTTTCTATCTTCTCCAGAATCCAACAATGATGATAGTGAAGATGATTACTCTGATAGTAATAGTGACCATGATATCCATTGGCCAATCATGACTACCTCAGCCAGCTATAGTTCAGCTTCTTCTTCTTTGAGTAAGAAATCAAACTGTCCAAGAGAGAAACTGATGATCAAGATCAAGAAACCTGACCATCATGCTATCTCTGCTCCCAACTGTAGTATGTCAAGCGCGCTCTCGAGTCCTTACAATCACTCTAGTTGGGACCTGATTTCACCCAAGAGCTCCAAGTCGACTGACTACCGTCCTGCCAAGTACCGAAAATCCATGTCTAATATTTATAATCTAAAAAGGAACAGCAAGGCGTCAGTCAAATACGAGTCAACACCACCATCTACAAAGTATCGTCGTGGTAGTGCTCCTCATCGTCTCAACACTCTCCAGTCCTCTTCTTCCTTGTCCACACTTTCGAGCAATCTTCAGCGATCCATGCATGTGTCAGACAGTGTCAATAGTTTTATGTCCCGTCATTCTTTATCTGATGAAGATAATCATCATGAAGACGAATCACTTGACGATCATCATCATCACCACCACCACATGCAAGAAGAAGACGATGATGATGATGGAGAATATCAGATCAGACCAGCAAGTGCAAGTCATCCTTTGCCAACAAAGAAGGGGCGTAATGTAGACAAGGCCTGTAACCATTGTAAACGGTCTCATTTGCGCTGTGATGATATGAGACCTTGTAGACGCTGTGTAGCTACGGGAAAGACAGGCTGCAAAGATGTTCAACATAAACCTAGAGGAAGACCTAAGCTTCATAAAAAATAAAGATAAACTTTCACCATCCAGTTGTTGAGCCAATGGATTCATTAAAAAATGGCTTGTTTTTATTGCTTTTGATGTATAAATACAACGTGTATAGAGAGCTATCTATTGAATCTCAAAGATTATTCAGAGTACTTCAAAGAAAAAGTGCTCAAACAAAAGCATGCCCTTATTTTATAATACAATTGTTGAACAAACAGACAGTGGTATTTGTTGAAATAATGAGAAATGGACTTCATTTGTACTAATTGCAGTGTATCACGAACTTTGAACGCAGATTTGAAGGCAATACTCAAATTGACTCTCCTTTTTTGTCTTGGTGAACTCTTTTTCTTTTTCATCTGAAGTACTTGTACATGGTCTTACCTCATTTCAGTTGGATCAAATTCTTTTTTTTGTATAGTATTTTATTATGCGAAAATATGTGTTCTAGCTACATATCGCGGAGGAATGTAGCGTGGATAAGCTGAGAATTAAGAAGGCAGAGAGAGAGAGAGAGAGAGAGAGAGAGAGAGAGAGAGAGAGAGAGAAAATATTCGGATGAATTAGAATCGTCTACGAGTAAAGTATATTTCCTAAGAGAGGTAGACATCTGACTGATGACGCCAAATATGATGTTTGTGGCCTATTGTTTCCACTACTCTGCAGAGGAGAAACTCTTCTGTATTGTTTCTTCCAGCTAAATTAATTGACGATAAAAGTTAGTCAAATTATTACGTTCGATTTTACTTAATGATCTTTCGGCGGCTCTTTTTTTGCAATTGATGTATTTGTTGTATCAAAGACATTTTGAGATACATTTAGACAGGCAATAAATCAGCCAAGGCTGTCATTGCGTCCTCCTTCACTGCATCTAACTTTATAGCGGATATACCACTCTCAGCCTCAAATTCCTCTCTGGCACTCACTATCACTATCATAGAATTCACTTGGCATATAATCGGAGCCTTCACCATCACTTCCGTCAGTTTCCGAAATATCAAAAGCGCTGATGTAATCTTCCACGATTATCAATTTCAAACTCTTCTTTGTTCGAGGAAGGACGACACGTTGGTCCTTTGATGCATGTTGCGATTTTAAGGCTTCAGTAGAATGGGCCGGCTGATCCTCCTTAGTGGCATGAGGTAAGACGTCCTCAACATTCTGCTTCTTAGATGCTAGTGTTCTGCGCTTCTTCGATGGATTCAGAGGTGTTTTGCGAGGACATTCAAATGATTGGTGTCCAAGGTGTTGACAGTTGTAGCAAATGATTCGTGCTCTAGATTTTTCACACTCAAACTTATTATGACCCGTTTGGTGGCAATATCCACACCAGGTAGGTGTATTATTCCATGTACAATGAAAAATTCGGTCTGAAGATTCGCACCAGCTAATAGTGTGATCCAAATCTTGATATTGTGTGTCGTTCTTGTCTTTACCAATTAATGCATAACCAGATCCCATAAAAATACCTAATTTAGGTTCAGTTGTTATATCCACATCCAGGATCTTTCCAAATGGGGCCAAGCTCTGCTCTAAACCCTTCCCAATTTCTTCGGGGCGAACGAGGGGGAGGTGGGTCAAACTGATGGTTGTGAACGTATAATCGTCATCTACCGAGCGATAAGGAAGAACTCGAATTTTTTTTTGTTTTGAAAATCACACCTGTGCTGATAATATCGTTCTCATCGTCCTTTGGACGAATGTAGAGCTCCAAGTAGCGGTTTGGGCCGTCACTGAGAAATTGACACACATATATTTTGGGGTGTTGTTCGAGTACGATTTGAAGATTTTGAAAATCTGTATACTCGCTACGAGTTTCGGTAAGATCAAATAAGAGAGCTCCGGGTCATTTGGCAGATCTATAGATGCGGAACTGAAGAGTCAAAAGATGGTCCTCTCATTCAACATGAGGTTGTTGAATGTCTTTATGGATCAGTGAAATCCTCTTTTTAGCTGCTACGATCTGTACATAAGATGATTTAGTTTTGGTGGCTTTAGGAGACGAAGTAGCTTCCAACTCCGCTCTCGACGACAAGTGTTGGTTAGCAGGAAGAGCCATGGTTGGATCAGACCTACATTGGCTCATTCCAAAATTTTCTGATCGAGTTTTGTTTTTTTTCATCTTCGAGGACCTCCGTGGATTCTCCATGGGTCAAACACATCCATAAAAAACTAGAGTGCCTGGCGCACATTTTGAGTATTTAACCTTGTCAATAGCTCTGTTTTTCATTCTACAGCGTCCAAAAGAAGATCTTTTTTTAAGTGTTTTATTTATTGCTTCACGTAGACGAATGTAAACCATTGTCAAGAAGTGGGTACAAATTAAAATGTTATAATATAAAAATAAAGAAAATAATTGAGGTAGAAATAGAAGAGGTCAAGTATGGACTAGATGATTTGGGTCATCTAGTTTATCATCTATCTGTTAAAGTCTTGAGTTTATGTGTTTTTTTAAGTTATGTTTATTGATTGAGCCGCGTACACTAAGAGCAATGATCAAAGTGAAGAGGCGGGTGCAATTGAGATAATGCCAAAAACTGATATAAAATATAATAACTAAATAAAAATACGATAAAATGAAACAATGTAGAGGTTCTAGAGGTGAATGGCATTGATCCCCTTCAATGGTCTGACGAACATTGGACCGGATGCTTGCCAATACTGCTGTGGATACAATGGGGGAATTCGGTATGGTTTGATTCCTTCCCATCGGCAGTACCAGATGTACGAGAAGTCCAGGGACAGAAGAACCTCTTTGATATCAGAAATGGATATGGTAGGCCATAGGAACTCGAAAATTATTTCCTGCCATACCTTCTCTTTAGTTGGACAGTGGAATAACAAGTGGATGGTTGAGTCTTTTGAAGATATGCAAACTAGGCAAAGAGGGGAATCGAACACTTGAGGCATAATAAAATGCAAGAACTTGCGATGAGGAATACACCCCAAGATAAACCGGTATGTCACATTACGTTGAATAGAGGTAAATGGCAGGGACCAAAAGAATTTCCATTGTACCTCTGCAATAGTTCTCAAGACCAATGGAGAAATCACAGATGAGAAAACTGATTGACGAAATGTCTTAGCCGAAGCCTTGACATTGACGAGCAATTGATCATCTTGGAACCGAAATTGGTTGATCAAGGGCGCAAATGAGGCCGTCGAGTCTTCAAGTGGAGCAGAACTATAAGCAGAACTAAAAAATGGCTGAAGTTTCAAACTCCCAGACGCAAGTCCTCTAAACACTGTTGTGGGTATGCGCTTAAAAGAAGATCAGAAGTTGTTAAACGAGCTTTTTTCATGACTAATGTCCTTTGGTCAGATGGTCATTTTGGCCGTTTTCTGCTAGTCGCTTTTTTTGGTCCAAATCAACTCCAAATGTACCCTATATGTTAGTAAACATAGTTTGTAGGTATTTCGAGCATTTGTGCGTGTATAAACAGGATTTACACCATCTTTATACGCCTAAGAAAAAGAAGAAACTTTGCAGGAATTGTTGTCTTTTTCTATTATTGAAGCACCTACTTGTCTGGCGTCTTTGTTACATGAGTAAGTGATGTACTACCAAATTGCTTCTTTACATAATTTATCGTATTAAAAAGATACTTGGTTCCCTGAAATCAAAGAGAGGAATGTTTGCATATGAAAAGAGTGAAAGGTGACAAGATTATGTGATTAAAACCTCAAAAGCTAAAGCGTAGATTCGCTCATACTAAACTAGTGTCTTTAAAGGACATGCGGTTGTGCGCAATGAAGCTCAGATACTTGATCAGTTTCTTTGTAGGAGCATTATACGTTCACCAAGTATTTAATTACGAAAGAAAGCAGCTTCAAATAAAAGCATAGCCATATAAAGAAATACTTAAAAACAAGTGCTATAGTGCTTGCAAAAATACGCTGGTTACCTAATAATGCAGGGAAGAAGAAAGTGTTTAATTTGATATTAAATTTAAGCTTGTTGCACAACGCATGCATTGACATCGGACTTTAAATCGAGACATCCTTATTTTGGTCTGTTAAGGATTCATCCATCCGTTCTCTTTCATAATCCATCCAACATAATACAATATGGTAAGCAACATATATCCATCCATCCATCCAAAGACTAGAACATGACTAACATTCTGTTTTTTTAGTCTCACAGGTGCGTTTTCAACAGAGATTCTTGATGAATCTATAGATTCAGTAACTAACATTCCCCATTCATTTTTAGAAAGTACGAAGCACCTCGTCATGGTCACTTAGGTTTCGGTCCTCGTAAGAGAACCAGATCTCATCGTGGTCGTGTTAAGGCTTTCCCCAAGGATAACTCCAAGCTCCCTGTCCACTTAACTGCCTTCATGGGTTACAAGGCTGGTATGACCCACATTGTTCGTGATCTTGAACGTCCTGGTTCCAAGATGCACAAGAAGGAAATCGTTGAAGCTGTCACTGTGATCGAAACTCCTCCTATGGTTGTTGTTGGTATGGTTGGTTACGTCGAAACCCCTCGTGGTCTTCGTTCTTTGACCACTGTTTGGGCTGAACATCTTTCTGAAGAAGCCAAGCGTCGTTTCTACAAGAACTGGTACTGTTCCAAGAAGAAAGCTTTCACCAAGTACGCTCAAAAGTATGCTGAAGGTGCCAAAGACATTGCTCGTGAAACTGAACGTATCAAAAAGTACTGTTCTGTTGTTCGTGTGATTGCCCACACTCAAATCTCTAAGGCCAAGATCAACCAACGCAAAGCTCACTTTATGGAAATCCAATTGAACGGTGGCTCTATCGCTGACAAGGTTGACTTTGCTCGCGAACACTTTGAAAAAGAAGTGCCTGTTGGTTCTATCTTTGAACAAGATGAAATGATTGATATCATTGCTACCACCAAGGGTCATGGTTTCGAAGGTGTCACTCATCGTTGGGGTACCAAGAAGCTTCCTCGTAAGACTCACCGTGGTCTCCGTAAAGTTGCCTGTATTGGTGCCTGGCACCCTAGCAGAGTCATGTACTCTGTTGCTCGTGCTGGTCAACGTGGTTACCATCGTCGTACTGAAATCAACAAGAAGATTTACCGTATTGCCAAGGGTATTGATGCTAAGTCTGGTACCACTGAATACGATTTGACTGAAAAGTCCATCACTCCTATGGGTGGTTTCCCTCACTATGGTGAGGTCAACGAAGACTTTGTCATGATCAAGGGTTGTTGTGCTGGTTCCAAGAAGCGTGTCATCACTCTTCGTAAGTCCCTCACTGTTCACACCAAGCGTTCTGCTTTGGAAAAGGTCACTCTCAAATTCATCGATACCTCTTCCAAGTTCGGTCACGGTCGCTTCCAAACTCCTGCCGAAAAACACCAATTCATGGGTACTCTCAAGAAGGATATCTAAATGTCTTAATAAAAAAAAAACCTTTATTTATTCATTCAATTCTACACATTGACTTTACGTGCAAGTTCACTCATCATACCCAATAGATCTTGAATAGTAAATTCTAATTGAACACCTGCATCAGGATAACATTTGCGAATCAGATCTTCCATCTTTTCATGCTGGCGAATGAATTCTTCTTGAATACCACGCCATACTACTTGCAAAAGCCCTTCTTCCTCTGAAAAATGTTTATCTACACGCTTATAAAGCTGTTCTAATGATTTCTTGATTTCCTTTGGTGGATACATAGTAATAACACGACGTAATTGTGCTTTGTTATAGTTCATATGAAATGAGACTTCTTCAGGTGTGCTTGTACGCATCATTTGCTCTACACCTTCAAAAAACTCCAGCAATTTACCAAGAGGACGTCGAATGATGACTTTGATATAAGCATTCAAACTATTGTCGTATTGTGTCTTGGCATGCTTGATCCATTTCTCGAGTACATGTAATTTGTTTGTACGTAAAGTGTTGTACATATGGTGCATGTTTTCTTGGAAATAATGAATTGTCAACCTTTTTGTTGTTCAACTTACCAATATACATTATGGTTGCATTCAATTGCTCTTTATCATCTCCTGTCTGATCACTTTCACGGGCAATGCTGTCTAAACTACCCATCATGGCTTGAATGATCTTTTCATAAGCTTCACTCACAGTTGTACGAGTCTCTGATTCAGGCTGAACATTACTCGCTGCCATTTCCATTCTCATAGCAAAAACAGGGAATGTTTTGAAAAAAGAGAGGATACCTTTACGCTTTTTAGAACTGATTTTTGTTTCTTCAATAATGCGAACTTGATCTACCTAGTTGTGGCATAAGATCTTTTTGTTACAAGACAAGCAGTACTTACAATAAAGTTTTCAAACATTTTAGTGAGTCTCTGCAAGATGGATTTACATAACCGTAAAGCAAATTCTTGATCTGATCCATCCCATTTTTCCTGTTGGAATTCAACAGCACCCATCATGCTCACAGCTTGTGTTGGGTCGCTCTTGACTCCGTATTCCAAAAGACCTACCAAGTTGGGTTCCAAAGTTTCAAAGATAATTTCCATCCAAGTCCTATGTCCAAAAGGTCAAAAAAAAAAAAGGAATTTTGATTTGTACTTACAGAATCTTTTTAGATACTTTAACATCTCTTATCTTATCTCTTCTACTATAAAGATCAGACTTGTTAGGCACTTGGGAATAAACCATGCCACGTTCCAAAAAGGACTTGGGGCCAGTCAAAGTCTGTCCAAATAAATCACTCATGTAGTTTTGTTCTCGACAGACAAGCATAATGCCTTGGCTGATCATTTGTGCAAAAGCCTACACTAGTTTAGTAGCTTCCATGGAGCCATGGTGTCTATCCTTACATCATCAGCAGCCTTTTCGTCTTCATCTATACTTGAACGACCACTTCCGCCACTAAATCCTCCTCCCATCACACCTTCAACAGATCCACGAAGCATATGGCGGTAACGATGAGGACGAGAATCATCACCACGCAAATTAGGTGCATAGGCCAATGCTCTTGCAGGACGAGATTCTTCTGGCTTAAAGACTATACAGATCATCGTCAGTAATATGTGTATTGTTGTACTACATACTGTATTCTAATTCGTCTACATCTCTTTTACGTAAAGCAGCATAAAACCCACGCGTGGCATCTATCAATTCACGTATATCACGCTCATATAAAGGAGCCATGTCCTGTGCATAACACTAACAAAAAATATTAGTTTAGCATTGCATAATTGCCTTATTTACCCGTTGAAGTTCACTATAGAGTCTAGGCTCCATTTCCTTTTCCCATAAATTGAACCCTTGATATTTAATCAATTGATCTTCAATTTGTTCATGAGGATGAGCAACAATAGCACTGATACTGTTGCCCTTTTTGTTGCCTGTAGATGATGATCTATGATCTGAATATAATCTGGCTTGATATTCGAATTGATGCTTCAAGAATTTAAAGGTACGTTCACTGAATTTATTGCCGTGAATGTTGTATGCTTCTAATCTTTCCTGCACTGCAGTCATTTCTTGTAAACCATCATTGAGTTTTGTCTTGAGTGCTTTTTGTAGGATTTCAGCTGCTTCTTGTATACGTATCACATCATCTACAGTGTCCATTGGGTCATGTTGTAAACTATCAATGCATCTACGGGGTATAGAGATAGCAGACTAATAAAGAATAAGCTACCTATTGTTTGTCGTTATAGTTACCAATAAGCCATCTAACTCAGTTATCAACATGTGTTGGTTTTGGTTCAGAATTTGAAGTGCTCTGTTTTGAGTTTCAATCTCACGAATATCATCACCCATACTCTATAATATACATAAATAGATGTTTAATAATAATAAGGAAATATACAGAAAAATACGAAATAATATATATATATATGTAAGGCCTACTGTGAAGCTCTTTTTGATTTCTTGTCACTTACGTTAAGTTCAGCACCATAGAGTGATAACCAGCTTTCCATACTGTCGAGTTCTTCAAGAGATTTGTCAATGTGTTCTACAATAGATCGAACACGCTCATCAGATTGAATAATAGCATGAACATTGGCCTAGAGCAAGAGTAAGTGTTGTCATTCAATCATCACCACACTTACAGCTTCTAAAGCATGTAATTCACCTAATAAACGCTTTTCAAGAGCAGCAGCGTTACCACTTGCTTTCCAATTGAAATCAGTTAACAACTCCTCGACATTCATTAAAGAAGCTTGTTCAGCCATCTTTTCTTGAATCTCTTCTGCTTTCTTTTGACGTCTCTTTTCTTCTTGTGCTTGTTTCTCTAATCTTTCTCGCTCTCTTTTCGCTTCTCGAGCTCTGTCACGCTCCTTGCGATCATCACGGTGTGCTGCTTCAACACTGTTACTATATCTCGACGTATCTTCTCGAGGAGCTATAAATAAAAAAAAAACAGTTAGATAAAAGACAGATAATAAACAACTACATGCAATGTTGTTGTTGAGGAGAAGAAGGTTTTGCAGGTGGGGGCTGATGTTTAGGAGTCAAGGGTTGTGGTGTATATTGTTGTGGAGATTGAGGTTGGTGTTGGTAAGCCGAAGTTTGTGATGTTTTGGGTGATAGAGGAGGAGGAGGAGGAGGAGGAGTTTGATTTTCAACTGACCGAGCACTAATTGGAATGTTATTCTGATAATGACTATTGTTGTTATGGCTTGCTGATGGTGAGGGTGGATAAGGGTTTCCATGCGAAACAGGGGATTGAACCATGGGTTCAGTTGCATGACTAGTTTCAATAGGACTAGCTGTAGTTGTTGCACCCATAGAAGGTGCTGAAGGATCAGCCAAAACTATAGTCAAAGATCAATCATGGTGTTACTTTACATTTCATACTTGCATCGAATAATACGAGATTCATCAATATTCACTAGTTGTGGCATACGCGTGGCTGAACGTCTGCAAGACTAGAAAGAAAGAATAGTATGAATAAATCTATATATCATGATGAACATATTTTACTTACGTCGATAAGGAAAGCCAAGAAGATCATTTTATCCTTGCTTCGTTCAACTGCCCATAAATAAGGCTTATTGAGTGTAATAGAGAATTGATGCGCCTACGCGTATTAAAGTCAACCAAAAGTTTGTTTTGTTTATAGACCTTACATCAATAATTTGAATCTGCTTAATGTCATCCAAAGACCATCCTTTGCTCACACTAAAAGTGCCGTTCTGATTTCGTTTGACTTTCAAAAGACGAATGGCGTTCTTTTTTTCTAATAGAAAAATTTATGAGCCAAAGTATGTTTTATCTATTCAACATACGTGTCAGACACAAGTAACGTGGAGTTCCTCTTATGTCTTTACTTGTTTCTGAAGACTGGATATCCTTGTATGTCTTTACATGAACCAAAAGTCTTTCCGGAGAACCTAATAACGAAAGCATGTAAGCAACATAGCTCAAGTCTCGAGTCATAATTTATACCTTGTGGGAATAAGCTTGAGATTAATGCTTGCCTTACGCCATCCGACATTGTTTATATTGAGTGAAAAAAATAAAAAGAAAAGAAATGAGTAAAAGCAGAATGTAATTTAGCTCTGTTGGGACGGCGACTAAATCACTGGATCTTAGCCAGCAAAGATTGTTGCACGCGTAATTTTGTCATGCATGAAATCTGTTTTTTAAAAGCAGTAAAAAGACTCATTGCCATAGTAATTTCGATAATTCAGGTACAGTTGCTATGGACAAACATAAAGCATATATCATTTTCTTTATTATATAAGAACTTAAAGTATTTTATCCAATAATATAGTCATCTGTACTCATTAAAGTCTCTCTAGAGAAAGAAGCATCCGAATTGTTCTCGACATTGACAATATGCTTGATATCAACGCCACTGATTAATTTGTCGCTCACAAAAGATACAGAGACAGGGAAGAATCCATTCGAGTCATCGCCAGGAATATTGCATTCCAACAAACCTGACTTATTTGAGCTACTAATGACAGGAAGTTGCCATTCAAGCACTCTTCTGGAACGATCAACGAAATAAGATCCGTCTGCTTGACTAACATTGGCTGTTGGTTCGGCACTAGAAAAACAATATTAGGCAAACATCGTATCTATATACACTTACGGTAAAGGAATACAAATCACAACATCGCGTAATTCTAAATCATCATTTTCCAATTCGTATTCTACATTTACATCTGAAGTACCGTTTTCAGCTGGAGAAGGCCAGCAAGTGACTATATATAAAGAAACTCAGTAAATCCATGAATGGAACTAGTCATTTACCCGTCAAAGGAACAGCAGTTTCATCTCGAGTAGATAACTTCCACTTGACAACTTCCAAATTTTGATTTGTAGGGAAAGGTCGTGATAAATCTCTCATCTGTACAATGCTTTGGTCTTTCCAAGCGCCTTTATCTACGTTGGGATGGGTCTTGAATTGGATAGATGAGTCGTTGCCAGCTTCAAGGGCAAGGCTGATACGTGCAGCTGAAGGATCAGAGATCTTTAATGTCAATACACCTCTCACTTCCATTTGTTCTAAACCACCATCCTTGTTAGCAGTCAATGAGACGTGTTCTTCAATATCAACATGAACACTATAGATAGAAGCATGAGTGACTCGCTGTCAAAACAAACTTAGCTTACCCCTTTTGATTTACGCTCGAAACAGCCTTTTGACCAATAGAAGGAGATGACAAGAGAGGTTCTTCAACATCAGGCTTGATAGCCTCAAATAAATCAGCAGCCTTGGGTTTACGGCCTAATTGCATACCCTTTGCTTTGGAAGTAGAAGTAGGGGCGCTGGGAGTAGTAGAAGAGCGGCTAGCAAGAAGAATAACAATCAATCACTTGTTACAATCTTCAGTATGTTCTTACCTGTATGATGAAGGAGAATCTCTCATGGAAGGTAATGATTCTGAAGAAGGAGAGTATCCACTTCCACCACCATAACCGCCCATAGTCATGCTGCTTGAGCTGAAGTTGCCTTGCATAAAACCTTGACCACGCTTTTGAGCTTCCTTTCTTTGCATCTCAAATTGTTTGGCTCTTCTCTTAAGTTCTTCCTTGGCCTCTTGTTCCTTGTTCTACACAAAGAAAATCAGTATGCTTTCTTTTTTCTACATCAATGATTTTACCTTGGCAATGATTTCTTGAATTCTTTCTTCATGACTTTCCATTTGAATAGAGCCTCTGACTTGAGACAAATTGACATTTTCTCTGTAGCCAACTGAGATAATTTCATCAAAAGCACACAACAATTCAAAGGCGTTACGAAGAATATGATGTTCGTCACAGGAACGACAAATATCAGTGACGACACGAGCAAACAAATGAAGAGATTCAATATCTTGCAGAATGTTGGACTAATATGTGTGAGTCATATAAATAAACCACCTTGTTAGTTTACCTGACGGTTAGTAATAAGGACCATAAACAAGTCATCCAAAGGTTGATAAACGAAACGGACGTGTTCTGTTTCAACAGTGGTGTGTTGTTGACCCGTGCTTGTCAATTTAGGGAAAGAGGCTAAAAGGCCTTCGATACGAGAACGTTGCATCTCGTGAAACTGACGGGAAATAACAGCTATTGACAAGGACAGATGAGTCAATTAAGGTACATGAATATGTTTATGGTGTACCTTTTCCACTCTTAGTAACCACAGCAGCAGCTAGGACAACCTATCAATTTTTTTTTAGTCGTGTTAGTTCATGGTAAAGTAATGATCGTTTCTTGTGCTTAGTTTGCAACTCATCAACAATACCATCTTATTGTGTTTGCTTTAATATATGTAAAAGAAGAAAAGAAAAAGATTGAGAGAGCGACGCGACAGAAAGTAATACTCGCGCTGGCTTAATTTGATGGGCTGGCTCTGTTGTATTTGCGATTCCGCTTTCGTGCTACATCCTAGGATCAAGTTTTTCAGCTTTTATTGTTTGGTGTACCTGTTCATGTAGTCATCTCAGGAGAGCTATTATAAAAACGTATATCAAATTTTGGTTTTGTGTATGATGAGTTTCAAGTAAAAGTATTCTTCAAAAACTGTAATGTTTAGCAATACCTAATCCCCTCAAAGACTTGTAAGTTATGCTTTCTGAGGAAATCAAGTGTCTTTTATGTAAATCAGTAGCCCAATAGCGCTTTAATAGTTGTTCATGTAGCCGAGACATTAGGTAAACATATGGTTCAATAATGAAAAAGTCAACAATTCATACGATTATTTGTCCTTTTTCTTAGGCATATAAAGGTAGCGTAAACTTTTTTAATACATGCATATATACTTGAAATACTACAAATCATGCTTGCTAACATCTATGGCACCTTTGGAGTTGATTTGGTCTAAAATAAGTGACATGCAAAAAATGGCCATTTTGACTTCCAATTCAAAGGGTACTATTCATTAAAATCCTTATTTTAACAACTTTCGATTTTCTTTGTGACGCTACAAGGCGAAAAATGAAGATATAGACAAGACTAAATACTCAAAATGTGCGCTAGAGGCACCAGTTATTGTTGAACATGTTCAATTGGCAAAAAACCTTGCAAACACTTGCATATTTACTCAGTATTTTAGCAGTCAAGCCTCTGTGTTTTCTACATCATTAGACTCAAAATCAATCTCCGCGAACGGCTATCCAGTATGTCCTATGCTAATCTCCCCACATTTACACTAAAAGACACCTATGTTTCTATCGCTGCATACTCTTTGGCGCGTAAAATAGTATACAAGGACTTTTGGAAGCTCATTTATCATATGTTTTATATACTATCTAGAGCAAAAATTCTCAGATCACAGCTTAAATGCACTATTCTTTGATGCATCATTACTCGACAACCAGAGTATCAAAATAGTTTGTTTTTTTATTTGAAACATGTTCTTTGGAGTCCAGGAATTGAATAGTGCCATTGGTTTGGTTGTTATGTGAAGTTTATTTTTTGACCCATGGTAGATTCACGGAGGTTTGTGAAGATGAAAAAAAAAGTTTTTGGAATGACCCAATGTAGGTCTAATCCGACCGAAATGAGGTGAGTTAGGTCTAGGTGCTTCTGATAAAAAAAAACGAGTTTACTAAGCTAAGAAAGTTGACTTAATTTGAGCATTCCCCTCAGATCTGCATTCAAAGTTGATTGCACACTGTAATCAGTACAAAGGAGGCCCATTTCAGTGGATACTGACTATTAGAGGGGTACTCTTTGTAGTATTTTTTGACGTATAAAATACACACGAACAAACTATATTATAACACATGCTATTTTTGAGGCCAAAGCGAGTAGCTTTGGATATTGCAAATGATGAATACCATACAAAAGGAGGATTGTCTATTTTAAATGCCATTTCCTTTTTATCTGGGGCACCAGATTCACACTCTAATTTGATCAGCATTCTTTTTCTGTTTGCCAATAGCTCAAACTGTATTGGTGGATCCAGGTACAGCTGTATGTGTCTGATACTGCTACTTTGTAAGCCTTGGCGGCAAACAAAATCCATGATTATGCAGCTATATGAAAAAAAGATTGCTACATAAAATAGTGCTATTATTACTGTGTCAACTCAATACACTAGGAGAACATAGATTATATGTTTCTGTATTTGATCATGTAGTCTCTATACCTCTAAAGCCCTCAATAAGCCCTTAAAACAGGGGCTTAGAAAGTTGGCTGAGTATAACTGAGTCTGAATAATGGTCAGGAAACTTATCAGGTTCCCACCCTTTTTTTCTTTGCTTTCTTTTTGCAGCGTGTTTGTTTCCTGTCCTTTCAGGATAATGTACCAAACGTACTTGAGGGGGGGGATCTACCACCTGGGTACAAGTGCATTCTCTGTCAAGATAGTCTGCCTTTTTTTCACTAAACGGGTCTTTGCCGAATTTGATAGAGAGTAAAACAGACGCGTGTAGAGGGTTAGCTTATGGTCCTGTCCGAGGGGTATTCCATCTTAGTTATGCGCACTGGCAGTCCAAGTCCAAATATTCCCAACGCTGGAAGGCTACTATCTTTTCTTGGCACCTTCTTCTCACTTGTGGGGAGGGAGGGGAACCTATCGGAAATAAGTTTAACCCTATTCGTGGTATCTTGGTAGTCTCATTTCTTTGTGTGTGTGGCTATTAGGGTATTGCAGCAGTCTTGGTCGTTTGCTACTGTGATAGTGCTAGAAAGCGGTAGTGAAGGTTACTGGGATTGATAGTCATTCGCCTTTTCTTTTGTGAATGCCCTTTAGAGGGGCTTATTTTAGTCTGATGGCTAGAGTAGTCTTTCTAAAGTTAAGCTTCACTTTTGAAGGGGTATCTGTCTATTCGTGGCAAGCTCTATTCATTTAGGGTCGACTATCGGACAGAGTAATGGCTTTTTATATATAGTGTTCGTCCATTCATTCGTTTGAGTGGATCATCTATTGAAAATGATAGGCATTCCATTTTTTTTTGATAGTGTGAATACTATATAGTGGGGCTTTGTGCGTACGCGCACCATCTTTTTGGGAACTCAATTGAACTGGTTTAGGTCCTCGTCCTAGTTCCTGGAAACAAATACTCACAGTATTTGGCTAAAGTACCAGTTTCTTTTTTATCTTTTTATTCAATAAAGTATATACACTAGTATTTAAAATAATTGATAACGCGTCTTTTCTTTTTCTTTTTTCTCTGTCCTTCACTTCTTGCATGTTGCAAAAAAAAACAGGCTTATTGACTGTCATTAAATCAGCAGCCCTAAATTTTGTAGCCAATCATTGCTGCAATATTACTTATTGATCATAAGCAAGTATTTGCCACAAAAAGAAATAATGATCCTCATTTTTTTTTGGCTTAGGGTCTGTGTACTAACAGTTCTATTAAAGGGTTGTATGTAAAAGCAAGATCAAAAGAGAGAAACTGTTAAATCTCGGCTCTAGAATGACAGGCATCTGTAACAGATGTCCTCTAAGCAATCTGGGTGGGCCTTTTTTATGCATGGAATCCCCTATCAATCTGAGCTTTTGTTTTTGTATAATTCAAGTTTTTCTATACATCAACCAAAGAAATAATCCAAAAGATATGTCTCAACATGATGAAATGCTTAGAATCAGGTGTATAAGTGCAAGTGAATGATATGGGCTTCTCTCAAGACAACTTGCCATTGATTTCATTAAATCATGCAAATGATATTGTACCTTTTAAGCTGGGTGTATCTTTCACTATAGAGAAAGTGAGTAATTGAGTTGGAGTTGTGAGTAGATAGTAATATATAATAATTTGTAACATGTTTAATGCATACGCTAAAGACCAATTTTCATATGGCATCCATTATAAAGTTGGAGTGCATTTCCTTAGCACTTTAACACTTTATGTACCCGCACAAAGCAAAGAATAATTCTTTTATTTTGATTCTTTTCAAGTCAAATTAATGTAACCATTGATCTCTTCTTTAAGAAAAAAGAGGAAGGGTGATGTGCGCTCTAAACTGATGCAATGCGTAGTTGCTTATCAAAGATCTACAGAAATTGGATTTCTAAGAAGTTTGCTAAAAAAAACTGTATGACGCCGAACTACAGGAGTTGATATATAAAGGCACTCTTTTTATCGCTTGTTTTCTATAGATCAAGCAATTCTCTGCCCTTTTCATTTTTCAAAATGTCATCTTACCCTCCAATGATGCTTTCTGACTCACAAAGAGTTATGCTAGATGTGATTTCTAACACTTTTATTGGTCCAATGACTGTTGAAGAAGAACAAACGCTTGCAAACAAGATTAGATCCAAGAGCAATATATATCATGTCTCTGAAGCCCACGTATCCTCCTTATCAAAGATTTCTGCCGCATCGCTTGATATTACTTCCATTATTGTTCAAGCTCTTGGAAGTACGCTTCATTCAGACAAAAGACTCGATTTGACAGCCATTCTTGACACACTGAGTACTCGAAACGGCTCGCATCTTCTTACAGGTCATCCTCAACTCTTGACATAACTTAACAGACACAAAGAGAACAAGTATTAATCGGCTCGAGAACCTCACCTTCTGAATCTTTAGGGGCTTTGTATAAGACATTCGCGTCCTTGTGTCTATTTACTGCGTATAGTAGCGACGCTTTTCCTTTACAAAAGAACATTGGCTATGAAGAGTGAAAGCAAGTTTTTTGAAGAACATCCTAGTTACGCACTTGTTGAACATGAAAGATTGTCTATGATGACAACTGAAGAAGCCACGACTGGTAAATTGTCATTTGACGTTGTGATTGTTGGAAGTGGTGCTGGAGGAGGAGTTGCTGCTGCTGAATTAGCCACTGCTGAATTAGCCACTGCTGAATTAGCCACTGCTGGATATTCAGTATCGGTGATCGAGAAAGGAACATATCATCATCAAAGTGAGCTAGCCCAAGGTGAATTTAGGGGATTCCAAAATATGTATGATACAGGAGCCATTTATTCCTCTGTTAAGAACAATATTGATTCATTCTCAGGTGGCACTTTTGGTGATAGAACTGCAATCAATTACTCTGTTAGTTTGAAGGTAAGACATATGTACGATCGACACATGTCTGATTCTTCTTTATCCTCAACACTATATTCGTGAAGATTGGGCAAGACAAGGGCTGTCCCATTTTATGTCTCCTCAAGTAAGTAACAAGACAATTTGCCCTGATATTGATTAATCCCCGATAATTTAGTTTAGTCAGGACCTGGATCGAGTGTTTAAGAGAACTGGAGCTAGTCAACATTACGTTGATAATAAAGCCAGTCGAAAATTGAAGGAAGGTTGCGAGTAAGTATCAAAAAGTATCATTTGTTTTGTGTTAACATCTTCCCCTTTTTTCTTTTAGTGCCTTAGGATACTAATTTGATAAGCTTCATTTGAACACAGAAGGCAAAGCACATTATTGCATTCGATGTTCTTTTGGCTTCAAATCAAGTGTCAAAAACAGTATTCTCAATATTTGGCTCAAAGATGCTCATCATCATGGTGCTCGTTTCTTGTACAGAATAATAGTTACCATTTTCATGATTGAAAACAAGAAAGCCATTGGTGTAGAGTGTCAGGCCCATGGCTCTCAAGAAAAGACATTCATTTCTGCCAAGCATGTGGTTGCTGCTTGTCGTGCAATGCGTACTCCCACCTTGCTCAAGTCGAGTGGACTCTTGAACTCAGATATTGGCAGACACCTTCGCTTACAAGTAGCTACTCACTGCCTTGCTTATTTTGATGAAACAATTAAGCAATAATCAGAGGGAAATTTGGGTAGCTGTATTTCTCATTTACCTGAAAACTGGAAAGGCGATTACTATGGTGCCAAAATTGAAGACTGTACCATGCTTCCAGGAGCCCTTTCACTTCGAGTGCCATGGTATGGGTCTGCTCAACACAAGGAACTGATGCTGAAACATAAATCGTCCATGCTTACCATTATCATAATTAGAGATAAAGATTCTGTTGGTAAAATCATTCATGATTCCAAGAGTGACATACCTCTGTTTGACTATAAGCTTGGAAAGCATGACGCAAAGTCCCTTTTGGTGGGTATTGAGGCTAACATGAAGATGTTTGTTGCTGCTGGTGCACATGAGCTCTATAGCCTTCAACCAGATGTAGAGCCTTTTATCTTTGAAGAAGACGAGTCAAGCTCAGTCACTAACCCACGGTTTATCGAGTGGCTCAAGTCAATCCATAAGGCTGGTATTAAGCCTATTTCAGTACCCATTGCTGCAGGCCATCATATGAGCTCTTGGTAGGTCAATTGTTCTCTTTGGTAATTGAATTCTCATCCATTTCGTTCTACATTAGCCGAATGGGGGTCAACCCCAAGACATCTGCAACAAAGTCTACAGGCGAAACCTGGGAAGTAAAGCATTTATATGTCGCTGATAGTTCTTTGCTCCCAACCGCTCTTTGTGTTAACCCTATGGTTGCTATTGAAGCCACCTCATTGCATGTTTCCCGCCAAATCAAACACTCCCTTCAAAATACCAGCCGTTTGTAGTCTTTATTCATGATAAACGATTACATATTTGATTTGACATTTGATAATCTTGCATAATTCAAAGTTATCTTTGCCATATATCACGCATTACTTTTTGTAGACCTCAGACTATTCTTATTAGCCTTGCTTTTCTTTCTTTGTTAGTATATAATGACGAGTAATGACTAAACGGTTCTTATTATGCATTTATTTTTAAAACAAAGAAAGCCTTTTTTTAGTACAACTTACGTAAAAATCAAAACCCGAAAATATCATGTAATTGAAGTATCGTGTAACAAAAAATAACAGATTAAATCCATCGTACTATTAGTTGATATATCATCAACGTAACTTTAATATGGACGTAAACCCCACATCATAACTGTTGGTATAAAAAGTCTATTTTTTTCTCTCTTTCTTTCTTTTTTCTCTTTACTTTATCCTTATATCAAAATGTCACCTATCATTAATTCTGAAGCCACATCCAATATTCAATGGATTGCGAATATGAATGTTGATGTCGAACCCACAGCTGGACGTAAGACTAGTATCATTGGCACTATTGGTAAGGCAGTTGTTTAAATCAGTTTATTTTGACTGATTCTTTTTCAAGGTCCTAAGACAAACAGTGTTGAAATGATCACTCGACTTAGAAATGCAGGATTGAATGTTGTTCGTATGAATTTTTCTCATGGCACACATGAAGTAAAGTATCTGAGACCTATATAGCTACTTAACACTTTTTATACAGTACCATAAATCTGTTATTGATAATACGCGTAAAAGTGCTGAACGTAAGTGGTATTGCTCATATATTCTTCTAACTTGTTTTTAGTTTATCCTGGCCGCCCTGTGGCTATTGCTCTTGATAATAAAGGACCTGAAATCCGTACGGGTAACATGAAGGATAATGCTGAAGTAAGATTTATTTCAAGAAAAACAAAAAGCTCACACAACTTAGGTATCCATCCATACTGGTCACAAAATGACGTTTTCTGTGGATGAACAATATGCAGAATGCTCGGATGAAAAGATCCTCTATATTGACTACAAGAACCTGCCTAAAGTGATTAAAGTAGGCAAGACCATCTATATTGATGACGGTGTTCTCTCTTTTGAAGTACTCGAGGTCAATGAAGACTCACTTGAAGTTGTTGCCAAAAATAACGGCAAACTGTCTTCTCATAAAGGTGTCAACTTACCTAATACCGATGTTGATTTACCTGCTTTGTCTGACAAAGATAAAGCTGATTTAAGATTCGGCGTTGAGCAAAAAGTAGATGTTATCTTTGCCTCCTTTGTGCGTCGCGGTCAAGACGTAAAGGATATCCGCCGAGTTTTGGGGAAGATGGTAAACATATTAAGGTTATCTCAAAGATAGAAAACCATCAAGGTGTAGAGAACTTTGATGATATTCTTAAAGAGACAGATGGTGTGATGGTTGCTCGTGGCGTAAGTACATATGGAAAGACAAGGCAATATTCATTTCAGTCTTAGGATATGGGTATTGAAATCCCTCTTGAACGCGTGTTTATTGCTCAAAAGATGATGATAACTAAGTGCAACTTGGCTGGTAAGCCTGTAATTTGGTAAGTAAACAAACAAACAAACAGTTTTTCCCCCAAAAATTCCGTTTTGACCAATGACATGTACAGTGCAACACAAATGCTCGAGTCTATGACAGTAAGTGCTTCTTTTTTTTTTGGAATATGAAACCTTACTTTATGTAGTACCACCCCAGACCCACTCGTGCCGAAGTATCCGATGTGGCCAATGCTGTACTGGATGGTGCCGACTGTGTTATGCTTTCTGGTGAAACAGCTAAAGGAAACTACCCTGTTGACGCTGTCAAAACCATGCATGAAATCTGTAGACTTGCTGAGGCATCCATGTGTTACCCTGCCATCTTTAACGAGCTTCGTTCATTGACTACTTTGCCTACAGAAACAACAGAAACAGTCGCATGTGCTGCTGTTGCTGCTGCTCATGAGCAAGATGCAGGTTGCATTATTGTCTTGACTACCTCTGGTAGCTCTGCCCAATTGATTTCGAAATATAGACCTCAAGCACCCATTGTTGTTGTCACACGTAATCCACAAACTGCTCGACAAGTTCATTTTTACAGAGGTTGTTTCCCCTTCCATTACCCTAAGGCTTCTTCTGCTGCTGCTACTCGTTTATCTGCATCGGCTCATGCTTCTCACTTGAGTCCTGCTGAAAATGCACCTTGGCAAGAAGATGTTGATACTAGAATCAGATGGGGTAAGTTTTATGTTTAATACTTCGATGTCCTAGTCATTGACACATTTCTTTTTAGGATTGGAACAAGCAATGAAATATGGGTACGTATTTTATTTTATTTTATTTTATTTTATTTGACAGAGTCTAACTGCCATGCGAATAGTTTGCTTAAAAGTGGTCAACCTGTTGTTGCTGTTCAAGGTTGGAAAGGAGGATTGGGTAATACCAACACACTTCGTGTTATTTATTCTCCTGCTCAATAAACGACTATGACATTGTTTTTAAGAAAAGTTCTTTCAATTTACATTTTGTTTGGAAAAAAAAAGCATCTTGCTCTATTTATCTTGAGTTATTGACATAAACATGTTCAAGTGAGATCTGTATATAGAATTCACTTGTATAGCAGCTTTATTCACTCATGTTTGGTTTTTTATTGCTGCTTTTCGTTTTCAATATAAGATGATCAGAGTACAATTCAATTACCAAACTATGGTCATGCTGTCTTCAGAAAGAGTAAATAGTTGTAAGCATTATATATAAAATACAACAGAGAAAGAATAGTTTATCGATTAAAGATGTCTTTACCGATTGGCCACTTTACAACACAAAAACTTGTGGTTTATTAAATGCATGTGAAAGAAGACTCTAAAATAGCCAGCGAAATTTCTTTGCATTCTGCGAGTTTTTTTTTTCTGAGAAAAAGGTGTGCCTGGTACTTAAATAATAGCCTTGAGAAATTTCGGTCCTTTCTCTACTCATTTCAGTAACATGTATGAAAAACTTACATTGATTGCTTCCTTCTCTTATTTTTATATGATCTATATTAATAATGTACTGCTCAAGTATATTTTAAAACCTGCTACAACATGTCTTATTATTGGCGTCTCTGTTGAATCAGACAAGAAGAACACATTCAAACAGATAGGTAAAGATCTTCGTTTGATACATATATATATACTCGATGAAAATACTAGGTCTATTCTTTTCTCTTCTAGGCGATATATGCCTAATGTTTGAAGGAGAAGATATGTTCTTGCTTGGTCTGGCTTCTTTTCTTTGTGCCCATTTATCTTATATCTATTTCTTTTACCATACACGAAGAACTCAAAGTCATTATGGTCTTAAGATAGCTTTATTGTTCATTGGTTCGCTCTATTATTCCGCTCTTTACACAAGAATTTTTGAGCAAGGAGGATACCCTATGCTTTTCGCTGTCTTCATCTATATTATTACCATTGTTTTTATGGTTTATTTTGCTTTCTTGAGCAACGATGCACAATTAACATTAGGTGCAACCTTGTTTTTTATTTCTGATGCTACTTTGGGCTATGACAAGTTTATTGAAAAATCAACAAGAAACATATTTGAATACATAGTGATGATCACGTATTATTCTGCTCAATTTCTTATTGCAAAATCCTGAATAAATACATGCATTTTTTTTCTCTAGTTGACAAGTGCTTGGTCCTTGTTTGATTTATCGAGTAAGGCAGCCACTGTTTGAACCAAAAAGTCAAGAATGTTTTGAACGCCAGGATCTTTCTTGATTTCCTCTACAATCTTGTTAAATTTTTCTTCTTCGGAGCCTGCAGTGTTAGGACTGAGTGCTTCATTTGAATCCAAAGCAATGCTATCAGCAGCATAGTTTGTCAAAGTAATAGAGTCACCTTGAACTGCTTGACTAGGAGCAGCATTGGCAAAGGTAGCGAGACAAACAATGGAAGCAATAGTAACAAACTTGATTTGCATTTTGATAAAGATCTATCTTTGTTGGCGGGGATTTCATACGACTATTTATACGCTTTCAAAGAGTGAAGAGCGGCGTAGTGCACATAAAGTAAATGTGTCCCACTTCTCCTTTATTTTCTCCCTAATTGACATGCAAACGTTAAACATACAGTAGGATTCTTTGCGCATCTTTATCTATAACTAATCAAGTATGAATCTATCAATTCAAATCTGCTACAAGAAAGCCTTATGTTGAAGAAGAAGAAGACTTGTATTAAACCAACCTACATGGGTAGTAATGACGATCCTTGTTGAGCAATTTCCTTTTAGGCTTATGATTAAGCATAACAAATATGCAGTAAAAGTAGAATATATTTCCCCTCCCCCTCCCCTCATATTTAGTTTGGATCTGCTTTTGTCACGCATCATGAGCTGGGTTCCAGAAAAAAAAGAGAGAGAAATATTTATTTGATCATATGTACAAGATATCTTATCAACAGAAAAGAGGGTATATTAAATCTAATTCATTTGGAACCAAGGATGTGCCAATACTTGCTCTACAGTCAATCGACTCTCAACATCTCGATCCAACATTTTACGTATAAGGTCCACAGATTCTATTAAAATATGAGTTGCATATCGTATTTTTGAATATGTACCTTCTGATAAAATAAAGGGTATTCTTAATTCGCGTTGCATGATTTCATCAATGTTATAGAATGGGTTTTCTCGGTAAATAAGTGTATACAGCAATGTGCCACAAGCCCAAATATCTTGTGGTGGCCCAGTATAGGTCTTTCCATTCAAGATCTCTGGTGCTGCATAGTCCAATGTACCTACAAAGGTCTCATATTGTTTGCCTTCTTTTACATAAGCTGCACTACCAAAGTCGATCAAACGAACACCGCCCTTCAAGTCCAAAATCACATTTTCATCTTTGATATCTCTATGTACAATCCGATGACTGTGTAAATGACTGACGGCAGCAATGACTTGTCGAAAAATAGTGCGTATTTCGGATTCTGTCATTCCGCCTTCCTTGTATTCAATATAATCAAACAAGTCCATGCCTGCACCATAAAGGTCCATGACCACATAATAATTATCATCGTCTTCAAAATAGTCCACTAAAGATTGGTGTTAGTCATCACTTCAAATCAAACAATCAACTTACGCATTTCACTGCAATTGATATGTGGAATTTTACGAAGTGTATGTAACACATGAATTTCAGCTGGAATAAGTCCAAGTTTACGATCGCGAGTCCAACAATCGACAAGAATACGAGACTTAATCACGTATTTGATGACCACCCGTTTCTAAATCCATGAATCAGTGTATGCTTATCAAACAAGCCAATTTACCTTTTCAGGATCTGATTTCAAATAAGCCAGTTTAACAAAACCATAAGCACCTTGACCGAGTTCATCCAAAATTTCATAATCATGAATCGAGATTTTTTGTGTTTGAGCAGAATATTCACCTAACTGAGGCCACAGAGATGTCTTTGAAATAAGTCCATGTGTGGAATGCCTTGAGAAAGAAGGACGAGAGAAACGACTAATCTTGTTGGCTGGTGTCTGTGGTTCTTGTTGTTGTTGCTGTTGTTGTTGTTGTTGTAAGAGTGTAGGTGTATGTAAAGTAGGCACAATCATACGAGTTGCTTTCTTTTGAGCAGCTTGAAATGTAGGTAAATTAATAGATTTGGATCGAATCACATTTGGCATGGTGGCTTCATATTCAGAACCTTCTTGTTTTTTACTACTTCCTTGATATAAGACATGTCCATGTCGTTGAAGGACTGTGTCTCGGTCAAACGTTATCCAGACGGCACATAATTTGTGGTTATCAGACGATAATTCAATTTGGATTTCAATCTCAAACAGAGTCCCATCTCGATGCAAAGCTGTGATTGTGTCTTGTTTAGTGGCATTTTTTAAGACATCTCTACAGACAGAATGGTTCAAGACAAAATCATGTTGTAATAGCTGGTCTCTTTCAAGACATGCCATGAGTGTTGGAAACGAAGGCAACAATTTGGATAAGAACATATGTGATAGTTGTTCATAGCCAAACAAGTGTTTACTAAACGTAGTAGAATCGCAAGATTGAATCATGCCACTGTAGCGATCGACAATCACAAGACTGGAAAGAGTTGGCATGGATGTAACACGAATCATGTTGGGTTGAATATGGTTTAGCATAGCAGGAAATTTTGCGTTTAGCTTTGTGCGACAACCAAAGAATTTGTGTGCTGCATCAAAATAAGGTATGAATTGCTGAATAGGTTGATGAATCAGCTCTGCAAAAGAATAGCCGAGTAATTCTTGAATGACATGTTCACTGCTATCAAATGATTGGATAATATTCTTTTGAATGTTAGTCTGTATGACGACAACACACTTACTTGATTATCCAAGCGAATCTTAATGGAACTTTGAAATACTTCTTCAAAAATCCAAATAAAAATAGAGGATCCATTTTCACTTTTCTTTTCTTTAAGCCAAAGAGAAGCCAAGGACCGAGTTCCATCTTGCTTTAGGATAGGTATCTTATAGACATACACATACACATAAATTAGAAAATATAAAAAAGCCCATTATTCATACTTACAGCATCCCCACATATCAATACATTGCCATTTGTACTGGTCTGACGAGGTAAATCTTCTCTTCTCTTTACAATTTTGTTTAAAAGAATAGGGCGATGATTGATATCGATATAATCTAAGATAAGCTTGCCAATAAAAGAATGAGTGTCTTCTTTTTTAGTCACGCCAGAAAACATAAGATTAGCGATATGGTTTGATAAACTGATACGCCAATTATCTTGCGTTGTAATGATAGCTTGGTTCTGAGGCAAGTATCTGGAAATAGTGTATATGGGTGGTGCATTGATAGACACAAGTGATGTCCGATGTCGAGTATTACTGCTAATGTCAAACAAGTCAAATTTCTGAGTAGTTTGTGTAATATGATCATCTTCTTGCTTATCAATCTTGTAGTCATAATCAATCGTTTGTTTACAAGGACTAGAACAAGGTGATTCTTGTGGCTGTGGAGTAGATGGTTCTGAAGAAGAAGATGTAGATGATCTTAATAAAATAGGCATATCATCTTGAATACTGGTCCTAGATTATTATTATTATTATTATTATTATTAGAGGTGAATAAAGACAAGCTTGGTATAGTTTACCGAGAATAATGGTCTATCATTTGAATTAGATTCATTCAACAAGAAATAACAACTTGCCTGTTTCAATATAATTCATAAAGTTGTTCTTTGTAGAAAAAAAGAGAGAGGGAAAAACGAAAGAGAGAAAGAAAAAAAAAGTTTTATAATCAAGTTTTGGAGGAGATTGAAATCACTATTTTAGTGTAAGATGCTACAAAGAGACACTTGTTTTATTGTTGATAAATAGCTTTATAGTGTCAAACACTGTCTATTTTAATTATGGAATTTATCTTAAACACATATATTCAGGGGAGAGTAGCTGCATTGCTCCCTCTGTCTTATTCAGGGCTTAAAATAGATGAAATAATTGTGATTCATAAGATAAAAGAGAATGAATTTAAGGCTTGCTTGTCTTTGCCCTATCTTGTGTGACTGAAACTGGTTTAAAGAACGCGAATTTGATTTTCACTCTTTTTTTTTTGAAGAAAAACATCCTTTATGGTCAAGTTCAACTATACTGAGGCAGTTGAAGAACTTCAACATTTTCGCTTAACAAAAGAACGCTCTTCCGAAAGAGTAGCCAGTCTTGGTGCTAGACTTATCAAAGACGGCTATACTTCAAAACTAGGTGATCAAGGTAAAACAAGGTTATAGTTTCATCTTGTCTCTTATTCTCTGTCTATAGTATGGCCCTTTTATGAACAAATAGCTATAGCTGCTCTTGACGTTCAAGACTTTGATCTTGCGAATGTAAATAGATATATATATATATAAATACATATGTAGTTTCTAATATTATTTGTAGCTCTGTATTGATAAACTTAAAGAACGGTTTACAGAAAAGTCACTTCGATTCCGTCGCTTATTAGGTATGCGATATGAAGCACAAGGAAAACTAGACGAAGCACAAGAAGTATACGATACCATTCTTCAACAAGACGATACCAACATGTTAGCATCTAAACGCCAAATTGCTCTTTTAAAAGCAAGAAATAAGGAAAACGAAATGATTGAAGCATTGACAAAGTATTTAGATACTTATTATGATGATCACGAAGGATGGCTTGAGTTATGCGATACTTATTTATCAAAGCATATGTATGATCAAGCCAGTTATTGTTGTGAGGAATTGATTCTGTTGCAGCCTTCCAACCATATCTTTTATCTAAAATATGCTGAAGTACTCTATACTTTGAATCAATTGCCTTTGGCTCTAAAGCATTACTGCAAAGTGTTGGAATTATGTCCAGATCACGTCAGAGCACTTTATGGCCTACAGTTGGTAAGATCAAGAAACTAGTGTTGTCTTATGCTAATGAAACATAGTGCGCAAGCAAATTAACAGATCAAGTTGACCATGCTAAAGCGTTGCATGAATTAGCAACAGAACGCTTATTAGAGACTTACAAAAACCAACCAAGCAAAAAGCTGGTTCAAAACTATCTTTTGTTATAATAATAAACAAACTCTTTGAAGCATTATGATGTGGTCATCTTTTGCATCATGCTCTTTCCTGGCACAAGTAACAATATAATTGTTTTATTTACTCATTCAAACGTAAATAATGTCATTTGAGCTCCTTGTTGAGGATATGCCAATGTCATCATGGTCCATGCTTCTGTCTTTCCTGATTGACATATCACAGCATCTACCTTTCTCTCTGCAAATTCAGTTACAATTTTCTTTGCCCATGCTACTTTGCCTTGCATGCCGCCTGTTACATCGGCTACAGTGACGTCTGTAATAACATGATGATCTTGATGCTTCACAATGACATGAGGTAATAGTTCATTCTTGCCTTGTTCAGGACGAATCAACTTGGGATCATGTTGATAAATACCTGCCACATCTGTCACAAACACACAACGAGATACATCAGAGACTAGTTTTGTGAGTTGATACATGATGACATCGCCTGAAAGAATGGTACATCCACGCACCATGTCTAGTACAGCATCCCCATGGAGCATGGGTACAAACCCTAATCGAAGGTATTCCTTGACTCGATCTGCCATTGATCTAAACTTGTCTGCTGGTGTATGTTCGCAGTCATCAGTGACGATGTAGTCTATAGGTGACATGGACAATACAGGTACATGACGTGCTTCCAGTTCTGAGGTCATGGCACTGTTGAGTTGTTGTAAACACGCACGGATGTGAGCATACCCTTTAATAAAGTCAGGACTTGGGCCAGTATTTGACCAACCTGTCTTTAGTTGATATTGTGTGGCTTGTGGGTGTCCAAAACTTCCTGCACCATGAACAAGCACAAGTTGATGGCCCTTTGTTTTTAGGGTTTGATAAGCAGTGGCTATCTGACCCAATAAGATGGCTAAATCTTGTTTTGGTGCGAATTCACACACGCCTTTCTTGTTTGTAATAGCTGCTCCTCCAAGCTTAACTATCACAATCATATCTATATATCTATAAAAGAGAAGAGGGAAATTGTCCCTGAATTCTAATAAAATACAAACATTTTCAGGGCAAGAACAAATGAAAGAAAAGCCAAAACAAGGCTCATGACGTCGATAAATGCATTTTCAATAAATAAATATGCGTGCAAGTCTTTCTTCTTTCTTTCTTTCCTTCTTTTGTTTAGATATGCTTTCCAATCGAGATATTTTTGAATTAGACAATGAAGAAAGTCAACCATTTCAACCCACGCTGGACACATCACATCAATTTCTTCATTTTTCTCGAAAGATAACAGAAGCTGCTTCAATGAAAAGACCTGTAGATATTCAACTAGGGATTACGTGTGGAAGAGACTTGTTGTTTACAAGATCCATGGCTATCAAACACCCTCCTCTCTCTAGTCCCTCTAGTCTTTCTTCACTTTCGTTTGACTCTATGGAATATAAGTCACTCTTGTTAGATCGATTAGTGTCTGATGTACTTCAACATATTGACTCTTGTCCAGCTTATTCAGACGACTTGAGTAAATTAAAGCCTAGATTAGAAGCCTATCGTATTAAAAAGAACTGTGTAAAAACATAAATAAAGATATATTTTTTTAATCAATGCATTCACCATGTACATTTAGAATGTTATGTTCTTTTTTTAGATGTCAAATGGCGTAATCTAGAATTCCTTGTTTAAATGATGGATTCATAGTAATGTTTGATCTTGTTCACGGAAGTCTATGTTCGTCATTGATCATGGGTTGCCAAAATAAGCTATTCAAAGTCGAGAAAAAGTATAAACAAACAATAAAAAAGGTCTTTCTCTTTTTTTTTTTCTTTGTTATTCTCAACTTATGTCAATACCACCTAATCCTGCTTATACTACAACACCTATGTATGCTTCACCAGCAATGGTGCCTATGACTTCAACGCCTTATGGACCATCTCCTTATACGCCAGTGATGGCTACACAAGCGGGCGGTAAGATGATTCTTTGGTGATGAAATGCATATTTACATATCTCTAGGTTACTATCCACCGATGCAAATGGGTCAACCGGTCGTTGTGCAGCAACCCTATGGTGTCTATCGAAGAGATGGTTGCTGTGATTGTAGTTGTTGCGCAGGCATGTAAGTATAAACAAAAAAAAATAGGCTATAAAACTCATCCTCATATCAGTTTAACTGCATTTTGTGTATGGTGTTGTTGTTGTTGTAATGATGCAGATGAATGCTGTTGTTAAATAGTAACTATTTATTATACAAATTGTCCCTTTTTGAATGACATTTTCAATCTATCCCACAAACCAGCTGGAGAAACAGCAGGACGTACATCCAAATAAAAACTGAGTGACATGGGCTTATTTGGATCTTGTTTTCCACTATAAAAATCAATCACATAAGTGATTTTCTGTCCACATCGATCCACAACCCAATCATGACGATCAAAAGGCAGTGTATAACTTTTATAACTGTCAGCGTTTCAAGTTGAAATGACACACATATAACTTACCCAAACCAAGATCGAATTCTAGCTTTGGGTGTAATATCTTTGGGTCGACCTTCAAACTTTTCCAACATGGGTTGATTGCATTCACTAGTTATTTTAATATCAGGAATTCGTTCTGTCTACTTACGTTTGATGCATTTTTTCCCATTCAAGAATCTTTTGCCATGCCATCTCATTCACTGCATTATGAATAGGCACTACAACAGCCATGTCTTTTTCATCAGGAGACCAATTCTTTCTCTTCATGGCATTAAAGAACATTTGCTCAGAAGGATAGATCCATAACTTATCTTCTGAGTTAGCTCGAGGAATGGTTGATATTTCTCGTTCTAAACCCAATGGCATTTTTTGATCAGGTTGAGGTGATTGTTGTGACACTTTGGGCATATTGTTACTACTGTCAATAGCACCAGAATCACAGCCTTCTTTGGCTGGCATAAAGTGTTTGTAAGCAGAAGGGTCAACAGGACAAGACTGAGGTTCTTGAGTAGGAGGGATAAAATGTTTATAAGAAGAATGGTCTACTGGACACTTGGATTCTTCTTTAGGTTGATGGTCTACTGGACATTTTGGTTCTTCTTTTTTAAACTGTGAGTGGTCTACTGGACACTTGTCTGCGGACTGCATTATTAATGTAAGTGAAAGAAAGAAAGCTAGGGGGGAGGGAGGGGGAGAGAGGCTTTTTTTTTTATGCGGAGGATCAATTTTTTTTTTATTCATCTTCCACTGAATTTAAAGCAGCCCAAACATGAGGAGGCATAGTAGAATCAAATTCATCATCACTATGATGCTCCTCTTCATCTTTCTTTTTTCTATTCACTCCTCTTGTATCTAATGATTTACCCACAAGACTTTCTAGTTGTGGTCGAAGCAGGGAAGCGGAAGCAACACTCTTTCTTCTTCGAGGAGCCGGGAATTGTGCAGACAACAGTCTTTCCGAAGCATCAAAATTGGCAAAACTAGAGACAAGGATATCTTTCTTTTTATAAGAATCTTCTTTTTCTTGTTCTGGTTCATCTATTGCATAATGAATAGTGATAGGTACAGAAGTAGCAAACATGGAGACAGCTATTACTCTGTGAATATACTTTGATTTCATTTTGTTTCTCTTACTTGTATCTTCTTGGTTGTCTTGATGGTTTGATCTGAAGTCACTTTTAATATCAAAATCTTGAGCAAGATATTTGCCTGTGTTTCTCTTTTTTTTATCCAACTAAACTTTTGGTCTATTTCTGAGATAGATTTCTTCAAAGAAGCAGATAGTAATGGGTTCTCTTTTTTATCTAAAGAGTCTTCCTTTTCTTCTTCATCTTTTTCTTTTTCCTCTTCCTCTGCTTCTACTTCCTCCTCTGCTTCGGATAATTCTTCGTCTAAATTAAACATATCTTCTTCTTCTTCTTCATTATCATGTATCTCCATAGGATGCTTTTCCAAACGAGAAGTGAAGTCTTGATTGTCAAGATTCATATGGCGAAGACGATTGATGGAATGCTCATCCAAAGCAAAACTCAATCGTTTAGCAGAAGGCTCATTCTCTTTCTTTTCAGCAAAATGAACATGATGCTCTTCTCTGTTTGGCTCTTGTTTTTGAGATACATGGGCAATACTTGACCAAAGCTTGTTATTTTCCATCTTGACTTGTGCAATCGATTGCTGTAATTTCTTTTCTTGTTCTATCTTGAACTGTTCAATCCGTGCTTGTGTCTCTAACCGCAATTGTTCTATTGACTTGTCCAGTAATGCATGCATTTTTTTATGCGTGTCCAAGAGTTCATCAGGAACATCTGTCGAGAGTGAATACCGATTAAGGATGATAGTATAGTGTACAAACCTTGTTCTGATGCAGGCATCGAAATCAAGTTAGGTGTGTCTTGTAACTTGATATGGAATGCCTTGCTATAGTCTGTATCTTGTTTGACATCTTCATATGCTTGACCACACTATACATATGATCGAGTTAGAATAGCTTGTTTTTGATGGTATCACTTGCCATGGCTACTTGATGGATAATGACATGGTTTCCTTGGAGACTATAGACATCCATATGACAGTTGAGGCATGCTGTGATATAATAGTCGCTTTTTTTGGTTGTTTGCGTCAGTGCGCTATATTCCTTTATCATCATGAGTATATATATACTGTAGATTAGCACTAGACTTACCGTGATCACACCTCCCATGCCCAGTTCGAATTCCCAGCCAGGAAAAGGATCTGTTACTTTGTGTTTTTGCTTCACTTCATCAAGTGAATCGAGAGTAAGTTTTGAAGAAACATGAATTCTTATATTGAGACAATGGCAAGCATATACGACGTGGCTTGACATCTTGTAAAGAAAAATAGAAAAAGAAAAGATAAATGATCATTCTTGTTCATTCACTTTCTGACTTTCAATATTGAAGAGGAGATTAGAATAGAGAGGGCATAAAACATGACAGATCATGTTTAAGGCTTGTGCATTAGACAAAGTCAATACTACATTTTTTTGAAAAGAGAAAGGGAGTTTAGTGCACGTATGTGTGTGTTTATTAGAGTTTGACATTACTTTATAATAGAATGCTACCTATTTTCTATAGAAGCGAATCCATGTTTCTGAGTCTTATTATTATTATTATTATTATTATTATTATTATTGACAGTATATGTTTGACTTACCCTGTCATGCCGTTGGTCTTATAAAAATAAGCCTGCATTGTTGATAGGCTGTGTTTATTTTCCATGTAAGAAATAAGGATATAGACAAATCAAATAAGAAGACGATACATTTTCCTGGTCGTGGACTTGAGTCGAAACAAACAAATATGCATGATTACTTACAAGCAATATTTACTCCTTAGCAATAGAATGTCAATAAGTGTATACAATCAAGGCGTTTGTATGTATATATAGGTTACCGCATTTAATTTATATTCCGTACCGAAATGTTTGTTTATTTTGGACAGTCCTGTTACACAGGTGCGAGTCAAGATATATTGTTTGATTTGACATCTCTATCACTTGATGTAAGAAAGAAACATAAGGAGTGTTTATTTCCGATGTTCATGAGAGTACATGGCGCTGTTAATGCAACCGCTCCTTTCCCGTGAAGTATCGTGTCACAAACGACCTGCCATTTTGTTTGATGTGGAACCTCTTTTATATGACGCTACATGGTCGATAAAGTCAATTGCTATTTTAGTGTAGTTTGTGCAAAGGACGCACTTTTCTTTATGGCGGTACCTTCTTTTTTGTTGCCCAAGATTCGGGACCATGCTTTTAGATCAAAGCAGACGGACCGAAAGTGCTTAGGGCATTGTCATTTAAGACTCCTCATTGATATAATCGCACACACACACAAAAGAGAGAGCATTGAATACAATACAGATTTATCAGAAAAAAAATTAGCGATTAGATCAATTTGCGTAAGTGTATGGATCCAGATCATACCGCATTGTGACACCTGTCTTGTTTGATGTATATATATCTTTTATATTTCACCTGTAATGACAATAGAATTCAGAGCATTTTCATTGTCTCAGCAATAGGATCATGATAAAATGGAGGCCTATCATAAAGTCAAAGAATTGCAATTCCTATTGATAGATGGAAACTCTGGAGTTGCGGCTATTTACTAAATCGGTTTAAGCGTATTTTTGGTGTTCGGATTGGAAATGCGCGGTCAAGGCGCATGCTACAGTCGTACGTTCAATATACATGCTGAATAAGGGGGAAAGGGCATCTCCGATTGCACACGGATGTACCCTGCTCGTCTGTATCCGTCATACAGTTTCTAAAGAGAGAAAAAATGAATGGATTGTTATTATTTTTCCTTTTCTCTTAGCTTGATATCATTGCAATTGCATGAAATATGAGTTGTAACGAATTGTCAGAATTTTCTACTAATTAACGTATTCATATTGCTATATATGCTTTTACAGAAATATACAATTATACATTTTAGGCTATAATGCTTCTGTGTAACTTTTTTTTAGACAATTAGCGCTAAAAAAACATGTTATAAGCCGAACTCAGAAGATTTTATCGTAGCTATTGTATTAAGAATTGCTCTTTGAGGAACAAAAGAACACTTTACATTGACTTTTTTATATAAGCCTAAAAAAATGCTACGTATCATTCATTTCTATTGTGAACTGAAGGAGCCCTTGATTTCGATACGGTGTAACAACAGATTGTTAATTGATTTTTTCTTCATCCGGTCTTTTCTTGTCAAACACACAATTGTATGGGTAACCTTAGAGTACAAAAAGTCTAATTCAATATAAATACCAGGTCCGGAATCAACTTTTTCTTCTTTGTTCTCTATATACTTTTTTTTCTAAATTCTACTTTTTTCATTTCAAAAAAAAATGCAAATTTCTCAATCGTGTATCTTGATTGCTTTCTTGGCCCTCTTGAGCAATGCTGTGGTCTTGGCTGGCCAAACCAAATGTCAATTGTCTATTGAAAAGGCTACATTACAAGCTTCCAACAGCCACCTTCGTATTCGTGGTCATATCAATGCCAAGGGTCATTGCAAGCCTACTTCATCTGATCCTGGAAATGTCATGACAACTGTCAAGTTCAAAGCCAAAAAGAACGTTTCTTTCAGAGATGGTCACCATGCTCGTCATTCTGGTAATGAATGTAGCATTGTTGCCAATTGGTACAATAAGCCTGATGATTACAAGCATTCCGGCAAGAATATGCAAGTCTATGTTCCTCTTCGTTCTGTCAAGAGTATCAAATGTAACAAAGATTCTAAGCACGCTACCAAGACTAAGAAGAGCAAGTCCAAGACCAAGAAGAGAACCACCAAGAAATCTAAAAAGACTACCAAGAAAACAACTAAGAAGTCATCCTCTGGTGGTAGCTACAATTCTCATTACAGTGGTCAAGCTACTTTCTTTACTCCTGACCAAGGTGCTTGTGGTGACTGGAATGACGATAGTGATTATATTGCTGCTATTGTAAGTCAGTCTATTGTTTCCAGGTAACATCATACTCATGATTTTAAATAGGGTGGCTCTCTTTACGGTAGTTATAGCAGAAAGAGTTCTTACTGTGGAAAGAAGGTCAAGGTAGTGAACAAGGCTAATGGCAAGAGCGTCATTGTTACTATCAAGGATGCTTGTGAAAGCTGTGCTAAGACTCATATTGATCTTTCCCCTGCTGCCTTTGCTAAAATTGGTAAATTCGATACTGGTATTCTTAAGGTCGACTGGTACATTTACTAAGACATGTAAAAAAAAATTTTTGTATCTATGAGTTGATCTCATTTCATGCTTCATTCTTTTTTTTTTTTTCTAAAAAAAAAAGAGAAGCATATCGTATATTTTTTTAAGGAAAAGCAAGTCTTTCAACTACATGTGTGAACATGTTTTACATATAAATAGAACATATTTTATACTTTCATAAACAAACAATAAAAATAGTCTTTTGAAAAGCTAAAAAAGTTAACCGAACGTCTGGTTATGGAATACCTAATCCTTTTACTCATTAAAATTTACGGCTGTAAGTTTAAACTAAGGAATCGTTTTTTTTAAAACTCAGTTGATCTATATGAATTGTATAATTAGGCTTAAATTTTGCAGATAAAGCTAGCATTATATTTACTTGTAAGTAGATGATATGTACAGACTTCGGTTTATAAAACAGTTAGAAAGTCGATAGTGATTCAGGCATTTGATATTTAAATAGGACACTAGTACATTATAAAAGACTGAGTTGCAGTTCAAAAATAATATGTTGACATGTGTTTTTCTTTGCTTTTGCTGTTTGGAGACTCTCCAAGAAGTTGTCATCCTTTATTCAAACAACCAGAAAGATGCATTAGAATTGAAAATATGTCTCTACTGCAGCAAAACTGTTCAGTTGAAAATTTTTGATAGATAGCAAAGAGTTTAGACAAAGAATTTATACGTTTGTAATTCTCAGAGATATGATTGCAGAGAAATTAGGCCAACCTTTTTTCGTCGACTGTAGATAATACTTACCAAGTGTATTCGAGTTTTTGGATGGTGTTTCCAAAAGCTTTGAATATCGGTATAAAAATCTCACAATACGCTGTCCTTTCATCGTTATCATTATACCTTATAGTTCGCATGCAATTCAGCAGAAAGTCAATCATAGTAAATTTAATAAAGTTTAGAAACGGATGATTGGGGAGGGTTCCTAACAATTTGAACATGTCTTGTTCAGGGCAATCCATAACTTTCTTAACCCAGCTCATAATATCAGAGTCAAGATCTTTAAGGTTTTGAAGGGTAGCTTGTCGTTTCATTAATACTTCATATTCAGATTTGGTTTCAGGAGATGCTTCTGATGAAGAAGAGCCTATACAAATATCAAAATAATCTTTGATATTAGCCAAGTCTTCTTTTTGTATAATGGGTTTATTGGGGGAAAACATGTTGTCGCAGGGCATCTGGAACCTGTATATATTCTTCTCTTTGACAACGGTAAGGTTACTTGTCTAAAATAAATATGTTAGTAAGGTGAAACAATTACATATGCCAATATATATACATATGCGTTGAATTGAAAACTTTAAGTTATATAAATACCTGGTTAAGCCTTTGTTTTTTCTGTACTTGTTCATTGTCGTCATCGCTGTCTTCTTCACCAATCTCTCGTATTCTTCTTGTTATGATAACATTGCTTGTAATTCTTGTTTCAGCATTCAAAGATTCCTTGCTTTTCTCTTCTCTCCAAATCTGTTCTTTTGATTGATAATAAGCTAGGAATGTACGTTTCACCATTTTGTTCTTCAGATAAGTTTCCAAGCGTTGACAGTAGCTACTAACTGTTTTTCCTAATAGATCTCCCTTGTACATGGTTTCCAGATAATTCAATATTGATATATATATAACTCCTCGCCTTCTTTTAAAACAACTGGTGCTGTATTGAAATATGGATCGAACAAATCAGGTATTTTAGCCCAATCTTTCATTCCTTCAGTAAATAGATAACATGGCAATTCTAAAGCTTTTCTTAAGCTGGGAGATAGCTTATATTCCTTATGAGCGCCATACGGTTTAGGTAAATTGGGGGGGGGGGGTGTTTTATGAGATGTCTTGGGCTTTTTTTTTTTTTTGACAATAAAATTGTTGAAAATTAACAAAAAGAATTGAGCTCGTGTCATTTATTTTCCAAATTCCGCCAATTACTTTTGCCTTTCGGCCAATCATTTTTATAAAAGTGACAATTATTTTTGTGAAAACGCTAATTTCCATAGGTTTAACTGTATTTTCTTTTCTTTATCTTCCTTCTCTCTTGTGTGTGTGAGTGTGTGTTCTTTTCTCTCTCTCCCCCTTATTTTTTTTTTTCAAAAGAGAATCGTTCTTGTATAAATTTAAACTTGGTTCAGGTACAATGTTTTGTTTATAAACAAACAATATTAAATTGTCTATAGGTTATTTTGTTTACAGTATATATATATATATATATATATATATAAAGCACAGCTGATGTAAGTGATACATTCTCCAAGTGAGGTTTATTTATCTCTTTCTTTTTTTAGTTCTTTAAAGCGAGAGAGAGAGAGAGAGAAAAAAAAAGAGAGACGATTTTTAACGGAGATTCAACAAGCACGTTCTGCACCTTTAAGATGAACACTATCTATGATATCAACGTGAAAGAATGCCCAATCTTAGTCAAAGACACTCTTGACAAGTCTTGGAAAACAGTACCAGTATGTTTCTAAACTCAAATAGATTATACTAAACTGTACCTTAGGAGTTTAGTATTACTGTAAAGACGGATGAATATACATTCTATATTGTAAGATACATTCCTGATCTCTATAGTTTTGACCATTTGGTAAGTCATCTATAAATTCAAATTAAGGAGAACTCATCCTTTATTTTAGGTTAAAACACATTACCCAAAGATCAAAATTCATTTTCCCAACTTGTCAGAATCACTTTCTAAGGCAGAAAAGAGACGCAGTATCAAAACATTTTTTCATCTTCCTGTAAAATCAAACGCCGAAAAAGTGGAAAAGTATTTGATCCGTTGCTCTGTTGATCCCATCTTAAAGACATCTTCTCTTTTACGTGATTTCTTTTCTCCTCAGCGAGAAAATGACCAGGCCGAGCATCATTCATCAGCTGCTTATCCTTCACCGAGTATCTCAGCTGATCCATCAGTGCCCTCATCGTCTGTGTCTTCATCGTTGTCACAAAAATTGCCTATTTCAGCAACGGACGATACAGCACCTTCAACTGTGGATAGCATGCATATTGGCAAAACATGGGCTCCTAGTCCACATCCTTCCATCATTAGTTTGCTAAGTAGTATAAAAAACAAACAAAAAAAAGAAGACGATGACGACAAAGAAGACAAAGAAGAGGATGATGATGATGATTTAATGTATTTGATAACTCGACCTTCTGAAGAACAAATCTCATTTGAAAAAGACCCTCTTGATAACCTTGAAATGCTTAAAGTTTTGGGCAAAGGTTGCATGGGAAAAGTAAGTTTCTATTATACACTTTTTTTTCTAACTATCTAAAAGGTTCTATTGGTAAGATCGCGTACCACAAAAGAACTTTATGCGCTTAAATCCATCATTAAAGAACATGTCATCGAACAAAGAGAAATTACACATACATTAGATGAACGGAACATCTTGGCCAAACTGTCCGACATCAATCATCCTTACCTTACCAAACTTCATCTTTCATTTCAAGATGAACATCGTCTTTATCTGTTGACAAACTACTATTGCGGTGGCGACCTTGCCACGCATATGGCCAAGTTATACAACTTTACACGAGAATGTGCTCTCTTTTATGCTGCAGAAATCATTGAAGGCATTGGCGAATTACATCGCTTAGGTATTCTTTACCGAGATTTAAAGCCAGAAAATATTCTGTTGACAGGCGATGGTCATATCATCTTGACTGATTTTGGCCTGAGCAAATGGCTTCAAGAGACTGACGATTTATCCACACAGACATTCTGTGGTACAGCAGAATATTTAGCCCCAGAAATTCTGTTGGGCGAATCTTATTCGTTTGGTATTGATCATTGGAGTTTTGGTACGATTCTGTATGAAATGTTGGCTGGTGTGACTCCATTTTGGGCAGATAACCATGCTGATATGTACAAACGTGTGCTTGAAGACCCCCTTGAATTCCCTGCTGACATTTTTGACTATGAGACAGCTGAATTTTTATCTGACATTCTTGACCGAGACCCCAGAACACGTTTGGGTGCCAATGGTATAGATGAAATCAAGAACCATGTCTACTTTGCCGATATTTGTTGGGACAGTATTCGTCATCGTCAAGTACAACCTCCTTACCTTCCTCCTGTCAAGGATGAGATGGATTTGACAAACTTTGACCAAGAGTTCTTGACCATGTCTCCTGCATTAACACCTGTGTCTTCAGAAATCGAATTTGCTGATCAGATACAAGATGTCTTTGATGGCTATTCGTTCACGGACGAGCATTATATGGAAACCGAACAATCGCAACAACAGGGTCGCTGTTATGCTAGACAGTCGTATCATGAAGATGGTTTTTACCATGATCCTATGGAAAGTGAAGATGAAAAGCCAGCCATGTTTCAACCTGCACGCAAAAGAGGCAGTATCAGCATGCTTTCTAATGCGGACAGTTTTTGTCTGGATGACCATACGACAAACCCTTCACCTCCTGCCTCCATTGCCTTGTTTAAAGACGAAGAACATGCTCGTTATGCTAAAAGAAGATACACAAGTGCTTCTGAAGAGCATGTTGAGGAAAAAGACATTCCATCTACGCTGGTCGTGATGAAATACGATATTCGTGCTCATGAATACACCAATCAGGCCAAGACTGACAATACCAGCTTTACACCATCAGCAACAACAGCCACCTTGTCATCTTTTGATGATCTTGAATTTTCTAAACTACCTGACCTTCGACTTTCATTTCATATGGACCAACCTAAAGAAAAGGTACCTTCTTCCACTAAATCAAGCAAAGCAACCAGCAGCAGCAGTAAGACGCGCCGATTCCTCTCACTCCTTCTATAACACTTATTTATGATATTAGCCCATACCTTTCCTTATTACACCCATTATTTAATTTGTCCTTTCAAATATAAACAAAAAAAAATAGTGTTGCTTATCTAAATGAACAGCAGCATGTTTCATCCTAATTCTACATAAATCATCCTAATATGGCACAGACTACCATAAAAAGCGATTCACGATCAAAATGCAACAAAATCTTAAAAGGGTTGTACTGTCAATTACAAGTGAATTCCCCCCAAAAAATTTGCTTTTTCAATAAACTAAATTAGACAAGTAAAAAACATCGACTTCATGAACCAGGAGCCTGAGTAAAAGTATTAAAAACTCATTTCCAGACATCATGCATACATTGTGAAGCAGAGGGATGATAGATATAAAATCATTAAGCATTGCAAAAGAAGGTAAGCGACAATTGGGTTTCACTACACCAAAAATTGCAATTGAGTTAGTTTTTTTTTTTTTTTACCGAAGGTTTTTAATAAAAACCAACTAGTGTATAATATGGAAGATTTGAAAATTTTCATTGTCGTCTTGCTTACAGACAAAGAAGTGCTGATTTAGAATGTCGTGGTTAAAAGTGAGCTTTTCAACAATGCAAATGCAAAAATTGAGTTATTAACAAGTTTATAAAAAGAAAAACTTTGGTCAGGGACCAAAGCGAATTTAGTTCATTAAAAAGCAAACTTTGGGGGAGTCACTGTAAGATTGCCATACATATACTGTCACTTTTCGATTTAGTGATACAATATCAAAAATGAAAATTATCACTAAATCGAGGTACAACTGTATCTGTAATCTAAAAAGAACATCATATATAAAGAGATCTGTTTCTTTTGTTTCTTTATCTCTTTTTTCATTAACAAAATGGTTCACAAAAAGATAGCCATTGCACTTGTCTTGTTGAGTGTAAACTATGTTGCCTCTGCCTTTTTCTGGGTCAATCATCGAAAGGGTCATGATCTTCTCTCTCTTGCCGGAAGAACACGTCGTTTAGATGTGGTTACTGCAGCTGAAGAACAAGAAGCAAAAACGGATGCACTTCCTTCCAAGTACGGTCCTTTCTATATGGACATGCCATTGGATCATTTCGCAAAGAACAAAAGCGTTACTTTCCAAAACCGTTACTGGATCAATGCTGATTATTACAAGAAGGACGGTCCTATTATTTGTAAGTGACATCAAACGAAAAAGCGATAGACTCATCATTGTTTCTAGTGGCTAATGCAGGTGAAGCAGCTGTGGATGATGCAGCCTACACGCTTACCAACACAACTATGATTCAATTGGCCCAGAAATTGAATGGTATTTTTATCTATATGGAACACCGCTTTTACGGGTCATCTGGTCCGGCTGCCACAAACTTTGTAAGTTCTTTTTTTATGAACTGCGCAATTGTAACACCTCTTTCTCACTGTCTATAGGACTACGCAGCAAATGTTATTTCTAAATTGAACACTGATCAAGCACTTGCTGATATGGCTTATATCTTAAAGAACGTCAAGGTAAAAAAAAAAAAAAAAAAAAAAAATTAAATATATTCCGAGGCTTACAAATGCATTGTTTCACATAAATTAGTTTTCTGGTTTAGATGTTCCTGCTGTTCCTAAAACAAAAGCTATTGTTTATGGTTGTAGTTACAGTGGAAACTTGGCTGCCTGGATGAAAGAACAATACCCTGAACTTGTCTATGCTGCAGTGGCCTCTTCTGCTCCTGTTCAAGCTCAATTTAACTTTTACCAATACTTCGATCCCATCATTCGCTATGGTCCCACTCAATGTATTAGCGCTATTGAACACGTCATTACTTACATCGATAAAATCTTGTTTGGCTCCTCTTCTAAAGCAGTAAAAGAACTCAAGGAATTATTTGGTGTTCCCGAACTTTATGATGATGATTTTGCTTCATGTAAGACACCCTTACATTATGTGTCACTGTTACTTATATTTGTGTATCCCCATAGATTTGACTACTGCCATCGCTACTTACTGGCAATACGGTGTGGAACTTGGTGATAATCGATTTGATCAAGTTATTTGTAACAAAGTGTTTAACGGTACTTCTGTTGAAGACAATGTTAAGTCATTTGCTGTATTCAACAAGAACTATGTTGAAAAGAATACATGTGATGGCTACAGTAGCATTTCAGCCTGTCTTGGTTCTCATAACGCTACCGATGTTCAAGAACAATTGGCCAGTTCTCCTTCTACTGCTGCTTGGACTTGGCAAACATGTACTGAATATGGGTATTTCCAAGTAGCTGCTCCCAAGAACAATCCTACCATTGTGTCTCGTAAACTCGGTATTGAAGTGTTTGAAAGAATGTGTCAACTCTTCTTTACCAAGGTCGGTATTCCCAAGAAGCCCAACACGGCTAAGGTCAATAAGAAATACAAAGGATGGAACGCCAAGTTAGACCGTATTGTCTGGATTGATGGTGAATATGACAGTTGGAGAGAATTGAGTGTTCATTCTCCTCAAGTCAAGAGAAACTTCAGCAAGAACAAACAAACACTTTCCATTATTATTCCTGAAGCAACACACTGTGTCGTAAGTGAATTGGTTTTTATGAACATTGTTTAATTTCTCTGTTAGAACTGGGCTGGTGTCAATTCAAAAACCCCTCAGTATTTAAAAGATATTCAAGATCAACAATATAAGACCTTGAAGCGTTGGTTAGACCAAGCATGAAGCAAGCCAGATTTACTCATTAACTTATTATGATACTAAATTGTGAAACAACACTGTATTCTTACTTTTGTAAATTAGATTAAAGTCAATCTCTCTTCGCCATAGTTTGTTTGGTTCTTTTGTAAACCTTGCTTTGAGTTGCTTTCAAAGTCGTTTTTGATGACTCTATCTATCCAGACATGTCATACAAGATTGTTGATCCTACTAAATTACAGGAAAGCAATGCTTTTAATTGTCTATAATCACATGAAATATGTCATCAAAACATATCTTTTTGTTTATTGTAAACAAAATGTAATTAAGAAATAGTTGGAAGCCAGTTGATTGCATTTCACTTTAGAGGTAATAATGACCTTATTGGGAGACAATTCAACTTGTTGATCTACACTAAACAAAATGTTTCAAATAGACTGATAACAAGTAAACACCGGTGATTGTTGATTTCATCATTATTGATCGTATGATGCTTTAAGGAGTTTTTTTTTTATTTGGACGACCACATATTTTTGACATGAAAACGTTTTTGGCCCGCGTAAAATTATAACCACTGCTTGCAGGCTATAACCATTCAGCTTCGTCAGCGACACTAGTTTAGAGTATAGCTTCTGAGCTTGTTTTTTTGAGTATAAAGTGATTTGAACAACGAAATTCATAATAAGGAAGCATCTATTTTCTGATTTATTTCTGCAGATATGACAAGTAAGAAAACATTTAGCCTCAGGCTTTGTACTTGAAGATTTCTCGACTGATTCCTTCATTTCTCCTTCTTCTTTTCACCACTGTTTCGCTTGGCTTAACTTTTATATAGTCCTTGTCTCATTTTTGACTTCATTTTATCTCTTTTAATCTTATAACTCATTGTCGAGTACCTCTTTCTTGTAGCCCTATCGCGCTACAAAATACGTGAGGCAAATAAAATCATTTAAAAAAACAAATTATGCGCCTTCTTTCTTTCACACCTTTCACGCGCTTTATTTTCCATTTGCTGCAACATGCGTCCACCACTCCCTCATGGTATCAACCCTAACTTTAAGATCAATGAAGCAGAGGCCAAAAAGCACAAGCTATATAAATCAATTATTGGTATACCTGTGTCAAAATGGAATTCAGCTTCTGAACTGGCTAAAAGCGCGTTAAATAACAATCCTAAAAGTGATGAAAAGACCTATGATAAATTCAAAGCTACTTTTAAGATTATTAGCAAGCGCTTTATTCAGCAACCTGCCTTGGTTCGTTTCACTAAACTTCTGGTTGAATATATGGATTTGGAGACCACCAGAAATAAATTTAATGATGCCATTGAAGAAGCTGTTTTAGACAACATACTCATAATTGAAGAAGAAAAGTCTAGAAAAAGAATCAAAATCATACAAACTCAAACTCTCAACCAAGAGCTTTCTGCTGAAATCAGTTGCTCTTCGACGGTAGCTGAGAAAGATGAAAATGATACTATTGCTAATGATTTGACCAATATCACGGGGCAAGCAGCGGATGAGACAGGTTACATACAAAAGATAATCTACGAAGACGCAGAGAAACTTCATGATAGATATAAAGAAAGTGATGACTTGACTCCTGTTGAAAGGAAACGTATGTGTGCCGGCCTTTCTGGGATGCTTGATATCAGTGATAGCTCATACCATAGCCAGAGACTTCTGTTTGGCACCAGTAAATGGAAGAATATAAATGAGTATTACTCCCGATTTAGACAGTCATTTTTCCACACAAAACTTGATTCCAACCTTAATTCATTATATGAAATATGGGACACTATTCACAAGGCGCTTACAACGGATCATAATTTCTTTCAAGCCCGAAGAACCTTCAATCGCCTCTCTAGTGAAAACGATATTAATGAATACGTTTTTAAACAACTACAAATAATTGACTATTTTCTCGACACCTTTGACAATAAGCAATTTGTTCTGAATCCCAAAGATCCGATGAAATTGACGGAACGAGATTATGAATCACAGATTTGGGTTCCTCTCTTCACCAAATTATTCAGCATAAAGAAAAACCTTCTCGTCCGAATCAAGACAGGTGAATCAGTACCTGAAGAATCAACAAAAAGAAAAGCTGAACAGTATGAAAACGATAAGAATGTTATTGGATTTAAAGTCGACTTAAGGCTGATTCACGACCATAAGAAGTTGGAAATAGACTTGGCAAGTACTGAAGTAGCCCTTTCGTGTGCTGATGAAGTCAAATTGTGTCACAATGAATCCAAGTTACTAAGAGAATCCATGATTAATACAGAAATAATACATCACCTTATTGAAAGCGAAGATTATATATATACCTGGACTATTAGAATTATTGGTTTGACTGCTGTCTTCTCAAAAGTTCTTTATGATGATGAATACAAGATATATGTCAACGTTTATCAATTCACATTTCATTTTCCTACCTGTATCAGTGAACTTGAAGATTTAAAAGATAATCTGGAATTGTTGTTCAAATTTAAAGAAGATACCGAGCGAATTGCAAGCAAAGTTCAAAAAGCATTGAAACATGCCGAGCGGCAATACCATTGTTCTGAAGACTTTCCCCCCGAAAGGAAGCTTGCTCCTGAACCATCCATATACTTTACTCCACCTAGAAACGAAGCACGCCGTTCAGTTCTGCCATTCAAAGGTAAAACTCTTTGATTAACCAAAGTTAACTATTATACAACCAAACAGTACGACACTTTTTTATTTTATTTTATTTTATTTAAAGAACAATGTATTAACGTTTCTATTGATATTAAAATGATTTATTATTGAAGATACGGATAAAATTTTGGGTGGAATGGCTTGGGTGTATTCGAAGTTGTAAACATAGCCACACACCGTAGGAAAAAAAATGATAGAATATAGATAGAATATAGATAGAATATAGATAGAATATGTATATTCTATCCATCTCATAGAAATGTGTTAAAACAGAAATATGATATGTTCATGCAATTTTCATGCAACATGTATATTCAATAGAGCTCATGCAGTATCTATTTAGTAGCGTTTTGATGAAGATCCCATCATCTCATATTTTTTCTATCTCCTTTCTTACGGTGTTTGCTGAGAACTGCATCGAGACGTAGTTGTTCGGCTTTGGTGTAGTGACAAAAAGGTGTAGATTGTTGCTTTTGGAGTCTATTGGTGTAGAAAGAACAACAACTTTGCTGCCAAAACGTTACGAAAATAAACGAAAATGTTTACGAGAGGTTTCACTCATATTTCATCATTTTTGTAGTACAATTAGCAAGCAAGCACATTCACCAGAAACTATAGCTTATAGCGCACATTTTGAGTATTTAAGCTTGCCAATAGCTCTATTTTTCGTCTTGTAGCGTCAGAAAAAAAAAAAATATAAAAATAAAAAACTCAAAGTTGTCACGAGCTTTTTTTTTCATGATTAGTACCCTTTGGTCAAACGGTCTTTTTGATCAAATTTTACAAGTCGCTTGTTTTGGTCCAAATCAACTTCAAAGGTACCATAGACGTTAACAAACACTGTTTGTAGGCAAGTGAAATTTTTATGAGTGTACAAACAGACCTTACAATACCTTCATATGCCTAAAGAATAGACAAAGGTTTGCATGAAGTGCTGTCTTTTTTGCCATTGAAGCATATGTTTGTCTGATGTCTCTGTTACATGAAAAAGTAATGCACTACCAAACTATTTATTCGGATATGATATCTTACTACAACCAACTTGATCTCTTGAGCTAGAGAGTTTGGTGAGTTGGATGCACTGGATTCTAGTCAAGTCAATCTGATTTTTGTAGCCATGAGCTACTTGATAAGCATTCCATTCACATTGTATATAGTCAGTCTTGTGAAACACCCTAAACTTAATGTTTAGCAAGATACACGGGTATTTCTCTATTTTGAACTTCATCGCGTCAATCAAAAGCTATTGTAAAATCCGGATTATATTCAGAGAACCACTACTCCATACCGCACAAGATTGATAGTATATATCGCGCAAGTGCTTAGAATACAACCACTTGGTATAACCGTGACCACACACTGACCAATTGCTTAGACATCGATCCGACCGTAGTATCGAAAAGATGTTGTGGTTGTGCCTAAACAGTTCAATGTGGTGTTTGTACGGATCCCTAGACTTTACATAGCCATGAAATGTATGACAATTGCAGTCTATTTTAGATAAAAAGCAAAAGCGTCTAATTTTGATAGAATTTTGGGTGGAATGGCTTGGGTGTACTCGGAGTTACAAACATAGCCATACATCGTATGGTGTTTGCTGAGAACTGTATCGAGACGCAGTTATTCGGCTTTGGTGTTGTGACAAAAAGGTGTAGATTGTTGCTTTCTGAGTCTATTGATGTAGAAAACACAACAGAGTTAGTGCTAAAATATTAAGTAAATGCGCAAAAATACTTGCAAGGCTTTTCGCTCCTATCATACCATTTCTATAGTATAGTTGTTTGCTTAGTATTCTTCAACTCTTTAGTATAGAACTAACAATCTTTATCTGATGAATTTTCTATACGATTCTCATGTTCCGCAGTAAGGGGGAATTTTTTCTCTTTGTGAATTTTCCATTATCCTTCTACAGTAAGTGGGTTTATCGATTATTTGGTACCTACGAAATTTATGCCACATTGGTTGCACTGAAAGTCATGCCCTAAAAACCAAAGGAACCAATCATAAGAAAAAGAGCCTTGAATTATACGGAGAATACACATATACCTACCTTTCTTTTCTTTTCGGTCATTTCCTAAAAACTAAAAAAGAATTATCTGCTCAAATGCATTGTTTGCTTTGATGCCAGGTTGTAAGAGGATATGGCGACAAATGAAGTCGCTGTCTATAAAAGGAAATATGTGCTTCCAATCAAAGTCATGGGATTCTCTATTTAAATGCGATTTTCTTTTGTTTTTATATATTTCTTATCTTTTCTCTCCATATATTAAATACGAGCTGCCTACGTTTGAGTGAAAGAAAGAAAAAATGTCAAATAATCGAAACTACAGCACAATCGCAGTTGATCCTGAAGACTCAACATCACCAAAAGCAACACCACCTTCTGTATGAAAAAAGCTAGTTCAGGAACTTGTTGCTAACTTTATCTTTTTAGAGAAAAAGATTTCATCTTTTCGTAGGTGGTGCTATTATTGGTATTGCTGGTGCCATTATTATTGCTTCTACTGTCTTATTGGGACAAAATATGAAGCCTGGTAAGCCTTTAGAAAAAAAAAAAAAAAAAAAAAAAAAAAAAAGCTACAGCTGTACTAACCTTATGAAAAAAAAAAAAAAAAGTTCCCAAAAAGAATGTGATCATGATGATCAGCGATGGATTTGGTCCTGCTTCTGAGACCTTTGCAAGGCAATATAATACTTGGTTAAACCACGCAGATGTCAAGACAATGTTGCCCTTGGATGAAATCCATGTAGGCCATAGCCGTACTCAAAGTTCCTCCAGTTTTGTCACTGATAGTGCTGCAGGTGCTACTGCCTTTTCTTGTGCCCAGAAATCATACAATGGGGCTATTGGTGGTAAGTATTGTCTTCATCCTCTATTTCGCTTATCGTTCAAATACTAGTTGACCCAAGCCGAATCGCCTGTGGTACTGTTTTAGAATCTGCAAAGATTCATCAAAACATGTTGACTGGTTTAGTTGTCACATCCCGTGTTACACATGCTACTCCTGCCTCTTTCTCTGCCCATGTCGTTGATCGCGACATGGAAAACTTGATTGCAGAACAACAGATTGGCCATAATCCCTTGGGAAGAGTGGTTGATTTGATGTTTGGTGGTGGTGCATGTGAATTCACTCCCTTTTCTAAGCCTGGTAGTTGTCGTGTAGATGAACGTGACTTGTTGGTTGAAGCACAAGAAAAGTTTGGATGGGAAGTAGTCTTATCCAAGGAGAAGTATGATGCCTTAGAAACAAATCAAGTTCAGTTACCCTTAATGGCTTTATTTTCCCCTAGCGTAAGTAAGCGTAAAAACAAACAAAGCATTAAAACATCAGATGATAGCATATGAATTTTGAAATCGATAGAAAGCCCGACCAACAACCTGCACTTCATCAAATGGTATCCAAAGCTTTGGATATCCTCAAGACAAAGTCTGTTGAACAAGATAAGGGATTCTTTTTGATGATTGAAGGCAGTCGTATTGATATGGCTGCTCATAACAATGATCCCGCTGCCCATCTTCATGATATCTTTGAATATCATAGAACGGCCGAGATTGTCAAGAAATTTGTGGATGAAAATCCTAATACAGTCGTCATCTCTACCAGTGATCATGAAACTGGTGGATTTAGTGCTGGCAGACAAATTGGTGAAGATTATCCTGAATACAAATGGAATCCTGAAGTTATTCAACGCGTGCGTAATTCTTCTGAAGTATTGGCTTATGCCTGGAATGCTGCAGTACACAGCACAGAAATTAGTGATCAACAACACTATCTCGAGAAAGTATTGATCCAATCAGGCTTGGGTATTGACGACTGTGTATCTGATGAACTTGAGAAAGTGAAAGCATGGCAACACACCAACAAGACTATTTACGATTTAGCCTACCTTTTCTCTGACATGGTTTCGCGTCGTGCATTGATCGGGGTAAGTAATCTTAAAAAGAAACAGGGGTATATTTATGCATCCTTTTTTTTAGTGGGCTACACATGGCCATTCAGCTGTGGATGTCAACCTATATGCCAAAGGCCCTTCCACTGAAATTTTAAGAGGAAGCCATGAAAACACAGAAATTGGTGACTTTATTGTTAATTACCTTGGTTTAGATTTGAATGATGTAACCAAGAAGATTGCTGATATCAAGTAAGAATTTTATATATAGCATACATTGGACTTACTTTTATCCCTATTTAGTGTTGGCGAAGGATTAGTACAAAGCTTGAATCATGACAAACATTCTGCCTACCATGGTTGATTGGCTGGCTTACATGACTAAGAATTTATCCACTTATGTCTGACATCATTTTATCCTTCTCGGATTTTATCTTAAATTGTGTAACCTACACGTTAAAATAAAAGTGAGTGTGGGTGTTTTTTTTTGAAATGTTTCTTTTTGTTTCGATAAAAAAAAAATGCTTTCTATTGCTGCTCGTTCTATCAAGTCTACTGGCTTAAAGTCTGTTCGTCCTTTGACTTCAATTCGTACCAAGGTCACTTTACCTGAACTTCCTTATGAATATGATGCAAGTAGCTTAAAGTACGCGTCAAATGTCATATATTTATATTTGTTTATTTAGGCTCTTGAACCTTATATCAACACTGAAATTATGAAGCTTCACCACTCCAAGCACCACCAAACCTATGTCAATGCTTTCAATCAAGCTGAAGAAAAGCTCCAAAGTGCTTTCAAGGCCAATGACTTGAGCCAACAACTTGCTCTTCAAAACGCTCTCAAGTTCAACGGTGGTGGTCACATCAACCACACTCTTTTCTGGCAAAACTTGGCTCCTAAGGGCAAGGGTGGTGGATCCCTTCCTAAGGGTGCTTTAGCTTCTGCTATCTCTAAGGAATTTGGTTCTTTTGAAGATTTCCAGAAGCAATTCAACACTGCTGCTGCTGGTGTTCAAGGTAAATGATAGTTATTGTTATATATGTACTCACGCGCATGTTTAGGTTCTGGTTGGGCCTGGTTGGTAAGTTAATATGAAATCATCTTGATGTAGGATAAATTTAACATTCTTTTTCAGGGTTATAACAAGGCTCATAAGCGTCTCGAAATTGCCAGTACCCCTAACCAAGATCCTTTGCTTCGTAAGTATATAGAGTTAAAATATATGGCTCTGACTTTAATGATAGATTTGACTCCTCTTTTGGGTGTTGATGTCTGGGAACATGTAAGTGAAAATGCGTAGAGTAGGAAAGCAAACTCATTTATTTTATCATAGGCCTACTACTTGCAATACAAGAATGTTCGTCCTGATTATCTCAAGAACATTTGGGAAGTTATCAACTGGGAAACTGTTGCTGAACGTTTTGCTAAGGCTTCTTAATAAAAAAATGTTTCTTTGAAATAAATACATATTTAACAAGCACATCCATTATTGTAGTCTCTACTGTGATCATTATCAATGCGAATAGCGTCATTGACATCACTATAAAGTTCAACATCCGTCTCTTGTTGAAGTGCATTTTTTGCAATGGTCTGGAAAGCCTGTTCAACGTTGATAGCATCTTTAGCTGAAGTTTCAAAATAACTAAGAAAAAACATATTAGAAAAAGTAGACCTTTTTTTTTTTACTTACGGGATATTTCCTTTGGCTTGACAGAATGCCATAGCACGCTTTTGGGAGACCTGTTTGTATGGTTAATAGACGTGTATTAAACTATTTACTTTACCATGCGTTTTGATTCATCTACATCAATTTTATTACCCAATACAACAAAAGGAAAGTTATCAGGATCACGGGGTGAAGCCTGTACCAAAAATTCATCATGCCATTGACCGAGAGATTCATAGCTCTTGTTGTTATTTACATCATATACTAGCACACAACAGTCTGCGCCACGATAGAATGCGACACCCAAAGATTGAAAACGCTCTTGACCTGCTGTATCCCAAATCTATTTTCTAAGCATTGTTTCGAATCATCGTGATTTACTTACTTGCATAGTCACCACCTTGTCGTCAAGAGTGACCTCCTTTGTCAAGAAGTCAGCACCAATAGTTGCTTTGTATTGACCACTAAATTTCTTATTGACGTATTGGTTCATCAAAGATGTCTTGCCGACACTAGAAAATGCTTATAAGGCTTTTCATGAAACTATCTCCTTATGCTTACCCACTATCACCCAAGATAATAACCTTTTTTTTATTTTAGTGCATATTCTCGCTTAGGTGCATTTTCTGTATGTATGTATATATACCTTCAATAAAACCTTCTTTCTTGTAGACATTTTTTGAAAGAGAAAAAAAAAGAAAAGGGAAAAAGAAGCGTGAAAGAGAAAAAAAAAGATATCATCATCACTATCGTTTCAAGTTCCGCTTGATTTGTCTCAATATGCAATGATTATCTATAGAACATAATCTACATCTTCCTCATTATCCATTTAGTGTCTAATATCATAAGCACAGGCAGAGAAACAGAGATGGTTAACTAGTTTTTGATATAATGAGGAGAAAAAAAAAGAAACACACATGACGTTTTTTATTGTTCAGTTGAGACCATATTTAGTTATTCAAGGTGTCACTAAAAACAGTGAGGCACAATGATATTTATTATATATACAGCAGCAATTATGATAGTATTTAGTCTTCTTTTTGACCAAAGAGACCATTGATAGAGCTAAGAGGATCACCGCCGCCTAAAAGAGAGCCTTGATCTTCTTCTGTTCTTTTAGAGAGCATGATTGGACCAGCAGAAACAGTAAATAAGAGTGCAAGAATAATAACGAGGTAGATACAGCTTGATTTTGTCATGATAATAATATTAAGAAGAAGAAGAAGAAGAAATATAGGGCACTTTTTATATGTTATTTTTGTTACTGTTATTGTTATTGTTGTTGTTGTTGTTGTTGTTGTTGTTGTATGTTTGCATTTGGAGCTCAAAAAGGCGTACTTGCTTTATCATTTATGCTTAAATTAAACAAACAAAACACAATTCTAGTTGTTGCATACAATGCTTTGGACTGCTGCTCTAATTTACAACAAAGGATTCTTTGTAGGCAATGACCTATTTGCATCAATGATGAGCAAAGAACCTGTAGATAGAAGCACTTTCTATTTTTTTGCTGTATATCCTTGAAGTCACTCTTTGTCTTTATAAAGCAATACAACAGTGTTATGTGAGAATAAATGCATACCATGACAAACAAATAGTTGATCTTTGATTTCAAAGTATAATCTCGTTTCTAATAGAACACTGCTGCATGCACTCGAGTGTTTTGCATTCTACTCTTTAGACAATAAATATTCTTTATTACCGACATGCGTTACCATTCTGATTCAATTCACTGAACTGCTCAATGACTATCTGGCCTAAATCGGTAAATAAATTCATGTGTTGATGAGCAATAAATGCTTGTCAACATGTGCAATTCGGGCATTCTATTCTCAATAACTTTGTAATGGTTGCTTTATACTCACAAATATTCCCTAAATAATTCAACAAGTCGCCCAAGTCAGCCCTTTATTTTATTCACATGTCTATTGTTGAGATTGGTATTTCTTCTTGCGACGCAACTGACGATATAGTTGACAGAAAAAGACAAGGCACGCGTGCACAAAGAGAGCGTCGGACTTTTGCTGGCAAGCCTTGTTTTCTGTACATTTTCTCCTTTTTTGTACAAATTTCAATTTAGCTTTCTCTAAAAGTATTTGAATGGGTGTTGTCTATTGGTGTAACAATAAATGATTCAACATCTTTTTACTTTTCTTTCACTTTACCTTTTGATCATTGCTTTGTCTAACTTCATCTGGTAAAATTTGATTTTTCGGCTTCATTTGCTTAGGAAAGAGAGAGAGAGAAAAGAAAAGAAAAACAGTAATAGAACTGAATAAGTATCCGAATGTCATTTAATAGTTTTCTATATTTAAAAAAAGCTTGGCCGTATGATGAATAGACTCCAGCCACCTTTTTTAAGTGTTTGTGTATGTCGATAAAGCCACAAGCACGAGTTTATCTTTGGCCCATCTATGTACCATGCTATTACTGCCATAAAAGAAAAAAAAAAAGCTTGGCTCGGGAACGGTTCATGATAGACGGATAAATTCTAATTACTAGGTTTTGAATAAATATTTAGACGCACTTTTAGTGAATTAATTCGACAAATTAGTGAAATTTCAAGACTACATTAGAACCATTTGGGCGATATTTTATTTTTGAATTTGCTAAAATGGTTTTTTACTTTCATTTCTTTCATGAACAAATTGGATAGCTAGCATAGTAAAGCGTGATGGGTAAAATGAAAGGATTTTTATGCTTAAAAATCAACGGATACTCTTAAATTTTTTGGTTTGTGAGTGTTGATTATTTTATCAAGATCTACATTTCCAATTGAACATTTCCTTTTCATATTGTTGGTTGTGTTACGTTTTTTGACGCAGTAACAATTGTAGAATTGACTGAGATTTTTCAAATCATCAAGTCTCATGATAAATCCTGGTAAATCTTGCATAGATGATGGGATTTTGATTTTTGCAATTTCGAAAATAATTTTGGGACCATTCAAGGTCGAAATAAATTTCTCTCAAGAATGTATTGAGACCTTCGAACATAGAACAGTAAACATAAATTTCCCACCCTATCCCGCCCACGCTCGCTCTCAAAGATCAAAGAACAAATAATATCACTTTCACATATTTATACTTAATTTTAATTTGACCTATATATTTTACTTATACATATTTATCAAATAAAAATAAGATCACAGCAATTTATGTTTACTGTTCTATGTTCTCTTGTCTAAAGTTACATTTGTGTGTTCCATACATCCATAGTATATTATGACAGCGCCTAACATATATACGTTTATAAATATAATATTGATTTAGGATTTATTTTACCTATGACTTGTACAAGTAAGATGCATTTAGCATCGTTGTCCTCAATTTCATTCATACCAAATAATGCTAATCGTAACAAGTCTTGGTGGGTAGACAATGTATCCTTTTTCTTATATTCTGCCTTCACCTCGGCAAAACAGGAAAACCTTTCAATTCTTCTCTCATGAATTATAGTACAACCAGCATCAGGGCGGGCGTTGTATGTTTTTGTCACCATTTTGTCTAACCTATCGATTAGATGTAGAATGAATATCATCAATAATATTATAAATTAATGTCAGGCCACTTACCATAAAAAAAGTTTCTCTTTTTCTGGTCTATGCAATAAAGGACTGAGTATAGGATCAGCGAAGTTGTTGATAAGCTCTTGCTCTTCAACGGTATAATCAATAGTTTCTTCATTCGGTAATTTTTTTAATCTTAAATAAAGAATTGGATTAGTTTATGGATTCTAATATCATAAATTTTCTTTTTACTGTGTGTATACTACGCACAAATTGATTAAAACATCGATGACTTTTCGGTCTTCTTTTTCGGCTTCTTCGTATATTTTAAATAATTTGATCTTTAATTCGTCTCTGTCGGGAACATCGCCAATGCCCTAAAAAAAGAATATATGAGATATTGTGATAAATCCATGTTAACCTTTAAGCTCATTTACCCTGAATGCTTCGGCTATAGCATCAAGCGTTTTTTTTTTCAATATTTGCATCGCACTTGTGAGATTCCAACATCTGCTTATATAAGCCATTCATATTTATGTCAGGATAAGCCCGGCCTTTCTTCAATAGTATAATATGATATAGAGATCTAAAGCAGTGACATCAATAGATAAATATATCAAAATAAAAATGTATGTTTTTAGTTACACACTACAGAGGGGTGTAACGTGGATAAGTTAAAAAAAGTGCACAAAATTAGTCATTGAGAGACTCAAAAAGCGTTTACGAGCAAATAATGTTGTTGTAGTGAGATCCAAGTCTGACTAATAATGTCGGAAATGACCCACTCAGGGTTGAAGGGTTGATTGTCCAAGGCGAAACGCCAGTAAGCGGACCATATTATCCGTTGGCAGACAGATAGAACCGTAAAGAGACAACTGTCAGGCAGTAGGAAATGAGGGCAGGATTCGAGACAGAGTAGGCGATAAACCCTATCAGCTGAAAAATACATCCGTGGATAGAAATAAGTGAGGACTTTACAAAATTTGACAAACAGACCAACTGTTTTTGCCAAAGGAGTATGTGTAGTAATAAAGTTATAAAGCGTTTTCCGACCTTTTTTGTCGAAAAAAGATATTAAAGCTAAAGATAAAACGCAGAATAAAAATTTTATATAAATTGGTTCAGGAGAATCCAACCTACCTTCATTTATGTCCATTGAACTATATGGTTGGAAAAGGTTTGTAAAAAAAAAAAAAAAGGCGTTTTTTGTGATACTTATTATGCACAATCTGAAAATACAGTACAAAACTTGTTGTGATGTCAATTTATCTTATTCTGTGGCGAAATAAGAAGCTTTGAACATCGCCTTTGATTTTGGAACCAGGTTTTATTTAATTGCTTTAGCAACTTGAATGATGGTTGATTGGTTTAAAGGAATCCAGCAAAGCGTGAGCCATACTCCATCAGGATAAAGCCGTTATGTTTGGTACAAGGTGAGCCCAAAGCCCTTGGTCCTTTAGCCAATCCAACCATTTCTTGAGACAATCGTCTCGTTTCCAAGACATAGCACTAGAAGGTAACATTATAAACTATTCCTTCCGATTGTGTACTGATTGGTTTAATCTTTATTTTATCATGAAGCGTTCCCACACATATGATCAGAATAATGGGCTGTACATCGCATCTTGAACTGTCTTGTAGACAATAGTTAATGGCCCTTCTCTTGAATTTATTGTTTATCGTACGCTAGTTCTCCAGGATGATAAGAAGAAGTTTTAAAGAAAAGGGTTTGGGTTCAAGATCAAGAACTATATCTGAACGGGCCCCAGCTTTCCATTTACAATTATCCTTGAAATAGTCGTTTCTGGTTTTAGTTATTACCTCAGTAAAGTAGCCCATTACTTTTGGATCTCTCATAATGCGCTTTGTTATTCTGGCTTTTCCAGAGTTTAGATTTGTTGAGAGAGACATTGCATTGAATAAGAACAAAGAGAACGTCCGTAAACTCAACCGTAAACTCAACCCTTACAACAACTGTCAAAGAGGTCTAATTTATATATACTCGTTCCATCACCCAATCAAAAAATAAAATAAAAAATAAAATATCGCCTTCAGTTTGAAGTAAACATTTATTGTACCTGTGCTACTTTCAGAAAATTGAATGGCAACAAGAAGTTTTCTATTTTTGAAAACCTTGAATTTCAAACGCAAGTGATTGTCAGATGTCTGTAATCAAAATCGACGTTGTCCGAAAACCAAGTACTAGTAGAATTGTGAAAGAAAAGAAAAACAGTCTTAGCTGTGGATCTCAAATGATTCTAACGTAGTCTTGCAATTTTACTAATTTGTCTTGTGCTTGTTAAATTGTCCCAGCCAAGTTTTTTATTCATCTCAAATTAATCCTTATGTTGGCGGAACGAAGTCGAAAAATGTGATAGATGCCCCCCTTGGTATCGTCGATTCTTCTAAATCAATTTATATGTTATCTTTATCTCATTATTATTAGCTATATATATATACCTCTTCCCAACCCCAAAAAAAAAATTGAATTATGCTTAGGCAAGAAAGATATAAGGAAGAAAAAGAATATATATATATATATATTATACTTAAAAGGAAGATAAAGCGTGGCTCTGAGAGCATCTATCGCATTTGCAGACGGAGTGGAGCCAACTGAGATTGTAATAGGAACGACAAACGATTCAAAATCATCTCACCAAAAAATTTACCTATCTCAGCAGAAAAGAAGTGCGTCTAAATATATATTCAAAACCCAGCATATGCACGACTGGGTATAAAAAGAGAAACTCAATTATATACATTTGTTCTTCTCTTTCAAGTATATACAAAGAATGTCTGGACCTTTGCCTCCTGGATGGGAAGAACGCCGTGCACCTGATGGTCAACTGTAGGTAGTCTGCTTGATTTTAAACTAATTGTATCTATAGTTACTTTATTGACCACAATACCAAGACCACTACATGGGATGATCCCAGAAATAGGGGCTATGGTGGATACCCTCCTCCTCCCCAACAACAAAACTATTATGGTGCTCCTCCTCCTCAGCAACAAAGTTACTATGGTGCTCCTCAACAACAACAAAATGGCTATTACAGCCAACCTCCTCAACAAAACTATTACAATCAGCCTCCTCAACAACAAGGTTACTATAACCAACCACCTCAATCCAATAATTACCGTGGATCTCCCAGTGGTGGTAATGGTGGCTACAACAATGGCTATAACACTCCTCCTACCCAACAGCCTCACAAACAAGGTATGTCAACTGGAATGAAAGTAGCAGCTGGTGTTGCAGGTGTTGCAGCAGTTGGCTTAGCAGGTTTGGCTGTTGGAGAATTCGTCGAACATGAACACGATGAAGAAAACCGAATTGAAAGACTCGAACGTGAAGAAGATTACAATAGATACGGTATGTAAATTTTTAGGCGACAAGCGCCGAGAAAAATCATATTCATTGATATCCGTGTAGGTGGTGCAGGCGGTTATGACTATAATGGCAATAGTGGCAACACAACTATTATCAATGAAGACAATGGTTGGTTTGGTCGTGACAAAGAAACTACCATCCAAACAGGTATATTATCTACTTAAAAGGTTATTTTTTTCTTATGTTATACTGGATATTTTTAGATGAATATGGTAACACCATTACCACCGAGACAAAAGATGGTTGGTTTCACGATGAAACAACAGGTGAGTGTTGACTATGATTGGCTCGACTTAATATTCTTTAATTTAGTTACAGAAACAGATCGTTATGGCAATACAGAAGTGATTGTAAGAGCTTTGTTTATATATTCTAGGATATTAATTTTCTGATATAGGACGAAGACTCCAGCTGGTTTTAATAGCTTGTTTTTTTTCTTTCTAGTATATATAGTACCTTCGTATTTAAACAAACAGAAGCGCTTGTTTTTTGAATAAAAAATACCAGAAAAAAACTAAGGAGTGAAACAGAGTTCTACCAGTTGCGTTGGTCTTTCATTGATGTGGTCTGATTGGTATACAAAGATGCAGTATCCATATACAATTCTACTAAGTTTATACTTAAGAATCACATGTACCAAATCACGATTTGTATTTGTTGCAAACTTGACTTGTCATACTCTTTCTGATGAGGCATTTTTTCTTTTAAAGTAACATGAGTTATAATATTCAATCGTAGATGTTTTTCTTATTTTTGATTTTACTTATAGAAAGAAGGATCAACAGTGGTAAAAATATCAAAGATCAGCAGCCCAGATAAGCATATCATCACCGATATCTTGCTTAAGATCTTTGGGTGCAGGCTCTTCCTGGTGAACTTGGCTTTTGATCTTCTCGAAAATGAAGTGAACAGAGTAGTCATTGGAAGAAGCAAAGATCTTTTATTTTTCTTTTTTAGCAAATAAAGGAAATAACGGCTGGGAATCATGATTTAAAATGCTTTCGAAAAGTAGTGGTTTTGTCAAGACATTTCAACTCAGTATACGATGGTTCTGTTTAAAAATTATCCTTCCTCTCAAACAAGTCAAGCAGAAAACTTGTCTTTTTTTTTCTTGCATTTCAATGTAAAATAGAGACGTAGAAAGTAAAGATGAAGAACGAAAATGTAGTCATTTCTTTTCAATTTATGTAATGTATTAGATTGAATGACCAGAAATCAAATGTTTTTTCTCTTGGAATATTTTGTCAATTGCTGTAGTATTTTGTGCTCGCACGTATTTTATGTATCTAACGATATCTAAAAAAGAGTATACCTACTATTGAATGTCTACTAAAAAGGACTTTTTTTTATTGCCAACGGTAGTGCACATCAATTTTGAAAGCAATGTTCTAACTGATTCAACTTTTTCGTCTTATTAAGCTCCTTCAGATTACCTAGAAATGCACTTTTCTCAAACCTCTTGGATCTGACCTATATTGGCAGTCTGATATTCCAGAAATTCTTAAACTTTTTTTTCTTTGGTCAACAATCAAAAAACAACTTTCTTGTGGCCACCAAACGAATAATAACTTCCAATTCTTTGACTTAAATATTATACTCTGGACAAGGTAAAAAAAGAAGCTTTGTTAGCAATACAGTTGTCGAGCAACAGTACATTATAGAATATCTTTTTTCAACCATAAACAAATGGCTGTATAGTGGAAATTGAAAACGGAAGCAAATCAATTTATCCTGCTGCATGAAAAATCGAGCTTTTGTTGAGAACTGCATTGAGACGCAGTTTTTCGGCTTTGGTGTTGTGACAAAAAGGTGTAGATTGTTGCTTTCTGAGTCTATTGATGTAGAAAACACAACAGAGTTAGTGCTAAAATATTAAGTAAATGCGCAAAAATACTTGCAAGGCTTTTCGCTCCTATCATACCATTTCTATAGTACAATTGACAAGCAAACACATCAGTCAAAAAATATAGCCTCGGGCGCACATTTCGAGTATTCAGGCTTGTCGATAGCTCTAGTTTTTTGCCTTGTAGTGTTAAAAAAAAAAAGATCCAGAGTTGTCAAACAAGCTTTTTTCATAACTGGTACCTTTTTCTCGAAAGGCCATTTTGATCATTCTTTACAAGTCTCTTTTTCTTTGGGCCCACATCATCTCCAAAGGTACTATGAATGTTGTTTAACGTGATTTTCAGGTAATTGGAGTGTTTATGCGTGTATAAACAGACCTTGCAGTACCTTTATATGCCTAGGAAATGGACAAAGATTTGTATCAACTATTGTCCCTTTCGCTGTTGAAGCATTTATTTGTCTGGTGTTTCTGTTACAAGAACGGTTCAAGCACTACCAAACTACTTATTCAAATAAAATAGCTTTTTAGAAAGATATTCAATCTTATCGAGCTGGTGTGTCTGGATGTTTCCTTAACCGCCACAGTCAATCAGCCCAATTTTACACTAAAAGAAAAGAGAGAGAAGAACTAGAAGGAGTCATAGCACGAATGCTCATCACTGTAAGATTTGCCATAGATATTGTAATATTCTCCCCTTTTCTTTTTTAAGCCAGTCAAATTGACAAACATCGTATAGGCTAGAGCTTATGCAATCTTCTTTCTTAGTAAACTAGGCTTTCAACAGTTTTCAACTAAGTTGCTGGAGAGCGTATCCATACAAATGAGCAGGTAATCGAGATTATTTGTCTTTGGGCGGAATACAGTAAGTTGGTCTTCTCCATAAATGCATTTTAGACAATTTATAAAATTCAGAGTTACCAAGAGATCCATGAAACTGAACTTTTGTGCGAAGGCGATGAGGCAAATTCTCTTTGATATAAGCTTAGTCACTAACAAATAACCTCGTATATGTTGTGGCAACAGAAACTCTTATGCGTAATGTGAGTAAATTTGTCAATAAATAAAGGAAATTCGTATCTCGTTTTAATACTGTGGCAGGCAAGGACATGCTAAATCTTGGAATGTTGGTATACGATCTAGAAGCAGTTAAATGTAGGCTGCTTATATTGATTGATGATATAACTATTCGGAATAACCAAGGAAATTGCTCACCACAGTTTTTTTCTGTCAAGCAATCTTGAGCATCTTCTCCTTCAAGAGTTAGTTTGCCAGCATCATTGATGACCTTGCTATCACCCGAATGACATGCAGCCTCACCATTCGACAAATCATATTCAACTCCATGGATACAAATTATGATTCTCACGTCAATCTTGAAACCGATGACATTAATGGTTTCGCTATCAAGAGTAAGCGAATCATTGGAAAAATGAAGATAACTGGTTTGCTTGCTAATATCATGTCTAGTATTCCTCTTGCAAAACTGCCTGGCATGTTGCAAATCATACGTGAGTACTACTTTTTTTGGTCATTGAGACGTATTCTAAGCAATAAGTATTCTATCCACTTCAATGCCCATTCCAAAAAACGACTACTTTTGCGTGGAAATGTATTTTCTTGATTACACAAAGAAACCAGTAATTTATCAAATGCATGTGAATAAAAGATAAGTTTGAGTAGACAAAGAACATTGCAGAATGAAGCAAAGAGAATTGATATACTTCAAAGCTCATAGTACTCATACGTTTATGCAAAAATGATCGCTTTTTTTTTTGGAATGGACGGGGTGTTCCCGTTAAAATATGTGTTGAATACTTGAATGCACATTTAAAATAATGTAGATCATTTTCAATAATTGAGAATGCGAGACATTTGTATTGGTGGTATCTGCTTTATTTGATTTAGGCATAAACCTTTCATTATTTCTGTCAAACAGATAGTTTCTCAAAAGCTTAGAATTTTTCAAAGTTCGACCGAGAAAACTAATTTTTGGAATCACCCAGTTCAATCAATCTACTTTTGAATGACCTCTCATCTTCTTTAGTAGATCTCGAAACTTCTTTTTCCTCTGCTGACTTTCCTCTTGGTACCAAACGCTCAACTTATTCTTTCTCTCTTCGATCTGCTTTTCTCAACAATTGAGTTTACTTTTTTCACAACCGCAAAAATCCACCAGCCGGACTCTATCTTGGAGTTTCATTACCGGACATGTTTACGAATTAGCGCATCGTATTGCGCAATACCAGGAACTGCCAATGAGTAAAGCGTGTCTGGAAAATGAGACATCTCCGACTCCACTTGACAAGTTTAGTAACATCTACTATCTCTTCTTTTTTCTCTTTCTTCTCTTTCATATCAATTTGCATTAATAAAACATAATGGCTACCAACATTACTTGGCACGAAGGCAGTGTTTCTCTAGAAGAACGTCAATCTCTTTTAAAGCAAAAGGTAAATTATAGAAAAGGGAAAAAGAAAGGGGAAAACTTAGCATGAAATATAGGGTTTCACCATTTGGTTCACTGGTCTTTCTGCCTCTGGTAAGTCTACTTTGGCCACTGCTTTAGAACAAACATTGCTTCATTCCGGTATCAACTCTTACCGTCTGGACGGTGATAACATTCGTTTCGGTTTGAACAAGAATTTGGGTTTCGGTCCTGAGGACCGTACCGAAAATATCCGTCGTATTTCTGAAGTAAGTGATTGTTGGATGTGGTATGTCGATTGACATATGTAGGTTGCTAAATTGTTTGCTGATGCTACTGTTGTGGCTCTTACTGCTTTTATCAGTCCTTACCGAGCTGATCGTGACTCTGCTAGAGCTCTTCATCAAGCTGCTAATATTCCTTTCATTGAAGTCTTTGCTGATGCACCTTTGGAAGTTGTTGAACAACGTGACCCCAAGGGTCTCTACAAGAAGGCTAAGGCTGGTGAAATCAAGGAATTCACAGGTATCTCTGCTCCTTATGAAGCTCCTGAAAACCCTGAAGTCCATGTCAAGACAAACGAAGTGACCATTGAACAAGGTGTTCAACAAATCTTGGATTATCTCGTCAGCAACAACCTTATTTCCGCAGACCAAATTATCAAGAAGTATTAAACATGTATTATAGAATAAACAGAAATGTCAAGCGCAAAAGAATCCAGTTATTTTTATTATTTTTACATGATAGTACATTGTGAATCTCTGTTTTTTGATGCCATAGAGAGTTTTTTATCTTGAGTAGCCATACGCTTCTTTTCATTCTTTTGGTGCTTGACTAAGCTTTCCAGCAAATCAATTCGTGCTTTGGCTTCTTTATGGTTGCCTCTCTTGACTGCTTTTGAATAGTAATGGTGTGCTTGCTGATAATCTCTTGGCACACCAATGCCCATTTCATAATACCATCTAACAACAACCAAGTCAATACACAAACCATATACTGCACTAGACTTACCCTAATAGATAGCATGCATCAGGCACTCTTTGATCTGCAGCTAAATGACACCATCTGAAAGCTGCATCTTCATCACGACCATGTGTTTTTATCCAGCCAGACTCATCTTGTTCAAAAATAGCAGATTGTTGTTCAGCTTGTTCAGGTGGCGCTTGAACACCTTGATTATAAAGTCGACTTAATCCCAACATGGCATAACCATTGTTGTTTGTATTTGCTGCCATTTCGTAAAATTCGTGTGCTTTTGCCAAGTTTATACGGATACCATAAGGACCATACTCATAAATATACCCAAGTCGGAATTGAGCTGCAGACATGCCCATCTCAGCGGCGTGTTCAAGGTAAGTCATGGCAGCAAAAGTACCACCAAAGGCTTGAATGAGCTCACTAGGCATGTCGACATTTGGATAATCATTCATCAAAAGCAACCCTAAAGTATAAGGTGCTTCTGGACAAGTACCAGTGGACTTTTCAGATGCTTTGACAAGTAATTGGATGGCAGCTTGAACATTTCTTCTTGAACCAAATTCACCATTTAAATTAATCATAGCAATTCTCTATGCAACAGGTGAGTTATTGATTTGACATTCTTCAAAACTTACATAAAGAGCTTCAACAAGACCTAGACTGGCTGCGTCTTCATAAAGTTGGAAAGATGTCATATAATCTTGTTCTTGTTCATGGTATTGGCCTACAGCAAACATAGCTTCAGGTACTTTCTCATTGGCTGCAATTTCATAAAACTTGAGTGCTTTCGATGAACTTTTTCTAAAGCCATACATGCCTCGATCAAGCCATAATGCCATCAAATAAGCAGCCTCACCTACTCGTTCTTTAGCAAGCTTCTTGATCCATCGCACACCTTCCTCTTCAAGTACTTTTCTCTTTTTGCGTTTGTTGGCTTCTTCATTTTCGTCATAAGGCTGGCCTTGAGTCATGTTTGAATCTCGGCGCATGTTATTAAAAGTGGCATTTGAACTAATATGGGTATCAATACTGCTGCGTCGACTATGAATACTGCCAAAATGGCTAGCATCACTGTCTCGACGAGACATGGATTGTTTCAGTGTAGGTAAGGTCAATGATAAGTTGGGTCTAAAAGGGCGCCGCTTTTCATCGTACATGCTGGCTATTTCCAACAGATATTTGGCGTATGTCAGTTGGACAATAGGGTCATTTGTTTTAACGGCCATGTTTCGGTAAAGTTTGATGGCGTCTGGGTGATTTGTGAGACTATACGATGCTTTGGAATATCTTGAAGATGCTGCTTGTTGTTGTTGTTGATGAACATGCGTTGGATAGATAGAGGAAGGTGTCAAAGAAGGTGTGAGGGAAGGTGTACGAGAATGTGAGATAGGTGGGCGCTGAATAGTGTTTTGTGAATGTGAATAATCCTTCAATGATGTCTCTAGTTTTTGACTATCCTCATGACGATGGTTTGTTTCATGAGGCATGGCTACTGCATTGACGGACTGTTGAGCGACTGATGGTGGAGTCTTGCCTGCTGATAAAAAGTCTGGATGATGCTGTGGTAGTTGTGGTGGAGAATGTAAAAGTGTCTTTTCTTCTTCTTCTTCTTCAATAGTCTCTTTTGATAACAAGTGTGATTCGTTCAAGGTAAATAGAGGAGGTAATGCTTCCAAAGGAGGTAAAAGTTCTAGTCCATTCTTTTGATGGTAGTTTAGTTGCTGTTCCACTAGTGTTTTAGACATTTTTCTAACCACAGAAGGCATATACTGCTCTTTTTCCGATAAATTATCCATGACCATCGAACGCGAGGATGACGAGGCAGGTGTAAGTGGTACAGAGAAGGTAGAGTTGGTATCTTCTTTGTAGTGCCAAGAGTTTGGTAGTGTTGTAGGAGGTGGTACAACTACCACAGAATCGTGTTCTTCTTTGATAGTCGTATGCTTTACTTCAGGCGAAGAAATAACGCTGTTGAGAGAAGGTTTGTATTGAATGTCGGATATGTTGACAGGTTCATTGTCTTCTTCATAAAAATCAGGATTAATTACACGTAGCCTGAAAGGATGAGGGTTGATTTCTTGTACTGCTGTGCCTGTATCAGAATCAACAGAAATCTTGCTGTCATTCATTGAATTATTGGTATGAAAAGCAAAAGAATCACCAAATTGTGATTTAGAAGTGCTTTGGTATTGCATGTTTGGTATAAAGTAAAGAAGAAGAAGAAAAGAAAGAGAAGAATAATAAGCTTAATTCCCTTTATTAGAAAGAAAAAAAATGCTTTATCTAAAGGCACACACAATAGCCCCATGTGATGGCGATGATTCAGGTTCCGTTCGTTTACTATTTTTAACTGCATACAAATTAAACCAAGATTCTTTTATTAGACATATGCAATTACCGAGGTTTACATAGGCGAAAGCAATAAACTATTTTGTCTTGAACGAGATTGGCTGTCTGTCAGTTTTTCCAGCTGTTCTTCTAATTTCACAAGTTTGGTCACCAATGATTGATTCATTTCCTCAAGTTTATCTAGCCTTTCATTTTCATCTTGACTGTCCTTAGACAAGTCCAAAGCCTTGTTGATGGGAAAGAAGCTGTAGTCTGCATTCTTGAGACACATGGCCACATAAGATTCTGGCCCTGTATATTCTGTTCGGTCCTTGTTCCTGAGATGAACCAAAAAGAATAAATATTGCCTATCAGTTTCTATTAATAATTTTACCCTTTTTTTCTTTTTTCTTTTTTCTTTCTTTTGTACCATATGTTGTGATCATTTTTGACATGATCCTCAAACCCCTTTTTTGCATGGCGTTGGAATTCAACGGCTGGAATACTACAAATGAAACAAGCTATCAAGAAAAGGAGGGAAAGGAGAGTTAGTAATAGAATTAAAGCATACAACATACAATTCTTCATATCATGCTGAATAGATGATCTCTCTATACAGATTAAGTTAAAGTATACAACATACATGTCAAACGTACCATCACGGAGATGCCCAAAGGTGTCAAAGATAATACCAAAAATAGCATTTAACAAAAATACTACAACAACTAAATAAAAAGACATTTCAAAAACCGTTCTCCATCCATTTGGTCTTAGCAGTTCATCAGGTTCTAGAATATCACCAATACCACCACCTGATCTGACACTACATAAAACAAGGTTAACTGTATATGTATTTCATATGCTTGTGATTACCCGTGTGATAAGACAGTGACAAAACATTCTGTTAAAGAGCCACAGAACAGCCCTTTAGAAGCATCAAATTCTTTGCGGAAATACATATAGGCAATGATACTATGGATATAAACCACAATAATACCCAATATAGCCTACGCAATTCAGTCATCTTGGATGATATACTTCTAACTTACAGTTCGAGAAATCGAATGGATATTGAGTGTGATACTAGAAATGACTCCTTGAAGCACACTGTCACGAAACAACAAATCAAGTAAATGAATAGAATAAAATCCTGGATGGACTAAACCAATAATAGAGAAGGAAACCATAACCAAATGATATAGAAATCTGGATTCTGATACGGTGGCCCAAAACATGGCATTATTGCCGGGACCATAGCGACGATTGATCAAAACAGGTAATTGAATAAAATAGAATTCTGCAGTGAGTAACAACCATAACACGAAATGAAGTAAGCCAAGCAAATATCTGCACGCCACAATTAAAGGAGAAACATCATGCGTAAACATGGCCTCGAGTAATTTAGGGTAAATCATCAGTAACATGTTTAACAAGACAGAGACCCCATAAGCTGCTTCCCACCAAAATACACTGTATCCAGTCAACAAAGATAGATATTGACTGTGTGCTACATGAGCTTGGTTCTCGATTCTTATGCAAATGAATAAGCTATTTTCTGTTTTGAGTAAACTTACTCGTAAATAATCAGTTCAGATTGTTGCACAAAGTCTTCAATCTTGCTTGAAGGAGATTCACTAGATATTTTGTTAATCAAGTTATTTGAAGCAAAAAAAGAAAGGCATTTACCGTTTTACGTTCCATAAGAACCTTTGCTTTGTTCCTTCTCTTAAGTATTGACATACTTCAGGAATTGGGAACAATACTCGAGTCAATTGCTTCTCTTGTCCATAACCCATGACTATTTCTATCTTTCCAGTGTGACTTTGAAAGTATTGAAATGCATGATTGTTTTCAAAAAGTAAAGCACTCTATTATGATTAGAAACATTCTTTTCTTATTTTTGTCATACCTGTTCTTGTTCTAAAGCAGGAAGAAGGGTCATGACAAGAATACAATACAAGAAGCCACATTCTAGCTTCTCAAACAGTTTAAGATTGGCTAAATTGTCATTGTAAATAGACTCCATGTTATTCCTGACAGCCATCAAATCAAGGGAATCAATCATTTCTCTATAGATGGTCTCACTATTTTCAATACCACCTTCTAATAGACTAAGTAAACATACAACTACTTTAGACTACAAAAAAAAAAACAGTCAAGGCCTCTAATCAAACAAATGAGTTTACCTTAAGTTCATTCACTTTAACAGGGTCACACGTCTCATAGGATTCTCTCAAAATAATATTGACAGGATTGATAATCTTGTTGTTAAAGATTGCTACTTGATTATCTAAGCAACCCTGAGTAATAGATTAGATGGCAAGTCATATAAAACAACAACTTACCTGTGCTAGTTCTGTGATAGTGTCCAATACTTGAATGGTCAAGCTGATGCTGCTTTCATCACAAAGAGGTACAATGGCATGAAAGTATTCAACTACGTCCAGCACAATATTGAAACTCTTAATATTGTCAGGTTGTTTAGCCAAATACGTTTGCAAGTGTAAATTATGGCCTTCGACCATCAACTGCAAAGTGCGCATGGCATCCTTCATCACCTTGAAGTCTTTGACGGTGTGTCCATATTCAGATGTGTATTCGTTACTGGCAACCATCAATTGAGAGATTTCCCGGTACAGTTCGTTTGTTTCTTTATCTTGTTGACCAAAATGATACATGCCCTTTCGTAGCATGAATTGATGACTGCTTCGCTTATGGCTGATTGAATTCGTATTGTCCAAGAAACTCATGGATGTCTCTCTTTTATGCTTCGACGTCTTTTTCTGTTGTTGCATGACATTCTCAAACATGTACTGTTGACGATTCATTTTGTACATTCTACGGGCAAGATAAATTTGAGCATCTTTAGAGGCATTAATCCCACTTTGCAAACGTTGATGAAAAGAATAAAAGAATCGTTCTTCTCGAATACTATAAAAATACTCTTCAAGTTTATCCTGTACATTCTTGTTACCACCTTCCAAGAGTGAAATCAAGAGTTTAAGGGCTGCATCAAAGATCTGTTTTCGAGGTGAAGAAAGTAAGTTTTGAGCCACGAGTGTACATCCAAGTTCATTTAATGTGTTTTGTGCCTTGATTTTCTTTATTTCCAAGTCTTCATAATACGCTGCATATTCATTGGGATCAGTCTTCGATTGTTTGCGTATGTATTTCATGGCTATCTCTTTTAGTAGTTTGATGGTGGCTACCTGATAATGTTCAATGCGTCTATCAACAGTAGTTGTGGTGATTGTGTTTAAATAAGCAATCAACGATTCAATACTACTATGGTCGTTCGAAAGCGTGAAATGGGAACCTAGCAAACAATGAATACAGCATGACACGCACAAATTATCTTACATAATCTTTCGTATTCTTCTTTTTGATATTGCTTGACAGACATACTGTTCTCAATGTCATGAAACATCTTTTGAAAACTGATATTGGCTATATCTTGTATAGGTACTGTTTTTGTAGAAGGTTCATGGTGTAATCGGTCCAAGGTCATGGTCGCGTCTTTTAATGTATCCCGTAAAAGTCTGGGCTGCACTGTCCCTCTGAATCCCGCTACATTGATCATACTATCTACACACCCTAAGACAGACTGAAGATCCTTTTCATCATGTGCAGCCAATGGAATCAGTTTCACAATCATATCGACCAGTCTCGAAAAACCGGCTTGTTGATCCACTGCTGTTTCGATCGAGATGTGGTACTCAAACACAGATTTCAAAAAGACCAAAATGCCTCGAAACACATAATTTAGAAATTCAGGGTCGTGTGTTCCAGACAAGCATTGAGCAATGGCCACTTCAGATACAGTAATGAGCTTCAGCATATCTGGATTGTCATACACAGGTACGTCCAAGGGTAATTCAATGTCTTCAATATAAATCGAAGCCAGAAAACTAAGCATCACTGACTTGAGTGCTAAAGACACTTGGTCATCATGTACAATATGATAGATGTCTTGAATAGAAAACACAGTACGAGCAAACGATTGTCCAAATGAGTTTTCACCTTGTCCACAAGTGCCTAAAATACTGATCAAATGAATGCAATAGTTTGAAGTATGCAACTTTTTTAGACTCTCCATGTTGTCAAATGGAATATATTCCTGTCGATTGTTAATGATGAAGCGCATCACAATGTCTTGATTTCGCTTGATAGATTTGCCTTGTGTCTTCAAAAGATCATGAAGGACCAACAGATATTCACCTTGATATCCCTCAGATGTAGTAATGATACGAATGATATGTTCTTCTTTCATATGTGTACTGAGGTACAAGTTATTGGCACATAACCGAGCAAACATTTCAGCAACGACGGGCGAGAGTTGTGTCAGTTCAATCAAGAGATTGATATGCGTCAACACAAATTGACTTTGAAGATACTTGTCATGTTTAACGGCACTGCATAAAAGTCGAAGACAGGCAGTGATTGTGTCAATGTAAGCATGATAGTATCTTGCAGGAATATGCTGAAGTGATTTGAGTACATTCACAAGTAAGTCGCAGGCATTCAAACTCTTGAACATGCGGCAATAAATGGTCTTGTCATATTTGGTTGTGCTCTGGTCTTTGGTCAAAGGAACAATCAACAGCTTCTCTAGCTCTTCAATAATATCCTTGAGTCTCGATAGATGGAAAAGACAATGTTCATCATTCTCACTATCAAAGAAACTAAAGGCTTGTAGCTTTGTCAACTGATCTTTGATACGTCGGTAAGTTTGCTCTTGTTCATTGTCTTTGAGAATAATAGCACTGTTGATTTTTTTAAAAAGTTCTAAAGAGAAATCAATGTAAGCCCTATAGGGTTTATTCATACCTTCACTATCAGTAAATAATCGATGCATAACCACAATGGCAATTTGCTTTAAAGGTGCATATTGATACTTGAGAATGTCTTTAAGAATAGGCATTAAACTTTCTTCACGATCACGAAGCTCTGTTTGTTCAAACACTTGAAGCATGAAGAACAAACCAGATACGTCAGGCGAACAATGATATTCAGCAGATGCACTGTATAGAAAAGCTAAGCGTGTGTCATCTTTGCGCATTATACTCACTCTTCCGTCACAGATTTCCATATATTGGCTAGCTTAGTCATGCGTACACGGAGTCGAAGATCAAATATTAAGTCAAAGATATCAAGTATTTGGATCTTGATATTCATGGCAAACTGGTTCTTTTCTGTCAAAACATAGCGCTCAGGCCATTGTCGAAGCACATTTTTGTCTGTGATATGTTTGTAGTGTTCTTCGTTCCTATAGAATTGGCATGTTTCAATACCTTAGACTGATCCTTTTTTTTTTCTTTTTACCTAGCATCTGTACGCCCGTCAAGGACATGGACAAGCGTACGAAATAAAATGGCTACATTGCGTGTAGTATGAAAAAAGCCCAGTCTCAGCTGTGTATAGACCAGTTTAAGAACAGAAGACAAAAACAGAATATCTTTTGTTTTCTCGGTATACTATAGACTATAAGTCCAATATCCTTGACCTATCTTTCTTACCAAGTGATTTTGTGTGCTTAAATAGCGAAAAATCCAGCGTTTTAAGCTCTGAAAGAACTCTGAATCAATGCCTGAGGATCCAAAAGGATAATTGTCTGTATTGGATTCAATGGATCTAATATAAATGGTATAATCATACAAAGGCACCTTTTCAAACTTTAAGATATCGATATAGAGAGCTACTCAATTAATGGCCTGAATAAAACATAGAATAACCTACCTCTCAGAAGATCACAAAACTTAGTACGAAGTATACGAGGTAACTTTGTGTTCTTTAGACATTGAAGACAAACTTCTTTACTGATACACTGGCTTGTTAATTCAGTCATTTTTGTACTTGTCTTGTTTGAAAGTGAATAGACCAAATCCAACACATCTTGTAAAAACAATAGGGCATAGGGTTGTTCTTCAGTCAACATGTTTAAATCTCGCCACTCGTCTTCTAAGATCTTTATCTGCACTTGTCCTGCCTCCGTCTGTCGTGTCTGAATTAAACATGGTTGACCAAACAGTTGTTCTGATACTTTATCACGAAACCGAAGCAACAAAGAAGTAGTGGTCGTATTTGCTCGTGTAGGAGCAACAGCACGATAACAAAGTGCACTCAAGAGCCGAATATGACTAAACTGATTTTTTTGCTTCATGTTGTGTTGAGACGGATACTGTAATGCATGAACCACTTGTTGTGTTTTGAAAAGTGTCTTGTCAATCAAGTTATCTAGCATTGATGGTGACATCATGTTCTTTTGTTCAACCACTTCTAGTAGCTTGATCAATACTTCTGATGTGCCCATATCATAATCTAAATGGTCAATAAATAAAGCCATGCCCTCTGTGCCTGCTTCATTCAGGACATACAGTTGATTGTCTTGGCTTGCGTTGTCTTGCTCAAGTGCAGGATGGCGCATTAAAAACACACGCAGTACATGGTAACACAAAGTAAGGATTGTCTTGAGTTTGGAGTCTGTCTCGAGTTCTGTCATAGGCACCGGTCTTTCTTCAATTGTGTGCTGTGTCTCTGGTTTGTGTTGAACATGACGCATCTTGGCTTTCACTTGTCTTCTTTTCGTCAGGTAAAAAGGCACCCTGATCATATGGATCACTAGTTCAATCATATTCATGTCTCTGAGTATAGTTTGATGATACTCAATGGGCAATCCTTCTCGTTTGGTTGGGTTCGTTTCTTTGCTCTGAGTACAGAATTCAATCAATGTCTTGAGTATCTGACAAACGAGTTCATATTCAGCATCTTCTACAGGATAAGGATCGTTTGCAAGACAATGTCTGTCTTGACTTAGGTAGCGTTGTAAGGGAGGAATCATCTCATTCGCAAAATTAAAAGTATCTGCCAAAGCTTGATCGACCCGTGTGATGGAGAAGCAATCATGGTAGTAAAATTCAGGCGAGGCGGTGATGCTGTAATACGTAGCCAAGGGGTCCCAATGTGTACCCATGATATCTTGTGCATCCAAGGGCTCTATGGTTTGCTCCACCACAGACGAAAAAGACGAGTCTGTGGATTGAAAGCGGATATGTTTCCAAGTTGAAAAGTTCGCAGGCGAGAGGGCCATGGTGGGTGGCTGTGGCAAAGGACTATCTTCACTATCTGCTGCATGCATCCAACATTCAGTCATGATATGTTTGATTCTGACAAACGAGCCGTAAGGAATGCCCGACATGGCAGGTGCAGAGACAGGCATGAATTGAAATAAAGTGGTATCCTGGCTGGTATCCACATGTGTCAGTGAATGAAGTAGTTTGAGTGTAAATGTGGTTTTTCCTGTAGCAATGTCGATGCGAACATGGCTGGGATCAATGGACAAATAGCCTCTGGATACGGCATGGCGTATACGAATTGGCTTCTTCCAACGTACTTTGGATCCTCGACTGGTGTCTACATTTTCAATCTATCATAAAGTAAGCTCTTGCCTTGGAATCTTGCTTTACTTGCCTCCCAAAAGGCCAAGGGAGAATCACTTTCTTTTGGATCTAGCGGATTGATCAGATGCTTTTTCAGCACCACTGTGTCCCTTCAATAGTTTAGTTTTTTTCTTTTTTATATACTGAATGTATTTATATTACCCATGCATGGCTGGTGCTTCTAGATAGGACTCCATCTCCTTATGATAAAGACGAATATAATGCCCTGAATTAGTGTATTTGACATGTTTTGTGTCTTGATCGGATACTGAAGAATAATGCAATTTCATGCCCCATGAAGATATCTGTGTATGTGAATACACAGGGTATTCGTCTTCTTCCTTTTGTGTATAATCCACATTCAAATAACCTTCAGGTCGAACACACTGTAAAGCCACTGTTTCGCCTACTCGAATCGCATCCCCTACAAACCGAATACGATATCTCGGCATAATCCGGAAATACCCAATGAAATCACTTGACAGATTCACCTGGAGTCTGTGCTGGTGATGTGTTGAGGATTGACGAGTTTTGCCTGTCACTGTCAAGTATTTCTGGAAATGTTGATTGAATAACTGAACCACTTGTCCATACAAGACAGGTTTGCCTAATAGCCGATGCTTTTCAGTCTCATTTTGCGCTATTTCTTTGGCCGCTTTTTGTTCAAGTAAAACAAGCTGGTCGAGTTCTTCAGGTGTTGCTTCACATTTCAGTGTTTCGAGGTCGTTTTCACCCATAAATGCCTCGAGCTCTTTTTGAGCCATGTACGATTGTTGAGGCTCAAGGCGAAACAAAGTGGTGCCTATGGCTGTCTGTAGCGAGTTCGGTCGAACACAGGCGCGTGTCTCGAGTGGATTTTGAGCTGTCAAGATATGGTTGCTCTGATCATAAAATATGATTTCATCACCTAAACGTAAAAGTGTTTCATACGGTTTACCATTGTTTTCCTTTGGCTCGAGTGAAGACATGATTTAAAAAAAAAAAAAAAAAAAAAAAAAAAGAACTAAAATAAAATAAAGTAAAGTAATAAAGACATTTTGTGCTTCTTGTGTAACAAGACTAGTAGCAAAACTAGAGAAAGTCTTTTTTTCACGTATTTCATGCAACAACAATAACAAGTTGCTTGTATTTTATTGGCTATAAGGTAGAGCTGCATCCTCTTTTTTTTTTCTTGCATAACAAAGAAATTGATGACGCAGAAGCTTTCTTTTTTTTTCTCTTTTTAACCTTTGAGAAGTCCGCCTCGTTTTTTTTTTTTCTTTGGATTATATGGTTATGCCCTCTTCTATGCAAATGCAGTCCATCTCGGGCATCATTACGCAGATTCATGTCACTATAGATGAAGTACCACCTGCTCTTGTAGGGGCTTCCATTAATGTGATCGACGATAAAGTTTATGTATTTGCAGGTCGACTTGCCACGTCTCGCAAAATGACCAACTTTCTTTATGTGTTGGATCTCAACACACTCTGTTGGAGTCGACATATCCCACCACCTGATTCAGACAAACCGCCTAAAGCACGCTATTTTCATTCAGCCAGTGTCTATCAGAACCAACTCATTGTTTTTGGCGGCATGGGCTATTCTTCTCGCATGTCTGCAGAAGGTGGTCTGGCTGTATTGGATGATGTGGCCATTTTGGATATTGAAACCATGTGCTGGAAACGACCCACAATTCAACCCAGCCTGTATTCACCTCAGTCTCGTTATGCTCATTTGAGTGCAGTCATTGAAGATAAATTGGTCGTGATGGGTGGACAAGATATTCAGAATAACTATCTAGATGAAATCAACGTACTGAATCTACGGACATTTGAATGGGAACAAGTTAAGACATTAGAGAAACATGTAGGTGCTTATCGATCCATTGCTGTCACTGCACCTACCAGTGCTCGATTTCCTATTCAACCACAGCATGAAGATATCTCGACTGAAGAAACAGCCACTGATCCAGCAGACACCAACGGACAACGAGCCATCAATGTACAATCAGAAGAAGATGCCAGTCCTATCTATCTCTATACAAACTACAACTTTTCTGATGTCAAACGAGAATTACAGCTGATTTATTCGTCCAGTCAGGCTACACAGTCTATTGTGGTAGAAGAGTATTCAAACTACATGAATGGGTCCACCATGCCACCCGGACTACGCTTCCCTACAGGTCATACATTAGGCAATCATTTGATTTTAGCAGGCACTTATCTTTCACCTCAATCTCAATCTTATACGATCTGGTCGCTTGATTTAACCAAGTTAACATGGTCTCGTATTGAAACAGGCAGTGTATTCACCACAGGCAGTTGGAACAAGGGTGTGTTGCATGAAAGATCAAATCGATTCCTTGTGTTTGGTAATTCAAATCGTCGTTTGATGGATGACTATAATCATCGCCAGATCAACTTTGACCATCTTGCCATGGTGGATTTGGAAGCATTTGGTGTGTATGCTTTACCCAAGGCCACTTGTTCTTCATTGGCTCAAGAAATGGGACTTCGGTTGCTGAATGAACCTGCTGTGTCTGATTTCCATATCATCACACAGGACAATATAAGTATTCCAGTCAATTCAGCTGTCTTGTGCCAACGGTGGCCTTATTTTGCTCGATTGATGAAGCATAATGTCACGCATGGAGAAGAACTGGTCAAGAGCCATTACATGTCCTTTCCTTACCCACATACAGTCGTTATTGCCTTGTTGCAGTTTGTTTATACCGACAATCTATTGACTGCTCAACAATACCAACCTCATATCTTGTCTCAATTGCTGTTGTTGTCAGACATGTATGATATTCCTCGTCTTTGTGAACTAACTACCCATGCACTTCATCAAATGCTGAATATGTCGACTGCTCCTTTGATTTTTGAGACTGCTGCATTATCCCATCAGACCAGTCTACAGATACGCGCCTTAAAGATGATGATTGCAGCTAAGAAAATGATACAACAACAGCAACAACAAACAAGATCAAGAACGGTTTCTACACCCACTCATATGACAGATCAACCACCCCCAGTGTCTCCTACAACTTCTGTGTCTTCGTCTAGTTATCATTTGGACAGTAGAGAATATGTCTCAAGTAATACAGCATCTCCTACATTACAATCCTTTCGCGTCAGAAAACCTTCTCTCACCAGTAATCATCGCCCAACACCCCGTGCATCTACATCCAATACATCCCCTATTGCTTCTCCTACGTCTTATTCAACCATGGCTTATAGTCCACCCACTTTACCAGCAGAACTTCCCAGACGATCCCTCTCTCTCCTCCTCCTCCTCCTCCTCCTCCTCCCGCAGCATCACAAAAGACAAAAGAGAAAAAGAAAAAGAAGGCCTTTTTGGAAGCATTTGGTAAACTGTCTTCCATTTCAAAATAAACCTTTTTTTTTTATGTATCAAATCCATCTGACTTGTTTTTTGGGCTTGGGTTCATTCAACAAGAGTTGCATTGCTTGTAGTTTTTGTTCCATTTCTTTCATGGCTTTTTCTTGTTCATGAACGCGTTGTTTAAGTTGTTTGTTCTTTCTTTCTAATTGGTTGATTTTAACCTGCATTTGTTTCTTGCTGTCGACTTGATGAGGATGGTCAACAAACAGTTCAAACTGAAGTAGTTGATGAGCAGAGGGACGATGACTGGGGTCCATGTCCATCATCCAGAGTATCAAAGCAGTGACTTTAGGGTATAGATCCAAGAATCCTTCTGGAAAGACACCTCGCTTTAGTTTATCTAAAGCTTCTGCTCGTTCCATGCCTGTACTAAAAGGCTGAAAGAGTTCAAACAGGATAATCCCTAATGAATAGATATCTACTTTTTCATCATAATTTTGAGCAGCCAATTGTTCTGGAGAAGCATACTACAGAATAAGTGAGCCATCAAACAAGGAACAATCACACACTTACAGTACGTGTGCCTACACCTATAGTACGTGTCCGTTTAGGTTTGGGTCGTTGTGTAGGTTGGCAACGAGGACTGGGTGGTGTAGAGGAGATAGGCGTAGGTACCAAAACAGATTCACCTTGTTCATCCATAGCTTCAGCTGCTAATCCAAAGTCACCAATCTTGGGTACCCAACATCCTTCCCATAAAGGAATCGACTCCAAATCACTTTCAAATGCAGAATCAGGCGAAACAGAACAAGAGGACTCAAAGCTCTGTTTACGCATACGTTTGTCCATGGCAAACAAAAAGATATTACTTGGCTTCAAATCACGGTGAATAAGGCCTTGTTGATGAATATAAGCTGTGCCTTGAAGGATTTGAGAGAATATCTCTAGATTGCGTTTGGCATCTATCGTGAGTGAATCATCATCAGCATATTGTTTGTTTCTAAACCGAATATAGTCATGGAGTGTGGTAGGGCATAGTTGCATCTGAATGAACAAGATCCAACCTGTCTTTTTCATCGTCTCGGATGTAGATGGTGTAGTAGATTCAATACTACTTGACTGAAGATAGGACTCTTCACCAAACTGAATATAAGATGTGTCTTCCTGTCGTAGTGATGATGCTTCACCAAACTGTATATAAGATGTATCATTCAGTCGCAGGGATGATGCTTCAGTAATATCACTTGGTGTAGAATCAAAACTAGGTTCTGGAAAGACACTATCTTCTTCTTCACTGTCTGTAGATTCATCAAATTCAAGCCAAGAAGCATAGTATCGAATCACATTTTGATGTTCTAACCGTGCCAAGTTTTTGATTTCTCTAAAGATACGTTCATACGCATCATCTTGTTGTTCATCTTGAATATCATTGCTTAATCGAATCTTTTTGACTGCATAATCAATGCCATCCAGCTTATTACGGGCACGAAACGCACTGGCAAATCCACCTTTGCCCAATAAATTCAGTTCGATAAAATCAGTATTATAACGAGAGTTTTGTACGTGTAAATTCATCATTTGAATAGGCTCCTTTTTTTGTATGGTAAAGTAATCATTCGAGTCCTTGCTAGGTAAAGGATCATTAAACTGAAGCAAGTCTTGATTTCTGACTGTCTGGACAGCAGTAAAGAACAATTTATGAAATGCTTGTTGAAAAGTAGAGCTTATATTGGTCATTTCATCCATAAACTCAGCATCAATCATACCCAATGAACGTAGTGTTTGACATATCAAAAAGAACACTTTTCTATTGGCATCGGGTGTGTCTCCATACGTACTGCAGAAATGCTCAATCAAAGTAGCCAATAACATTTTAGTTTGGTATCGTTTTGTCATGACATTATCTTGTTGAAGGGTATATTCATAGCTTTCTATATCTTTATGTTAAAATGTCCTTGTGTTGTAGAAACCTTTACCTTCCCAGCGAAGGGGTTCTAAGAGATCATTACTTGAGTCATTAGGCATCTTAAAAAAAAAAAATAATATGTAGAAAAAAAAAAAAAAAAAAAAAAGAAAAAGCAGAATCCAAATTCAGTTTATATCCTACTATTTTGATTGGTTCAAAATTTTTATTCTCGTACATCATATTCATGCTCTTCTTCAAATCCTTCATCTTCATATACTTCTTCTTCATCGTCTTGATATTCTTCATCATCCGAATCAGATTCAGTTTCATAGTCTGTATTCAACTGCAATCGGTTCATTGTGACTGTTAAATCGTCTGCTAAACTCTCTTGTTCTGATTTTGATTTTGACACATCTTCCATGCGCTTTCTCATATTGGCCAATTGAATGTCTCTTTGTTGTGATTCTTGCAATTTCATCGATTCTTCTAGACTCATCATACGAGCACCGCGGGGCTATTCAAGTCAGTGGTTAGATTACGTAATCAATCCTTACTGGTGACATGTCTGTCTCTGAAGGTGCATGAGCTCGTAAAAGTTGAATAGGTGTTTGTTGTTGATTGGATTGTATCAGGGTCTTTTGACGTACATCCAACGTATCATTCAAGGATAATTCTGATACTTTGTCTGATAAACTGTTTTTTAGTAAGGATTCAAGTTGTGCTAGTTTGGCTTTGAGTTTTGCACCCCCATCAGGTAATGTGAGATGACTAACCAGTGAGTAATCGTGTTTTTATGTACTGTATAGCATACTTTACGGGTTATTTAAGGTAGCTTTTGTCTTTTCGTATTGTGATTGCAAGTCATTGGAATCATTAAGTGTGGCTCGATGGGTTCTTAGTCCATCCAACGATTTCTTCTTGACTTGAGGATTCATATTGAAAAAAAGAAAAAAAGAAAAAAAAAATAAACGGAAAAAAATTATTTTAATTTATTCATAATCAGGCTCACTTTCTGGCTTCACAGCAGGATCAATACCAATGGATTTCATCTTGACAGCAATTTCAAACAAATAATCATAACATTCCGTCATGGTCTTTGCCTTTTGCCAGTTTTCACCCCATACATAAACACCATGTCTACGCACAAGGACAGCATTGGTATCAGGGTATTCTCGCATAGCCTAAATTGGAATCAATCAACAGCCCGTGATCATGTTCAACTTACAGCAGCCATTCTGTCTGTCAAATCTTCTTCTTCAGGTGTGTTTTCAACAATAGGTACCACCAGTTTATCAAAATAACGCAAGTTGTTTTTGGTGGAACCAATACGAATACCCTTGATCATTTCTTGATGAGATATCTCAAATGTCTTGCCTGGAAACATCAAGGTGGCCATCACAGCATGCTGAGAATGAGTATGGATACAAGCACCTGCATCACGCATTGTATAGGCATTATAGAACAAAGGTGTACAGGCAGAAGGCTTGAATTCCAAGGGTTTCCTGATCACAGTACGATCCTGTAACTTCATCACAAACAAGTGATGAGGTTCCATGCGTTCTTTTTGAACACCTGAGGGAGCAATATAGACATGATCACTAATACATTCAGCACATGTTGTCAATCTAGATGGGCTTACTCTTGTCGAACACTAATGCCACCACCCGTACCAGTGACCCAACCTAATTGATAGAATAAGCGACATAACTCAGGAATCAAGTTGGCAGGGTGGTTGGGGTCATTGCTGGTGCATAAAACATCAGATGTTTGTTGTGCCGTTGACATGATCGATAAAAAGAAAGAAAAGCTTTTTTTTTTTAGTGGCTGAATTTTATTTTTATTTTTATTTTTTACAAAATACCTATTGAAAGGTATACATTCATAGTATGATTCTAATAAAACACCTTTTTCATTGGATGCAATCATTCATTTGATGGACAATAACGTATAAAGGTGCATGACATTGGACATATCAAGTTTTCTTTTTTTTTTGGCTTACGTAAATACTTCACAACAAAAGATGACAAAGCACCCGAAAGTGTTGATGATGGCGCTTTTCTAGGCATCTTGGTTATCTTGACTTCTTGAGAGCTGTTGTGGCCTGCTGTTCATGTTACGGCTCAAACATAAATAGATGCTTCAACGCGCTCTCGACAAATGCACTTTTGTTAGCTATTTTAGAAATTCACTCAATAAAAGTCACAAACTTGGTCGACGTCACTTAAAATGAACATACTAAAATACATTCAAAAAAAAGCGCGACTTTTTTTTTTTTTTTTCTTTTCTGCATCATACCCATTTCTTACGATGGCTGATAATGTATGCTTTTCATTACTCAAGACAGCCACACAACAAATCATTCAAAGTGCTGGATTTGAAGCAGCCAATAACCGTTCCATAGACACACTGGCTGATGTCTTTGGAAAATATATCGAGTTATTAGGATCGACTGTATCTGCTTATGCCAGTCTGAATGGAAGAACGATGGGAACAGCAAGGGATGTGTTTGAGGCACTGAATGAAGTCGCTATTGACCCAAACACGCTCAAGATGTGGTTAGAAGAAGAAGGAAAAGCACTTTCACCTTGTTGGTCAGCTCAATCCGATCCAGGACGACTCTTGCAAGGTAAATAACATACCATGATAGTGTTACTTATCCCATGTAGGTGTGATTGCGGGCGGCAGAAACACATTTGAAGACATCATCGAGTATCGATTTGGACATGTTCAAGCATTTGATTTATCAGAAGATGAACAAGACACAGACATGCTCCTTGATTCACCTATCCAAGAAAACGCATTACCCGACTATGTCCCTTCTTATTTCCCTGCATTTCCCGAAATCAAAGAAGACACTGTCATGGAAGAAGCAACACAACTCTTGTTGGAGAAACAACAACGAGAACAACAACAACTTCAATTACAACAAAAGCAAGAATTACCTTTACCCGTCATTGTGAAACATCGCAAAAAACCGATCGAGAACCCATTTACACACATTATACCCTTTGATGAATCCAACCTGGCTTCAGCCAAAGAGAAGAGTCGAGACGAAAAGCCTTTGTCGATGTCTGTCGAACTCTCGACTAAGCCCACTGAACCCACCAACGACAGAAAGACCAACATTGAACCTCTTATGGAAGCCTTAAAGAATATTCAGTCACCCAACTATAAACTCGGGGAAGGACTTGAACCTCATGAAGAAGAAGCATTGTTCAAGACACAGACACAAGATGCAGCAGCTCCAGGCAATTATATGTTTAATCGAGACAATGGCGTGTTTGATGAGATTGTGTTGCATTCGGCTGAACCTTTGATTAGTTCTAAAATTACAACACCGAATCTCTCGTTTGATGTGGCCATTGCAACAGCACCTGCTACACCCACCACAGACTATATACCCGGTTCACCTGATCATAAGCTGATGTCTCGGTCCATGTTGGCTGCTTTGGCCAAAAAGGGTAAACAGTTTGGTAAATTGAGACCTGGTATGTCAAATCCCCATGCGATCAGTAAACATAGTGTGGATATCAATGCTATCAAGACAGGCGAAAGTAAATATCTGATGAAGAAGAAGCGTATGCTGGCAGAACAGCAAGCGATGGAAGAAAGACAGCGACTATTAGAACAACAACTAAAAGAGAACCCTAATGCTACAATTGAACAATTAACACCTGTTCAATCCCTGCCACTACCACTACCACCACCACCGCCACCATCATCATCAGCAGCAGCACCACCCTTATCGTCATCAGCACCACCACTACCACCACCACTACCACTATCACAACCCACACTATTACCACCAGCACCACCACCAGTATCGAAACCAGTACAACCTCCACCCCCATTACCAGTTTCTAAACCAATCAATACAGGTCCTATTAGTCTATCTTCCTTTTCACAAACAGAAAAAAAGCATAAGAAACCAACAACACCCAAATTAACCTTGAATTTCCCTCTTCCTCCTCCTCCTCCTCCTCCTCAAAAAGAAGAAGATAATCAGTCACCCAGTACGCCTAAAATTCGATTTAAAATCAAACCACCTATGGAATCACCACTTGTGAAAAAAGAAACACCTGTGCCTACTTATTCAGAAGAAATCAACTGTATTTGTGAGAATCCCACTGTAGATTATGGTACATTTATGATTGCCTGTGATGGTTGTGGTGTGTGGTTTCATGGTAGTTGTGTAGGTATTGCTGAAAGCGATCAAGTAGAAGAATGGTATTGTAAACGATGTAGATAAATCACATGTCAATAAATATTCATTTTCACATGCTATTTTATTTTTGAGTCCTATATAAAGGGAGGTTTTCTTCTTTTTTTTTTTTTTTTTTTCTTTATGAACCGATTAAAACCAGTAGATCAACACCTGAGTCAAGAGCAACTCTATGCTCAAGCAGTAGAGTAAATACATAACTATATATACATATATCATCATGACTCACCAAATACACACAAGTCCTGTAGCAAGCATACAAGAAGAAAGAGCCAAAGCGGCATTTCAGATAAGAGAACTCACCTTTCTATTAGATGGTGGGGAGAAAATGACATTGGTAACACTCCATAATAGGGTCTTGTCTATTGATATTCTCTTTAGTTAAAAGAGAGATTTATGCAAGAATTTGAAAGGGATCCATTGTTTAAAATGGATGATATTCATGATATCTCCAAAGATGAATTACGGGCAAGAACCATGGAGAAAGTAAGTTTAGATGCTAGTTTGTCAGCTTATAAACCATCTATGCTAGTTTCGTAGTCTAGTTCATCATCTGTCAAATGAACCTATTGATATCTTTAGGAAGAGAATGGAATGTGTGTCTCTGATTGACCCTGGATTCTGGACACGCTTTGGTGTACATTGTAAGTCAGTCAACTAGAGACAATCGACTCATATGCTACAGATGGCTTATTTGTAGGTGCATTGCAGAGTAATGCTACTTCTGGCCAATTAGGCTATTGGTTTGAAAAGGGCGCTTTGTCTCTCACGAATATGGTCGGCTGCTTTGCCATGACAGAACTCGGTCATGGTTCCAATGTGCCTGGACTAGAGACCACAGCCACATTTGATGCAGCATCCGATCAGTTCATTCTTCATACACCCACACTCACAGCTACAAAATGGTGGATTGGTGGTGCTGCTCATTCAGCTACACATGCTGCTGTGTTTGCTCAATTGATAGTGCATGGCAAATGCTACGGTACCAAAATATTCATTGTGCCTTTGCGTGACCCCAAGACATACCAAACATTGCCTGGTATCTGTATCGGTGACTTGGGTAAGAAAATGGGGCGGGATGGGATCGATAATGGCTATATCCAGTTTACTCATGTGCGGATTCCCCGTGGTTATATGTTGATGAAGCATACGCGTGTGTTAAGATCAGGTCACGTGATTGAACCGAAACTACAACAATTGACCTATGGTGCTTTGCTTCAAGGCCGTGTGGCCATGGTGGTCGATAGTGGTCATGTGTCCAAAAAGGCCTTGACGATTGCGATTCGTTATGCTGCCGTGCGCCGTCAATTTGTCCGTGGGGATACCAAGGTAGAGACAAAACTGTTGGATTATCCTATCCATCAACACCGATTGATGCCCTTGTTGGCTCAGACCTTCGCCATGTTGTTTACAGGGGTAGAAATGACATCCATGTATCTTCAGATGATGGACAAGTTGGAGCATGCTAAACCAGGCGATGCTGATCTTGAACATGTGTTGGAAATGCTGAAAGAAACACATGCCACCAGTGCAGGGCTCAAAGCCTTTTGTACCTGGAACTGTCTGAGTACGATTGAAGCCTGTCGACAGGCATGTGGTGGCCATGGTTATTCTGCTTATACAGGGTTAGCAGGGATGTATCAAGACTTTGCTGTCCAGTGTACTTGGGAAGGAGACAATACGATCTTGGCCTTACAATTGGGACGGTATTTGGTCCATAGTTATCGAGAAGCCAAAGAAGGCAAGACGTTATCGCCTGGTGTGGGCTACCTAAACGGACTGCAACAGATGCTCCATCAACAATGTACGGCTGAACAAGATGCCATGGGTGTCAGTGTGATTCAAGAAGGTTGGCGTGTGGTGTGTGCTCATGCAGTCCATGCTGCTGCTTTGGAATTTGAATCCTGTCTGTCCCAAGGCGCCAGTGTAGATGACGCGTATGAACAATGCTCTAAATCTCGATTGTATGCTGCTAAACTGCACTCGTATGGATACCTGTTTAACCGATTTTTGGATGCAGTCCATAAAGTCCAAAGTGAACTAAAGACAGTTTTAATGGAAGTCTGTTTGCTGTATGGGTATTACACCATTGAAGAAAACACAGGCGCCTTCTTGTTATCTGGATATTTCACAGCGTCGCATATACAGCACATTCGCCGTCGTTTGGATCAATTGTGTGAAAGTGTTCGACATCAAGCGGTTCCTTTAGTGGACGCATTTAACTTGACAGATTATGTGATCAATAGTCCTCTGGGTCGTTCGGATGGTAATGTCTATGTGCATTATTTTGAACAGGTCAAACGCTCCAATCCTCAAGGACCTCATCCTTATTTTGACCGATTGATTAAGCCATTGATCAGTAGAAATCAGTATGAAGAACAAGACAACGACGACGACGATGAACAAGCTGGTTTAGAAAGCATGGATGAAGATGAGGAAGAATAAAGCTTATCATTTGTGTCTGTTGTCGGTAGTAGTTTTTTCCAACTTGTCTAAATCCGAAATTTCGGACAAAGTTGAATTGATCAAGAGATTCTTGAGTTGTAACAAAGCCAAAGAAGAAGAAAAAAAGGGGGGAACACGTCCACTATAAAGAAAGTGCTTTCTTTATAAAACAAACTAGGTGAAGAAGAATATTTTCCTTTTTCTTTATGAACGCATCGTAAAGAAGATCATGACTAATTCAAAGACAGTGTTTTATGTGAATCGCTGTCACGCATAATGTGTCATTTTCAAAAATGGCTATAAATAAGCGATCCTTTTTTTCTTTTTTTTTTTTCTTGTACCTTTCATTTTCTTGTCATGACTAAATCACAATTGCCTGAATTCTATGTTCGTAGAGTTACTTTGGATGACTTGAAGTATGCTGAACAAGCTACTGCTGTCTTCAATGCAGCTTATAGTTCAGACAATGGTAAGTAACCTCTCCCATCCCCACTTTTTTTTTTCTTACATTCAAATCTGAATGCATTTTTTTTTGTATAGAGGGCTGGACCTCCATTTCAAAAATCATTAAAGATTATGGTACTACCCGAGAAACAACAGAAGATTACATTCGACGATCCGTCCAAGGACAAGTCGTACAATTTTTTGCGTTCCAAAGAGACTCAGAAGGCAACGATCAAGCCGTGGTGGGTTCATTGGTCGTAGAAGACCCTTTGGTGGGTTTGGACCACAGCCATTTTGCCTTATCAGGAAAAGAGGGGCTCTTGGGACGTTTTTCTGTCAACCCCAAGTACCAATCGAAAGGCATTGGCCGGGTATTGATGGAGGCAGGTTTGACAGCCATGAGAGAAACCGGTTACACAACATGCTTAATTCTTGTGTTTGAAAACCGAGATACAGTGTTACGTTGGTATGAAAAGCTTGGTTTTGTGGATACTGGCAAGCGTGTGCCTTTTTCTAGAAGTCGAGGTTTTGAAATGATGCAAGATGTTCGGTTCAAGTTGATGACAAAAGACTTGTAATCTCTATAAACCTTTCGATGGATGTAGCCATAGATAGAACCTACTTTCCAAATAAAGAAATACGTGTCTTTTTAGAAACGCGCTTGATTTTTTTTTTTAGTCGCGTCCTTTTTTTTTTCAATTTGTTTTTAAGAGATGGATGAATTTGACGATATCTTGCTTGATGATTATGATATTGAGCAAAATATAAATCATGCTGCTAATACAACTACCAACCCAAGCCCTTCGACTGAACAAGAAGTAGCCAACGAAGTATCCGATAAAAAACCATCTCAAAAAAGAGCCAAATTAGACGAAGAACGGTAAATTGTTCAAAAATCAACACCCCCATCTCATTCGATAGATTACTCGATACCAATGGCATCTATGCTCTAAAGAACCGAAGTCAGTATTTGACATTCAAAGGAAAAGGACATGAAGCAAGTATTATTCTGATTGGAAAGAAAGACTCATTGTGCCATTAGGAAGAAGATCTAAAGAACTTGATGCAGTTTTACATGTTTTGGGCCAACAATCTGTTTCCTAAACTCAAGTTTCAGGATTTTGCTAAACGAGTAACAAAACCTGCATCATCAGCTCGAGTCAAAGCTGTCATTAAAGAATGGCAAGATGAATACAAGGAACGAAGACAAGTGCGAATCGATATAGACAAAGAACTATCAGGACAAGGAGTACAAAGTGAAGGTAAATGTGTATACAGAAATTGTCCGTTTTTGCTTACAACATAAAAAGATGAATATGATACAAGTCGTACACAAGAAGACGATGCATCTTCAGAAGATGATAATCGACCTTTGTTTATTCCTATCACAAAGCCTCTTCCTGCCAACAAACCAAAAGCTAAAAAGATCACTCGACAACAAGAAGAGGAACCTTTGTTTAATTCACAACAACAACAACAACAACGTAAGCGTAAAATGGTATCTTTGGATGATAGCGAAGAAGAAGAAGAAGAAAGCGCAAAGAGTAGACAGGATATATTGGCTTTATTACAACAAAAGAGAAAAAAGAAGGAAGAAGCTAAAAAGCAAGAAGAAAAAGAAAGAGCTTTAGAAAAGAAAAATGCAGAATTAGAGAGAGCAGATCAAGATATCCTACAGGAACTGGCGGGCGATGATATCGAATTAGAGCTTTCAAGCAATGAACTTATGGAACTCAACATACCTTCTGCAGACAATGACCAGGAAATGCAGGACATTGAATAATAAATGTCATTTATGTCATTTGTTGTTGTTGTTGTTGTAATTGTTGAATCTCTTCTTGTTGATCATCTTGAGTTATGATTTTATCTGAAATATGGCCTTGTTCATGGCTCAAGTAGAAAGCCTTTCTTTGATTGGCTACTACTTTACTATTGATCACTACTTGCTTCACCCAAGATGAGGGTGTATCATACATAGCATCAAGCAACAAGCTTTCCATAATACGACGCAATCCTCTTGCACCTGTCTCTTTCTCTAAGGCCAAGGCTGCAATTCTTCTTAAAGCTGTCTTGCTGAATTTCAATTGAATCTAGCATACATGTCAATTCAGTGTTGATGAATCACATATGAACTTGCCTTGTTTAGTTCAAACAAGCCTTGGTACTGCTTTAATAACGAATTTTTGGGTTCAGTCAACACACGAACAAGATCTTCAGTCGATAAATGGTCCACAGACGCAATAATGGGTATTCTGCCTGTAAATTCAGCAATGAGTCCATATTGAATCAAATCTGTAGGCTCTACTTGATGAAGAGCATGACTGCCTTTTTCTGCTTTATCTGATTCTGTTTGGATACGTGCATTGAAACCAATGGACTATAGTATACAATTGAATTGGTTCATGTTTGATTCCCTATTATTTACCCCTTTTGCCACTCTATCCTGAATGGTCTTTTCTAGGCCCATAAATGCACCACTTAAAATAAACAGAATATTGCTTGTATCCACTGCATACGACTCTCCCCCTTTGTTTGAGCCTAATATCGTAATGAGTCTTAAGCAACAAAGGACTTGAATATTACCACCATGATGATTGCCATGACTGGCTGACTTGTCTGTCACATGGACCACAGTGCCTTCCAACATACGCAGTAAAGACTGGATAAACAAGTCACTATGAACGTAGATAGTCATTCAATGCTTTACCTGCTGTACGCCTTCACCCGAAACATCTCTTGAAGCAGACATCGCATCTGATCTTTTAGCAATCTTATCAATCTCATCAATAAACACAATGCCTGTCTCTGCTTTTCGTACATCATAATCACATGCCTAAAGAGAGTGATTATCAGCATACGTTGCTATGAAGGGCATTACCTGAAGTAAGCGTTGAATCACCAGTTCAACATCTTCACCTACATAACCTGCTTGGGTAAAACGAGTAGCATCGGACATGGAAAAGGGTATCTGCAATATCTGTGCTAATGTCCTAGCGAGTAATGTCTTGCCAGACCCTGTTGGACCAATCAACATCACATTGCTTTTATCGTAGACTGTATCCTCCATAGAAGATGGTTCCTTGTTAGGTTTCTTGTCTGTGGTCAGGGTTACTTTATTACGCCATTGAGATCCAGTGGTGGGTGGATTCTCCCAACTACGACGCTGTTGATGTGTCCCTGAATAAAGAGAGTGAGTGCTATCTTATCTGATCAAGAACTTACATTTGTCTTCAAATAAACTACTGCTCTTTATTCTTTCTGCAGGAACAAGATTAGGATGGACACTTTTTGTTGTATAGTCATCATGGGGTAAGGTATAATATTGATGATGTTGTTGTATCGCATCGTCTGGTTCTTGTTCTGGTTCAGACTGATTTGAAAGATTGGCTCGTACACGGTTATAATGATTAAAGACAGCCACGGCCAGTATCTTTTTGGCTCTGTCTTGACCAATCACATAGTTATTGAGATAGTTTACTATCTGGCATCCAGTTGAGTATACATATATATTTGTGTGTGTTTCGATATTTACCGTTCTAGGGTCAGCTATAGAAAAAGAATCTAGATGGTGACCATCTGAATAAGAAGAACGACCATAATAGACATTCTTGTTGGTAAACAAACAAGCTCTTGTTTGATGGTAATGGCGCTGACATTTTATTATAGCAAAAGTATAAAGACAAGTTGTTGGTAATTTCATTAAAAAAAAGTAAGAAAGGAGGGTAATTGCATAATCATACGCCAAACTCAGTTTCAGCGGGCGATGGGTCTGTCTGTATCACGTATTTTTAATCGAATTTTGGCTATAAATGTGAGTTTCTCAAGCATTTTTCTTAATGCACCTTCTTTGCCTTTATGAAACTCTTTAAGCCATCCTGGACCATACAGCTCTTCAGCTGCTATCATGATATCTCGGCATGATTTTGGCTCATATCCTTCTTCATCTTCTTCATAAATAGCTGCAGCAAAAATAGCCAAGGTAGGATCATACACACCATCTGGATCCAAGTATCGAGACAGGTATTGATCTGAACAATGTTCATACTGATAAGTAATCAAAGACAATAAGGCCAAAGTGGACTGTCTTTTCCTTCGACCTGTATCTTCATGACTGCTATCCATGGTCAGTACTGCCTGTAGATCTTCTAAACCTGCCTCTAGTAATTTATTGGCTTCTTCTTCATCTTCATCCAACACACTTTCTTCTTCATCTTCTATCGAGTCATTGTTATCATCGTATTGTCTTGATAGATTGGTTCTTCTGACATGACTAAAGAATCCTCTTCGAGTTCTTAATGTCGTAAAATGATGACTATTGTTATGAAATACACGGTAAAGAGCATTGATCTGTCGAAGAATACGAATGATGGCAGCTAAATCTTCAAGAATTTCACTGTTGGTACGAATGGCCAGTCTATAGATGTCCACTCTGGATGACCTTGAATAAGACTCGGTAATTGTATCATCATCGTCATCATCATCCTCTTCTGTTTCATCACTTGTTGTCATGATAAAGCCTTCGTCTTCACTGTCATCGTTGTTGTGTTGTAATAAAGGTCTTCTTACACTGGTATATCTAGTGTTCTATAACATAGCTTAGTCAATAATCTATATGATAATTGTAGTTACATTGGCTATTGTTGTAGGCATAACAAAATGAAAAAAAAAAAGAAGAGAAAAAGAGGGAAAAAAAAAAAGGTGCCATAAACAGAGTTATCACCATTTCAAACCACGCTTCGTAATAAAATATACATATCTTTTTTTTTTTATTATTCTAAAAGAATAAGAGTATCTTTTTATATATATATATATATATATATATATATGATTCTTGTGGTGTCGTGAATGTGGTGTATTATTGTATGTTCAATAGAGATATGAGTGTGTGTGTAAATGTGAGTGTGTGTAAATGTGTGTATGCGTATCGTCTAAATTCATTTGTTATAACTGTTTAGAAGCGACCTCTTCCACCACGACTACTACCACCACGGCCACCACCACCACCACGGCCACCTAAGGAATAAAGTGAGTGATGGGTTTCAATTGAACCATGAAAATGCCTTACCACCAAAACCACCACGGGAACCACCACGACCACTGCCACGACCACCTATCATCATATAGTTTAGATTCAATCATACATGTATGTGTCATATGGCTACTTACCACCAAAGCCACCTCTTCCGCCACCACGGGTAGCACCGCCTCTTCCACCACCACGGGTAGCACCACCTCTTCCACCACCACGACCTTGTTGACCAGTAGGTTTACCAACTAATATCGATGTCAGTCCATCAATAGTATATATATAGAATATCACTTTACCCTTTCCAGCAACCTTAGGCTTAGGCAAGAAACGTTCAAGAGGCAAGAGTTTATCAGTACCAATATAGACTTTATCATCCACCTTGAAAGATTTGGCAATCATGCCTTCTTGCATCTTGACAGTGAAATACACTTCGTTCAAAGGACCTAAAATTTCATCCACTTTACCGATTTGACTCTTGTTTTCGAGGAAGATGGGTGCGTTGAAATAAGGGATCTTGGGGTTGATAGACTTGCAGACCATTTCACCTTCACAAGCATGAACAAAAGCACCCATGGCTATCTTGAGTGAGTTATATCTGTGTATATGGTCATATCAGGACTTACGGATAACTTCAGCAGGAGGACCTTGAGGAGCTCCTCCACCAGAGAAACCACCACGACCTCCACCACGACCTTTAAGAAAGAAAAAAAAGTTAGGAAATGTGGGCAATGACTAATAATAAGAAAGAAAAAAAGAAAAAAGAGTTACCTCCACGGAAACCACCACGACCGCCGCCTCTTTGTTGTCCGAAAGCCATTTTTCCTTAGTTTGTATATATATATATATATATATAAAAGTAGAGAAAAAAATTGGAAGGCTTTTTTTTTAAAGAAAATTTTGTTTGGCAAGGACGGTCACAATATCCGTCTTTTAAGAGCCGAAGATAGAGCTTTAACAGCCCTCATCACATTACAAAGCACACAGCTATAAAATAGAACATCTTGACACAAAGTGTAGGTCTCTACGATGTGAACACACAAATAAGACTACACACAGCTATGATTTATTCATTCTCAAAGGGAAATTGAACGGTATGACAACTTTCATTTATTTTCGATGGGAGCAATGATGGAACAAGAGCACTAAAAGTATCCAGGCCTGTTGACTGTCTAGTTGTAAATCTATTGACTGAAGCTACCATCATAGTTTCCCTTCTTCTTTGTGTTTTTAGGCGTAGTTTCTAATGAAAAATACTCTTTATGGCTTATTGAAGAAAGATTTCATAACACACAATACATGTTGTTTTATGCATGGATACTTGTGTCACTATAAATACTTCATTGCGTTTATGTTCTGGATTTGCTTAAGTTTAGGAAACTCTTATCTTTTTTTATAGCAATAAACTATGATTGAGGTAGTGAAAACTATGTTGCAGCTAAGTTCCAACACAAAGTTTGGTTATCATCATCATTTGCTATTATGCAGTGGTGAGTAGAACAGAGACAAAGCTACAAGGCGCATAATGATGGCAACTTTGGCACTAAAATAAAGGTAAATCTCAAACCTGTGTCTACTGTTTCAAGAGACTTCAACATCCTAAGCAATCAGTCAGAAGGCAGGAAACAACAAGATACAGAAACATCAAAGGTACCTTTAGTCTGTTATAATCCTAAATGAAGAACAGTTGTAGTAGTATAAATGGAAGATATAAAATATCTAGCTTCAGTCATTGCTATCTCAGGCATAACCACTTTGCTCTTTCATGAAATGCTTCCTGCTTTCTCCTCAATACTGAACTAAATTTGAGAACGGCAGCATATCTTTAAATAAGTATTTTATTTTATGATTACTAAAATCTAAGTTTCCGATGAGCATGAACTACAGTCTAATTTCTTTGGAGAACCATGGTTGATTAAACTCTAAGTATCATAATAAAGGGAGACTGGCGTATTGTCTCAACAAATACAAATAAGGATTTATTTTAAGATAATTAGTCATACATATAAGGCTATTTTTCCTTTTTATTACTCTTTGCCTCATATAGTTATGCATTAATGCTAGGCACGAGCAGTATGGCTTTATCTAGGCACATATATACAATAAAATAGAATGCTAATAGACAGAATGCCTCACCAATCATATAAGCTTGTTTACCCTGCTCATCAAGCAGTACTTGTTTGAAATACATGCATCACTTGAACACTAAGTACATGGACACAAAAGATCTCGGCATAATAAACCATTGTACAGTTTTCATAGCCATGCCAACAGAGGCTAAAATTCATGCAGCCAAACAAATGTCGTCAAGGTAACAAAGCAAGCATATATAGATTTAAACGCAGCATGTAGAATGTGCAAAATAATTCTTTTCTTTTTCTTTTTCTTTTTTTTTATTTTATTTTATTCCATTATGGGCCAATCGCCATCATCTGCAGTTTCAAGGCATGACAATGCATCCACTCGAACACTTCATTCAAGCTCCATGCACTCATCACAACCAACATCGTTCTTTAGAAGAATCTCAAATCGTCTTCACGCAACTCATCCTGCTCGTCGCTTTATTCGACCTAGACAAAACACAACTCGACCTCAGCAAACAAGTCCGCCGAATACAACCCATTATCATGCTCCCTCTACCACATCTTCCGTACGCCGCGCTACACAAGAAGCCACTCAAGCGGCAGCAGCAGTAACAGGACCACCTCAGCCCTATCTTGTTCATGAAAATAGTGTGACATCATCTTCTGATTCAACACATACCTTTCTAAGCGAACTTTTGCACAATGCATCTCGAGAAGACCATCAACGTACCAGCGGAAATTCATTTTTACGGTATTTACAATTACCGCTTCGAGCCCCACAACAACAGGAGCATGAACCTACACAATCCTCTGCTTCGTCAACGACTTCAAGGCGAATGCATATTTTGGTGATTGAATATCGTCCCCATACCAATATCGATGTCGATACAACACCATTGACTCCTCCTCCTACCTATCGATTTATGGGTGGTTTAAGAAGACCAAGATCACAAGTCTCTACTTCTTCTTCTACAGATACGATACAGTCCATGCCACTCTCTATGAATTCAACAACCACAACACATGCTCGGTCATTTCATAGTCAACAACAAGACGGGCAATGGATTGTGTATGTGTTGAACAATAACCATCCTAATTTCCAGTTACTTTCTTCTTCTGTTGTATTGGAAGACAATCCTAGTTATGAAGATTTATTGTGGCTAGGGAATATGCTGGGCCCGGTCCGTCCCCTCACCACCACGCAGGCCGCAGTGGATGAAGCCATACCCGTAACTGACTGGTCAGACGACACAAAGAAATCCCTTAAAGATGACCAATGCCTCGTGTGTCTAGACGAGTTTAAACTGAAACAGTCTGTACGTATCCTCAAATGTCATCATGTCTTTCATCGAGAATGTGTTGATCGTTGGCTTTGTGAAGCCCATAATTCATGCCCAGTGTGTCGACGTATTCCAGTCTAATGACATTATTATCTCCCCCTTTTATACTCTATCTTCATTGTCAGTTACTATCATCCCATGTACGTGTGTATGTGAAATTTACCTACATACGTCTCTCTCTCTCTCTCTCTCTCTCTCTCTCTGTCTATATATATATATATATATATATATATTTTATAAATATTGTATTTTACAACATAGCATTATTCTTTGAATGTCTAAATCATATGTTAGCTTCTTTTGCTTTTCATCTCTTATCAAAAAATCGAATGTAACTCTTTTAAGCCGAAAAAAAAGGGTTGTCAAAGGGGCGAAAATGGACTGGCAATGAACTATTCCCCCACATTAAAATCAACCAATCAAACACGCCAATTGCATCAGAAAAATAAAACGGGCGATAAACAGAAAATATACCTTGTCATGTGAAATCATAGCAATGAACTTTATTATAAAAAAAGGGGGAGGAAATAGTTTTCTTTCTTTCTCTTTATCTTTTTATTTTATCAAAAATATGACTGTCACTGATTCTACCAAAGTGCTTACCATTGACAATATGAACCCACTAATTAAAAATGTGGAATATGCTGTGCGGGGTCGTTTGGCTATTCGTGCTGAAGAAATTCGCTCAGACATTGAAAAGGGTAAACAATATCCTTTTGATAAAGTCGTGAATTGTAATATTGGTAATCCACAACAACTTAACCAGACACCTGTCACATTTTTCCGTCAGGTAACATATAGAAATGCATAAAAAGAAAAGACTTGTTCTAACTTGTCATTCAACTACTAGGTGGCATCTCTTTGTGATAATCCAGATTTACTAAAAAAAGAGAACCGTGGTCTTGTATCACAATTGTATCCTTCAGATGCTATCGAAAGAGCTGAATTTTTATTGAATGCCATTGGCAGTGTAGGCGCTTATTCTCATTCTCAGGGCGTGCCTGCTATCCGTCAAACAGTGGCTGACTTTATTGCTGAACGTGATGGTCATACTGCTGACCCTAACCATATCTATTTAACACAAGGTGCGTCTGCTGGTGTTCAGAGCTTACTGAGTATGTTGACTGAAAATACCAATACGGGCATCATGATTCCTATTCCTCAATACCCTCTTTATTCCGCCACATTAACACTGTACGGCGCTACACCTGTACATTATTATCTGGACGAAGCTACTGGCTGGAGTTTAGATGTGAGACAGTTGACTGGGATTGTGGCAGATGCACGCAAACAAGGCATTGACGTAAGAGCTTTGGTCATTATCAATCCAGGCAACCCTACAGGACAATGCTTAAGTGAAGAAAATATGCAAGACATTGTTACTTTCTGTTATGAACAACGTTTGGTTTTATTAGCGGATGAAGTTTATCAAACCAACATTTATGACCCACAAGAACGTCCGTTTGTCAGCTTCAAGAAGGCCCTGATGGAACACCCCGATGCTGAAATAAGGGAAGGTTTAGAACTTGTGTCGTTTCATTCGATTTCAAAGGGCATGGTGGGTGAATGTGGTCGACGTGGCGGTTATTTTGAATGTGTGAACCTGGACCCTGACGTACTTGACCAACTCTACAAGATGGCCTCTGTGTCGCTTTGTCCTAATTTACATGGTCAGATTTTGGTGGACTTGATGTGTAACCCGCCTCGTTTTGGAGACGCTTCGTATGACTCATACAAGTCTGAAATTCGTGCTATTTATGAATCCCTACGTCGACGATCTAAAAAGCTGGAAAGTGTGTTTAATCGCCTTGAAGGTGTCTCATGTCAACCTGCTGAGGGTTCCATGTACCTTTTCCCACAAGTGGTGTTACCCCAAAAAGCCATAGAAGAAGCCAAAAAACATCGTATGGCACCCGATGCTTATTATGCTCATGCCATGTTGGAAGCAACGGGTGTTTGTGTCGTACCAGGTAAGAATTTTTCCCACGATGAGACACAGGACTTACCTTAAATTAGGTTCAGGGTTTGGACAAGAACATAATACCTGGCATTTTCGATCTACCTTCTTACCTGAAGAGCATTTGTTTGATCAGTTTTGTTCTGATATTGAAGCGTTTCATGTTCAGTTTATGGAAGACCATCAAGACTAATTGTTTATTTTCACTTGACGTTTAAATAAAAAAATAAAATTAAAGCTCATTCCCTTTAGAGAAATACCCGTGTATCTTGCTAAACATTAAGTTTAGGGTGTTTCACAAGACTGACTATATACAATGTGAATGGAATGCTTATCAAGTAGCTCATGGCTACAAAAATCAGATTGACTTGACTAGAATCCAGTGCATCCAACTCACCAAACTCTCTAGCTCAAGAGATCAAGTTGGTTGTAGTAAGATATCATATCCGAATAAATAGTTTGGTAGTGCATTACTTTTTCATGTAACAGAGACATCAGACAAACATATGCTTCAATGGCAAAAAAGACAGCACTTCATGCAAACCTTTGTCTATTCTTTAGGCATATGAAGGTATTGTAAGGTCTGTTTGTACACTCATAAAAATTTCACTTGCCTACAAACAGTGTTTGTTAACGTCTATGGTACCTTTGAAGTTGATTTGGACCAAAACAAGCGACTTGTAAAATTTGATCAAAAAGACCGTTTGACCAAAGGGTACTAATCATGAAAAAAAAAGCTCGTGACAACTTTGAGTTTTTTATTTTTATATTTTTTTTTTTCTGACGCTACAAGACGAAAAATAGAGCTATTGGCAAGCTTAAATACTCAAAATGTGCGCTATAGGCTATAGTTTCTGGTGAATGTGCCTGCTTGCTAATTGTACTACAAAAATGATGAAATATGAGTGAAACCTCTCGTAAACATTTTCGTTTATTTTCGTAACGTTTTGGCAGCAAAGTTGTTGTTCTTTCTACACCAATAGACTCCAAAAGCAACAATCTACACCTTTTTGTCACTACACCAAAGCCGAACAACTACGTCTCGATGCAGTTCTCAGCAAACACCGTAAGAAAGGAGATAGAAAAAATATGAGATGATGGGATCTTCATCAAAACGCTACTAAATAGATACTGCATGAGCTCTATTGAATATACATGTTGCATGAAAATTGCATGAACATATCATATTTCTGTTTTAACACATTTCTATGAGATGGATAGAATATACATATTCTATCTATATTCTATCATTTTTTTTTTCCTACGGTGTATGGCTATGTTTGCAACTTCGAATACACCCAAGCCATTCCACCCAAAATTTTATCCGTATCTTCAATAATAAATCATTTTAATATCAATAGAAACGTTAATACATTGTTCTTTAAATAAAATAAAATAAAATAAAAAAGTGTCGTACTGTTTGGTTGTATAATAGTTAACTTTGGTTAATCAAAGAGTTTTACCTTTGAATGGCAGAACTGAACGGCGTGCTTCGTTTCTAGGTGGAGTAAAGTATATGGGTGGTTCAGGAGCAAGCTTCCTTTCGGGGGGAAAGTCTTCAGAACAATGGTATTGCCGCTCGGCATGTTTCAATGCTTTTTGAACTTTGCTTGCAATTCGCTCGGTATCTTCTTTAAATTTGAACAACAATTCCAGATTATCTTTTAAATCTTCAAGTTCACTGATACAGGTAGGAAAATGAAATGTGAATTGATAAACGTTGACATATATCTTGTATTCATCATCATAAAGAACTTTTGAGAAGACAGCAGTCAAACCAATAATTCTAATAGTCCAGGTATATATATAATCTTCGCTTTCAATAAGGTGATGTATTATTTCTGTATTAATCATGGATTCTCTTAGTAACTTGGATTCATTGTGACACAATTTGACTTCATCAGCACACGAAAGGGCTACTTCAGTACTTGCCAAGTCTATTTCCAACTTCTTATGGTCGTGAATCAGCCTTAAGTCGACTTTAAATCCAATAACATTCTTATCGTTTTCATACTGTTCAGCTTTTCTTTTTGTTGATTCTTCAGGTACTGATTCACCTGTCTTGATTCGGACGAGAAGGTTTTTCTTTATGTTGAATAATTTGGTGAAGAGAGGAACCCAAATCTGTGATTCATAATCTCGTTCCGTCAATTTCATCGGATCTTTGGGATTCAGAACAAATTGCTTATTGTCAAAGGTGTCGAGAAAATAGTCAATTATTTGTAGTTGTTTAAAAACGTATTCATTAATATCGTTTTCACTAGAGAGGCGATTGAAGGTTCTTCGGGCTTGAAAGAAATTATGATCCGTTGTAAGCGCCTTGTGAATAGTGTCCCATATTTCATATAATGAATTAAGGTTGGAATCAAGTTTTGTGTGGAAAAATGACTGTCTAAATCGGGAGTAATACTCATTTATATTCTTCCATTTACTGGTGCCAAACAGAAGTCTCTGGCTATGGTATGAGCTATCACTGATATCAAGCATCCCAGAAAGGCCGGCACACATACGTTTCCTTTCAACAGGAGTCAAGTCATCACTTTCTTTATATCTATCATGAAGTTTCTCTGCGTCTCCGTAGATTATCTTTTGTATGTAACCTGTCTCATCCGCTGCTTGCCCCGTGATATTGGTCAAATCATTAGCAATAGTATCATTTTCATCTTTCTCAGCTACCGTCGAAGAGCAACTGATTTCAGCAGAAAGCTCTTGGTTGAGAGTTTGAGTTTGTATGATTTTGATTCTTTTTCTAGACTTTTCTTCTTCAATTATGAGTATGTTGTCTAAAACAGCTTCTTCAATGGCATCATTAAATTTATTTCTGGTGGTCTCCAAATCCATATATTCAACCAGAAGTTTAGTGAAACGAACCAAGGCAGGTTGCTGAATAAAGCGCTTGCTAATAGTCTTAAAAGTAGCTTTGAATTTATCATAGGTCTTTTTATCACTTTTAGGATTGTTATTTAAAGCGTTTTTAGCCAGTTCAGGTATAACAATAATTGATTTATATAGCTTGTGCTTTTTGGCCTCTGCTTCATTGATCTTAAAGTTAGGGTTGATACCATGAGGGAGTGGCGGATGCATGTTGCAGCAAATGGAAAATAAAGCGCGTGAAAGGTGTGAAAGAAAGAAGGCGCCTCACGTATTTTGCAGCGCGATAGGGCTACAAAAAAGAGGTACTCGACAATGAGTTATAAGATTAAAAGAGATAAAATGAAGTCAAAAATGAGACAAGGACTATATAAAAGTTAAGCCAAGCGAAACAATGATGAAAAGAAGAAGGAGAGATGAAGGAATCAGTCGAGACAGTTTGTCTCTTAAGGAGCGCGGCGGCCAACTGCCCGGAGGCGCATAATTTGGGTGGAATGGCTTGGGTGTATTCGAAGTTGCAAACATAGCCATACACCGTAGGAAAAAAAAAATGATAGAATATAGATAGAATATGTATATTCTATCCATCTCATAGAAATGTGTTAAAACAGAAATATGATATGTTCATGCAATTTTCATGCAACATGTATATTCAATAGAGCTCATGCAGTATCTATTTAGTAGCGTTTTGATGAAGATCCCATCATCTCATATTTTTTCTATCTCCTTTCTTACGGTGTTTGCTGAGAACTGCATCGAGACGTAGTTGTTCGGCTTTGGTGTAGTGACAAAAAGGTGTAGATTGTTGCTTTTGGAGTCTATTGGTGTAGAAAGAACAACAACTTTGCTGCCAAAACGTTACGAAAATAAACGAAAATGTTTACGAGAGGTTTCACTCATATTTCATCATTTTTGTAGTACAATTAGCAAGCAGGCACATTCACCAGAAACTATAGCCTATAGCGCACATTTTGAGTATTTAAGCTTGCCAATAGCTCTATTTTTCGTCTTGTAGCGTCAGAAAAAAAAAAATATAAAAATAAAAAACTCAAAGTTGTCACGAGCTTTTTTTTTCATGATTAGTACCCTTTGGTCAAACGGTCTTTTTGATCAAATTTTACAAGTCGCTTGTTTTGGTCCAAATCAACTTCAAAGGTACCATAGACGTTAACAAACACTGTTTGTAGGCAAGTGAAATTTTTATGAGTGTACAAACAGACCTTACAATACCTTCATATGCCTAAAGAATAGACAAAGGTTTGCATGAAGTGCTGTCTTTTTTGCCATTGAAGCATATGTTTGTCTGATGTCTCTGTTACATGAAAAAGTAATGCACTACCAAACTATTTATTCGGATATGATATCTTACTACAACCAACTTGATCTCTTGAGCTAGAGAGTTTGGTGAGTTGGATGCACTGGATTCTAGTCAAGTCAATCTGATTTTTGTAGCCATGAGCTACTTGATAAGCATTCCATTCACATTTATAGTCTAAGTGACAAAGTCATTATGCAATCCATTTGCATGCGCACTTTTTTTCCCAATTAGGATGTACCCAAATCAAGTAGTGAGTGATTTAATACAAGCATTGACACTTTTTGGCCGAAAATATCATATAAGTACTTTATAACAACCAACAAATGGAAGACTATTGACAAATCATATTGTTTTTTTCAGGATCTTTTCTTTTCCAAAAATCTGATTTTATTTTATGAATCATTAGAGAATGTATCGTGGTTATTCTTTTCATTTTGGGTTAGTTCGTCTTCTTTGATAAATTCTTTCCTTGGAGGAGGGTTTAGAGAACCAGGTATAGCAATCTTCTGAGGAAGACTAGGAATAGAATAAATAGGTTGCTCTTCTTTATCAAAGATATAGGGCGAAGAAGACCTTGATATGGGTGAAGATGGTACTAATGTACTGTTATCAACGGAGTGAGGATGATATGTATTTCTCCTGTGATCATCAACAGGACGGTACATAGTATCTTGAATCTTGGTCTCTGTGTGCATTATTTGGTTTTCTTTGTCTGCTTCTGTTATTCTGTTGACGTTCACAAGTTGCAGCGTTTTGTCGCCATTGTCGTTAGTTCGAGAGAAATTTGCCGTGATTATAGACGAGCTTCCATCAACAAAAGAGGCGCCATCTTCGTCGTCTTGGTCTTTAGGTGCTTTGTTGTGCCTTTGTCTTAATTGTTTGATGATCAAGAAAGACGCCAAATACCCTATCATGTCAGAGTTTAATTTATGACATATACTGTTATGTTTGTCTCTTACAATCAATAGTATAAATGATGGGAGTATTGCCACCCAAGACGTTTTTCGTTAGCAGAATACCTGTCAATATATTAGAGAAACAAACACCAAAACTATATGAGAAAAAAAGGTGTGAATGTTTGATCTGCATGACAGAATAATCTTACCAGTAAATGAGTCCTTCAGTAAGCAGTGTTCTTTGAATGCTGCTACCAAGAGTTCGATAATGTCTATAAATGACAAGAATAAAGCAAGCTGAAAGAAACGCATTGGAAGTACAATCAATACTAGCTTTAATAATGACAATGAATGTAGCTATGTAAATCAGATCAATACACTATATAACAAGAGTTGTTGCTTACGATAGTCTGTAGCACAAACACCCAAGTTTAAATTCGTTTCTGACTTTCCAATCGTCATGTTGATCAAGATAAAGATAGCAATGCCGAAGATAGGAATCAATCCTAAAATCAGTATAACTTTGGATCTATTGTTACCCAAATAGGCTTTCCAAAGAAGCACAAATTGTAGTGACATATCGCCTACATTGACACCAACAACAGAGAAAATAAGTCGCTTTGTAAGAATTAGTTTCATGTTTATAAGAAAGTCAATAAGTTACAAAATTGCATCCAATATCAATTAGAGAAGTCAACAGTGTGACAACAGTGACAATGATTCCTAAAAATGCTTGAAAAAGCACAAGACCAATAATAGGCTTCCTTGATTTATACAACATTTCTCCAACAGTAAGAGTCTGCCACACAAAACATGAGAAGCCAATAGTGACAAACATGATGGAAAATGCTGTACCGGGAGGCATGTTTTTTGACAGTGTATGGTCCACATCTCCCATCTTATCAAAAAGAAGAAGTAATCACAATGAATCAGATGAAGAGAAAGAAGGAAGTGTGCTTATTTATTATGCTGTGGAAATAAACTTTTTTTTTTTATTGATTTTACAAGTTCAATTCTTGTGATTTTTTCTTTACTCCTGCTTCATCTTTTTAGTTTGAAAGAAAATATCACCAAGATAAAGAGAAGAAAAAGAGAGAAATGGCGATGAATAATGGCAAACAAAGGCCTCGGAGAGTCAAACAATCAAGTCTTTCATGAAGCCATATCATGGCAATAATCAAGTGTCTTGATTCAAATAAAAGAATTATTTTGGTTTGTGAAGCATAATTGGCTGATTTCGTGAATACAATAAGGTTCATGCATAATGCATTCTATTCAGACAATGACAACCTTTGATTGGCAGTTTGTTATCAAAGCACAGGCCATGTTGAGTGCTTCGTTAAAGGAGTTTTCTTTACTTTCATTCAAGAGGTAGACAAATTAGAATAGATGGCACAAATGAAGCATGTGGTTTGAAAGAGCACTTCCTCCCCCCCCATTATTTTGTTTGTTGCTACTAGTGTAACATAAATGCTTGCCTTTAATTCGCTAGTGGTCTTTTTCTTTTATAATGAAATGGGCAGAGTATTTTTTTTTTATCATGACGAGTAGATTTTAATATATTTTAAACTCGAACTAAATCAACTCAATATAAACGGCTACTTTGTCTTACCATCTGTCTAATCGAGGCAATCTCTTTTTTAGTCAAGTAATCATGACATTGGTCTCTCCAAAACAAGAAACCACAAAAAAAAGAGAGACAAACACTAAATCAGATAATAAAGCTGTGGCTTTTGTAGATATGTCAAAAAAAGCAAACATTGTTATGCAGGATCAAAAAAGTATGAAAGTATAAAATGATTATCAGATTTTCAATGCTTTTCGGCCAATCAAACAAACTCAAATTAAGGTTTAAAACAGGGTTCCCTGTTTTAGGTCATTTGACTTGCTTTTTTTTCTAATTTTTTTTCTTCTTTTTTATGAAAATGCACCATCCTGAAGAAGAAGAAGAATATGACTATGAATCCTTGGGTGGAAATACAACTATGCTTCAAAATGCATTTGCTGGTGCTTTAGCAGGTATTGCAGAACATTGTGCCATGTATCCTGTGGATAGTATCAAGGTAACCCGAGAAAAAAATGTGTCTATTCGAGAAATGAACACTTTAATAGACAAGGATGCAAGTGATATCAACTACATCCAAAATAACCACACAGGCAATCCAAGAACCACCAGTGACACTTCGTAGTTTATGGAAAGGCGTGAATTCAGTCGTGTTAGGAGCTGGACCAGCACACGCTCTGCATTTTGCCACGTACGAGTTTTGTAAAGATCGTTTTGGAGCCAATTCAACAGGTGGGCATCATCCACTCGCCAATGCTGCAGCTGGTGCCTGTGCTACATTAGCTCATGATACACTGATGAATCCCTTTGATGGTATGTTGAGTATTTATTGACTAAGGTGAATTAATTTCGGATAACGCTTTAGTGGTCAAACAACGCATGCAATTACGCGATTCAACATACAAAACAATTAGAGAGTGTGCACGCAGTGTATATTCAAAAGAAGGTATTGCAGCATTCTATATTTCACTGCCAACAACGCTTGTTATGTCTATTCCATTTCAATCTATTCAGTTTGCAACATATGAATTTTTCCGAAAGATATTAAAGACAGACCAATATGACCCCAAAACACATATTGTGGCAGGTGCTTTAGCAGGTGCCATTGCATCTTCTGTTACAATACCATTAGATGTCGTCAAGACATTGTTACAAACAAGAGGTACAAGTTCAGATCCTAGAATTCGTAATGCTACTGGTTTCAGAGATGCTTCAAAGATTATTATGGAAAGATATGGACTGAAGGGCTTTTTTAGAGGATATAGACCTCGCGTATTAACACATATGCCAAGTGCGGCTATTAGCTGGAGTGTATATGAATACATAAAATGGATTATCAACACTAGAAATATCACTGAGCAACAACAACAACAACAACAGAAAGAAAACTATGTATCTCTTTAACATCTTTTCACAATAATTATCAACCAGTGCTTGTATTATAGTCATTTTGTCCTGTCATCTTTAAAACGTTTAATCGCAACAAACACGCATACACACATATATGTTAGAGAAGAAGAAGAAGAAAAGTATCAAACCACACAAACAAAAGAAAAAGAACAATTCGTTTGTATATACACCACTTTTTTTTTTGTTTTTTATTTAGAGAATAAAACCATCTTTTTTTTTTTTAATTTTATTTTATTTGTTTGATGACATCCACTATACAATAGATAAATAAGAGAAGGTTAGAGAGAAATATTTACCTTGAAGACACTTGAGAAATCTAAAGTATCAAACTCTTTACTAGTGGCAAGCTGTTGATAGATCTCAGATGCTTTTGTACCAAACACAGGAGTAAAATCACAAGATTGAGCAGCTTTCATAGCAGCACGAAGGTCTTTGGCCATTAATTTATTACTGAAGCCACCTTGATATTCTCTTGAAGCAGGAGCAGTAGGAATGACACCTGGATAAGGATTACTTACTTCAGAACTCCAGCATTTTCCCGTAGACACATTAATGACAGAAGCCAACAGTTTAGGATCCATGCCAAGCTGTGCACCTAGTTTCATTGCTTCTGATACACCAATCATATGAACAGCCAAAAGCATATTATTACATACTTTAGCAACTTGGCCTGCTCCATTATCACCACAGTAAATCGTATTTTTGCCCATAAGCGATAAGACAGGCTTGATTCTCTCAAATGCGTCTATGGAAGGTGCACCCACCATGAAGGTCAAGGTACCATTGGCTGCTCCTACTGTACCACCACTGACGGGTGCATCAAATGCAAGTGCCTTTTTATCCTGTACCTTCTTAGCCAAAGACTGAGCAGCACTCGTATCAATCGTACTGGAATCAATCAAGAAATCATCCTGTTCAATGGTTGAAAGGATTTCATCGTATACATGCTCAACATGTTGTCCTTCAGGCAACATCGTGATGATAGTAGAAGACTTTTCTGCAAGTTCAACAGGGTCTGTAGCCAACTTAAGATTGGGAAACTCGTTGGTAACGCGTTGAATGGCTGCTTGATTTACATCGTAAACGTATACGGGACCAGTGCTTTTCATAGCAAGGTTTTTGGCCATACCATAGCCCTATGCAAGATAATATTAGAATCAATGATAGTGAATGTGTATTACCATTTGGCCGAGACCTATCAAGCCAACAGAAGATTTTCTTTCCTATAGAATTCAGTCAGACAGTCTTATTTTATATCAAATAATATATGATTTTTTTTACACTGCTTGCTAAATAAAGACAAATGTCAGTGAACAAACATAACAGAGGGGGAAACGTACCTGAAGACATCCATCGGACATTTGCTTGACGCAAAAGATATGCCGAGAATCCTTTGTTTTTCACAATAGACAGCATTTTATAGATTTAGTTTTATGTGAACAAGAGAGAAGAGGTGAAAAATAAATACAAGTGAGCGCTAATCACTGTATAAAGTGTTTGCATTTTTCCCACGATACAATTATTTCTCACAGGATGCTGTAGGGTACTTTTTTTTTCTAAAATACTCTTGTTGTCTTTTAATAGTCTATGTACAATTTTACTGTTAGCTCAAAACCTGTTATTACGAAAAGTGTCTTGATCAATTAACGCATTTTGCCTGATATCATAGAGTTACTTAATAAAATTTAGAGCATAAACAAAATCATAATAAGTTTTTTTTTTTTTTTTGGTATTGGGCAGTTATCAAGACGTTTTCAACTCAAAAAACCAAGGTTTTAGTCTATAAATCTCATGGCTTGGTTATGTGCTTCATGAAGGCACAGTAGCAAAAGAATTCACACTAATTGACAGCATAAATAGCATTTGATAGACGAATGGCAACAGTAGAAGGCTTTCTGTTCTTCTTTTGCATAAAGTGGTGTTTAGTATTGACTTTCTTTAGTCTAGCTTGTAGGTATTGAACAAAGCCCTACTGCTGTTTCAATCCATTTTCCTATATGGTGATAATGTACACCTTTTGCCAAAACGATGTCGCAAGAAAAAAAAATATGTCGCATATATAGTTTTGTCACCATGGTCATTACTGTGGTTTTTTTTGTTAACCCATCAAAAGTCTCAGCGACTTCAAATAAATATCCTTCAATTTGCTTATTTTTTTCACTCTTTTCTCTTCATAAAAAAAAAAATATGGTTTTTATTAGTCGCAATCACGCACTTTGCATCTATTATCAACTAAAGTTCAACGAAGACAACAGCATTCAAGCTTTAGAAAGGTTTCAGGCATTAGGCGATAAACACGAAGTGTGTTATTTAACTGATCCCAAAATTCCCGTACTTGCATCTAAACTACAGATTTTAAAGTATCCGTTTTTCTTTCACATGTACAAGTCCTGTTAAAATATAGTCAGCAATACCTATAAGGATGTAACAAGTACCTTATTTTTTCATTTTTCCATTTTTCCATTTTTTGCCATTTATCTTTGAAAATTGATTAAATAAGGCTGTGATCATACCAAGTTTTGTTACAAATTCACTTGATATGTTTCCTCTTGGCACTTCTTCATTGAGATATTCCTTGAACACAAAAGAGTTACCGTATAATCTCGTTTTCAATACAAGTACGGGAATTTTGGGATCAGTTAAATAACACACTTCGTGTTTATCGCCTAATGCCTGAAACCTTTCTAAAGCTTGAATGCTGTTGTCTTCGTTGAACTTTAGTTGATAATAGATGCAAAGTGCGTGATTGCGACTAATAAAAACCATATTTTTTTTTTTTATGTAATATTTGAGGCTTATTTACTTTATTGTTTTCTTATCATTTTCTCAAAAAAAAAACTATTTTCTAAATGACTAAAACTCGATCCTATCTATACTTTTCTAAAAGATAGTAAACCGCAGTATTTCTAGCAAGTTCGAGTGAATATCAGTTACTAATGAGTTGCTACGCCATTCTAGTATTTTCTAGGTAATTCCTTATTGGTCAATGGCGGAGTTTCCAACCATTACAAACTATATATGCAACATATTTTTTAAAAGTGCGACACTTTAATTTTTTTTTCTTGCAAAAGGTGTACACTCGGGTTGTCTCTAAATCAAAGACTTTTGTAGCTATGTCTAATCAGGCATTCGTATTTTCCGAACAAAAATGACAAGGTTCATAATTGATAACAGAATTACAATCGTGTTTTTGTCATATCTCATTTCTGTTTGAAAAAGATGCATAAGGATGTAGTATCATTAAGACAAGTGCATGATGTTGGAGAGAACCAAGGTCTGTTTATGTTTTCTTCTTTTTGATTTATACATCTTTTCTATCTAAAGCAGGCTTTTGTCAATCATAGATGACTTAGAGAAGCAAGTGAGTTTGATTCAGTTCAAGCGGTTATAAGCTTATTCTTCATCACGTATAGAAATCTTAATTCCTGCATGGTTTACATGAGATCGACAAAACAAACCTGTATGCTTGAGAACCAGAAATAATATGCGTTAATGTTTTCTGCAAGTTCGTCTTCTTACTAGCAACAGATAAGGGAGTATGCAAAAACTAATATGGCGTACTTGTACAGGCTTCAAAAAAAAAAAGACAGGTATAACATTTGCCTTGTATTAGATTTTGCAAAATGTGACACTCGCAAATGATACCAAAGAATAATCGTATCTGACAAGTTTGTTTATAGACAACAGCAAAAGATCTACCCACAATACAACAATGAACAGAGTAAGAATTCGTTTAGTGCATTTTTATTTACGGATCGTTGCTTTTTTCCCCCTCTCTGTCTTGTTGTATTATTACGAAACCATCCCTCATCTCCTTATGCATGTACTGATAAAATAATTACTAGTATTATTTGATCCCATATCAGAAAGCGAAAAGTAAATAAAAAGGATATATAAACAAGGGCTCTAAAATTATCATTTCTTTATTGTCTTTGCCTTATCAAAAAGAAGAAGAAGGATGCGAGGCTTAACTTTTATCGCCGTTGTTGCTGCTGCTCTTGTTGGTCTCTCAAGCGCTGCTGATCTGAGTGCTAGATCAAGCGAATCTAAGTTTCATAAAGATGAATATCATCCTCAATCTCGTCCAAAAGCATGTCCTCCAGGTCTAAAGTACGACATTGGTCGCAAAACTTGTATAAAAATTAATGTCGAACAACTCAAGAAGCGTTGCACAGGAGTCCCTGATGAAGAGTGTTATGAATATTCCTTTGATTCGCAAGGTTTTGAACAGGTCAATCTGAAAAAAAGAGTACTGGATAAGAAAAGAGCAAAGAAACCTGGTCTTTTCGATGATCTTCTAGGGCATCTTTTAAATAGCCCAAATGGCGCTAAAGATGGTAAAGGCTCTCATAGAGTTAAACCTGCTGGTCCCGTTACTCCAAATGAAATCTCTCCTGCTCAAACTGGTCCTAGTACTAAAGGTACTGCCAGTGGTCAAGGCCCCACTCCTAGGTTAAAAAAGAGAAGAATACCTATTAGAAAATCCCCAACTCGGCCAATGAGACAAGTTGGTGCTCCTGCTTCCCCTCCTGCTTCTGCTGGTCTTAATCCTGCCGGTCTTAATCTTGTTAGTACTATCCGTCCTCTTTTGTTTCCCTCTCGTCCTTCTTCACGTTTTGATGGACAAAAATCCCGTGCCAAGTCTAAGGAAAAATCTACGTCTTATAAGTATCGTCCTGGTTCCCAAACTGGACTATAGAAATGAGTTCCTGCTTCTTCTCCTTCCATTTAAAACAAAATCGTTACCTTTCTACTAATTTGAACTCTTTTGCTAGTATGTTTGTAAAAACACAAAGTTGAAATGTGATGAATAAATATCGTCTTATTAGCTACTTTCTGATAAAAAAAAATTATTGTATACGGGTATACTCGCTAGGGCTCTTAAATGGCCTAGTTTTATTGATTTACAGCATCAGTTTGCTTCTTTATCAAGTATTGTTCGATTTGAATCAGTCAGGCTTGAGACAAAACTTTCTTGAGAGGCAAAGATAGACTTTTCGTTGATATTGGTTGATAATTTATCACTTTCTTGGACAGTAGCATTCTTGTTTTTCTGAGCTAAACTTGCTTCTAAAGCTCTACAAACAATGTTGACTTTCTGTTGATCATGATCAAACACTTTTTCAGCAAGAACTTGTTTGATGCTATCGATTGACAAATTCTCTGTCATATTAGCTGACCTTAAGGTAATATTTGTGCACTTGGTGTTGTCTGATGAAAGAACAGATGTTCTTTGATCCAAACCTGCTTCAGGATACTGTTCTCTTTGTCTTTTGGAAGACAAGGTAAACCGAGTTGATTTTCTGTGACGAGATGGTATCGATACTGGCTTTTTCTGAAATGGCGAGATAGGTTGTTTGTGCGCGAATGGCTGTTGAGATGTAGTAGTTGTTTGTCTGGTTTGTTGTGCTTCAAACCCTTTTAAAGACATCTTTTGATTTTGCTTTTTTATCGTATCGCTGCTTCCTACCACGGCATGAGTACTCATATGGTTGCTTGCTTGATCTTCTCGACATTTATAGCTTTTTTTGAATCCAAAAGAAGCAGAGGAGGGATATACAAAAGGATCACCTTGTCTTTGATCAAGACAATGAGTGGGATGAGTGGGTTCTTGGACCGTTAAGAGCTGCATACGGTCAAACGACTGTCTTTCATACGTGGGTGCCAATTGATGATTGCAGTCAAAATTAAGCTTCGGTGTCCAACTGGAAGGAATAATACCTTGATAATACATGGCATCAATCTCAGACATGGTAGGCTCTTTTTGTTTCTCCAGTGCTTCTAGTTGTCTCAGCAAGACTTCTGTTGAATCATTCTTTGTCTCTTTTGGTGCCTGGAACGTTGTTTGATGCGTTTTTTGAGCAGGCATGACTGGTTTTCCTAATGTCTTGCTGGATTTCATGTTGATTGTCGTTTGCGAGGCTTCAAAATGATCAGAGTTTTTGTTTTCATGCAGGCGATGTGTAGCCAGTTGTTTAGAGTAATCTCTTTCTTTTGTTGGATCCAAAGAAAAAATCGCTTTTTGATCCTTGCGTGTGTGGCAGTGGGCCTTATTTCGTATTGAATCTCTTGGTGATAATGCCTTGGTCTTTGTGTCATGTCGACTGTTTTCTTTTCTCGGTAATATGTCTGAAAAATCAGGCTTTTGATCGAGAATTTGGAGTATGGTCATCAACACGGCATTCTTTACAGACCATCCATGCCACATAAGCAAAAGAAAAAAGACCCATTGACTCAAGATGCATTTGGCCAGATGAATGGTCCAGCTAGCAACTATACCGACATAGACACCTACAAGAAAATGATTGAGCACTTCAAATGCTGTTTCTTGAGGAAAGCTGTGTTTGAATACAGACAAATCTTGCTTGGGAAGTGTAGTGTTCATCAAAGAAGAAAAGAAATGGCTCATGAACGATATAAATAGTGTAAAAGTTTCCTGCAAATGACTTGTTTTTTTTAAGAAAAAAAAGGAAGAGAAATGGATCATTTGTTATGGACTGAATTTTATAGTATGGTTTGATAAATTGATTATGCCAAATAGACTATTTTGTCTGTGTAATAAGATTTACAAATTAAAGAGGATTTCTTTTTTTTTTATAAGGAATAATTGAATAAATACTATCATTATCTGGTCTGTGAATGTGTATATCGTGTGCAATAAGTTGTATGAATAAAGTCTTTGGTTAACGGCATAACCCGCATGATAATTTGGATAAAAATCCTCTTGATTTTTTAGTACGAAATTGTGGTTGTTGTTGTGGTTGTGTGTATGTCTGTTGTTGCTGTTGTTGTTGCTGTTGTTGCTGTTGTTGTTGTTGTTGTGATTGATCTTTACGAGCATTGATACCAGAATTATCAACAATCCTTTTATTTGTTGTATGCTGACGAGTAGCTCGTTTAGATAATGTCTATAAATCATGAATATCCTTGTAAAAAAAAAAAAAAAAAATAGACAATAGCTTAATATACCTGCCAACCCTTTCCACTATTGAGTGTCATCCAATCATAAACATCATCATCTTGCTCTCCCATCTTCTCAATCACTTTGTTGAATAAATTACGCAAAAAGTCATAGTCAGGTGTTTCTTCAAAGCCCAATTTACGCACATATTGAAGGTAAATGCCAAACTCCTCTAAAATCAAAGTTAAATCCTACATGTCATCCCATATGCGTATAGCTTACCAGGATAACCATCACAAAGATCTTTAATAGCCGTCGTTTGCTTTTTTTCACCAATCTTTTCATATTTCTGCTTATTTGTAGCAGCCTTAAGACCTTGCCAGGGCAAAGAGCCTCTTAAAAAGTACATAAAGACATGGCCCAAGGATTCAAGATCATCACGGCGTGATTGTTCTATAATCATGAATACTCCGAACATGATAGGGAAAATTAATTCGTACCTCTTCCCAAATGTGTATTGATTGACATGTAACGAGCAGTACCAGATAAACTCTTTCTTTCACGGTAAGGAATATGCTGTCTTGTTTTGGGATCTCTGTACAGTTTAGCCATACCAAAATCAACAATAAAGATTTGGTTTTCGGCTTCTGTACCAGGTTTTCCAACCAAGAAATTGTCTGGTTTAATATCTCGATAAATGAGGTTCTTTTCATGAATTGTTTGCACTCGAGTCAGCTATTGAAGAGTGAGTGAGACTGAAACAAGACAGACTGTATACCATTTGTTTAGCAAGTAAAGCAGTTGTCTTGACACTGAAGCGTCGTCCACACGTATCAAACATATCTTCGAGACTAGGGCCCAACAAGTCAATCACTAGAATGTTATGAAGACCTTCTTGACCAAAATAATAAGCAGTAGGTATACCAACTATAAATAAAGTAAATATTTATCTCAATCGAGGGGTCAATAACTTACTGGAACCAGCCATGATTTTATACGTTCGATATTCGTCTCTTAATTGAGGTGCATCACTTTTTCTAGGCTCAAACTTGATAGCCACAGGTTGATTGTTAAGCAAGTTTATACCTATAAACATTTTAATTTATTTATTTTTTTCGTTTTTCTCTCTCTCTTTCTTTCTTTCTTACCTTCATAGATTATACCAAAACTTCCTTCACCAATTTTCTTTCCTACTTTATAGTGTACACCCACCACATTATGTGAATTACCTGGACTTGCAGCAGCAGCAGATGAAGCAGGCATGATTTCAAACTTTTTATGACGAGATTAAGGAAAAAAAAAAAAGTAAACGGAAAAAAAAAACAACTAGACTGATTTTTTTTCAACCAATAAATGGAATACTGAACACGTTTTTTTATTATTATTATTATTGTGATTTTTTTTTTTATCATGAATGATATTTAATCACTTTTTTTGTTGATAGACCATTGTCCATGTAAATGTGTCACGAATAAAAAGTCACAGATAATCGTTTTAGGAACCAATTCAATCTCGATAGTTCAGGGCAAACCTTTTCCAATTCAATGGTCCTTGTCCGTGTTCCTCCTTGTCTTCTCCTTTTTGTATATGCAACACTATTTTTAGACTATAAATGCACGGTCCCATTTATTTGCAAAACCTTATGTGTAACAGGACAAAAGAGCTAGACTTTGTACAGTCATGGGTGTCTTATTACTTGTACAACAAGATCATCTTTTTTCTTTCTTTGTAAAGATATAAAGAAAGAGCGAGCGAGCGAGAGATCGGATCATTCCGTTATTGCTTAGCTCAAATAAATAAAAAGCTTATATTGAGGATAACATGTATAGAGTTTCTCAACAAGAATTACACAAGCTATATATCGTTCTCAGTACGGCGTAACACAATATATATCTTGTAAAAAAATGACTGAATCATGGGAAGGACAACTTGAAGAAAATCATGGGGCTTATGCCTTTATGTTCGAGAACTTGGAAAGTTTTTATACATAAAAAGACCTAAAAACCTTTTTTCTTTTCTTTTCTTTTCTTCTTCTGTCTTTTTATATATAAAAATGTCACAAGAAAGCTTGTTTAATAATTTTAGTCCAATGTATCATCCTGATATGCAGTTACAATTTGCTCCTTCAGTTCCTCAAAGACAATCAAGACAAGTCCCTATGAACCTATTTCAACAAGAGCCTTTTCAAAATCAACAATGTAAGTAAAATGCACAGACCGTCAAATAAAATGACACTTATTTAGTCCTGCCAGGTTTCCCTGGTCCTAATGCAATGGCTTCCCCACCTTCTTCTACAGCTACAACACCTAAACAACTTCAGACAAAAGCCGAAAGAAGAGCTGAACATAATGCGATTGAAAGAGCTCGTCGCGAAAGTCTCAATGTCAAGTTTCAACAGTTAGCTTTTGCATTGCCTAACCTTCAGAACGATACTCGCCCTTCAAAAAGCACGATTATTGATCGTACACTGGATTTTGTCAAGACTTCTATCCAGAAAGAAGAACGTTATCAGCGTCGTATTAAGGAACTCGAAAAGTTCAATAGTTATCTGTTGTCTGAATCAGACAAACGACTTCAACACAAGAAGTTAAAGAAGAATCGATCTATTAACAGAAGACTCAGTGCTAGTTCATCACCTACCATGGTACCTGATATGATGCCAGGCGTAAGTGAGAGAAAGCGACCTTCTTCATTTGGTATTGATAAAGAAGAAGACGTGGATGATGAAGAGGAAGAAGAAGAGGATGACGAAGACGACGAAGAGGAAGAAGAACAAGACAATTCTGTTGAAAGTACGGATACCAAGCAACAACTTGCTCAACAGAAGCAGCCTATGCCTCAACAGTTCATGTCCAATACGATGGTCAACGGAGTTCAATCTCCTTTTGTTGTGTCACCTTCATCGGCGGCCATGATACCGACTGCGAAACAAGAATTCTGGCCAACACAACAACAACAACAACAACAATCTTTTGAGAACCTGATACAAGGAAACAAAAATGGATCAAACCCGACATTCTTTCAGTTACAACACATGACACACCATAAATCAATGCCAGAAAATGTCCTTTTCTCGGAACAAAACTCTATATTCTATCCTCAACAAAATTCATTCATGATGGAAGGAGAACAATCAAATCATCATTTTATGCACAGACGTTAATTTATTCCTTTCTTTTTCACACACACACACACATACACACACATACACACACATACACACAGATATATGCTCTCCTTTTCTTTTTTACATGATCTTATTGAATGTACATATTTTCTTCTTACGCACTTAGTCACTCTTTCTATTGTTATGATATAGATGTATGCTATATATATAAAAAGCCCTCTTGTTTTAATAAAGTTATTTATTTATATATTTTAGGTCATGCGATATAGCTACGTAAATTTAAATTATATCATAATGAGGCTAAGTTCATTCCCTTTTTACTTGTTGATCTCCGTTTTCCTAAAGAATCTAAATGTGATTTGTCCATCTGTCTTTTTCAACCTCTCTATTCTTTGTTCTCTCCAACGAGGGCCAAGCCTTAGCAAGACTGGGACACAAATGTTGAACAATGTAACCAATAAACCAATGATAGTAAACATCCATCCCACACCAACACCTTCAATACCTGGATCAATGACTGAACTTGCAATAGCACTAAGGTGACATGAGTACATTTATAACTGTGTGACTCTTTACCCTAAAATACAGCGCACCAAGTTGTTTGAAGCAGTTATAGAAGCTCCCTTTCCTGGAAATAAGTCAATCAATAACGACTGGACACAAATCGTCAAAGAAGAATTAGAAAGTCCCACTAGTATCATTAGTCATATTCATAAGCTTCAACTGTCTTACCCAAGAATTGAAGGACAAGAGGAACAGCCAAAGGAGCATTGACTTGTAGACACCAGCCATAAACAATAGGTAAAGCATCCGAAAAGAACAAACTGATCCAACAACTTCTTAATCTTGCTTTATAATGAGACATGTGTTCTGTTTCTTTTGCTGTCTTTCTGAAATCTCTGTCCAACAGTTTTCCCTTGATAAACCCACCAATGATTGTACCTGCACCCATACAAAGATAACAAAACCCAATCTCAAGTTCAGATAACCCATACCGCATAGAGAACTGCTTTGTCGTTGAGGTCATAAAACAGTACATGGACATGTAAATAAACCCACTAAAAATAAGTGATAAGAACACATCAGGTTCTAGCAAGTAAAGAAACGGCGAAAAGAAGTTCATGCGTGGACGAGGACCTCGCGCTTGCTTTTCGGCTTGAATCTTTTCTTTGTCTAGTTTTCCTTGACGACGTGCGATGAACTGAAAAGGTGTAGGATTGGCATAGCCAGAACCATTGCCTACAAGGGCACGTAAAGTCTCGGGTACAAACAAACTGACAAGCACAATTGAAAGTGCGCCAATGATCAGTGTGATCCAAAAGATCCATCTAAGAAGGACAGTCAGTCATATACAGCTATCTCTCTAGTGTCAGTATACCTCCATCCTAAACCTTCGCTAATTATGCCACCTAACAATGGACCAAGTAAAGGACCACTCATCTACATAGATAATCAATAAATCAACTTCTATCGGTAAGACCTACTTGTCCAATCTGATAAACACCAAAATAAGATCCACGTCTGATTGGATAGATGAGCTTGAAATTAACCATAAATTATGTTTTCTGCAATACCTTTCTGAATCAGCAATATCACCCAACACACCTGCGCCAATTGCTATTACAGAACTTGAACCAAATGCCTGTAACATGCGAAACACAAGCAATGCTGCATAATTAGGTGTCAGAGCTAGCCCAATACTGGCACAGCAATAGATAAACACAGTGGATATCAACACGACTCGGCGTCCATAACTATCGGCTATGGTTCCCCAAAATGTAGGTGAAATAGCCTGAAAGACCATGTAGGCAGTCACTGTCAAGTTGACATTTTCTGTAGTTGTTTTGAGGTCCTATTGAACATGAGGATATCATTCCATGATCGATAACTACCTCTTGAATCTGAATCAAACTTGGCAGATATATACTAGCGGTAAGAGGAGAAATCATGGCTGTAAATGCAGTAATAGATAAAATCCTGATTTGTTGTGGTATAGTAAAAATAGTATAAGGTTCTTTTGGTTCTTGTTCTCTTATTTCTTGTGTATCCGATACAGCTAATTCAGGGTCTTTTGAAGCTATCGGTTTATTATTTTCTAATTGTGTTGTCATGATATGCAAATTAAGTAAATAAATAAATAAAAACTCAATAAAACAAAACCAAAAAACAGACCCTTTTTATAAAAAAAATTTCATTTGATAGCACACCAGGAGATTAAGGGAAATCGATTTCCCGCCCGAACCATAGCACCAATCTAAGCAGTTCTCAAGATCAAATGGACACCACTATCAGTCCAGACAGGCTTACTTAATTCGCCTACTTGAAGTCCAAAAGTAGCATCTTCAAAAGGCTTCTGCATTTGACCACGCTCAAAATAACCTAGATCACCACCACGCTTTGCACTAGAACAGTCTGAGAAATGAGTAGCCAATGCTGACAATGTTTCTTGACCTGACTCAATCTTGTGCTGGTATTCCTTCAAGATCTCCAATGCTTCTTCTTTTGTGCGAGTGATGTGTTCTTCTCTCCATGAACTAGGTCGACGAGACTCTTTGCTTTTCACAAGCAAGTGGCTTGCTCTGACTCGCTCAATTTCTCCTGCAACAGCAGGTGCATCCCAGCGGGATTCTTTTGTCACTGTGTTGAAATAGTAGTCTTTGTTGTATGTACGCGAGTGGCGAATAACCCAGTTCTCCGGTAAATCCTACAGAGAGTAATTAATTTTTGTTTTTATTATGCCGCCTTAAGGAAAGAAAACGCGTCAAATAAAAGCGTGTGCTTTTTTTTTAAGAAAATTCTCCTATGTTAACACTTACCATAATAATACGTTCTTGATCTAGAAAAAGAAAGAAGAAAAAAAGAAAACAATAAGTAGCTGATCGTAGGTTTCTATGTTTACTTACTAGTTAAAAGAAAGAAAAAAAAAAAAAGAAAAAAAAAGAAAAGCAGGAGATAATTCTGTAGAAGAGGCGTAAACAAGTCCGGAGGCGGTGCTTGAACTACACGAGTGATCTGGATTCAGGAACAGGCTTTTTCAAAGCCTATGTCAAGTCTGAGAATGTCTAGCCTTTTTCTCTTTATGCGAGGAGCGAATTAGAGAAACTCTTTTTTTTTGAACATAAATTGGTTCAATGAAGAATTCCTGCTAATGATAGGTTACTGTGCTTATTCGAGTTATATATTAACAAAAAAAAGGACTGGGATGAAAGAAAATCAATTTCATGAAGACATAAGTAACGTCTTTGTTTTTGCCTGCTATCTTAACAAATTGCCTCAATATTTTGTATGCCATTTATTTGATATTTGAGATATAGATACTTATATTTAAAACCATGGATAAGATATGTTTATAGTGATTTGTTATAATAGTGTAATGGTATAATGGTGTAATGAAGCATACAACCATGTTTGTCTTGATGCCTGCTAATTTTAATTTTGACTGGTGACTTGCAAAACCATCACAGCGCTTTTTTGGATAGATAAAGATGTTCTTTGTCCATCATCTTATTTATCGCCTTGTCTACTTTCCTGTCCATCGCTTTATTTTTTTTTCTGCCAAGTTCAATCGTATTGTGGAATTTCGTAGTAAAAAAGTAAAGCGATAAACAAAATGATGAACAAAGAAGGTCTTCATTTATTCAAATCTTTTTTCATCGTGTGAAGTAGTTGAAAAAACCTCATGCTCCCTTTGTGTGCATGCTTTTTAATAAAGAAGATGCACCCATTTAAAGAGGTTCAGCTTTCTTCATATGACCAAATGAAATCAATGATACTTGTGCTAAGAGGAGGTAAAATTAACTTTCTCTTTTCTTTTCTTTTTTTATTGAAATGCTTACCGCTATAATCGTTTTGAAAGTGAAATATATGTTGGAAAATGACTGATTTCTTTTCGAATAAACATCAAAGCGGGCAAAGTGTTTCTTGATGATATTAAGGTTGTTCTGCATAGCCTTAGCTAGCCGTTTCTTTTTTTTTTTGTAGATTGAAAGAACTGGAACTTGAACATATTTTTCGCGAGTAAGAGGTCTACAGACGGTATATATATGCTTCGTGATTCTAGGCAATTAAAAATAAAGATAGCATCTATTTTTTTCTTTAAAATTGATTGCCATTTTGGAACGCTCTTGTTGCAATAATTTTTAACATTTGATTTATGCTTACTAGTCTTAATTCAATTTTTGTGTAGTTATAAGTTTTTTTTTTTTTTTGCCTAAGTTTTGGATTTCTAAATCCAAAAACGTTGCCGTTTCCAAGTCGCACAGATGCAAAAATATGAAGCTTGCTTGAAAGAAGAATTCAATTAAGCAATTCAACACGACAATATCAAGCAAAGACATCTTTGTACCACCTTGAAGCAATGGCTTTGTCGTTTGTATTCTCATTAGAAATTAAAAATAGTCAAATGAAGTCGAAAAAAAGAAACTCATTCAACGACAAAAAAATCATCTTGATCAAATTGCTCCCTCTCTCGTTTCTTTTAAGTCATTATGAAGCTTACTTTGTCCTGAATTTTCTGAAAAAAAATCTTATATACGTTTGAGTGACTTTGAGATATCGAAATATCACTTCGAAAGTAAATCTTTACTTGGTGTGTAACCATTTATTACCGGAGTTAACGGAAAAAGCGGCTTTTTATATCTTGAAGGAAGACACTCTAAAAAGAAGTTTAACACGACACGATCAACTCAAATATATGGCTAAAGCGTATCATTCAAATTCGGTGTTGTATGCTTGAGACCAATGGTATATAGGCTCAAATAGAGTCATTGGGGCTCCATTCAACTATAAAAAGGAGAGTCTATTCGAATTCCTTTTCTTGTTGTGTTTACTAATTTTACTGCTGTCATGAAGTTCACTCCATTTGTTCTTTCTGTACTCGCTGGTTCTCAGCTTGCTGCTGCTATTACTCACATCTCTACAACAACCACTACCACCCAGGCTGCTACTAACACTGCTGCTGCTACTCGATTCCGTATATCGCTTCGAGTCGGGACAACTCTATTTGATTCGAGTCCTGTTGCCTGTATCAACATTGGAGATTGTGGTGCTCCTTGCATTGGTTTCTCTACAGAATCAAATCCAATTTATAGTTCTTACAATGCTGAAAAGTGTTCTGATCAAGATGAATTTGTGAGTGCAGCTGTTTTCCCAAAGCAACCGACTGAATTTCTTCCAATTCCTGATTATCTCGTTGTTGCTGGCAGTAGCGCTCACGTTCCATGTGCATGGAGTGGTAGCAGTCCTTCTGACAGTTCAGGATACTTTTATTGTCCTCCTCTTCCTGTTACTACCACTACTACAACCACTACTACAACCACTACTACAACCACTGCTACCGCCGCACCTACTTGTGCAAACAAGAGTACTGTCTATGGTCAAAAGAAAGGCAATGGCTACAAAGAAGACTGTTGTAAGACTGAAGCTGATTGTAAAGACGATTGTATCAAGGGTAAATGCAATGGTCCTTCTAGAAAGACAACTACTGTCAAAAAAACAAAAACAACAGCAACTACTACTAGTAAGTCTGCCACTCCTACGTCAGGCGCTTGCAAGTCTGGCTATAGAGGCAAAAAGAAGGGTAATGGACCCAAGAATGCTTGTTGCTCTACAGAACGCGATTGCAAAGAAGACTGTGTTAAAGGCAAATGTACTTAAATCTGATAATGATACTCTTTAAATTCAATAAACAAATATTTTTTAACACAACGACAAGTCTTGATTATAAGCCGCATCATAGCTCCTGTTGTATGTTAAATAATGATAAAATACTTACTTGTTTTTATACATGTGTTCAATTGATAAAATAAACCAATTATATGTTTCTTTTTGGGTCAGTATTGAAGCGAACAGTATTGAATATCTCGAAATACTAACTTTGATATTCTGAACATATAGATCACTCTAGTCATACTATATTGTTCATTTTATAGAACAATGCATATTTTGATTATCAAAGAAGAACAATATGCCATGTAATTTTGGTTTCTAATAAAGTGTACCTGTCTTTCCTAATCAGTAAAGCGCGCACAAACGCGTAATATAAACGCGTATTAATGTGACGATTGAATTCATTCATTTTTTTTCTCGCCTTTTTTACACTCTTCATGGACGAAGAAGAATACCAGACACTACAGAAAAAAATCCTCCGTACAAAACGAGACTTGAAAAAATGGGAGACAGTATTTGCAGAGAAACATAGTCGACCACCCACTATCAAAGATATTAGCGATAGACCTAACATTGAAAAATTCTATAAAAAATACAACCAGCTCAAGAAAGAATACAAAAAGGAAACGGATGCCCGAATGATTGTATCGCCTCAAAGACGAGGTTCTGTCGAGTATATACGGTCACCTACCCATCGTTCTTCGCCAACTCATCGTTCTTCACCTACACAACGTATACCAGTGACTTTCTCTAGTCAACAGACAGTAGCGAGTCTATCTGAACTAGAAGATATTAAGAGTACAATTAGTGATACTGGTTCTCAACAACAACAATTAGCCGAAGATGAAGCGTTTTGGCTCGGTATATCATCTCAATCATCACAAAATAGTCAACCTCGGCTGATTTTAGGTGGATCACAACCCAACAAGAAAAAGAAAAAGACGGCATTACAAAGAGAACAAGAAATCTTGGGCAGACACTCTTTTCACCGTCGACATCTTCATCATCATCAACAAAAACAAGAAGAAGCAGCAGCAACAGCAGTGGAAAAACAATCGACACCAAGTCCATTATTATCAGATCCTGAAGATGAAGATATGGATGGTATTGAGATTGTAAACCATGTCGTGGATCCTTTTCGTCATTATGATCCTTCTGTATTTCATTGGGAAGATCCTTCATTTTCCATTGGACCTGGGTTCTTTGGTGCAGCTACCAAAGTGACTATGATGTTGGATGATCCTGTCAGAAGAGATCGTGTGCTTCGTAAATTAGAAAAAGGCACATTAGGTGAAGTGTTAGAAGAAAATCAAGCAATGGAAGATGATATAGAAGATGAAATCAGACAGTTTATTGCACAACACCAGGTTGAGAATGATATCAGCGTAGAAATTGAATCACATTTCTATAAAAAGAAACCACTTCAGAAGCGACAGACAAAGATGTTTAAATGTAAGTTTTCATACATTATACAAAGAGGCCAATGGTTAATGCTCTTGTAGTGAAATTTGTTGAAACACGCTAGCATTTATTTTTCTGGCAAATACTCTTTTATCCTGCCTCCTGTATCAATCAATGTCTCTATTAATCTTTCACTATTTAAAAATATATAAGTAAACAAACTTATGATTCCATAATATATATTACTGAGGCAAATATGTTCGATTTGGATAAAACATATAGTCTAGAGAAATACGATCCAAATTAGTGACATTGGACATATAAATGTCTGCAAATTTCCTGATCTTGTTTGCAAAGAAAGAAGGATTTTGATATGTTCGAAATACACTTCCAAAGGATTCGTTAAAGGCTGTCTTGAGTTTATGTCGGACATCTCTTCTTTCTTGTCTCCATTCAGATATCAAGGATTCAAGGCCGTCCGTTTGGTTGTATTCTTTGCGACATGATTGAGCTTCATTCAAGAGTCTTTCTAGACGAAGAAGCCATGAAAGAGAGTGTCTATAATCCGGATGGTTTCTGATCTCAATCTCTTTCGCTAGTTCATGAATAATAGCACCCTATTAGAGACAATGAATCATGATATCACCATGGCTCTACTTACTGTACGCCAGCCATGTTGTATGGAAGCATCTGCTAGATCAGAAAAGACATGATCACCAAAATAAAGTACTTTTTGGCTTGGAAATGGTTAGAAAAAAAAGTATAGAGTGATATGACTTACCCTGACCAACCTGTCAATTTTGCAAAGTCATGAATATTTCCAGCTTGATAAGCTTCTCCTTGTTGAAATGTATTGACTGCATCCCAATTAGGCTCATTGACTTTTCTAAAGGGCCGACGACTTTTATAGAATTCAGGCTTTCTGGCAGAAACAACCACACAATCAAACAAGTCGCGCCAATCATCACTTGACATCAAATAGCTCATGCCCTTGTCAATAAATGCATAAGTACTATTCGTTAATAAGAATGTCTTTTTGCCTTGCTTGCGAAGGTGTTCTAGATAGCCTACAAGCTTTGGGGCTCGTTCAAGGTAGAGGGACATGTCTTGCATGACTTCCATATGGAGTGTACCACCTATACCGTGAGCACCAGTGTGAAGAATACGTGCAGCTGTGCTCACATCATCAGACAAGTAGCGAGGATGAAAACTATTCAAAAGTCAGTCTATTTTCATGCCATGATTTTTTTTACCTCATATTGTGATCCTGGAAATACTGAACGAGATCACTTAACAGTGTTGCTTGTGGTATGGAGAACAAGTCACTCAACTGAAACATGTTGGTTTTCAAGTACTCGGGTGTAATGTGCCTTCCTTTATGCAACTCAACCACTTGATTTAGATCTTTAATGGGTGTCCTACCAGCTTGGAAGTGTGTCAATACAAGATGCTCCTACGAATCGCATTTACCATGGACTGTATTTAGTTGAATATTGGCCATATTATCTATTTTCATCAACCAACCATTGTTGAAATCTAACAATAAATTCCCACATACATTTACACATAATGACATACCATAATGTAGTCCACGGATAGCAAAATTAGGGTCAAAAGTAAAGCCTTTGATTTGTTTAGGATACTTGAGTATATCCACAACAATATCTCGTAATGAATTATAAATAGTCAATGATAAATTATCAGTGTAATTTGCTAATGTATACTAGAAAATCAATGTTAGGCTGTCATTAGACTGTTTACTTGCATCATAATCAAAACCATAGACACCAATATTGTTCAAATTTAATTCATTATTGATAAAACTATCCAAGTTAAACAAAGTCATGAACATACAATACATACACTTCTTTAGGTGATGTGAGTCCTAAACTATAGAGAATGTCTTTTTTATCAACATGACTACTTAAATAAAGAACAGTCGCCTTGTCTTTTTTAGCTGCATGGATATGCTGATATTTTTTCTTTTCATATTCTCTGCGTAAGAAATCAACAATGCGTACATCTGTTGTATGATAACTTCTTTTCAATACACCAAGTCGGAACATTTTATTAGAGAAAAGAAGAAGAAAAAAAAGAAATTTTCTTTTATATATATATATATATATATATTATCTTTGTCTTTTACTGCTACTGCTACTGCCATGAGCCTCTTCATGATCTCTTTTTCTTTTTTCTTGTGTACGATATCCCGGAGTCCATGTTTCTGTGAGTGAAGGGTTTCCTTCTTGTTGTACGCTGGATAAAATGGAACTCAAGAAATGATGACTGAGACTCAAGATTTGAATAATTCTGGATGTTCTTAATATCTGTGCTAATTGTTGTTGTTGGTGTCGATATTCAATCTAAATAAACGTGAGTTCTACTTATTTGGTCCTCTTTTTACTTACCGTGGATTCATCCCTTGTCAATGTCTGACTCACTTCTCTTAAATAAGGTGATAATAAACTGAACAAAGCAGCCAATTCGTTTAGAATCAATCCTACTTGTGCTGACTGATTGGGTTGCTGTGCTAATAATTCTCTTGATTCTTGAATGGCTGGTAATGAAGTAGGTCTTGGGTTATGTTGATGTCGATGTATTTCAGCTAAAGAATGAATGAGCATACATCACACTTGGGCTTTGGTGTTATATTACTTTCATCCAAAGGCGTTTGTAGTAATGTTCTGATCTCTCTTATATAAGCCAATGTTCGAGATAATCGCATATCCAAAGAAGACTAAATACATAAGTAAAATAAAGAGATAGAGATAGAGAGAGAGAAATGCTTACAGGAATTGGAAATGCTGGTATGTTATTTCGATTCTCTTGTGCTCTAGTTCTTCTAGAATCAAATCGATGAGAATTCAGTGTTTGAAAAATACTCTAAAAAAAAAGAAGTCATTAATCAATGACAAGCTATTGTTTGATAAATTTACAGGTCGAGAAGAAAAAGCAGATCTATCAGGTGGTGAAAAAGGACTATTTTGTATAGGTACTGAAGGCGTAAACCTATTCAATAATGGCTATACACACAGATATTTAGCTCAAATGTTGAATTATTCTTATACTCACTGTTCTTGTTTCAGACAAAGTAATGACCGTATATCCATCGTGTCTTCTTCTGTTTGTTGTCATTCTTGGTTCATCTATCAAGGTCAATCTTGTTTATGCAAAAAAAAAAAAAAAAATCAATCAATCAATCCTAGTTTACCATCTTCAGGATGAATAGGTGCGTTTAAAGGACGAACAACCAGGTGAACTACTTTACCATCATCCAAGTTTTCTAGGCAGACTTTTGAGCAAAGAATAATTATAGATCCTATCCTACCATAGTCTAACAAGTTCTTATCGTCTTTTAAAACTTTGCCTTGAAAAATAAGGCGTTGTCGTAAACTATCAACGTGAAATACAACTTGTATTCTACTCTTGAGTTCAAGTACAGAAGCATTTCGAGGTAAAGAGACTGATTTTATTTGTTGTTCAAGTGACTTTATAGATAGTTCAATAGATCTGTTCTCAGTGTTGTTCATGGCAAGTGTTGAAGAAGCGAGACTTTATTTTTTAGTGTATGCTTTTTTATTTGAGGGTCCGGTAATGTCCGGATCAGAAGTATCCAGTTATTATGCGACATTTGTTTCAATGCATTGTATTCATGCTTAAAAAGAGTAATGAATATGTTTATAATGAAACAATCAATAGACTCCATGCATGATAAGTTAACTGCATAAATTCATTACTCTCACTTTCTTTTTCTCGGACATCAGCACGGAAATATACATAAAACAGTAGTACAAATTACATATACACTTTATGATTAACAGAGTAGCCGCAAACTGGCTTTTCTTAAAATAAAGTCTTATAGATCTTTATACACACAGTCAAACTTTTTTCAATCCTTTTTTCGCATAGAAAGCCACAAACTGTCATTACCGAATGATCCACGCCGTTCTTGATAGTCTTGTTAAGACAGTCCTTGAGACAGTTTGCCAATTTGGCAAATTCGTCACTGGGCTTGGCTCGTAGCGGCTTACGTTTCATGAAAAACACTAGCTGGCTAAGATGTTTGTCACATGTATAAATGCTAAAGTCCCTCTTGCGCCCCTGTCTATCTGGATTATTCTTTCATTTGAGCTGCTTACAACTACATTGACTTCACAACTCCCAAGATTAGTTATCAACAACAAAACATGTTGATTATTGGGTTATCCTTCAGTAAAGATAGTCGAATCATTAGGAAAATAAGCAGCCAAGAGCGGCAATAAGGTATCTTTGACAAATATATCTTCATTGATACTATATCAATAGGCACAGTATGCCTTTAGCCTATCAGTACAGAAATTAATGACGCTATTGATTAGTTCTCTTTGTCTTTTCAATAATCCGTCACTTACATGTTTCTTTAAGCGTCTTGATAACGACATGCTTTGTCACTGTTATCATTTCGTATCCAAGACTTCGAGATTTTCTTGCCATTATCGCTGCTTGTTTGTTCAACCTGAACTAAAAGTTGTAAATAAAATGCATAAAACAATGGCGAACACTCCCTCTACTTTAGAGTTCACTCTAAAAATCAACCACTTCTGCATAAGTATATATTTGAAAAAAAGAGTGAAAGAAGAAGAAGATTATTTTTAATTGACAATTTTATAACAATAAATAGGTTCCTTATTGTTTATTACATAGCGAAACCAGTAAATTATCAAGTAAATTTGAAAATAAATGATTTACTTGTATAAAGAAAGAGCATTTCAGAACAAAATGAAAAGCTGTAATTGTATCTTCAAAATCTGTGCATTGATGCTTCTTTAAGAAGTAGAATAGACGGAATGTTCGTCATAAAAATAAAGGAAATTGTCTAGAAAAATTTCGCTTTATGACAATACATCAATCTTCACAGCTGAGATATTTGATTTTCAATCAAGGAATACATCTTCCCCTCTTTCCCAAAAATCATGATTACCTCGGGAAGACGTCTTTCCTGATTAAACATCAGCTAGTAATTTGACTTTTGGCACTGCGGCTTTTGATTGACAATCAGTGGTTGAACCCATATGCAGTGATCCTAATCGTATTGTTCAGTAACCATCAACCTCCTTGTTCTCCATCATCTTTTTGTTTTCTCTGCACCTTGAGAAAGTAGTGTTAGCTTTAACATTCATAGTGGAATAAGCATGTTCTGGAAATTCCACAAGAGCGACTAAAATCCTATTCAACCAGCGACCTATATGACACAAACTTCACTCCTTGAATGTCTTTTGTCTGCATTCAATTTTTATTCATTTTTTCTCTTTGTCTTTTACTTTGTTATTATGACTGCTGAATCCTTTCCTCTCGGTTACTTTTATATTATCTCTAAACTTAACGGACTTGCCGTAGACCTTGACCTGTCTGAACCACCTACCGTAAGAAATCAAACTATTGATCTCGGATAAAAAAAAAAGAAGAAAAACTAACTTCCAGCATAGGCTGGTACAAAACTTATTACTGTTACCAAGAAAGAAAGCAAGCCTGAACGCGACAGTCAACTTTGGATCCATCAAAATGGTATAACAAAATTTCAAAATTTAATGTACTCATTTATTTTAAGGTTTTTTGACAAACAAACTGAGTGGTCTTGTCATGGATATCGGAAAATCCAAAAAGTTCATTGGTAAGTCCAATAAGATCAGATGCTCGTTGCTCATGGCTGATAGACATCTTTACTGGTCATCAACATCTTTATGTTGATGTCATGAAGCAAGAAGAAGACGTAAGTAGTTTCTAGTAAATCTATTTTTTTTCGGAACCAAGACCGAAAGTAACACAAATTTCTAAAAGGCAAATGATCAACGCTTTGGCTATGATCCTAAACATGGCTATATCTATACTCTGCTTGAGCCTGACCAAGTAGTTGATATTCGCAAGAAGCAAGTAGAAGAAGGGGGTACCATGATGATCTATGAAAAGAACCCAGTACTTGAAGAAGGCCTGAACCAACTCTGGACACTTCAGCTGGCTGATCCTCCTGTCGTCTTGGACTCTTCTGATGATGATGAAGACGACAGTAAGCGTGCTCGTTTCACTGCCTGGTTTGGCAGTTGGTTCGGATGGGACGATAAGAAGCGCGAAGTCTTGCAAGAAAAAGATCTGGAAAAAGCACATGAAAAAGTGTACAAGAAGAACAAGTCTCATTTGAGTTATGAGATTATTGCTGGTGCTGTTGCTGTCCAGGCAGTCAAGATGTACATGGATCAACAAGAAGCTAATGGCGAAGAAGTTCGTTTTAAGGGAGCCAAGGAAATCATTGCGGCCTTTGCTGCTAAAGAAATGGTCAAGATGTTTATGGAGCGCGGTACAGATGATGACGATGATGACGATGACGAAGAACAAAAGGTAAAGAAGCAAACCTTACTTCAAAAGATGGCATCTTCTGCTGCTGTCAACTATTTCGAAACCAAATGTAAATAAACTTTGAGTATTTGAAGTTACTCCAATGCAAAGTGGACTTTGAATACAATTGGCTGTGATGTAATAACAGCATAAACTTGATTTTTTTAAAAAATATTCCTCTTTTTTTTTATTATTTCAACAATGAATATGCCAGTGATTGAAGGTATTGCCTGGACTGTGTATGGTATTATTGCTACTGTAAGTTTTTGATTGTACTCAAATAAATAAAAATAAAAATAAAATAAAGGGCGTGTTTCTATGCAGTGCATTATTTACGCGATATTTTCAAGACAAGTATGAGTCCGAGTTCTTTGCAACGTTGATCACCATCTTGGCTCTTGGTCTTGTGTTTTCAACACTCGCTTTATTGCCTGTTGATATTCTCCTTGTCTCTTCGACAGTAGATCAGACGACAGGTATCAAAAAATCATGGGCAACACCAGAAGTGATCGAAAACATGACATTTAACATGACTTTGGTGTATTATGGTAAAATGTTATCTACTTTTACTATGAGTCTCACCTCTGTTTAGTTTGTTATGGGTTGATTACTACCTTTAGCTTTGTCTTGATCCCATTTGCTTATTTTTTTTATGAAGAATACGATGAAGAAGAAACACTCAGTGACCGTATTTTTGGAGCATTGAAATACACTTCTTTCTTTGTTGTCATTTGTCTCTTGTTGTCCATGTTTGGGCTCTTTTTGAAGCCTACAACAAAAGCACCCAAGATTGATCTTGATTGGTTCAGGAAATTACTGACAGATAATAGTAATTGATACATTAGAAAAAATATAGAAATTCATGCTTCTCATAGATGGTGAAAAAGCACTTGCTTTTGTGATTGCTTGTTTGATCTTACTTGGTATGCTTGTGTTTATTGCTTATACTGTAAGTTGATTTACCATATATTATGTATACTTATCTATTTATAAAAAGGCTCCTGGGTTGTCATTACTGCCAATCAATATGATTAAAGGACGTCAGGGCATTGATGCAGAAATGGAAGATATCGAAAACCGATTGACAGCAACCAGAGAAAGACAGCGCGTATTAAAATCAAAACATCATAAACACAGACCAGCTAGAGAACAAAGACAGTTGGAAGAATTAGAAGACCAAGAGAGGTAATAAGCCATAAGACACACAACACCCATTAAAACCATACAGAATTTTAGCAAGACGATTAAGAGCTATTCAACAAGATAAATCTAGCCTTATTCAAAAGATTCTATTATTTCTTCGACCTTTTGAGGTAAGTTTAGTTGTTATTTACTTCTCCTTAAAAAAAACAACAACAAACTAGTTTCTGCTTGGCCTATTTTTATTATGCGTGACTTTAGTGCTGGTTGTGTCGATTTTTTTGACCATGTAAGTGCATATATTTATATCTACAATTAATTAAGTTGTGTAGTGTGGACAAGATTGCATTTTCATTGTGTGGTAGTCAATGTGGATATGTGATTAATCACCCTAATTTATTCAATCCAATTAATTATATCTTTGTCAAACTGTCCAAGGTTTTCTTGCTTGATTACGTGTTTATGGTAAGCCTCATTCTGTATTTCTTTCTAGCCACGATGACTGGCATTATTGAGATTGGAATTCGGTTTCTTTGGATCACACTCTACCGTATCAAGAAGGGTTCAACAGCACCTCAGGGATTACTTGTCTCAGCTGTCTTGTTGACGCTGAGTTTACTTGCATTAAACTATACCATGACAACCACCGTTGCCCCTGGATACGCACATTTTGGTAGCCAAGTCTATGTAAGTTGTACTATATCACTTATCAAACTAACATGCAAAGTGTAATCATACCACACTGACCGGACAGCGTGACTGTACAGAACACAATGAATTCATTGTTCATTGTAATGTGTACGGACCAACTGATATATGCACACCCACTGTATCCTCTACTCTGATTGACCGCATTCTTGTCAACACACCCTTTTTTGGCATTTTCTTTTACTATGCTCAATGGGTGTTTTTAGCTATCTTTATCGTCGGATTTATCGTTTCATTATTTAAACGACCTAGAAATAATGTCGATGCTGATCTGCAAGAGCTCGTGGATGAAGAAGAAGAAAGTTTGCTGGACAGAAGAAATAGTCACTATAGTAGTCAAAGTAGAAACTATCAAGCATCTTCTTCTTAATGTTGTGTCTGTGAGCATGTTGCTATTCTCATTCAAGTTTTCTCTCCTCAACTGTATATTTTCACCACCCCTTAGTTTCTTGTAAACCTTTTTTTTTTTTATAATTAAAGATTTACCAATTGCAGGATGTAAGCTCGTCAATCAAAGTTTTAACCTCACTTTGATAGGATGAACAATATGTCAATAATGGTAATTGACAATATGATTTTTTTTATGTTTGTTTTTTTTTTGCAAAGGTTCGATCAATTTAAACACATGTAATATTGTCCTTATTAAAACTATATGCGCGTAAGTTTTTTTTTTTTTTTTTTTTTTTTTTTTTTTTTTTTTGCATGATCAAAAAAAGAATAGTGCTCTCTCCTTTTTTTTCTATTTTTTTTTACTCCTCTTTCCAGTGCTTATCTTTCTTTTATTACAACAAGTGTCTATTTTATGCTGTCAATTTAAAATAATTGTAATTTAAGCACATGTTTACAATTTTGTCCAAAAATAAAATAAAAAAAAAAAATAAATAAAGGGGAAAATAATAAAGATGGTCATAGCAAAATTATGTGTTACACCAGCCTATAAATCAGGGGAATCCAAGGGGTTGAATAGCGCACACACCAAAAAGAAACAAGAGTATCCCTTTCATTAACTTTATGTATCCGGAATACTTTTTTCTAGACATTATAAAAGAAAGCGTATTTATTTTCGTTGTTTTCATTTCTCTCTCTTTCTTTCTTTATCATCTACAGTCCTTTTTTTTTTAGTTCATCAGTTTTTTTTTCTTCGTTTAAGAAAAAAAAAAATAGCATTCATTTTTACATACTCTCTTTTTATATATATATACATATATTTATACTACTTATTTTTTAAACTTTTCGATAAAGATTTTTAAAATAATTCATTAATCATTTTGGTAAGGAAATACATCTTTGACAAGCACACATAGACTGATCAATATAGATACAGACATGTACTCTTCTAACTTTCAACCTACATTTGACATGAACGCTGCTTCTCAATTGTCACCTGACACTTGCCTTAATTACCAACGTCATGACAGTATTGACTACAGTCGTCGACCCAGTTACTTTACCGGTTTATTAGGCAATCCCTCCAGTGAAGTCAGTAGTTATGCAGACCATCAAGAAACACCTAGCCCATTCAATGGCTATGAAGAGTATCCCGTTCATCATCCATTGGATACAAAAAGACGTCTGAGCACACTTGTTGAGCTTAACCAATACAATCCATACTGTCCTCAAGTAGATCCTTATGCTGTTGTGAACCCCTGGATTGCTGCTGCTGCTGCCATGGCTGTCACTTCACCTACGGGTAGTGAATCTTCTCGTATCTCCTCTTCTCCCATGATGTATGCTCATCCTGCAGTAGACATGTATTCACCACAAAACTACTTTCAACAACCTATGGAGCAAGGTTTCCAACCCATGTTGGATACCATGGATGGTATGTTTCGCGAGCGTGCCTCGTCTGCTTCCTCTGCTTCTTCTGGTGACAGTGCTCTCAGTGTCAGTCCACCTGCCAGTCGTCGTACAAGCAAAATCAAATCACCCCTAAAACCCTCCCGCTCCCGTGGTCGTAGGGTTTCCAATAGCCCCAGCATTGCAGGACAAAAGGTCTTTACATGTAAACATGATGACTGCGGAAAAGTATTTAAAAGATCAGAACATTTAAAGCGTCACGTACGATCCATTCACACTTTGGAAAAACGTAAGTTTTGGTTTGTTTGTTTATTTTGTAAATTGACTTTGAAAATAGCCTTTGAATGTCCTTACCAATCTTGTTCAAAACGATTTTCTCGTTCTGACAATTTGAACCAACACATTCGAATCCATCGTCATACTGGAAAAGATAAAAACAATCAATCAAGCACTGGCAAACATACTTCAATGAGCAATTATATGCCCATGTATTAACCTTTCTCTTTTTTTAAGCACACTTTTTTATATTTATATAGTTTTACGTACTTATAATGTTTCTGTTCTTTAAGTCTACTTTTTTTGCATTTCATTATACCTTTTCCCTTTCTTTGCATACGCATACACACACACACACACACACACACATTTAACATTTATGCCATTTGTTTTTATTTTATTTTATTTTTGTCATTCATTCATCTCCATTCACTTAGTAATAATAAAAAAAAAAAATCTATTTTATGCGGTGTCTTTTTTGTCATTCAATAATTGAGAGATACGAGACATCAGGTTTGTATGGTCAGGATTAGGCTTGACATTGTCATCTGTATCTGTATTGGCTTGTACACGACGAGGCTTTGTTGAACTGTTCATCATTTCAGCCACTGTCATGTCTTGGTTACCAAATCTAAAGTGATAATCATCAAAATGATCATTCAAGATAGGAACAGCATTGGCTTCCTTTGACTTGACTGTCACTTCAACACGAGGCTTGCCTTGTTCATCCATTTCTGCTTTATTGACATAGAAAATACGAGTGCCTCTATCATAAGCACCCTTCAAACCAATAGCATCTCGCTTTCTCAACATGGCCACCACACCACCAATACCAGCAGCATGACCATCCATACGGCTTCTGTTCAAAATACGACCTTGTACAGGATAATCCCATCCAATATGATAATCAGAGTAAGTAGGACCCACAACACCACCACCATGAGGTGTGGTGGTTTCTGAAAAGTTGACATGGAGGTAATCAAACACTTGTTCAGGTACCACTTGTTTCTTAGCCAGTGCTGTCTGGAACTCGGGTCCTTTCTTGGCTGCTTCACGTAACAAGCGTTGGAATTCAGCAGGGGTCATATTGGCTGCATTGTATTGGATCTCTTCAGATCGAGGTTGGGGTTTACGAGAATTAGGAAAGTTTTCCTTCCATCGTTTAATAAACAAGACTTTGCCAGCACCTGATTCCCAAGGTGTTTGGTGTTCTGCTGTATCTAATGCACCAATAGTGACATGGTTGGTTCGAATTACAGTGGGTAAGTTGCGCTTTAGACCCCAATCGCCAATCTTTTTGTGTTGCTTGGGTGTTGTATAGACTTGAGGTAAAGCACGATCGTATGAAGCGATACGAGAATGTCTTAATAAACTAGCAAAAGACTTATCCATGATAAAAAAAACAAAAAAAAAAGAATTTTACATCCTGGGTTCTTGTTTGCTTTAATTAAAGGACCGACATCCTCTTGTTTTGAGCGGCACTAGCTACGAAATAGAATATGTTGACACAAAATGTACAAAATATGGGTTTTTACTATGCAAGCGCATAAATAAGTCTACATGTAGCTATGAGATATTTATTTGTATTGAATGAGATAGAGAGAAACTGAAGGATATATTAATTTGCATTTATTTTTGATGTGAGCTTATTTACAAAAGTATTAAGTTTGTGCAATTATTAAACAAGAGCACTGAAAGTGTTCATGTGTGTTGATTGCTTAACTGTAGATGCAATGAGTGGTACTATCATCACGGTCTCCCTTTTGTTTGTACTTCTAGACTTAGCTATAATGAAAACTACTCTTTATGGTTTATTATAAGCTTTGATTTGAAGCTGACAAAGGATTTAAAAACATTTCGGTTTATGGTCCTAATGATAAATTACATAAATGCCTGAAAGAAACTGTCAACTGCACTTGTTGTATCAGACAAACCCTGTATCTTATTCTTCTATATCTTGGAATTACTCTTCTCTCAACATTGCCTCAAATTTGTCCATGATTCGACCTTTTGACAATGCGAGAATGTGATGTCGAATGGCAATAGTGGTTAGTACGCATGTTTTCTTGTTGAAGACGTTCATTTGCTTTCTGCATAAAATGACTGATACTACTGGCTGCTATTTTACGAGCGGCTTCTACTTCATAGTGTCGCTTTGTATGCACTAAATAAGGTGATTGGAATTCTTCAATGTAGAGCTGCAGTGGTTGCTCTGTAAATGCATTGACTTGAACCACCGATTTGATGGTGCTGTGAGGTGAATTTTATCCATCATGGCCCTGTCTAGTCAGCTCAAACACCTGATAGAACAGCTTGTTTTGGTGCCGATCACCTATTGTAAACAATACATTGGATTTCCATAAAGACAAAGCATGTGCTTCCATGTTTTGTTTTTTATATTTTGTATGGCTGGCTAAACTCTGGATGCTAGTTTCTGTTTGATGAGGTCTTTTTTTTTCTTGGTTTGTTCTTGTATCCTGTCTATAAAAGATAAAAGAGTCTTTGATGCTTTTAACAACTTTGTTGGTTTGTGTAAATTTGGAGGGTCGATTTACTCACAGGTATGCAAAAACATACGCTTTTATATGCTTATTGACAATGTGCCATGGTATATTTACATATATGAATCAAAGAAAATCACTTTTCTTTATCGTTTATTCTGGTTTTTAGACTTGAAGGAAGTGTAGTGTCTGCTTTGTACTTGTTTGTGTCACCAAAATAAAACATATGTTTACATCATGTCATCTTTTCCTCATCACTAAACTGATAAGTAAAGATAACTTTTAGAATTAGTCCATAATATATTCACTTAGAAAGAGAAAAAAGCAACCAAAATGAGTTTTGGAGCGAACAAAAAAAATGCGATGAATTTTTCAGGGTCTATTTTCAGGGAAAAGTAAGCCACTGTTCCAGAGATTTAAAATGTGGTAAGCGTATGCATAGTGTACGGATCAATGGAAATACTTTTTGTGCTCAAGATAAAAAAGACAATAGTTAGTTCATCTTTAGGCATCAGTAATCAGTGCTTTAAGTTTACGTACAAGATAGCTTTCTTTCTTTTTCTTTCTTTCTTTTTTAAACAGCTAAATTTTTCTTTGCTCTTTTGGTTATTGACATTTTCATATGAATAAGAAAGTTTGTTATTGTTTCAGGATGATCTTCTCATGGAAAGAAAAAGAACTGGAAATGATTAAAGTTTAAGATCCTATGCTGTAGAATATATTCCGCATTATTTTGCATTGATTTATATGATAAGTAAACTTCCCTTATCTTCAAGGGCAAAGAATAATGAATTATTCAATAGAAACACAGAGGATAAGCACATAGCAAAAGAGAAAGAAAATAAGCAAAAGGGGATGCTTTTCTGTTTATAGAACTGACAAGTAGGGTGTTCATCGCATGATTTATGCAAGTAAATAAGTTTATATGTAACACAAAATTGGACGTCCTCTCTATGAGATGATCTCTATGAAAAGAAAACAAAAAACCAAAGGAAAGGAAGGGCAAGGAAAGGAAAAAGTATTTATAAAAAAGCACGCAGCACTCTTTTTTATTTCTTTATCTTTTCTTACTTTCTCTGCTCTGGTCTCTTATGGTCTCTCTCTCTTTTTGGTTCGTGCCTATCTATTTCAAGAACGCGTCTACTTCCTCTAAGGTTTTCTCTTTACTTGGTTGGTTCTATCTGCTTGGTTCTCTCTCTTTGTCTCTCTACTTTGGTTACAAGTAGCTATGCATTGAGGATATACTAGTTATCTGTAGTCTAACAATGGTACGCGATAGGTGCGGTTGTGGTAGCCGCTACACTGGTGAAAGCTAGTGTAGTTGTTTCTTGTTGTTTCTTTCTGTGGTCCGTTTTCTGGTAAGTACCTTATTTATTTCAAGAACGCGTTTACTGACATCTCTGTCTTTTCTAGGATTTTCTCTTTGGTTGGTTTTTTGAGTCTTTCTATTTTCATTTTGAGCAATTGTGTGTTATCTGTAGTCTAACAATGTGATGGGATGAGATGGAATTGGCGTAGTTTTTTCGTGTTCTCTCTTTTTGTAGATCGTTTTTTGGTAAGTACTCCATCTATTTCAAAAACGCGTTTGCTGAAATCTCTGCTTTCTCTAGGTTTTTCTCTCTATTTGGTTGGTTCTGTCTACTGGTGTCTCTCTCTCCGTGGCTTTCAGTGTTCGATCCTGATCGTTGTTGGCCTGTTATAGCCGATGATTTACTTTCTTATCTTACTGCCCCGAGAGTAAGGTACGAGGCATATAGGCGTTGGTCTGCAGCGGGAAGAAGGGTAGTTGCTGGGAGTTGCTGGGATCCTTTTTTAATGATCTGGCATTCCCCAGTGTATCGCGGGCCTGGGAAGGCGTCAGTGAAGGAAGTGAGGGAGTACGAGTCAGTTGCCTTCTCGCGGCTACTCCTGTGAGTAACTTCTCCATGAAGTGAAACTAAAGACTGACATTATTTAATAAAAATTGTTTTTATCAATGAATAAACATGTATATTTTTTTTTTTTTGAGAACCATGCTGATTTTAGTTTTGTCTTTAAGAGTTTAAGGGTCTTTTCAAAGCAACGATTTATTTTATATATATATAATATACTGTCTTATTCCCACACTTGATTAACTTTTTGTTCGTTAATTACGACATAAGAAATTGAATTATGCAACACAAACATATGTATCTCTTTTTTGTCGAGCAATAAGCTGATCCTCAAACAATTGCTCAATGCATTTTTTGACTAACTCGACCAAAATTTGGCCCATTAAACTCGCCAGCTCAATGGTTCAATGGATCAAGTGGATTTTAATAAGATATTTCACACAAATATTACAAAACCGATCAAAAAAAAAGTACTCACAATAATGTATCTGTTAATAGATGAGAAGGAACTTATTGGTCAATTTGAATTTGTTAATTATATTCAAGAGTATTTTTTTTGGACAGTCAGCATGTTTTTTTTTCAAGGATACGGATGGAAGCTACCAAGACTGTTCCTCTCCCTCCTCTAGTGGCAGTTGCCTACTTCTTTTCTTCAAAAAAGCTTTCATTGCTAGCATCTGAATATAGAGACGACCCTACTTTACAAACGATCTATGCAATTGCTAAAGAACAAACGGTGACCAGAGTCGCTCCAGAGCAATCAGCTTCTGAGATATTACTTGAAGTTTGCAATCAAACCAATCTACAATTCCAAAAAATTCTGAACATCCTAGAACCCATGTCTGGCCCCCTTTTGAAAAAGCGCCTACGCGCATATGCTGATGATGGTTCTCTTTACACCCAGATATGTAAATACAAGTGTACAAAGAGAAACAAAGAATTTGTAAAGTCTATGCCACCACCACTCGAATTATCAGATTTGGCCAAAAGCATGATGAACGAAAGCAGCTTCTCTATTGGTATTCTTCGTGAGGAAATTAGTGTACCTAAAACAGATGTGGAGTATGTTAAGCAGTTCAAGCAAAACGAAAGTAGAATGGACTGGAAAACATGTTATGAAGCAGGAAAAAGCGAAGGTTTTTCTTTAGTTCTTATTCCAGCAGCTTCTTATTCCAGCAGCTCAAGTTTGAAGACTGCATTTTATAAAACATAAGTAAAAAAAGGTTAATTTGTTGTATATGTCAAAATAAAGTTGTAAATTCATACCCATTATATTTAAGGATTTGCTGATGAATATCAGGCTATTTTTTATTTTTTTTGGCTTTTCTTAATCTTTAAAGCCCTAAGATTTATCGATAAAAAGTTCCCAATGAATTTGGTCTATATAGGTATGAGACATCTGTTGCATTTACAAAGGAAGGAGTAGGCGAGATTCGTCTTTTCTTTTTTTTTTGGGGATCAGTCATCATTTTGACATGTTACACATTTAGATGTAAAAAGGTAGAAAGGCTCATTTGCGTTTCGTTTTCTTTCCAATACTTGAGAAAAGGAAAAAAAAAAATGTTATTCAAAACTTCAAATTGTGTTTTACGAATCTTTAAAGTTACTTCTTTTTACCTTAAAAAGAGAAATACATACATAAAAAAGTCATCTGAATGTATTCTGTTGTCCAATGAAAAAGTCAAATCTCGTTATGAATTCTTTTTAAAAAAAAATGAGGCAAACTCGGCGATACCGATAGCGGTACCCAGAATACTAGCCAATCACAAGCTAATTTATTAGTACTGGGATACCGATAGTGGTATCAGTATTTACATAAAGTAAGCTTGGGTACCGATAGCCAATTGAAGTTCCAAAAAGTGACCAATTGATGTTCAAAAAAATGAAATACAGTATTGGAGAGGTTGCCTTTCTTGAGTAGTAACACCATCAATGATTTGTTCCATGACGTAGGAATGGTACTAGCCAGACTATCATTATACATATCCGCAATTAGTGAATGAAGACTTAAGTGTTTCATGATAGGATTCAAGGCTTCATATGGAAGACCATCTGTGCCAGGGGCTACTTTGTCTTGCCTTTCTCACATCAACACTTTCCTGCTTTCAGAGCGTCTATCTCAACAGCTTCCTCTTGCAATGCTTTTGAGCAAGAGGGCCTACTACCCCTCGACCATTTTTTTTGTTTTCGATCTCCGCTTATGATTTTTTTCTGTGTATGATACTTTGATGCGCATTTGAGACGTCAATTTAAAGAGATAGCGAGCAAGCCTATTAGCAAAGAATGTAGAGAGGAAACAAAAGTACACAAAAATATAGTGAAAGTGATAGAAGTATTATAAGTATCATTAGGTTTTCATGTTTGTTGTTTATCCTCGCTAAACACTCTCATTTATGCTTGGAAGATTGCTTGGAAGTCATTTGAGTTCCTCCTATTAGCTAAGGACTCTTCATAATTTTCGTATACTTTTATTAATTGATATCAAATATATATATATATATATATGAGTAAATCTTTGATGATGTGCACTAAAGCGACAAGTTAAAAAATACGACAAGCCGCCTATTTGAAAGATGTTTCAAGTAAAATTTCAAAATGTGGCAGGTTGGTACAGAAAGACTGTATATAACACTAGGATAAACGTTAAGAGTTTAAACAGAGATTGATACTGAGATTTGAAGGGCGCTGAGCTCTTGAGCCTTTACCCGGTTTTCAGTCTGGAATCTACTCTCAAAAAGTAAAGTCTATTGAATATAGTCAGTTACAACATATACTAGATGCATAATTATGTAAACCCGAGAAATACTCGGAAAAAAAATTAAAATGATTAAAAGAGTCTTTTTTTTTTCTCGTTGGTTTCCAACTAAAATTAACATTGGTTTCAAGTCATTTATCAGTTGGACCCTTTTAAAAAATACCATCTATTTTCAACTGACCATGAAGGGATCATTGCCTATCAAAAATTCTTTTTTTTTTTTTTTTTTTTTTTTTTTTTTTTTTTTTTGCAGTGTCGTGACTGTGCAATCACACTTGTTTAAAGGCACAAGTTTTTTTTTCGTTTGTTTTGCTTCTTTTTCTCTTTTTTTTCTTCTTCTTTTGATATTTTCTATACAACACTGCATTATGTCTGCTCCTATTTACAAGTTGCCTGAGCAAGTTAAGCTTCTTGCCCAAACCACCCAATTAAAAGGCCTTATGACTATCATTCGTGATAAGAATACCCCACGTGCCGACTTTATCTTTTATGCTGATCGTATCATTCGTCTCTTGGTTGAAGAAGGTAACACACATGCATATATGTATATACAGGTTATTTATTTCAAGAACAGGTTTGAACCATTTACCTGTGGTCGACAAGACTGTCTCCACACCCACTAACGCAGAATACAATGGTATTGCCTTTGAAGGCCGTATCTGTGGTGTTTCCATCATGCGTGCTGGTGAAGCTATGGAACAAGGTTTGCGTGAATGTTGCAGGTTAGTTTAAATATATGAGAGAACAAGATATTCAGTAATTTCAACAGAAGCGTCAGAATTGGTAAAATTTTGATTCAACGTGATGAAGAAACTCATGAACCTAAGGTAAAGAAAATCATTGTAAATCAATTACTCATTGCCTTTAAGCTTTATTACTCTAAGCTTCCTAAGGATATCTCTTCTCGCTATGTTCTTTTGTTAGATCCTATGCTTGGTAAAACATCACATCTCTATAATGTCATTCTAATCCTTTTTTAAGCCACTGGTGGATCTGCCATGCAAGCTGTTCAAGTCTTGTTAGACAACAATGTCAAAGAAGAACGTATTATCTTTTTGAACTTGATTGCTTCTCCTGAAGGCATAGATGCTTTTGCTCAACGTTTCCCCAAGGTTAAAATTGTTATTGGTGAGATTGATTCTTGCCTTGATGATGCAAAATACATTATTCCTGGTTGTGGTGACTTTGGTTGCAGGTAAAATAATTTTTAAAAAAAGAAAATTACAGCTCATTCTCACTCTCTCTCTTCTTTTTTTTTAGATACTTTGGTACTGATTAAAGCAGGAAGCTTTATAGCTTGTTTTATGTATAGAAATAAAAGAAGAAAGAAAAAAATATATATTTATGTAAATTGATGACATACATTTCCTAAGAATTAGATCTCCGTTGAAACACACACTCACTCACACACAGTATGCGCAGATAACTTGAAACAAAGTGCGCCTTACGAGTTACTCAATCTCCCTTTTTTTTGTCTTTTTTTCTCTCTTTTTTTTTTAATTCTCTATAAAATACATAAAAAATGGCAAAGACTTTAACTGCTCAAGAAGCTTTTGAACTTCACAAAGCCGCAGTTACTCGAGACTTTGTTGCAAAGCCTCGTTTGGGTAAAGAATAACCACACACAAAAAGAAAAGAAAAGAAAAGAAAAAGCATAGACTAAATAGCCATATTGTTTGATAGACTACCGTACTGTGAGTGGTGTGAACGGTCCCTTGGTTATTCTTGATAATGTGAAGGTATAGACTACATACATAGCGTGTCTTATATATAACTAAAGCAGTTCATCTTGTTAGTTCCCCAAATACTCTGAAATCGTCAACTTGACTCTTCCTGACGGCTCTGTTCGTGCTGGTCAAGTTTTGGAAGTTCAAGGCAAGAAAGCTGTTGTTCAGGTATTTATCTTATAAAATACGCGTTTTGCAACCATGATAAAGGACTAGCAGAACGGATCGTAATTTGAAACACGTAGAGAATATAAGGGGTAATAACACATCTTTAGGTCTTTGAAGGTACTTCAGGTATCGATGCTAAACAAACACATGTCACTTTCACTGGTCAAACACAACACATTCCTGTGTCTGAAGATATGTTGGGCCGTGTATTCAACGGTTCCGGTAAGCCTATTGATAAAGGGCCCAAGATCTTTGCTGAAGATTATTTGGATGTCAATGGTAAGAAAGAAAGAAAAAAAATTATCTGCCATTCTCTATGTACTTATATGCCTATAGGTTCTCCTATCAACCCTTTCTCTCGTATCTATCCTGAAGAAATGATTCAAACCGGTATCTCTGCTATCGATACCATGAACTCTATTGCTCGTGGTCAAAAGATCCCTATTTTCTCTGCTGCTGGTTTGCCTCACAATGAAATTGCTGCTCAAATCTGTCGTCAAGCAGGTCTTGTGCAAAAGATGGCCCCTACTAAGGGTGTTCATGATGGCCATGAAGAAAACTTCTCCATTGTCTTTGGTGCTATGGGTGTCAACATGGAAACTGCTCGTTTCTTCAAGCAAGATTTCGAAGAAAACGGTTCTATGGAACGCGTTACTCTTTTCCTTAACTTGGCCAATGATCCTACGTAAGTTTTTTTTTTTTTTTTTTTTTTTTTTTTGTATTTTGCTTATAAAACTGATGTCTGTTTAGCATTGAACGTATTATTACACCACGTCTTGCTTTGACCACGGCTGAATATTATGCTTACCAACTTGAAAAGCACGTCTTGGTTATTTTGACTGATATGAGTTCTTATGCTGATGCTTTGCGTGAAGTTTCTGCTGCTCGTGAAGAAGTACCTGGTCGTCGTGGTTATCCCGGTTACATGTATACTGATTTGTCTACTATTTATGAACGTGCTGGTCGTGTTGAAGGCCGTAATGGTTCTATTACACAAATTCCCATTTTGACCATGCCTAACGATGGTAAGGAATGACACGGCATGACCAAATACTGACCATGGCTATATAGATATCACCCATCCTATTCCTGATTTGACAGGCTATATTACTGAAGGTCAAATCTTTGTTGATCGTCAACTCTACAATCGTCAAATCTATCCTCCTATCAACGTCTTGCCTTCTTTGTCTCGTTTGATGAAGTCTGCTATTGGTGAAGGTATGACTAGAAAGGACCATGGTGATGTTTCGAACCAATTGGTAAGATTTGTAAAAGAAGACATATGCACATGGACTTATCATTTTATGTAGTATGCTAAATATGCCATTGGTCGTGATGCTGCTGCCATGAAGGCTGTGGTTGGTGAAGAAGCTTTAAACCAAGAAGATAAATTATCTTTGGAATTCTTGGAGAAGTTTGAAAAGACATTTATTGCCCAAGGCGCTTATGAGTCAAGAACAATTTATGAATCTCTTGATCTTGCTTGGTCTCTTCTTCGTATCTTCCCTAAGGAACTCTTAAACCGTATTCCTCAAAAGGTATTGGCTGAATACTATCAACGTGAACGTAGCAGTAAGAGATCCAAGGGTGTTTTCGATACAAATGATGAAGAAAACGCTACTGAATAAAACACTTGTTTTCCTTCTTTTTTCTGTTTCTATTCCCCCCAAATCCTCTTTATAATAAAGCAATGTCGAGTATACTATAAAATGACGATGTCATGACTTGAGACAAAAATTGTTTATGCTGTGTAACTTTTCTTTTTTCTTTCATTTTCGTCATTCTGTTTTAAAAAAGACTTGAATATGAAACAAAAAGTGACAGTAAATTACTTTATTGTAATAACCCATATTTTAATCGTGTGTGTGTGAATGAATCTATTATATACTAGAATGAAAAGAGAGGAATAAATTGTACATGAAACGATAAAGATGTTTAACGGTTTTCAGAAAGAGCAACCAAAAGTTCAAGTTCACGAGGAGCATCAAATTGAGGCATAATGACTTCAACAAAATGAATCTTGTTAGGTTGAGATTGAACAGTCTTCATGGCTTCTTCAAATTCGTTGCGGTTAGTGACCTTGCCTTCGAAACCAACAGGAGTAGAACCATTAGCCAAGTTCTTTTCAAGACGACCACCAAAGAAATCAAGGGCTTTACTGTATTCCCACATTTGGAAGTTGTTGTAACTACGATGAGGACCATGGATAAGCTTCTCAATAAGGTAACCGTCATTGTTCAATAAGAAAATAACAGGTGTAAGACCATGACGGAGGAAGACAGAGAGCTCTTGAGCAGTCAATTGGAAGGAACCATCACCAACAAACAAGTAGACACGACGACTACGATCAGCAAGGGCGGCACCGACAGCAGCACCTACTGTGAAACCAATAGAACCCCAAACAAATTGTGTAATGTAAGTAGAGCCCTTTGGACCGTCCATGTTTAAGCAAGCGAATTCAGCAGTACCAGTTTCAGCACAGATGATAGCATTTTCTTCCATGAATTCGGGGACCTTGTTCCAGAAGTAGTTGTGTGTAATTTCATTACCTTCCTTGATGGCTTCGGGTTTACCACGAGGTCCGAGTTCAAAAGAGCGAGGCTTTTCGGGAAGAGCAGCAATCAAGAGAGGAATGAATTCCATCATGGATACTTTTTGGTATTCAGCGCAGAAGACAATTGTGGCAAAAGAGTGAAGTGTGATGGTCTTGGAACGATCAAGAGAGTAAGAAAAGTTACCTGTGTTGAAATCAGACTTGACAGAACCCACTTCAATAATCAAATCAGCCTTGTGGATTTCCTTATCAATGCTTTCAAGTGTGATGTTACCGGAGTAACAACCACGGTAGTTGACAAGCGTCTCATCCACAGCACCCTTACCCATAGGGGCAACATAAGTTGGGAAACCAGAACGCTTAATCAAAGCTTCAACTTCCTTTTGGCAACCATGACGAAGAACACAACCATCCACAATGATAACAGGATGAGAGGCCTTGGCAATAGCGTCAGTGACAACCTTGAGTGCAATTTCTTGAGTTTGTTCGGGGTTCTTGGGGAGATTCACAAGAAGAGGAGGAAGTTGGTCAGGAATCTCAACCTCCATGTTGATAAGATCAATAGGAATACCAATATAACCAGTACGCTTAGCGAGAACAGCCTTGGAAATAACACGGTCAATTTCGGAAAGAGCATTTTGCTTTCTCAAGTGAGTGGAAGCAGCAGTAATCTTGGCAGACATTTGATAAAAGACATCAAAGTTACCATCACCGAGAGAGTGGTGAAGCATAGCACCAGCAGCTTGAGACTTGGTGGAAGGAGTACCAACAATGTGGATGACAGGGAGCATTTCGGCATAAGAACCAGCAATACCATTTACGGCAGAAAGTTCACCAACACCAAATGTGGTTACAACAGCACCAGCACCACGAATACGAGCATAACCATCAGCAGCGTAAGAGGCGTTCAATTCATTGGCGTTGTTACCCCAAAGAAGTTCTTTATCATCTTCAATAAGATCCAACAAAGGCTACATAAAAAATGAGTATATAAAAACAATCATGCATGAACTTGATATTTACCATGTTGAAATCACCGGGAACACCAAAGACAGTGCTAATGTTGACTTCCTTAAGACGGTTGAGAAGGTATTGACCAATAGAGATAGAAGGCATGTTTAAAATTGTATATCAGGGAAATGAATGAAGAAACTGGAACTTTTTGGAAAAGTTCTTTTTATACCTTTTTGTTTATCGTATCATCCAAATCTGACCGGCGACAAATTACATAGGTGTGTGGGTTGAAAAAAAAAATCACGTCTAATTCCGGACCATAGCGCTGTTTAAAATTATAAAAGTATAGTGTCATCATGATTTTCTCAAACACGATGCTACTACGCACTCTATACTAGATATCAAACAATATTCAAGGGGTTTTCTTTTTTGTTCACCCGCTGTCTTAGAGTGTTTTTTTTTTAGTCTCGGTGTATAGCATATGGTTTATTCTGTGTTTCTTCCGTGTAATCATTTACTTGACTTGATATGCTTACATTGATTGCCAGATACAAAAGCGCATAATATGTACTACACTAAACTTCAAAGACACCTTATGTCAGTTTCTTTAGTAGCCAAATCAAAAGCAGATTTGATCAGATCTCAAAATTCGCAGTAAAACTGTACAGGATGTTTCTTTGATGATCTTGGTTGATAACCGATAATAGTAAGACATGTACTTTACATTAAAAGTGTGGCGCGAGGTCGGCATATGAAACTGATTAAATCAAAATGGCCCGATGCTCGTCCTATTATTTTCTTTTAACACATGTAATCAGATCCGTAATAATCCCTACTCATGTCTGTTTCTTTTATGTATAGACTTTTTTGCCTTTAATTTATGAATGTTATCTGTATATTATGACAAGTGAGAAAAAGTGTTCTTAATATAGTATCTTGGCCAAATGTATGGTTATACAAAAAGTGGTACGATTTTCAACCTTGCTTGTGTCAACAAACAACTACTTGATTCATTTACTGATAGAAATGTCAATCTGAATTTCAAAGCACTCTGTCCGGATAATACATTTTGCTCTACCCGTTTACAGTGCTAGCATCATTTTGTTATCGCTATCATAATGTCAACTTATCTTATGGCCAATAAACTCTAAAATTGAATGTAGAGTCTATTTTTCTACACATTTAGTCTATGTTGTCTCATTCTCTTTTTTTTTGTCAATAACTAGCCAAAAGCCGTTGTAATTAATCAAAAAAAATTGCTATCTTTACATCTTAAAAATCATCACTCTTCCTTTTAAGTCAAATCAAGCAAAATCTCAACCATTTCCAACTCATCATCCAATGCGAAGAAAATATGTTGAAACAGCCATTCTATTTTCTGCAACTAAATTATGTTTTTATTCATTTTGTTGACCTATTTCAAATAAAATAAGGCGATACCAATCACAAGATACACTGTCTTGAGATAACTGAATGCGATAACACTTTGATTAAATACAAGGGACAACGATCCACTAGTAGGATTAGAAGGTGTTGGTAATGCGATAGGATTGCTAGCAGTGCCTGTTGTGCCTGTAGTTGATGGAACAGGGTAAACGCCATTTGCTTTAAAACTAGATATCCATTGCCAGTTTACAATGTCTAACACTAAGAAATCATTTCTTAAGCTACCAAGTTCATCCGCACCAAAGATAATAAATAATGATTTTTCGTCATAAAGAACAGCTTTGGTTTCATGAGAAAAAAAAACAAAGTGAAGATTGAAATAACGTACCTGAGTGACCAAAACGAGGACCTGCACCATCTTTTGTATTGACAATATGAACAGGCGTATAAATAAATGAAGTTGTGTTCAAGAAATAAATATAGTCTGCTACTGTACTCGCACCATCTAGTGATAACATTACAGTCTAATCAATAAAATAAGAAACATACCTGTTACTGAGCCACCATAAATTAAAATTAAATCTGTATAAGGAACTATGTTATGTTATCAGTATATGTATATCTAAACTGCATGTGCATACTCATGGTGGCTGAATGAAGCCTTCTAGGCGAAGGAATTGTTGTGTTTGGTGGTGATGTATGTAAAGTCCAAGTATGGTTTGTTATGTTGTATTGCAATATTTCATTCATAGGCGCATAATTCAGCACATTATCTTGATTGAGTTGCAGACCTCCAATGTAATAAATTGAATCCCCTGATCTAGCCAATGTTGCAGAATGAGCCAATCGCGGAAGAAGAAATGTAGGGTTCGATGACGTTTTTGTGTTCTTGTCTGGAAATGACCATGACAGTGTCTAGCTTTATAAGTGCCTGCAATGGTGCCAAATAAACTTACGTTGAAATCAAGCACTTGAAGGTCTTTATGATATGTTGTGTCTGTGATATTAGGCGATGAAGAGTTATCACTATATAAGGTTTATTTCAGTACTATATTCCTATGGTAAGTTTACCTTATACCACCCCAAGTCCATATCCTATTAAACGGATCTAGTGTACTAGTTTCTTCTCGACTGTCGCAGTTCATAATTAAATCACTAAAATAACTCTTTTATTCTCCCCCCCCCCACTCCTTACCTTGGCATCATGAAGGATTGATTGTTAGCTACAACTGTATGCCATGAATGACTAGTGATGTTGTATAATGTAGTGGTGTTCTTTATGAATTGAGTGAAAGAACCATAACCAAGTCCACCATGGATCAAGAAACTATCATTGATAGGTACAATGGAAAATAAACTGTTGGGTTCTAGTTCAAAGTTGCCAGGATCAACCATATTCCAAGCATTGATAGAGTTCTCAAGATCAAAATCGTTGGAAAGATCAAGAGCATAGTGGTCTGTAGAAGGTTTGCGATTTGAGGTACCTCCATAACAATGGAGTTGTTTCTGAACTGCTGCACAACCTAATTTACTTCAAATCAATACATATATACACATCAACATACTGCTCTTCTTTACCTCCATTGTATCGAGCAGTAGGAATGATGGCATAAACTGTAGATACAATAGTTAATGATAATACAATGAAAATAACTGTCATAGAAAATAAAGACTTTTTTTCTTAAAAAAAAAAAGAGAAAGAATAACAAAAAAAATTGCTTGTTACACATCAATAAAAAGATGATTTGTGTTACATATTATCTATGCTATCTTTTGATCATGGTCACTCATAGATTCAGGCACCTGTCCAAGCTTGTCTTTACCGACAGCCATTCATTCTAATAAACTGCTCAAATAAAACATTAGTCCTAACAAAATGTATACTGAACTCAACAAGTTGTTTAAAATAGAAAGAGAATGATGCAATTGCTTATACAAAAAAAAAAAAAAAAAAAAAAAAAAAAAAAAAGAATTTATTATTGGTGTAATTCTGTTAATTTTCTATAGTGGATTAATCAAATGAATAAAGGCATAAAATATACTTACTTGATCAGTTTATGGAGTACATTGACTGGGATATCTGAACTAATCATGCCTGCGAATGTCTTTAAGGACTTAATATAAATCTCCCACTTTTTGCATTGATCAGCCATATACTAACATGAAAAAGTGAATACAGTATTTGGCTTTCATAAACTTACTTGTTTTTGAGCCTCTGTTAGTGTATAGGCACTCTGGTCAGAATAGTACTTATAGAGAGAATACAAAACTTCCACTGTCATCATCACGATGCCAGGTACATGTTTCTTGACTGTTTCGTCCATAGATTTGTATATTTCAGTGGCTCTGACTGCAGATTGATAACTTCCATTATCCTCAAAAGGAATAACATGGGCTGATTTGATAAGCTACAAGATGATATGAATGGAGAGCACAGTAATAAATGACTTACTTCTAATGCTTCTTCATGTTTACCAGCTTCATATGCCTTTGAAGCCATGAGTAATAGTAGCAATATAGAGTGCGTCTTGGCAACCATGTCATCTTTTGGCACATAGGCATAACTAGATGCAGCATGGCAACATGCAATCAGATCATTATCATCGACGAGTGATTGATAGTGTTGTTTTCCAAGCAAGATAGCCATGGGCCTATCCAATGCATAGTCAAGTTGTTGATTCAATACAGCTAATCCCTTATGATAATCACCAGCAAGTTCATAAATAGAGATAGCATCCTTGTATTTACCACACATGTCAAAATGTTGTGCGACACGCTCAAGAATGTTTTCTTTGTATGCTTGCTCACTTTCCAAACCGAGTAAAGGCTTATATGTCTCGATTAGACCAGGACGATAAGTAAGTTTATCCCCTAAAATATCTTTGTAGTTTTCTTGTTTAGCAGCATAATCAGCAATGTATTCATGACAAAGATCAGCCATGTCTTGTGTAGGACAGAGTGTCAATAAACAATAGTAATTGATAACCTCTTCAACACTGGCTTGCTCAAAAAAGTCAACATATTGCTTTATGAGACGACTCAGGCTTAGGCTTGCATTGCCGTCTGGTTTTGTTGCCACTATCTCCTATGTAAGCATACAGGGCTTCATGACTATATTCACTTACGCAATTCGGTAACATCGTTTGAAACTCGAATCAGATTATAATAAGCAGCAGCAATACCATAATGAACGGCTTCTAATCTAAACTGTTGTTGTGTGTACATAAAAGCAGTGGCCTATGCAGATAAAATATTAATCAAGTATACTTTGAGTGCCTAACTCTACCCTTTCAAATTGACAAGTCAATGTCAAGACATAGGCATAATACCAAGGATTTAATTTCTTGCTATCATAATGATCAGGACCAGCATGAACAATTGTCTTTTGTAAGCTGGAGAGTGTATAATCACTTCCTTCACGAATCAAGCTTAATTGTAGCCAAAGATAATCTTCTGTCTCTTTACACATATCCAAGCCTGTTATATGTAATTCGCATCGACCCATGATCTTGTAAAGTAACTTCTTATAAGGATCTATAGGTTGATTTCCATAAGTCATCATCCGATACTGTGAACGCACTTGCTCTTGCATGTCTTGGCTGAGCAAATGATCCTTAGAAGAAAGATAGGCTCGTAAATAGTTTAAAAATCCAGGTGCATTATAAAACTGTTGCTGATGATCATCTACATACTGAAGAGCTAATTCAGGGCGACCAATACGGAACAAGATATACAACAGTAGCCAAATAGGTGTATTGTTGTCAATTTCAAAATAAAGTGAAGATGAACTGGTAATGCTGTTGTACAAAATACGTGAAAATACACACATCCGATGAATAATAGAAGGTGAGCCACCAAGGCTCTGAGATCCACTTGAGAGTAATGCCTGGTTGGCTATACCAAGATATCTATCATAAGTTTGAGCAACAAGTCCTTCATGATAGTTTACTTACTGGTTTTCTAGCCACTTTTTGACAGAAGCAATCATGGACTGATTCATGCGAGTGATTGCTAAACTATCTTTAGGATAAGCTGTTTGCTCGATATCTTTAGCAACATGAGCAACTATATCCCAAGTATCGTTCATGAAACTTCTTTGTGTTTTTGTACATGTTGTTGATTTTAATACTTGTTGCAGTCGAGGAATAAGAGGCACTTTCTCGAGATGCAATCGCTTCTGGTTTAATTCTCGAATAGCATTGGCATAATCATGCATCTGAGTCTTGGACTGAACACAATGTTTTCCAAACAACTTGTTGTCTTGTTCCTGATCCCATGCACTAAGAATACGTGTTTGCATTGTTGCCCAGTTGTCATGAAGTTGTTGTTCCATATGGTGTAACAAATTTTGCCTTGTCTTTTGTCTTGTTTCTTGAGTGATTTCTCGCATGTATGTCCCTTGTACTTTTTCTAGATAGCCCTAATTTAGACGGTTAGTATAGATCGATGTCGTTTGGTTGTTTTACTTCAACGTCTGTATTCTTGATCACTTCTGTAGGTTGGAATATAACTTTGGTATCAATATCTTTTAAATTGGTTGTTACTTCATGCGTATTAGATCCTCCTTGAGCCAAGAAGTAATGTCTTTTAGAGTGTTTAATAAACTATTGTTTGTGTATAGAGAGTGTTTACTTACGCGTTGGCGTTGAGTGGTTGACCTGTACTGACTTTTGAAGTTAATAAGTTCGTCTCGGTGGCAATTTGGCCCAAGTCTCTATTCAGTTGAGGCACACCACTACTATTTTTTGAGAGTTCTGCAAGTTCTTTAGAACTTTGCAAAAGCTTTTCAAAAGGGTTAGACGCCATAGTTATTGACACGAAAAAAGAAAAAGAAGAAAAGAAGAAAAAGGCGCGTTTAGATCGGTATTTCAACTCAATGTTTATATTCAAAGTGACTTGTAAGTTTTTATTTAAGGAAAGGAGAGGGGTATTCAATAAAGATAATTTATGGCATATGGTTTAATCTTCTAATACTTTGTTGCTGTTGTATTTGTTGTAAAACATGCTCCAAATCTCTCACTCTTTGTTGGTGTTGAACGACATCATTTTGCAATTTCCTTATTTGTTCCACACTTTTGCGCAGTATGGTTCCTTTGTTCATTCGATTGACACCGTCGTCTAAACTATCAGGCAAAAGTGTACCTAGTTCTTGAATCCTTTCATTTATATTGTCTCGTCGTCTTCTTTCAACTAAAGAAAAAAAAAGTTTAGTTCTTTTTTTTAAAAAAAAAAAATGTATTTATATATGTTTTGTTTACCTGCATTATGAGATTCTCTTCGTCGTCGTCTTTTTTCCATGATGGCTTGCATACTACATACATATTAATAAGTGTATTCCTAGTTATTGACTTACTTTGCTTGAGCAGAATAGTCCTCAGAAGGATAATGCTCTTCTAAAAGATCATGATGAGAAGGATTTACAACCGAGGACGGCATATCTTCCATTCCAGGATAATCATGAAACCCCATATGAGAAGGTGCACTGCCTGCCATTTGTTTCATAGGATTATCAAAACTAGGATAGTAATGATGAGCATAGCCACCAGTCATGCCACCCATTGCCGCAGTTTCTATTTCGGTAGATGACCTTTTCATCTGTACACCAAAAGATTTTGTCTCATCAAACATATCTCCTTGCTGATAAGATGATTGTCGAGAACGATATTCGCCAATAGGTGAATTGGTAAGCTCAGAATAGTCTAAATCAGATAAAGAAGGAGAATCTTGTTGTTTCTGAGGGAACAAGAGCTGTGTGTTTTCCAACATTTGAGATGGATCAATGCCTATAGTAGAACCTTCTTTATTGTATCTCATTTGTTGCATATGATAAGCAGTTGGATGTGATAATCGGCTTGTGTTCTTATTGTTCATCATTGAAGAGAAAAAAAAAGAGAGAAAGAAAGAGTAAAAAAGGAAAAGAGAAGAAGAAGAAGGGAAACAATACGTATACAAATTTAATGTTTTGCGTACACTCGCGCGCGCGGGCCAATTGTTACTGAACCCAAAAAAAGGAAGATAAGATGTAACCTAACGCTTAAAATGGAGAAGAGGTCATTCATCAATACAATAGAGAGATATTGTGTACAAGGTAGGACAGAGGATAAGAAAGAGAGAGAGAGAGAGAGAGAAAGAAAAATAGTTTCATCTATTTGTTTATTTATTTCTTACCTTACAGAAAATAATAGAACTATAGTTGTTGTCTCATTGAAGTTGCTTATTCATATTGATCTTAAAAAGAGAATGAATACAAACAAGAAGGTTTAAGCACGGGATCAATGCTACCCTTTTGTTCCGGCAAACTAAAATAGATGTAACAACCACCGCATAGTTTCCTTTTACTGCAAGGTCTACCAAGTGCAAAAAGAAATTACACCTTGTCATGGGTCTTGTTTTGCTTGAAACTGTTTGTTGAGATGTAACAAGTTTTTTTTATTGACGCAAATCGTTTCAAAGAGATATCTATATATTTTTCATAAAAAGACGACTAATATATCCTTGTTAAGTTAATCTTTTGGCAGTAAAATTTCTCGTACTAAGCATATGCGATTTCTTTTTTTTTTTCTTTTTTCAAAGAAAAAAAAAGCTTGTTTCTCATTGTACCCTTAATGCAACCAGATTTTTCGGGATCTAAATAGCGTGTAAAACAGATGTGTATTTCAGACATACGGTTCTGGAATCGGTTCTATATCGATTGTATTCACAACTAATTGTACACCTTTTTGACTACCATTTCAACTAAGTTTAGTTTGTATCACGTGAAGTGATATACAAACAATAAAACACTATTTTTCAAAATGAAAATACAGTTCGAGAAAGGTCGAAAAAAAAACAGAATTAATGCAAAATGCTGCACCAGCATGGTTTCTAGTCAGCCAATTATTTACTATGCAATATATCCCATTAACGCATAAAAGAAAAAAACTTCTTGCTCAATCTCTTATTTCTGCTTGTTATTGTTTTTGATTTAGCATGTACAATTGCATCATCCTCAATCTCAAAAGGGAGACATAAGATTTCTAAATAATGCGTAGCTATCAACACAATATTTTTTTCTAATCATTATTAAATCAAATTTGTTTTCTATACTTTATTGGAGAAAAAAATAAATGTAGATCAAACAAAAATGTGTCTAACTATTCAAGTGAGTGATAAAGTCAAAGCGGTATGTTTTGATCCTATTATTTAATACTGATGTGCAGTGATACAGAGATACTCGATAGATATATCTAAATCTCAAAACAGAATGTCTTTAATCAATAATGAAAACCAAATATATTCAGGTCAGTTACTGCGAATCCGTGAGCCAAGATATCAGCAAGAAACATGATAGTACAAGAGAAAAGAAATTACAACTCACAAGCGACAATATAACTCGTCAGTCTTGAAAGTACTCATCAATGCTTTATCAATCTGCACAAAAAGATAAATAAAACATTGTCATAATATACCTATTTAAAAGACTTGTAGAAGAAATCAGACTATATAGCATAGACTGTATCATACAATTTACTGCTTAATGGACAAGATTGTCCATACGTTTCTCGGAAGAGCCGACGTCGTTCCTGTTGTTTAAAAAAAGTTTATTTATTTTTCAGGACCGTAGCCAATCGTTTGATGGCGTAGTTTTATCCAAGATCCTTTAATTACTTGCTTTTCCTCTTTCTCTCTTTTGTCACTTTACTTCTTCTTTTCTAAACCTTCTTTACGAGAAAAGAGTGTATTTCTTGTTATTACTATTATTTTGCACGTAAAGTTAAAGAAGGATTAAAGAAAGAAGTATTCATTTATATCATCATATACCATATCATATATTATATATCTTAAAAAAAAATAACAAACTATGCTTGACGAGGAAACCTCTCTTCCCCCGTCCACCGCAATTGCTACTCCAGGTGCAACAGAAGCTTTGTTGACCTTTGATTACCAAAAATTGCAAGAGTACTTTGAACAATTGCTTCCTCTTGTATTAGATGCTGATGTGACTGATCTGGAAAATACCTTGTTCTCATATCCTGATACTATGGAGAGACTCAAGCGGTTTGCTAACGATCCTCAAACACCTGTCATCTTTGTTATGAAAGAAAAAGAAGGTGGTAAAGATGATGGTAAAATATTGGAATCGACAACAACAGTAACTAACACATAGAGTAGAAGACGCGACTACGCCTCAAACTTTCTCTTATACTGTATCTCATGAAATCACCTATCTTCCTACACATGTGGGCTCTTTGGCTATTATTAAGCGTTTGCCCACATTAGACCCTACAAGACCACTTCAGAACCAGCTACAATTGATCAATTTGCCTGGTGCACCCAACTCGGCTGAACCTGGTCAAACAAGTGCTTATGAATTCTTGCACTCTTACATTCATTTAGCTGTCAGTCCTTACTTTAATGCCTATGTCAATGCTCGTCATGGTAAATCAAACGAAGTAAGCTCTTCCAAGAGCAAAAACGAAGATAACAAAATGGGTGTACCCATGGCCAAGAAGAAGATGGCTGAATTGGAATTGAGTTTGCTCCACTTGCAACAAAACGTCGAAATCCCAGAGATTTCACTCAACATTCACCCAGTAGTTCAAAAGGCTGTTGACAAGGTAAATTCACATAATACAAAAAAAAAGGAATAACTTAGTTTGTTAGTGTCGAGAACAAAGCAAGCGTGTTACTGTTGAAGCTGTTGATCCTACTTTGTTTTCTGATTCATCTTTTCTCAACAAACTCCAAGGTGATGTGAATGGTTGGATTAAAGAAATTCAAAAAGTTACCAAGATGTCTCGAGACCCTGCTAGCGGTACAGCTATTCAAGAAATCAATTTCTGGTTGAGTATGGAAAGAGCATTGGAAAAGATTGATGAGCAACTCAAGAGTGATCAAATCAGTAAGTGCACCAAAATTCAGTTTATCTTTTTATTCATCACTTTATGATAGCCCTCACTTTGGATATCTTGAAGCATGCTAAACGTTTCCATGCTACCGTCAGTTTCATTGCTGATACTGGTCTCAAGGAAGGCATGGAGCTTGGTAAGAAAGGTTATGAATGAAATCATTGTTTGACACATCACTCTATAGTACACAAATACAATCAGTTGATGAAAGATTTCCCCTTGAATGAACTCTTGTCAGCTACTGACTTGGATAAAATTAGAGAATCCTTACATATGATTTTCGGTCATCTTAACAAAAAGCTTAAATTATCGTAAGTAGAAATCTAGTCATTCAAAGCAGTTGTTTAATGCATGTTTGTTAGGCCTTATCCTATTCGACGTGCTTTACCTCTCGTAGAAGCTATTTCTAGAGATTTGAATGATCAGCTGCTCAAGGTGCTCGGTAGTCGTCGTATGATGTACATGGAATATGAAGATTTTGAACGCACTACAGCGGGTGCAGAATCTGTTTTTCATACCTGGGATGATTTGATCAAAGAATTCACCAATGTTGCCCGTGATGTAACCCGAAAGCGTTCTGAGAAGTTCCTGCCTATCAAGATCAACCCAGCCCATGCTAAATTACAAGAAAGAGTGACATTTGTTCGTGCTTTCCGTAAACAGCATGAGCAACTTCATCAAACCATTGTGCGTGTCATGACCAGCCCTCGTGCTAAAAAGGCTACTGTTGTCATTGACGGCCAAGTGAAGAGCGTCATGGAAGAAGAGGAGAGTGTTAGTATCAGTGATATTAATGCAGTAGAAGAAGTCAAATTGGCTTATGAAAGCGTCAAGAACATTGATGTACTTGATGTCTCTCCTGAGGGTACAGAAATTTGGGTGCAAGCAGAGACTGCTTACAATGAACGTGTGTCTCGTGTTGAAAACCAAATCATTGCTCGTTTGCGCGATCGTCTAGGAACAGCTAAAAGTGCCAATGAAATGTTCCGAGTCTTCAGTAAATTTAATGCACTTTTTGTGAGACCCAAGATTCGTGGTGCTATTCAAGAATACCAGACACAGTTAATTGATAGTGTCAAAGAAGACATTAACAAACTCCATGACAAGTTCAAAATGCAATACAGAAATTCAGAAGCATATCATATGGCTCAATTGCGTGATTTACCTCCTATTTCTGGTGCTATCATTTGGGCTCGTCAAATTGATCGTCAATTGTCATTGTACATGAAGCGTGTTGAGGATGTGCTTGGTAAGGGTTGGGAACTTTACGCTGAAGGTCAAAAGCTTCAGATTGAAAGCAGTAGTTTTCGCAAGAAGCTTGATACTCGTCTCATCTATGAAAACTGGCTTCAGGAAATCACTAAGCGCGACTTGTCTGTCTCTGGTCGTATCTTTGAGATTTCTCGTAACCGTGTCCAAAAGAATGCACTTCAGTTGGGTGTCAACTTTGATGGTCAAATCATCACTTTGTTTAAAGAAGTCCGTAATCTCTTGTGGCTTAATTTCCAAGTGCCTCACACTATTTCCAATGTTGCTAAAGATGCCAAACGTGTATACCCCTTTGCTGTCAGCTTGATGGAAACTGTCCGTACCTTCTCTCAAACTGTTCATAAAGTCAACCGCAATCCTGACATCTCCACCTTGGTTGCTGGGTACCGTCATGAAGTGCACAACATGATTACCAAAGGTATCAATTTGCGTTGGGACTATTTTGTCAATACCTATGATGCTCACCATCGTCCATTGTCATTCATGACTGGTACACCTTTGGATGCTCGTGAAAATCGTCATGTCATGTTTGTTCGTGAGTTTGCCAATGTGGTCTCTGTCTTCCAAGACAAAGTGGATGCTTTGATCGGTTATTATGACGATATTACAAAGGGCGTTGAGGAAATGAAGACATGCTCATATCAATCAGAACGGTTTGAAGATTATCTCGGTCGTGTTCAAAAACTCATTGATCGTCTCAACTTGGAAAACTACTCTAATCTTGACCAATGGGTAGCAGGCTTAGATAAACGTATTGAATCTGTCTTGATCTCTCGTTTACAAGAAGCCATCAAGTCTTGGACAAATGCTTTCATGGGCATTACCTTTGAAGATGTCGTTGTTCCTGAACCCAGTGTTTCTAAGAGCAGACGTAAGAGAAAGGCCGCCAATGGTACACTTCGTGATACTGCTGCTGCTGAGGAAACTGCCCTTGTTCAACAACAACAAAAGTTCCCTGATGTTAAGCCTGCACTTCAAACATTGGTACATGAGATTCGTATTCGTAACCAACTCATGTATCTTGATCCTCCTATTGAACAAGCTCGTACTAGCTGGTGGTTTCAACTCCACGACTGGCTTGCTGTTGTTTGTCACTTGCCTCGTATTCAAAGTTCTCGTTATGAAGGCGGTCTTAGTGTTAAAGATAACCCATCCATAGAAAAGACATATTCTAGCTTATTGACTCGTATGGGCGACAATTCTCTTGAATATGCTTATCAAATTGTGGAAGATAAGATTCGTCAAGTATCTGACTATGTCAATATTTGGCTTCAATATCAATCTCTTTGGGATTTGGAATCAAGTCACGTCTTTAGCATCCTTGAAGATGACCTTAGTAAATGGCAACAAATTCTGTTGGAAATCAAAAAAGCTCGCTCTACCTTTGACAATTCAGAGACTGAACAGTCCTTTGGTCCTCTTGTGATTGACTATGAACAAGTACAAAGCAAGGTCAATCAAAAATACGATCAATGGCAACGTGAAATCCTGAATAAGTTTGGTGCATTGTTGGGCACATCCATGAAGGACTTCCACACCAATGTATCTAAGGCTCGTTATGAATTAGAACAACAGTCTATTGAAAGTAACTCTACAGGTGAAGCAGTAACATTCATTACCTTTGTTCAAGACTTGAAGCGTAAGGTTGCCAAGTGGAATCAAGATGTGGATCTTTTCAGACAAGGTCAAAAGACTTTGGAGCGTCAACGATTCCAATTCCCTAACGACTGGGTCTATGTGGACCAAGTGGATGGTGAATGGAGTGCTTTCAATGAAATCTTAAGCAGAAAGAACAATGCCATTCAAGAACAAATTGCCGGTTTACAAATGAAGATCGTTGCCGAAGACAAAGTTGTCGAACAAAAGATTCGTGACATTTGTGCTGAATGGGAAAAGACCAAGCCTGTTCAAGGAGACATCAAACCCGATATTGCTACCAACACTTTGTCCATCTTTGAAGGTCGTGTTACTCGTCTCAAGGAAGAATATGACATGGTATGTCGTGCTAAAGAAGCTTTGGATCTGGAACAAACCTCAGAAGACCGCTTGGATCCTGTTCTTGAAGAACTTAGAGACCTCAAGGGTGTCTGGACAGCACTTGCTCGTGTTTGGCAATCTGTTTATGAAATTCGTGATACACCATGGTCTTCTGTTGTACCCAGAAAGGTCCGTCAACACATTGATGAACTGGTCAACTCTACCAAAGAAATGCCCAATCGTATGCGTCAATATGCTGCTTATGAGTACATGCAAGATACCTTGCGTCAACTTTTGCGTGTCAATCCTCTTGTGGGTGACCTCAAATCAGAAGCTCTTCGCGAACGTCACTGGCGTCAAATTTTCAAGTCACTTCGTGTTGAAGGTCGTTTTACTTTATCTGAAATGACTATTGGTCATTTGTGGGATCTTGATTTGAAACGTAACGAAGCTGTTATTAAGGAAGTTATTATGCAAGCTCAAGGTGAAATGGCTTTGGAAGAATTCTTGAAGCAAATCAAGGAAACCTGGACTGGTTACGTTTTGGACCTTGTCAATTACCAAAACCGTTGTCGCTTGATTCGTGGTTGGGATGATTTGTTTAACAAGTCGAGTGAACATATCAACTCTTTGACTGCCATGAAGTTGTCACCTTATTACAAGGTATTTGAAGAAGATGCTTCTGCTTGGGAAGACAAATTGAACCGTGTCCATGTCTTGTTTGATGTCTGGATTGATGTTCAACGTCAATGGGTCTACTTGGAAGGTATCTTTAGTGGTAACGTTGATATCAAACATTTGCTCCCTGTTGAAACTTCTCGTTTCCAAAGTATCAACACTGAATTTTTGACCGTTATGAAGAAGGTGTACAAGTCTCCATTCATCATGGATGTACTTAATATCCCCAATATCCAAAAGTCATTGGAACGTCTTGCTGAATTGCTCAGTAAGATTCAAAAAGCTCTTGGTGAATACCTTGAACGTGAACGTTCTTCTTTCCCTCGTTTCTACTTTGTGGGTGATGAAGATTTGCTTGAAATTATTGGTAACAGTAAAGATATTTTGCGTATTCAAAAACATTTCAAGAAGATGTTTGCTGGTATTGCTACTATCACTATGGATGAGGAGCAAACATGCATTACTGGTATGGCTTCAAAAGAAGGTGAAGAAGTCATGTTCAAGACACCTGTTAATGTCAAAGAAAACCCAAGAATCAATGACTGGCTCACTCTTCTTGAAAAAGAAATGCGTGTATCTCTTGCCTTGTTGCTGAATGATGCTGTGACTGAACTAGAGACCATTTACAATGCTGAAGAAATGAGCTCTCCTGACTTTATGGAATGGATTGATCGTTACCCTGCTCAATTGGTTGTGTTGGCTGCTCAAATCATCTGGACTCAATCTGTTGATAAGGCTTTGACCACCATGAGTGAATCAGCTGCAGGCGACGAAGCTCCTATTTCACACTCTATTATGCTTATTGAAAGAAACCTGAATATTTTGGCTGATGCAGTATTGCTTGACTTGAACGCTATCAAGCGCAGAAAGTGTGAACACTTGGTAACTGAACTTGTCCACCAGCGTGATGTTACCCGTCAATTAGCTGCTGACAATATTTCTTCACCTAAAGATTTCAACTGGCTTTACCACATGCGTTTCTACTTTAATCATGCAGTTGAGAATCCTATTGAGCGATTAACAATTAATATGGCTAATGCTCAGTTCTTCTATGGATACGAATACCTCGGTGTCGTCGATCGTCTTGTCCAAACACCATTGACTGATCGTTGTTACTTGACCTTGACTCAAGCCTTGGAGCAAAAACTTGGTGGTTCACCCTTTGGTCCTGCCGGTACTGGTAAGACTGAATCTGTCAAAGCCTTAGGTGTTCAACTGGGTCGCTTTGTTCTCGTCTTTTGTTGTGATGAAACATTCGATTTCCAAGCTATGGGTCGTATTTTTATTGGTCTTTGTCAAGTTGGTGCTTGGGGTTGTTTCGATGAATTTAATCGTCTTGAAGAACGTATCTTGTCTGCTGTTTCTCAACAAGTTCAGACTATTCAATTGGGTCTGAAGGAGGCTACTGTCAATCCTAACCATGAAATTGAATTAGTCGGTCGCAATGTTCGTGTTAACACTGATACTGGTATCTTCATCACCATGAACCCTGGTTATGCTGGTCGTTCCAATTTACCTGATAATTTGAAGAAGTTGTTTAGAAGTATGGCTATGACCAAGCCTGATCGTGAACTGATTGCTCAAGTCATGCTTTACTCTCAAGGTTTCCGTACTGCTGAAATTTTGGCTTCCAAGGTCGTGCCATTGTTCAACTTGTGTGCTGAACAACTTTCACCTCAATCTCACTATGATTTCGGTTTGCGTGCATTGAAGAGTGTCCTAGTCAGTGCTGGTAATCTGAAGCGTGACCGTTTGACTTCACTTCGTCAATCGATTGAAGAAGGTCAAGCTGATCAATCCGAATATACCAAGATTTCTGAACCTATTCCTGAACAACAATTGTTGATTTCCAGTATCCGTGAAACTGTAGAGCCTAAGCTTGTTGCTGATGATATTCCATTGTTAACAAGTTTGCTTGCTGATGTATTCCCTGGCGTCCATTATGCACCTGTCAATTTGGATCGTCTTAAAGAAGAACTACGCAAGGTCTGCGAGGAACGCCGTTATGTTCCTGGAGATGCTTGGATGGACAAGGTCATTCAATTGTATCAAATCCAGAATATTCACCACGGTCTCATGATGGTTGGTCCCTCAGGTGCTGGTAAATCTACTGCTTGGAAAACTCTCTTGACTGCTCTTGAGCGCGTAGAGGGTGTTGAAGGTGTTGCTTATACCATTGACCCCAAGGCTATTCCAAAAGATGCTCTTTATGGTACTTTGGATTCTACTACCCGTGAATGGACAGATGGTTTGTTTACACATATTCTTCGTAAAATTGTTGATAACGTTCGTGGTGAAAGTCAAAAGCGACACTGGATCATTTTCGATGGTGATGTGGATCCTGAATGGGTTGAAAACTTGAACTCTGTGCTTGATGATAACCGTTTGTTAACACTACCCAATGGTGAACGTCTCAATTTGCCACCTAACGTTCGTATCATGTTTGAAGTGGAAACATTGAAATATGCTACTTTGGCTACTGTTTCTCGTTGCGGTATGGTTTGGTTCAGTGAAGATATCATTACTTTGTCTATGATTTTCTCTAACTACCTTGAGACATTGCGCAACATCCCTATGGATGAGATTGAAGAAGAAGGACCTAGTTCCCAACGCACCTCTGAAAACAAAAACACTTCTGCTGAAGATGGTACTTCCATTTCTCCCAATCTTGCTGCTCAACGTTCCATTGCTGCTATCATGGCTCCTGATCTTTCTGACGAAAACTGTTTGGTTGCCAAGTGCTTGGACTATGCTTTTACCTTAGAGCACATCATGGACTTTACTCGTATGCGTGTGCTCTCAACTTTCTTTTCTTTGCTTAACAAGACTGTCAGAAATGTCCTTGAATATAACTCTCAGCATCCTGATTTCCCTATGACAGGTGATCACTTGGAAGGTTATATTCAAAAGCGTGTAATTTATGCTATCATTTGGAGTTTCTCTGGTGATGCTAAACTTGAACTTCGTACTGTGCTTGGTGATTTCATTCGTGGTGTCACCACCTACGAATTGCCTCCTGCCACTGAAAACTCAAGCATTATTGATTATGATATTGCTGTCAGCAGTGGACAATGGATTCCTTGGGAATCTAAGGTGCCTGTAGTGGAAATCGAAACACACAAGGTTGCAGATGCTGATATGATTATTCCTACTGTGGATACTGTCCGTCATGAAGAAGTTCTTTATTCTTGGTTGTCTGAACACAAGCCTCTTATTCTTTGTGGTCCTCCTGGTTCTGGTAAGACCATGACTTTGTTCAGTGCATTGCGTAAACTTCCTGATATGGAGGTTGTCGGCCTCAACTTCTCCAGTGCAACAACACCTGAATTGATTCTCAAGACATTTGAACAACACTGTGAATACAGAAAGACACCCAATGGTGTTATCTTGTCACCTACCATGATTGGTCGTTGGCTTGTTGTCTTTTGTGATGAAATCAACTTGCCTGCTACTGATAAATACTTTACTCAACGTGTTATTTCTTTCCTCAGACAATTAGTTGAATACAATGGTTTCTGGAGAACCTCGGACAAATCATGGGTTTCTTTGGAACGCATTCAATTTGTGGGTGCTTGTAATCCTCCTACTGATCCAGGTCGTGTTCCCCTCTCTCATCGTTTCTTGCGTCATGCTCCTCTTGTCATGGTGGATTATGCTGGTCAATTGTCACTGATGCAAATTTACGGTACTTTCACTAGAGCCATGCTCAAAGTAGTGCCTAATTTGCGTGGTTACTCTGAAGCACTTACGGGTGCTATGGTTGATCTCTACTTGGCCTCTCAAAAGCGCTTTACACCAGATATTCAAGCTCATTATATCTATTCTCCTCGTGAATTGACACGTTGGGTACGTGGTATTTATGAAGCTATCAAGCCTTTAGAAACCTTGACTGTGGAAGGTTTGGTGCGTATTTGGGCTCATGAAGCTTTACGTCTTTTCCAAGATCGTTTGGTTGATGAAGAGGAACGCAAATGGACTGATGATATGATTGATTCTATTGCTATGAAGCATTTCCCTGCTCTTAACCAGGAAGAAGCCCTTGAACGTCCTATTCTGTTCTCCAACTGGCTGTCTAAGCATTATATTCCTGTGAAGCGTGAGCAGTTGCGTGACTTTGCTAAGGCACGTCTCAAGGTCTTTTATGAAGAAGAATTGGATGTCGCTCTTGTTCTCTTTAACGATGTGCTTGAACATGTCCTTCGTATTGATCGTGTGTTTAGACAACCTCAAGGTCACTTACTGTTGATTGGTGTCAGTGGTTCCGGCAAGACCACCTTGTCGCGTTTTGTTGCTTGGATGAACGGCTTAAGTGTCTTCCAAATCAAGGCTCACAACAAATATACGGGTGCAGATTTTGACGACGATCTTCGTACTGTTCTTCGTCGTGCTGGTTGTAAGGGTGAGAAGATTTGTTTCATTATGGATGAATCAAACGTACTTGACTCGGGTTTCTTGGAACGTATGAATACCCTTTTAGCAAACGCTGAAGTTCCCGGCTTGTTTGAAGGTGATGAATATGCTTCGCTTATGACTGCATGTAAAGAAGGTGCTCAACGTGATGGTTTGATGCTTGATTCTAATGAAGAACTTTACAAATGGTTTACTCAACAAGTGATGCGTAACTTGCACGTCGTTTTTACTATGAATCCTCCAGAAGGCGGTCTTGCTTCTCGTGCGGCTACTTCACCCGCCTTGTTCAATCGTTGTGTTCTTGACTGGTTTGGTGACTGGCCTGATCAAGCTTTCTATCAAGTTGGTATTGAATTCACAAAGACCTTGGATCTTGATGTTCCCAACTATGGTGCTCCTCTTAATTTCCCTATTGCTTACCGTAACTTACCTATTCCTCCTAGTCATCGTGAAGCTGTTGTCAATGCACTTGTGTATGTTCATCAATCGCTTTATGAAATCAATTCTAAGCTCAGTAAGCGTCAAGGTCGCCATAATTATGCTACACCTCGTCACTTCCTTGATTTTATCTCTCACTATGTCCGTCTGTACAATGAAAAGCGTGAAGATTTGGAAGAACAACAACGCCATCTTAACGTTGGTTTAGAGAAGCTAAAGGATACTGTTATCAAGGTTGAAGAATTGAGAAAGAGTCTTGCTATCAAGAAGAACCAGCTTGAGATGAAGCAGAACCAAGCTAATGAAAAGATCAAGCAAATGTTGGCTGATGAAAAGGAAGCCGAACAAAAGAAGGCCGACTCACTTCAAATCAAGGCCAATCTGAAGATTCAAAACAAGGCAAGTATATGGGTGAATACAAAGGAATGTTATCTAACATCTTTTTATTAAATAGGAAATTGAAGCACGTCGTCATGTTGTAGATCATGACTTGGCTAATGCTGAACCTGCAGTGAAGGAAGCAGAACAAAGTGTCAGAAGTATTAAGAGACAGCATTTGACTGAAGTGCGTTCTATGGGTAATCCTCCCGAAGCTGTCAAGCTTACTATGGAATCTGTCTGTACTATGCTTGGCCACAAAATTGATAGTTGGAAAACTGTCCAAAGTATTATTCGTCGTGATGATTTCATTTCAAGCATTGTCAACTACAACACAGAAGGACAAATTACCAAGCAATTGCGTTCACACATGCGTCAAAATTTCCTTAGTAATCCTAACTTTGAATATGATATGGTTAACCGTGCCTCCAAGGCTTGTGGTCCTCTTTTCAAATGGGTTACTGCTCAAGTCAACTTCTCTGAAATCTTGGATCGTGTTGGCCCTCTTCGTGAAGAACTGAATCAGCTCCAACAAAGTTCTGAAGACACCAAGAACCAAGCTCTTGAAATTGAACAAATGATTGTTGATCTCGAAAAAAGTATTGGTCGTTACAAGGACGAATATGCTGCACTTGTGGGCGAAACTCAATTGATTAAGTCCGAAATGGAGCGCGTCAAGTTTAAGGTGGATCGTAGTATTACTCTTCTTAGTTCCTTGTCTTCTGAAAAGGTACGTTGGGAATCTGCTAGTCAAGCATTTGAAAGTCAAATGGGTACTATTGTGGGTGACGTCCTTTTGGCTGCTGCATTCATGGCTTACGGTGGTTACTTTGATCAACAATACCGTGATATTCTCATGCAAAAATGGATGGATCATCTCTCTGCTGCCAACATTCAATTCAAGCATGAAGTGTCTTTAACTGAATACTTGTCTACTGCCGATGATCGTCTTTCATGGCAAGCAAACTCTCTTCCTGCTGATCAACTCTGTATTGAGAATGCCATCATGCTCAAGCGTTTCGACAGATATCCTTTGATCATTGATCCCTCTGGTCAAGCAACCAATTTCTTGATTAATGAGTATAAAGATCGCAAGATTACAGTCACTAGTTTCTTGGACGATTCATTCATCAAGAACCTTGAAAGTGCTTTACGTTTCGGTAACCCTATTCTTATTCAAGATGTGGAACACCTTGATCCTATCTTGAACCCTGTCCTTAACAAGGAACTTCGTCGTACGGGTGGTCGTGTGTTGATTCGTTTGGGTAGTCAGGATATCGATTTCTCACCAGCATTTACGTTGTTCCTTTCCACTCGTGATCCTTCAGTCAACTTTGCACCTGATATTTGTTCTCGCGTCACCTTTGTTAACTTTACTGTCACCCGTGGCAGTTTGCAAAGTCAATGTTTGAACAAGGTGCTCAAGGCAGAAAGACCTGATGTAGATCAAAAGCGTACTGATTTGATTAAATTACAAGGTGAATTTCAACTCAAACTTCGTCATCTTGAAAAATCATTGTTACAAGCCTTGAATGAGTCAAAGGGTAATATTTTAGATGATGACAAGGTGATTGATACGCTTGAGACATTGAAGAAAGAAGCTGCTGAAATTACTCGCAAGGTAGATGAGACCAATACTGTTATGCAAGAAGTAGAACAAACAACTGCTATTTACACTCCTTTGGCCTCTGCATGTAGTTCCATTTTCTTTGCTATGGAGCAACTCAATTTGATCAACCACTTTTATCAATTCTCTCTTGATTTCTTCTATGAAATCTTTGAATATGTTATTCATGCCAATCCTAACTTGAAGGGTGTGACTGATCCTATTGATCGCCTGGAAATCCTCTCTCGCGATCTGTTCTCTGCTGCCTACAAACGTGCTTCTCGTACCTTGGTACATGAAGACTACACTATGTATGCTGTCTTGCTTTGTCAAATCCGTATTCGCGGTGCACAAGAGAATGTAGATGAAACTGAATACGATTTCTTGCTAAGTGGAGGTGATGTCATTGTTGGCTCGACAATAACAGCTGCTAGTTTGAGCCTTCCTAGTTTCATTTCTGATGAAACAGCCCAACGCGTCAAGGAATTCGCTACACTTGCTTGCTTCAGTCGATTGATTGATCATGTTGCTATGAATGAAAATGAATGGAAGACATTTATGGAACATCCTCAACCAGAAACAGTTGTTCCTTTGTGCTGGGAAAATGCTGGAAGTAATCGTAAGTAGACAACCTTATAAAAAGAAAATGGTATCTAATTCTGTATTTCATAGCTTCCATGGATTCGTTGCGTAAGATGCTAGTGATCAAGTGCTTTAGACCTGATCGTCTGTTACCTGCTGCTACCATTTTTGCTTCTGAAATCTTTGATTCTGAATTTATGAACACGGGTGAATTAAACTTGCAACAAATTGTTTCAGAAGAAGTAGGCAGTTCTACACCCTTGGCTCTTTGTTCTGTTCCAGGTTATGATGCCAGTTACCGTGTAGACAATTTGGTCTCTGAAAGTAACACGCGTTGTACTTCTGTTGCTATGGGTTCTGCTGAAGGTTTTGCTTTGGCTGATCAAGCTATTTCAACTGCTGTCAAGACTGGTAACTGGGTCATGCTCAAGAACGTTCACTTGGCTCCTTCTTGGCTTGGCCAACTTGAAAAGAAGCTGCATAGCATGAAGCCTCATCGTAACTTCCGTCTCTTTTTGACAATGGAAACAAACCCTAAGGTCCCTGTCAACCTTTTACGTATGTCTCGCATTTTGATGTTTGAACCACCACCAGGTATTAAGGCCAACCTTCAAGAATCACTTCGTAGTATTCCTCCTTCTCGCTGGTCTCGTGGACCTACGGAGCGTGCTCGTCTTTACTTTATGTTGGCATGGTTGCATGCTGTTGTTCAAGAGCGTCTTCGTTATGTTCCTTTGGGCTGGACCAAGGTTTATGAATTCAACGACTCTGATCAAGATTCTGCTTTTAACACCATTGATAAATGGTTAGATTCCGCTTCGAGTGGAAGAGCCAATATTTCACCCGAGAAGATTCCTTGGGATGCTATTCGCTCTCTCTTGAAACAATCTATTTATGGTGGTAGAATTGACAATGAATACGATCAGCGTCTTTTGGATTCCTTTGTCAACTCATTGTTTACTCCCGAATGTTACAATATTGACTTCAAGCTTGTTCATGGTAGTGATGAAGATGAAAAGGGTGTGGTCGTACCTGATGGAACTAAAATGGATCAATTCATGGACTGGGTCAACAAATTGCCTGACCGTGAACCACCTACCTGGCTTGGTTTGCCCTCTAATGCCGAGCGTGTATTGTTGATTTTGAAGGGTAACAATATGTTATCCAAGGTTCGCAAGATGAAGAGTCTAAGTGATGATGATGAAGCTGCTTATTCACAAGAGTCTGGTGCTACTAAGCAAGCTGCTGTCAATAATGCTCAGCCTGCTTGGATGCGTGCTTTAAGTCAATCTATTACTAACTGGTTAGCTCTTTTACCTACCAACATTAAGGCAATGCAACGTGACAGCCATGGTATCATGGACCCTCTTTTCCGTTTCTTTGAACGTGAAAACCAAATTGCTCGTAAATTACTCCAAATCATTCGCGAGGACTTGGTTTCGTTGCAAAAGGTGTGTCAAGGTGAACTGAAGCAAACCAACCACTTGAGACAATTGATGAATTGGTTGAACAAGGGCTTGATTCCTGATCACTGGAAACGATACAAGGTTCCCAAGAGTATCTCCCTGAATGCCTGGCTTGCTGATTTGAAACTGCGTATTGAACAAGTGGAATCTCTTGCACAAGAAACAAGCTTTGATCAAGTGGAAATTGCTATTGGTAGTTTGTTTACACCTGAAGCTTATGTAACAGCTACTCGACAAGCAACAGCACAACGCTACCAATGGTCTTTGGAAGAACTTGTATTGGATATTGACATTGGAAGCAGCAAGGATATGGACTCCTTGGGCTATTCTATTCGTGGTATGAAGATGGAAGGTGGTAAATGGAATGAAAAGGAAGTAGGCTTGACATCAGAACCAAGCAGTAAATTACCCAAGACAACGATTCGATGGATCAGAAAAGAACAAAAACAAGCCATTGATAACATGGTTGAATTGCCAGTTTATCTCAATTCAGACAGAAGTGATTTATTGTTTACAATCAGTGTTCCTGCTAATGCCGAAGAAAGAGACAGAATTCCACAAAGAGCAGTGGCTGTAGTCATTTCATTTTAATCACAATAAATTTTAAAATTTCCTTGTCCCTTTTTTAAATTTTCTTTTCCCTTCGCCTAATCTCGTCATGAGTCGTTTCGAAGATGAAATGTCGACTACCAATGTATCTCTCTTGGAAGAGGATAAACAGCCGTTACCAAGAACACTTAATACTTCACCGTCTTCAATAAGTGGAAGCAAAAAGCCTGCTCAAGAAAATTCAGAGTCGTCACAGAATAAAATGACTAGTAAAGACTATGCTAAGCTGGGCTCACTGGCTCTGAAGCACCAAGAGAATGTAAGGCATGACATTATGTTATTGTTTATTTAATATACCTTAATATAGACGATAGATGGTTTAAGAAAGGAAAACTTTGATTTACGACTTAGTTTGTATTTTTATGAACAGAGACTGAGTGATATGTCACCTGATAACTTGGACAATGTTTTGAAGGAGGTATGAAAATAGGCAATTGTTGTCATCACTTATTTTTTTACAGAATGTCAATCTTAAAGTGACGATTCAAACACTTTCACAAGAACTTAAAAAATACAAAAATGTCATTTTGGAACTAAATCAAGCAGTCGAGATATTACAAAATAAACCTTGTCCCAAAATACATGGCATGTCTTCCGAGGAACAAGAAGAATTTGAGCGAGCAAAAGCAGATGCTGAAGTGTTGCATGAAGAAAACGATAAACTCAGCAAGATGATGGCTGATTTATCTGCTGAAAATGTCAAGTTACGGTCAACATTAAGAACTCGAAACACCACTTCAAACACAGACCATAGCTCCACCGGCAGTGTGAGTTCTGATCGACAACAACAAAATTCAGAAGAAATGGCTGAACTTTATCGCAAGCTAAGACAAACAAAGCTAAAAAATGAAGAATTACAAAGAATCATTCAACAACAAAATGCTGCAAATAGAATGTATAGTGGTGTAGGTAAATACACTTTTTGTTATTAAGATCAGATCCTTACTGTATCAGATCGTGATAGTTTATCAGGGAAGAATATCAAACTAAGCCGACAACTCGAAGAGGTAAGTCTTTTATAATCAATCTGTGCAATGATAACAGGTTAAAAAAGGAATTACAAATGGAAAGACAGAGAAATAATCGTCTAATGAATGAACTCGAAGAAAAGTCACAACAAATTCAAGAATTGCAACTTGAATTAGAGCAACGGACTCGCTCATTACAAGAAACAAAGCAGCAATTGCGAGACAAAAATATAGAATACGATCAATTATCAGAACAATTTGAAGACCTTCGTGTCAATAATGATAATATGGATACTTTGATTGAAAATATTCGACAACTTCAAGACGAAAATGACGAACTTGCAAACGAGATTCAAGACCGAGAACAAGAAATTGAAGCATTAGAAGCTGAAGTAGAGAAATTATTGTCATATTTAGAAAAGAAAGAAGAAGAAAGGGAAATACTGAAGAATGAGCTTCAATCTGCCAATGAGTCACACGATACAGATATTGAAGCCTTTGAAGAGCATCTTGCAAAAACACAAGAAGAACTAGACAAAAAAGACCAAGAGAACAAAGAACTCATGTTGGAACTAGACGAGTTAATCCAAAAGTCAAATCATTCAAAGAAGAAATTTGAAGAGGAACTTGAAAAGCAATACAATGAATACAATGAGCTAGTGGTAGCCATAAGAGATCGTGATGTGACAATGGCTACATTAAGAGGAAACTTTGAAGCCAAGACAGATACCATTCAAAGAGAAAAGGAGCTTTTGCGCGAAGAAATGGAAGAGCTAAAAGAACAATTTCACGAAGTCTACGATCAACTAAAAGAAAAAGAAAGATATATTGCAGAATTAATAAGCAGTATTGATAACAGGGAAGATTCTGAATTCTCGTTTTTAATGGTAAGCATCTCTTTTAAACGTCATGAGACTAATACTTTTCAATACTAGTCTGAAAAGATTGAAGAAAACAATAAAAAGTGGATGGAGAGACTAGAGTCAATGGAGAAAGAATATCAAGATAAATTGAAGCGTGAGCAAAGAAAAAGCAATGAACAATTCAGCATCAGAGACAATGCATATCGAGCATTACAACAAAAACTTGTCTCTGCTAATCAAAAGAACTCGCTTCTAAATACTCTCCTCGACAAAACGAAAAGACCTTCAGAGGTAAGATGCAAAGAGATAATGTCATATTAAAATATGTTATGATTTTTAGTCATCCAATGATAAGCAGGACAAGTATTCTGTGTTAGCAAGATTGAACAACGAATTGAGAAAAGAGCTTGAGGACCGTGATAGAAATTTGGAAGTAGAAAAGAAAAAAAGTCAAGAACTTGTCACTTTATATCAACAACAAAAAGAATCTATTTATTCCCTTCAAAAGCAGTTAGAAAGAAAAGAAACTCAATTGACAAACTCTTTGTTAGCGCGAGATGTATGTAAACAATATATTCTAAAATTTGTTCAACTCATTATTCTGGTTAGACTTTGAAAGAAAAAGGTGAATATATGGAAAATATTCTTTACGAACAAGCGACTGGTGGTCATTCATTTCGCGAAAGATCAGGCTCAGCCATGAGCTCATTTTAGAATATACCTAACGTATACATAAGCCTTGTAAATATTTTAGCATATACTCTACATGTCGTTTCTTGTACAACAAATGTACCAATATCATTAGTTAAGACATGTTGATCACTCTTTTGTTCATACCTCTCAATTTAAAATGAGACAAATGTCAAAATTAGAATGATTATAAAAGCTTGACTGTTAAAATGATGGTTGTTAAATCAGATAAATATAGAGCTAGAGGCATTTTACTTTTGGAAAAAAACTCCCCATTTTTATTCGTTGCAAACAATAGAATATAGACCATAAGTGTCATACACTGACCCGAAATAAAAATTAGCCTAGTTTTTTGTCATTTGAGCTCAACAACAAAGGTATCATGATCCAAGAGCCCTTTAATTGAAGTAACAATATAAATATTATTCATGTGTCTCATGCTCTGCTTAATTTCTAGGATTTGATTTTTGCTTGTTTAATGCTTTATTTTTTTTAACAAAGTGTGGTTACTTATTAGACAAATATATATATATATATATATTGATATTATAAAGGATATTAAGCTTCTTCTTTACCTCCACCTACTGCACTTCCGCCTGCTGCGGCTGTGGCCGGTGCTGGTGCTGCACCAACAGCTGGAAGTTGTGGAATGGATGGTAATTGAGGAAGTGTTGGTAAAGCAGGAACAGGGGGCAATTTAGAAACTTGAGATACTTGAGACATAACGCTTGTAGATAACTGACTTAATTGAAGTGAATTTGCATCTGTAGAAGGCAGAGAAGGAAAGTTGGGGAGCGGAGGGATTGATGGTATAGAAGGAAGTGTATTACTGTTGTTTGGGTCTACCTTGGATTGAGCTTCACTAGTTTTTGATGTGATTTCCTTTGTTTTGTCTATTGCTTTGTTGCTTCTCTTGGGATGAATGACATAGGCTTGAACAATAACCATCCAACACGCAACGAAAAGAATCGGTAGAATATGCATATGACAAGTTTTTTTTTTTTTTTTTTTACAAGAAAAACAAAGAAAACCCAACTTGTTTATATAGAATTTTTGTATGTTTGGATCTTCTGTATGTAAGAAGAAAATCAGACTTTGTTTAGGGGAGATGTGAGTGTAAATTCCATATGTACACTCTATACCCAGGAAAAAAAAACGTAATATCACTTTATGCATGAATGCCTTCTTTTTTCTATGTTACAATTTGTACTTGCTGTTGTTGTTGTTAAAATGTGCATGAGGTGCATGCTTGTACATTGGATCTACAGAATAGGTAGTTAGTAGATAAGAACTATTATGTATAACATCATTTGTTGTTATAATGAGAAAAAGTGCATTATCTAAATAAAGTATTCAGCAGGATGAAAACATTGACTACTACACTGGCATTATTTATATACATAGCAGTAAAAGAAAGCATTGGTATTTTGAAATGTTTGTTTTATTGTTACTGTTTCAATTTCTAAGTGATACAAATGTAAATAAAATAAATGGATGAATAAATTTTAATCGTCTTTTGGTGGACCTGTTGCAACAATGGTACTGAGGTCGGGTGGTGTAACAGCAGGTAGTGTAGGCATGGTGACAGCGGGTAAAGCAGGTGCAGCAGGAACAGCAGGTAAACCAGGAAGGCCGGGAAGCGCTAAAGCAGGCAAGGCAGCAGGCATAGGAACAGCAGGTAGTGTGGTAGGTGGTGGGTTTACAAAGTTAGGAAGAACAGCAGGCACATTGACGTTTTGTGGGCAGCTTGGGTTAGGTGGGTTCTGAGGCACAGCACAATTGGGTGGTGGAGGAGGAGGGGGGGCAGCAGCTTGAGCTGCTTGACCAGCGCCTTGGCCAGCAGCTTGAGCAGCATTTCGTCCAGCATCAGTAGCTGATGGTAAGCCGTCACCAAATCTCTTTTTAAAGTTTCTTAATTTGCGTCGACTGAGTCTTTTTGCGGATGTCTCTTGAAACAATGTGACTAAGGCTACAAGAGCTAGTAACACTATAATCTGAGTGAAGCGCATAATAACCAAGCAATAGATAAAGAAAAGAAAAAGAAAAAAACTGCCAAATTGATAAATCTATTTATAAGCTAAGGAAAAGGTAATGCGATGTATGTGCTATGTGTCAGTTCCAAGCTGATTCCATATTGAAACAAATAAAATCAAGCGTCAATCATCTCTCTATGGTCCTGTTCTATGAGACGGTTACTCCTTTTTCAGTATGCATAAACTCTGTTCTTCTTGACTAGCTGTTTAGGAGCACGTACATTGATTAGTATTTGCTTTTTATCGTGCTGCATTCATGTCATTTCTTTTCTCATTCAAATTGATGACCATTGTTGCCAACTATATGAAATGACTATGGACTAGTATTTGATCTTGTCAGTGGCAATTCAATTCACAATGAATTTATTGTCATCAAGACATTAGGATCATTGAGTACTCAAATTGAAGTTTGAATCAATCCTTTTTTTTTTTTCTTTAGGAATTATTAAAAGTGGCAATTCTAACTAAATCAAGAAGAAGATTGCGGAAACAGCCGCAATGAGGATATCAGGGATTTCCGTCATTTCAAAAGTGTATAGACGACAATGGTACAAGGTTGTTTGTATACCAAAAAGTCGATCCTTAAGGGAGAAAGTGCAATTTGTTTCTCCTTATTTAGTTTAGAAATGATGATACGCTTTCTCTCTTCCTTTCTGTAAGAAGCCTCTAAACAAACAGTAGACCATTGAAAAGAGAGAGAGAAAAAAAGGGGGAGAGCTTATTTTGTTTATAATGAATATCCTAAATTACTGCTCAAAACAAAGAAAACAATCCCTTTATTGAATTTAGTTGTACATGTCATCGTTAACGTAAACTTTTACAAATACATCGAACAACAAAAGGGAATGTTTATACATAGTGATACTTTTAAAAAAAAAAAAAAAGGAAAAAGAAGAGTGTTACTTTACTATACAACAGTACATTTAAGGAAAAAAGGCCCTTAATTGGTATGGTAAACATTTGAATTGTATTCACTTTTTAATAATTATATTTTTTTTTGTTATCCAACAAGAGTGTCGTTACTCCTCAAAACTCCTTCTTCTTTTCGTCATAACTTAAACCACCAGGACCAGTGCTGACCAATAATAAGAAACCACCAACTGTACTTAAGGACTGGAAGAAATCATATCTTAAGAAATCACGCTTATAATAGCTGTGTTGGACAGACCAAAAGTTATTTACAAACACATTAAGGACAGAGAGGAACAAGACCAAGAACATGGCAGACCATTTAGCCTTGAAACCAACAGCCACCATCACACAGGCAGCCAAGCCCAAAAGAGAGACAGCAAGACGTAAGATAGACCAGTCACCATGGAAAGCAGAACCGATAAACAAAAAGATAAGCAAGATACGGCCAGCCAATTGCAAATACATGCGACGGTTTGTTTCAGACATCTGTGGTAAGGCAGCAAACATTTGTTTACGCTTCACCATTGTTTCTGACAAGACCATCATTAAGCCACCCATCACTGACAAGTTACGCAAGAAGAAGGACATATCGAAAATCAAACCATAACCAAATGCTTGAGCTACAATAACACCCATAAGACCATAGATAGCATAGGCTTGGTGTCTTTTAGCTACAATGCAGAAAGAAGCCACCAACATGGTCTAATCTTGGTTATTATAAGCCCACTCCTGTTTAATGAACTTACCAAAACGTTTAAGCCAAGAAAAATGTGGCTGATACCTGTAGGAAAGTGTCTGCTTTGTTCCATAAAACTAATTTGGTCACTCCACTGCGTCACTATTCTAAGGGAATCTTCGAGGAATGTAGCCACAATAAGGAATCTCGACATGGCGGGAATGTATGGCTTCAAAGGTTGACCTACTCTGTCAAGGAAGTCTTCTGCTTTTGTACTAAAAGCTTCCATTTGTTCTTTTACACTATCCATGACTGCTTACTAAAGATTAAGAAAAGAAGAAAAAAGAGGGAAAGAGAGAGATTGTATTTACGAAAAAGAAAAAAAAAAGAAAAAAGAGGGAGCAATGCGCCCGATTTAATCACATATACTCGCTCTCTCAATTAACATCCAATCAAAATGTACCACACCGGAAGCGTACATTCGGTATGAAAAATAAAAACTTGCTTTTTCTTTTTATACTTGTCATTTGCATGAATTTATGCTTATATGGAAACTTTTAAAATAAGCTTCACTTTGTTTTGTTTTGTTTTGTCATGAAATATCTTGTTTCTTTATTTTGATAAAATCAGGAACATGTTTATAAATAAGCACAATTTATGATCCGTCTAAATGTGTGTATGACACATAAGCAAATGTAATTATTTTAAGCGACAGTCAATGTTTGACCAGCAGTCCAAGTTTGTCCACCAGCCAATGCAACCCAGTCAGCAACACTACCAGCTTCAACGCAGATCATGTTCTTGTACTCTTCATCATCAAAATCACCCATACCCTTTGCTTTTTCAATCCAAGGATTCCAGACAACTAAACAATGGTTAGTCTATGACTGAATGAATATTTGCTTACCAGTATCTTTCAAGTTTGACTTTTCAATCTGAATGACAGAACCATTGCCTACTTCGAGTGTAACATTGTCTGGTACCTTTTTATAAACACGGTCGACTTCACTTGCAATAGTCACTTTTTCGTTTGTCTCGGTTACCTTAGCACCACCTTCCACTTTATCAGTGTATTCACAAGAAGACAAACCATTAACTGCAGACTTGGTAACATCCTAATAATGGGATGAGTCTCAATGGGATTTTTAAGGATTAAACTTACAGGCACGCTAAAGTAAGTATGCAAAAGGGTATTAAATTCAAACGTATCTTCATCTTCGTTCTTCAATTGACAGAATGTCTTGAGTGATTTACTTGACAAGGTGACTGTGTAAATCAAACGGAAAGAATGAGGCCATGCATTACGTGCTTCTTGAGGGATTTGAGTATCTTTTAAGCCAAATCGAACAGCCACTTCATCATTATCAGTCACAATACCAAGGTATTCCCAATAATTGTTACGAGCAAAACCTAGCAATCAAAATAAATACACGCTTCGTTGGTTTTGCTTCGTGTTCCTACCGTGTTGAGGGAGAGCAATCTTTTCTTTAGTACCAAAGATAGGGAAACAAATAGGGATACCACCACGGATAGCCTTACTTCCGTCGCGTTTTGCTAACTTACTAACAAAAATACGTTCTACACCCTCAACAACCCAACTTGTGACAGTAGCACCTATCCATAAAATGCATAAATAAATAAAATAAGAAAAATAAAAATTAAATTATACCAAAAAGTGCAACTTCTGCCTTTGAACCAGAAGGATGTTCAAGCAAAATAGTTTTATTTGATTCACGAGCAGGCATTTATAAGGAAAAGATAAGAAAGAAAAAAAAAGAAAAAGAAAAAGACAGAGATATACACGCTTTAAAAAAAGAACCGCTTAAATTATTTGCTTCAAAAAAAAATATTTAATCCATTAACAATTGATGACAAATCACACGTTGATATTTCATTAGTTGACATCATTTTGGTCTTTAGCGTCAATGCCCTTTTCATCCCCAACAGGCGCCATATGCTCCTCCAATAGTTTTTCTTCTTCAGTAGAGGCGTTGCTACCTGCAGGATGGTTACGTTGTACATGCAGGTCTGTTTCTCCATTGGGCAGTGTCTCTACAGTCACCTTGGCTGTTTCTCCCGTACGCACACCTCCATCAATCAACAAGCGAGCCAAGGGATTCAAAAGTTTCTTTTGGATCAATCGATTTAAGGGACGAGCACCATAAGCTGGGTCATATCCACGCTCACCTAGCCATTCCCGTGCTTCTAAAGTAACGTCCAATTTGATGCGACGGTCGGTCGTACGTCCTTCAACTTCTTTAATACGCACATCAACAATATCTCTCAAGGCTTTCTTGGACAATCGATTAAAGATAACCATTTCGTCTATACGGTTAATGAATTCAGGTGCAAAGGATCGTCTGACTGCATCCATCACACTTTCTTTTGCACGGGGACTGACACCTTCATTGGCATATTCAACCAAGGCTTCTGCTCCTAAGTTGGAAGTCATAATAATGATAGTATTACGGAAATCAATCTTGCGGCCCTTTGTGTCAGTCAAGACACCATCGTCCAAGACTTGCAACAAGATATTAGAGACATCGCGGTGAGCTTTTTCCATTTCGTCCAACAAGACAACAGCATAAGGACGGCGTCTAACTGCCTCTGTCAATTCACCTCCTTCTTCATGACCTACATAACCAGGTGGAGAACCAATAAGACGACTGACACTGAACTTCTCCATGTATTCAGACATGTCTACACGAACAATGGCATGTTCTGTATCAAACAAGAACTTGGCAATGGTCTTACAAAGTTCTGTTTTACCTACACCAGTGGGGCCCAAGAACATGAATGAAGCAATGGGTTTGGAAGGATTCTGGAGTCCAGCACGACTAAGACGAACAGCTTCAGCCACAGAAGTAATGGCTTCATCTTGACCCACTACACGCTCAGCCATAACTTGTTCCATATGCAGCAGCTTTTCTCGTTCACCTTTCATCAAGTTTCTAACAGGAATACCTGTCATTTGAGAGACCACACGCGCAATATCATTTGAAGTAACACGCTCATGAATCAAAGACTCTGGATTCTCTTCCTCGGCTGTGTCTTGAGGTAACTGCTTTTCCAAGTTGGGAATCATACCATAACGAAGTTCAGAGGCACGCTGATAATTGCCATTACGCTGTGCTTGTTCCAAATCTGTCCTGGCCTTTTCCAAGTCTTCCTTGATACGCTTGATGTCATCAATCTTTTGTCGCTCTTCATTCCAAATGGCAGTCAAACGTTGTGATTCTTTTTGTTTGGCTTCCACTTCCTCTTGAAGCTTTTGTCGTCGTTCAACAGACATGACATCGGTTTCTTTTCGTAAAGACTCTAATTCGATTTGAGCTGTCATGATCTGTCGGTCGAGGTTTTCCAAGGCTTCAGGTTTGGATTCTTGTTGTAATCGAAGTTTAGAACAAGCTTCATCCAATAAATCAATTGCCTTATCAGGCAAGAAACGATCTGCAATATAACGATGAGAGTGGAGTGCAGCAGCTACAATAGCAGCATCAGAAATACGAACACCATGATGGACTTCATAACGTTCCTTAAGACCACGTAAGATAGAAATCGTGTCTTGAACAGTAGGTTCTTCTACCATAACTTGTTGGAAACGACGAGCTAAGGCAGGGTCTTGCATAATGTACTTGCGATATTCGTCAATAGTAGTTGCACCTACACAACGAAGCTGACCACGCGCTAACGCAGGCTATGATTGTGTGGTATGTTAAGTAACATGATTCCACAAATAATAGACTTTACCTTCAACAGATTACCAGCATCCATAGCACCTTCTGATTTACCTAAGCCTAGTAGTGTATGGATTTCATCAATAAACAAAATGATCTTTCCTTCAGATTCAGAGACTTGTTTCAAGACGCCTTTTAGACGATCTTCAAATTCACCACTACACAATGGCATAAGTATCTATCCATACATCATGTATCATTATTTACCGATATTTTGCACCTGCAACAAGTGCCTATAGAGCATGTGTCAATACAAGAAAACTGTATTACTCTATACCTACGCCTAAATCTAAAGCAATAACGCGTTTGCCTTGAATTGATTCTGGCACTTCGTTTGCCACAATACGTTGAGCAAGGCCCTATATAGAGATGATTAGATTCATACAAATTATCCAAAGCAACTTACTTCAGCAATAGCAGTTTTACCAACACTATACAAAAGATGAGTGACCTATGTATATCTCTTACAATTCTTACCCTGCTTCACCAATCAACACTGGGTTATTCTTTGTTCGACGAGCCAATCTATATTCAGCTTAGTCTACTGATTTCTAACAAGTAAGCACACTTACACTAAAAAGAAAAAAATCATAAGTTTGATATATATCAATCATAAATTAAACCTACCTTCCAATGTACGTCTGATTTCTTCATCACGTCCAATCACAGGGTCTATTGAAGTGCTCAGTTTGCATGGACAAACGCATAAAGTCCGACATCGAAATCTCCAGAACATTTTTTATACTTACCCAACTTTCCTTTTTCTGCCATTGCAGTCAAGTCAATACCCTTGGAGTTTGTCAGAACATGAGCAAAGAAGGCACTTTTGTTATGTCTACTTACGAATTGTTCAAGAGGTTTTTGCTGTTCTTGCTCTTGATTTGGATTTAATCGAAATCCACCACCTTGTCCAGGCGTACCGCCTATGTCTATGGTAAGAAGAAAAAGAAAATAAACAAGATATATTTGATTACCATTGTAAAATCGCTTCATGATAGGATAATTCAGTGAGAGTTGCCAGAGAGACGGTTTTGTCGTACTGACAAGTGACATTTTGACAGGACTTGTCAACGTAGTCTTGGGCGTCATACGCCTAGTCACTGTAGATATTTGTCTTTTAGGTACAACACGAATTGAACGCTGTGATAATCGAAGCATCCTTAACAATAAAGAAAAAAAAGAAAAAGAAAAGAAAAATCTATGCTAATGCGTTATGTAACAGAGTCCTTTAAAAAAATAGTCACGTCTATATAAAAATGGACACCCCCTTTCTTTCTTTTTGACAAATACTATGTTTCGACAGATCGTCTCACTTACACCATGTCAACGTCAAAAAGCTTTTTGTTTTTCTCGATTGGCACCTCTAGTCTATAAACGTTGGAACTCAAAAAGTACAACTGAGGTAGTACTCGTTTGAATTTATGTGTATTCTTATATGAACTCCATAGAAACTAAAAGGTGCTAACCCAAGTAAAAACATTGATTTGACCATGTTTCCCGCCGAAAATATTAGAAATTTCAGTATTATTGCACATATTGGTAAGTTAAGACAGCGTACAACCAAATGATTTATTCAGTCACTCATGATAGACCATGGCAAGAGTACTTTGGCAGACAGGTAAGATGTTATCCATGCATCATGAATTGACCCTGTTGAATAAGGTTACTTGAATCAACAAATACAATCTCAGCAACTGGATCAAACAAACAAGTGTTGGATAAATTAAAAGTTGAGCGAGAACGTGGCATTACAGTCAAAGCACAAGTAACAAAGATGCATTAATCAACATGAATTTACTGAGCCATATATAGACAGTATCCATGTTCTACAACTATAAAGGAAAAAACTATTTATTGAATCTGATTGATACACCGGTAATGAACGAAGCACAAGGGATTCTGTATTGAACGAATCATAGGGACATGTTGATTTTAGCTATGAAGTATCTCGATCATTAGCAGCATGCCAAGGCACACTTTTACTTGTGGATGCAGCACAAGGTATTCAAGCACAAACAGTGGCTAATTTCTATTTAGCCTTTGGTGAAGGGCTAGAAATCATACCCGTCTTGAATAAAGTAAGTGAGATATCAATAGCGCCATGGACTTATAGTACTAGATTGATCTTCCAGGAGCAGAACCTGAACGTGTCAAGAAACAAATTCAAAGTGCATTTGAGCTAGACACAAGCTCGATTTTACAAATATCGGCTAAATCAGGCATTCATATTGACCAAGTGTTACCCAACGTGATTGAGAAAGTACCACCGCCCATTGGACAGATAGATAAACCTTTCCGAGCATTGTTGTTTGATTCATGGTATGATAAATATGTAGGTGTGGTCTGTATGTTGGGTATGAAGGATGGTGTGATTCGAAAGGGTGATAAAGTGATATCTGCTTACTCAGGCACAAAATATGAAGTGACTGAAGTAGGTATCATGCATCCAGAACAAGTACCTACTGGTTATCTGTAAGTTATATGACTGCTTTAACTTGTTGTTTATGTATCAAATAGACATGCAGGTCAAGTAGGCTATATTGTATGCGGCATGAAAAGTGCCTCTGAAGCCCACATTGGTGATACATTTTATCATGTGGGATCCAATGTGGAAGTATTGCCTGGCTTTCAACCTGCTCAATCAATGGTGTTTGCTGGTATTTTCCCGGTGGATACCAATGATTTTCGCAAATTAGACGACAATATCAAGAAATTAACACTGAATGATGCTAGTGTCACTGTACACAAAGAAACAAGTCATGCATTAGGACAAGGTTGGAGACTAGGTTTTCTTGGTACATTACATATGGACGTGTTTCGACAACGTTTAGAGAATGTAGATAGGTTGCATTGCACAAAATAATGATTAATCAACTCATCTAGGAATATGATGCCAACATTATTGTCACACAACCGACTGTACCTTACAAAGGTAAATATATATATATACAAAGACATGCTATTCATTTGGTTCCTTTAGTGGTTTATCGAGATGGAAGTTCGAAACTAGTGAGAAATCCTGCTGACTTCCCAGACCATGAAGAACGATCTTTTAAGGTAGCTAAACTACAAGAGCCTATGGTATTAGCCACCTTGATTTTCCCTGATGTAAGTATACAATTAAGTTGTCCTGTGCTCATGTTCAATCTCTACAGGAATATATGGGAAAATTAATTGAGCTGTGTGGGGTAAGGACATGCGAAAGAAATTATCGTACGATTGAATTGTATATCCATAGTCCCGTAGAGGTGAACAACTTGAATATGTTTATGTTGATGAAACACGTGTCATGATGAAATACAGACTACCACTGGCGGAAGTTGTTACTGACTTTTATGATGAATTAAAGAGTCGATCTTCAGGCTATGCTTCATTTGATTATGAAGAAGGAGGATATGAAGACAGTGATTTAGTCAAAGTAAGCATATCTTTGGTGCTTCTGTTTTCTAAAAATCATACGATGATAGATGAGTGTACTTTTAAATTCAAAACCAGTAGATGCGTTATCTGTCATTCTTCATCGCTCTCAAGTCGAATTTGTTGGGCGAGACTGGGTCAAACGTCTAAAGGGTGTGATTCAAAGACAGTTATTTGACGTCTCAATTCAGACTGCATTAGGAACAAAGATTATTGCTAGAGAAACGTAAGCCATGACATACTGTTGATTGTGCTCATTCCTTTGTTTAGTGTTTCGGCCTTACGAAAGAATGTTACAGCTAAATGTGTAAGTAGATACAAGAAAATTCATGCATTCTGTATACTCACATGGCTTTAGTATGGTGGTGATGTTTCTCGAAAAATGAAATTATTACAAAAACAAAAAGAAGGCAAGAAACGAATGAAAATGATTGGTATGTGTTGAAGGCTGTTGAAAATAAATAGCTGCATATTAATTCTCTTTCTAAAGGCAATGTTGAGCTCCCTCAAAAAGCATTTTATGACTTTATGGACAAGAGTAAAGCTAACTAAGTTGATGTCATAATGGATGCAGTATAGATTGTGTAATAAAAGGTTGACATGTGCTACAATATTGAACTCAAATTAGTTGTTTTATTATTGCTATGAATAGAGAGGAGGGCGTATAAAGGGTAAAGAATATATAAGTTTTGTAAGCATAAATTAAGTAATAATAATGATAATAATAATAATAATAATAATACAAACTGGACCCTGTTGATCATAGTCCTTTAGGTGTCAAAGTAAGCTTAAGAGTGCTTCCTCTTCTTCCTGTAATCAAATCTTCTAGTTCTTGCATTTTTCGCTGTCTTTCTTCTTCTTCAGCAGAGACTAGCTTCTTGGGTACATTGTATGTCTTTATTTTACGTAAGGGAGTTGATTTGCTTGTTTCCATGGAGAGCTCTATAGAAGCTGTTGCTGCTGCACTAGCTGCCGAAATGGTTGCATTTGATTTACTGCTACTGCGACGGCGATCTTTTAATTTACTCTTGAATGATTTGCATGGCGCCAATTCAGTGTTCTTTGTTGATTGTTGTTGCTGCTTAAAGCCAAGGGTAGAAGAACAGGAGTGTCGACGAGTCTTTGTTGACTTTTGTGGATGTTCTCGAGGATCTGTGGTCACTGTACGACGAGATTCTACATGACGAATAGGAATACGCTCGTCTAAATAGACCATATCCAATGGATGAGTGGGTCTTGGAGGAGGAGAACTGGAAGAAGAACAGGTAGACATGGTAGTATGACTTCTCATGGGTCGACTATCCCGACGAGGCGAAGGCGATATTGAATTAGGTTGTTGAGGAATAGGTGGGGGTGAAGTCAAGGGTTGATATAACTCATCATATCGAAAACTAGAGAACGAGTTCTTTGTAGGTGAAACCAGCGAGTAGATACTGGTGGAATGTTGAAGAATAGGTGAAGAAATATGTATTTGACCTTTTCGACTTAATGGTGATTTGGGTTGATTTGCATCAAGTGGTTGTCGAAATAAACTTTTCTTTAGCCTAAGACCTTTCTTTTGTTCAGGAGCTTCAAGCATTATATGTTAAGGAATGTAATTGAGTTAGCAATAAAGAAAAAAGGAAGTAATAAAGAAGAAATGGAAAAAAAAAGAGAGAAAGAAAAAACGTTTTTTTATCCTGTCTATCCTCAATTTGTCAACGTAGTACTGAAATCCAATTTTGGAAGACAACTTGGCGGTGTTGGTCAAAGTTTAGAGAGAATGATCAAGTAAAAGAAAAAAGTAGTACAGGCAACAAGCTCAGATAAAAGCTCCGTGTACCCTACCCTCCAAGGATTTATAATTGCCACGTTTCTATCACTTTCCATTGGTTACATTGAGTAATCATGACAACTGCTTTAGAAAAAACGAAAAGAACATTTTAACAGCACATATCTTTTATAAGTAAGGAACATAATCAATTCTCACACACTATTTCTTTAACATAATAGTACACAAGCTGAAACAAATCATAGCATTATACACCGTATCTTTCCCTTTTTTTTTTATTGACGCTATAGTGTAGACTGTTTCAATGTAGTACACTTTTCTGTACCTTTTGTCTTGGTAATATAGGTACATAGAAAGTCTTGTCTCGAACCATAATGTATAGTTTCTTTGTCCTACTCAGTATTGTAGAAAGATAAAAAGAGCTATTGCAGTATATGCATTCTTTCAGGGTTCTTACATTAAATGTCAGAAGATTTACAACAATTTCTTTTTCTTATTTCATTGTGCTGGTATACACTTATCAATGTTGCTCTTTTTACTCTAGTCTCTGAGTTCAAGAATGACTAATTGATTAACTCAATATTCAGGTGTTTGTCCACAGTATAATGATATATATACTATGTACAAAAAAATGTTCAAACTTAATCGAGTTATGTTTTCATTTATTTCAATTTATTAGAAAGTGACTTCACTTCCGAAGTCGGTTTTCAGTGACAGATGAACGGTATCTATAAGTAAATCGAAGAAAAAAAAATAGCCAAACAATTCATCATGTTGAAAAAGAAAGAAAAAAAAACAAAAAGATCTTAAAGACAAGTAAACCATTAAATATTTTCAAAAGAGAAGGTCCCACCGAGAATCGAACTCGGATCACCGGATTCAAAGACCGATATGATAACCATTACACTATGGAACCGTGTTATTACTTGAGAAATTGCAAGTTCTTTATGACTGGCTTAAAATACCAAAATAATGACGTAAGTACGTTCTCCGACCCGAATCCGTTCGTGTCCGTACCGCTTCTACATTATGGGTGTACGTAGTAAAGGGGTGAAGCACCTTCTGAGTAATGGTTGTTCTTGTTCTGGGTGTTGTAATAGGTGTTGGTGATGATTCTGGTGCGTTCGTGGTGAACATGTGGATCTAAGGACCAACAAGAGTATTAGCAAGCAAAGCAATAAGCCATCTCTCATTTCAAACAAGTCATGTATTTTCTCAACAGTGTTAATTCCCATAATTTTCTTATACTCTTTCTTATGCAAGCAAATCAAGGCCTTTATTATCTTTGCTTCCTTTTTTACCCGTTATCTATCTGTACCTATCTATGTTCTTATCGTTGTATCTTAGTACATTGTACTCTCACCATCTAATTCCGTTGAACTGTATAAAAGCTGAATTACCAAAACCTTATAAAATTATCGAACTTTTCTAAAAAGATATTTTTGAAGGAGATTACCTGAGAATTTGGTGCTATTACATTCGAAGTAGGTTCTTTACAGTCTTTCCTTGATGCTCGTGTGTAATAAGTGATTAATCGGTTACCTTACTTCTAGAATATCTGCCTCAATTCTACTATAAACTCCCATATCATCACTGTCATTATAATTAGGCAATGTAGCATATAATACAGTCTAAAAACTACTAAATTAAACTCAAAGCTACCTCCTATTCGGTCTTTTGCTGAGTTTTTGCCGCGCTTCACCAGTCTGCTGCCTGTCTGGCGTTTCTGGTCTTATATTGTGACAATACTTTGCTTTCATGGATGATGTTCTATTCTATATACTTATTTATTTATAACTATTACATTTGTAATTCAAAGTCATTCCAGCCTGTTCCTAATAGTAGGTTGATATCTTCCATAAACGAATTAGCCGCCACCAAATCTGCTGTTCGATGGGAAATAATTGAAGCATGATTCACAGCATGAAAAGAACCAGATGAAAATAAATGTTGATGTGGGTTTTGATCGTCTGTACAAAAAGATGGATAATACCCGCCTGAAGCTATAAGCCCTTGATTGAATGTAGCTAGACCATACGTTAGTTATACTCAGATCTTTCTAAAGGGATACTTGCCAGAAATATGATGGTTTTGCATCATTTCGTTTAATCCAAACACATTGTTATTGTTTAGAAGAGCGTAGTGGTCATATTCGTTTGTTTTAAGAGATGATTCGGGTACTGTAGGTTGATTTTCAATTTGAATTTGGTTGTTGACAGAGGATAAAGGCACACTATGATGTATGCTATTGTTATTGGTTGTGCGAATGAATGTGCTTTTGGTATCTGATTTCAATGATTTTATGGACACTTGTTGATCTTCATCCAGACATTTTCGTTTTGTCTTTTTGGGTATCGAACTAACAAACGCATTAGATTCCATCACAAGCGTTGTACAACCCACCTATCGTCCGCTGTCATAGCTGGCGTTCGAAAGTTCTGTCTCAGGTGTAAACCTGGTGATACTTCAAGTGATGCGAATGCTCTCATACTAGATGGTGTTACCAGTTTGTTTGATAATACGTCCTCTTTAGAGTAATAGCTAATAATATGCTGTTGTACACCATCCACAAGGATAGACATGGATTTCTTGATTAATCCATGCTGCTTAAATCGGACTGAAGTAAGTGATCCTACAACAGCCTTTTCTTTTTGTCGCTTTAATAAATCAGATGCAACAATATAGCCAATATTAGGTTCAGGATGAGATAGATGCTTTTCTTTGCAAATCTGTTTCTTGTTTTGCAGTTCACGATAGATCAAAAAATGGCCCATGATACGTGAAGGGCTCCATGTTAATCCATCTGTCCATCGTTTCATGCCACTTTCTTTCTCGTCAAAACAAAAGATAGATCCACTTTGAATAAGGTGTCGTTCGTTATCTAACAGACGTCGAGTCACACGGGGCAATATACCTCGTTTGCATGCTTCAAATAATAAAAGGGAATCCTTTGTTGTCTCTATATAACCATGAAAAGTAATACAGATAGGTTTCGGTGTGCTAGTCATGAAAAGAGAAGAAAAAAAAAAATAATAAAGCGATACAGTTTCTCACACTATTTATGAATTTTTTTTTCTTTCTTTTTTTGTACACTATTGTGTCGATACAAGTAGTTTTCTTATCATAATTGTATGTGTTATTCTTTGACCAAGATAAAAGACAAGAAGCGTTAGATATTCTATACCATCATGTATTTCTGCAGGATAAGACTATCACATGGATTTTTCTCACTATAAAAAAAAGTACAGTCAGCATCATCATTGGCTAAAATCCCCCCCCTTTATTTTTTCTCTTTCTTTCTTTTCTTTCTTTCAATATGACACCAGCAGCCTCCAACATAGCAATAAACTTGAATCACGGCTGTACAGATTCACCACTCGATCCCAAATTAGAAACAACACAACATTACAACTTTAAGCATATTGAGCGCACTGTCTATGAACTAGCCGAAAGTCCTCATCCATTAGGCCAAAGTGTCAAGACAGCCCTACAAGTAATTGAACGAGCCTATCAAAAATACGGGTAGAGTGTCTATATATTAAGTCAATGACTGATCAAGTCTAGTTTGGATTCAATAGCACTTTCATTCAATGGCGGCAAGGACTGTACTGTCCTTTTACATCTAGTAGCAGCTGTATTAAGTCGTATGGAATACACTAAGCCAATACGTACAGTGTTTGTAACTTATCCTAATCCTTTCCCTCATGTGGATGCGTTTGTCAAGGTGTGTATTGAACGATATGGATTAGACTGCGTATATATTCCGGGGCCAATGAAGGCAGCATTACAGCAGTATTTGGATACTACGCAACCTACAAAGGCTATCTTTGTCGGCATTCGACGCACAGATCCTTATGCAGGTAAGTAGAGATATATGATCTTTTAGGTATATACGTATTGACAGGCAACAGCCAATCTTTCCCATTTTGAACAGACAGATAAAGATTGGCCAGATTTTATGCGTGTCCAACCTATTATTGACTGGAGCTATAAGCATATATGGGATTTCTTGCTTCAATTAGGCATCCCTTACTGTTCCCTTTATGACCGAGGGTAAAGAAAGGAAAGGCATATGTGTTACTGATACACTCTATAGATACACTTCTCTAGGAAGCATGGAGAACACATACCCCAATCCCGAATTAAAGGATGATACTCAACCTTGTGGATTTAAACACGCTTGTGAACTACGAGATGAATTACACGAAAGAGATGGTCGCATTGGTTCTTCAAAAAAATAAAATGCATTGTGTTACATTTCTTTTTCTTTTTCTTTTTTTCATTAAAGACATGCTCATCAAAGTGGAGCAAAATAGACACTTGATCCTGGTTACTTTATTCCTTGGTCTTTTATTATGTAGTTTTTATCTGTTTTATACACCTTCATCATCGCAAGTGATACCATTCAAGAAGAAGCTAATTCGACAACCTACTGTGTGTGATAAAGTAGATGCTGCATGGCTGTAAGATGAACCTCACATTATGATGATGAGCTGATTGTCTATTTAGTGCATCCGATAGAATCTATTGGGATGGTTGGATGGACAAAGCCATGTTCATCAAGACAGACGGTACCTTTACAAAAGGTCATGTCTATATTGAACAAGGACAGCATGTCTGTATTGTTGTCCTGGTAAGCTTCTCCTCTTTTTTTTAAGCATAGGGCTCATTTTATATTTGTATATATATATATATATATTAGCTTGGACCTACACCAGCCAAGGCTTCTATTAAAGATGAACAACATGATCATATTGGACCCAGTGATAGTATTACCATGTTTGCTGAAGGTGAACACTCGAAACGAACCATACAACTCGAACAACACCCTGAACAAACTAATGTCTATATGGCTGCTGTTCAATTCAATCAGCCTGATACATATACATTGGATACTACTACTGAATACAGACATTTCTTTTGGGAATCGCCTATTCACCATGCTTATCATCCATTTCAATATGCATCCCAAAACAAATTGGTCGTTAGTCCAGTCAACATGACCGAGATATTACCCTTATGCAAACATCATACGTTGACAGGTACTTGGGTAGACTTGGATATCTATGCAGCATCAGACGCACAAGCACTGTATACCATGTACGAGAATACCGAGAATGAACACAGTGTATACAACAAAGTGTTTATACCAGACCAGTGTCGATTTGAATACAAGAGCAGTGGTCATGCAGCACGTTGTCTGGGGAAACAAACGGTGCATGTCTGGGGAGACAACAATTTGCGTCGAAATCTGAAGGCTCTAGACAGCCAATGGTGTGGTTCTGATACGCAAGACAGGTGTGTATGTGATGATGATCATGAACCACCTACGCCTTGGATGATGGGCAAACCTCTCCTTATTCAAAATTCATGGGATATTGACAGTAAAATCTATTATTATCCTGTCCATGGACCACTTACATACCAACATGAGACACTGTTGGACAGAATGGCACAATACAAAGATAGTGTAGCAGACATAGTGATTCTAGGATTTGGAAATGATGATATTGAAGCATTACAAGTGACACCTAAACAGTTTGCTACTACACTCACTACATTCTTGGACCGTGTACGTCGAATCTATCCCCATCAACGCATTGTGCTGCGTACACCACAGTATTTTATAGGCAGTCAAGGGACTTGGAACACAGGTCGTTCTTATGCTTTTACTTTGGCTGTGCGTCATGCAGTCATTGGCCATGATATTCTGTTATGGGATACACATCATTTAGGCACAGACGAAACATTGTGTCCATCTATTTACTCTAAACGTCATGTAGTCAATATTGAAAATCAAATGTTATGGCATTTACTTTGTTAAATAAATCATGCTCTCTCCTTAATTTTCCTTACTCCTTAATTTCCAATATTTATAAAATATCAAATCTTTATTCTTTCTTTTTCCTCTTTTCTTTAATGAAACTCTATACTTTAATCTTGTTCCTTGCTTTGATTGGTACTGTTCTTACTGCTCCTGTTAAAGAAATAACCATAGAAGAACGTGGTGGTAAGTGAATTCATAAAAGAAATTCATCATAACTATTTGGTTAGAACGATGTCCATTTTTTGGGTGCTGATAAATACCCCCCTTTTTCTCTTTCCTTAAACGAAACTTATTCATTGTTTCAATATGTAACATTAATCAAAAGAAGGGGGAGGGATAAATCCCTTCATTAAATAAACATTCTTTTCTAAAGAAAAAATACATATAAAGGACATCTCTCTAGACTTGAGTTGTCTTCATGCGATTCTTCACTCTTCTTTTTGCATGTATGTTGGTATACCAAGTGACAGCTGGACAGAAGCTATGTCGAGCAAAAGATAAACGATCCCTAGAGAAACGAGCCAATTCTTTTACAGAACAAGACTATGCAAGAGCTGTTCAATACCTTAAATTATTGATGGAAGAATACGATAGTCGACATGCTGAAACAACAACAGGAACAGCCTCTGTTCATCCTGAATGGACAGCAAATACTCAACAAAAGACAGTAATCTATGAAGATACGTTGGTGCCGTGTGAAGCGGATATTGAAGAAGAAGATATTTTTGACTTTGAGGAAGATCCAGACGATGTAGACGAGCCTCCTGTTAAAGACGGTGTTGTTGTAGATAGAGAAGAGTAAATAAGGAGTAACAATAAACTTGTTCAACGTATGACAAACATAACGAGGAGCATAAATGTAATCAAATATAATTTGTAAAAAAAAAAAAGGTGTGATGTTGTCTATATAAAAATGGGTGTCTTTCTTTTTCTTTTCGTTTTCTTACTCATGATGAAGTATGTTCTTATTCTTATCTTATTGGTGTGTGCGTCTTTTACAACTGCCTTTGTGAAAAGGGAATTGCCTGATTCTGGAGAAGCAGTCAAGATTGCACAGACTGGTTTACGTGGTATGGTTATCACTGCAGGACATGCAGTCCAGAACGAATCAAAATTATTGGGTATCAGAAAAAGACAAAGAAAACAAAAGAAACTCAAGATTACAGCCAGCCCATACAATTCTACTAGAGGCAAGAAATCCATCTTGCCTCTTTTGTCTTGATTTATTCTTTTTGAAGAGTAACCACAGCACGAATACTATATAGTTGTGTGAATACATTATGTCTTTTATAAATAAACTTACCAATCACCTGAATGCATCACATCAAGAGCATCATTGATATGCTCAAAATCAAATTCGTGTGTAACAAATTCATCTACCTTGAGTTTACCATCCAAATAGTCCTGAACAAGACCGCCCATTTCACTGCGACCCTTTACACCACCAAAAGCAGATCCACGCCAGACACGGCCTGTCACCAATTGGAAGGGACGTGTGCTGATCTCCTTACCAGCAGCAGCTACACCAATCACAACAGATTCACCCCAACCCTTATGGCAAGATTCTAAAGCAGCACGCATCACATCAACATTACCCGTACAATCAAATGTGTATTCTAAACCACCATCGGTAATTTCAACCAAGTGTTGTTGAATAGGCTTATCGAGTTGAGTGGGGTTAATAAATTCAGTAGCACCAAATTCACGGGCGAGTTTTTCCTTGTTAGAGTTGATGTCGATAGCAATGATACGCTTAGCCTTGCTGTTGACAGCGCCTTGGATAACACTGAGACCAATACAGCCAATACCAAAGACAGCGACATTGTCACCTTCTTGGATCTTGACAGTCTTGGTGGCAGCACCGTAACCTGTAGTGACACCACAACCCAACAAACAAAGCTTCTTGAGACTGGGCTTAGGGTCGACCTTGACAACAGAGACATCAGCAACAACTAAGAAGCGTTCATCAGATGGCTTTCGCTAGCTTATGTCTATCTTACCTGTGTATTCAGAAAAGGTAGAAGTACCCATATAATGGTAGATGGGTTTACCCTTACAGGTGAAACGAACAGTTTCATCAGGCATCAAACCACGACCTTGAGTAGCTCTGACAGAGCCACAGAGGTTGGTCTTACCACTGGTACAGAACTTACACTTCTTACATTCAGCCGTGTAGAGAGGGATCACGTGGTCTCCAACAGCGACCTCAGTGACACCTTCACCAACAGATTCAACAATACCACCACCTTCGTGACCCAAAATAGCAGGGAAAACACCCTCAGGATCTAATATGTTTTAATATACGTTTGCTTTTCTTTTTGTTGACTTACCAACACCTGAAAGAGTGTAGGCATCTGTGTGACATCTAAAAAAAAAGAAATGATGAATAATCTATCGAAATCTCTAGAAAAAATATAAAAATTACTTACACACCAGTATAAAGGATCTTGATACGAACTTCATGAGCCTTAGGAGGAGCTACTTCAACTTCTTCAATAGCTACACAAAAAAATGAGTACATTTGTGTTTGTTTTCGAGAACTTACAAAGAGGCTTTCCGGCTTCCCAGGCAACAGCAGCACGACACTTGATAACCTAATCTTGATCAATCAATATACACAAACGTATTCATATAAAATACTTGCTTGACCAGCAGTAGAAGACATAGTTAGAAATAAATATTAAAAAAAAGAAAAAAGAAAAAGAAATGTTAAAAACACGTCTTATGCTCAGTTTTATGTCAACTGAGTTCAATTGACACTGTACAAATGACACATCAAAAACGTCACTCATCATTATATAAATAAACAAAAAAAGCGTGCCTTTTTTCTCTTTCTTTCTTTCTTTCTTATGCAACAACATATTATTATTGTCGGTGGCGGCGTCATTGGTGCTTCTTCTGCTTATTTCTTGTCGAAATATCCTTCATGTCGTATTACCCTGATTGAAAAAACTGAGATTGCCTGTGGAGCCAGTGGTAAATCGGGCGGCTTCCTAGCACTTGATTGGAGCGATTCGCATCCTGGCATGAAGGCACTTTCGCGGGCTTCGTATCAACTCCACCATGACCTGGCTAAAGAATTAAGCGGGGATCAAGCCTATGGATATCGCACCATGAACACGTATTCTGTCGTGTTCGATACAGACAAGACCAATAAGAAACGTAAACCTGTCAAGAGCGATATTGCATGGATTCATCAACAGCATGTACGCTCGTTTGAGCAGATGGGAACCACAGAAACAACCGCCCAGGTAACTCCACCTTTGTTTACTCAGACTCTAGTGGATGCAGCTGTCAAGACAGGTCGAGTGGAAGTCAAGGTGGGTCAAGGTGTCTCGGAGGTATTGTTTGAGGATCAAAAGGCTGTAGGTGTTGAGTTGAAGAACGGAGAGACCTTGCATGGTGATCATGTTGTTGTGTGTATGGGGCCTTGGAGTGGTCAATTGAAACTAAAGCAAAAGATTCCTGTGCATGGATCGCATGTCCATTCAATTGTGTTGAAGCCTGAGGATCCTACCATCCCTAACCAAGCGATTTTTACTGCTATTTTAGACCATGGCACAACTGCTGAGCCCGAAGTGTATCCCCGACCGGTAAGCGACAACGTTACTCGAATTGCATGATTCACATTATTTCTTAGGATGGTACTGTATACCTATGTGGTGCAGCCGATAAAGAACCTTTACCTGAATCTGCTGATTTAGTCAAGGTAGATCAAGAAGCCATTGATTTGCTTATTCGTCAAGCCAGTATTGTTTCTCCTCAATTGACCAATGTACCTCTACTTAAATCCCAAGCATGTTATTTACCCATTTCTTCCAAGACAGACATGCCTTTAATTGGCCCTCATCCTGCCTATCCACATTTGTTTTTGGCAACAGGTCATTCTTGTTGGGGTATTTTGAATGCACCTATTACAGGTAAAATAGTGGCTGAATGGTTAATGGACGGTCAAGTCTCTTGTCTTAGTCCACAAGAGATTTCCTTTTTTGTTCCAGAATAAAATGACAACCCCTACTTATTGTTCTCTCACACACACATATAACTTTTTTTTTCTTTTATTTTCTTTTTCTTTCTTTCTTTCTTTTTATGTATTGGGATGTCCGTGCTTGGCAATGCCTGGCTATTACTTTTATTGTTTTATTTGATACTCGCGAAAGCACAAGCTTCTCGTCGTAATCCTTTTATATGGTATCTACATTGCAATTGAATTTTTTTATTTTTATTTCTGCATAAACTTAAAATATATATACATATAGGCAAATTTTAGCTGAATATGATATAGCAATATCCAATAAGACAAAGCATTACCTTGAAGATACGTCTTCTAAAATATACAGCCAAGATTTTCAAACTGTGTTTGAATATAAGGATTATTTTGGCTATAATGAAGTATGTATTATATAAACCATCTTTGTCTAAATAATGTGTAGCGCCTTGTGATTGATTTTGGGGATGGATGTGCACAAACCATACAAGATATCGAAGCCATGAATGGTCATTGGGCCACCAGTCCTTCCATGATGTCACAGCCTTCCGTTGCCCTTGTTCGGCGCAAAGGTAGTTGTGTACGTTGGTCAGACAAGATTGCGCATGTTCAATATTTATCTGCTGAATACAACCTACAGATCACAAGTATTGTGATTTATGACAACATTCTGTACAACGACACTCAATTCATATCCGAATCCACAGACGATGCTGATTACCCTACATTTACAGATCCTTTACCTTCTTACCGAGATATTCAGTTCATGACAGAAGAAAATACACTGGACCTTGGCTCTACTTTTGTAGCTGTCTATTTTGTGCCATTGAGCTATATTCAGTACTTAAATCAGACATTGATCCAAAGGACATTTGAACCCAATGGCACACGACAAGTCTATACCCAATTGACCTTTTCATTGAGTGAGCACTACTTTCCCCCCAGTAACACAACCCAGACCAATGAGGATGATGCGTGGAACAGAGAACGAGAAAAACGCAATTATATCATTTATGCTATTACAGCAGGTGTTGTCTTGATCTTGGTTTTTTTTGTCATACGATGGTGCCTTGCTTTTCGAATCCAAGAAGACCAGGTTGAAAGAGGCGAGTCGTTGCTACTGAGAGATATTCGTGATCATGTGATTGCCTTTGACGATTTAGAACGTCTGTGTCCTGTCTTAAGATACGGCGATACAAGCATGACCAATACCGTCTGTGCTATCTGCCTCGATGAATTCTTGGCTGACTTCTTTGTGCGTGTGCTACCTTGTCATCATGGCTATTGTACTGCTTGCATTGGTAATTGACATACATACGAATGAGACATGCTTACTCCTTATTTCTTATAGATGTATGGCTCACCAAAAAATCATGTATGTGTCCTATTTGTAAATATGATTGTCGAAAAGCATTAGAGCCATCTTGTTCAAGTACAGTCATGGATCAATAAGATTCTCTCCGAGGCAATTGTCTCATCTCTATATCAATTTTTAATATCTAAGCTATACTCATTTTTTTTTGGTTTCTTTCTTTATATATCTATCTATCATGCAATGCAGACCTATTGTTACTTATTCATTAGCCACTGTGTTAGTGTTATGGATTTTATTAGGTGCCATTACTTTACCTAATGCAAACCGATGGTTAAAAGGATTTGGTTCTTCCATAGAGCAAGGTAAATCGACTCTAAACAAAGGCACTTGTTAATCTTGAGTAGACAGAGTCTCATTTCGACTAGATCAACCCTTTGATATGCATCATGCTATTGTTGAAAAAGAAAGTCACCAATCCTATCATTATAATGTGTTTCCTATTACCAATACACCTCATTTACCAACGCACGGACTTGATGTAACAAACAAATGTCAATAGATATGTGTATTGATCATAGCTATAGGGTGTTCTTTATGATAAGGGAGATGCCTGTCTACAGACCACGGCTGTACCCAACCTAAACACCAGTTACGCCAATATGTCTAAAGTAGCTTTAATTCAACAAAGTTCAGCATGTTATTTAGTAGACAAGATTCATCATGCAGAAATAGATGGTGCTTTAGCTGTCATTGTTTTCCATAATGATCCTAATGTGTTGCATTCTTCTTTGGCAGATATGGTATAGATATAGACTCATGAAAATACATACTTATGTCTGTCTATAGGGTGTGATGCCCAAAAAAGTAAGCATACCAAGCTATTACATTGATTATTCTACAGGTGTTGCCCTCCTAAACAACATATACAACCTGTCTCATCAACCTCAACAAGAAGGGTATAGTCCCTCAATGGTCCATGTTCAACTTGTGCCTGGTAAGAAGCCTGTTCTTGACCATTGGCAATTTGGACTGGTGATTGTAGGCATCATGCTGTTGACATGTATCTTGACAGTGGGTAAGTCTACTTGAATCCCATGTATAGGTTCTCATCAACCTACATTAGCCATGTTACAATGTCACATGTGGCGAATGACAAGATTAGGTCGTCATCAACACACAAGTCATGAAACACTGACATTAGAAGACCAACATCAACTTGAAATGAATGAAAGCTTTTGGCGAAATATCATGGACGATATTCCACCACCACCGCCACCACCACCACCATTGACTCAAAAGCAACGTTTAGAACAATCTCTTGTGGATCTATTGCCCACACGTACTTTCAAAAAAAAGACAAGTTCTGTTGAATCCTTGAGTCATCATTGTGTGATTTGTTTAGATGGGTTTGAACAAGGTCATGTGTTACGTCGATTACCTTGTCAACATGAATACCATCGTGATTGTATCGATACTTGGCTTACTCGAAAAAACAATACATGTCCACTTTGTCTTCAACGGATTGAAATACCTACAGTTCCTGAACAAGCTCATCCTGCCATGCCTGATTTAGTCCAGACATGGCAACACTTAGAACAAGCATCTGTACGTCAATATCATTCAAGGTCATATAGTAGACCCTAAAGTTTGTTTAATTAAAAGAGTTTTTTTAAACTAAAAAGGATCCAACATGAAATGGTACAATTGGCCTGCTGAATGTACCACACGTTGAGCACATGAGGTGGTACGGTACAGATGGGATAAGAACCCCAAGAGTCGTGTAGGCAACACATCTGTCAAAGGAGGAATGAAATCAGTCAATGGTATACGAACATTGACAGGTGCTTGTTTGTGTCGTTTTTGAAATAAGCTAATCACATGATGATGCCCTGCTTCAATCGCCAATCGTTCTGCTGTCTTACCACCTCGATTCACAATCGACAAATTAGTCTTGTCAATCAACAGTTGAACAATCTCTGCTTGACCAGACCAACTGGCAAAATGAAGTGCTGTAAATCCATTCTTGTCCATTTGATTGACATTGCAATCAAGTTGGATCAATGTCTTCACAAGTGTCACATGACCACACAGTGTAGCCAAATGAAGTAGGCTGTGTTGGTGTCTGTTTGTCAAGGAGAGATCGATACAGAAAGGAGTGGGTATGAATTCAAGAGCCAATAGGGATTGTGTGATGTGGTGTTCTAATCCAGATAGGAACAAGGTACGGGCATTGTCATAGACAGCATTGGCTTCCATGGTTGTCATTTTTTTGGTATGAGTGGCATAAGTGTCCTTTGGATGATTATCGCCTTGAACAATGCGCATAGCAATTTGTCTTGCGTCTTCTACTTTACCCATCGTTTTGAGGCCCACCACTTGTAAGGCTAATTCCATCAAGGCTCGATCACTTTCATCAAAATAAGTAAACAAGACAACATCTTGTCCTTCCAACATCAATGGGTGTTCTTTAAAGGACACAACAACAGGTCCTGCTGAAGTTGCTGGAGGTAAAATACACAAGAGCGTATTGGCACTCCAACAATGAGTAGGAATCGCTGGATTTTCACCAAACAGACAGGTTAAACCTTCATAGAAATTGGATCCTAAGACAGTCACTTCTGCACCACCATAAACTGGTCCCTCAGAAGGAATAAGGCGATGTAAGCGAGGTACATTGGTCTTGCTGCCTTCTACATTTCTTTCTTGAAGTTTAGCATAAATGTGTTGTTGAGATTGTTGTTGAGATTGTTGTTGTTGTTGTTGATTATAGAGTGAATAATCTTCAGGACGACGTCCATGTTGATTTGTATTAAAGAGTAAGTTGTTCATAGGATTAAATTGATTCAATACAGGCTGTGTATTCATCATATCATGCGAATTTAAGAAATCAAACACATCTGTTTGCTGTTGTTGCTGCTGGGGAACAAAAGAAGAAGGATGGGGTGGTATATAATGAGAATGAACCATATCCTGTTGTTGTTGTTGTTGTTGTTGTTGTTGAAATAAAGGTGTTTCATTGGGTATCTCTTCTTGTTCTATAGGGGAAGAAGGTGTGGCTGGTGTAGATGCAACTGGACTAGACACACCTGAATCTGTCTCTATTTCGACTGTCTTTCGTTTACTGGATGGCACATCACTTTCTGTGGCTGAAGCATCCATATCAGCACGGGCTCTTTTTCGTGCTGCTGTTTGTTGTTGTAATTTACTACTCTTGTGGTCATCTGTAATCATAATAGGGGGCGAACGTCCTGTACCAATCACTTGGTCTAAATGGTCTTTCAAGGTAAATACAATACTAGGAGCAATGTCAGTATCATTCTATAGCTCGATATGACTTACCGAAATCCTGTCTTTTCACTATGATGACGACAATAACAAGTAACTCGAGTAGGTAAAGTGGCTTCTCCATTATTGAATTCAACATATTCATTACAATTAAACAACAAGATACGCTTTCTTTCTTCAGCCATCACACTCTCGTTGCTTAGATCAGGTAATTCGTTTGCAAATAAAGCAGCCAGTTTAGCAGCACTTCCTTCTTTATTTGCTGCACGAACTACCTTATTATCTCGCTTTCTTTTCAGTCTTTTTCTCTAATAAAGTTCAAGTTAGCCCTCCTCTTTTTTTATTGTTTATACCTCTCGGTGCACACAACTAGGACACATGATGATCTCATTATCAGGATGACTGTCACATACAACCATAACCTCCAAACTCAAGATTTGATTGTCAATCAAAGAGGCCTTTTCATCTCCATATTTCTGATTTTTACGTTTGAGTTTGTCTTTGGCAATCAAATGTTCAGGTAGTTTGATATGAGACCAATGGGTGGCTAATTCGCCCTGTGTGTCTGCTAATTGTAAACATATCTTGATTTGTGTTTCAACTCGGGACTTGGCTCCTGTATGAGGTAAACCCAATACACGAATATGCCAAGGGCTATCATGCTTCATACTTGGCTCATGTTAGTTGACATAGTTGCATTGTATTGACTTACATAGGGGAAGGCATAGGAGCATAGTTGGTATCGTCTTCCAACTCACCAGGTCCAAGTAGACTTTGTCTATTCAAGATAAGTATCGATAGTATAATATGGTGACTTACCCAGGCATCGATGTTTGTGCTAAAAAGTCTTCAAAATTCGAAAAGTTTCTTGCTAAAATAGGAATAGCATGTAACAAAGGATTCGTAAAGACCTAATACATACATTCAGCACAATATAAACTCGAGTGGCCGTGTACCTGAAGTAACGAAGAGTGTGAATTATCTTTTTGTTTCTGTTTGCCTTTTCTGGCTGGTGTAGAAGGTTTAGCAAATTCAACTACTTCGATATCTTTGTTGTCTTGTATCAACGATGATGGATGGATGCCTACTGTTACATGAGCAACACAACAACAACACAATATCAATCTATTTACTGCTCGTACTGGCTTGATCCAATGAAGTTTGTTGTGAATGATGATTATATTCAGCCATTTGACTCAAGAATAGATCCATGGCTTGATCGTTTTGTTCTTCAAAAGACTTTTCTGTCTTTTGTTCATGTGTTTCTAGTGGAGGTGACATGGTAATACAATAAATAAAGAAAAAAAAAAAAAGAAATGAAAGAAAAAAATACCGCTCCAGTTTATGGTACAGAGACGTCATTTGTTACGATGGATATGATTGGTCAAATCATGTACAGTGTGTATTGATTCATGCAACAATGTTTATTAAGAACTTCTAGCAAACTCAACTCTCAAGATCAAATTGTCATAACCATAACCATTGATAGCTTGTTGTGCTCTTTCAGCATGTTCACGATCATTGAAAGAAACAAAAGCGAAACCCTTACAGAGGTTGGTATCACGGTCACGGGCCAAATAGACACGGGCAATGGAACCAAAGCGACTAAAGAGATCATAAATATCGTTATCAGTCACGTCTTCAGACAAGTTGGTCACACGAAGTGTAGCAGAATCATCTCGCTTTTGTTCAGAACGCATGGATTCACCACCACCATTATTAGCAGAAGCACCACCTGCCTTATTACGAAGGTGGGGAGGTGTGTATTTGGTAGGGCCACCTGTACTAGCAGGTGTTTCAGCAGGTGTATCTAAACCATCCAATTTGACAGCTTCAATAGTAGAAGCAATTTCATCCAAGGGTTGCATTGTATCCTTGTAAGGACATTTACTGGTAAAGTGTTCACCTTTACAGATACGACAAGCAATGTTCTTGGCCTTGGCTTGACTCTTAATCTTGTCCTTGGCTTCTTCTTCTGCCACGGCATCAGCAGTCTATCATAATAGACATCAATATTGACTCCATAAAGTGTTGGACTTACCTTGCCAGTAGTAGATCCCAGTTTTAAAGGAATGTTTTCACCAATAGTAGTTGTTGAAAGATCAGGTCCAGGTTTTTTACCTTGTTCTTCACCAAACTTTGCCCATTTTTTGCGTTCAGCAACAGCTTTGTTGACATGTTCAGTAACGAGTTTAGAACGGATTTTACGAGTCACCTGTGTGATCCATAAGTCTCATGCCAGTCATTTGTAAGGCTTACCTTGACTTTTTTGCCATCGTCATTTTCTCTGTATTCAATAATCACCTTGTTGCCATCTTCATCGGTGTATACTTGAGGTTGGAAGTTATCTAGAGATGGTTGTCAGTCATTCATGGTGTTTGATGGTATCTAACCTTCTTCATCCTCATATTCATCAGCCCAAGAAGCTTTTCCACTATATATATAGAGAATGAATGAGTTGATGGTTGTTATCTTTTGTTGTTACATACACAGTATCGACAGCCATTTTTTCTTAGTTAAAAGTAAAAAAAAGAAATCTTTTTTTTTAGGTGGCCCCCATTTTCAGAACAAGCCACATATAAACACAGCAAATGGTCTTTTGTTCACAACGTCACACCGGATTATGAATTTATCTCACTAGATAGGCTCTGTATGCTTATGTAAGGTATATCCCTTAACTCTTTCTTTCTTTACTGTAGCATGACGTTGCTTTTACACATCATTGGCTACACAAGAAAAGTGGTGATTGGCTTTCGCGTTACTTGCTTTTTTGCCTTTTTAAGCAATAGTGAGTGAAAATAGAACAAGGTCTCTTTTTTTTTATTATTTTTTGTTTTTCAATTGGTATTATTATGTCAAGTACCTCTTTATTCAAATGGATGGGACTAGTAAAGACCATATGCATGCATTATACAAAACTCATATACTATATAGGGACAACAGTCGGGCAAACCAGTCATGGGTGATGATGTTGTCGATGAAGGAGAACGTTATTTTGGCCTTGAGAACGTAAGTCATCTACACGTATATATACATATATATATATATATATATATAGTTAATAAAATGATTAGTTTGGCAACACTTGGTAACATGAATGATACTCGATGTTAGTCAACTTATCTCTCTCTCTCTCTCTCTCTTTAGCTATAGTAACTCTGTTGTTCAAGCATTGTATTTCTGTAAACCATTTCGAGAATGTGTCCTGAATTTTCCTCACCAGGCTACCATACCTATTCCACAACCTATCTTACCCAATTCGCCTTCTACTACTGCTTTTCATGGTGCTTATTTCTCAAATGGTATACCCAAGACGCATCACCTTAATCCTCCCATGCATGGTAATACAACACCCACCACTAGTACAACTACCATCACACCCACCACTGAAAAAGACCAAAACAATGTGAATGTAGCGCCTGGGATGGAAGATACCTTGTTTTCTTCTCTCAAAGATTTGTTTTGGAAGATATCGACCAACAAGAAGAAATCAGGCGTGATTGCACCTGTCAATTTCATTAACAAAGTCAAAAAAGAAAATGGTAAATGCACATAGACATAAAGATAGTTAACCCATAGTAGAATTGTTTCGTTCAAGTATGCATCAAGATGCTCATGAATTTCTGAATTATATCTTGAACACAATTGCTGAAGATGTACAGAAATATCAACAGAAACAAGCTGATGATGCAAGTATCCATAGTAACAGTAGTCAAGGTAACATGGCACTCATCTGGACAAAGCACTAATTCATACAGTCACTCATCCCAAGACAACATGGGTGCATCAGTTATTTGAGGGTGTCTTTTCAAACGAAACAAAATGTTTATCTTGTGAGACTGTAGGTAAAGGTGTGTGGTGTATGAAGCCATCTATTCACACTTGTTTTTTAGGTGACAAGTCGAGATGAATGCTTTATGGATTTATCGATTGATGTCGAGATGAATTCATCCATTACGTCTTGCCTTAGACAATTCTCTGCTAGTGAGACTTTGTGTCATAAAAACAAGTATTTCTGTGATGTTTGTTCTGGTCTCCAAGAAGCAGAAAGAAGGTAAAACAAGAATAATAAGCCCTATGGTTGACTCATATACCATAGAATGAAGATTAAAAAGTTGCCTAATATTCTAGCATTGCATCTAAAGAGATTTAAATACCAAGAGCAATTGCAGAAATATATCAAGTTAACTTATAGAGTTGTCTTTCCATTTGAATTAAGATTGTTCAATACAGTAAGTACCAATCGACAAGACATAGGAGCGGCTTATCTTGTACTAGAGTGATGATACAGAAGATGCGGATAGAATGTATGAATTATGGGGTATTGTTGTTCATATTGGAAGGTAAATACTGCTGTATAATACAGTCACTCATCTTCGTCTAGTGGTCCTCACCATGGTCATTATGTATCTATTATCAAAAGCAATGGCCAATGGATGTTGTTTGATGATGATATTGTCACTGTAAGTTGATAAGAGAGTCAATCGACAGATGATTCATACATGATTAGCAAATACAAGAAGAAGATATCCATAAATATTTTAGTGATCTTCCAGGTAGTGGATCTGGTTATGTCTTATTCTATCAAGCAGTGAATTTGGATATGGATACTATCCAATTACCCACTGCTGAAGCACCTCCTCAAGGATTTGACTCTAATTTGTCTATTGTACCTAATGAATCCTTTGACTTAAAACCGCCCACTGTCAAAGAAGAGCCTGAGCCTATTCAGGAACAAGTGGTTGAAGAGAAAAAGACACGTTGGGGATTAGGTAGAAGAAAAAAATAAAATCAATAAAACATGAACTATGTTCTGAGTCTAAAACTGAGATGGAATTTGAGTAAGAAATCAGAGAGCAAAGAAAGCAATTCAAAAAGAGTGAATGTCATGTCAAGCCTAGGATTCCTTCTCTTTCATTTCGATCAACATGGTAAGCATATAAAACATCCAAGACTATGTAGAGTTGAATTGGATGGATGGATGAATAAATGGATGGATCAATGGATGGATAGCTAACGTGATCATTAGTCTAACAAGAAGGCTGCTCCCAAGGTTGTTGAAAAGGTCCAACTCGGTCCTCAAGTCCGTGAAGGTGAACTCGTTTTCGGTGTTGCCCACATCTTTGCTTCTTTCAACGATACCTTCGTCCACGTTACCGATCTCTCTGGTCGTGAAACCATCTCTCGTATCACTGGTGGTATGCAAGTCAAGGCTGATCGTGATGAATCTTCTCCTTATGCTGCCATGTTGGCTGCTCAACAAGTTGCTGCCAAGTGTAAGGAACTCGGTATCAACGCCCTCCACATTAAGCTCAGAGCTACTGGTGGTACTGGTACCAAGACTCCTGGTCCTGGTGGTCAAGCTGCTCTCCGTGCTCTTGCCCGTGCCGGTATGAGAATCGGTCGTATTGAAGATGTTACTCCCGTTCCTACTGATTCTACTCGTAGAAAGGGTGGTCGTCGTGGTCGTCGTCTCTAAATTTATTGTTATTTTACTATAAAGACCTTGTTTGTTTTTCAGTAGTTTATTATATATATATATATATATATATATATGTGTGTGTGTGTAAGAGGGGGGTAGATATTTACATGGTATTTATGATACAAAATTTAAGAAAACAGAGGCTCTAGTTTAAATACAGGGTGATGGTCTACTTTTATCAAATGTGAAGAAGATGCATAAATATTAAGGTGTGTTTGATTTGCTTCTTGAAGAGAACAAGGTAAATGTCGCATATTATCTCCCAAGATGATTTGTATTAGTTTGCCCTAATGTGTTTTTGTTTAAAATGACTCTGTATGTCATGACTTACTGTTTCAACATGTCGAACTTCAATAAAATTGGCATCAAATCCAATCACATAAGGATAATAATACGCTACTGTCTGAGGAATACCTTCCCATTCCATCCTAAAGGAAGACATTAGGAACAAAGACTATTTCTTCAGTTTACCTTTCATATTGATCCCTGACAAGATCACCATGCGAATCAATCAGAAATGCAAATTTATCATAACACATCAAGAACTTCTCATTAAATCGAAATAAGCCCAAAGGACATGCTTCTGCCATGATAACAAATCCAAATTCACGCTTCTGTAAATCAGGCAAATGGTGTCCTACTTGACTAAGGTCCTCTAGATCCAATACTTCAAGACCACGACGACATGTAATCAGTAATTTGGTCTTTAAAAAGTGCACAGCCGTTGCTTCTGTACCAACATAGAACTCCTATAGATGAAAGATTAGCAATAAAACTTATAGGATGCATTTGTTACTTTATAGAGTTTGAACCATGCAGGTGGTTTACTGATGAATGAAGTCTTGGTAACAAGATATTTTGCGTTCTTCTTGTCCATTAGATCACCACAGACAGGCTCATAGGCTTTGAATTGACTATCTGATCCCTTTTTTCGCATGGTAATAACAAGTGTTCTTCCATTATTTGTGCCTGTATGAAAGAAAGAAACGTGGTTGGACACAACTCGATAACTGTATTTCGTAGTGAGATGCTTGGCTGAGGAAGGATGAAGGACATGTGTAAGATTGAATGGATCCAACTGAGCCAAATAATAAGCTGTCAATACTTTATCTATAGGAAGAAGGTATCAGTGCAACCATAAAAGGTGCTTTAATTTACCTGCAAGTACCAAAAGTACATTGTGTGCCTGAAGAACACCAATTTGTGTTACATCAGGTATCATCAATACTTGTTTCAAACGATGCGGATCCCCTTCTTTTCCTATCCAAATACCTTGCTGTGTACCAATCACAATCATGTTGGTTCCTCCTTTTGCACTCACTAAGTTATAGTTAAACTACGAAGCTTTCGTATCGGCCATTACTTACAAAAAGATGCAGCACACGTTGCTTTAACAGAGGGTGTGTCACTGATAGGCATGACTCTAAAGACATGATGACTCTGATCTTTTGCAAGCCATCGTTGCTGTGTTATTGTGATTTTCTCTTTCCATACACTTGGGTTATCTGTATAAACTACATATTCACCTCCATGCTTGCCAAAATGGCGTATCAATAACGAAGAACGATGTATGGCTGGATCTGTGCTTGGCATGGACCTCGAACTGTTGGTTCGAAATGTGCTCAGGATAAAGTTTTCTGAGACATGATTCACAGCCAACAAGGCAAGAGGTATGGGTGCTTTCGAGATAACGTACGCTTCAATATGGTCTGTTTCCAAAGACCGTTTTGGTTTTGTCATCAACAGTAAATGATCAAACAAGAACACATAGAGCTCAACCCATTCCAGATGAGACCTACGCTTCATGATACCTTCATAAATCAACTGTCGCCCGTCTAAATCGAGGTCCATGACAGGTCTTCCTGGCTTAAAGCGTATTTGATCTTTGATCTGATGGACACGTAGTACACCTTTGGCTTCCAGTGTCAGTACATCCATACGTATGGCGACTTGTTTGATCGTGTCAATACATTGTGTCAATTGGTGCTTCTGACTGTCCACAGAAGTACGTTTCAAGATAGCACTCAACAAAAGTGGGTATCGCTGTAACCGAGTGATAGGCAAGATCATAAAATGACGAAAGGGCAGTTTTCTTGTTTCTGCTTGCTTTTCTTTTTCTCGAACAAAGTTTTGAAACAACATGTTGTGTGTCATTTCTTTTTTCACAGTGTATTCTGCCAGTACAAAATGAGGACCATAGGTTGTATATATCTTCATGAAACGATCTACATAGCTCAACATAATCGTGCTAATGTCGTCCACAAAACCAGTGTCTGGTAAACTAGCAAGTTGGTGGTCTCGAAGTTCGCGATACATGATGCGATGAAGATGCATGATGTCTGAGTAGTTTCCAAACACAGACTGACAAAATGAATGGCGTATTTCAGGCTCGATGCATTGTGCAGTCAACAATGGTTTGGCAAACAACTATAGCCTATCAATAACCTAATATAGTTTGTATATTTTACCTCATCTAACAAGTTCAAGTCTCGTACATAATCTTCTTCTGTATAGATCAACTCAAAAATGGCTTCTTGTCGTTTGGCTTCTTTAGGGGATGTCTTTTGAAGAATTTCGCGAGGTATTGTATTTGACCAACATCTTGAAGAAAACTAAAACAGTGTCAATTCAGTCGACTTGAGCGTATATGTCAAGCATTACCGTATCTTGTGACGATGCAACTGAAGAAGTCAGTGAAAGATTACGATGAAGCTCTTTCTATCCTAGTATAAGCCATCATTTTATTTGCGCATCACTTACATGGATGATGGTAGATTGGCTGAGCACAGGTCTTTTGTTTGGACAAGTAGGGGCATAGCATTCAAGTGTGTTTCCCCTTGTACAAAGTGGTGAATAACAGTGTGTCAACTGAGTAAATAAGCCTTGTGGATACTGTCTCGTATCATAATACACATATTCTTCACATAAAGTATATGCTTCTTTATCCGAATCGTACAGGGTGTTTGTTTTTAATGATTTGTCTGAATAAGTTACAGGATAAAATAAGGGTGGTACAGACGAATGCATAATCGACCGAGCCATTCTTTTGTATTCCTTTCTAGACCAATCATACCCTACAATATCAGAAAGGACACCCTTGTGACGCTATGTTATTTGTGGATAATAAGCTTTGTTACTTACCACTGCTTCTTGACCGGTAAAACCATAGGGATATTCAGTTGAGCAGAAAATATTGCGTGTCTGAACTAATTGAAGTATTTTCTGTACAAAGCAACGGGTTATTTCAGACATAAAAGCACTTTTGATATCGGATCCTAAAGAAGGGCGAGTGCTGCTTGTACTGCTTGTGAGTGTTGTTAGACTCGTACTTTTAGACATGGCAGAGTAGTCTTCTTGTCTCTTGATAGGGGTTGTTGGCTATAGGATAAGTGCTTAGCATCTATTTTAATATAGATACACGTACAGTAGTATCCTTTTGGTCCAGTTCTTGAATATATAAATCAAGGTCATGACATAAAGCATCTAGACCAGGAAAGCTTTCATCGATAGCAGCTTTTTTAAGTGAAGACATATAAAAGATAATAGAAAAGAAAAAAAGAAAGAAAAAAACTTACTTTAAATAGTACTTTTCATACGCCACTTTAAATCAAACTCAGCTAGACACCATAGCCTATCAACCCACAGGAGGCTGGGTTCTTTAAGAAAAAAGACAATACATGCTTCTTTGCTTGGATTGATAGGCATTCTCAGAAATGGTGTTGAGGACAAAGATTTTCTTATCTTGAGCTTTATTACTCAATTTGCTGCATTTACAGAAATGTATTGAAAAAATAGATGTTTTCTTGTTTTAGATTCCTTTGTTCAAAAAGCAAGCTCAAAAGTTATACTCTTCAAATCAGAGTTGCCTAACAAATTGACTCGCTTAAACAATCTCTATGGCCCGGAAAAGTAACTTTGTAAAAGATAGCATATAAGCAATGGTTTTATTTTATTGCGGCTCGGAAGCGTAATGTAATTTTTTGGTAAAAGTGCACAAGCAGTGGTTATAGTTCTTGCGCGGATCGAATATGCTTTGATGTCAAAAATTAGAAAAAAGCAACAAGTGAATCAAACACAGCTCAATCTACCAATTTATTCATAGAAATATATTCCTTGGTACTACTTAATATGCAAAAAAAAAAAACAACTTCATAGTAGAACTGACAAGAAAGTAATACCAAAATTATTTGTCTGAATCTTTTTATGCAATCAGGGCAATAACCACTATGAAATTGATTGGCTAAGCCACTCAGCTCCAATTTCGTTATTTTTTTAAATACCTTAGAAGAGATCTTTTATCCGTTATCTTTTTTTTTAATGCTCTTTCAAAGGTAGGTTCATAATGTTTAAAAGACTTGTACGCTTATTTTGTCTACTCAATAGATATGGAAGAATGGTGTCTTCTACCGGTGTAGTTATGTCTGTTCAGTGCTTTGCTTCTTCAGCGCTGTTCAGATATACTGAAACTTGTGTAATCAAAAACTATGCATAATAGCTGATTGGTTGCAAACAAGGTATACTGCTGGTTCAAGACTCTCTCTCTCTCTCTCTCTCTCTCTCTCTCTCTCTCTGGTTATACCCTGACCCTGTTTTGGTTGGTGAGCAAGATTCGCTCCACTCAAGCCAGTCTCCTAGATGTCTGCAGGGCGTTTGATCAAGTGGTATAGAACTTTTAAAGCTTTTCCCCCAAGCTCTAGCTCTCTTTGGTATATGAAGGACATTCATTCAAGGCTTGGTAATTTTTTGTAGTGTATTTTACTTTTTTGCATCTTCTTGTTTCTGTTTGGCAGTCTGATCAGCTCTTATTCAGACAAGAAGAGGATCTGAAAAAGCTTAATTACTCTGATCACACTATATGCGTATTGTGTATGTTCCTCTTCTTTGTTGTTGTCTTTGCATAATAAATTATGTGCGTAATCCACCTATATAACAGCTCAACCACTCAAGTTTATTGCTTTATTACTGTCTTTCATCTTCAGTATGAGTTGATCAGGGCTCATCTCACCTGCCAAACTATGGTGATGTTGTCTTCGATATGCTATATTGTCACGCTTTGCTTTTGCATACTTGCTGTCTAACTACTAGTCTCTCTATCTCTACAACCCTCTTCCTGTCAATTTGATCAAGGCCTGATTGCGGTTTGTAGCTATTGGTAAAGAGAAAGCAGAGAGTACCCCTAGCAGGCAAGGCAAAAAGAAAATCGACGTTTAAAATATCGAATCCTCCTTGCATGACATTTCTCATTTGACATATCCAAAACTGCTCTTTTTGGCCTTAAAAGTGCCAAGTAGTATAATATGCATTACTCGCACATAATCTTCACATCAAATGGTGTACAAATAAGTGCCTACTTACTAATCAATATCAGCTGAAAAGAGCTTCTTTTCTACTAATTACAGTGTATCGCAACCTTTGAATGCAGATTTGAAGGTGTTGCTCAAATTAAGTAGTCCTTTTCATCTTAGTAAACTCCCTTTCTTTTTATCAGAAGTATCTGATAATGGCCTTATCTGACTTCAATTGGATCAGACCTACATTGGCTTATTCCAAAAATTCCTGATCGAGTTTTTTTTTTTTTTAATCTTCACAGACCTCTATGGATCCCCCATGGGTCAAGAAATGAACTTCAATTGCTGGACTTCAAAGAACATGTTTTAAATGAAAAAATGGACAGTTTTGATAATGTAGTTGTCGAGTAATGGCCCATTAAAGATTGGTCCATTAAAGATTGGTCCATTTAAGCAGTGCCTTGACCATTTTTGCATTAGATGTCATACAAAATGTGTTTGCGATGGACTTTGAATAGATTTCATATACTATTTAGAGTACCAAATAATATAAAGAAGTCGAGATATAGGCATTCTATAATGTAAATGTGAGTTAAATGAACATAGGACATGCAGTGTGGCTGTGTGCGGATATTGAAATGAACCTTTGTTTAGATCTTCCTTCACCTGCCCACAAATTGTAGCTGACACTTATGAAAAACCTATTCTTATATATAACTACATTGAGAGAATGCTTAAAACAGATGAAAATAAGAATTCATTATAAATCTCAAATTTACTTTATTTTAATCAGCTTAGAGCTCGTCAATACTGATCGCCCCATCACACTCCTTTGCGCCTCTTCTTACTTCTATTATGTTGAATTCAGCCGAACCTCAATGGAAAAACTTAGAAAATCCAACACACTGATACTCAATATGGATCATAAACGCCTGAGAGCCTCGTTCATTAGCTTATACAGCTCAAATGACTATTTAATTATGTTCTAGTCTATGTTTGTAATGAAAACCTATGAAAACTTTTAATAAATCATAGCGAACACTCTGTCTTCCATCTGGGGAAGATTCCTTCCATTGAATGAGTTCTTCTTTCATCGGTTGTGCTGCAGTGTGAGGTATCTATCTCCCAAATTCCTATTGACCATATTGCTTAAGGTATCATTTTGGGTAAGAGTTCGGTACTTGTGAGCAGCAGAAGTATGTTTTGTAGCTGTGATAGATTGGTGGGTAAAATACAAATGCGAAAAACGCTTTTAAAATGTCTTGAAGTTTACCTGCGTTTCTTTTTAAAACTAGCATTTAAAGATCGTCTTGGTCATTCATGCGCTTTTGTTCAAGTGATTGTGGTTAAAAGATTTGAAGCATTTTTTGAAAAAAACCAAAAAGGGTTATCTTTTAAACCAATGTACAGCCTTACCTGAGTCTAATAACATAGTCTGTTGGGACCAAACTGTTACTAAAACAAAGCATAATAATGAGACAAGTAGTTAAGCTGAAATGACCAAAACTGCTGCAGATAGCTTTTGATTATGAGGTAGTTTAATAAACATGCATTTTTTCATATCTTTCCCAAAAAAAGAAAAAAATTCTAGAGATATTGTAAAATACACAAGCATAAGATTTTGCATAAAATAAGTGAGTTGGGACTTCTAAGCGCGGTGAAAACCTTTTAAAAAACTATTTCTCAATCAAGTAAATCGGCCCAATCATATATGATATTTTGCTTGTGAAAATATACTACGTGCAACAATGGATCTCATATTTGATCTATCAGATTTGTATGAGAAGATAAACTAAAGGTGCTTGAATTCTTTTTTGTTTATTTGTTTATGTTCAAAGTAACACGAATATCAAGGAGGCACTTGTCACTTTGTCCTAAAAAGAAGGAAATGAGACAAACAAATAAAAGTTCCTCTTTTCTCTCTTTTAGGTCTCTCTTGTGAAGCAGTAAAATGATCTTAAGAAACTTTTTGTTTGGATTGTTTGTTCTTCATTTTATTCTGAAAGTATGGGCATCACCAAAATTTAATACAGGTAAACAAGATCCATTGACACTGTCATTAATTTTTTTATGTATATAGTGAATGGCCTTGATGTGGACGGAAACAAATGTCCATTGCCTACCTATTATTCATATCCTTGTCCTGAACTTTGTGTGCGTGATATTCGCCAATGTCCACCAGATAATCAACCACCACCATGTCCTGACGGCACCACTTACTGTGTAGATGGCCAATGTCGAGAGAAGTGTGATGCATCGCTTGTATCTGCATGTGCATGTCCTGGCGCCCCTGTTTTGGTCGGAGACATCTATTCTTGCGGTACCCACCACCTCCGTACCAACATTGAAAACTTTGTAGTTGAAAACAAGGCGAATCAAAGTGCAGAAACATGTGCTAAAGCAGCTAATTTGACGGGTATTCCCAGCTGGTCTCCTAATCCAGTCTCTTCCATGTGGCATGAATGTCCCACCCCGGATTATGGTGTACTCACATTTACAGAACCTGTGTTTATTGCTCTTTATGTGTTTTATGGGTCTTGTTTTGCTTTGATCATCTTGTGGACTTTGTATAAACACTCTAGAGAGAAGGTAAAATAAATGATTTTGAAACTTTGTATTAAGTTTAGGACTTATAGTTTATCAAGGGGCATTTCAATAGAGTCAAGGAATACTGTTCAGAAGAATACAACATGCCAAAAGAAAAGATGTCTAAACAAGATATCGAATTTTGTGAGGATAGTACCAATGATAAACTTTCTTCTGTGGAGAGCGATAAAATGACCGTTTACACTTACAAATCAGATGTACTGGGTACAATGGCTGCTTATGTATTTTTTGCTCAGACTCTAGGGCAAGTGGCCTATATGATTTTGATGACTCAAGACTATTACACAAATTTTGCTTTATTTCGAGGCTACAGTGTGGTCCAAACAAGCGCCTTTATGGGCATGTGGTACATCTTTTTTTTCTGGTTTACTGGCTTGACGCTATTCCGATTTAGGATTGCCAACTTTTTTAGGATCAGATCTACTTATGCAGAAGGCCAATATGTTCAAATTGAGACTCAAGAGCCTACCTTGATTCTGTTAGAAAGTCAACCAAATCGTCTGTTAGATATAGTCAGATACTTGGAAAAGACAGCCAAGCATTGGGTAGGATTGGATGTCGTGGTAACTATTGCACCCCTTAAGCTTACTTCCAGTGGTACAAAATATTTTGTTTATCAATGCACACGCTATGTCTATCATCCCGAAACAGAATTATTCTTGCCACACCAGTATCATGTAGGGGCAACACATGCACAGCTTGCCAGCTCAACTCAAGGTCTTACTTCAACCGAGGCCTCTTTAGCAGCAGAATTAATTGGGCCTAACTTTATTGAAGTTTATGTGCCTAATTTTATTGTGGCCCTTTTTCAGGAATTTTCTTCGTTTTTCTATATCTATCAATTTGTTATTCTATGGTTGTTTTATTACCTTGCTTATTGTAATATATACTTGATCATTCTGGTTCATATGCTTATCCTTTTTTTTCTCATATAGGGCAAGTGGGCATTGCTGATACAGCTGTTATTCTTGTCTCTGCTCTAGTCAAGGTTGTACTTCGTCTTCGTTCTGAAAAACGTATCAAGGCCATGGCAGAATTCGCAGATCGTGTTCGTATCTTGCGTGACGGTGAATGGAAAGACATGTCTACTGCTGATCTTTTGCCTCACGATGTATTTATCGTCTCGGAAGGCAAGACAACGCCTTGCGATGCTGTCATTTTAACAGGCCATATCGTCGCTGATGAAAGCTCACTTACAGGCGAACCTTTACCGATCCGTAAATTCCCTCTATGTCAAGACGACATGCAGACCATCTATGATCCATTAGGTAGTGGTAAAATATCGACTATTTTTGCAGGCACCACAATTTCTCAAGCACAAGCCACTACATCCGATGGATTGGTGACAGCGCTGGTGATGCATACAGGCACGGCGACAGATAAAGGCCAGCTTGTCAAAAAGATTTTGTTCCCGAGTCGAGTCTCTTTTATTTTTGATGAGCAAATTAAGGTTGTCATTCTTATTTTATTGTGCTGTGGATTAGTATGTTTAGGATTAGCTCTTTGGTTATATGCTGCAGGAACAAGTTCGGTTGTCATATTTATAAATTTGTTTAACTCACTTTTCTTATAGGTGCTTGGTTTTACTCCATGTTTGCTATTGCTCAACTTGTGTCCCCTTTGCTTCCAGCAGCACTAGTGGTTGGTCAATCTGTCACTGCTGGTCGGTTGAGAAAGAAGAATATATTTTGTGTTGACCTACCTCGTATTCTTATGGCAGGAAAAGGTGAGTTGAACCATCTCTGTACAAGACTTACATGTCCTTAGTTCAATTTTTTTGTTTTGACAAGACAGGCACATTAACCAAAGAAGGACTTGAGTTTTTTGGCACACAATCAGTCAAACAAACAGCATCGGTTGTTGAATTTGGTGACCATCAACACATCATACAAGGCATGCCTTATCTAATGCAACTAGGCCTGGCTACATGTCATGCTGTCACAGCGCTGAATGGTCAATACATTGGTAACCCTGTCGATATAGAAATGTTCAGATCCTCTCAATGGTCTTTAAGCCAACATTCAGATTATCTTGATACACTCATTTCACACAACAAGGCATCGATAGTTCATGTCATCAAAAGGTATGAATTTGTGCATGCACGTATGTCTATGTCTGTAGCCATTCTTGACCCATCGTCAAATAAAATCCATGTCTTTGTCAAGGGTGCTTATGAAAAAATCAAAGATATAGCTGATCCTCGCACAATGCCTAAGGATTATGATGTTGTGGCTTCCCATCTAGCAAGGCAAGGGTGCTATGTACTCGCTTTAGCTCATTATGAGATAAACGTCGATGACCTACCGGGTGGTATCAAGGCATGCCTTGAGTGGAAAAGAGATGATATGGAGCGACATGTTGCTTTCTTGGGGCTGGTGGTATTCAAGAACCAGTTAAAGCCAGATACAGCAGAGAACATTGCACAATTAAAACAAGGGGATACGCGTACTATCATGATTACAGGTGATACAGCTCTTACTGGTGTCTACATGGCTCGACAATGTGGCATGACACAGTCCATACGCTGTAGAGTCCTTTTAGGAGATTATGATGCGAATGTAAGACGTGTGGTATGGACAGATGTCGATGAACCCGAACTATTTCTAGATGTCAATGTCGATGAATACTTAATCAACAAGGCACATACGCCTATAGAACTTGCTGTCACAGGGAAAGCGTTTCAATGGCTCATAGAAGCGGGCACAATTCGAAACTATTTGTTGGACATTCGTGTCTTTGCTCGAATGACACCTGAGGGTAAAGTACATTGTGTTCAACTGCATATGGAACTAGGCATTACTGCCATGACAGGTGATGGTGGTAATGATTGTGGTGCCCTTCGTGCTGCTCATGTAGGTATTGCCATGTCTGAAGCAGAAGCATCAATTGTGTCTCCCTTCAGTACGAATGTGCGTAGTGTTCGTTCTTGTGTTGAGTTGATTCGTCAAGGCCGCTGTGCCCTTGCTACATCGATTACAGCCTATAAATACTTGATTTGTGAGTAGACTATAGACTCAAAACCATGGCTAACCATTGTCTGCTTTTAGTGTATGGTCAAGTCATGATGATGCTTAAGATCTTTACATTTTATCTCAATGTATCCCTCAGTGAAAACATCTGGATTGCTGTGGATGTGTTCATCACTGTTCTTTTAACTTGGGCTGTCTCGCAATCCAAACCAGCTCAACACCTTGAGCCTCAACGACCTACTGCCCGTTTATTGGGTCCAGAAACATTAGCTTCTGGTATAGGCTTAGTAGCTATTAACTGGATCTTTTTGACCAGTGCTTTTTCTATGCTTTATCAACAAGGTAAAAAAAAAAAAAAATGCGTATATAGCTTTGTTTAACAGCTTCCATAGAATGGTTTCGATGTCATGAATTTGATTCAAGAGCGGTTGATATGTCTAAATGGTGGTTACTGGCTGACAACTATGAAGGCGAATTACTTGCACTTGTCTGCCTTTTCCAGTTCATCAATAATGCAGCCGTGTTCAATTTTGGATACAAGTTTAGACAAAGCTTTTGGCGGAATTATGCCCTTGTATTTCTATGGGCATTGTATCTTGCTATTGCTTCTTATTGGACACTAGCAGATCCAAACGCATTTGGTTGTTTGGTAAAGACATTGAATGGATGATACAAAGGGGCTTATACTTATTGCGTAGTTTCGCTTCCAATGCGGTACAAGAGAAGTATTGGAACAAATGGGCTATACACCTCCCTCCGTTTTGATTGTGCCTTACAACACACCTCTTGGTCATAATGTCATGCCAAGCGAGTTTCGATGGAAACTATGGGGACTGATCCTAGGCAACATGGCAGCCGCTCTGGCTTATGAACGCCTTGTCGTCTTGGGACCTGTGCATCATTTTCTCGCTAGAAAGTTCCCCGTCAAGAGATTAAAAAAGACACTGTAAAACTTTATTTGTTTAAGGAAGACATGATTTATAATGATCATCATCAACAGTTGTATAACATTGACCATCTTGTAAGAGTAATTCAAGTGTGTTTCTTACTTCAGATTCAGTATGTAAACCCTTCAACTTGAAGCAGATTTGGTCCACAGTGGCACCATCAGGACTGTCTTCAAATGACTTGATAGCACTGTTAACGCGGGATTGAATGTCTTCAGTCTTTGTGGGATGATCAATACTCATAGGATCAGACTAATCATGATTGAGTATACATATCAAACAAAAAAAGAAGACTTACCTTTGAAGGCTTAGAAAAGATCAAATGGGCACGGATAGCATCAAGAAAGTGGAAAGTGATTTCATTATAGTCAGTAATAGGACGAATAGCATGTGCAACTACAGTGGTTCGATTACTGAAGCTATTTAATCGACCATTGACATGAACATAGGTATCCACCCTATATATATATAAAACACTTGAATAAAACAATGACAACACTGACAACTTACATTAATTCTCTACGTGCATCTGCTTCTTCGGGTGTTTCGTTTTGTTCAATCCATTTTCTAACATCAACAGCACCTGTTCCATCTTCAATTGTATATACATAATTGGTTGCCAATTCTTGAATGTTACGAATAACGCCAATAAAACTGATCTAACTCATCAGTATGGATCAGTCAACACAAACTTACTTGAGTCACATCAGCATTATCAATACGGAAAACAGTTTCTTGAGGACTTTCGGCAGACTTAATTTGCTTGACAGTCAAGGGTCGTAGTGTTTGTTCACCCATAGGTTTCTATCGTGATCCGCAGTTCAGCAATGACAACAAAATAAAATAATCACTTACTTTAGCATAGCCACTGGTAGTATTAGAGCCATCAAAAGAGGACTCCATATAACCTCCAGAATTGGATGAGTAGTTCATGGTATGTAGTTGGAGAAATAAAAAGAGAAAAAAAACAAACGCGCTTTGGATTGAACATCAAACGCGTTTTTTTTTTATGGCTGGTGGAGATTCAATTTCTCGCTGCAACCACCCCTTTTATTTACAGATCATTCAACACTCGCTCTAATCAAGCCAATCAAAATAAAGAACGTCTCTCACTCCAAAAATCACCTATTTAAACGTTGCTTTACTCCTTTTTTATTTATTTATTTATTTTTACTTTAACAAACATGGAGTCAAAAAGCAATGAAGACCTTGGTTTGTATATTGCTTATGGTACCATCATTACCATGGCAGTATTACCCATCTATTCAGGTTCACTTGCTTCTATCAAAGGCATGAAAAGACCTGCCAATGCATCCAAAGCCAAAAAGTCAGACAATCCTCTTGACGATTCCGAAGATGAAGACGAATCTGTTTTGGAAAGTTTGACGAGTGGAGACGCGTACATGTTTCCTATCATTGGTTCTTGCGTCTTGTTTGGTATGTATCTCGCTTTTCGTTACCTGGACAAGGCTTATATCAATTACATCTTGACCATCTATTTTGCTTTTATGGGCTGTGCTGCTGTCACTAAATCACTCTTGATGGTGGCTAGAAAGGTTGTTCCTAGAGCTATTCTAAAGCATGTTGCTAAATACAAGGTGACTTTATCCAAGCGATCTAAGAGTAAGTAACCAATCCCCCGAGATTATAACTTACACATATCATAGATATTTCGCACATTAGTTTTACTGTGATTCATGGTCTTTTGATCTTGGCTTCTATTGGACTGACCGTCTATTACAGCTATACCAAGAACTGGATTGCTTCTAATATCTTTGGTCTTTCTTTCTCTGTGAATGCTATTCAGTTACTCTCTTTGGATTCATTTAAGACAGGTATCATCTTACTTAGTGGCTTGTTCTTTTATGATATCTTTTGGGTCTTTTATACACCTGTCATGGTCTCTGTGGCTACCAATTTCGATGCCCCCATCAAACTTTTGTGGCCCCGTAACATCATTGACTTTGTGCTCCAAAACAACGACCAAGCTCGATTCACCATGCTTGGGTTAGGTGATATTGTGATTCCCGGTATTTTTGTAGCTCTCTGTCTTCGTTTTGATCGCCACATGTCATGGAAACGTAACCCTGCTGGTCAATTCAGATCCACTCGGTTCCCCAAGCCTTATTTTACAGCCAATTTGATTGCTTATGTGTTTGGGTTGGGATTGACCATGGTTGTCATGCATTTCTTTAAAGCTGCTCAACCTGCTTTGTTGTATTTGAGTCCTGCTTGTATCTTGTCTGCTTTAGGTACTGCTGTTGTACGTGGTGAACTTTCAGAATTCTTTGGTTATACTACTGAAGAACCCAAAAAAGAAGAAGAAGAAAAAGAAAAGAAAAATAAGCGTGCTGTAGAAGAAATTGAATTGGATACCAAACAAGAAGTAGAAGAAGCAGAAGAAGAAGGAAGTATTGAAATTGAAGAGATTGAATTGGATGAAGAAGAAGAAGAAGAGGAAGAAGAAGGTGAAATTAGACCTCAAGCTAAGACAACTGGTAGTAAAAAGAACAATACCAGTGGCAAGAAGAGAAAGAATAAGAAATAGACAGTCATTTTCTTGTAAATAGATATATAAAATCATTTCGCATGTTTATTATTGAATGCACAAATATAGTAAATTTACTTTTTTTGTTTTGTGTATTCATATTCGACCATAGGTTCTTTTTGGTACCAAATTTCGTATTTCCTATTCCAAGCAGGACTTGAGAAATCATACAGCCTAAAACACACAAGCTATTGTTGAGATGAACAATATCAAAAAAGACTACCTTGGTCTATCAAATGTTTGTTTATCAGCAGGTTTTTTATTATCGGGATCAGCTCTAGGATTCCAAAAAGTAGCCTTGTTTTTATTTTTGTCAGACATAATAATAATGAAAGAAAGAAAAAAAAGAAAAAGAAAACGAGAGTGGTATTAATGAGAAGGAACAAGAAATCCAACCATACATTTTTCCATTAGATAATCAATATTCACCCATGAATGTGTAAGCACTATAGAGTCAATCATTATTATTATTTTTTGTAAGTTACTTACTAAATAGCTTAGTACCATCTTTACCAGCACAACGCATTAGATCCCTCACACCTCCAGGATGAAATTTAAGATAAGGTGTTAGGTTATATACTTTGCCTTGAATAGCAGTCCATGCATCTTCTTGTGTTCTATGTTGTCTCACTTCTTCTAATGTATATCTACCCAATTGAGGCACGCCCTATACATATTAATATTTCACTCTTTATTATGATACATACCCTCAAGTCTTGACCCGAATTACACAACTTGGCCCAATCAAGAGGTGAATGACCTGGTTCTAATCTGACCTTTTCTCTATTGCGAGGCTGTTTCGTAGCTGCTGCTACTAATCGTTGAGGACCATTTCGAGATGGAAACTCAGGTACATTCATAGTTTGATCTATGTCTGTCAATCAACATATTCTATACAAGATGGATCTTACTGTCAGGATCAACCAGATTCATTTGAGGATTCATAGTCTATATAAAAATATATATATATATAAAAAAGAAAGAAATTTATTAAATTAAGAAGAATAAGTACTCCAATCAATAGACGGTTTATCCGTCAATCCGAGACAGAGTTCCAAATGAGTACATGTAGGTCTTCGAATCACGCTACGAATGGCTTGATCCAGCGGATAGAATTTATCCGCATCTGATATCACAATACGTTTACCTGGAGGAGGAGAACCTGTCATATCAATCTCTGCTAATAGATCACGAAAAGTAAAGGTATCTGTAATAGCCAAATTACGAAAATAATACGTATCAGGGGAACTGGAGGGACGAAGAGAGACTGTTTCAACAACCATAGGTGAAATATCCATAGGCTCAGCTGTAATAGGTGTAATCATGCTCTTGGTGGCTGTTGGACGAGGAGGGGATTCTGCCATAGGGTAGTTTTGTACAACAGGTGGAGTACGGTGATGCAGTGGAGGTAATTGAGATGGCATAGGCTGAAATTCTTGAATCGAATGATTTGGGGTAAATACATGGGGTTGCATAAACATATTCTCTTGACGTGAACCATAAAGAGGTGTAGATATACTTGAATGTGGCCTGATAGAAGAAGGCTCCATCTTGGGCGGCGATTTATGTGGTTTATATGTCCTTTTTCGTTTATTGGATGTAGAGTGTGACATGCGAGAGAAATCAGGCATCTCTTGCATACGCATCATCTGTGGCTGTAAACTAGAAATCTCACGTACTTTGGCTGCTAATCCACCTGAACCCAAAGCATGGTTGAGTGGATATGGATAATGCATTTCGTTTGAGTCAGCAGGTGAAGGAGGTGCTAGGTTCTGGCTGCGTTCATGTCGCTTCTTGGCTCGATAGAGTGTGCTTGAATGTGCTTTACAGAGTGATACTTCTTGTAGGTCACGTAAACCAACCACATTATCATTTTCATCTTTGTACATGGTGTGTGCATTCTCATTCAGCCATTTTATTGAGAATTTAAAATCTTCTGGATCCTCACGGTGAAGCTTTTTAGCGCGTGAATCCAATCCACCTTCAGGCAAATTTTTACCTCTTCTGGGCTGTACTTCTTGACAAGTACAGTCAATACCATAATACTATACGTTGTTAGTCACCCTACAAACAATAACAATCGATAGCTTACTTTGGAACAAGTAAAACAAACACTACAGACAATACACGCATTCTATACACAATGAGTCACTTTGATTTCATTGAATAGACTTACTTTGCGAATACTTAGGTAACGAGGGTAACTCAGATGATGATTGTTTCTTTGTACATGATGACTTGCTTCTGCTTCTCTTTCTTGAGATTCCACTGTATTTTGAACAGGAAGATCAGCGATCACTCTTGCAAATTGAAACAAGTTGTTTTCTGACATGTTGCCTTTATTGTTGTTTTCAGAAGGCAACAACAACAACAACAACCACCACCAAAAGAAAATAAAAACAAAAATAAAAATAATCAGAAAGAGAGCAAGTAGGAGTTTGAATTAACTTTAAATCACTTGAAGAGGAGGAGGAGGATGGGCTTTTTTTTTTTATTATTAACTAGTATTAAGATAAAGGTTCCGTTGGTTTTTGACCACAAACAGCCCACATGTTGACTCTCCAGCCTGCTTGAGTTATTCCTTCTATGTATCGATCCACAATAGCAGGGAACATGTCGGTGTCTGCACTCATTCTATGAGCAAGCAATGGTTTTATTGATAACATGGCACTTTTCCAATTGCTTAGCATTTCTCGGGAAATAGGGTCTAATGGCAAACCTAAAACAAAAGTAAGTGTAAACATAGCTATGGATATATGACTTACCATAATTCAAGTATTTCGTATTGACTTCTATCACATCAAAATGAGCATGCGTCAAAAGATCAGGTAATTTAGGCGCAATATGTGCATCTTGTCCACTTTCTTCTAAGGCCTTAATGACTATCAATCCTAGAATAAGTCCTTATGTTATCAAATGATAATTTGCTTACGTTCTTGATTAAATGCTTCTACAACAGGGTTGCTTGATTTTTCCTAGTAATCATATTAGAATGACATAAAGTAAATTACAACTTACTGTAAAATCCGACTCCACGAGTTCAACAAGTCCGCCTGGTTTAAGTACCCGATAGATTTCGTTTATAACAAAAGGCCAGTCATTTTTACCGAAGGCCGAAATCAATAGTCGCATATGAACATAGTCAAATGTGTTATCAGGATAAGGTAGTCCCTTGACTGCATTATAGAGTTCAAATTCTACATTTTCAGGTCGAATCGTCGTAGGAAACATATCTGCTATATCTGAGCCTATGACTTTAAATTGTGGATGATCAACTGCCATTTCCTAATAATAATTCAATTACGCTTGCACAACAGACCATGCTTACCATCACCCAACTACCGGACCCACAACCAATATCAAGCACTTTTGCTTCAGCTGGTATCAGCTTCTTTACAGAAGGTAAAACATTACTATATATTGCATTTCTTGTTTAACTATCAACCTAAATCGTTTTGACTTACCCTTCATAGAATGCTTTTAATGAGAAATGTTGCTAAAAAAAAAAGTAAACACAAAAATGCTTGGATAATGTTGATAGTTACAGAATTGAGTCGGTCTTGTTCTATTTCATCTCGAGGTAACATGTAGACACCTGAGATTTCATCATGATAATAGTGTCTACCTTCAATGGTAATAGAAGCAGTGGATCGAGATGTTGAAGTGACCGTCTGTTGCTGTTGCTGTTGCTGTTGCTGTTGTTGTTGTTGTTGTTGTTGATGTACACTTTCTCTTCGATAGTGTCCATTCATCATCATATGTTGCCTTGAATGCTTGGCTCCCATTTTTCTTAGCAATAATTTATGAATCTTGGGCAACACTATGTTTAAAGAGAAAGGGAAGGAAAGAAAAAGAAAAAAGACCACCCCCCGTGTGAGTAAGATATTATTACTATTAACTTGGTAACACGTTGTGCAAGAGTTGCATTTGTTTGACACTATATGTATGTATTTGAGCGGGACATGATTACTTCATAAAAATTCGGGGTTTAACACACAAAGTCATTGTTGTGTGACAGGAGACAGAAAGAGAGAAAGAGAAAGAGAAAGAAAAGAAAAAGAAGAAAAGAAAGATGTAGTGTGACGGAATAATAAGGGTTCTTGGTTCTCTTGTTTTGAGGACTTGTTTTAAAAGTTACACTTGTTGCCCTGATTTGACATGTTTGTGTACAAGTCATATAGTACTCGTGGTCTTATAATAAACTATATAGGTGTCACAATCAGTGTTTATTCGAAAATAATAAGCATATTGTTTACTTGTAAGCATATTTAAACAAGAGATATCAGTCTGTGTTTAGTTTTTATTCTTGCAATATTGTCATGATTTACTACTGTAGGCGTCTAGGTATGGACCAGTCGGCTGTTTGATCCGATGGTAAGGTCTAGGATGGATGAGTTATCTTGGAGTTTTTTTTTTTCAGCCTATCTGCATCACTTGAAGAGAATAAGAAAAAAATCCTAGCTTCATCAATGAAAATAAATTCTTTTGCAGCATATGTATAATCCCTTTTTATTCTTCTTTTGTTGGCTTGTGAAACTTTATATTTGACGCAGATCAGTCTTTAACCACTAGTATAACATCACAAACAAATTTCTTAAGTTCTTCGCCCACTCTTTATAGCTGAGTTTTATTTATAGGTTCAACTTTCTGTATGACAAGACCTGCAACTGACTGATTTGTTTTTCCCTTCCCCCCTCTCCTCCTTTTCTTATAAAAAAAAAGATCATTCAGAAACATACAGAATCTGTTATTTAAATGGATTTGGATGTTATCAAAGTAAGCTATGTCAATTTTTGTACATTCGTACAATGCTATCTGCTAAGCATTTGATAGCTTAGGTGAAGTATAGTTAGCATCCTTACAATAAGAAGAGTTCTTATGTTTTCCTATCCATTGCCTATTAGTTTTGACGGAACCATGGCGTCTTGGGTTTGTTGTTACACTGTCATCACGAGTGTGTCTGAGTACAAGAGATAAGAATGGTTTCATAAAGACACACCCGTTGACAAAATTTGCTAAATCAAAATCAACTTTTGCTGACAACCCCTTTAAAAAAAATGTATTTTATAAAGCAAAAGATATGTTTAACCATCCTGTCAGTGAGATCCACCGTGTCTTGTCATAATCTAATGATCTTGTCATAGTCTAATGATCTTGTCATGGTTTAATGATCTTGTCGATAGCGTTGTTTCTTTTGTTAATTCACTTGTTTACATCAAAACTAGACTCAATCATGCTATATCTTGCATTCAGCTTGCGCTTCCTCTTTTTTCGAGGCTCTTTCTATACGTTTATTATCAATGTTTAAATTTGATGAATAAAGTAAACCATACTTATTTTCTTTTCTTTTTTTTTTAGCAATGAAAAGAGAATAGGCTGAGAGTCATTGCTAGCATCTTGTTGATATGCATTTTAGAAAGCAGTTATTGTTTGTAGAGCGAAAGATGCTTCATGTGGAGATAAACACTTTTATGCACAATGTACCTTTTTTGGTTTTGGTGTTACGTTTTTTATCCTTTTTCTTTTTTAGCTGTTAAAAAGACGCTTGCTTCCTAGAGAAAAGAAGTGTATTATCTTGATAAAACAATGGAGAAGATCAAGTAAAGTGTTTAGCATTATTCGCTTGTTTGTTAAAGAAAAAGAATCTCAAATGAAGGTCAAGTTCTCTTATAATTTAAATAATTGTCTTTTCTGTTTCATTTTTTATTTCAAAAAAAAATGTATCCCAATAATAAGTGAAAACAGGGTATATAAGACCAAAGAAAAAAAAAAGACTAGGGCTTTGGAATACGAAGTGTCTTTGAGATCATTAAAGTACCACTCAGCATGTACATAAGCACAAGAGGATGCATATCCCAATCACTTGTAATTTTGACCATACCTCCAGGCAAAGTGTCTAGATACTGATCATTCAAGACAAAGTAAGCAACAATACCCACCAATGATAAGGAAGTGGGGATCGGAGTTCCTTCAAAATGGTGTACCTTGCCAGTGGCATCCTTTGGAGCCAGGGCTACAGTAGCATTGTAGCGAGCAAGACGAGCAATACCACAACAAACAAAATAAGTCAATGCGATTGTATCGAGATAAGTACGCATACCAACTATGAGCAGAGAGTGTTAATCTATCATGCAGGGTATAAACAAGTATCTTTACCTGCATAGGCCAACGCAGCAGGTGCTAATCCAAAAGAAATCTGTAGATATATGTCAGTCATCATACTTTACCCTGATCTATGTACTTACCAAATCAGCCAAACTATCGAGTTCTTGCCCGAGTAATGATGAATTATTTCTCCAACGAGCAACACGTCCATCCATGAAATCAAAAAGCATACCAATAGGCATAAGATACATGGCTGTATACAAGTCTCGGATATCGTTTGAAGTCAAATAGCGCATTGAGCTCAATACTGATTGAACACCACAGACACCATTCATAAGTGTAATGATATCAGCCAAATAAAAATTGCTAAACACAATAAATACGCGTAGAAAATTTATGTTTACTTACCGAACCATAGAAAAGTGGCCATGTGTGGGCTTAGCCAAGTTGGCGTCAGCTTCATTTAACTTCTTTTCGATTTTTTCAGACATAAGTAAAGAAAGATAAAGAAAAAAAAAGCAAGAAAAAAAAAGTGCTCTCTTTAAACTCGAAGATGATGTAATGATTAAGGTTTTTTTTTTCTTTTTCTTTTTGAATGTCGGGTGTTTAAAAATACTTGTACCAAACAAGCTCAATCTTGGCAAGCAAACTGTATATATTACCTTTAAAGGGGTTTTATAAACTTGAATCATTCTAGATCAAGAGATCAATCATCACTGAGAATTGTGTTGAGTTGACAAAAAGGACTTTATTGTGTACCAGATGATGAAATGTAGCTAAATTAATATCGCTTAGTAAAGCTCAACTTCAAATCTGCAGGAGCAAAATTGAATGGCTTATCATAAACGACTTTATCATAATGAATAGAGTCTCGAGGAACATCAATCTCATATCGTTTCACTAATGTAGGATGAATTGGTCTGTAGAATAAAAAATATGTACTTACACAACATGACTAATACAACACGCTGTTCAGTCAAACTAAAGTTCATACCAATGCATTGTCTTGCTCCATTACTAAAGGGTAACCATGTCATGCCTGTATGGCTATCATATTCTCCACCTTGTTCAAATCTCTCAGGAATAAAGCGTTCTGGATCATGCCAATACTTGGGATTCATATGAATACTGACAATATCAACGGAAATGGGAATGCCTTTAGGAACCATGGTGCCTCCCAATTCAACATCTTCAGCTGTAACGCGGTTCAAGATACGATCTGCAGGACCACTTTTACGAAGATTCTCTTTGAGCACCATGTCAAGATAAGTCATCTTCTTCAAGTCTTCAAGTGTAGGAGTCACATCACAAGGATCGTCACCCAAGACATCAAGTATTTCTTGTCTTAATTTGGTTTGTATGTCCTATTACAACCGAGTTAGATTGGATTCATGTACACTATGCTATTTTTTTTTTTTTTACCTTGTTCTTGGCAAGATTATACAGGCAGAAAGTAAGTGTATGGGCAGTTGTATCATGGCCAGCTAAGAAGAACAAGGCGATATTTTCCTATGTCATATTAGCCATGGTTGATTATTTCTAACCAACTTACTCTTAATTCCTGACTGGTGGTTGTGACACCTTCCCGGAGTTCAGCTTCAATCATCAAGGTAAGCAAATCCTTTTCACTTTCAGGTAAATTTGATTTCTGACCATCATAGATCTCTTGTCTTCTTTTATCAGCCATGTTCACCAACATCTTATTAAACTTGATCACAGCATGATAGCTTTCTCTTTTCGAAGGCATGATGGTATACAAAATAAAATCAATTTTGGCAAACACATTGACCCATGGATTAAACAGACTTCGTATCACAACATTGTATGTCTTCGACCAGCCTTCAGGATCACCGGTCAATGATTGGAAATCAAAAGCTATCATGGAATGAGTCGTTATATAGGTATAAAAGAAAAAAAAACTCACCAAAACCAGCTAAGCCTAAAGCGTCCAGCGTGAAATTTTTCATGCGAATGGCGGCAGGAAAATCGTGTGGATTTTCATCAATAACAGCAAAAAGTCTTGGCATGACACTGGCAAATGTCTTGACGGGCATAGCACGGTGGAAAGCAGGGTTCATAAACTAGTGAATGTAAGTGATACAAGCACTGTACACAATTAAGTCTACCTTTCTTTGGCGTTTCCATGTATGTCCATTTGAAAGGGCTACATTGTCTTTCCCGAGGAACATCACAGCAGGACTGGAAGGCCCCAGTTTTTGAACAAATTCGTCCGATTTAGGGAACGTATCTACACTCGTATAAGTGATGATGGTTCTATATATGATTTCTTATACCTGATTTGAGCAAGAGTGTCTTAGCAATGTCTGCATCTGTAACGAACAAGGACCAGCTTAAAGGCATTTTACTCTAGAAGAAACCTTGTCAATCTATCTCTTCTTTATTTTTTTTTTCTGTACCGTATAGAACTTGTATCCTTGTTGAGTGATTGGAACCACAAGACGCTTATTTCGATCAAAGACAGACTCATTAACATAGAGGGATTTCAGCAACTTAAAATAACTGACTTTAGGGAATTGCCTAAGGTATTTGGGAACACGAAGTTGTGCATAAACTTCAGAAGCCAAAATACACAAGATGGCTGCTCCAATATAAGATACTTTGGATTGTCTCTTGAGTACAGGAAGAAGTCTTTCAGCTACTTGATGATAGACTTGCAATACGTTTTCAACAATCATAACTAAAAGGAAAAGAAAAAGAGTGAGAGAAAAAAATTGGAAACAAACCGATTTATATGCACTGGATGCTAGCAATAATAACCCTGTTTTGTATAATGCTTGAATCGTGCTGCGTCGTGATGCTGCGCCATCTGAATACTTCGATTCCCAATCAAGTTTCGGCTGATAAACCTATGAGCAACTTGGGCTCCTATCCGATATTTTGAGTCATCTATTTGTGTTTATGGAATGTACAGTTTATTTGTCGTAAGTTTTGGATATTTTTAAGAATGAAGCGCTTTATTTTTAGTAGCCGTGGTTCATGTTTTTTTTCAAGCCATAGTTCATGTAGATCTTTGTGATCGTAGTGCACTAATAATTTTTCGTTTCGTGCAATAAAAATTAATAAATCGTGCGGACTTAGAAAACAATTTCGAGCAAAAAAATTAAAGTCAATGGTGCAAAAGTAAAAAAATTCATGCAAGGTGCACGAAAATAATATGTTTATTAGATTGGCTTTCTGTTCAAACAATCATCAAACATAGACATAGAATGTCCACAGAACCCCTTCAAGTCGCTCAAAAGGACTTTGTTACAGGCGTCTGTTATTCTGGAGGTGAGTGTTTCCTCTTTCAAAAGTTTCTCTCTTTTGATCTTGCTCTTGCAAACAGCCCAAAATTCTTCAATAGGGTTAAGGGTTGGTGAATATGGAGGAAGGTAGACGCAGCCATATCCTCTGCTTTCTATATACTTTCTTATGTCTTGGTGCGTATGGATAGGCGCATTATCCATGACTATATAGCTATCCTTGAAGATCTCGTGACGATCCAAAATATCCAAGGTACTAGCAATAAAGTTGAAGTAATGGCCAGTCACTGTTCCTCCTTTGCCCTTGTTTGCGACAGTTGAGTTTTTTCCTGTCAACTTTCTTTTCTTTGCGGGCTCCGCTACCTTGGGCTGTTTGATCTTGATATTGACAACACCGTGAGCAGATATAGCACCAAGAATAGTCGTGGTCTTTGCTCTTGTCTTTGGGACTGTGACAATGGCAGGATCACCTTTTTTAGACCAACCATAAGAGCGCTTCAAGTTGATATGGAATGCAGATTCATCAATAAAAACGCAGTTGCTCATATAATCCATGTCAGTCTCTTCCCAGTGTTTCACCCATTGATATCTAGCTTCAATTTTCTCAGGAGAATTTTGCTCAACTGAATAAAGCTTTGCTCGCTTGAAGCTGATATTGCACTTTGTAGTGACAAACTCATACAAAGCAGTCTTTGAGATTTTCAGATCCTCAAAGCTACTCGTAAGACACTCCATCATCTCTTCCAAGACCATTTCAGGCCTTTCATCAATAGCTTCAATCAGACACTCCTTATGAGCATCATTGAGGATTGCAGGTCTTCCAAGCTTCCGCTTTCCATCTACACTCCTTTTCACAGCGACCTCACTGTCCTTTTCCAAGCTCGCCTCTCCTTGCTTAAATCACGTTTGTGCTGTCGTTGGTGGTATACCAAGCTGCTTAGCAGCACCTCGGACACTCATATTCTTTTCATACACCAAGTGAAAGAAGTTACTCTTGTCCTCAGGGTTGTACTTCCGATAGGCCTTCTTAGAAATCCCACCAACATCTCCCGCAATAGGGTTTGTGGTGTTGCTTTCAGTCTTCATAGCAACATCTTTGGCTGCTTTTTCAGGAGGCTTGAGATCAGTGTACATTGTGAAATCTGTAACATCTCCTAAGGGGTAAGCTTCATCATCCACTTCCATTGCAAACTCAAGATGCTCTTCTTCATTCTCATTCGTTAGGTTTCCGTTTTCATCTTCATAAACAAAGTTACTCACTTTCAACTACGTAAAATATAAAATTGCACTAAGTAAAAACTATTCCTGATCCAACTCTTTTTCTGCACCATTGACTAATTTTTTTGCTCGAAATTGTTTTCTAAATCCGCACGAAACGAAAAATTATTAGTGCACGAATACTTTCCGAAAATACTGTATATATACAGTGTTTCCAAGAAGTAATGTCGCAAACGTTGAAAAATTATATTGCAAAATATACAAAATGCGACATCTTGGCGCGACAACAATTTCTGGAAGAACTATATATACATATATGTATGCAAATTCGAATCTCAGCTATTGTTCGTTGTTCTTTCTTCTTTTGGTAGCCAATTAGATCCTTATTAGAAATAGACAATGTAAGTCATGTCTTAAAAACTAACAATAGGATGATATTCAATATGTCACTGTATTTAAGTTACAAAGTGGACACTTTATTCTTTTCTTATTGGATATTCATCAGACAAGAATACGGGTTATTATCTTGTGTGTCGTAATAGATCAACGTATGATTCAATAATAAGCATAGCGTTCTTTCCCTTTTCTTTTTCTGAGTAGTACATGAATCTTGTTTTCTAAAAAGAAAGCAGGCCCAAACTGAGCCAATCACAATAAAATTTGCGATCATGCTCTTGACATGGGCAACCTCAATAGACAGCTTATGAGATAATTTGCATTAGCTGAAATATATCTTATGAAATAAAACTATGCTAAATACATCATTTCTTATAAAAAAGAGTAAGATCCTTTTCTGTTTTCCTTATTCTTTGTTCTCGAGAAAGAGAAAAACGTACTCTTTTTATTATTATTGTTACTATGGCACAAGTAGAAGCAATTCCTCCTCCTCCTCCTCCTCCTCCTCCTCCTCCTTCTGATACTAATTTAAATGATCCTGAGCAAATACTGTCTGCTAAAGAGCGTCGTCGTTTAGCTTTAGCTGATGTAAAATAGACACATGAAATGACAATCATTGACATCTTCTATAGATTGATAATGCCAAGTTTGGCTGGTTTCATGTTCGAGCATGTATTGTGTCTGGTATTGGTTTCTTTACAGATGCTTATGATATCTTTGCCATCAACTTGGTCTCTATCATGATCGGTTACGTCTATTGGCCCAATGAAGGCAACAAAACCCCTCATGATGTCGATACAGCTATCAAAGTCTCTTGTTCTGTAGGCACTGTTGTTGGTCAACTCTTGTTTGGTTATTTGGCTGACCATGTAGGCCGTAAACGGATGTATGGTGTTGAATTGATGATTATCATCATTGGCACCATTGGACAAACATTAGCAGGCAATGCATTTGCTGCTTCCTTCTGGGCTGTTATTACTTTTTGGCGTATTTTGGTGGGCATTGGTATCGGTGGTGATTATCCTCTTTCTTCTGTCATTACTGCCGAATTTGCTACTACTCGACATCGTGGTGCTATGATGGCTGCTGTCTTTGCCATGCAAGGTAGAAAATAAAGCAAAATATAACTCTATATCTCATTGTATCTTTTTAGGTATTGGTCAAGTCACAGCAAGTCTAGTGGGTTTAATTACAACAGCAGCTTACAAGAGTGCTATCGAATCAGATCAACAATATCTTGACTATGTGTGGCGTATTGTGGTTGGTATTGGTGCCATTCCTGGTCTATGTGCTCTTTATTATCGCCTCACGATTCCTGAAACACCACGCTATACCATGGACATTGAAAACAAGTTTGAACAAGGCCTAACTGATGCTAAAGCCTTTATTTCTACTGGAGCCAGAGCAGGTGACTATCAGCCTGAATCCATAGAGACAAAACAAGAGATTCCGAAGGCTTCTTGGGCAGACTTCCGTCGTCATTTCAGTCAATGGCGATATGGCAAAGTATTGCTTGGTACTGCTTATTCTTGGTTTGCTCTTGATGTTGCTTGGTATGGCCTTGGTCTTAATAACTCGATTATTCTTCAGAATATTGGATTTTCAGGTGGTCCTGATGCTTACAAGTAAGTCAACTCTATCCATCTTAGTTTGCTTATTTGTTTTAGTGCTGTATTTAAGGCCTGTGTCGGTAATCTAATTATCAATTTGCTTGGATCTGTCCCAGGTTACTGGATTACTGTCTTTACAGTAGATAAAATAGGCCGTAAAACCATTCAAATCATGGGCTTCACAGTCTTGACTATCATGTTTATCATCCTTGGCTTTGGCTACCATGCAATTATCAATACTTCTGTGGCCTTATTCATTGTACTCTTTACCATCACGCAAATCTTTTTCAATTTTGGTCCTAATTCGACCACATTTATTGTTCCTGGCGAATGCTTCCCTACACGCTATCGATCCACAGCCCATGGTATTTCTGCTGCTTCTGGTAAAATAGGTGCTATTGTTGCCCAAGTTGGATTTGGACTCTTGAAAGATATTGGTGGTAGTAATGCATGGATTGATCATTTACTAGAGATCTTTGCGTTCTTTATGCTCACAGGTCTATTGTCTTCTTTCCTTATTCCAGAAACAAAGGGCAAGTCTCTAGAAGAACTAAGTGGTGATTATGATGAAGACATCAAGAAGGATACACTTTCCAAAAATGAGTCCTTTTAAGACAATCAAAGTAGTTATATATATATATATATATATATATGTGTGTGTGTGTGTGCTTTAATTTAGCATTCATTCAAATCTAATTAAGGAAACCAGTATGTAGGTTTTCTCTATTTAAAATAAACGCCGATCTTTACTTTTCTCTCTTTCTCTCTTTCTGTCTTTTTTTATGTATAAATCTCTTGACATGACATCAATACAATCCGATGCTCAAACAACCTCATCTAGACTTGGCTTGCCTAAAAAGGAGAATAATATCTCAGTCAAGGAAATCATTGAGAAATACTATACTCAAAATCCAGATTTATTGAAGCATGCATTGATGGCTAAAATAGAAGAAGATAGAGTAAGTAAAAGAAAGGATTGAATCATAGACTGACGCTTGATAGAAACAAGCAGCTAATGATAGACTCAAGACAGAACAAGCCCGAATTCAATTAAGACAATTAGACCTGAAATTGATACAAGAACAATCAAACCAACAAAGAAAATCACCCATGATGGTTCATCCTGTTCAATGGAAGCGTATTCTGCACCACCCACCTCTCTATCCTTCCCGCTCATTCCATCCTTACCCTCTCAAGCGAAATAAACAGATGGAAACAAAAATACCTCCCATGGATACCCAAAAGCCTATTTTACCCATGTTAGCACCTTGTTATTATCCCTCCAAACCTATATTACCACCCATTGATACCAGTTTAGGGTCGATTGATTGTATCACCTTGAACAAGAAAAAAAAAATAAATCAAATAAATTAGTCGCGTCATTTCTTTTTTAATTTATTTTATTCTTTACTACAAGATGCCTGGTTATCAATCATTTCCTGTATTGAATCAACAGTTTATTGTGGATAAGAAGTTTCAGTTTATTCGAGAAATGGGTCAAGGTGCCTATGGTGTTGTTTGGTAATGACTTGAAGCGAATATCATGAATATTCATCTTGTTTTAGTGCTGCCAAAGATACTGAGACCAATGAACAAGTGGCTATTAAGAAAGTAAGTATGTTCTCAGTCTACTCGAAACTAAACCCCTGATTAGGTATGTCGTATTTTCGAAAAGACTATTTTAGCCAAACGTGCTTTACGTGAAGTCAAGCTATTGAAGCATTTTAATGGCCATGAAAATGTAAGTAATTCTTTCTCTATCTATTCTTATGGTTCAAGATTACTTCTATTATTGACATGGATATTGTGAATCTACAAGACTTTAATGAGATGTAAGTGTATATATATATATATAATAGTCAGTTTTATTCATCATGATTAGTTATTTGGTTCAAGAATTGATGGAAGCCGATCTTCATCAGATTATTCGATCAGGTCAACCCTTAACAGATGCTCATTTTCAATATTTTGTTTATCAGATCTGTAGAGGACTCAAGTATATTCACAGTGCCAATGTAAGTCATGTCTTTTTCTTCTTATTCTTATCCTGTCTAGGTATTGCACAGAGATTTGAAACCTGGTAATCTGTTGGTCAATGCTGATTGTGAACTCAAGATTTGTGATTTTGGTTTGGCCCGTGGTTATTCTTCTTCACCTGAGGGAAATGTAGGATTCATGACAGAATATGTGGCTACCCGTTGGTACAGAGCACCTGAAATTATGTTGAGTTTCCAGAAATATACCAAAGCCAGTAAGTCATATCCATAATAACATATTCATGACTCTCTTTTTTTTTTTTAGTTGATATGTGGTCTGTTGGTTGTATTTTTGCTGAAATGCTTGGTGGCAGACCCCTTTTTAAGGGTCGTGATTGTAAGTACCCAAAATGATATGTAAACACCATTGACAGGCTTAGATGTTGATCAATTGAATCAAATCCTTGGTATTCTTGGTACACCTGATGAAGAAACCTTGTGTCGTGTTGGCAGTGAGAGAGTAAGCAAGAATATATCTATATCTATATATGTATATGGACTCATCATAGATATAGGCTCAAGTCTATATTCGTAGTTTGACAAGAATGCCCAAGATTCCCTTTCAAAATCTTTACCCAAGAGCCACTCCTTTAGCCATTGATCTCCTGACCAAATTGCTTACCTTTGATCCTGCCAAGCGAATTACGGTTGAAGAAGCCCTGGCTCATCCTTACCTTGCTGCTTATCATGATGAAGATGATGAGCCTACGCATACCCAAACATTTGATTTCTCATTTGAAGTGGTTGAGTCCATGGAAGATATGCGCAGTAAGTTATTTGAATAGAGAGTATCACTTATCAACACATACACTTTTTATATATTTATAGAAATGATTGCACAAGAAGTCATGACATTCAAAGCACAGAAACAAGGATTGCAATTGAATACTGGATCTAGCTTAAAGAGAAAAGAAAGTCTAAGTGCTAATGACCGTGAAGCACTTGAACGATCTAAAGAAGTAGCCAAGACAAGACAGAATGATCATAGGAATTCATCCTCAATAGCTGCTACTGCTGCACCTATAACACAAAACAGTGATGATATTGGCATGGATGTGGATGCTCTTGAAAGAGAATTAGGAGGCGGCATTTAATAACAATAATAATAATAATAATAAAAAGCTTAATGGATGGCAGATAGCTGAATATCTTGTTCAAAGGGTAAAACACCTAGACGGTCAACGATGGCTTTTTCAATTTGAGGATAGATTTCATCGCTTGTGTCTCCCTTTACATGAACTACCACATCTTTGTAATGATCCAACAAGGGCATGGCCATTTGGTGATGTTGTTCTAAACGAACTTTAAAGACTTGTTCTGTATCGTCTGGTCTTTTTGATAAGGGTTCACCTGTCACATCATCGAAGCCTGGCACAAGGGGTGGGTTATATGACAGATTATAAACTCTGCCCGAACGAATATGCACCCAACGATCTATTTGACAGATCAGAGAAGAGTCATTGATGGTTCAATAGCTTACCTATGATTCGCTCTAAAATGACTTGTTCAGGTACTTGTAAGTTAATGACCAAGTTCAATGGCTGTGTTAGTCTCTGAAGAGAAGCATCTAGTGCCTGTGCTTGTCGAATGGTTCTTGGAAACCCATCTAATAACCAATTCTTATTTGTCAGCATAAAAACGTTCATTCACTTACTGTATTGCCAACCAAGAGTTCTGAGTCAATCAAGGAAATCAAGAGATCATCAGGCACCAGTTTGCCTTGACTGACATACTGACTAGCTTGATTGCCTAAGCTTGTTTGTTCTCTGATATGTCTTCTGAGTAAATCACCACTGGATAGATGAGTGACGCCAAAATTCTTTTGAAGTCGAGTGGATTGAGTGCCTTTGCCTGATCCTGGACAACCTATCAACAACAATCGCAATGGTTGAATAGCATTGACTGGGCAGTTATGGAAAGTACGTTTCAGGTTGAAAAGAGGTTGAGAGGCAGTACGTAACATGGATAAGAAAAAAAAATAAAACTGATCTTGTCGTCTTTATCTTATCAAAGTCCGTCAAGGAAGAATTTAATCTCAGATTTAGACGACGTCACTTGGTCCACAAGTCACAAAGTACGCAATGCATCCACGCGTTCAAATAGGTACTTCATTTTTTTTTTCTTTTTCTTTATTATTGTATACATAATGGAGTGTCTTTTTGGAATCACAGGCAATGGATTTACTTTACTCGCTGCTGATACTGTCAGTGCCCGTAGTATTGTAGTGATGAAAGGAACAGAAGACAAGTCGCGCGAATTAAATGCACACACGGTGATGCTTTATACAGGTGAACCTGGTGACACTGTCAACTTTGCTGAATATATTCAACGCAACATCAGGTTATACGGTATCAGAAATGGTCTTGAATTGAGTCCTAAAGCCACAGCCACTTTTACCAGACGTGAGTTAGCTGACTCACTTCGAAGCAGAGTAAGCATAACTTTGACATATCAAATTCAACTAACCACGAAGGGGTTAGCATCCTTATTCTGTCAATCTGATTATTGGTGGTTATGACACAAAGAGCAAAAAACCTGAGCTTTATTGGATTGATTATCTTGGGGCTATGGCCAAATTACCCTTCTGTGCACAAGGCTATGGTGCCTACTTTTGTACATCGCTTATGGATAGATATTATAAGGACGACATGACCCTGGAAGAAGCAAAGAAATTGATGGGCATGTGTATACAAGAACTCAAGACAAGATTTATTGTCAATTTACCCAAATTCAAGGTTCAATTGGTTGATCAAGAAGGTGTTCATGAAGTTGAATTATAATTAAAAACAAAAAAAGAGAGCGTATGTGATGTTCATTCTACAGGAGGAAGGTTTTTTTTGATAAATGCTGCAATGTCTGCTAATTCTTGTTCGTTGGCTGAATGAACAAGGCCAGGATAAGTCTTGAAGGTCACATCATAACCTAAAGAAGTCAATTTTTCAGCAGATGTTTGACCATATTCATATTTGACCACTGGATCTTTGTCACCATGACACATTAAAAAAGGCGTCTTTTTGTTTGCGTCTGAGAGCATCTAATTTTATGTGTGAGATTCATGACTGGTTCTATGGGCTTATCTTACTTGAGGCATCTTGTCAGCTAAACCAAGCCATCCACTACAGGCAACAACACCACCTAGTTTGTATTCTGTGGTTAAGGCATGAACCAAAGAGAGACAAGCACCTTGAGAGAAACCACCCAAGATGATGCGATTGGCAGGAATACCATGATCGACTTCATCGCGAATCAAACGATTGACACTCGTGACAGAAGCAAGTATACCCTTTTCATCTTCATGCTTGAATCCACTCTTATCTAAACTAGAAAGATCAAACCAGCCTAACAAGCGTCAATCATAGACATAGGCTATATATCCTTACCTGGCATAGGATAGCCTCCATTTAAAGTAATGGGTCTAATAGGACTGTTCTATTTGTTAGATGGCATACATAACAGTGATCCTTACGCATTAGGAAGCACCCATTTAACATAGGGGAATAGATTCGATAGTTCTTCAGCCAAGAAACTCCAACCAGCACCTGTATCACCAAGTCCATGACAAAAAAAGACAGTGGCTGTTTGTTTTACCTTGGCTGAAACTATGACTGAAGTTAAAGACATTTTTTTTTAAAAAAGAAAAGGGGGAAACGTGTTGAATATATTTTTATTTTGTGACGTTGGATGTATTTCTTTCTTTTTGTTTTTAATTATGGTTTTAAAGCGATATCAACAGTTACAAAAATCAGAACTCTTTGAGTTTTTGAGTGATTTCGAAAAGACATATGACTGTAAAGAAACACACTTGTTATCTAGTTTTGTTACTCATCTCAGTAGTTACTTCATCTAGTGAAAAACAAGAGTTTTTACTAGTACTTTTGACTGACATGATGCAACAAGACTGGGATGATCAAGGTATGTTTAAACACTATATAAGAATGATATTTGATTCTATAGCATTACAGTAAAGACACAGGCACTGTCTGTCATAAGAACCTTAGGTAGAAATCCACTTGGATCAGATCCTATTTTTACAAAAGAGGTAATTCTACATTTTAATGTTGCACTTCAAATTCATGCTTCATTTGTTAGGGCATGATTACTTTAATGAAATTGGCTGGTATTTATCATCCCGACCAAGTGACAGACACAACAGTATCTCGGGAAGCGCTTAAATGTATAGCCAATGCTATCTTTTTAAATGAAGAAGCCAAGGCCTATTTAGAACAAGAAAAGGGGCTATATGCACTTCAATCCCTATTGCAATCTAAACAACTCAGCCTCGAGACACAATTCCTTACTTGTCGTATTTTGTTCTTCATGACTGTCAATCGACATGATTTAGTGCAACAATTAATAGATGCAGATATTGCATCTTCCATTGAAAAAGTCTTGTCGGACAATGTGTCTTCATTAGAAGATCCAGATAAAAGAAATAAGCTGGACAAGAACACAGTCATCAACCCCTGGACAGTTACGAGTGAAGCATTGAAGCTCTTGTTTAATTTACTCTTGGTTGAATCCCGCCAATCAGACACACCAGATGCCACAGACACATTTAGACAGTGTCTTGTGCCTGTGTTCCATTTACTGTTTGCAGTGCCTTATCCTGAACCACAGCCACTGGCACCCCCTCATTCACAAGGTATTCATGCACTCATGCAGTTTCCCTTTGAGACGATTGCTGTTGTATGGCGAGCACAGAAAGAGTGGACCAAGACACTCTATAATACAGTAGAAGAAGGGGCCGAGTTTGTCGTGAATATTCTGGTCAATGTGCTTGACCGTGCTATTCATGTCTTGATACCCAATGGTGACCCTGATCATACAGATCATGAACAACAAGCAGATGCTGCTATTGCCCCTGTTCTTTTGGTCTTGGCTACATTGGCTGAAGGCAGTCCTTATGTTCAAAAGAGCTTGAGTGCAAGAATGTTACCCAGTACAGAGTAAGTTGATGTAAGGCCCTGTATATGTCTATGTTACTTAGAGCTCTTTAGAGACCGTATCCGTCCAGTGCATGAAGGTAATAGTCTCCCTGCTTATCTTATTCGATTCATGACAAGCACCATGATGCCACAATCCCGCAATGCCGTCTGTGAGACATTGTTTATTCTGTGTAACAAAGATGGTAATGTTGTCAATTATGAACCTTGTCGACTGATCACCTAGATAGCCAACATGTTTACACAGCAAGTGGGTTATGGTAATGCTATCGGTTTCTTGGTCAACAAAGGTATTCCCATGGATCCCCCTCAAGACCATGATGAACTACATGATATTAACCCCATCACGGGCCAATTCACTTCTTCTGAGAAACAAGGCCCTGACCTGAAAGACATGACAGACGAAGAAAAAGAAAGAGAAGCAGAAAAACTGTTTGTGCTATTTGAACGATTGAAAAAGACAGGTATTATCGATGTTGAAAATCCGATTGCCAAAGCTATGCAGGAGGGTAAATTGGAGGAAATCAAGAGTGATTCAGACAGTGAATAAAATGTTTCCTTTATAGTAACTTCTTTACATAAAAACTTACTTCTCCTTTTTTTTTTTTTTTTTGTCTCTCTCTCTCCTTTTCTCTCTTTTTATTTTCAAAAACATGTCTTCAAAAGAGGGTCATTCAGGACAGAAATTTTGGCCACTTAAAAAGTTTAATTTACACCATTATCCACAAAAGCAACTTTATGGATTCTCAGCCTCTCCTTCCAAAGTAGCAGAAGAAATGAGAGCCATTGTCAATGGTAAACTTAAATGGACTTAAGAAACAAGCGGTTGATACTTGTAGGTCATGCTATATTAGAGAATCAAAAGCGAACAAAAAACAAAAAATTAAGGTACATATATCCATTCCTTCCTCCTGATACTGACATGCATCCTATCAGTTTACTGCTTTCATCTAAAGGCTGTAAAGATGAAGACCAAACATGTTTAGCGCCAACTGTTTATGATCTTACGAAACAAAAATCGACAACACAAACAACAAACAACAATAACAACACCATCATCCAAAAAACTGGTAAAGAAATTAAGGCAAAAGTCACCAAGAATACCATGACTGCCAAATCAGCTGGTTCAGGTATACTGACCACAGGTAGAGCCAGCGAAAAGACACTAGCCAAGCCAAAACTAACAGAAGATCGAGCCAAGACCAATCCAGCCTCAAGCCATAAACCGAATGAACGAACACAGCCTATCGTGATGTCAGAAAGTGTGCAGAAACAACTTCAAGATGCATTGGACTCACACAGTGAGATGCAAAAGTCAAGTCCTAAAGAAGACCATGCCATTGAACATCATGATAACATGGACATAAGTGTTGATAGACCCATTCAACGTATTCAACGACTAAGACCGGCAGCCTCATTTGCTACTATGCGTCAATTAGCCAATACAAACCATCAAAAGATACAACACATGAAAAAGAGACCTGTTTCGTTTATGGATGCTTCTTCTCAATACGATGAGAATGATGTATCCGTGCATCTACTCAGCCAAAGAGCCGGTGTAGAAGATCAACAGGTACCTTTTTTGAGTGCATCTCCCTCACCACCTTCCAGTGTGGCTAGCGGCAATAGTTATCGAATACTATCTCCCTATGTTCACAATCTGATTATCAAAGATGGAGATGGACACCGCATTATTCAGTGTGTAGGAATCGATGACCATCCGTCCAGTATTGAACATGATAGGCCTCCACCAGCCGAAATGACAGACGAATATGCCTTCATGTATTCAAGGCCACCATTAGAAGAACCAAAGTTATGTTGGATTTATCAACAACAGGATGCTCTCGACTCACATCATATCAGAAGCTCAAGTCAATGTAGACGCAAAGACAGTGTGAAATCATTCAGCAGTTTATCTAGCTATGACACAAAACTTGAACAATTAAAAAACAAGCTCGAAAAAGAAAAAGCGACGATTAAAGCACTTCAAAAGCAGAAAGAAGGTTTGTAACACCTGTGCCACCCTATGATTCATGATTTGATAGCTTACAACAAGGATGTGATCTTTCTAAGTCAGAATGTAGATGAATTAACAGTGGACAATATGGAATGGAAAAGACAGTTTGAGACTGAAAAGGTAATGTCCTTTGTCATAAAGCTTCTGTTCAACTTTGGTAGATACAAAAAGAGCGTCTTCAAGAGGAACTGTCGAAAACAATGACTCAATTAGATAAAGCTACTGAGCACATCAGGTAATCAACACAAACAACAACAACAACAACAATTGACACTCCTGTGATTTAGACGACTTGAAAGTCAAAACCAAACCTTGATATTCGAATTAAAGAATAAGGAGTTGGAAGAAAAAGCTTCTCCTGCATTGGAAGGCGCTGAAAAAGCATTAGCTACACAACTTCAACATACACAAAATCAAGTACGACTATTAAAGACAGCCATGGAACAGTTTTTAAGAATGGGTATTTTTAGTGATGCATTGACTGTGTCTTCTCCTACAAAGTAAGATCCTCCTATAATCTTTATAGAAATACTCATCCATAACTATCATAGTTCAACTGAAGCTTTTGTATCAGATATTCAGAAACCACGTCGCTCTAGTTCAACAAAAAAGAACCCATCAAAACAAACAAACGAAAAAAGACAGAAAGGATCAAAGACACCACAAAACAAGTTACCACTTTCTCCTCAACCGAGTGAAAACAAAAGTATCTCTACTGAGGAACTCGATATTCAACTTCGAGAACTCGTACGTGAAAAAGAAATTGTAAGTTTATTCATACCAAAGGGAAAGAATTAATAGCCTGGTAGCTTCAAGCTGAATATAGCAAGGCACCCTCAAGTGGTGGCAATGCACTCCTTCGAAGACGAAGAGAAGAACTAGAAACCAAATTAGATAACATAGACTCTCAAATGTGCCGAGTCAAACTAAAAATGAGACATCGCCATATCATATAAGTATTTTTCATTTCCTTTTTGAATAAAAATAAGCTATCAGACTTGTAGCTCCTTCCTTGCCGTGTTCTTGGAATATAGAACAGGCGAGATCATCAACTGACAAAAGCTGTTCAGAGAACAACAATGGCCACACTTCACTCAAAAGAAGGTCTACTGACAATCATCGACTAGCTTTGGGATTGTATCTAGTTTAGAAAACCTAGAATTGAAACATACTGCATACAGATCCTGTAGAGTACGGTCACTAAAGAAAACATAAATTGCTTACTTTTGGTCTCCTTATATACTTTTTTTTTCTCAAAAAATTTTTTTTCCTCTGTGACTATAGTGATGATCCAATCAAAGAACTAGTAACGATTCCATTGAGACTGTCATTTCAAAAATTTACATGACTTGAAGCAGCCAATCAGCAGCGTTAGTTGCTTTGAAGCTAGTGAAAGACCAAGACATCTTCAGAGGCAATGGATAATATATACATTTGTAAGTATCAACAAGGAAAGACATTCACCTTTGACATTACAGATGTCTACAACATACTTTTTATGTGACATGACTAATTTAAATAAGATGTTTATTATTAATAATTATCGTCTAAGAAACAATCAATAGCCGTATTCTTGTAGATGCTGTATGGTCAAGCCTTCATAGCTTCATATACTGATGTTTGCTGGACACAAAAGATAAGTAGAACCGGAAATAAACAAGGAATGAGGCAGATGGGAGTCGATGAAGTTACGAGTGTGGATTGTTTGTTGTCTTCTGGGGACGATTGTAGGCGTATTCAACGAGACTTAACCACGCCTCTGAGAAGAAAATAATGTTGATGTATTCTGCGATGTGTGGTTTGTCCATAGCTATTAAATAATCGAAACATTTCATATTGAATAGCCATTGGAAGTTCACAGAGAGATATGTCTATCACTGTTTGGACACGGGTCTTCATGTTGCTTGTCTGTCCTCTCTGTTCCTATTCTCTTGGCTTTGTGGCTGCAAGTTGAGTCGCTCCTGACTGAACCGATGTGATCCTTCCCATATCCAAAAGCATCAACATCAGCAACAAATATCTCTCGGTCTTTTCTCCTTTTTTTTTTTTTTTTTGTTCCTGACCAGCTATTGCTGGTCTAATGAGATTCAACTATCTCCTCATATCCATGTAAGTATTTTACATGTCCTAATTAATATCTGTTACTAATTTATTCCTTATAGCTCAATGTAAATAACAATATTAATATTAATTATGTATCCCATGCTCTGCTCAATTTTTAAAATTTAATTTTTCACCACAACAAAGTGTAATGGAGAGTGGTTTCGTTTTTTCAAACCAATCAAAACTAACAAATCCATGCCCTTAAAATCTTCTCAAGAGCGTAATTATATTATATAATTCTGACTCAATAGTGAAATACAGAGTTCCTCTAAAAGAAAAGACAATATGCGTTTCTTTTACTATTGTTAACATCAAATCATTTTGGTTAGTAAGACTTATTTTAGTGATTTCATAAAAATTGTACTACAACATATATAATGCTATTGTTTCTTCTAAGCCTCACTGGCATATTAGCACTAAACTAAGGTTAAATATCACAACCAAAGCCCATTATTTTATTACTCTTTCTTCTTGATTTAACGCAATGTCATCAAATACTACTATATTTTACACAATACTCAATGTTCTAGCAATCCTTTGCATTATTCTCAGTTTAGTGGGAAACTTCATGACCTATTTCTGTATGTTCTTATTGTATGTTGTATATGCTAACATATGAATAGTCTGGAATTTTATTCTTATTGGTATCTTTAAGATGTGTGTATTCATTAGCTTACAAGGACATATACTCATACAATATTTAGTATTTTAGTAGTTCTCTTGTTAGCTGTGGAATTCATGCAAACACCTGCTTTGATCAAGCCTTTCTCTTTTATGTTCTATTTCCTTGGTCGTGGTCTCTGTAAGTGTTAAAAGCAGATAGCATCATTTACTGTTACTTATTCATTCTACAGTTTATTTCTTGTAACTATTATGTTGCTCGCTATAGTCAGGCTTACTTTTTATTTCTTTATTTAGCTTTGGTTTCCTTACGATGGGCATTGATATCCTTTCGATCATTGCTGGATTTATTGTAAGTCATAGCTTGCATAGAACAAGATGTAGACTAATCAGCAATGATAGCTTGTTCTCTTGGGTATCATTTATATTGGCATTCATTTTGCTTCTCGTAATAAGGAACCCGAATCCATGTCATTCGTCAGGTACCAACGTCTTACCAGTGGCATGTCTCACGAATTACCTACTGCTGCTAATCGCCAAAACACCTATCCTGTGGCTCAACAAGTGCCTCTTTCTCAACCTAATCCAAGCAACCATGTTTTGGCTGAAAAACATAGTCAAACTCAGATAAGCATTGCTATGCCTGTTCAGTCTACTGAAGTTACGGATCAAGAAAAAACAGAAGAAAAAACAGAAGTTTAGTTTCTTCATGATAGAACTTACATATCATTACCAACATGCTAAATTATATTTATGTATACATTCAATACCAATAAAACTTAACTTTTTTTAATATAAAAAGACTTGTTTTTTCAGCCTTTCAAAACTAGATCTAGACATATAAACTATGAGTCGTCAAAAAATACAGCCCTTCAAACTCTCATTTCTCCTTAACAAAGAAAAAAACAGTGTTTTCATGAGTACGCCAAGACCAATACGTATTTTTTTTTTTTGAGTTTGCGGTACCTTGAAAGGATTGTAAAAACCAGTCTGTTTGTTTCTGCTTACCCAGAGATTGTATATGCTTGTACAGTCATGATGTACATTGATAATACTTCTTTGTGTAAAGCTAGGATTCCTAAAAGGAAAAAAAAACGATTGTGTTACGAATAGCCTTCAATAAAACTTATCATGACGTTTTTTATTGGCCTTAAGGCCCCGTTTTAAATTACTAACCTATGCCATACTTAAAGTGCCAACGACAATCAATATTTGGATTTGAATCATTTTTCAGACGGTTGGGAGTCATGTCATTGCTTTTATGATTCCAAATCCCCTTTTTCTGAAAGTGCTTGTGTAAACAAAAAAAAAAAGAGAGAAAGACAATCACTCCACATGAAGTTGGAAAACGATATGTACATCAATGAAGTTTGAATCAAAAATTATATGCATTACAATTTTATTATTTCGATATTCGGTGAATACAGTCGACAAAACTAGTATTTTTCATACAAATCAAAACTGATTTATTTACCTATTGATAAGAGTTATAAAATGGAATGATTTATTTTTGAGAAGACTTCTTGCCTGTAGAATCCTTAAGCCTTCGCTAATTAAAGCTCAGGCACCACATTCGAGGTGGCGCTTTGTCGGGTGAACATGGTAGGGTGTCCTTGGCCGTTCCAAATAGATTGAACGTTTGTGAACATATTCTTTGAAGCCATAACGTCTCGATTCCAAAAAATATTGCAGTTTTTGCAAACTAATACTTGATGAATCTTCCGTTTTTCGATACCACTTCCTTGCGTAATATGCTCCAATTTATTTCAAGGCACGAGTTGCAAGTCTTTTATAATACAGAAGTGCCAATATTCAAATTATGATCAAGTAAACATTACAAACCTTGGAAGTCTTATACTCGTCTATGTCCAGAAGTAATAACTCTCCGCGTTTTTCATTGTCTGTACAACTTTTCAATGACGCCATAACGTAAACCTTTAAACTTGACATGCGACTTGTTTTTCAAACCATCTCCAAAAACAATCAATGGCATTTTACTTTGATCACCTTCTTCAAACTTTTCCTTATGTGCTCTTCATTCAAGTTATTAAGAATATTTCTTTAAGGAGAAGAATATAAGAAATATGTGCTATACCTTGACCTCATTCCCCCTGTATTTGGTGGATAATTATCATGATGACCGTATTGATAACTGCTTGATGTCTTGCGTCTCTTCCGTTTATTCTTTTTGGTGTTCTTTCTTTTCCTTTTGTTATATTTTTTTTTTGCACCATTAATGAGAATGTTGACTGCATTTTCAATTGCTTGTTGAGAGCCTTTGTAGCTGCACTATTTGATTTTAGCAGTGTTAAAGCCGTAAAGATTTGCTAACGCTCGAAAATGTTGAAGAGCATACATAACATATTCTGTATAATGTTGGAGTTTTGCAGTTTTGGGTGAGTGAAAGTGGGTTTCAATCTGCTCTATATCCAAACTTTTCTTTCTATCTTGCTCTAGCTTTTGTCGGTTGACAGTGCCATTCATGTTGTAATACTCGGCAGTTGACAAACGCCTCAAATCGTTTTTACCATGATAGGATACAAAGACACCTATTTGGATCGACAGTGCAAGGACGAAAGTAACGATCAACCTCTTCACTAGTGAAATCATCTACCTTCAGGGACACTTTATCATTGGGTGATATGGAGTGAATCTTTCTGCAGAATGAGACCCTACATGTATATCCATCCGTGTAGATACTGTTTAAGAACATTTTTTCTTTTCTTTGTGGTAATTGTTGTAAATCTTCAAAGCTGTATATGTAAGATCATTGTGAGTGAACTGTCTGTATCAATTATTTTGAAAATGGTTTCAACTCACCTGTTGAGCAAAGTTAAACACCGTCTCTTCAGGTCTTTTTTTGGACTACTTCTTCCAAAAATACCAACTATGTTTTGGCCATCTACTTTTATAAAACGCCATTTAAAACCTGGATTAGGAAATAACTGAATAGCCTTGGTGGTTGAAATTTTGGTTATTGTTCTCTGTTGATGAATTACGCTGTTTTGGCTTCTTCTTTGGTCTTCTTCTTTGGTCTTCTTCTTTGGTCTTCTCCTTTGGTCTTCTCCTTTGCTGGATTAATGCCACTACTGCTTTTACGGATTGTTGCTCTTGCTGGGCTACTTCTATTTGTGATTGCTGATTTTTGGCAATTGTTGACTCGTAGTTCTCAAGTATATACCTCAAAGCCAGCAATATATCAAAGGGAGCTTTGTTCAATGCATCCTTGGTTAAGGGGGTAGCAGATAATCTGTTTTTTACTTGCAACATTAAAGGGTTTAGGAACAGACAAACCCTTGCTTTCATTTGCTCATTTAACGAGCTTGCTATGTTTTCAGCGGTAATAGTTGTTGGACCAGAGGAAAACAATGTTTCCATTACGTGATTGTACACAATGTGCTTCACTTCTGGCATCTTTAAGTTTTATTAATGAGTATTATTAGTTCCGTTGGCAAAAAAGTTAAACCTGGGCTTGATCCTACATGACTTACCTCAAAAGAAGTGCGCAGCTTATATACAATAATTGTTGTAACATGTTGCGATTGTTTCACAGGCAGTCGATAAAACTTGACCATAGTTTTTATGCCTTGAATTTTTATCAGCAAGTCTATATCGTCAGAATCATTCAACTCATCCTATGTTCCATGCAGATGAGGGATATGATAAGAGTATTTTTGAGCAAATTCGCCAATCTCCATTGATTAGACGACACACAGAATACCAAAAGTTTTGCTGAAAGAATTCATTGCTCAAGCCTTGTGGGTGTTTTAAAATGTAATAATTCACAAACAATTGGGCTTTGAAGATAACTTCCCTCAGGAACAGAGACAGGCCTTGTGTTTTTTCTAGAATCACATTAAAAGCATTATCATCAGGCGTTCGTATGAATGACCTTAAGGGAATTGGCATTGAATATCTTTCACCTGAAGAGCCCAGATTTTGCTGAATTAATTCTGATAAATTGAAATTGTAGTTCTGGCATTGTTTACTTCTTGCGGAAGCATGTCCTCTCTCGCCACATGATTTACATATCACACCTTGCGTAGATGGTAGAGAACTACGCGCAATTTTTGCGTCCTTTTTGAGTTTCTTCTCTTCAGACGTATCTTTACGCTTGACGCCTTGTAAAGAATGTAAGCTTTCTTGACAGTTCTTTTATCAGCAAAACACTTTACCTCGCTTTATTGTCGGTTGTCTTATTTGGTTTTCTGCTACTCCATGTTGTTCATTTTACTTGCTTTGTTTCTTTAGTTTAATCAAGTTTTCCACTTCTGGATATAATGGCGTACGCATACTTTTTTGAAAGAGAAAGTAAAAATGTCGACAACTTCTACTTACCGTGCATAAACCTTGTGTAGCCAAAACCTTAAAATTCATTTGTGATTTTTTTTTAGAAAAAAAAACACGAAAAATTGAAAGTGACGCGTCATCAAAACATAGCCTACGTGACTTTTTCCAAGGCCCCCATAGTTGTGTTATTTTTTTGATAAACCTTTTTGTTCTTGTATACATTAATTAGATGTGTGGTCAGTTTAATGACAAGGGTCCATCTTAGTTTTGGCAACTAACTGATCTTCCTGGTTGAGATAATTGTTCTATTTGCTTACCTTGCAATGATACCGTTTTATTACTGAAAGTGTATTTCATCGATAGCTTATATCCAGATGGTGAAGATAGCAAGTTTTTTCTTCAGTGACAAAGGCTTATCTTAAAGAAATACTTCAGAATAAAATACAAACTTGCAGGGAGGCATTGCAGGAACTCTTATAACGGTTTGATCGCGAAATACGACACAACTTATTCAGCTACACTTATTTTGTACGATATCAATATGATAATTCAATGGTAAAAGCGATGTAAGTAATAACATCTAGACAAAATAATAATTATAAAAACAACGATGGCTTTTACTAATTCGTATTTTCTAAACATGTTAATGTCGTCAATGGTTGTAAACGTGGATATTCGGGCAAGTATGTGCGACAAGAAGGGTGTAGCTAAGTGAATACAATCGACCGCTAAGACCTGGGAGAAGCTGATGTAAGCCGCCAATAAGTCCGCCGGTCATTGTCTTCATGGCATTGAGTCTTGGCTATGGATACATCACGGGGACACCAGGCAGATTGTAGTGGCAAGTTCTACGTTTTTATGCTGATACAGTGTAAAAGCTTATGGGATGGCGGTTACAATTTGAAATCCTGAAATGCTGCGTGTATTTACGCTGTAATCGATCGCTAAGACCTGGGAGAAGCTGATGTAAGCCGCCAATAAGTCCGCCGGTCATTGTCCTCATGGCATTGAGTCTTGGCTATGGATGCATCACGGGGGCACCAGGCAGATTGTAGTGGCAAGTTCTATGTTTTTATGCTGATACAGTGTAAAAGCTTATGGGATGGCGGTTACAATTTAAAATCCTGAAATGCTACGTACACTTCTTAGCTGTACTTATTTTGTTGCTAATATGATGCTTTATGAGTGTATCATAACTTGACGCGTACCTTACCCATATTATACCGATTAAAGGAAAGAGTATTGTCAATAGCAAAAAGGCTGGAATTGGTGGAACTTCAAAAGTCAAAAGGCATTACCGTAAATCCTGCACTACCAGTATCATGGCTCCGAGGATCAATGGATCCAAAGATGAAGGTCCTGAAGTAGTTCTCTACAGTTTGATCATGTATATTCCCTATGCAAATTATTGCTAAAATTCTTTAAATATAAACATGAAATCAAATGTGTACATAACATAAGCATTTAAAAACGAATAAAATATAGTTAAACCTTTATTAACCAGTACTGTCGATCATTGAAGTCATTTTTAAGATAGGGTTGTTGATGGAATATGCATATACACCAAACGGAAATATTATTCGCGCATTTCTGAAAAAAAGATATGCGTACTTTTAAAAAAATAAATCGCACAGAAAAAAAAGAAAATTTAGCGTAGTATTTGAAAAAAAATTAGCATGCTTGTGTATGCGCAAATTGCGTGAGTTTATTAAATAGGTCTGCGTTGAAGGCAATCTTCAAATTTAGCAGCAGAGTATCTACAGAAGCCTTTAAGATCACTGTACAGAATTCTATTACAAGCATCGGCTATTCTCAAAGTCAATGTCTCCTCTTCCAAAAGCTGTTCCCTCTTGAGTTTGCTTTTGCAAGCCAACCAGAATTGCTCAATGGGATTAAGCTCAGGCGAGTAAGGGGGAGGTACACGCACTTATAGCCTCGGCTCTCAATGAGATTCTGAATATCTTGATGCTTATGAATAGGAGCATTGTCCATGATCAAATAATGGCCACGGAATTCCTCATGACGATCCATGACATCCAAAACACTACTGATGAAATTGAAGTAATGTCCAGTAACTATACCACTGTTACTGGCCACTTTTGCATTTGAACCTCCTGCTGCTTTTCTTTTCTTTGATGAGGGTAATGCTCTTGGTCTTCTTACACTAATGTTAACAACACCAAAAGGCGAGATGGCACCCAAAATGGTAGTAGTTTTTGCTCTTGTTTTGGGCACTTTCACGATCGCACGCTCGCCTTCTTTGGACCAAGAGAAATTTCTCTTAAGGTTGATATGGAAAGCAGCTTCGTCAATGAACACACAGTTGCTAGTGAAGTCCATATCTGTTCTCATCCGTCTCTTCACCCACTGATAGCGCTCTTCGATTTTTTCAGGGCTGTTTCTCTCGAAAGCTTGTAAACGAGCCTGCTTGAAGGTAATCTGACACTTATCCTTGACAAACTTGTTGAAACCGCTTTTACTGATATCGAGTTTGCCAAATTTTTCCGTCAATACGTCAAGCATGTCGTCCAATATAACGGAATTTGTGTTCTCGTCTGCCCATTCGATCATGAAATCTCTGTGCTCATCAGTTAAAATGGGCGGTCTGCCTACAGGTCTTCCACTGCCTGTAGCCCTTTGGATATACTCCTGAGGATCTTTGTTGTCCTTGGCTACCCAGCCTTGTGCTGTTCGAACATTAATGTTGAGGGCCAAGGCAGCAGCACGAACACTCATCCCTTTTTCTTCGACAAGAAAAAAAAGCTTTTCTTTTTCAGCATCCTTGTAGTGCTTATATGCTTTTGTTCAGCTCTGCAGGTAACTCAGCTTTCTTTTCGATCCCTTTCTCGAGAGGCTTTAAATCAGTGTATCTATCGTAGTCTGTTACGCTTTCGACTGGATACATCTCGTCGTCAATTTCCATTTCAAACTCTACAACTTCGTTTCCTTCAATGTCATGTTTTTAAAAGTACGCACATCTTTTTTTCAGAAATGCGCGAATATTTTTCCGTTTGGTGCAGTCTTATGAGATCGTACTATGATATAGTTTCAAAGTCAGAAATGGTGTTGTTCATTATAAAAAAACAGTCATGATGAGCTTTACCTTGTATTCTCTCCTTACAAAGAATGAACATACAAGACTTTAATAGTACATTTTATTGATTATTGAAGATTTTTTAGAGACATTATGTGAATGATTTCATTAGATAATGCGAGTGTCATTGTACTTTTTAAGCTGGATGTGTCTTTACTTAATACACAGTTGGCGAGCAATCACTCGCTTTTTCTAACGTTATAAGTGAAAAAGACCAAAAGACTTAAGCAAAAATCTACAACTTTTATTACTATGTCAAAGCTAATTAACTGCACTTGTGTGTAGTTTTAAGCAATAGCTCACATTTAAAGGAGTGACATACGCTTGTCCGAGGCAGACCTTTCATAGCCGGATATATATATTGTAAAAAAAAAAAAAGAGATCGACATACAATGACGGCTTATTGCCGGGGAGTAGTTACAAATAGTTTATCCGAAAGTAACCCTATCATGTGCATTCTCTATGGACCCTTTCATGACATAATTTCATCCTTTTCTTTTTTTTTAATTTTCTTTTTTTTTTTCACTTTAATATAAATTTCCATGTCGAATCCACACGAAGAAACATTGCTCGAAAAAGCCAAAGAAGGAAAGATTGATTCTCTTGAAGGAAAGGCACGTTACCTTGCTTATGGTGCTCGTATCCGTACTGCGCTTTTGGCCTCGACTCGTTATTTAGCCTATACCTCTGAAGTGGGTGAAGCATTCAGGCCTATAGCTCACCCTGCACTTGTCACTGCTGCTTATGGTGTAAGCTGGCTTTATTTAGGTTTGGATGTATCTTATGAAGGTTATAAAGCTGCTCATGCCGGTCAGGTAAACAAAAAAAAAAAAAAAAAAAAAAAAAAAAAAAAAAAACTCTCGAAGAAAAAGACAACGTTTCTAAAGACCAAGAGTAGGATAAAGTCATTGTGGCCACCACAGTCGTGAAAAGAGGTGTATTTCAGTCTATTGCTTCTATGCTTGCTCCTGCAATTACTGTCCATAGTATTGTAAAATATAGTGCATATGCATTTAAAAACGTCAAGAATCAAAAGGTAAAAGGATGGGGTCCAACTGTATTGGGTCTTGGTATTGTGCCAGTCTTGCCGTATTTGTTTGATGAACCCATTGAACACGTGATTGACAAGGTCTTTAAGCCAATTGAAGAAAGAGTATCAAAGCAAGTGGTGCCTAGATTAGGACACAATAAGATTGGCGATGATTTACCTACTGAACAACAAATTGAAGCCAAAGAACAAATTGATAAAAAGACGCGATAAATAGAGATGTTACATTTATATATTTATATTTATAAAGTTACATAATATACAAAATTTAGCCAGTAATTCGTTTACTTGGATCTATAAAGCGCCTTGTCCATTCAGCATTTTCCAAGTCTGAAACAACAGATAATTGAAGTAAACAAGGTAAACAGCAACCTGAACAACATAGACAGAATGACTTCAAAAAGAAGGGGGGGGGATTAATTTCAACTCCTTAGGGATCAAATAACTTACAAGCACAATAAATAATGGAATAAATACACTTGACATTGGAACATACAAGACACCATCTAATCTCCTTGCAATCAGACCAATCAAAGCATAGCTTAGAATTCCTATCATCATAAATGCAACAGCACCAACCAGCACGGTGATTTTACCCTGTTGAGCTATGTCGGGCTGAGTCATACGTGAATAAACACAGTATCGATAGACTAATTCCAAAGCCCATTTAAACCCTGTCAGATAAACGGGTATAAACACAATGACCCAAGAACAAGTGATGTACTGATCAAGACGTAAAGCAATCAACAAGAACGTACAGAACCTTAATACACTAAACCAACATTGAGAGAATATAAAAGCAGGTATCTTTTGTCTTTCTAGCATTGAATCGAGTGCTAAACAGCCCACCAATATCTTAATTCCATTCAGGATCCATGCAATACCTTCATATACAAAATAAGGGATAAATATATTACATGCTGACCAATTCAGACTGGAATTCAATTGAAGGACAATAAACACTTGGAAAACAATCAGCAAGGTGAATTGGATCAAATAGACAGATTTTTGACAACCTTGGATCCATGGATCGTATTGCTTGCTCTCCTGTTCCTGAGTGGGTCTGAATAGATAATGAACAAGACTGAACAAGAGAATAAAATCCACTATCCATGCTGGTATCCACACAAATGGCCATGGCCATAACACGATTCCATCAATGCGAACAACCAACAAGCCAAAGAAGAGAATCAAGAGTGTAAATAAGAGTGATACTGTCACCAGAAAAGTGCATAATAACGAATCAATCTGTGGATCAAACAATGGGCTGATTACCGTGTCCATCATTTGAAGCCCCAAGTCGCCGTATTTGTCGTACACCCTTCGTTTATGTTCGTCGCTTAATACTTCATAGGCGTGGCTTATCTCTTTAAACTTGAAACAATGAGTTTTCGATGATATGATGAAGAAACTTACTCTGTCTGCACTTGTTGGATTTTTATCAGGATGGTATTTTAATGCTAATTTTCGATATGCCTTTTTAGAGTGTATGAACAAAACTAGAATCTCAATGTATAAATGTTACTTTTTTAATGTCATCTGCAGTGGCAGTCTTGTATATACCGAGGATTTGATACAAGTTCAATTCTTCCATCGTCATAAAGAAAGAAAAAGAAAATAAAAAACTATTGAACCTCCTTAGATTATATATATATATATATATATATTTTTAATCAACAATGAACTTTTGTTCTAATGCAGCAAATTCCTCATAAAATACCTAAATAGATCCATATTAATGAACGCGTATTTCTATATCTTTCTATACTTGCCTTCAAAAGGTCAATACCATGCTTCACATCATCAGTACCACCAGTTTCACGAATAGAATGCATACTCAATTGAGGATTACCAATATCTAATCTTATATCAACCATACTTTTTCTCTCTTTTACTACTCTCTTACCAACAGTACGAAGACCAAGTTTTGCACTTAACATAGGACCAATAGTTGAGCCACAAGGTGAATCATTGCGTACGACAAATTCCTATGACATGTTAGTTTCCCCCTCTCCCTTTTTTTTTTTTACCTGAATTGGAATTTGATGCTTTTTAGCTAATTCTTTCAAAACCAAGCTAGTGACAGCAGTAGTAGCATAACGTTGATTAGCATTGATCTTGATAACAGTACCCTTATGCATTTCAGGACGATGGTTTTCTTCATGCTTTTCAGAATAATTGGGATTCACAGCATGAGCCATGTCAGCACTGACCAAGATACTCTTATGAATCGCTTCTTCAAAAGCAGTGGCAGAGACATGAGCAGCATCTACCACATGTGTATTGGCCAAACGCAACAAGGTAGCAGGCAACAAGTTAGAGTCAGCACCATGAGCTGTCAAGGATCCAACTTCTTCATTATCAAAAAGTGCAGCCACACGAATGTTGGTGTCATTCTCAAGATCCTTGGCTTCACACAAAGCCTTGATAGCACAATAAGACATGCCAAGGTTATCAAGACGAGGTGAGAAAATGAATTCATTGCATGCACCACCAATCGTGGATTTCTGAGTATCGTATACAGCGAGTTCGAAATCACGAATTTGATTGGCTATCAGCAAACACTGTTAGACAGTTAGACATGATATAAATTACTTACGTTGAATACCCATTTCATCAGCCAAGATTTGAATCAATAAAGGATGATGATGAGCTTGTGCTTCAACACCTTCCATGGCTTGAATACCTGATAATTGACTAGAACAGAAGAAACCAAATCAGATCAAGACAAAAAAAAAAAAAAAAAAAAAAAAAAAACTTACGCTTTTGCGGTAGTAGCAAGAATAGGAGCTAATTGTGTTTCCTTATTGAAGGCAAACTAACAGAATAACAATGAGACATATAGACTTATTTATTGAACTTACACTGTCATTTGTAGTACGGTCCAAATGAATAGCCAGTGTTGGAATACGTAAAATGGGTCTATCAACCTTGACTAAAGTATGATGAAAAGTACCATTTTCATGTTCAACAAGCACACGGCCAGCAACACTCAAATCTCTATCAAACCAAGTATGCCTATATATATATATATCATTATCTTTTTTGATGGTGCACAATTCAATAGAAGCTTACCAAATACCACCACCATAGAGTTGAACACCCACTTCAAGGTAGCCTGACTTTTCCTTTTTCGAAATAGGTTTGACCTAATTCATACAGTATGAATAAACCAGCTTCAATGGAATAACTTACCTTGAGACAAGGTGAGTCTGTATGGGCGCCAACAATGGAGAAACCATGGCCAGGATGATACTTTCCACCCACTTCAAAAGCGACAATAGCAGAGCCATTACGGGTAAAAAAGTATTTACCTTGACGCTTAATCAAGCCGTCATTCCAACTGTCGCGTTCCTTAATCTCTAGAAATCCAGCAGCCTTTAACATCTTTGCAGATTCAAAAGTAGCATGAAAAGGAGAAGGAGAGTTATTGACAAACTCGACAAAGTCAAGGGCTACAAAACAGGATTAATTCATCGAGATAAAAATTGGGTTTTTGTACCTTCTTGTGGAATAGTAGGATTAAACTTTTGAGTCTATGCAAGTCATATAAGTACTTTTAGAAGAACAAAACTTGTCATTTTACCATTAGGATTGCAATGAAGAAGAAAGAAAGAAATATATGTTTTCCCTTGTTTTGGGAATTATTTCTGTAAATGGCAAAATGTATTTAAATACAGTTGCTCACTAGAAACCTTTGATTCTGTACTTTATCTAATATGACTTGATTTAGATAACTCAATCAAAGATGTCAAGTAGTTTTAGTATGTGTAGAGCTTAGGTATTCTATTCAATCAATACGTGTCTTTTAACTCTTTTGAACTGTTTTTGTTTTGTTTGTTTTGTTTTTATTTATATGAAAAGCAAGAAAAAAGAATTGCATTTAGTACCATAAGAGAAGAACAAAGACAGAATCATCAGCATGGTATTAAAATTATTCTTTTGAAGAAACGACAAGCTTGCTGATGACTTGTTATATGTCTCATGGGTAAAAGTAAAGCAAGAAATATCTTTTTAGTTCAATACAATACAGAATCGTAGACACTCCGCTAAATCTGCTTTTCTTAGTGCTAAATTTGAACGACACAATCACTTATGCCTTCAAACAATAGTAAGGGGTTAGTCTGAGAATAGATATCATATATTTAAATGACATCTCTTTCCTAAAATATAAGCATACCGATGCTTTTTTAATCTAAAAAAAAAAAAAAAAGAATGCTTCGAATTTAAGGTCTATATTCTGTCAGGTGCATTTGAGTTTAAACTGCCAAAGTTGAAGGAAGTCTGTCTACATTGTATTACAGCATGTTTGTCTTCCTCCTCCTCCTCCCCCCCTTTTTTTCATGTTTCAAGAAAACAAATCACTTTCTTAGTTTTCTATAGAACTGAAGGCATATTCGTACTACTGTTTATATTCTATTTAGTGCATTAATGACAGAAATACAAACGTTTGTGCATCTTTATATTGGATGTCAATTGCCTATTTTATTTCTTCTTTCTTCTTTCTTTTTCATAAAATAGATGCGCTTCTCAACCAACAATCCTGTTTCCTTAACTCATTCTCCTAACGACTTTTTGTCTCTCTCTAGTAATCTCAGAAAATTTTTCTCTATTATTAAATCCAAATTACCTCAACACCATAAAGTCAGTCCAGAACCAGCCTGCTTGATCAAGAATGATGCCCATACTAGGATTAGACGAGTGCCCAAAAAAGAAACAGCTGTCACTAAACAAGAAGACATCAACCGTAATTTAAGAAACTATTACGCCAACACAAACTCAAATAAAAGCCAACTAACAGAGGATGATTCAAGTCTACAGAAAAGCAATGAAGAAAGACAAACACGTCACAAGGCTGTCAAGCAATATCAGGAACAATCATCTGAGCAACAAAGACACTGGAAAGAATATTCCAACTCGTCCTTTGTTGACATAAACACATATGCACCACTGAAATTCAAAACGCATGGTTATGTCAGAGATACTCGATCCAACTCAGACTGTTTACGAATCACCGCGATAAAGAATCAAGCACAAGTTGTTGTTCATACAAAACGACCTTACCTTAAGAAACGAAGAGACCCATTTGAATGGGGAAAGTCTTCTCCCTTACGAACTGAAGTTTAGTATATGATTGTAAATAGCTTATTTTATCATTATTATTATTATTATTGTTAATATTATTAATATTATTACATTCGTTTATATATATATATATGCATGAATTATTTGCCCCCTTTGTCGGTTAGTCGAATTAAATCTCCCATTGGTGTTTTATGCCTATAAACTCAGTCAGATGATAGATATGAATGTACATACCTCTCTACTCTTCCACTACCAATCAGATCATATAACAAAAAATCAATACTAAAATTAGTCTTGTGAAGTTTCTTTTGTTTCAGTAACTATAGACAGATATCAGAAAACAAACAAGCTTCTCTATTATACTTGCTTTTTCCATCATATCATGCGAATGTCTTCTTTTTAACATGCGTTGTATCTCATTTCTTCCTGCATTTAATTTTGACATAAAAGAGCCTTGTTCTCTGATTGAAAACCAAAAAGAGTCCAGACGAGAATGAGGCAACAATAGGCCATAAGAGACCAATTGTCTATTATGAATCTAAGCCATGTGTTGTCAGAGAAATACATACGCTAGATTCCTTTCTGTTAACTTGAAATCCTGAATTAATGTGCTCTTTAAAATCGAGACTGACTTGTATTGGTCAACAACAGTCTCAAACACGTCTATCGGTCACATATGAATCAAAATGAAGCTCTATGTCACTATTACCAAACACGATTGGATCCTCTTTGGACTTTATGGCATGGTCCTTGGCCTCCTTCACACCATTGACGTAGTCGCTTGTCTTGATCAACAGAAATTCATCTTCTAGTGTACCCACTATATGTATTTTCCTATATAGACCATTTTGAAAGGCTTGTTGCTAAAACAAATAAACAAGGTATTATCTCGACTTGATCATACCAATTCTCGATCGACCATCGTATTATTAGGTATAATACTATACACTTGGTGTACTAGGCAAACAGGTAAATTGGAGTTAGGATTGGCTTTTATCAAATAATCAGCTGTGGTCAATGAATCAGAATCTAATTTGAACAAAGCCTCATCAAGATCATCATCAAAATCATCCGATCCATCCTCTTGTTTCCCAGACTGTTTTCTAGCCAAGTCTCTTTTAATGCCATAAGCATCTGGCTTTTGAATTTTTCCGTGCTGTGTCTGATACAATTGTTGCTCTACTGCAAGTAACCTGCGTCTCTTCATTTAAGAAAAAGGTAAATACTTGGTACACGAACTATTTACACGGACTAAGAGCTCCGACGACCAAAAAATATGATGTTTTTAATACTATGGTTCAACTAGAAACGTTACACCCACTTAAGCCATTTTTTTTCTTTTATAAATATCTTTATTCTCTTTGTTGCTTTTCTTTTCTCTTGGGAATCTTTTCTTATGGGTAATATTAGGGGTACCCGAATATTCCAAATTAGGCCATTACCCTTCATAAATCCTACCTATCTAAGTGCGCTCCACACCCGAAATTTCTACAACCCAAAGGAGTTTGGATACAAATGTTGTAATAAAGAATATTATTTTTCGCTTACGATTTTTTTTTTTTTGGGTTCCCTGCTTGTATGGAACCTGGCGGAGTCATAACAGCTATTATGAATTGATTGTTTGTCGTTCCTAAAACAACTGTTGTTGCCTCCGCTTCGGCTCCCAATGTGGTAAATGCTTTCAGAGCCACGCTTTCTTTTCAGCAATAATATAAGTAACTCCCTTTTCCCTTATATCTTTCAAAGCCGTGCACCGCGGATTAAATGGTGAATGATATCAACCAAAACGCAAATATTAATGAAGACAATGGATACATTACAGCAGACCAAGCCGTCGAACTGTTTTGACGATTGGAGATTGAAATACAAACACAACGAGAAGCACAATACCAAGGAACACCATTGCCGATGGAAATATCACAAAATCTGGATAACTCGCCAAATTATATACTCAAAGAAGAATTTAAACGATTCAAAAAACATATTGCAAAATACACACACGAGCCTTGGACTCAACAAGAACAAATCAATAAAGAACTTATCCCTGAGATCAAGAGACATAAAACAGATACATTCCAGGTCATCAACACTATCTACAAATGTGTTGAAAACACCAGAATACAAGCAAGGGCAGCTACTGGGATTTATGAACAACTCGTTCTATTACAACAGACAATGGTTTCTAAAAATGAAGAACAGCAACAAATCTTTGCAGGAATCATGGACCAAACTCGCAATCTCGCCACATTTGGATATGGCACAGCAAAATTTCAAGATAAAGAAGTCAAAGAATTTGCAACAAGAGCATTACGTTTACTAGCAAGCATGCAACATGTCGGACGAACAGAAGATGACGAACGCACAGCCAATGCGTTCGATGAAGAATTCATTGCAGATTTACACCAAGCCAGATTCCAACAACGAATCATTACAAGCGCTACATCCAACTAAGGCCATAGTCATGGATATAATCACTCAAGATTTAACAGAGGATATTTTAGAGGTAACCAAAGAGGTTTTTCAAGACAATATCAACATAATGGACATTTGCAGTCGAGAGGGAGAGGTCGTTGAGGCTTCTTCCCATGAACAAACAACGCTCAGCCCTCCGCAAACAACAACACCAATCAGCAACTGTAATTCAACACATGAAACAGTCATTACTGTTGTGAGATGAGGAAAGAATAGATATTAAATAAGAGAAAAGATGAGAACACAGAGAAAGTCCGTTAGAACTTGTATAGGTTTTTATTTCTCCAAAAAATGTTATCCTTCAATTGCTATAAAATGTCGAGGTATTTATACTTTTTCTTCTCGGTCAAAATATTGTTTTGGGTTAGCTTCTTGACTACGGATTGATTTGTTAGATCAGGAGCAATTAAGAGAAATGCCTTTAGAGAAAGTTGTCAGCTCAGCCAATAGTGCATGATCTGACCTGAACTTGAATAAACTATTACATATTTGTCAAATGCCAATGCTAATGTATTTGTCAGCTCTAACTATCACTTTATGAGGGCCATTAATAATAACAGAGTCACTAGGCTCATAATCTCTGACTATGAGGATGATGTAGTACTTCTAGTAGAATGAGTGAATGTCAGTGACTATAGATCCATTGCGATTGCCATAGATGTGATCTGGTCTTTTGCCATGATTATCATTTATTGATCTATGCATATGAATTCATATATGTTCACAACATTTAGTTTGAGAAATCCTTTCATGATTGAGAGTCTTTTCTGACTGAGATGCCCCTGTAATGAGCACCACTTTAAATTGTGTGGTCTATAGTAGAAAATATAGGAATGGGTGTGTAGCGAGTACCAGGTATATAATCGTCCAACCTTTAGATAAAAAGTATGAAAGTTCTTAAGATACATATTAATAATGTTCAGTATTCAACTTATAATGATAATGTTCACGATTACTTATATAATAGTGATAATGTTCAGTATAAGATTCGTAAAATTATAAAGATAATGTTCCCAATCTATAGTCAAAGAGGATAATGTTCTTTATAACACTTTAATTAATAATGTTCTCACAATAAGAATTAATATTGTAAGATAATGTTCAATTAAAGATTTATGATTCGATTACTTGATAATGCTCCTTATAAAATAAAGATAATGTTTAAAGAGGACTTATAACTACGCTTGATAATGTTCCTTATAATATAAAGATAATGTTCTTTGTAGATCAAAGATAATATTCAAATATGGATTCTAAAATAAAAATAAAAGAAAAATAAGATGTTAACAAGTATGTTTCAGAAAGGAAACCCAAAGACAAAATAAAATTATTTAGTTAAAGTGGATGATCTTGATGTTGAATTCCCTTCTTTATTTCAGAAAAATAAGCGAGTATTTATAGTAAAGTTATTGTGATATAATCACTAATAAAACGGTCAAATCAATAAGTCGATTAGAACCAAAACGACCCAAAAGAAGTCTGCTTTATTAAAGGTTATATTTTGTATTGTATTTATACTGTTTGTATGATAATTGATTATCCTTGATTTGGGACTGAGTGTGTATACACTAGCTAATCGGTTGAGTGGATTAAGGTACACAAGAACTGGGTACATGATCAGGGCACAGACCTCGTCTACCATTGGTATTGATGCAGATGTCAATTTGTGATTATGTGATGGTCTGATCTTTAACATGTTTAAACTAAGATAGAAGACATCCATCGAAGCTGCGGATGAGGGGCTCTTTCGCATATTCATAGCTAATAGAAAGTTTGATTGTGCCATTTGAGTAGTAATAATAAACAGACCTTTAAAAGCAAACTTCTTTGTCCTATCCAACTATGACAGTCTTCGGTGAAATACCTTGGATCAAGGTTGGCGAGATCGGTAACTGTGATGTTTGGGTTGTGAATGAAGATAGAATAGAAGATAGAAAGAAAACAAAGAAATACAGTGAGACTGTTCAGTACTTCTTTACTACAAAAATAAATTGATTGTTGTCTAAAATATATCTTTTCCAGGTTGTCTTTTATACTACCTGATTTATTGACTAATTATGATTACTGATTATTGATTACTTAACACCTTGACAGCGTGTGCCTGGGAATTGATTATATAAATTCTCCTTTAATTCTCCTTGTTACCTAAAAGGTACAATTATGGTTTCCTTATTTGTAAATATCCATATTATCCCAGTTACCGTTATTTACTGTCATTATACAGTGCTTACTTTATATTTATAATGTATAGTGCTATAAGTGATTATTCATTTATATGATGAAAGATTATTTATTATATTTTGTATTGAAAGTGCTCAGATCACCACAGTAACAAACTGCGCATCCCTCATACACCGAGGATCAGCTCCCAAAACAACGCGATTAAGTACGTACCTGAAATCATCTTCAAATCGCATAGCTTTGAATCCGAGATGTTGAATCGCAAAGCAGCTAGTATTGTTAGTCAATCACTTACTACAGGCTCTGTTTTGTTCACCTTTCCTCCTGGTACCTTTGTCAATCATATTGCGGCTTATAAAGCGATTCAGGATACCTTTGGCAAAGTTGAAGGATTTCAACATCTAAGTGGCTACACTCCCAATCCAAACAAACAGAATATGCCGATCGAAGCACGATTTGAATCTAAGGACTCCAAGCAGAAAGCTATAACGACTGGAATCACCGTTAGAGAGCGTACATTTTTGGGCACTCCTACCAGGGAAAGCACGACCAAAAGCTTTGTTCATGTTGCTCTCACTCTGCTTCATATCCCTACCAGCGAGGAACTGTTGACAGGGCTACAGCAATTGCTTAGACATTATGGCACAGTTCACCAGATCAAAAAGTTTACGTGCGAAGGTTTCTTTGATGGAAAGATCAGTTTCATCATTGACACACAAACAGCAGCTCAGAACAAAGATGGCAAGGCCATTGAGATTAAGAATTTGACTCGATAACTTTATCTCAGTTACTGGGATAAGCACGCACCAGCCTCTTTTAAGGGAGCTGCACCAATTTGTTACTACTGTCGCCAAGCAGGACATGTTCGTCGCAATTGCCCTACTTTGCAGGCGCAGGTGTGTTTTGAATGTGGTGATAAGGGTCACACACGACGATTTTGCAAGGCAGACTCAGGCTCGAAAGATGATTCTACCTTGTTGGCTGAATATGAAGCAGTCAAGGATAAGGCAGCCCGTCGCAAGGCACAACCAGCCCTTGGAGAGAAACCGTCTGTGCTGGTTTTCCGTCCTGATGGTTCGTCTCGCTCTCAATGGGCCTCAGATACAGTGGCAGTTCATATGAATCTAGATTCTCCCGTGTTATTTCTCAGGATCATCATACAGACGAGGAGGAACACATTGAGGAGAAGATCGAGTCCCGAGGAATGGAGCTGGATTCAATGGAAGGAGAGCACAACAGTACTGAGCCAGATGCGGCACACAAACCCAGTGCTGATGGCCATGAGGCCTAATGAATAGTAACCACATTAGAATAGGCTCTTTAAATGTTCGCAGCATTTTCAAAGAGTCATCACCAAAACTCCGTAAGGAGTTTCTATCACACCTCAAATCACACTCCTTGTGATGATCTGACATTAAATAAGTCTTCAATTACATACTAAAATATATCATAATCAATTTACATCAGAAATAGACATAAAAGAATCTCTTGTACTAAATAAGACAATGTATCTTTTAATAGATCAAGACGTATAACCGAGATCCATAATTTACATTATTTAATTAATTTAAAGTAGTCTATGATAATAGAGACTCAGTCATTTGCATGAACTCTACGACTACTTACTCCGACATCTCTTCATGTATAAATATGCTAGAATAATTTATAA